AGGCAAACTTGGAGGAACCAGCATCGGATCCCATGCAAGGTCTCGAGGGGCTGGATGTTGCGGGCCCCAAGCCAGAGTAATGCTCAACAAGGGGACTGCCGGTTGGATCAAGGGATGATTGCAATGGGTTTACGGAGTACTTGAATTATTTTTTGCATAGCGACGGTGTTTTTGGAAGGACCATATCATGGCATACTGTATTCCTTTTTACATGAATGGGGATCCGAAGTTTTGGAACAACATGCAAGCTGTGTTTCTCCTCGGCACTCCGCCCTAATGCTTCTCGACATATACAGATCTTAATTCCCCCATCTCATGTCCCAAGCTGCTGCATGTCAAAAGATTATCCCACCGACGGCTTTTGCTTCTCGAAACTTGTGACAGATTTAGTGCTCGCCGCCGTGTCCATCGGAGCTCTGAGCGGCGCGATGAGCGGCACCCTGTCGGGCGAGTCGCAGGTTCTTGTCGACGAAGAACTTGCGGGTGGTGGAGTAGGCAGCGGCGCCCAGAGCGAAACCGACGACGACGACTAAGTGAGTTTGCTCATGTTAGAATATTCGCATCATTGAATTGGCCGCGGGACTGGGATGAGTCTTTTCGTACAGAGGGGGTACAGCTCGGCAGGGATCTGCTTGAGCTTGCGGAGGCGCTGGGAGACGGTGTGGCCTTGTGTAAACTTGTCAATAACTGTCGCTGCTGGTTTGCCGAGCTGCTCGGCGAGCATCAATGCCGTCACATACCGGCCTGGTCCTCCTTCTGTTATAGCCGCGAGGTTAGCCGGGATCTCTCCAATCGGGAGCTTCAGGATGGCCTGCACTTACGGGGACGGGTCGCATCATGCGGGCCGTAGGGCGGAAGGCCCGAAGAGCAAGAGTAGGACGCATTGTGATGAGCGGAGAGGGTTCAACCGAGAGAGCTTCAGGGCGGGCGCAAGAATTGCTGCTTGATGGAAGAGGAATTGTTTGGTTTCAAAGAGTCTCTCATGGGCTGGTGCAATTCCCACATCAGCAAATGGCCCACTTGCGCCCACCGAGTGGCCCCATTGGCCCGATGAGCGCCTGAGGCACACATTTTCAATCCGGAACATCTGATTCGGAACCTCTAGCTGCCAACATTCGACGCATAGCGAAATCTCCCACCCGCAATTCCTCCTCCTCGAATTCGCTCCAATTGTCGCCCGCACATCGCCCGCACCGTCGCCGAACCCGAATCATTCATCATGTCCGACGAGGAAGGCCAGGAGCTTGTCACCAAGCCCTTCAAGTTTGTCACTGGTACGGCTGTTCGCCCGAGATAAAATATCCCCTCTCCCAAAAAAGTGGTCTGATCTCTCGAGTGCATCCGAGGCTAACAACGGCGTTTTTGCAGCTGGTGAGATTGCCCAACACAGGCGCTCCTTCTACGTGAACGAACGACCGACCGGCTCGGGCAGCTTGATCAATGCATTGCCCATCGACTGCGAGCTACTTACCCGCAGCTTGGAATAGCTTGAGCTTTGCCCGTCGCCGGAGGACCCGCTTCGCAGATATACCTTTCGTTATATATGCACACATGTCGCTAACTCGAGTGCTCGCGCAGGCACTGATGCCCGTTTCCCCAACGTGAACCAGACCAAGCACTGCTGGCAAAACTACGTCGACTACCACAAGTGCATCCTCGCCAAGGGAGAGGACTTTGCGCCTTGCCGTCAGGTACGAGGACTGGAAGGAGCTGTAGCTTATGCGCGCATCTGAGTATACTGAACCATTGTGTAGTTCTGGTTGGCCTACCGATCACTGTGCCCCTCTGGATGGTACCAGCGATGGGACGAGCAGCGCGGTATGTTTCACTTGGTCGATTTATTCGCAACTAAAGCTGATATTTGGTCTCAAACAGAGTCTGGTAACTTCCCTGTGAAGCTCGATGCTTAAATTCCATATTTGACGTGGCGGGGTACATAAGCAAGGGTGTTCACATAGATTAAGCAGCCAGGCGGCGCATGAGCTGCAGGAAAATGTAGTAGTAGTCAATCACAAGCAAACAGGCTTAATTCTTGACTATTACCTCGTGACCAATTGCTTCTGTTCATGCACCTATAGCTGAGTATGACGTACATCACGCATACATCACCAAGATTACAAGAATCACTCAAAGAAATGCTCCATATACACATTAGCTATATTGGTATCGTATCAAACTCGAAGATGTTATTCCTTTCCCAAATGCACCCAATGACCAAAACACCTTTCATTGCTTTTTGAAGGAAAATAGAAAGAAATTCAAAATCAAAATCGCGGTCCAATCCCATTATGAAGATTTCTTTTCATCCTCATTCTCCGACTCAGAACTCATGAATTCATCGTCCTCGTCAAAGCCGAAGAATGTTCTCGGCTTGGCCTTTGATGGACCAGCAGCCTCTGTTGGAGGGGGTGACTCCTTAGAGCTCTCCGAATCTTCTCCTTCGCTTGCAGATTTGCTATTGCTTTGCTCAGTGGATGCGGAGTCATGAGATGAGCTGAGGAGGTTGTCTTTGTAGTTTCCAGACTTCATCGCAGCCAGCACGGCTTCACGAGTTCGCTCGTTGCTTTCTTCTTTGTCTTCAACCCACTGGCCGTCCAACTTGCCCCTACCGCCGGACTTGATTTCTGCCTCTCTCCTCTCTGCATGGTCAACAATTTCTTCCCATCGTTGACGTCGTTTCTCCTTTTCCTTCTTCTCCATCTCTGGTTTGATAGCGAGATACTCGGCGAGAGCCTTGGCCTCGTTGATAGTGCGGATTCGTCTTCCATCCAGGTTTCGGCTTGAGCCGCCATCGTCTTGCTTCTGCTTCTTGCGCGATGACATGCGACCACCGGCAGCTCGGAGCTGAGATCCGAAACCACCCTTTCCACCGCATAGGGGAATGGCGAGGCGTAGAGAGAGGAAATCATCCTCGTCTGATGTCAGGTACGTTGAAAGGGGTGCCTCTGATACTTGGGGTAGCAGTCGATTTGAGAGTGTTGTGATGATGAACTTGGCTTCGGTGGCACCGGCAGGCAGCTTGTCATCGATCTGCTCCCGCAGGGATGTGACTGTAGTAGTCGGAGATGCGCGCAAGACCAAAGTTGGTGGCAGACCGAGACCATTGAAGGTCGAGATGAGGACGTTGAGATGTTCCGCCATTGTGATGAATGGTTTGTTATAGATGTGGTGATGCGATCGTTTCAGAGAAGAGCTGCGAAGAGTGAAGAGCGCGGATGGATGATGTGGAAGAGTTAGTTGTTGACAGAACAGACGCCGCACTTAAGACGTCGACTTGCAAGCCTGAAAGTTTGTCGTTGGCCGGGCAAAGCGATAAGAGATGCGTTGCGACGCAGCAGAGCCACGATCATAAGGTTTGGGGAGTTGGCGGCGAAAGGACGGGCGGAAAGTTTGTCATGTGAGGTCGCGAGCTGCGCCACAGTACCGGGAGGCGCTAGCAGTCATTATCAGAGCATCGCTTATCTACACGTGATTACCAGCCACAACGCACACTTTCGCGACCTCCCCACTTCGCTAGGGTGGAATTTCATGTAGGGCTTCCGCCCACAAAAGTTATCCAATTCGAGATCTTTTGGTTGTACGCCTGTTCCCGAAAAACCGTCAACTTTCCAACATCGACCCTCCGAGCAGCAAACCGCCACGATGTTGATTCCCAAGGCCGACCGCAAGAAGATTCACGAGGTATTTTTCGACGATGTCTACGAAACCGCGAGCGCGAGCTCGATGAATTGAAATCAAGTCCCAGGTGTCACTGACAATTGTCTGGTATTAGTACCTCTTCCGCGAGGGTGTCCTCGTCGCGCAGAAGGACTTCAACCTCCCCAAGCACCCCGATATTGACACCAAGAACCTGTTCGTCATCAAGGCTGCTCAGTCCCTCAACTCCCGCGGCTATGTCAAGACTCAGTTCTCTTGGCAATACTACTACTACACCCTGACCCCCGAGGGTCTCGACTACCTCCGGGAATGGCTTCACCTGCCTGCCGAGATCGTTCCTGCTACTCACATCAAGCAGCAGCGATCACACGCTCCTCCCCGTGGCATGCTCGGCGAGGGCGAGCGTGAGCGACGACCTTTCGGCCGTGGACGTGGCGGCGACCGTGGTGACCGTGAGGGTGGATACCGAAGGAGGGATGCTGGCGAGGGCAAGGAGGGTGGTGCTCCCGGCGAGTTTGCTCCTCAATTGTGAGAATTCTCCTCCCCTTTCTCTTTCCGAGATGATATGAATGGGTTTCTTTTGCTACGGCCGCCCGAATTCATCATCGGTTCAATGGTTGGGGATGTTTTGCTAACTTTTCTTCTCCTACAGCCGTGGTGGCTTTGGCCGTGGACGTGGTGCTGCTCCTCCTTCCTAAACGAATCTGTCTCTTTCGGGGTTAACAAATCTTATGATGCATGGCGCAATAAGACAACGGCATGTAGTCTAAAAAACGTGAGGCAATCCTCACCATGAGTCCACTCATGAAGAAATGGGAAGTGAGGGGGGATATCGTGGGAGTTCTTGGAGGTTAGATCCTCGGAAATCATTTGCATCAGGGTCAATGTTTGCCATCAACGAGATAATTTTCCTTTATGCCTAACATGTGAGAACGTGCACCTGGTGAAGAGGGGACCATTTGAAACATGACGAGTGAAGAAAAAATTCTGGAGAGCGGGATGCTTGGCTGGTCTTGCCGGGAGTGTCTGCGCGGTTTTGCATGAGGTTGATGGAGGAGATGGATTGGCTCAATTGATATCCTTCCTTGTTCCAATTACTCGGGGTCATTGTGCAAAGTGATGTCATGAAGCAATTTAGAAGATCGATGTACTATCTTCATGCAATTATGCTATATCTAACGAGGGGTGCCATCCAGCATACTGGCTTGACATCCTATCTAGTGCATTTGCAGCCATCAAATGCGCAAACTGCTGAGCCTGCCTCTACGCATTCTGGAACTTGTCAAGCCCAAAACGAAGATCTGACCTCATAGGAAGAAGAATCTGATGATGAGAATCTGCACCTACTCGTCTTCGCTCTCGTCGGCTTCAACACAGACAACAGCCTCATCCATATTAATATTGATTTCAAATAGCGTAATGACATATTGTTGCCAGCTCTCGTCGGAGTCCTCGTAAGATGAGCCTTTTAAAGTTACCATTCCTGACACATTGGGGCTGATGTTTCCTGCCAAAACGCATTCATTTTCTCCAGGAATAATTTCAAAGAGTGCGGCTAAATGTCCAACAGTATCTTCACCCTTTTTGAGGACAAATTCACTGTCGACCTCAGCATGAAGCGTAACCGGGCTTGGATTTGTGAGTATCATGGTGATCTTGATCTTTTCGCCGAAGATTCGGATTCTCTTTATAGTGGTTGTCATCCTAGGCATGTTCGCCAAATTAATGGACATTGTCAACCGATGGCCACTTGGAGAAACTCTAAGGGCAGCAGTGGCCTGTTTACGGACGTCCAGCTCGTTATTGGCATTCTCCTTAGGCATGATGTCGCAGAAGAAATTCTTGAATCCCACCATGCTCTTGATATGCATAATAGGTTCCTCATCGATTCTCCACTTGGTTATCACATAATTGTCACTGTCGGGTATCATTTGCGTGTCCGGACTGGTAATCTCTCCAACAAGAATGTTGCGATAGTAAAGACGAACTCGGACGGTGCTGACCCAACCGATGTCGAATCCAGCACAGAGGGTGCCTTCTACATCCAGACGCAACGATCTGAGGCCCAAATCAGTGATTTTGTAATTGTTGAACCAGCCAACGAACAAACTCACCTAGAGTCTTGGCTTGAAATGAAAAAGCGGGCAATATATAATTCTCCTCCCGTCTCAAGCATGTCAGTGATATCTTCCTGATCGGAAGCATCGCTGGAACTTTCAGCTTTAGGCATGATTCTCGCCGCAGGCTGCTCAGATGGTTCGAGAGAGGCTGGGTTTGCAATATGAATGCGAGAGGATGATGATCGAGATAGCTTCTGGTTCGTCGAGTGTGCAGACTTAAGTACTTTTTCGCATCGGCATTCACTTCAGCGATGCCGCTCATCAAAAGAGAAGGATGAAAAGAAGAGAAAGAAGCTCGCTTGAGTGAATTACGAGGCGAAATTATACAGCATTTGCATAACAGCTGACAGGCCACGTCTGCAGGCTGGCTTAACGCCGCCTTAGTTTCTGCATGCTCCTCCTCATAATGAAAGCCATGTCCTTCTAAAAGCAAATAGATTTAGAGGAGCTCATTCTTGTCACTGTGCTGCCTTGATGCAGAGAGTCACTATGTGGAACCTCAAGTTCGCTATCCAACACCCAAGTGACTACATAAAGTTCAGGTATATTAACAAGATGCGGAGCAAATGTATTAGATGCTTTCTGCTACTATTGTAACTATATTGATCCATCATCTGATAGTATCACTGATGCTGAGTCACAGTCTATGGCGCTGAACAGCTACTTCCTTGATGTGTGGCTGATCACTTGGAGATGCTTCAACCGATCTCTCTCCTATTTGGCGTGGACCAAAAACTTACGACCTAATTGTCTACGTCAACATAAAGATTTTGCTAGCCCCTGAATTAGATATCGCATGGCGTTATAACATACATCTCGTGGAGTGTAATCATATATGGGCGTCTCATGGGATACAAAGAGAAGACGCATGATGTTATATTTGCTCTCAGAACACACGAGTTCGTGGTAGATGCAGAGATCGATCTATGGAGTGCTACCAGCTGTTTGGTATGCTGCCAGCTGGTGAGATCTGCTGCTATTTGCCCCGAGAGGGCTATTTAAACTCTGTTCGCGAATTCAAACACAATTCCTCCCTTCTTCTCTTCTTTTATATCTTCTCCAAGAGCAGATAGACATACAAAAATGTTGATGCTCAATGATATCTGTGTCTCATGTGCGTAGCTAGAGAAGTCATACTTTTTACCTCTCTTCTTCATTCATCAGTATTAGAAATTTGAAGCTTCTTGAAACATCAGCAGAGTCTATCTCGAAATATCTCGCTTGCGCAGATTACACACGACTTCTCGTATTCGTCCAATACTTCAGTCAACATGAACAACATACCGGCACTGGAGTGGGTTGTGGAGATTTATGAACTCTATCTGACTGCTAGATCTTTCAGGTTTGCATTTTTATTTATACTTTCTGTATTTCTTGGATACTTACACACTATAGATCCGCAGCAGTCCAAGTCGGTGCTACGATCGGACCTGGAGTTGATGTTGGCTGGATCAGTTCTGCAACGGTCCTTCTTCTCTATGGCCAAACTCTTCTGGGAAGAATGACTCTCGAAAATAGAATGATCAATTCCTCGATTACTAATGACGCACTCGTTCTGCAGATGGAGGAGTTTGAGATTCAGGATATGACTGCGTTCAAGAGTTTTGTTCGGGATATAATGCCCAAACCATGGAACGGATGTCGACTCGATAAAACCGCATTGACCGGCAAGCTGGAGGTCGTTGATAAAGGCCATAGTCTCACAATTGCCATAGATTTGTGTGGCATTGGGGGTCTCGAAACGACTGAACTCAGTGTGGCGCTCTCTGGCCACATACTTAAGATCAATTTCTCGATGACGAACGCGGCCACTGTGGAAATATACTTCGATGAAGCTGAATTTCGGCTTCAGAAGAATGGGGTTGACTTGGCTATTTTGGCCGGAGACTTCAATATTGAGACCGGCGAAACAACTTATGAGTTGGAAGGGGAAATTGATTCGTTTTCGCGGAAAGAGCTTTTCGGAAATGCAACTTTGGCTGGATACCATCTGAAAGCCAATGACTTGAAGAAAACGTGGCTCATCCATGCTCTCCGAGAGTTCAAAATAGATGTCAATCTGGACCAAACGGTCGTTTATTAACTTGGCTTGACAACCCAGCTGATGCCCTCTTGTCAACCAAAAAATCGGCGATGGAGGAGAATGACAGTTTTGAACAGCTACTTGAGAGATGGTGGCTTACGGACGCAAAGAAGAGCTCAGGTTATGCAGTTTTGGTAGCTCTAACAGCTCAAATTGAATGATATCAGTTTTATTTGCAGACGCCAGTACGAGGAAGCTCAGACGGAGGTCAAGCAACTTGCGGAAGTGTCGTGGCAACTGCCAAGCAAGCTATATACCTGTACTTTCCCTTCGTAATTCACTGCAGCCTACTTCTTTCCCTCTTGAAACACTCTTCCTCGGGAAGTAACAGTTGTGTCAGCCTGTGAATGCTTCAGACATTTAAATCCATCGCGTGAGTTTTGGAGTATACTCCAGATCTTGATCTTCGACTTCCAGACGTCGCAAACCTGTTATCGCTTCAACTCTCTACGGGATACATTTGGAAGATCTTGCGGCCATGGCGGAAATGATGATTGACAAGCTTCATTTCACCAATCCTTCCATGAGGTATGGCCGTCTAGCTACTCACCCCTCGCATCCGCTACTGCTTCCTTACACTCCCCTTGAAAAATACTTATTCCTACCACAGATCTTTTGATCTCGAAATCAGCGCCATCATCGACCCGGAACTCGACATTGGCTGGATCAGCAATGTGACAGTCTCCCTCTTCTACCCTCGACGCCTTATTGGCGAAAAAACTCGTCGCAAAACATACATCATTCCCGACGAGGACAATAAAGAATATATCCGTTTCCAGGGGGTGAAAATTCGGGATATGATAGGATTCAAGGCTTTTATGGAACGCTTGATGCCCAAGTCAGAAATCATCCGTCAGGGAGAAGGCCAAACGCTTATCACTGCCGCAGTGGACAAAGACGAGAATGGCCATAATCTCTCGGTGGCTATAGATCTAAACGACATATCGAGCGTTACTATTTCGAAAGTAGACTGCCAGGTCGCTGACCAGGCACTTACACTCACATTCAGAGTATCGAGTTCGAATCCGGTTGATTTGCCTTTCGGATACTGCAAGTTCTCGTTGAAAAAAGACGAAACGCTTCTGGCTTCATTGGAGGGTCACTTTAATATTTTGCCTGATTATTGCGACATTACCTTAACAGGGGATTGTGAAGCTACTACCGTCAAGCTTGCTGGAACGGCGATTTTGAAGGGAGCCCTGGCATTTGACCACGCTGGTAGTTGGATTGATCGTGCTATCCAACTCTTTGAAGTTGAAGTCGACCTGGATAGGCTACAGCGAAGTTGAAATGCCGGAGGTTTAGATTAGCACAACCTACAGAAAGCATTGTCCTGCTACTTGTTCAGTGTCATACTACTTGTTCAATGTCATGTTACTTGTTTATTGCAAAAACTAATCAAAGAGGTCTCTCTGCAGTGACCCTCGTGCGCCCGAATATTGCTTTATGGTACATACAGAATCCATTACGTTCCCTCCCCCCATCTTTGTTTTCATCTCACGATTTGCCCAAAAAAACGCCAGCCATCTGAAAATCCCTTTCAGCACCTTTCCTCTAAATCTAGCTCAAGTCCATGGTCTCGGAGCCGGCAGCGGCGGCAGCAGTATTGGTGCCACCGTTCTGGACCGACAAGTCGACGCCGCCATCGTTGCCAATCAAGCGTTTCTCGGATTTGTTAACAAACTCGATACTTCTGGCGGGGTCGTAGAAGAGCTGGAAGCATCGCTTGACGTCATCAATGCCAACCTGCTTGGATTTTCTCTTTGCTGAGACCAGCTGCGATGTGGTGATGAGGTTGCTGGCGTATCGAAGACCGGCTTCCAGGCCAATCTTGGTAAGCAGAGCCAGGGCGTCTGCTGAAACGTCAATCTCCTCCTCCTGCGCTCGAATGGACAGGATCTGTTGGATTTCTTCGGGGTTGTAAGGATGAGTGTTGATGATGACAACGCGATCCAAGAAATCGAGGGGCAGGCCGTGTGGGCTCTTGTAGTCAGTGCCTCGAATACGAGACTGGCCTCGGTTGCTGGCCATGATGACGACTGGCGCCAAATCATCCTCCAGGGCCCGGTTGATGTAAGAGAAGCACTCAATGTCGAGCATGTGCACCTCGTCAATGAAGAGCACGCCGGGAACGATCTCGGCCTTGCCTTCCTCTTTCCACTCCCCAACCTTGGTGTTGATCTGGTCGCGAATCTCGCTGCGAATCTCACCGGTGTCGCCAGAGAAGAGAGCCAGGAAGCCCTGTGTTCGCGAGTTGATGACATCGATTTCGTGCAGCGTCACTGTGTGAACCACCTCCTTGCGCCTTTGCAGCTCTCCGTCGGGGCATTGCAAAAATTTGGTATCGACGCCCATGGCATCGTAATCGCGAGATCGAGCGTATGATCGGCCGAGCTTGGTAATCTTTCCAGAAGACTTGTCAATGGAAATAATATCACCAGCCATGACGCGCTCCTTGGTCATGGCATCAATCATCTTTGCGCCCATGTCGTACACAGCCTCCATATCGGTAGTCTTGATGGTCAGCTTGCCCTGCTTGGCACTGCCGGTGACGCTTCGGTCGATCTGGATCTCGACAACCTCTCCCTCCATAATCTCGCTCTCCTCCTTGATGCGGACGCCGATTGATTTGCGGAAGGCTTGGGTGAGAGCCTCGGTTTTTGACATTTCGAGGGAGAAGATTTCGGAGGACGCGAGAGTCGTGAAGGGGACGTCGGCGCCGAGTGACTGTGCCAGTCCGGTAGCAATGGCAGTTTTTCCCGTGCTATTGTTTGATAGGTGTAAGAAAAATGCCAATAAGAGAAGGGAAAAAAAAAGATGGAAGAATGCGGCGCTCGACCTACCTTGGGGGACCGGCAATCAGGACGGCGCGACCAGCAATCTTGCCCTCTTTGATCATCTGAAGGATAACTGCCGCGGCCTTTCGAGCCTTCTCCTGGCCAACAAGGCCTTGAGACGCGGCTCTGGGCTCGAGACTCGTGGCATCGACGCCGAGTCCACGGATGTGAGAATGCGCGGCGATCAGGTTCAGACCGCGAAGGTCCTTGGACTCGGAAACGGTCACTATGGGCTGGTTCACGGTGGGGAATTAGTCGAAGAACAAACAATGCATTAGACAGAAAGAAAAGCAAACTTACAGCAGCCATTGTGAAGAATGATGATGTCGTTGGCGCAGCAGTTGGGTCACGACAGGATTGATAGCGAAGGATTAGATGCTTGCCTGCTTCAAACAAAGCAGCACGGCGAATTGGAATGGCTGCTTGAGCTCTGTCCCATTTTCTCAGCGCAGGAAAAATTACGGTTCCGGAGAAGCGCGCGTCTGGCGCTTACACGTTAGGCGGGTTTAGTTGCGGTTTAGTTGGCTAGAACAGCTAAACAGAGGCTGGTAGTGTCAAAATACAGTGGACGGGCAGTGGGGCAGTTTGATCGAGCTGAGGCTAGAGGGTGATCGGGGAGACAAGGGGCGGATGTTAAAGCGGTAATCGCCTGAACTACAAACTACAAACTACACCAGGATGTTTGTTAATGGTATCTTGGGGAATATCAAAGAACGATTGTGAAACCAATGAATGTCACTCTTTGTCTTTTATTACATGTATTTTCTATAAATGTCTGAGTAATGAACTTATGCATGGCCTATGCTCTCCTTATGCACGGCTCGCTCATGCTAGGCACCAATCCTGCACACCGCAGCCTGACCGACCTCTGTCTCTAATATCGATTGACTCTCCCCCCCCCCTCATATTTGCTTTGTTTGCTGAAATTGCCTGTTTGTTGGCTGCCATCTGACCAACCGCAACCCTGTTCTTGCAGCATCAAATCCCCACCCCATAACATTAGTTAAAAGCCACCTCACTGCGGTTCTTATAATCTAATCCCTGCAACCCGGGTTTTTGTTTGCTATCTGTGCTCAGATAGTTGATGTAGTTGTATGCACGGAAATGGTTCCTATTCGCAGCTCTTTGTTCAGGTGGAAGGGAAAATATTTGTTTAGGTCTCTTCTAGCAGCTTCTCCCCCTAATACCTGCAGCTGATAGCTAACGAGGTACATCACCCGACATCAAATTACATTCAGATTGGATGCATGCAGCGGCATGGAGTCCACCGTGAAAATGCTAGACCTACATATCCATTAGCAGTAGGCGCTCTGTAAACAAAAGAAACCCCCCCTAGCACAGCAGGTCTTTAAGAAAGCGGCAGGCTCGTCTATGGATATTTATTAGTGCCTTAGTTCCCTAAGACTATAATTGCTTTTTACAACCCGACATTGCAACTCTCACCAACACTCGTTCAAACAAAAGAGTGCCCTGACCCGCCAACCCGCACACCCACCACATCCACCTTTCTCTGCCAACCTGCCTCGTCCTTTATTTATTGTTTTCACGATACTCGGCCCAACAGCACTGTGTCTATCAACCAAACCAAACAAACGCCTTTCCTGATAGCATTCTGCCTTGATTCTGCGGATATTATTTCGGGGCCTACTTACTAGTTCATCATATTTGATGCTCTGTGACATCTGTCTCATCTGGAGGGTTTTCCAAAGCTCGCTGGATGAGTTGGAAGAAGATGATCATCGGTGATTCGGTAGTAAACTGAATCCTTCGCTCCCAGAGTATCAAAGATTCTCTCGTACAATCTATCTGATCGCCGTCATTGTCCACATCCTACGCCATCGCCATCATGGGTCAGGATCCTCCTCGGCGGCCTTCGCAGCAAGGCTTCCATAATACCTTTGGGCAGGGTCGCAGTATCAAGCGAGACTCGATCCAAGGAGATGGTCAACGATCATCAGGTGATACCGCACCGAATGCTAAGCGCATTCGCACTGTCGATCGACCTGATGAACGGAGTCCTGTTGACCAACGCGATCATCTTGAAGGATCCAGCCCAACGACGTTAGGTAGTGCCACCCCAGAAGCCATTTGCTCGAGAAATCCTTGCTGAGCACAGACTGTGAACCTACTAACGACATTTTCGTACAGTCTCACATAGACAACGCCATCCCGACACCCCCAAACAGCATCCTTCGAGCCAGTTATCCAAGCCACTCACCAACCATGTGTCGGGCATCTCCTTCAAACCAGTGCTAGATCTTATTTTTGACAGATTTTTCTGGTGCAAACTCAAAAGCGAGGCCAAAAAGTCTCACAATAGGGCAATTCAAAGTCAAGCGCACAGTCATTACCATCCATCAGACTACGGCAGCTCTCCGGAGTTTATTGCTGCTCAACAGAAGCAGAATCTCGACGACATGAAGAGGGCTGACAAACACGTGGGAGAACTTGACGAACAAATCGCATCAGCTATGCAGCCACTCATACGGCACATTTCAGAAGCTTGGGGCAAGAGCTCTGATGGATCAAACGCTTCGGAGGAGAGAGAGGCATCGGAGGCCAAAATCAACACCATCCAAACCACCATGAAAAAGGAGATGGAGGAATCGTTCAAGAAAGAGGTCGCAGAGTCGCAGCAATTCATCAAGGAGCTGGTCGGATCGCAAATGGCCAAACTCAAGGAGGCGTTGGCTCAAGAAAACGAACAAAAGCTACACGCGCTTCAGAAGACGCTGGCCCAAGAGGGTGAAGACAGAGCAACCTCTCTCAGGGAGACACTGATACAAGAAAACGAGAAGCGAATCGCAGAAATGAAAGAATCCATCAACCGGGAACACAAGGCCAAAATCGCAGCGCTCGAGAATGCTTTGGCAGACGAAGCCAAGAATAAGGACAGAATTGCAGCTCTTGAACAAAGTCTGTCTAACGAAGCCAAGAACAAGGACAGAATTGCAGCACTCGAAAAGAGTCTGTCTGCGGAAGTTGGAAACAAAGACCGAATTGCAGCGCTCGAAAAGAGTCTGCTCAACGAAGCCAAGAACAAGGACAGAATCGCAGCGCTTGAAAAGAGTCTGTCTGAGGCAGTTCGCAACAAAGACAGAATCACAGAACTCGAAAAGAGTCTGTCTGGAGAAATACGAAACAAAGACAGAATCGCTGAACTCGAGAAGAGTCTGTCCGAGCAAGTACGAAACAAAGATAGAATCGCAGATCTCGAAAAGAGTTTGTCTGAACAAGCAAATTACGAAAAGAAAATTGCTGAGCTCGAAAAAACCCTGTCTGAACAAAGAGAAAAGAACTCTGGACTTCAAAAAAGGGTAGCAATAGCGGTGGCCAGACTTGACAGGGCGGAAGCAGATCAGAAGCTACTGATCAAGTCATTGGTAGACCCTAAGCAGCTTACTGTGATTAAGGATCAGGTGTTGAGGCTGGAAGACAGCCTTAGAGAGGCACTCTCAGAACAACGACGACTCTCGGAATCGTCAATAAACAAGGCACAGCTCGCTCAGCAGCTGCAACAGCTTTCACTCTCCCAAGATGACAAGTTCAGCAAGCATGAGGCTCGCGTGAACGACCATTCTACAATAATCAAGCGGCTGGAGGAACAACTATGCGATCATTCCAAACTCATTACGGAAAACAAACCGCAGAAAGATGCAGCTACACGACTTGATAAGCTGGAATCTACTATATCCAACTTCTCGGCAGAATGGGAGGAGATGAAGAAGCGTGTGGAAAAGCTCAGTTCAATTAGGTCGGCATCTGTCCCCGATAACAAGATATTGGACGTCATCAAACCCGAAGTGGATAAACTTGACAAAAACATAAGGGAGAATATTGCAAAAATCCAGGGCAAGCTCCAACCATTTCTTGTGCAAGAGAGTCTTAAGCGAGAGACTCTGGAGGAACAATTCGGCAATATTACTCGCCAGGTATCTGGGATTGAAAAAGAGCATGCCATAATAAAAGCGGACTGCTCTGAGATAAGGGAGCAGGTGAACAATCAGAACCAACTGAATACCCTGGAAGGGAGTCGGTTCGATGAGAAACTCGACCGTCGAACGAGTATGCTCATGGATAAATTCAGATCACAAATGGAAGGTGTGTACATACAGGTGCAATCTCTCAACGCGTGGCAGACCAACTTCAATACCGCGGGCCTCTACGGGAACATCATATCTCACATTAACAAAACGATTCCGGAAGGTCCAGGTACAGCACCGCAAATTGTGGCTCTCAAGCAACAGCTGAACGGCATTGAGGCGCGCCTCGCGGCCTGGGAGAATGCAAGCAACAAGAGGCGGAAGCTTCCCGGTGGTAACGTAAAGGTGGTTAATGGCCGCCAAATAGACGCGCAATGATTCTTTCTTTCATTATTTTATTTTTATCTCCTGCCGAAAAGGTGATGAGAGATTCGCATGGCACTAGGGAGCACAAAGGTCTGGCAATTTTGGGGGGTTTCCAGGCGGCTGAATGAATGCTTTACAGCGGGATTGATTAGGCCAAGGGGTTGGCCAATCTGGGTTTTCAGACAAGGGGCCAGGATTCAAAAGGACAATGTTTGCTTCGATCGCTTGGCGCAATGGGAAACGCATTGACGTCGTACGGAGTGTGGTCCGTCAGGATGGTTTTTTACCGGTGCGGTGGCAGCTTGGCTGGTTGCACGCAAGGGCGATCTGGAGGACTGAGTGAGATCTTTGATGTATGAGATTTGTATGGACAAGGAATACCAAAGGAACGGATCGATATGTAGGCATATGTAGTTTATCAACATAATTGCATTTGTGATTTATTTCTGCTTGATATTTATGGTTGATGGTGTACAGAGATATTATCGTTGCTTTTCTACGGGCTTACTCTATGTAATAAATTCTTGCGCTACTAATGAACAGAAAAGATACGTATTGGCACTCAAGAATATTACAAAGAAGGGTGACACGAGCTGTGTGACGAAAAGCAGACAGAAAAGATTGTTTGCCCGACATCTCGACAAAGAGAAAGTGGACAGAGAAGATGTGAATCCCACTTAATAGGGTAAGATCAATGCTTTCCTCACGCGCATCTGACGTCCAAACCGACGCAGTGATAACTCTCAGTTTGGCCACAAAAAGTAAACAAAGTGGAGGGCCTTCAAATGTGAACAATGAGGCTAACAAGAGGTCCATTTTGATATCCACCCGGGACCCGTCACTTGATGCTATTGCGTCGATATCAAGCAATGCAGCCCCATGCCCCCGTCTATTAAAGTTCAAGCATAAAAGACGAGCTTGTGTGCTGTTTTTGAAGCGGAACATCCAAATAGAGCAAAAAGAAAGCCGTGGCTTGTTCTCTTTGGGGAGTTGAGGACCAAAGTATATAGTAGCTAGCACGGTTGTTGATAGATCAGATCAGGAGCTCCCCTGGTGGACTATTACTCGTAAATCGTATAGAGCACATCCGAAACAACATCAAAGTCCATCAGCCAATGAAATGGACCAATGCGCTGTAGAGTGCAAAGTCAGCCAGTAGAGCGATAGCCGTAATCCTTGCCTCAAGTCACTTCCCTTGACCTTCTTTCTACTACTACTGTGCTCATACAGTATTCCGTGCGTTGTGACGTGACTTTCAAGAATCAACACAACCAACATCACAATTGTCGACGCCACTGCGGAATTTCCCTGCTTGGCGGCGCGTATCGTATTATAGCGTGCATGCACCGCTGGGCCTCAAACCTTAAGCAGCCCTGGAGCAGAAGTGACGGACAAGTGAGCTCGCACAGCGCTGTCGGGTATCCGTCCATACAAAATTGAACCTACGCACAGGCCCCCCAATTCCCCCGGGAGCACCAGCGCCAGCACCAGTAGCAGCGCCAGTAGCAGCATCAGCACTACCAGTTGGCAGTTGAGCCCAGCTTCTTCCCGCCCGCCAGCACTTTTAGGTAGCATTGAGTTCGAGTGGCCTGAGCAGCGCCAGTCCAGTCGGAGAGTTAAGGTACTTGCGCCTCCACCCACCGCCGGCCGCTCTTCCTGGTACCGATCGCCAAAAACCATCTCGTGGGCATCTGCATCACGTCCCTCCACGAACATCCAATCCATTGCCGCATCTCGCCCTGCTGCGATTCGGCCGCCTGTCGCGCTCAGTCGATTCGCTACTGCTCACGAGAGAAAGCGCTTTGTGCGAGATCTCAGAGACCAGCGGCCGCAGCCCCGAGCGCTGCTGAAGCGCCCCAACCACCGTCGCCTGTTCTGCTGCTGGCCTTGTCCTTTGTCCGGGCAGTTCTTTGTCTCGCCTTTGCCTCTGTGCTGCAGCCCCCCAGCCGTGCGGCACTTGCGTCTGCATCACCATCGAATCCGCCTCCATTGTCGCGCTCTCTGTCGCCCGCTGCCGCTCGTCTCGTCGGTCGCGCTCCGCCGCTCACTCGTGCCTGCGGCATGATCACGCCCAAGCACGATGGAAGCGGCGCGGAAGACGATCGAGGTGCTCAGCCAGCGCATCCTGCCCGAACGACCCCATCACCTAGCATTTCACCCCGAATGGCGGTTTCGCCCCAGCCACGGTGACGGCAATTCCTTTGAGGAATGGCATCATCCCCGCCTGCAATACCTGACGCTCTTGTCCGAAGCCGATCGCGGCGTCCTCTTCACAAAGTCCGACTATGACATGCGTGAGGAGCCGGCCAAACCACTCCCACGCGAGGTCAACGCGCTGGCCAAGGGCGGCGAGAAGAAGAAGCTGTCGCTGAGCGACTACAAGAACAAGAAGACGGGGGCCACGTCGTCCACGTCGCCTCCAGAGCCATCAATCGCCAAGAAGAAGGAAAGCGAACGCGCTGGCGAGCTGTCAGCCAACACGGGGGCCACCTCGGACCCCAGATCCGCATCAGAATCAAAGTCTGCCCCCGAAGCGAGGAAGATGGACAGGCCCAGGCCGCGAGAATCAGATCCGCCCGTCGACGCCAAACAGCGACAGGGTCGCGAACAAGCCGCCGACATGAGGTGGGTACTTGCAGCTCCGCTACAGATCGGAGCAACGGTAGCATTGAGCGATCAGCAGCAGCTAACATTGACCCAGATTACCTCTTAAACCTCCTACCAAACACCCATTACCGCCCCGACCGCCCTCTCCCAATTCCAAGAAACGCGTGGCTGACCCGGATGACGAGTCGCGACCCCAGAAGCGATCCAAGCCGGACAGCACCAAGCACGTCGATGACCGGGTACAGCACTCCCGCGATGACGCGCAGAAACGCAAGGATAAAACATCCTCGGCAGCTTCCAGGGATGCACCGTCGCACAAGGACGACAGGCTGTCTGCTTCCGGCGCCAACTCCTCCTCTCTCCCCAATGGCAGAGCCCTTCTCAAGGGTGCCGTGGGCTCTAGTCGCAACAACACCTCACCTGCACATCGTCCACGAGGCGATTCCCTAAATGGCGTCCGCCCTACCGGTTCGGGAAGCAACCGGGTCACGCCCATCAAAGCCGAAGCATCACGGTCAACTGTGCCGCCCCTGCTATCCCCTCTCCACCTGACCTTTGAGGATCGCGAAGCCGAAGACAGATCGTTGGCGAAGCAAAACAAGAAGAAACCCCGTGACGACTCTCGCGAACGGACCAAGTCGCCTAACCGACAGCATAGAAAGTCCGAGTCCATATCAGAGCTCAAGAGACAGAAGTCACCAGCAAGAATCCCGCCGTTGCTCTCGCCAACTTTGCCGCCGATAGTGGAAGCCGCCTTGCAACTTAGAAAGAAAGCATCGATGGAGCCGTTGGAAGGCAAGCCCCTCAAGAGCAAAGATGAGAGAGAGAAGGAACCACCACTGCCGTCCAAGAAGAAGAAGCCGGTGGTTGATTACTCTGACGACGAGGACGAGCCTCTTCAGCAAAAATTACGGAAGGCGCTCATTGTCAAGCTTAAAGTGCCCAAGAAACTGCGGCGAGACTTTAAACGCATTCTAGCCCTGTCATCATCCACAGCAGCCCGCAAAGAGTTGCAAGCACAAAACCAAGAGCATTCCACTGTGCCAGAAGACTCTATCCAGCCTCCGCCCGCACGGAAACGGCCTGTTGCCCCTGACACGGCGGCATCGTCAGAAAGCACTGCACAAAAGAAACCCAAGGTCCCTGAGATTCCCAGCTCGTCTCGTTTGCCCGCTCCGACTACACCATCCAAAAAGGGAGCCGCCACCATGTCGCGCGCCAGCTCTAGCAACTCGTTGGCCCAAACTCCTGGGGACACCGTCAACGCTACTCCATCCGCGTCGGCCTCATCTGCCGCTAGGGTCAATGGTCAAGATGCAAGCCGTCCGGAAACCTCCGAAGCTAGAGCTATGCGAGAGAGAGAGGCCCGATTCTCTACTCTTGGACGCCGCCTTAAGCACGAGGCTGACACAGCAATGAGAGGTGGTGCCGGCGGCTCGCGGGAGCCTGATCTGAACAGAGGCTTCGTGATTAGCGTGGAAAGTTTGCTGGCTTTTATGGCCGGCTTCCAGGCGCAAAACATCTATCGTGGATTGGTCAATAAGAGGAGTGACCCGACTGGATGGTCCAGCCTGTTCCCGCTGCTCGAATTTATCCAGGGCCAAATGAGGAGGCAAGAGGCGCACACTCGTCGATTCCTCCCCCTCTACGTCTTGGTTCTTAACCTTAATGCTATGGCCATTAATGAGCTTATTCGATGCCATGTGGCGACGGAGAATCCAGTTCTCCCACCTCCAGATTGGGTGCGGCTTGAGCGATCACGATTCCGACTCCAGTCTCAGATGAGCGAGGCTCTCAATAACATTGAGAATCATTCTCTGCGTCCCCAGGGCCAGCTTCACCATACGCTTGACGAAATGATGGCGGAAACTCTTCGAGTGCTCAGACACTGGTGCCACTATGAGGACGTCGACTGGACTCCTGACGCTAACCTCGAAGAGTCTGTTGCTCCCCGGGACCACTGAAGTGAATTGAATGATGTTCCAATGGGACAGAGGGAACCCTCTCAGCTGGTACATTCTGTTTAAACTATACACTTTACGACAAGCGGCATGGCTGATGGTTGGAGTTGGGCGGCCGGTTCGGAGCCTGCGGGCTTCTCTTTGTGCCATAATAACTCACTAGGTTTTATATGCAGGCAACACAGGCGAACAAAAGATGCTTGATTTTTATTCAAAGGGAGTGAGAGAGAGAGATTCTGCATTTTGGCGTTGGGTCACGAACAAAAACCTTTTTTCTTTTTTTTTTCTTCATCCTTCCTCTCATTGTCGTCTGGCTTCACATACATACTTGGTAGAAACTCAACTGAGCTGAAAGGGAGATGACGGTTTTACCTGGTCGAATGAAGACGAAGATTTCGCCCATGCACCACCGCAAGACGGGGGACTGGGACTGCATCTGTTATCGTTTGACACTTCTGTTTGCTAGCAAAAAATACTGGTTCTTTTTTTTTTCTTTTTTACCTGACGTTTCTTATGATATCCCCTGTGCTCAACACTGTCCTCTCTTTTGTCGTCTGTGATGGAGAGCCCTGGAGAGGTCCCATTAATTAGATGGAATAAAAACCCTGTTTATGATTGAAAGCAGATTTTTGCACGTGTGATTGCTAAGTCTCTTGGCCTTGCTTGGGTCTTTGTATTTACAAAGTTGGTCGGTCACCACCCCTCCTCTATGGCACATTGAAGAGGGGTCCTACATACGATATTTGCACTTGGGCAGCCATAATATCACCGATTTGAAAACGGATACTAGCATAAGAGCAAACACTATTTACACTTGGGCAGCCATTACGTCACCGATTCAAAAACAGAGACTAGCATGAGAGCAAATTGTCATTACTTGTTGTGGCAATGCCAAACTATCAAAAGGCCTACACTCTGTACGAGGACACACTTCAGTATTCACTATTAATTTTTTTTATTTTTTTGGTTGTTTCTAAAGACAATGATTTTTCATGGCCCCCAGCCTGGGCTCATCTCATCTCAGAACACACACTTATTTGGAGGCATCGACCTTGGCGACGTGGGCCAGGAGGTCGAGGACACGGCGGGAGTAGCCCCACTCGTTGTCGTACCAGGAGACTAGCTTGACGAAGTTGTCGTTGAGGGAGATACCGGCCTTGATATCGAAGATGGAGGAGTTGGTGTTGCCGAGCATGTCGCTGGAGACGACATCGTCGTTGGTGTAGGCCAAAACGCCTGTTGCACATAGTTAGCACTCTGTTGTAAATGGACATATTTTGACATCGTCGTCGTTACTTACCCTTGAGGGGACCATCGGCAGCCTTCTTGATGGTCTCAGTGATGGCAGCGTAGCTGGCGGGCTTCTCGAGACGGACGGTCAAGTCGACAACGGAGACGTTGGCGGTGGGGACACGGATGGACATGCCGGTGAGCTTGCCGTTGAGGGAGGGGATGACCTTGCCGACGGCCTTGGCGGCACCAGTGCTGCTGGGGATCATGTTCTGGGCAGCACCACGGCCACCACGCCAGTCCTTGGCGGAGGGACCATCGACGGTCTTCTGGGTGGCAGTGTAGGAGTGGACAGTGGTCATGAGACCCTCAACGATGCCGTAGTTGTCGTGGATGACCTTGGCGAGGGGAGCCAGGCAGTTGGTGGTGCAAGAGGCGTTGGAGATGACATCGGCAGAGCCGTCGTACTTGTCCTCGTTGACACCCATCACGTACATGGGGGCATCGGCAGAGGGGGCAGAGATGATGACCTTCTTGGCACCGCCGGCCAAGTGAGCCTTGGCCTTCTCGGTGGTGGTGAAGACACCGGTGGACTCGACAATGTAGTCGGCGCCAGTCTCGCTCCACTTGATGTTGGCAGGGTCACGCTCGGTGTAGAAGCGGACCTTCTTGCCGTTCACAACGAGGTCCTTGCCATCGACATCGATGTCGCCCTTGAAGATACCGTGGGAGGAATCATACTTGAGCATGTAGGCCTAGTGATGTCTCGGGTTAGCGGATGAACAATGAAGCTGCATATGTAGTGAGGGGTAGTGGCGTGAGACGAAGGAGCTGGAATTTTGTCCGACATTGACGACTTTTGAGACATTAAGTGTGGCTCATCTGTCGACAATGCCATTGCAGCTCCCGCCATTGCTTGAGAGGATTTTTCTTCTATGATGACAGCACCATCGTAGAAGCTCTCCAATCTCATGATATCAAGAGATTCATTCAAGCAGTGCACTCTTATTATTCGTCTCTTTCCACCCTCAATTGGGCATTGCTTGCGTTGGGCTGAGGAGGGGCATTTTCAGAGGAAAAAAAAGAGGGGGGACGCGGCTCACAGCATAGGTGGTCTCGATGAAGGGGTCGTTGACGGCGACGACCTCGATGTCGGGGTGCTCAACAGCGTTGCGGAAGACGATACGTCCAATTCGACCGAAGCCGTTGATGCCGACCTTGATGGGAGCCATTGTAGCTGATTTGTGACTGCGATTGATGGTTATGCGTGGTAAGCTTCAAAATCTCTGCCTGTTGAGGTGGGAGGGAGGAGGGGTAAATAAGGGAGAAAAAAAAATTGGTGACGCAGGGAAGTTCTGGCGGGGTAGCTAAGGCGACGAGTGCAGTAAGGAGGGGCAGGCGAACAGCAGTCGTAGCGTGGGCCGGAGCATGAACATGATATCGAATGGTATGAGTACTAACCTGGAGTTGAAAGTTGATACGATAGGGATGCTTGGTAGGGCTGGGTATGGAGAGGAAGAGAAGAGGAAAAGGATGAAGAAATCAGGTGGGAGGTGGAAAGATTAATAGTGTTTCTGACACAACGGTGATGCGGCATCGGATGAGCGACATTAATGCCTACCAGGCCAGAAGACGCGTCTAAACACTGGACCCGCCGCAGGGCATTGGCATGGGATGGATGGCCATCCAGGTAAATGCTGGGCTGGGCTGGCAAATGCTAGCAAATGCTACACAGCTGAGCGGTAGCTGCGTGGTATAGCCTCTAGCTGCCGGGCGATGTTGTGTTGGGGGGTGCGAGTATCGCCGAGTTGCTGCCCTCGCTCGGCACGGTGAGGCGCTACTTGGGAGCTACATCGAGATACGCCGCTGCAGCTTTGACGTGACTTTGACGTACAATGCAGGGAGGTGCTTGTTCGATAAGGCAAGCAACGTCCGTTTCCCTATGAGTACTACCTACCTAACAGCCAATACTATTATCAATCCATCATCGTACTATAGCATTGATGGATGGCCTCCATACAACCAACACCCGTTACATTGCCCCCTTTGCATCAGCTCACCGACAGCCTTGAACTAGCAGCTCCCAAGATTTCAAACATTCGATCTCGACGATTCCACATCTGGCCGTTCTTAATAATTCGCCGCAAGGCTAGGCCTGCTCCTGGCGAGGCGCTGCGCTGTTTTTTACGGAACCGGCGGGGCGCTGTTCGCTTCCAGGGACGGGAATTCGCCTCCCAACAAACGCCCGGCCGCCTCTGCTGTATTATTATCCAACTCCACCGGCGTTGGCCGGCCGTGGTCAAGCATAGGGCGGACAGAAGAAAAAAAAAGGGACATGTCAGGTTGCCGCCCAGCGTCTATCAGGGCAAAGATGAGGTCATGGCAGCATGTTCTTGGAAACCCCGAGCGAAGGAAATAACCATCTGACAAAATGCCGCCATCCGTTTCATGGCTCATGGCTCACTGCTCATGCACACGGCCCATAACCTGAGCCCATCCCACGTTTCACCGGTGCTGCCGCGGCCGTATTATCAGTTTTCTCTGTCTTTTTGTTGGCCGTTAGACTGCCACAGGGGGGGCCAAATCCCATCATCAACAAGCCAAGCCGTCAAAGACGGAGCACTTTGTCACCGCGAAGGCCGCTCTCGGACAGCGGCCGTGGCGGCAGTGGGATAATTAAGCAAATTCGCCCTTTGGCCAGATGATGCCGCACCCCGTGGCCTCGCCTGGCGCAGTGATACGCACTTTTTTCTCCGTGGGCATGCGGATATACACTTGATGACTTGATACGGCACGATAAGGGGGCAAACGGTGGCGTGTGCGAATTGCAAGTGGTGAATAATGGAAATCGCTCATCCAGCCGTTTCCCAAAGCAGTAGTCACGTCTCGTAATTGGCATTGCTAAGGGCCTAAATGCCTCTTTGTTGCACTCGGGTGTCGAGTTCACCGCGCGAGGTTGGCGATGCCCTCAATTTCTTCACCTTTACATCAACACGTCTGTCTGCTAGTGCTACTCGTACATGTTAACGAATCGGTCCCTGCATCCTGCTGCATCCAGGCGGCAAAGCTCGGCTGCCATCGCGCTTCCCCTAGGGCCTTTGCGGAATACAAGCGCCGGAGCGTTACGGCTTGTGGGATCTTGGAGAAGCCTGCGACCCCAGATCGCCCCATGGGCAGCCCGTCCGGCCCCGTTGAGATCGGGAGTTCCAGGAACCATCTGCGGTTGCATTCTCGTCTGCCCAGTACCGTGCCCTTCTTTAGCCGCGGCAGAGGCGCCGGGACGGACGTGCAGAGCCTTAAACTCTCCAGAGGCGACCAACGAGATGCTGCTTTGTAGATGCCCATCGGCTCCAATGTTCCCACTTTCACAAGTCTGCCCGGCACGAAAATTAAGCCACAAGAACGCGAGGGAGCGGCTCTACCCGCTCGCTTGCCTGCTCGCTCGGCTCTCACATAGACGGGTACTCTTTTCTCCTTGCCTGCTCGTCTGGCCTGAATCGTCATGAAAAATCAGCCGATGCTGTCCACGCACCTTCGTCTCCAGCTCCGCCAATAGCTCGGAACTCCACGCCTTGGCCAAAGTATCCAGCATCCTGCCAAGCTTTCATCGTGGGGCCGTCAAAAGGACCTTGCTTTGCAGCATTGTCACGCCCGTCCGTCCATCTAAACTCCCACTTGGTGCCGCTAGCTGGAGCAGATACGTCGTCGTCGTCGGCGGTAACAGGCGGCTGATCTTCCACTTTGGCCTCGACCCAATCTTCTCCAGTCTCCCGTCGATATTCACGAACCAACAGCTCTCTCTCTTCATCGTAGATCTCCTCGTGTCCGCGGCTCAGTAGTTTATCAGCCGCATCCGTAATGGCGTCGATGGCTTGCCTAACCTCGGCTTGTTTTGGATCGACTGCCGCTTCTTGATCTGTTTCCATAGCTTCTGCGCCCTTGTTCATCTTCTTGAGTTTCCACTTGGGGATCTTTTTGGTCTTTGTCTTGTCTTTTCCCAGCCGTGCTAGAGCTTCCAAGGGTGTTTCTGTTTTCTCTAGCCTCCGGATCAACGCTGCTAGCAGCTCTGAGACCAAGACTTCATCTTCCTGGATGCGTCTCTCTCGAGCTTCTGCCTCGCGCTTCTCATGCGCTGCTGCCGCCTTCTTCATCTCCTTTTTGCTAAAGCCTTCGAGCCAACTATCATGCATAGCATCTGGATCGTTAGCCTTTCGAACGTAGTTGCCATCTTGATCAAAGCGGCCCTCCTCCATTTCCTCTCTGAGGTTGAAAGCTTCCACTTTTGGTGCGTTGCGTTTTAGGCCGCCCGCTCCTACCTCTTCGTCCACTCCCTCTTCCTGGATCGCAAGCTCCAGATCGTCTTCGTCGTCGCTGCTTTCCCGCTCGTCCAGGCGGATGGTGCCGCCACTTTTGCTCATTGGGACTTGGCCTTCAATCTGGGCGTTATCGAGAAACTTGACGTCCTTCTTCTTCCTACCAGACTTTTCAAAGTGTTCATCCTCTCCATTCGCTTCTTCTTTTCCTGGCTCGTCGTCGTTTTCGGCCGCGAACATGTCGTCATCGTCGTCATCTTCGTTGATAGGTCCGCCTGACGGTTCCTTGTTGCTGCCTCCTTTGGCATCGTAGTTGTCTAGCTGCTCTAGGATATTGACAGTTCCCTTCTTGCGGCTGCCTGCTCGCGCGTTGAAATTCTCATTGTCTGAATCACTGTCGTAGCCGTCGAGGTTCACAGCACCTCGTTTCGTGGCACCGCTGCCGCCTATGACGTCGGCGTCGAGGACCGCATCGTCTTCTCGCGCATCTGGAGCCAAGATGGACGGATTGCGCACATCAAACTTGACTCGCTTCGTGTCCTCCTCGTTGTTATAGTGCGTTCGAGCAAAGTTCTCGCCCGCTCGCTTGGGCCGCGCTGCAGAGTATCGAGAAGACATGACGCCTTGAGAGGACAGAATGGCTCGGCCGATGCGCCCCTTGTTCTCGCGTCGTGGGCAGAGAAGCAGGTCAAAAGAGCCGGCCAATTATAGGATGCCTCTAGAGATAATTGTTAATGATATAATTAACCAGAGATGACGTGTTGAGAGGGCAATGAGTGGCGCGTGTTAGCGCAGGGAAGCTCGATGACCGGGATTAACTTTTTGGCGTTGGTCGCAGCTCTACAGTACGACAAGAGGTACCTGCGTCACTCAACAGCTGCCTCCACTGCTAACGAACCCCACGTCTTCCGCCTTTCTCGACTTTTGACTTGCACTTTATCAAGACAGTGAACACGCTGCAGGAACATCAGTCACGTCGAAAAAGTTATTCTTGTTCTTTAGGAATATTTGGAGAGGTTGACTTGACCGTGCTAATCTCCATCTTCCCTTGGGCCTTTCTATAATCTTTCTGCCAGTCAGCCTCGTGTCATATTCGCCTGCTGCCTACCTACTACTACGCCATGATGGTGAGTTTGGCACATCGCCTCCCATAGTTTCTGTTGACTTCTGCTAACATCTTGCAAGTCTGGCTTTGGTGGCTACGATCCCGGAAATCCGGAACACCTCTACAACATGGCACGCCATGGTCGACGACCCATAATCCAGCGATTCGACGAGTATTACAGATGCTACCCCCTCATCATGGCGCCGGGCAGCGAACGGCCAGAGCTGAACTTCGGTTCCAAGATCATTCTTCCGCCATCGGCGCTGGACAAAGTCTCTAAGCTTCACGTCCAGTGGCCTTTGCTGATGGAAATGATCAACGGCGAAAAAGGCAAACACTCGCATGCCGGTGTTCTGGAGTTCATTGCTGAGGAGGGTCGTGCATATATCCCCCAGTGGGTAAGTTGTTGGATGCTCTAGACCACTGCCTTCTCTTTGTGTATAGACTAACCATCGACAGATGATGGAAACCCTGAGCTTGGATGTGGGCGACATGATCCAGATTCGAACGACTTCGCTGGAGCTTGCTAGAATGGTCAAGCTGCAGCCACAATCCGTCAACTTCCTCGATATTAGCGACCCGAAGGCGGTTTTGGAAAAAGCATTCAGAAATTTTGCAACCCTTACAAAAGGCGATATTTTCAACTTTGAGTACAATGACGAGGTCTACCGAGTTGCGGTCCTAGACGTCAAACCGGAGACGGACAAGATGGGTGTCAGCATGATTGAAACCGATGTGTCGGTTGAATTTGCGGCCCCTGTTGGTTATGTCGAACCTGAGAAGAAGAGCGGAACCAGCACACCAAGGAGTACCATGGGCGGCGTGCCTGCTGGTGGTGTTTTGCACAGTCAGGGGACCATGGCTCAGGCCATCAACTACAACTCTATTGCTCCATCAGTCACCAGCGCGCCGACCAATTTCCTTGGAGAAGGCCAGCGATTGGCCAAGAAGGGAAGCAAGACTGCAACACCGAAGCCTGCAACGCCAGTACCGGTCGACACAACCGCGGCCCCTAGACGACGAGACGGCGCTCCCGTACCCCTTCGTCTTCCTCCCAACAAGCTTTTCTTTGGATACGAACTGAAGCCACTGAAGACGGATGCTGAGAAGGAGCAGGATAAGGAAAACTCCTCCAAGCCCCATTTTGCTGGTCAAGGACAGAGCCTGCGTGGAACTACCAAGAGAAAAGGAGATGCTGACGACAAGTCGAAAGCTCCAGACAAGAAGGGACCAAATGATGGAAACAGGCTAGATGGCCGGCGACCACGATGAAGGCGCTTCATTGTTGATGCTTTTAAACTTGCAATGTGGCGTTGGGGCTGGGAAATTGTGACATAGTATGGTTTGATGAATCGCAGCATAGAAATCATAGCTCTATTTTTCGCAAAATTTATATCATGATTAACTCCATTTATTTGGTTCAATGTAGGAAACAGTTCGCCTCCAACTAAGCCCTGTCAAAAACATGGACGACTGCACATGCACATACCTGCACTAGGCCAGATTTTGGGCTTCCCTCTGTTGGGCAAATTCATACGAAAAGTGTTCGTTCACCAGAGGAGTAGATTCATCAAATGCTTTTAACGATTCAAATTTCAGAACGACTAAGCTTAAAGCAGGCTCCCTACAGTCTCATCCAGATCTTCAGCCGGCATATGATGTCCGTTAAATAACCACCCTATTGCGAAAAAATCTCAAACTAAATAGCACCCATATTCTCGACCCCATTGCGAGAGATAAACCGAGTAGAATAAGCAAAGCCAAGAACTATCAAGGCTTGGTGTCAGAGCCCTCGGCCTTGAACTTCTCTTCGCTCTCGTCGTCGCCGCTGAGACAAATGTGTGAGCCAGCTGAACTGTTGAGAAAGGGTAGATGGGATTTACATACCTCTGAGAGTCAGCCTCTTCTTTCTTCAAAGTGGCGCTTTTGTCCTCCTTCTTGGCCTTCTTGCTTGGAGTGGCCTCGAGATCGTCGTCCTCTTGATCTTCGGTGTCCTGGCCCTTGGCGGCCTTCTTGGTTCGCTTCTTGGAAGGGGTGGCAGACTTGCGAGGGGTCTTGGGCTTGGTGGCGCTGGCGGGAGGAGTTGCGGTGGTGTCGCCTTCGGGGTGGCGAGCGCGGAACTCCTTCAGGATGGTCTTGCTGAAGTGCTGGCTGTGTTGTTGAAGGATATCTCTGTTAGCTTCTGATGTCCAAGGTATGGGAATGTAGGAATCAAACTAGATATTGGGAGAGAAGCATGAAGCGATGCCAAGGGGGGAGAAGTTAGACGTACGACATTGCGTCCTTGGTAAAGGTGTGACCAAGGTTGGTCATGATCTCCTCGACGCGAGGCCAGTTGTAGCTCTTTTTGGCGCCATCTTGGTTTGCCTGAATGATGGCGACGCAGAGGTCACGCTCGGCAGAATCATCCCACTTCTTTTCAACAGGGGCCATGATGGATATGAGTAGTGATGTAGGGGAAAGTAGTAGAGTTGCTTTGTGGGTGATTGGGTCTGATGCGAGTTGCAAAGAGTGCAAAGTATTGCTGCTTCAGGTTCTGATGTGGAGTGAGGATGGAGAGAAGAAGAGAGTGGAAGAGTGCTCGAGCCTATGGGGTATAAGTAGGTGGTCGAGTTTGGGCAGCAGAAAAACAGGGCGGTGTAAATTAGATTGCTCAAGACTTGTAAACAAGTCTTTTTGGGGCACAGAATCGTGGTATCTCTCTCTTCGTTCACTTTGATGTCAATTGATAGTTTCCTGCTTATAATCCCTTCAGATTATGTGTGCTCATGCAGTGATTACGCCTAGTCTTTTGCATAGTGATGCTTGAATAATGCATATGTGAGCCAAAGTTGAGCTATACATACAAGCGGTGAATGCTTCTTTGGGTAGAAGATGCATAGTATAGGCGAGAGTGTGTTGATTCACTTTTGACGGTAAGTAGGTGGCACTACTCCCATCCAGAATCAAGCATACATTTCATCGTAACGAACCGTCATTAAATACACTGCATACGAATACAGCTAGGAACATTAACGAGTCTATTAGCTAGTAGTTTGGTGATTTATGCCTACAAGTGGTAATCCGTTCAGGATACTGCGTCTCTAACGTGAAGCGTTCTATGTCTATAGTGCCGTAAAGCATAGATATCTGTAGGTATTGGTTATCGATCACTCCAATCTAAAGGTGGAATGGATGGCTAACTTGTACGCTGAACGGCTGCAAGCATGTAGGATAATTGCGCATATCGACATTCAATATAAATCTCATATCATAGTAGGCTTGTTCAATGCATAGAATGCGTTATGGGCAGCTCCTACAACTAAGTAGACAATTATCTTGTGAGTAGAGAGCCTATGCGCACTCTGTAAGATACAGTCCACTGGTTATGAATTTGGAGAGAAATGTAGTCAAAGATTAAATTCTTGCGTTGCAGATATTTCCTGTCTAGAGAAGACGGTATATACTTGCTTAAATGCCCATTTTTTGTCCCCCAATGTAGATGCCACTCAACCAGCTAACCCTTTCTCCAATCCTTATCCCATAGCCTGCAGGGTGTCCACTGGTTTTAACCGGTATATAAAATCCCAAAAGAGTGGCATCCATGTGAATAGCTCTCAAATCAGCTTAATAGTCATCCTCGAGCTTGGGCAAATCGTCCATGTCATCGTCCATGGTCCTATACATAGGAGGGACATTAGTAACGTGCCATTTACGTTATCAAGGAAGACAAGAAGCTCTGAAAACTTACGAAGCGACAGATTTGGCGCGCTTAGAAGGGCGGATAGAGGGGCTGCGCATCTCTTCGTCTTCAATGGCTTCCTCCAGCTTGAGGTTCATGTCATCGTCCTCATCAGTGATCATCTCCTTCTTGGGGGTGCGGCGCTTGCGAGGAGTCGCCGACTTTCGAGGAGTAGGAGTCTTGGCGCTTCCAGCACCAGAGTCCGTGGGGCCAGTGAGCGCAGTCGTATCACGGTTCTTGCGCAATTTCTGAACATGCTGACTAGAAAGACAAGATGGGTTAGTACGAGGAGGTGTCACAGGACTGAAACAAGAGAAATTGTGTACTTGATTGCGTCGTAACTGTAGGAGTAGCCCCGAGCCTGCATCTTTCGCGTGACCTCGGTCAAGAAGGCCTTGCCACCCTTGACTTCATCAATGACGCAGAGGAGGAGGGCTTCATGAGCGGCGGCATCCCAGCCACGAGTAGGCTTATTGCCGGAAGTTGAAGCATTGCCAGACTTTGGCGTTCCCATGGTGATTGCAAAATAAAATGATCAAGTGGCACGAACTTGTGAAAGAGAATGGAGAGTGATGAGAGGTGAATGGACTTGGGGTGCAGGAGTTGGGATACAAGTTTATAGAAGTAGGGTGAATTGAAGAAATGCAAAAATGTAAACAGAAAACAGCGGGCAAGAATATATAGGTGGTAGTAGATTATTCTGCCGGTTTTTGGCTCTCCGCCAACTGGCAGTGAAGTGAAGTGAAGTGCAAGCGTATAAGGAATTCAATGCAGACTTGGTACTAAAGAGTACATAGGCGAATAAACCTGGCATACCGAAGTGCACTCTCAGAAAAGGTGTAGCCCATTTCCTTGAGATCATTCATCACCTTTGCCCAATCCTCGGTAGATAGAGTCAAGTTGTAGAACACAGAGACTAGGATATCCTCGTGAACTTGAGGGGTCCACTTCATCAACTGGCGAGAAGAAGCCATTTTTGGTGCTGCAGATGATGTTCGTGGGGAGTGATGGATGGTGTTGAGAGGGAGAAGAAAAGTTGTAAGAGACAAGGAATTTTGCAGAAGGTTGTGAGTGATGAAGATGATGGCTGTAGATAGATAGAGAAGGTGGTGAAAATGGTAAAGAGGAGGAAAGTGGTCAAGATGTGAAAGGTATAAAAGGTAGCAGAGGGAGCAGGAATTAACAGGGCTTGCAAAAAGTGAATGAATATTGAAGATGCAGTTGAAGCCCGTAGAATGGAATAGAGGGTACAAGTTATACCTCGAGATATATAGCCTTGATCAAGGCTGCCAGGCAGTTCGAAGGAGAAAATGAAGGGTTAGGAAGATAGTATCTAGGAGCAACAAGAATTCATAAGAAATCTAATCTTACCGTATGGCACTCCACGAGGTTACATGCCCCTGGGCGGTCATAAAGGCGACGACCGCTTCATTGGTCTGCGTATTAAAGTTGCCCGCCTGATTGCCCACCTGATAAAAGGCGACGAGAAGATCGTTGAGCAACGCAATATTGTCCCAAGTCCCAGCAGGCTTGGAAGAAGAGCCCGCACCCGAGTCTGGGGTAGTCGCAGAAGCAGCAGCTTTGGGAGCCATGGTGCGTTCTTGTCGGGTTGGCAATCGTACTCGTTTGTTTTCGGCGTTGGTTTTCGAGGTTGGAGATGGTAGGTTGAGCAAGAGGATGCAATGCTTGCCGGCTGCCTGATGCAACTTATATGGCGGTTGGAAACTGGCCGACGATGGGGAATCGGAGGGCGGTGAATTCACTTTAATGGAAGCTCACATTATGCTCGCACCCAATACATGCCGCACTCATTTGGAGGCGGCTACCCAGCCAGCATTACTCGTACAGGTTTATTACTAGCCATTGGAACTTTCGATGGGCAATATTAATGAGCGGCTGTTCTGCACCCAAGTGATGACAATATTTAGTTTCGCATAACGAGAAGCAGACTAAAAATCTCCCTTTTAGCCACGATGCTACCAATACAGTTATACTGACTGCTTGGTATGTATACGAACCCAAATGATTAATAAATCCTTCGTTGCTCTAGAAGCATACTTTATAATCGCCGAGGCACAGAATACACGATGAGGTTCTGGATAGTCATTGCAATCTATTAGTGTTATCTAAGGTGTAAACCAACTGGCATAAGGGGAAGAGACTTTGAGCTCCAAGTCCCCAAACACTCCTAAAACACCCGACCCAATCATTATATATCCATCTACACCCCCAATTGCTTGCCGTTCCACTCCTCATACCACTTCAATTATGTCTCTACCTAGAGATGAAGTTATAGTCCCAATGAGTCAACTCCACAAGAAAACGCTAAGACACCTGCCAAAGGGGAAAAGTAGACAAAGGGGAACAGAGACATTCAACCAACCCGCTAAGCACGCCCAAATCTAGCAAATATGCTACCTCTTCCAAATGAGATAATCATTCCATTACACAGATACTCCATTTAACGTCAAGCTTCAGATCTGGCCATCTCGGAATCCAAAGCTAACGCAATCTGTTAGTATTGGCCGCAATTATTAAAGCATTCGTAAAACTTACTCTGCGGGATACGGATCTGTGCCGTCCGCGCCGTTATGGGCGGCCAGCGCCAGCACAGCTTCGTCATCGAGAGCCGAATCTTGGCCGAGGTCGTGGGGGTCTAATCTTTGTCGTTTGGAAGGATGTTCATCTGTATCTTCCTCTTCTTCTTCTTCTTCATCATCACCACTTTGCACAGCGTCCAGTTGGAGCTGTTCTTGAGAAGTTGTCGATCCGGGTTCCGATCCAATCAGATGGTTAGAAGCGATATCATTCGGTGTCTGAGCAGAGACAGAGATGCCATCAGCATCATGCATCTCCGTTTTGAGCTGCGGCTGGAGCTGCGATTGGTGCTGCTGCAGTTGTTGCTGGAATTGGTGTTGCTGTTGCTGTTGAAATTGGTGCTGGTGCTGAGGCTGAAGTTGTTGAGCTTGAAGTTGCTGAAGTTGTTGTTGCTGAAGCTGCTGTTGCTGCTGAAGTGGCACAGCAGAAGCAGCCATCACCGGGCCGTGGCCTGGCATAGGACTAGATACGACAGCTCCGGGGAGCACCGCCGGGACAGCAGTAGAAACCGTGGTAGGTACGCCAGCAGCAAGACCAGTTGGAGAGTTATCAGCGGTATTTGCGTCAGGCTGATCGGACTCCTGGGCCTGTGACTTTCTGGGGCGGCCCCGGCCAGGCCCCGGTCTTCTAGTGATGGGATTCAAGGTTGGGTCAGCTCTTCTAGCACTTTCAGAGTGACTTCCGTCCACTTCGGCCTTGTTTTGTGCTCTCCTGAGACCCTGAAAGTGTTGCCTGCGATCTTGTCAGCAAAGGATAAATCAAGTAGAACAGAAGTAGCGTGAAGACGGAGTGTGGATGAAGGGTAGGTATATTATAGATATGTACATATATCAGTATAAGTGGCAGAGCCTAGTGTAAGCGGGAATGGTCATGCTCGGATGTCGAGGTACGATCGACAACACGCCGGAATAACAGTTAGATGCGCATCTAGAGAGAAGTGTATGGCCAACCGAAGATGATCTTTGCACGTGATGTGCTCATTTCCATCCAGTCAAAGCCCAGATACTCGCGATAAGATATTGAAACAGAAAAAAAAGGCACGATGCGAAAATGATGAGAAGTATAAGAGACACCTACCGGCATCCTTCATTGGTGAAGCCATAGCCGAGGCCGCGCATATGATTGCCGATGGTTGTCCATTCCGCGCCACTGATAACGCCTATGTTCTTGACGGACAAGATGGTGAAGAACAGATCTTTATCTGCCCTGTCATTCCAGTTTTTGTTCATACCTTAGTACTATTGAAGCAATACGATGAATATGAAATAAACCGAAAGAAAACAGCCAAATGGCAAACAATAACACAAGCTTGAGCCGGGAAGGCGGTGGGTCGATGAGCCTCTAGGCCGGATTGTCTTGGTGACCTGCGGTGAGATAGAAGCTGTTAAGAGCAGAGGGCAATCAATGGCAAAATTGGTAGTGGAAGAATGGGGTACGGAGGTATAGCAGAGAAGGATGTTGGGGAGCCGTGGAGTAAAGGGGCCCGTGCATAGAGGCGACAAGATAGCCGGATGGCGGATCAACGGTTAATCCGGGCGATTGGAGCTGAGTCGGAGCTCAGCTAGAGGTGTCGGGCATGTTGTACCATGGCGCTGAAACACGAGCAATGCGACGGTGGTGCAGATGCAAGCTCTAAATTTCCCTTTGAACAACCTCTACGAAACGGCCTCTAGCTTGTCTGCCGTAATTACAAGCTCCAGCGAGGCCTGAGAGCGGATTGTAGCAATCTTGGAGACAACGATGCTGGGACTTAGCCGACATTGACACGGGGTTTACCCGTCAAAGTTTCATTTTAGCGGGGAACGAGAAACAGCTGAGGTACGTACAGTTTAACATGTGGTTCAAGCCGGGACATTCAGCGGTCGAACGATACGAATGCGTCGGACGAAAAGTGGTGGCTCGCCATTGATGCAATTGGCCACGACGTAATGATGGAAACGGGGGAATGAGTCAAAGTCGGAGCGACATTACTAATTCGCTCCAGATAGACTAGATCTGCACTTGATGGGGAGCTGCTGCAACAGCCTTCTGGATTGAGTAGGGCTGCTTTGCGCTTTGTGCATGGCTCGTACATACGAGGACCTCAGATGCCTTGGAATTACAAAGTATGGGGTACAAGGTGGGTATTCTATTACCTGGACAAGTTTGAGGGATGAGTAAGAATGGACAAGGGAAGATGCAGCAGCAGTTGAGACGGACAAGCAACACACAAGGTAGTACCTCTGTACCTGAACTGCACAAGTACTCCGTGCTGGGTAAAATTACAAGCGATCGATGCATCGCCAAGGGGACTTCGTAGCTGAAATACTCGATGTAATCCCGACGTGACCCCGGCAGCAGCCCGTGTCTCCCTCCCTTCTCAAATCTCAGCCAAGCAGCAAAAAGCAAAGGCAAATATGATAAAAGCCAAGGGAAAGCCTCGAAAAAGCCCATCACGGCATCCGGACCAATAGATACGAGTACGTCATCATCCCTGGTTGGTCAGCGGCCCCTCTCGCCTCTGGTTGGTCAGGACTGGTCACTCTTGGTCAGTGAAATGTGGAGCGGGTCTCACGTGCTTTCGCGGAAACCTGGCGATGCTCCTGGTGGCTCAGCGTCGTCGCATCCCCAAAAATTCGCGCCCCATCGCGTCTCCCCGACGCACCTCATCCGAATCCCCTCCACGACGCCCGCGACCGCTGCGACGCCAGGATGCGACCATGGACACTTTTGGAACCGTTTTCAATGAGTTTTAAATCTGGTAATTCGTTATGAAGCAAATTTTCCGCGTTTCTTCTCGTCCTCTGGTTGTGAAATCAATTCGCAAGGAAAACACAGTCGCTTTGGTTGCCAGAGCGCAAAAGTTCGCCCCTCTCTGCATGACACCCGCTAGCTCCGAGCAAGCACAAGGGCGGCCAGAAGAAAATGATCGGTGAGGATGGGAATGGGCTGCTCGTAATATTTCACTACACACACGGCCATCTCGATTGAGGCAAAGGGAGCGAGCGAGCGAGAGGGTTGATGCAAGCGTAGGTAGAGCAAGTCCGTACTCGTAGACGCAGAATTGAACAATTGCATCACCATATCCCAAGGCGATAGACAGGTCTATCATGCAGCATATCAATCACTCAAAAAGCAAGGGGCTTTTCCTCTGCTTTTCTATGAATTGCATACAGCCTTAAGTCTTACAAGGAATTAAGTGGCATTGAGAACCATTGCTTGGTTGGGTCGCCGAAAGAAGCTTCTTCTATCGCAACGCCCCTCCTGAGCAATTTTGCCAGGCTACGCATTAGTGTTTGCCTCTTCGTTGTGGGAATTAGATGAGTCACACGGGGTTTCAGTCTCTCATGCCGGAAGAGAGATCCCTGCTTCGTCTCTTTTTGACTTTTCTTTTTCCTACGAGTTGTCTGTGATTTGCTTGGCCGTTCGAGTTTGCTTTTTCCTTGGGTTGTAACGATTGGAATTTGGCGGGAGTGGTCACTCGGTAATACTTTGTACCTACAAGGGTTTGAGGTGGCAATTCCCATCTGATCCACGCAGTTGCATACAATAAAGCTTATCCGACAGAAAAAAATGAATCAAGAGGAATCAATTCATATAGAACCATTTTCTTCTTCTTCTTTCTTTTATTTGACTTTGGCTGCAAGAACCATTCATTGTTCAATAATATGATGCACATCAACCCCGACTCTAGCGGTGGCTTACAGGGAGCCACACCCGCTAACAGCGGCCATTCAGCGCACCCCCCAATCCCTGTTAGCGGGCGACGTCCACTTTAGGCGCTGCAGCCCCCGTCAAACCCACTGTGCTCCATCGCTATCCCTCGAGCCGGAACGGCGCCAGATCCAGGCAACAACAGGCCCTAGGCCAGATGATATCTGGTTTGGTCTTAGACAACGCTCGGGGGGCGTCCATTCGGCATGCGGATTTCGCAGCCCGGTGGGAAGTTGGGGGAGAAAAAGGAAAGCAAAAATGAACGAATGTAACACAGATGGACGGGGCCCGCTTGGTTCCTGGATCCTTGCAGGAGTGAGTCTATCGTGCTTGTGCTTGTGCCGCTAAACTGTCAGGCTGAGGCCGTTCATAAGAGAGGCCTTGCCTCCTCCTTGTTCCTGATCTCTTCCTCTCTCCTCTCTTTTTCAAGATTTAGTCATCTATGAGTGTGAGGTCGAAGCCTTGTTATTCTTCTGTTCACTTTTTTCTTCTTGCCTGAGGAACTATACGAAGAAAAAGGCCAAGCCCAAGCCTCACTTCTGCCTCACTTGGACTTTGATCCGCTCATTGTTCACGCACATTCAAGTCGCCTCCTTCCGTCCATGACCTCAGCCTCCCTCGATCGGTTAATCTTTTTATAAGTTGGTCTTGCAAATTTTCGACCGGACGACCAATCTTTTCCATCTTTCTTCCTTTCATCTTTCTTCATTGCTATACCTCATACCACAAGTCTACTCTCGAGAGCCTCCTCTTCTCCCAACCGCTCTTCACTCCGACGTATCCGCCCGATATCAACTTCAGATTCAACACCAGCTCGCCATCATGTCTCCTAACAGCGATAATGCCATGGCTCGCTTCTTGTTCGCCATCTTGAAGCAGAAGAACCTCAAGGATGTAGGTTCATGCTTCTCTGCCTTCGCCTGATCAAGCCTCTCTAACCCATTCATCTCTAGATTGATTGGAGTCAAGTGGCAGCCGATCCCGTCCTCATCGAGCCCATCACCAACGGCCATGCCGCGAGAATGCGGTACTCCCGCTTCCGAGCAACCGTCACCGGCCACACACCGTCAAAGAGAGGTCGGCCATCAGAGAAGGCAAAGTCAGGCAAGGTGAAGAAGGGTGTGCAGGCAAAGAAGGAGAAACCAATCAAGCAAGAGCCGGTCTCAGCAAACGTCTCTTCGTTCGCTCAGGTAAGACCTTCGGACACCACAGCAGCTGATACGTGTGTCTAACCTTGCATCGTCAGTTTTCTCCTGAATCTCTCGCATCACTCACATCACCTTACATGGATGAATGCGACGATTTTGACCCTCGCTTCCTCACACCCTGCAGCGAAGACATGACTCAGGGACTGTCCATCCCTCCATCTGCTCTCGATGACATCCGACATACGAACGGATTGATGTTCCCACCTCTTGGTGGCAACTCAGACTTTTTGAGTCATGCTGGCCATGACCATGCCTCTACCTCTGCATTTGACGCCGCCTACGACCTGAACTTCGGTTCGGGAGATCTTCACAGCCAGGGCCTATCTCTCTCTGGTGGATCACAGCCTCTCGGTGACTGGGATGATCGATTGAACGACCAGCAATACTAAATTCGCTTTGATTTCGAGATGGCACACTACGAATACGAGATAAAACCTCCAAAAAAAGAAGACGAGGGAAGTGCAGAGAGCGACAAAATTCCTTTTATGACTTGATGATACTGGCCACGGTTAGTGGTTAATTGGTTTGGGCAAATCTCTTTCATCTCCAAGGAGAAGATCGGATCGGTTGGGAATTAGGGACATCTAAAAATGATTACAGAGGGGGTTTATAATGGCATGTGTATAATAGTGAGGACGAGGTGGATGAGCATATCCGTCTCTATTTTTCCATCTTTCTCGTTCTCTTTTTTCTTTTCTTTTTCTTTTTACTTCACATTGGCTCTTGCTATCTTGCTATCTTGCTACCTGATACTTCTCTTTTTTCTTTTTTTTTCTTTTTCGGCTATTTAGATACCAAGATGATATGGTAGAAACCAATACTGATTGTTGACCGCTGAACATAGCTCGCATATGCCTGTGACTTTATAATGCAAGATGTTTATAACCGCGACTGAATCTTGGTTTACACTGATCTACAAGATAGTATTCATGTGTGCCGGTATGTTGCATACTTCTCCGTAATTCTTCTTAACCATCAATATCATCTTGTGCTCCCCAATTCTATCCCTTTCTTCATGCAAGTAGCCACATTCAGCTCATAAAGCCCCAATATTGTTCTGATGCTCTCCCAGCTCAGGATATTGTATCTGCTGCTTTAATTATTTATAAATCACTCAGTGCAGCTAGATTTTCCTAGGTAGGCTTCATAGGGAGGGGAGGTGGCCTGCCAGTTGTAACAGCTGTCACCAGGCTGCCAATTCGCCTATCACTCAGAGTTCCTTCGAGAGCATTCCAACTGCTGTGGAAATCAAGAATTTTGTTTTATTCACCAGCCTTGCTGCATTTCGCACCCCCTTCACATCTCCTTCTTCCTTTCCCTCCTACTTTCACACAAGCACATCTAGGCTTTCGCACAGCTTTTGCAAGACGCACCCTCTCATCATCAGCTATCAAGTAAGCAAATCGTTTATTTCTTCAGTGTAAAGCACAAGTAGTATCTCCAGCTTGTGCCTTGTCTGCTATACCCAATTTCGTATGGAATCAACACTGACAATCGTCCGCTGGCAGTTCTTCTCGCAACCAACATTCTTGCATCGTCAGAGTGAGGCCAACATGTCCGACAAACGCGAGCCAACGGCTTCTGAAGCCATGTTCTTCTTCGCCATCGTCAAGCATACCCGCAACAGAGCGGACATCGACTGGGATGCCGTTGCCCAGGAACAAGGTTTCAAGAACGCCGAAGTCGCCAAGGTTTGTCTTGCTCACCTCGAATCCCGCTCTCATTTTCTCTTTTTCTATTTCCCATTTGACTAATGACGTGTGACACAGGTTCGCTTTGGACAAGTCAGACGCAAGCTCGGCATCAGCATCGATACGGCCACTACTCCAAAGAAGGGCAGCACTTCTTCTGCCGCCTCTACCCCAAGCAAGGTCCGCAAGACGCCTACCAGCCGCGGCAAAGGAAAAGGCAAGGGCCGCGGTGGAGTCAAGAAAGAAGAGGAGGTTGAGACTGGTGCGGGAGCTAGCATGGGAGCTCCTGGCGATGACATGGATGACATCAACCCCTTTGATTCGTCTCCCATCAAAGGTGACAACGTCGACCTCAAGGCGGAAGACCATGAGGATCCTTTCTAGTCTCCAGGATGGCCCATCTTTGGAAATTCTTTGAAAGATTGGTATCTATTGCTGAGAGGATTCGACTTGTTCTTTGGGCTATAATCTACTTTCATCGAGACTGAGCAGCAAAGTAGCTGAGAGAGTAGCTACAAGGAAGGAGTTGAGACAGACGTGGAAATTGGGGGAAGCTATGGGATGAAGCAACAGATTATCTAGTTGATATAGGGTGACAGTCGAATGAAGTTGCTTTCGGATCTTGATCGTACCAATCATCGCTCGTAGAATCCGTAGTACAGTTGCACATATCAGAATCACTTATCACGATTTTTGGACTCCTAATTCCAGATCATCTCCTCGCTATTGAGATATCTATTTGACCTAGATTCAGAAACATCTCCACAACAAATTTCATACTTACTTTTACCTCTAGTTTAGGCATTGCTTTTGTATCACCTGGGGTGAATGCCCTAAGCTCTTCAATATGTCTCTCTAGCGGCAGCACGCATACACGAAAAAGCAATCTCGAAGGCCATCTAGGCAGCCTTATAAAGACCGGACAACGCAGACACGGGTGGCCAAAAACGAGGTGTCAAGTATTGCTCTGCCAGTGCATCATTGCGGCCACCTGGCAAGCAGCAGGTGTTAGCAAACTGATGCGCTGTGTACTTTCTCTGCTTTCTCTTGATAACTGGACTTTTATCTCCTATAAAAGTCGATCCTGGTTTCCCCCGCAACCAAGCTTCCTCTTCTTCTCGTTTGCATCTGCATCCACCATCCACTTCTCTTCCCACACCATACTTGTTCGTCTTGTGAGACCTCAACCAGGATCTCTCGTCCAGCTTCATCGTTACAAAGCAACAAATCAATTCCCACAAACACACTGTAAGATATTTCCTCTTTTGCTGCATCATCTCATACCATCTGACCAGGAGCAGACCATCAACCATCATGCCTGCCAAGAAAGCTGACAGCTCCGACTCGCCCTCCGTCACCACTGGTCTGCGTGAGAACGAGCTTCGATTCATCAAGGCTGTATTTGACAACATGACCCAGAAGCCTGACGCCGACTGGGGCAAGGTTGCTGGTGACTTGGGTCTCAAAGACGCCAAATGTGCCAAAGAACGCTTCCGACAGATGTCTGTCCGCCACGGCTGGCGTACCGGTGCCCCCAACGGTAGCCCCAGCAAGGGAAAGAAGAATGACGTGACTGGTCCCTCTGGTGATGGCAAGGTGACCAAGAAGCCGAAGGCTAGAACCCCCAAAAAGGCTGTGGCTAAGAAGGAGGAGAGCGAGGACGATGATATTAAGGATGAGGACGACTATCTTAAGTCGGAGGAAATTGAGGGGGATGCCTATTTCTGAAAGCACGGACGAGACGCAATTTGGTTGTTGTTGTTGATATGACTACCATCTGATGATCTTGTGATTGGAGAGCCGTGATCATGGGACTGATAGGTATCTTGAGGCTGGGTCAGACAGGACAGTTGATTTGCAGGCGATATAACAGTCACTTTTTGAGGTTATATAACAGAATGGAATCCATGGATCAAGGATTCAATCATCAGTAGTCTAATTCGTGCAGTTTAGTTGGTGCTAGGTGTAATCTTCCTAGCCAAGCTCAAGAAAGCTTCCACTCCTTCTAATGCGCTGTTACGTATTTCCAATGTCTAAGCACAAGATCAAGAGAAGACATTGGTAGTAATTTTTTTCAAGTTTCAACTGCCTCTATACTGTAATCCTTACACAAAACAAAGCTCACTGAAAAAGANGGTCTCAGGTCACCTAGACGCACCGAGAGACTTGACACTCTGTTGCCAGGTGTCCAGGTGCCAGGTCGGTTGCCCCGACTTACAACTGGCCGGACGCCTTTGTTTTTATTCTTCGCTGCTCTGGGCACCTCTGACGCGTAATCCGTTTTATTTTGTTTTCTCGGAGACATAATTTTGTTGTGTGTCGTGGACAGTTGCATCTCTTCCTTCTCCCACACAACATCTCCCATTCCGAGTTTCAACCTTCTGCACACGCTTAGCTGCAATTCTCGATTGCAATATTTTCAACATTCTTGAAATCCTCTGTCTTGGTAATTATGATTTCCGTATTTTTGTATTTCTTTATTTCGTTTTCTTTTCCATTTTGGTTGCATTTGGCCTGATCACCTGTCCTTATCTCTCCACCAGAGCCAGAAGCGAGGCGGTCACTTGTCCAACATTCACAGCCCTCTCTCAGCTACATTTTCTTTACCTGCACCCTCCTACTCCAAATCCAATCCTGGGCCGTGTAAAGCCTGCGTCTGATCTGCCTGAGGCGTCCTCTTTTTTTCTTCCCTACCTACTCCATCTCTTCTGCATCCAAGTTTTCTCTTCGCCTCCCTTCATTGTCCCGTGTCACACTCTTGAGCGTTTCGATAGCAATCATCTCCCCAATTTGTTGCTTGCAATCCTCAATCATCAGACCTTGGCTCATCTTGCTTGTGTGTTCTTTTCTTTCTATCATCTTCCGTCTTGTTTACCCACAGTGTAGAGTCGCCTGCCATGTCCTATCATCTGACCTCTTCGTCCTTTGCCACCCTTTCATTGTCCTTCTCCTGTCATCCCATCATTATGCCTCTTTCATCCAAATATGCCACATGTTCCTAATCCGCTTATAGTCCCAAGGCTTACACGACCCTTTTCAACATCATGTCGAAGCAAGATCCCGCTGAGCAAGTTCGCTTCCTTGTGTCCTGCATTGGTCACACCACCAATGGAAGAGTAAGTCAGAAAAAAGCCCTTTCTTGTATCAATGTCTGATTTAGTTTTTAGCCTGATTTTACTCTCGTCGCTGAAGAGCTTGGAATCGTGTCCAAGGCCGCTGCGTAAGTCCTTCCTGCCCTCGCTCGATGAACTCATCTAACAACTATATGTTGTTCTTGAACAGCCAGAAGCGGTATGAGCGAATGCTCAAAGCCAATGGAGTGAACGCCTCCAAGCCGGCCGCTAAATCCAGCGCTGATGATGAAAACACCCCCGTTTCCACCCCGGTGAAGCGCAAGACTACTGGAGTTGCTAGAGGCAGCGCCCAAAAGAAGTCCAGGGCTGCCAAGAAGGAAGAAAGCGATGACGAGATGAAGGACACGAAGCCGACTCCCAAGGGCAGGGCTGCCAAAGCTCTCAAGAAGGAGCTTAAGAAGGAGCCCAAGATGGAGCCAAAGGAAGAGTGCGACTCTTCTCTCTCTGGTATGTTGCTGGCATGATCTTGTGACTCTAGATGACTTGGCTGACCTGACTGTGATTCTTAGATGCTCCCGATTCCGGCCGTTCTGACGCTGGCACAAGCTTTGACTCTGCCTAATCCCTTGCAGCTCCGCTCTCCGGCTATACTTTAAGTCATGATGAACATTGTGATACGAAGTTCGTTTCCTCGGAAGTATATAGGAAGCTCCGGAGATTTGAGAGGATGAGTACGTAGTTCGGGATTTGGGATATGAAGCAGGGCATTTGCCTGAACATTTGATTCAATACGGACATGCTAGGGATATTAGGTCTTCAATTGAGATGGCTATCATAGCAATTCAGATATTCTGTGAATTCACTTAGCTTAGTTTAATACAGGGTCTACGGCAGAAATCGCCAAACGGGTACATGCAATGATCACAGGTTCTTTTGCCTTCTTTTTTGACTCTAACCACGGCTATGATAACATCATCTTCAGATCAAATAGTGATCAAGTTTTCCAAATGCTTCAATCTTAGTCTGCACTACATCCCATGTCGGAGCCCGCTTCTCTCCGCTGGCAGCCCGCCAAGCCCACTCGTGATTCACTGTCACTTCAGAATCAGCAAACACCGACTCTCGGATTTCAATAGGCACAGTAGCAATCCTATTGGGTTCCCATTGTATTCATACCGCCTCAAATAGTCACTTTTCACAGCCGATAGCAGCTGACAAAATGGGACGTACCCATGCTCCAGAGGAGGGGAAATGGGGGTGAGGCCCCGCAAACGCAATGCAGCAGCTGCTGAATGGAATCTGTAGCTATTGTCACCAGCAAGATGGTATTGGGGACAATACACCAGAAAACTGACACTCAGTTCATTATCACCACCACAATTAGATGCTTGTTGTATTCTGGCAATCGGAATATCTCGTGCTGCTGCTGACACTAAAACCTCTTCTCTCCTCGCCACGATTGCTTTTCTAGTATCTCATCACAACTTCGAAGCTTCCAAAAAGCAAGCTGATATCATCTTTGCCAATCCCGAGTATCTTCATCCAAGTCCAATCCATCCTTTGATCCTCTTATACGAGAGCGAATATCATCTCAAGAGCTTCCAATCATTACGTCTTGCCCATCCACCATGTCTGGAACAGCTTCCTTCTCCAACGCAGGCATCGAGATACAATATCTCAACCAATCAGCTATCCCACGCTCGCCTTACACGCAAAAGATGAATCCCATCTTCGCCGGTCTTATTACACCTCCTGAATCTCCCATTCGATACGCCCAGCGGGACTCTCTTGATACCACCGCAGCTCACTCACCTGTTCTCTCAAATTTGGAGGCAAATCCGGCTCTGAGCTCTACGAACGAAGTCCAAAAGGCTGTGGAAGCTTTGTCTGTTGCTATCAGAAATGCAAGTGCTGAGCAAGATGCCAATTTCACCAAAGTACCGTCGACACCAGTGACTCCTGTTGACTTCGACAACATCCGCGAGGCTATCTACTCAATCGTCGAGAACACAGTAGAGGAGAAGATGGCCGATGCCATGGGTCCTCTGCGATTGAACATCAGCAAACTAGATGATTTGCAATCACATTTTCGCCGCGAGACTACCGACATACGAGATCAAAACGACACAATGAGCCGTCAGCTTGATCTTCACTATCGCACCGTTGAACAACATGCCGAGGAATTCAAATCCCAATCCAGGACTATGCACACTATGATCGGAGCTCAGGCTGACAATATCGCCGCCACCATTAACATGGTCAATCATCTCTCCCAAGTTGTCACCAACTTACCTCTCGCTATCAACCAAGTGGTCCACAGTGCAGTTCAACAGCAGACTCAGCTGGCCCTTCGAGACATCATGTTTGCTCAACAACAAGCCATGTTTTCCATCTCAGACGTCTCCAGGGCTCGGCAATCAGTGTCTAGTGATGGCCTCTCCAGCCAATGCACTTGCAACCACCATTGCTTGGAGATTGAGTCTATGGCATCAACGCAGCATGGCAGTGGCTCTCTCAAGCAAATTTCTCCCAATACTTCCTCCAAGTCAAATCGCGGCTTCAAGCATGCATTGAGGAGGTTATTCGGGTCTAACAAGTAACTCCACTTCTGCGATGGATCGAGTTGAGAGTTTCTTGGTATGGTAAAGGCATCTTGGGTGCAAGTGGGTAGGGGATTGTTATTTCCTGGGATACGGCGCAAAGGGGTTACTTTGGAAGGATACTGATGTAGATTATGTCTTCAATCTAACCTTGCTCGCTACCATCTCTATTTCTTTTCACAGAGCTTCCAGTGATGATGGTATTTACATACCACAGGTACCTACACACATGTACATCTGTGCAAGTCCCCAACGGCTACCACCAAGCTGCAAATCCCCCTTAACAGCACACAACACCAAGCAGTAAATCAACATTCACAGAAATTGTATATAATATATATTTCTCGTCATTAATGCTCTGTTCAATTGCATTACTACTAATTCCCATAGATGAGAAAGATGTCGTGTCCATCTGACAGTTCCCAAGCCCCCCAACCACCCCCGAAATTGCTGCCAGCTGCCAGACAGACAACCCACCCAGACTGGCGAAGTTTTCTGAATTTCTGAATTTTCTGAAATGCAAAACTTTGCATTTCCCTTTTGGGAAGATTTGGCTCACTTTTGTCTTTTCTCCCGCTTTTTCCCGTTCCTCGCTACTCTTCTTTCTTCCTCCCCAACATCGTCAGTCTACTAACCACAGCAGCACCAACGTTCACAACCAATTCATCTTTTGCAACAACGCATACAACAATTCAATTAACTGTAAGTGACTCTTTCCTGTTTTCAATGCTTCAATTGGCAGTTTTCTGCTGCTTTACAGCGGCAATTGGGCCTTGAGCAGCACAATTCCGCCAAGTTTCTTGCTTCTTCCTCTCCTCCAATCCCCCATCTCCAACACATATATGCCTTCCAATGCAGCACTAACAAGCATTTACTTCACCAATTAGACTCCAATTCATTGCCAATTGTCTTCTTCATACCTTCAAGATGGGCCTTCCAGAAATGAAGACTACTCCCAAGAAGAGCCAGACTGCGGCTCATGACCACCGCACTCCTTCCAAGGTGATGAAGGCTCAAATAACCCCCAGGGTCAACAAGCTCAAGACACCTGGTTCCACTCCCAGAGACACTGCTTACACTCACAATCTTCCCACTGGCGAGCAGAAGAAGGGCAATGGCCGAGTCACTGGCCGCAGCCTCATCATGTGGAACCGTAAGCTAATTGCATATCACAATCCCTTTGCTCAATTGACTTCTTCACGAACACTTGCACTAACTCTTCTACAGGTCCTCGCATGACTGAGAAGCTTCTTCTCCACATTCACTACGAATGTGTTCGTCACAAGGTCAACATTCCTTGGGATGCCATTTCTCACCGCCTTCGCCCCGGCTCTTCTGGCCAGGCAATCTTGCAGCATGTCAACCGCCTTCGCAAGGAACTCCTCGCTGAAGGCCACATGGTGCCTCCCCCTGCCCACAAGACCTCACCTTCCACTCCCTATGATCCCACCGTCCGAGGCTACGTCCGTGACCCTACTAGCGATGACAAGCGTGCCACTCGCTCAGTTGGTTTCGACGAGAAGCTGGATGATGCCAAGATCAACCTTCCCGATGCTTTTGACGCTATGGACGAAGGTGAAGACGAGTTCTTCCCTGAAGCCAATGGCGACGAGCTCTACAGTCCTGAGGCTGATGCCGATGTCATTGCCCTTGAGGACGATATCCCACTCCCAGTCACGCCGACTCCCGTCCGTCACGCAGCGCCTCGCCCCCCTGTGTCTGCTTCTGCTACTCAGTACAACCTGAAGGCCCAGAGCATTCAGCAAGACAACGTCGCTGCTACTCAACAGCTTGACCTCTTTGACAACAACCTATTCGCTGACATCACCCCTCCCAACTTTGTGCTCAACAACACTGAGGTAAGTTGACTCTCCAAACACAACCGCCAATTGACTTCACATACTAACAAAGTACAGGGACTGCAGCCTATGGGTATCCAGAACCCTATCGCTTTTACCAATGAAGCTCAGCTTTTGATGGGCGGAGCCAACTTGTTTGACCCTTTTACCACCCAGCCTCTCACCAAGCCCAGCCATGAGCAGATCAGCCCCTGCGGCCAGTCACCTCTTGGCAATGTTCCTAACTCTTTCTTCATGGGAAATCCATTCAACCTTCAATCCGGTGGCTTCTACAACAACTTGGCTCAGGCTAACTTCATGGCTCAGCCTAACCTCATGGCCCAACCTCCCTTTGGCTTCGCCATGCCGCCCACTCCTCCTGATCTTTTCAACCCTGAGGAGAAGGAGGAACCCCAGAGCTCCCCAGCTGCCAACGAACACAGAGGCATCTCCGTCTCGCCTGTGTCGTCCCCAGTTGCAGCCCAGCTGCCAACTTTCCAGCCAGAGACACTCCAGCCAGAGATTGAGAGCCCAGAGCAGCAGTTCGACGAGGCCACTGTAAGTAATTACCTTTCTTCCATCACCTCTCCTACGATCATCACCAGAGTTGTACTGACGATTGAAGCCTGCACTCCCATTTTCCGACGATTTTGTCGGCCACGAGCTCTTGCTCGAGTTCCTCGCCAACTCGGAGTAACCCAGACATCGCGTCACAAGAGTACAGGGCTTTGACCAACAGGACATACATGCCCACTCATGATCATCATTGAGAAAACAACAAAAAAAATTGAGAAGATAGACTGACTCGCAGCAAGGAACGGTGTGTCCCGTACACACAACAGTTCCAATGTTTCCTTACAATATGGTTCCTTTTATTTGTTTTTCCTTTTCTGTCAAAGATACCCGTCCCGCATCTCATCCAGGGAACGGGACACTGCAACGCAAGGCACAAGGCTTTCAGCTACTACGCCACGAAGATAACGATTTCAACTTTAGAAAACCAGATCAAAAAAACTCAGAAAACAGAGGAAGCAAAAAAAATCGGAAAACAAAAAAGACTCCAAAAAACAAGAAGCATCGAGAGGCGAGTTTTCTTTTACTGACTGCATGGCAACACGGTACGCTGGAGTTCGAGGGAAAGGCACAATGGACGGTACAGGTACTTTTTTTCCAATAGCGAAAAGCTCTCAACTGCCACTGGGAAAGCCCGCGCCTGCCACAGTAGCAAAACTTTAAGCAAGTGCGCAAGCCTACCTATCTATTCTTATTCTTTCTCTTCTTCACTTACCTCCTACTTAATGCTTTTTTCATCAACATCTGTCAATACTCTGCGACTAAAGAAATTTTTTAGTTACTCTCTTCTGAAATCAAGATGAATCCGCTGCCAGGTACCATACACGGCACCCAACATGACTGGAATCAGGCGGCAATGGCTCAATTCGCCATTATGATGGAACAGCTTCAAAGACTTGAGAACCGAATGACCGCTGCTGAGGAGCGAGCAGAGGAAAGAATGCAACTGTTTAGGCAACAAATGAATGCGTCCCTGCAGCAAATCAATATGGCTCTGGATCGCACGGCTAGGGCTGAGCAGCAGCAACGCCGCACGACAGCTTTGTTTGTCTATCCGCTTTTATTATTTTAATATATGCTAATATGTTTTCATCCAGGGTCATTAATCAACAACGGAGAGCTCAGAATACATCGACCTGGCTCTGTTGCCGCAAGCTATTCATAACTCATCTGGTTCCACTCTGTAGCCAGACTACTGGGGCGGATATTGAAAGATTTCCTCGGACTTATGGTGATATTGGTCTGCTTGATGGTAAGTATTTGTTTATTTATTGGTAAAAATGATCAAGTATTAACTTATATCTGTAGAGAATGATGCACGAAGAATCCTTACAGATCTCGAGATCAGTGCCCACGATTGTACTCTGGCCGAGATGCAGGACTTGATTCGCTTCTATGTAGTCTATCCCTAGCTTTGTCTCGGGTCAAACAGGGCATTGAATCTTTTAACGTGTTTTGAGGATCACAAGCTGCCAGTATCTAGCTACAAGGCCACTCTGGCACTTCCACAGTTAGCTTTTTAAATCGCAGCTCTTCTGAATTGATCTCTATTGCAAGGCACCGGCCATGAATCGCAATGCATCTCCAGCTTAATCATCAGTCTCGGCATAAAAAATCCCCCACAGATTCGGCTGGAAGAGGGTAGAATAGCTCATGCTGTGCCGCTAAACTCGTTTTGGTGCTGGCTCGGCTCAGGATCCATGTTTTGCCGATGCTCCGTGACAATTTTTTTGGGGCGTTGCGAGCTCTCCAACAACACCGGAAGCGCTTTGCAGACCCTCTTCCTCTTCCTTCAACCTGCTGTTCCTGTGAAAGGCTGGCTCATCGTGGTTCCGGCTTGTGATACCCCATTCCTTGTTTCTTTTTTTCCTCTTCCATTGCAGATATCAAAGCAACATGCAGCGCGCATTGACTTCCCGTGCCCGCGCCTCGGCCCTGTCCGGCGCTTACAAGTACCGATCTGGAGGTAGCCTGGGCCAGCAACTTCGGTTTGCTCACAAGGTGGGATATGGCAATTGGGATGACAAGTTGCAGGTGGTTTCATGAGACTAACACGGAGGTAATAGGAACTCAAGTTCGGTGTCGAGGGCCGTGCTGCTCTCCTGGCTGGTGCCGATACCCTCGCCAAGGCTGTTGCTACCACTCTTGGTCCCAAGGGCCGAAATGTCCTGATCGAGTCCAGCTTCGGCTCCCCCAAGATTACCAAGGGTATGACTGAGAAATTATGCAGCGTTAAGTCATTTTCTTGGGGACATTTTTTGCTAATAATATATCTCTACAGATGGTGTTACTGTCGCCAGGGCCATCAGCCTCAAGGACAAGTTTGAGAACCTCGGTGCCAAGCTGATCCAAGATGTTGCTTCCAAGACCAACGAGACTGCTGGTGACGGCACCACCAGTGCCACCGTCCTCGCCCGTGCCATCTTCTCCGAGACCGTCAAGAACGTTGCCGCTGGCTGCAACCCCATGGACCTGCGCCGCGGTATCCAGGCTGCTGTCGACTCCGTTGTCGACTTTTTGCAGAAGAACACCCGCGATATCACCACCAGCGAGGAGGTTGCCCAGGTCGCCACTATCAGTGCCAACGGTGACCACCACGTTGGCAAGCTGATTGCCAATGCTATGGAGAAGGTTGGCAAGGAGGGTGTCATCACCGTCAAGGAGGGCAAGACCCTGCAGGACGAGCTCGAGGTCACTGAGGGTATGCGATTCGACCGCGGCTATGTTTCCCCTTACTTCATCACCGACGCCAAGTCTGGCAAGGTTGAGTTTGAGAACCCTCTGATCCTCCTCTCCGAGAAGAAGATCTCTGCTGTCCAGGACATTATCCCCGCCCTCGAGGCCTCTACCCAGCTCCGCCGCCCCCTTGTCATCGTTGCCGAGGATATTGACGGCGAGGCTCTGGCTGTCTGCATTCTGAACAAGCTCCGTGGCCAGCTCCAGGTCGCTGCCGTCAAGGCCCCTGGCTTCGGTGACAACCGCAAGTCCATCCTGGGCGATCTTGCCGTCCTGACCAACGGAACCGTCTTCTCTGACGAGCTTGACATCAAGCTTGAGAAGGCCACCCCCGACATGCTGGGTTCCACCGGCTCCATCACCATCACCAAGGAGGACACCATCCTCCTCAACGGTGAGGGCAGCAAGGATGCCATCTCTCAGCGATGCGAGCAGATCCGTGGTGTCATTGCTGACCCCACCACCTCCGAGTACGAGAAGGAGAAGCTCCAGGAGCGTCTGGCCAAGCTTTCTGGCGGTGTTGCCGTCATCAAGGTCGGTGGCTCCTCCGAGGTTGAGGTCGGCGAGAAGAAGGACCGATTCGTCGATGCCCTGAACGCCACCCGCGCTGCCGTCGAGGAGGGTATCCTGCCCGGTGGTGGCACTGCCCTGATCAAGGCCTCTTCCCAGGCTCTGAACGACGTCAAGGCTGCCAACTTTGACCAGCAGCTCGGTATTACCATTGTCAAGAACGCCATCACCCGACCTGCCCGAACCATTATCGAGAACGCCGGTCTGGAGGGCTCTGTCGTTGTTGGCAAGCTCACCGACGAGTACGGCAGCGACTTCAACCGCGGTTTCGACAGCGCCAAGGGCGAGTACGTTGACATGATCCAGGCCGGTATCCTTGATCCCCTCAAGGTTGTCCGCACTGGTCTCATTGATGCCAGCGGCGTTGCTTCGCTGCTGGGTACCACTGAGGTTGCCATCGTTGAGGCCCCTGAGGAGCGACCTGCTGGTCCTCCCATGGGTGGCATGGGTGGCATGGGAGGAATGGGCGGCATGATGTAAGCTGTCACCGCAAGAAGAAAAGAAGAAAGAAACAACGGAACAGGAAGTAATGTATAAAAATTATTCTATGACGGGGCATGGTTTCCGGTGTTATACTAGAAGGATGGTTCAAGCGGCCTACTACCCATCTCCCCTCACTCCCATCTTCCTCTCTATCTACCTGTCCATCTATCTACGGCTGAGCTCTGAGCTTGCCCTTATCTCCATGGAGAGTGGGCAGGCCGAGTCTTGCTGTGTTTGTATTGTATTGTAGCGCTCCTGGCCATGTACCACTACCAAAAAAAAGGGATAATAACGAATGAAATGTTTTTTTTAACGAGACGATGTTTGCAAAAGATTTAGGCAACCGGAAATGTGAAATGAAGTCATGTCCGAATATATACCTGTAGATACTATGTCTATTGCGCAATTATTGCTGTACTTGGTGTTGATAATTGTGGTTGCCTTGAGGCAGCCGGAAATGAAGAAGGATGAGATGAGATGGACGGAGCTGGGAAATGTTGATGCCTGGCTTTGTTGGATTGGACTGGAATGAATGATATAGTTATATATATTGACCCTCCTTTGTTAGACAGAGAGAGGCTGAAAGAGATATTGAGCCCTTTGTCCCTCCCAATGGCCACCTGAACAAAGCCTCTGCCCAAAACCACACACAGCGTCCGTCCATCATACCATACGTCTACATCCATCTACTCCCTCCTTCTTCGTTAGGCACCAGGTAAACTGCACATCCCGACTCCATGCAATACGTAATTCCCCATATAAAAAAAAGCCCTCCAGTCCAATCTCTCTTCTCATCTCCCCCCAGTCCAGTCCCAAGTCTTTCCTCCCAGTCACGTGCAGCTCCCCCCTCGAAGCAACTCTCGGCCAAAAGCAAAACCCCACCCGTGGGGACCAGCAGCTTTTCGCCCTTTTTAGCACCCCGCCTCCTTCTGCTGGCTTGGTTCTTTGTACTTAACTTACCTGCGCAGTTCCCAGACCATCCCGCTGTCACACCAATTTGGCATCATCGTCGAACCCACGTCCTGACGCCAGTCTCGCCGTTTCTTCTCTTTTTCCTGTGTGTTGCTTCTCCCGATTCCTGATTGCCTCCGCGTCATTTGCATCTTGTTGCCCGTCTCTTGTTTTTGCTTTGGACTTGTCTGGTTTTGGGCAACGGTGCAGCGGCGCTTTGGCGTATCTCCCGCATATACTCGAGGAACCCCCTCATCGCTAACAGGAGAAACCTCGTCAGCTCATCACCCCTCCTTTTTTTTCTACACCGCAGTCCGTCTTTCGTCGACGACCAAAATCGCAAACATGGTGAGTTGTTTCTCGTGGCATTACAGCTTACAAGGCGTGTATTTGTCGTATATTCCTAGTACTGACCGCGTTGCGTAACTCCAGTCTCAATCAGGGTGCGTGTCTCCCCCCCCTTTGACGTTATCTCTTTCCACTATTTATAGCCCCCCTCCACGCGATCCGCCATCCGCCATCCGCCATCCTCTTCACCACGGCCAACGACGGTGCAGATGTTGCCGCATGATCGGATTGGCGGCAGTGGGGAGAAGCTTAAAAAAAAAAAAAGGAAGAAATGGAAGCAAGATAAACGCATTACTTGGCGGGAATTGGCAGGCTGATGATAAGCTTGGTTTATAGAGCGAAAGTTTCCGCCCAGGTCTCCGAGGAGTTCCAGAAGCTCAAGCGAAGCAACGACAAGAACCGACTCCTGAGATACATTGTCTTCAAGCTGTCCGACGACTACTCCGAGATCCAGGTCGAGCACGCTGAGGCCGACGACGACTGGGACAGCTTCCGCGAGAGGCTTCTCTCCGCCACCTCCAAGAGCAAGACTGTGCGTCTCAACCACCAAAGGAATTCAAAGTCTGAAATGACGTACACGCCGGAAATAAAGCTAACTTGAGACTTTCATTAGGGTGCTGTTGGCAAGGGTCCCCGCTACGCTGTCTACGACTTTGGCTTCAAGTTTGACGGCCGAGAGATGTATGTCGGCCCAATGCCACCCCAATGATTGAGCTGCCGCAGTTTACTGACAGTCTGAAACAGCAACAAGATCATTCTCATCGCCTGGTCTCCCGATGATGCCGGTGTCCACGTGCGTTGACCCTGTTACTCATGTATAGATTGACCTTTTTTTCCGCTGACACAAAGCAACAGCCCAAGATGATCTACGCCGCCTCCAAGGAGGCTCTCAAGCGATCCCTGGAAGGCTACGCTTATGAGATCCAGGCCAACGACTCTGACGACCTCGAGTACGCTTCTGTCCTCAACGCCGTCCTGGCCAAGGTGAACGCATAAGCGAACCCTCACCAAACAATAATGTGATGCATGGGGGAAGGGGCAGCTACCAGGGAGAAGCAAAAGAAGGGAGGCACTGCCGTGTCCTCGTTTAGATTGGGCGTGCTGGAGGGCTGTGTTTATTCGATGGATAGGCATAGGTAATTTTTCAGATGTGCTAGCGCTACAGATGACGATGTACACCGTACCAAGGGAAAATCAGACTCGTTTCTTGTACTGCATGTGACGACGTTTCACTGGTGACTTGGTTTGCTTGCGTGAAGGAACAATTGAAAGTATGCTCTATTAAAAAAGAAGACGCCCGTCATGTGTTTTCATATATGTATATATCACGAACTTGACCTGCTTGCCTGCCAACTAGACCGGAATAAGCTCGACAGCTCCTCGGCCTTGTCCTGAGCCTTGAGTCTCTGCTGCAAGAAGCCGCTGAGATCCGCCCAAAAGGCATCCGACTCGAGCTCAGCCTCAACAGCCGCCGCGTCAGCCTGAGCCGTCGCAACCGGCTCGTCCGTCGTCTCCATAGCCTCCCCAGCGGGTTTCCCCTCCGCAGGCGGAATCGCCGCCGCGCCGCCAATGACCATGACGGAAAAGTCAATCGTCCTGTCGCTCTCCTTGGCGAGCAGCTCCTTGAGGACCTTTGTGTCGGCGACGGGCCGCTTGTTGAGCAGCAGCTTCATCTTTTCGACGGGGATGCGCGTCTGTGCGCTTACGGCGGCTTTGACGTCGAGGATGGAGGTGCTTAGGGGTGTGGCGGGGAGGGTTATGTCGAGGGGCGGGTTGCGGAGGGATTTGAGGGTGATGTCGATGCTGCGCTCGGAGCCGGGGGGGAGGCGGGATGATGGTTTGGACATGGCGGTTGGCATGCGGGGGAGGATGTACTGTTTGTTGTTGTTGTGTTAGCTTTGGTCAGTTGGGAAGAAGAAGAGGGTGGTGTTGATTGGTTGACGGGACGTACAGGTGGCCGAGGAGGGAATGTTTTGGGGTCCTCGATGTGGTCTGGGGAGAGCTTGATGGGACGGGAGTCCAGCGAGGTGAGGAACGTTTTTGCGAATGCGACTTCAGCCATTGTGGCGGTTTTGTTGATAATCTTCTTCTTCTAAAGAGTGTAGTATATATCGAGCTGTTGCGGTAGGTATGACGAGGTTGTGATATGCCTTGTGTGTTTCGTCGAGCTGCACCTCGTCGTCGCGATGCGAAAAGAGGGGAGGCGGGGTGGAAAAGGCACTGGCGACAGATAAGTTTCGCGCCAACTGACGAGATGTGTCGAGAGGATAAGAATGAAAAGAGAAGACGCGACGAAGAGTGCGTTCTTAGAGGAATAGGGAGGGTTTTGAATATTCCTGTTTGGGTTCCTGTGTCTCCAAGATGAGGCTGCTTTGCTGGTAGCCGTTTTGGAGCTCCGAGTTACGTTGGTGACAAGCTTGGAGGCGTCGGAGAATCACGTGGGGGGTCGCATTGAAAAATACCCCGCCAAAACTCCAACACCAAAGACGCCCATAAACAATGTCGACGCCACGAGCCCCTGAAACAGCCTCACCCCAAGACATACACACGTCATTATCATCACGAGTAATTCTGATTCTCAGCTTCAAAAATACTTGTTTGGCAGAATAACAGCAAAACAAAACTCGCAATCTTAAAATTTACAAAAACTAAACAACAAAAACTCCCTCCAACCACCACCCCGATAATGATACATAAAATTATTTCCTTCCACCCCCTTCCTTTGCCCTCCAATTTTCATACCAGAAAACTCATCCATGTTGCATTTCGTTATATGTCATTTCGTCATAACAAACTCTACCGGTGATTTGCGCACCGTAGCCGTTTTTCTCTATCGCGATATCCCATAGTATGTGCCCAGTCATCATAAACAACAGCCCCTTTGCGTGCGGTGGGCCGATATGGTCATGAACCAAACAGTTTCCCCCCAACTCCCGAAAGAGAGAAACAAAAAAGCAGAAACAAAAAACTTGATATCGCGCGCAAAGCAAAAACAAACAGGCACACTATGCCTTGTCCTTATGCCTTCCCTCTCCCTAACCTATCCCCACTGGTTGTCAAAATCACATCGTATTAAAAAAAAATGTAAATGCAATGCCAACGCGTAGCAGCAAGCAATGCAATTGCAAAGTAGAAGAAAGAAGCAGAAACAATAACAATAAAAACAACAAAGCAAGATAGTCCAAGACGGGGTGTAGCTGGCATGTGGCATGCCGCTAAGCGAGGGAGGCTTCCCACTGCATCTAGCTTTACCTAGCCACGCTCGGCATCGCAAAGTCGTCGAATCCAGAGACGAGTTCGCGAATTGTCCATCGCCAAGCGTCTCGGTCTCGGGGAGTGTGGCTTATCCACTTCTCACACTTCTTCCGCCACCTCTCCTCCTCTTCACGCTGTCTTCGGATGAATTCGGGGCCCACGTCGAACTCCTCTCCCACTAGCCAGTCATCCTTAATGTCGCTGGAGTGGCCTTCACGCTCATCAGTGACGGTGTTGTCTTCGAGATCGGGAATATCCTTAAAGACGTCCTCATCATCTTCGAAGGCATTGAAGTTGTCCAGGCTATCAGTGGCCTCAGATCTTGTCATGCTCTGAGGGCCGAGCTTCAGCCAGCACATGTTTTGAGGATCAAACACCATGCCACCAACCACTTGCACACCTTTAGTGGTGCTGATGTTGGTAATGAGAGCTGGCCGAGGCACTGGGGTCTCCTTATCCCGAGCCAAGTGCAAGGGAACCGAATTCGATGATGGCGTCGAGGTCGAGCCATCAAACGCATTCAGAGCATTCTCATTCCCTTCCCAGCAATATGTCGCGGCGTTGTAAAACATCCCTTTGACGACTAGAGAAACGGCACCGTTAGACATGATTACAATTACGGACTTGAGGTTAGAAACATACCTTTAGATTCTTTGCCGCCACTCAAGTTGGAGATGAGATGGGGCTTTAGCTGCGGGGGTCGCTTCAACTTCTTGGTTCGGGTTGTAGAAGATGTCTGCTGGGCGTTACTTCGAGTTGGCGCTCGCTGAGCGGAAACTGAAGCCAACGGCCCTCCGCTTGGCGTCCGGTGGGCTAGAGCTGTCTCGCGTGCGATGCGGCTGGCTGCAGTGTCACGCGCAAAGCTAGGGGTATAGTTGGGTCGTATGGCGGGCTTTGGTGCTGCGTTCCATGGCGAAGGCGTCTTGTTTCTATCAATTGCCGGTGGTCGTGGTGCCTGTGGTGATTTGCGCAAGGTTGCTTTGGGTCCAGCTGCAGAAGGCTGCTTCAAGTAACGGCTTTCCGTCTCCTTCGAAGTGGGTAGATCGTCAAAGGCATCTAGCTCATGGCCATCGCCAAATTGGCGTATGCTCTTAGGTCTGCTTAGACGATCCCACGTCCCAGAAGCAGCCGTCTTGTGGCGCTTTGGGCTGGGCGATTGCAGGCCTGGCCTTGAAAAGGACCGGGAGATGGGGCGGGCATCGATGGCATTGTCGGAGTCATGGCGGCGGAACGGTCGCAGGGTCTTGGAAGCGGCGTGCTGTGATTGCAAGTGGGAAGCCCCCGCAGGGGTAAATGGTATTGAGTTCTTTCTTGCTTGTCCAGGACTCTCGCTGGTGGCCGTCGGGCGATCCTGGGGCGTCTTTGGTCGAGACTGGCCTGGTTCCGTGCGTGATGTTGGTCTCTCTGAACGACCGGCGACGGGTTTGGCGGGAGGATTGCGAGCCCGCACGGCCGTCAGAGAGCGTTTCTGCCTAAGAAGCTGAGCATTTGTCGTAGGAGGGTCATTCCTACTAGAAGTAAAGGTGGTTCGAGATAAATCTGTCCTGCGAGGGGCTGTGGCGATTGAAAAGGTAGAAATGGTAGTAGGCGTTGGGAGGCTCGCCACGGACAGCTGGTTGGAATGGCCAAGGCGGGATTGTGGTCGACGAACCCGATGTGGGATCGGACCGCCACTCTCCGAGACGGGCTCAAGAGCGGTAGAATGGGACCTCTCATGGTTGAGGCGAGGGATCCTTGTCTGTGGAGGCATGGGCTTGTTACTAAACGTCAACGACACCGACGTCTTTGGACGGGCAGGGTTGACGAGCCGGCTGTCCTTGATCTTGATATTCCGATGCATGGTGAGTTTCCCAGAGTCAAACACGTTCCCATCGCCAATATCAAGCCCCTCGAGAAAGTCCTGCTGCTCCACTTCTGCCGCAGGAAGTAGCTTCTTCGGGGGTGCTGCTTCGGCAGGTGGCTCCTCCGGTATGTCTTCCGGCGGTGGGTTTGTCTTCCGCAGGTGCAGCCTCTCCTGAAAATTGAGATGGCCAGGGGGCAGCACGAGGCCGTCAAAGGTCTCGTCCTCGCTCTCCAACGTGAATGTGCTAGAGAGACTGGGGCTCATGGCCGAGACTGACGAGCTTCGAGTTGATCTCGCATCCCGTCGAGTGCCGCCATATCTAGTGCCGAGGCTGCTGCCCTCACCCCAGTCTATATCATCCGATGACGAAAAAAGCGTTCTGGGTATTTCCCTCCTAGCGGACAACTTCAGCTTGCCATCGGACGGGAGCTCAAAGTCTCCCTCAAAGTCTTCGTCCAGCGGCTCCTTCGATGCCTCGCTTTCAAGGGGAGTGGGAGGGGTGACAAAGGGAGCCAGGCGAGGCGGTCGCTTCTTAGGGACCTTGATTGTGTCGAAACCGTCGCCGAAGAAGTCGTCATCCTCATCCTCCGTGTCTCTAAACTTGTCTAGGCTGGGTGCGGCCGACAAGATGCTCGAATTGGACATGATAGAGCTCCGCCGGCTGTCTCTGGTAGACCTGGGCGTCTTCCTGGGGCTGTTCTGCAGCAAGCTCTGCAGCGAGCCTCCGCTGACCTGGCGCAGGGTCTCTGGAAAATCGGTCTGGGTTCGCGGCTTCATCTGGAGCCCTGAGAGCCCCTCGGGCAGCTCCAGGTCATTCTCCCAGTCCTCATCGATGGTTCTCCGCATCTTCTTGCCGCCGAGCCTCTTGATTGTGCCTCCGGTCAATGCAGACGACGGCACATTCTTGGGCAACGGAATACCTGCCCTCTCGGCGGCGGCTATAGCAGCCATTGTTGATCGCTCATCGTCTGCCGGGAGGTGGACGTGTTGTTCCTCCCCATACGCCGAGTCCAGATCGGAGCGCAGCGAAATGTGGGACGAGGTGGAATCGCGTCGACGTGGTTGTGCATTGGTAGTGACAGCGGTACTGGTAGGCCGAAGGCTCAACTCGTCGCCGTCTACGATAAAATCGTCATCATCCCAGTTCTCTATCTCAGCCTCCACTGGCTGTCTGGGCTTTAGCCGCAGCGGCTCCATAATTTCCATCAACTGTTGTTCTGATGCGTCTACTGTGCTGTGCAAGGTAAACTTTGGGTTGTAATCGCGTGTCGTAAACAAAGCAAAGCGGCATGCAGGGCCGCTCGGGTAGCGTGGGTAAATTGACTTTCAGTCTCTCGGATAGGTTCGTCGTGGCCGGTCGCGACAACAATTGGGCGGAGGCATAACCGAATCAGTAGCAGCCGTCCATCGCTGGATTTTTTCCCAAAATTCCCAAGGCCGCAGCTCGCTCCCGGATTATGACGTGGCAGCCGGCTTATTCGTCCAAGGTGGGCAGCAAAAGCGTCGGGGGGTTCGTTGTCGCTACGGTGCGCACAAATCGACTCGTTCCTCTAGCAGCGCTGATGATGCGCTCCCCTCCCAAAATCAATAACAACAAAACAAAGGGCGCCCGACGCTCGACGGATGGCGGGCAATACGATGCAAAAAGCGCTGGTTCGAACTCTGACGATGCAAGCACGGCGACTTCGATTATTTGGGACCTGGAGATGCTTTTTTTAGATGAGCGCGCGATAAGGCGTCGACGCTGTTGTTGATGTTGTCAGCGGGCAATTGATTGGGCGCAGCTGATGATGCGAAGGCGAAACAGAAAGGCTGGGGGTCCGTTGTGGACAGTGGCTGGACTGCCTGTAAGCCTGTCGGATTGGCGAGGATCAGGTGGTGGGGGCAGCCTGCATGGAGATTTCAGTGGTAGAGCAGCGACAAGCAGCGCCTGGACCACTGCAATCCACAGCTGAGCAAGGAATTTGACTCTCGAGGGTCCTTCTCAGTCACTACCTGTACCTGTACTTGTACCCTAGACACTGGGAGGCTGCACGAGTTACTCGTACAAATGCAGCAGGTGAATGTGAAGGCTTACAATTCGTTGCGCTTGAGTGCGAACTCCCTGGTAGGTGGGAAATTGAGGCAAACAGTTTTGGGGATGCTCGTCTTGTTTTATATCCCCCCCTTTTTTTTTCCATCTCTCGCCTCGCTTTACAGTAAAATACGTATCTGGCCTCGTTGCATGTGCTTTTTTCTCGCTTTGAATTTTTCGCCTCTCACTCTCATGGATAACCCCTACTCGCGCTGCGTTTCCGGCTCGCTAACCCATGATCTGTTCATATTGAAGGTGGAGTCGCTTCCGGACTCACGATCCTCATCCTAATCTCACCGCGGTGCTGTGCATGAAATTGGCTGGAAGGCTACTCCGTATCTGTCCATCCGCCCACTCTGTGCCTGAGCGTTTCGCACTCCTGATGACGCCTCACCTGCAGTTGATTCCTGCTACCACGACAACCACGGCCGGCCCCAGCGCGCATCCCGGCCCCCTATCCTTACCAACCCAACGAGCTGCCAATCATGCGCGCAGGCCCCGTCAATTGTCAGATTTTGCTGGGTGGAGAGAGAGATCGGACAAGGCCCTTGGCTGGTGCGTCTCGTGCATATGCCAACATGCTGCATATACTACAGGCACAGGCGCTGCGAAGCGAGCCCGGAGCACGGGAAGCACAGAGCACAGAGCATGGAGAAGGACGATCCTGAACTGGGCTCTGTTTTTGATTACCTAGGCCGGGTCGGGTGTTGTGGGCGACACAGCGTATTACACATACAAACAAACTACATTAGTCTACTGTAGCAACCGCACACGAACGAGTAACCACTTTATGGTACTGGTATCGTGCCTGATAACTATCAAATAGTATCTGTTAGCTTCATAGCTCTTTAGCCCGTCAAGCGGGGGACAGAAAACCCGAGATTAAGAAGATTACGAACACACACACCTTAAATAATACACCTACAAATCCTAACTCTTTATCTACATTTCTCTAGTATCTACTACTAAATCTATATTTCTCTAGTAACTGCTATTATATTTATATTTCTCTAGTAACTGCTATTATATTTATATTTCTCTAGTAGCTGTTATTATATCTATATTAATCTACTACTTACCTAGTAGTATTTTTTTTTAATACGCCCGTTTAATAAACTAGTTGGATGCCTATATTACTGGATGTATGTACTTATTCATTTTGCAGTCTCGCTTTTTCTGACCTGCACTTGCCCGTCCCTACTTGTTCCCCTAGCGTAAACTAAGCCGGTACTCATTTCACCGGCCGCCCGCGCAAACACCAAGAACGCCATTTAGACACTCACAAAATAGAGGCAAGTGGGCATCTCGTCTTGCACGCGAACGTGGCCTAGCCGTATTGGGCTGTAGCTGGCGGCCGCGGACAACATTAAGCGGGACTACAAATTGCCAAGCCAGACCATATAATGCCTACTCGTACTGTATGGTAATTTTGCTCCGATGTATGAAAAAAGCAATATCAATGGCTCTCCAAACTACGTACAAAGACATATATCATATTGGTAGGTCGACGTGCCTACAGATCTACAGTACTTATATCTAAGGTATCAACAACATATGGAACATCTACTAGATATTAGCACCTATACCTCCTCTGTGAAATATCCATGGATCCATTGCTATCAGAAAACAGGTGCATCTTCCACTCTTGATCGGAACTTATTACAGTGCGTGGCCGCGTTTGTTGGGCATGATAGCGGTGCTTTTTCCCAAACGCTCCCGCGGCCAATTCATTACCTGGACCCTCTCGGCCGGCGGGTGGACATTGGATTTAATTTCCCACGTGTACGAAGTGACCCAGACCCCCGTACTCGTACGGGCACAAAATACTCGACACGACTTCTCAGCAGATGCCTGACACGATTCGAAACCAACAAGAAACGGTTAGGCCTGGGTGATATTACTACCCAACTTCTCCGTACAGTATAAGCTGTACTTCGTATTGCGAATACGAACAACATCGTGAATATTTCAAATTTGTTGTCGTGCACATTATGTGCAAACCTGTATAATTCTGCAGTGGGAAGATGATACCTGCGAGAGTGGAGAGCTGGTACCTCACGGAGCTCACCTCCGCACTTGACAAGGTGGTACTGGCCATGTACTCATGTACCCATGGTCCGTGGAGGAGCCTGCGCCACAGCAAGCCACCGTCAAGCTTGTATCTGTTCCGTTCCTGCAGCAGATGGAAGCTCAGCTCCCAGGGCAGAGCTGCCTGCAGTGGACTCGCTGCCTGCTTCCAGCGGATTCAAACACGCTAAGCGCGAGGCTGCAATGCAACTTCAACCTCGATGAAGATTCACGACTGGTTGCTTGTAAGACACAAACAAAACCACATCAGACTGCGCCTTTAAAATATTCACGCGACGATACAAGCAGCAAACCGAGTAGAGCAACAAATCGTACTAATCTTTGGTTATCCTTCTCTTACCCCAGAAGCACGTCGAAATATCAGTCACATCACCTCTTCAACGCCTCTCAGTCTATCTGCGCACACGACCACACTCATCAAGCCCTGCCTTTGCAGATTTCCGCCAGATTTAAATTGATTAACTCCAAAAACGACGCGTGCAGTTGACCATGGCCGCGTCACGAGTTATCAAGCTACCTCGGGATGACGATGAATCCACCTATGCTCTCATCCAAGTCATCCAAAAGGGCTCCAAACCCTTGGATGTAAAGCTTGTCGGGACAGAAGGCGAAGCACCATATGTAACTTCTTGTACGAACACCTATTAGTCAAATCGTTGCACCGAATGTCCTATTGACACCCACCAGTGAAACATGATCGGGTAGCCTCACTACAGGTCCCGAATTGCCCTGTATCTGAGTCTGAGTGGCAGGCCATATTACAATCTCTGTTTTCTCTACAGCCAGTCGCGGATATACAAGCAACAGCTAGAATCGAGAGCGAGGTCTCTCTCTCTATCACAGTTCGAAAGCGAGTTCAAGGAATTACAGTACGAGTCTCTTGCTGATTCGCGCATTTGGAAAATTGATGAGTCTAACTCAAGCTTTCAATATAGCAACGACTCGGCTCCATAGAGCTGAAGCATGACGAAAATGAAGGCATAGAGCTTTTCAAATGGTGCGCCGAGACTACAGATGCTCTGGCTCAAAGCAACGTGGCCTTGGCCGAAGCTGCCGCCCACGCGAAAGAGCTTGAAACCACGGTGAAGGAGCTAAAGACACAACTGGACGAGCTCATTACATCGAAAGAAGACGATGAAACAGCCCTGCTTCTCAAATTCCGGGATCTTCTTAATGAAAAGAAGGTGAAAATCCGTGAACAGCAAAAGATCCTTGCCGCAGGCCCGATTCAAAGCAGCCAGCAAGCATCTCAACGGTTGCAGCCACCAGACACTCAGCCGTCTCGCATGCCTGCCCCTTCTCGGCCTAGAAAACGAAAAGTCCAGGTGGTGGAAGCTTCGAAAAATGAGCCAGAAGAAGATGAAATGGAGGTGGACAAGATCAAAGTTGAGCCTCAAGACAGCGAGCAAGAGGAGACAGCAGAAGACACAGCCTCCGGTGGTAGCGATGACGATGATGACGATGACGGAGGTGATGACAGTGATATCCGCAAGGATAAGGCTGGGTCGGGAGACGACAGCAGCCCTGGACCTGCGCCCAAAGCTGCGCCTCCTCCCAAGAAATCAGCTGAGCAACCCCCGGCTCCGAGAAGTTTACCTTTTGCAAAGAAAGCTGCGCCTGCCAAAGCACCGGCAGCAGAGGAGGAGACGGAATCTGACGATGATGAGCTGTGAAGGATAGGCAATGGTGGATATTACGAGTCTATAATCATGCTGGAGTAGGAAGAGAAAGTGAGGCGTCAAGGTATATAGAAGCCATAGTGCCGCTCAGGATAGTGGCCTATCAGAAAAGAGGTAATGACTTGTATCTTTTGTTCGCAATTTTGTGAATATCTGCCTTTGGAAGTTCATAATATACCAACCATCTAGACTTTGTATATCCGCGGAAATGTAGTCCTTTTTGCTCCTCCACGGTCTTACGTATATCCAGTACTGGTCCCAATAGATATCACCGCATACTAATAGATGGGTCGCTGAAGACGTAGAGCGGTCCGTGAATTTATGTCCTCTTAGCAATTTGTAGTCTTGTTTATCTGATCTACAGCTTGCTCCAATAAAACGAATCAACTCGCCCTTCCAACTCCAATATAAACCCTCTCGCCCGGGGAAGCACATTGAACCAGTAACTCGAAACATTTACAGGTACCAAAAAAAAATAAAACGCCAGCCTATGCTTCCCTATGTCCTCGAACGCCAATGTAGCGATTGAAATATATATAACGCAAAACCTTTGTAAAGGACCAAGTCCCGGTGGTTTACATATACGCATAAAGAGTGAGTCGTAAGATAAAAGTCAGATTCTCCGCGCCTTAGTCTTGCTCTCGTTCTGGAGATCGAGCTCTGGTTCGAATTCGGAACTTCTCCTTTAGTTTGGCTGTTAGGTGAGCCCTCTGTCCTCTTTCGCGCTCTGTCTCATGGGTGGCGCCCGCTTCGTGAGCCTCTGCGTCGGTTTGGCGAGTCGATCTCATCTGTCGAAGAGCTTCAATCTGCTCTTCTGCTGTAGCTTGCCTCAGCCTGTTGACGTCGAAAAAGCGAGAAATCCTATGACGGTGGTGGGCATGACCAGCCTCTCCCTCCTCACCCTCCAGGGCTAAAGGAGGTGGAAGTGTTGAAGTTCTGTCGCCGGGGCCCCTGTTAAGAGCTGTAGCCAGGCCGATATCACCTTCGTTAGTCTCAGCCTCAGGACGAAGATCAAGTCGACTATTTCATATGCGTTAGTGACAAGACATCCAACATCGCTGATGTAGAGATTCAACTTACCACAAGGGACATGTTCCAGATACATTGATGAGCCAAGGATCGATACAGTTTGGATGGAACGTGTGGTTGCAAGGCAGGACCCTCATATCCTCGCCTTCCGTAAAGTCTTCGGTACAGATAGAGCAACCCACGTTCACGACTGGAGGAGGACTGGCGACTGGAGGAGGGCTAGCTTCAACAGCCCCGTGAGCCTCAACAGCCGGAGCCGCATCACCAGCCTTACTGTCGCTTGCGGCCGCCGCGGCCGTGGCTGGCGTAGCTGTAGCCACTTCGTGCTGTGGTACTTCCTGAGTAAGAATCGAAGACGACCTCTGAGTTCTAGCATCACGGCCATCAGTAGTAGCTGCGTCTAGTTCAAGATCGGGATCCGGCTTAATCGGTTCCTGGTTATTATTGAACTTGACAATTGGGAGTGTCTCGAGTACCGCACGAGCCAGCCCCTTTGCTCGGCTCTGGCGGGGTCGGCCGCCCAGAGCGCGCCGAGGCCCGTACCTCTCCGGATAACGATGGGCCCTTACAGCGCCGGTGGCGATAATCACGAGGAACAAGAGAGTAATGAGAGCTGTGATGGTGTAAAGAATGCTCATGGCGACGGTCGAGTTGCTGGTTCCACCTCCAGAGTTACCAGAATCTGTGCTCGATGCGTTCCCTGTGATGGAAACATTGACCACTCGCCCATTGGCAGTGCCATTTAAGGAGTTTAAAACTCCCTGTGCCTCGCCGCTATCAGCCATGGAGAAAATGTTGGAAAACGTAGGTGGGTTTGTAAAGTCCAAACTACACCAAGTGGCAGCTAGTGAGTAGAGGACGATGGCTTTTGGGTTTGCATTGACGACATCGTTGAGCAACTCATTCGTGCTGATAAAGGTATTGCTTGAGCCATCGCATGAGATGTATGCGACATCGTTGGGACTTGTGATCTTGTTAAAGTTGGATACGTCGGTGGCAATCATGACGCCGTTGATATTTATTGTCTTTGTCTACTTGTCAGCATCAAGGTCGAAATAAATAAGCTTTGTTTGATAATAACCGTACTTGAATGCCGCTACTATTTGACCCGTTGGTGCCAGCATTTGGTAGAACAGGAACAACGGTATATTGGATGGGGTCGGACGACAGATTCAATTGCAGCGCATTGTTGTTGGCCCAGTCTGGGGGACTGTCGGACTGAGCCGAGGTGGAGATGGAGCCGTTGTCGTCGGCATATATCGCAGCGACCAACAGGCCAAGAATGGCCGCTAGGATTGACTGCATCTTGTGTCTGTAGATGGTTTCTGTAACTCTTGGGCTCTGGAGAATAGCGATGGTCCAGTTTCGTGACCTAGGAAAGAGGCCAAACAAAGACTGCGAGCGCTTCGATATGGCTGGTTCGATACGTCGCTTCTTCAGATATAGATCGGAACGCTGCACGCGCAAGATGGGCACAGATGTGTGGGCGAGAATCGGCTGTCTGGATCGTCCCGAGGCTTCAACCCAGCGTTTCGAGGTGGTGAATGCTGGCTCCGAGATAGGCGGTCGTCGCCCTGCTCGTTTCTTGTCGCATCTACAGAGGCGACATCTGGCGATGCAAGCGGCGCAGGCCCGTCAGGTTCGCCGCTGGCAGGCGATGGCAGGGTGAGGCTCAGGAGGATGCGAGAGTCAGGTTTTGGCGGCGGTTTCGAGGTGAGACGACAGACTTGAATCTTTCAAAGGCCAGGATGCCGGCCGCGGTGGATTTGCCCCGATAGCCATGGCGGTATCAGCAGGCACTACAAGTGGATGGATTGATGGCCCGTCCTGTCCGGAGCGGCGGAAAATAGCTCCAGTGGGTTGCGGCTCAGAGGCTCCATCAGCTTTTGCAGTCACCAGTTGGCGGTCTCTGTCCAGTGGAAAAGTGTTCCGGATGGCTGTTTGCAGCAGGGAGGGCGGGGTTTGGCATCTGCCAAGTGCCCGCCTAATAGACTTTTGGCTTTAGCGGTGGAGGAGGTCAGCTGGAAGTTGAGCCGTTGGATTTGAGCAGGTTACGCGGAAGAGGGAATTGAATTGGATGGATCTGATGCAATTTATTTTTATCGTGATGTACGGATAAGCATCCGTACTATATTGCAGTAATATGTCACCTCACATAATGTTGCATCTGCTACTTGGTGATTAGTTTACAGGGTATCACAATAGGGTATGTCCACGACACAATTTCCAAACTGCATATATTCTGTCTAGGCTTTTGCCCTTGATAACCCACCCAACTGCCGAGAAGCAAGCCACCACGTTTCTATCTCTCTGCATTTGCCCGCTTTCGGTCCTCCAGATTCTCCTCCCTTCTGATTGGCAGTCCGAGCGTATCGTCAGCGGATCTTCTTTACAATCACCACCAGCGGAATACGCACCCTTCCCGGAGTCCGTACGGCATAGACGGGACGGGATAGAGCAACCGCTGGTCCGACATTGTTAGCTCTTCCAGACGTTCCGCTTCGCTATAGGCATTGAGTTTATCATGATGAGCTATTACAGCACAACAAGGCCTCCTTTTACTGAAGCTCTTAAAATAGAACTAGACGCAACCAAAGAGAAGACGATAGTATGTCTCTATTTCAATTCTTCCGTTAACTGCTTGACGCATAGGGAGCGCAGTTCTATTTCTCGGCTTCATCATTGCTCCTAGCCGCGGGAATGGTTCAACATAATTCCACATAACCAGATGAGTGCGTCATCCAGCCGGTCACTCTGGACTTCTAGCACCTATTAGTAGAGACTTCAGCGGGCGCAGTCGCTGATAGAGACCGGTTCCGATGGCGTTTGTCCTACGGATTACGGGATGCAAATCCGCCATATACCGGGCTGCGCTAATTAATGCAGCGAAGTGGCTACCCTATATATTTGCGGCAAAGCGCTTCGTATTTTTTTTTTGTCAGATAGCATTGGTGAAAGGAGGCAGCAGCAGAGCCTCTAAAAGATTTGGCATGGACGGGCTTGAGTGCTGCTACATAGAGGCAGGCAAAGCTCACTAGGATTGCCCTTGGACGAGATTGCAGCTGGCTGCCTGGTTGCTGCAATCATACAAGTGCAGCGATCCTAATCTCGCCGATAAAGGAAAGGTGATGTTGTAAACACCAAACCTGGCATGGTTCAACAGGCAGATATATAAATTCAAAGTGCTAAGTACATGTAGATGCCTGGTAGGTTACCTGTTAGAAGCTGCCTACGAGGCGCTCCGTACTATCCAATGCAATTTGGCGGTTGGCTGCGAAAAAGAGCTCAAGCGCACCAAATTGCCTTCACCATATGTCGATGCTTTCGGTTGGACCCTTAAACTCCCCTCTAGCTGTGGCTTGAATTGGAGTGGCTTGACGCTCAATAACAAAACCAATGAAACGACAAAAAAAAGGTACCGGATACCTGGTTCCTAGATCTTCCCCTATGGCGTCTGTTACCAGGAATGCGGCAATGCCTGGAGTACTCTGTACCTTGGCGCTAGGCGGCGATGTTACCGGCAACGCGTTCTTCCCATCTTGGTACGTACAGCTAAGAGGCTAAGGCGGCGTAACGGGTCCCGCTCTGGCTCCCTCAGATTACTGTACTGTACTGGTGCTTTTGGAAATGTTGTCCCCTTGAGACATCAAATCTGCCTTGAGCCCATCGCACATCTTCCAGCCGCGGGACCAGCTGTCGGCCTCTCTAATTAGCTGGCCTGCTTGCGAAGCCCTTTGTTCCGCATTTCCGTCCCGACCATCGCCCTCGCCTCCGAACCGCAGCCTCAATCGATGGACCAAGCCCAAGGTCCCTAACTTCCGCGTCCTTCCTCCGGCGATTGTCTGTCCTGTGCTTCTTCGGTGCGCCTCATGAGCTCCTTAAAATTCGTGGTGTCCTCTCTGGACGCCATTGCAACCTCCAAAGATGCCCAGCGAAATAAGCAGCTGGCCGACTTGACCAAGACAGCGCTCGATGCCATCAAAGAGCAGGATCAGCTGCCTGATCCCGAGATCGTTTTCGCGCCACTTCAGCTCGCAACCAAGACCAACAGCCCGCAGCTCACAACCACAGCCCTCGACTGCATTGGAAAGCTGATATCGTATTCATACTTCTCTTTCCATAACAAGGATGAAGCGCATAAAGAAGGTGCTGAGCCGGCATCCCCGCTAATTGAACGAGCCATCGATACCATATGCGACTGTTTCCAAGGCGAGACCACGGCCGTCGAGGTCCAGCTGCAGATCGTCAAGTCGCTTCTGGCAGCCGTCTTGAATGATAAAATCGTTGTTCACGGAGCAGGTCTGCTGAAAGCTGTGCGCCAAGTCTACAATGTCTTCCTGCTCTCTCGGAGCACGGCCAACCAGCAGGTTGCGCAAGGCACCCTGACACAAATGGTTGGCACCGTCTTTGAGCGAGTAAAGACCAGACTCCACATGAAGGAAACCAGATTGAGCCTGAACAATCTTAACCACGGCGCAAGCAATGTTACCTTTGAGCAATCCGAGGTTGCCAACGGTACCCAGCACAGCGACGACGGCGAAGATGCCTCAACTGCACCACCTGAAAGCAGCGATGGCCCGGAAGAGCCGGTCAGTGCCGCCAAACTCACGCTCAAAGATCTTGAGCACCGCAAGAGTTTCGACGATTCCACCCTCGGCGATGGACCTACAATGGTTACGCGACTCAAGTCGGACAAAAAAGACGAAAGCGACGTGTCCGTGTCGGGCCAGTCTCTCCCACAAGAAGATAGCGATGCACTAGACGCCGAGGACGAGGTGTACATCCGAGATGCCTACCTCGTGTTTCGGTCTTTCTGCAATTTGTCGACCAAGGTTCTGCCCCCGGACCAGCTATTCGACCTGCGAGGCCAGCCAATGCGTTCCAAGCTGGTCTCTCTACACCTCATCCACACCCTCCTCAATAATAACATTGCCGTCTTTACTTCGCCTCTCTGTACTATTACGAGCTCCAAGAGCAACGAGCCCACCACCTTTCTTCAAGCCATTAAATTCTATCTTTGCCTTAGCATTACACGCAATGGAGCCAGTTCGGTGGATAGAATCTTTGATATCTGCTGTGAGATTTTTTGGCTCATGCTGAAGTACATGCGCCCCTCGTTCAAGGTAGGCCGCGCTGCTCCAAAACCCCTCTAACGAATCTATCAGAGGCTCACTCCATTTTAGAAAGAAATCGAGGTCATTCTAAACGAGATTTATTTGGCCCTCTTGTCCCAAAAGAATGCGCCCTTGACGCAGAAGCTGTATTTCGTTTCCATTCTGAACCGCCTTTGCGCAGATCCTCGAGCATTGGTTGAAACCTATCTCAACTACGATTGCGATCAGTCAGTAGAGAACATCTTCCAGACGGTCATTGAAGACCTGTCCAGATTGGCGACGGCGCCTGTCGCCATTACTTCCATTCATGAGCAGGCGTACGAGGAGCAGAGGGCGAAAACTACACCAGCCAGCGAGTGGCAGCTCAAGGGTATCCTGCCCCCTTCTCTTACTGTTGCACAGATTATTCCGTCACAAGAAGGCGAGGCCGACTATCCCAAGGAATATGCAATCAAACGTCTGTCACTAGAGGCTCTTGTTGAGACCCTTCGCTCTTTGGTCAACTGGTCCGCCTCCGTACGCTCGGAGGGCGAAAATCTCCGTCCGGATGGAGATACCAGGGCCTCTTTTGACGAGCTGCGGCCGTCTATCGACCCCACTACAAGCGAAAATGCATCTCGCCTCGATACCCCTCTACCACCCTCGACCCCTGTATTTGAAGATGACCCGGATCATCTAAGCAAAGAGAAAGCCAGGAAAACGGCCCTCATGAAGGGAATTAGGCAGTTCAACTTTAAGCCCAAACGCGGTATTGAAATGCTTATTCGCGATGGGTTCATTGCGAGCGACACGCCTCAGGACATTGCCACCTTCTTGTTGAATGAGGACAAGCTGGACAAAGCACAGATTGGCGAGTATCTTGGTGAAGGAGACCAAAAAAACATTGACACCATGCACGCGTTTGTGGACTCGATGGACTTCACCAAAAAGCGGTTTGTCGATGCTCTTCGTCATTTCTTGCAGTCGTTCCGTCTACCAGGAGAAGCGCAGAAGATTGATCGATTCATGCTTAAGTTTGCTGAGCGTTATGTCCTTGGCAATCCTAACGCCTTTGCTAATGCTGACACGGCATATGTGCTGGCATACTCTGTCATCTTGCTGAATACGGATTTGCACAGCAGCAAGATTGCCAAAAGAATGACCAAGGAAGAATTTATACGAAACAATGCGGGCATCAATGACAATGCCGATTTGCCTCACGATTATCAAATCACCATCTACGAGGAAATCGCCAGCAATGAAATCGTTTTGAAGAGTGAGCGTGACATTGCAGCAGCCGCCGGTAATCTTCCTCCTCAGCCTAGTGGCCTGGCCGCAGGCTTGGGGCAGGCGTTCTCGAATGTTGGACGTGACTTGCAACGAGAGGCTTATATGCAGCAATCAGAAGAGATTTCGCTGCGCTCAGAACAGCTTTTCAAGAACTTGTTCAAGAGTCAGCGACGAAACGCCTCCAAGACGGCGCCAAAGTACATTGAGGCAACGTCTTTCAAGCATGTAGAAGCTATGTTTGACATCACATGGATGTCCATCTTCTCTGCGCTCTCAGGGCAAATGCAAAAGGCGCACAACCTCGAGGTTAATAAGTTGTGCTTGGAGGGCATGCGGCTGGCAACCCAAATTGCTTGCCTCTTCCATCAGTCAACGCCTCGAGAAGCCTTCATTTCCGCACTCCGAAATGCCACAAACTTGAATAATCCTCAAGAGATGCAGGCTAAGAACATTGAGGCGCTGAAGGTGATACTGGATCTCGCTCAAACAGAGGGCAATGTTCTCCAGGAGTCGTGGAAGGATATCCTCATGTGCATTAGTCAATTGGATCGCCTGCAGCTGATCTCTGGCGGTGTCGACGAGAGCGCCATTCCGGACGTTTCCCAGGCGCGCTTTATCCCCCCTTCGCGATCTGGGACATCGGAATCTCGCTCTTCCATGCAGTTAAAAAATCGACCGCGGCAGAGGTCTGCTACTGGACCCCGGGGCTTCTCTAACGAGATTGCACTCGAGAGCCGCTCTGATGAGCTTATCCGAAGCGTAGACCGAATTTTCTCCAACACTGCGAACCTCTCGGGTGAAGCTATGGTTTACTTTGCCAAGGCTCTGACCGAGGTTAGCTGGGATGAAATCAAAGTCTCTGGCTCAAACGATTCGCCTCGCACATACAGTCTGCAAAAGATTGTCGAGATTAGCTACTACAACATGAATCGTGTGAGATTTGAATGGAGCAACATCTGGGTCGTTCTCGGCGAGCATTTCAACCAAGTTGGCTGCCACAACAACATGAACATTGTATTCTTTGCTTTGGACTCTTTGCGTCAGCTGTCGATGCGATTTATGGAAATTGAAGAGCTGGCGGGTTTCAAGTTCCAAAAGGACTTCCTTAAGCCGTTTGAGCATGTCTTGTCGAACTCTCACAACATCACCGTCAAAGACATGGTACTGCGATGCCTCATTCAGATGATCCAAGCTCGAGGAGACAATATTCGCTCTGGTTGGAGGACCATGTTTGGCGTTTTCACAGTTGCCGCACGAGAGCCGTACGAGAGCATTGTCAACCTTGCCTATGAAAACGTCAATCAGGTTTACAAGGAGAAATTCGGTGTCGTTATTTCTCAGGGAGCTTTCACGGATCTTATCGTTTGTCTGACTGAGTTTTCAAAGAACCTCAAGTTCCAGAAAAAGAGCCTGGGTGCCCTGGAGCTGCTCAAATCGATTATTCCAACAATGCTTAAAACTCCAGAATGCCCGCTATCCCATGAACCGTGGAATGCTTCCAGGGCTGAAAACGGTGATCCACCTCCAAGTATCAAAAAGGTGCAGACAAAGACGTCAATGGAAGAGGGCTACTGGTTCCCCGTGCTTTTTGCTTTCCATGACGTGCTGATGACCGGTGAAGACCTCGAGGTTCGGTCAAATGCCCTAGAGTACTTCTTTGCCGCACTCCTCAAGTACGGAGGCGGCTTTACCCAAGCATTCTGGGACATTCTCTGGAGACAGCAGCTCTACCCCATCTTTATGGTCTTGCGATCGCGGCCGGAGATGACCAATGTTCTGAACCACGAGGAGTTATCAGTCTGGCTGTCAACTACCATGATTCAAGCCTTGCGCAACATGATTACACTATTTACTCACTATTTTGACGCCCTCGAATACATGCTGGACAGATTCCTGGAGCTGCTAGCTTTGTGCATATGTCAAGAAAATGATACGATATCTCGAATTGGCAGCAACTGCTTGCAGCAGCTGATATTGAAAAATGTGACGAAATTTAGCCTGGTACATTGGACAAAGATTGTTGGGGCGTTTTGCGAGCTTTTCGACCGAACAACAGCATATCAGCTATTCACCGCGGCAAATATGGAGGCATCTACTTCTTTCCCGCTATCATCGTCCAACGGACTTGAATTTACTTCGCCTCTCAGCCCAACTATAGCCGAGACCCCTGCTGCAGACGAAAAGTCTCTCAAGATCAACGGTGATGAGAATAGTGCTGCATCCGATACCGAATCTATCCATCATCCGACACTGCACAAGCTGGATGATGATGAGTCGCGGACACCGACGGCAAACACTAACGGGCAGCAGCTGGAGGAATTCAAGCCAACTTCCACTCTTCAGCAACAACCTGTCGTTGTGACTGCAGCCCGCCGGCGATTCTTCAACCGCATCATTTCTCGCTGCGTCCTTCAGCTGCTCATGATTGAGACGGTCAACGAGCTCTTTAGCAATGACACCGTGTACACCAACATCCCCTCCTCTGAGCTCCTACGACTCATGGCTCTTTTGAAGCGCTCCTTCCAGTTTGCACGCCGCTTCAACGAGGATAAAGAGCTTCGGATGAGGCTGTGGCGCGAGGGCTTTATGAAGCAGCCGCCCAACTTGTTGAAGCAGGAAAGCGGTGCTGCGGCGACGTACGTCTCTATCCTGTTCAGGATGTTTGGAGACGATGCGCCGGAGCGACTGAAGAGCAGACCTGACATCGAAGCTGCCCTCGTACCACTCTGCGAGGACATCATCACGGGATACTCCATGTTGGTAGAAGAGAGCCAGCAGAGGAACATTATTGCGTGGAGACCAGTCGTCGTCGACGTGCTGGAGGGATACGCCACTTTCCCTGAAGATGCCTTCAAAACTCACCTGCCCTCCTTTTACCCGCTGGCCATTGACCTGCTTCAGAAGGACTTGACGGCGGATCTGCGCGGTGCGCTGCTGCTCGTCTTGCGGAGAGTCGGCGAGGTGTCTCTCGGGATTGAAGGGATGACAAAGGTTGGGGACAAGAGGAGAGATAGTTTGGCCAGCGCTAATGCTGAGGAGGTTTCAGGCGGGTCGGAGGCTGCTGCACGAAAGATGCTATGAGCGGGCAACGATATTTGGCGTTGAGGCGGGTACTAGAGAGTCTTTTCGCTTTTCTTTTTTGTCAGTTTTTTCTTCGAAAAAAGAGCCACCATTTGTGTGTGTATGTCAGGAAAGGCTTGCCTATCCTGTTTGCTAAGATGGGAGATAAAAATGTTATAATGATATGATGTGTTATATTTAGCTTTCGTGTAGTATATATGGCTGTCTATCTAGCCGGCTATCTTTACCTGATCTCTTTGAAGGCACACTCCAGAAATAGTTGGTGTCGTTTTATGATCCATTACGCTACTATACATGTGAATAGACAGAGAAGGGTTTTTATTATCTAGTTTAGTATCTCGCTGATGTATGCGCGCAAAGGCTCAGCTTCTTCCTCCACAGTCCTGTTCGGTAGTCCCCGTAGCGCCTCTTTCAACTGCTCATCATCCTGAGCTGCTACTCTGACCAGTGACTTCACAATGGCGTTCTCTTCGGTAGTGAGACGAGACACGCGCATTACGCCAACAAAAGTCTCGAAGAAGTCGATGAGATTGAGATGCATAAGGACGTCTTCTGATTTGGAAACCATGGTCAACGCTGCCCACTGCAATATGCCTTGACCAGCAGCCTGGATAGCAGCGGGGGAGAGAGGGAACAGCTCTGGGAAAGCAGTTTGGCTTATGGCACGGATATTAAGCGTTGCGAGACGAGTAAGGAGACGTAGCAAACGACCTTGTGAGAGCGAAGTCTGATGTCTCGGCCGAGTGGGAGGAGAAACCGTTTCAGGAGAACAGAGCGTCGTGATGAGTTCCAACATAGGCCGCTGGAGAAGAATCAACCGCCAGAGACGCCCATGACCCGGAATACGGCGTTTGACAACATCAAAGCCGTTGATGTTGCTTTGGCTTCCCACACCATTGACGCCTTCACCACGGATGGTCTCGCAGTCTGTCTCGAGCAGGTCGCCAAGAACTTTGGCAGCGCGCTCACTAACGCCAACGTCTGGGCTCACTAGCCAGCGTGTGATGAGTGCCTCGACGACATCGGTGAGAGTGCTGAGAAGGGCGGCCTCGGTTGGAGTCTTGGCGGCCTTGTGGATGATGGCGAGGGCGAGGAGGTTGGCGCCTGGTAAAGGAGATTCCAAAGCTGCGAGGATGGACGGAGGGTCGGCGATGGTGAGGGTGCGGGTGAATGTCAAGGGGGAGAGGAGCTTGATTGTGAGGGAGAGGAGAGGCGATGGGTCTTGAGTGGTGGTTTTGAGAATTTGAGTTAGAGGCGGGAGGACAGTTGGGAGGAGAGGAGGGATGTTTGATTCTGGATGTTGATTAGCAATCTTGATAGCACTGGATATGAGGGTGTTGTATGTGTTATAAAAATGACTTACCTGTCAGCTGAAGCTCGATATCATCAAGGAGCTTGAGGTTGAAAGGCACGGTAGGGTCATTCTCAAGATCTCGTAGGTGAGTGTGAAACTCATCGAGGCCGGAGATGGGATGAGCGTCTATGGTGCCGTCCGGGATGATTCGTTCAGACATTGTAAACCTCAGTCACAGCCTGTCTTGTCGATGGCTAGAAGGCTGACAGCGCCCAGTATGATGTAGAGGAAAGATCAGGTAAAATGAGGATATTTATATCTGACGAAGAATTAGTTATAAAGAGGTTGCTGTGACTCTGATGGAATGATCATGTTCGATGTAAAAGCTTCAAGATTGATCTATAATTTACAGGGTAGGCTGTCAATGCCAATAGCAGGCAGATGCGCTGACGGCAAGAAGCACCAGGCAGCGGGGCAGCGTCATAGCGGATCGAATTCCGCGCCTCCCCACCATAACTTTTTTCTCGGCCGCTGAAAGTTTGGCGCTTCAATTGAGCCCCGGAAGTCTTTCATTCTGCAAACCCAAGTTTAGCAGGTCGCATTCCATCCTCGGGGGAAAAAATTCACCAGCAGACCAGCCTCGCGCTTTACTATACCTTGAATCGCCTATGTTTACACGATCGAGCTTATGAGAGTCGCGTTCACTGTGGAATTGGGATTATAGTCGACGGAATTGAGCTGAGTTGGAAATGTCAAGAGGAGGCGGTGGTGGACGGGGAGGCGGACGAGGAGGTCGAGGAGGAGGCAGAGGAGGACGACCAGCTCTTCCGTGGGACGACACAGATGAACCCGATGCCCGGCCCTCCGAGCTGTTCCCGGTGAGTTGGATTCCAAGGAGGAGAGCTTCAAATGAAGATGCCTGTGGAAGAGAGCCGCTGCTAACAGTCTTTGTCTCTAGCCCTGCGTTGTTCCAACTCCTCGCGCCCTCACCACCACAGAATACAATAGCGTCCAGTGCTTCCTCCTCCTTCGCCACCAAATCCACTCATCGCCTCTCTACACATCCAAGCGAACCTCCCTCATCGACCCCGCTGCCCCTCGAAAAGTCTACGGCCGCGACCAAATGAACGCCCTGTACGACGTCAAGAGCAAGGCCTCCGTCGACCCCTTCAACGCCATGCCCACCTACTCTCAGCGCTTCTCCCGGCCAGAGCGCGCCCTCCCAGAATGGTCCTCCCGGCCGGTGTGCAGAGAAATGTTCCCTCCCGAGCTTCTCGACACGGTTGACTCGGCGGATGCCAGTGGAATGAGAAAGAGACGCAAGTTGGAGCTGAGCAAAGTAAATGCTTTGCCGAATGCGGAGGAAGCGTTTGGCATGCCTGCTATCGAGGGTGAAGATGATGAAGGCGTGCCGGTGAATGGGAAGAATATACTGGAACGATTGGATGCTTTGCGGGATGACGAGGGTGATGACGCTGCCGATGTGGACGATGACGAAGGCCTGGAAGAGGAGGAGGAGGATGAAGTCTACGATGACGAAGATGCTGGTGACTACGATGCTGAAACGTACTTTGACAATGGCGATGATGGCGGCGACGACTACGGAGACGGAGATGATGGTGAAGGGACATATTAATGCTTTCCTATCCTATTCTCTACTGGTTTTTGGAACTATCAAACGGTCCTTGGCTAATGGGACGATTTCATTTTTCATTGAGAGGAAGCCATCATTCGGGCATTTTGTTACTATTACTCATCCATACATGTATATAAAGCCAAAAGACTTATACCCATCCCTTGCATCAACCATGACTCCACGATGAGTCACATCCTGCGCCAGTAAGCAATGTGATCGCTGCTCTCCCTTCAGATGTCGCATTGTTATTTCACATTGCCTGGGGGGTATCATTGCGACTACACTCGTAGCCATTTCTACACTAGTCGCCCCTACATTTATCATCTAGATACTCTTGTGTTGCTACCCTTCCTAGCCATACATATCCTGGCATCGATAACAACTGAGAGGAAGACAATGACAACCTTTCTTATGCTCAGCCACGAAGAGGGCTCTTTATACAGCAAGCGCCGCCTAATGAATAAACCCAAAAAGCGTATCCCCCTTTCACCTCAAAAGGGGAGAAACCCTTAAACCCAGACCCAAAAAGACGTAAGAAAACAAAAGTAAATTAAAAAGCAAATCGCTTCATGAAGAAACCCCGGAATACAGCCCGCTATCCAAGATCCCCGCTTGCAACCTTGATAATCTCTCCCTCGTATCCGCAATCTGTCCAGCCTGAGCGATGACTGCGCTGCCCATCTCCCGTAATGCTGAGAGCACCTGGCTGAGCTGGTCCTGGACGGGAGCGCTCATGTGGTCGCGTAGACTGCGGATCTGCTCGTAGAGTCCGTTCTCCACCCCGGGCATATCCCGCTCGATCTGGGACCGGTACTCGTCCAAGCGGTTCTTGTACTTCTCAACGTCATCGCAGATGCGGTTAAAGTAAGTGATGAGATCCTGAGCGCTGGCATGGGCGGATGAGGCGTCTGTTGAGTTGGAGTCGTTTGGTGGAGGGGGGCCGGCGAAGAGGCCGGTTTGGTGGTAATGTGTAGGTAGCTTGAGGTTGTCGGCGGCTTTGAAGGAGAGCTGGGCGTCCGCAACGTCCTTCTTGGTCATGTCCTGAAGAGCCTTGACGGTCAGGATGTCGCGGTTGAGGGCGTCCTGAACCGTCTTGAATTTAGACTCGACAAATTGGACGTCTCGTCCGAGCTGATCGATATCCTTTTCATGCTGGGGCATGAATTCGCCAATTTCATCCCTCATCTTGATGACGCGCTGGATGCCCTTGTCAATGAGAGCAATTTCGTTCTGAATCGGCTGGGCAAGGTCGTCGAAACGCGATCGCGGTCGCAGGTTGTCATAGTTGACTTGGACAGCCGCAACTTGGTTCGTGGCAGGAGCAGCGGTAGCTGGAGTTGATCCACTAGAACAGAGTTAGCAATCATGGGTTGCGTTTGTGTAGGACAGCACATGGCATACAATAAACCACCAGAGGGCTTTGCTTGAGTTTGGCCCAGCAATCCACCTCCTGTGCTGGCTGCAGCTGGAGTCGAGCCAAAAAGACCTCCTCCTGACTGCTGGGTGGTTGCAGTATTCGCAGGATTTCCAAACAATCCTCCACCCGTCGTCGCTGTCGTTGGTGCTGCTGCAGGTTTGGCACCAAACAGTCCTCCGCCTGTCGTCTGCTGCTGGGTGCCCGCAGTATTGCCAAACAGGCCTCCTCCTGTCGTCGCCGGCGTCGTTGTTGCTGCGGGTTTGGCGCCAAAGAGTCCACCAGCGGCTGGCGCAGGAGTTGGTGTTGACCCAAACAAACCACCAGCAGTTGTACCTGTGGCAGGGGTCGCGGCCGTGTTTGTTGCCGCGCCAAAGAGACCTCCGCCAGCACTTGGCTGAGGAGTTGGTGTAGCGGGAGTTCCAAAGAGGCCGCCTGTCGCTGCTGGCTTGGCGCCAAAAAGACCGCCCGTGGTCGCCATGCTGCCAATGGTTGATGGACTTGCCGACGCGTTACCAGCTCCAAAGAGTCCTCGAGTCGCCGCTGGCTGTGAGGTTGTGCCTCTGTGGCGCGTTTGGTCAGCGACAATAAGAAACAAAGTATCAGCCCGAAGCTAATTGGAGAGTCTGTGAGGTGGTGGCGGGCGAAGCGGTGGTGGTGAAAAGCACCTGGTACTCCGTGGATGTGGTGATATCAGAAAGTTCACGGCGTGGTGTTGAAGATTTAGCAGAGCTTACAGGGTATTTGCAGCCGAAGTGTTGATGCTAAGACCCGCTGGGCCACTAGCAGACCGCGCCAGAGACATGGAATCGCACCTGAGCAAAAAATTGGCCTTTGCAAACAAACTGACTTTTTTTCCGGGCAGGCGAGTCAAGGGCCCAATTCGTGTGGAGCTCTGGGTTTGGATATGCCAAAGCTTGGACTTTGCGGGTCTGAGAGTGAAGGGATACGGAAAAACTCCGGGGCTGTGATGCGTTGTGGCTGGGTCTAGATAGAGAGATACAGCATTAGTAGAGAGGATCGATTCCACAAGGCTAGCCTTAGTTGACTTTCAACCTGCAGAAGAGCTTCCCAGAGCTTCAACTTGCACCATACATACGCCGATTTCCGTGACTTTATTCAGTTCAATTCGCTTTTTCATTTATCCTATACTCAACCTCTTACCTTTGAATAATTGCCACAATGGATATGGACGAGGATGACGATCTCTATCAGCCAGAAGAGCCGAAGATTGAGCATGACGAAGAAAAGAAGCCCAAGGTGGAAGAGCTAGAAGAGGGCGAAGAGGAGGATGAAAGCGGCGCCATGGATGAGGATGATGATGACGACTCAGTACGGAGGTTTCCTCACTGATGCATGTTATGGGCCACATGCTAATCACATGAATTGCAGGATATCGACATCATCACAGAGCGAAAAGACGGCACAAAGGCAGCACCACCACCGTATGTCAACCTCGTGCGCGCCGTGTCGCGATATGATGCGATACGGTCAGTGCCCATTTAGCTGACAGGATGACAATAGACAAGCCAAGTATAGCGACATCAGAAATATTCCCCAACGATCAGCCTCCAACGACACCCCTGCGAAGGTATCAGCGCCCATCAAGAGGGACGAAGACTCAAAACCGACGAGCGCCCTGAACATTGCCGCTCCCAGCGCGGATCAAACATCAGCTGCTGCCTCAAAATCAACAATCGACATCAATGCTAATCCAGTCCACCCTGCAGCTGGCAAGCCTATAACACAAGTCAACATAGACGAAGGTAACCTCTCTCTCATTGCTCTCGTCGGTTCTTCCTGGTGCCTAACCAATCTCGTTAGATCTACCAGACAGCGACAAACCGTGGCGTAAGCCAGGTACAGACATTAGCGACTACTTCAACTACGGCTTCGATGAGTTCACATGGGCTTTATACGCTGCCAAGCAAGAATCGATCCGCGGCGAGTTTGGTGCCGATGCTTTCGCCGCCAACAACAAGAAGATGATGGAAGACTTCAACATGATGATGATGGGAGGCATGGGTATGCAGGGTGGAGGAGGTGCAGGCGCTGGCGCTGGTGCAGGTGCAGGTGGCATGCAGGGAATGGATGGAATCCCTCCTGAGATGCAAGCCATGATGCAGCAGATGATGGCTTCAGGCATGGACCCTTCTCAAATGGACCCAAGCCAGATGGCGGCCATGTTCTCTGGGATGCAAAACACCGGTGGCAATGCTGGCGCGCAAGGCAACCAGGGGCAAAACTTTGGCGGCGGCTTCGGTGGAAACCAAGGTGGCTTCGGCTATGACCAGGGCATGGCGGGAGGCGGCAGTGGAAGAGGTGGATTTGGAGGCCGTGGTCGCCGTGGCCGATGGTAGGGCAATCATGAGTCCGGGGGTTCTGAGACATCCAGCAGCCATGGGTTTGGAAAGACTTCTAACCAAGAAGATGGGCTTCGAAATGACCGTCCTGAGAAGAAGAAGAGGAAGCCGCAGCCGCAGCCGCGGGGGGGACGTCGTAAGAAGCCTCGACCAGCACAAGCATCTAGTTGGACGCCATCTGCCGTTAGAGGACACGGATAATTGGTGGTGCAGATGATAGGAGATATCATGTTCGCTACGACACGCCGCTGGAATACATGATATATAGCGGATTCGAACAGCACGTGGGTTATCATGGACAGGACCAGAGATCGAAGGCGATAACGGGCCACTTCTATCAACTTCAATTCTCTGAAGCTAGTTTTACAGAAGCATTGGCAGCAAATCGCTCACACTCCTACCTCCTTATCACGGTAGAAGATAGTTGGGGGAGTGTTGATGGGCATGATGATATAGATAGGTGGCATTCATAGTGTCTGAGGTATGTATGCAAATATACAGCCTTTGAGAGCTGCCAATGAGATGAAAAGAACAATCTCTGCTTGTCTGTTTGAATGATAACTGTGTAGCCCGACATCAGGTAACGTTACCTAGCTGTGACAGACACGGGGCCTAGTTGGGAGCTTCGAGGCTCGAACTTCCTAAGAGAGGAGGGTGGCCGCTTTTGTATGGCCTGCCAAGAGGCTAGAGGATTGGGTTGAGAGATGCCAGGAACGCCCGCATGCAGCATCACACGACGTAAGAGGGGGAGGGGGACTTAGGATCAGTTTTTGGTTCTGCCTCTTGATTGCAATGAGGAGGAAAGATATGGGTAATTGTGTGGTTGCTGGGTTTGATCACTTTGAAGATGTCCATGGATGCTTACGTGGGGGAACGTTGAGTGGGAGAAGGATCACGGTTGAGTGTGTTCAATTTGACTACCTAGTACAGAGTAACTCAATAGAAGCAAACCCACTGTCTAGTATTAATATGTAAGCAGTACTAGGTAGCTCAATTAGATCAGCAAGATCGATCTGAAGAAGCAAATCACCATCACAAGCATCACCATGTCCAACTACCAACACCGCTTAGCCGCCCATCACCACCAACGAGCCGCCGGATCTCTCTCCAGCCTTGAATCTCTCCGAGGCCGACTCCGACTCACTCACCCCGCAGCATATCCTGAACGATACTTGAGGTATCATCTCGGGATCACTCTTGGTTTCCTGTCCATCCCCTATCTAGAGATGAGGAAAGTGAATAAGCGGTGCTCTTCAATTATGCATGTACCTGACCTTGCTCTCCCACCTGAGCGCCGATGACACCCGATAATAGCAGTTTTTACATGCTTCCCCGCGACAAGTCAAAACATGTTTTAAAGAGACGCACAGTTCAGAGTTTATCCTAACTATTAGAGGGAATCCCTGCGGCGGTCCTTCTGCAGGGGTGTGTTCTTCCACTCATGAAGCATCTACACACTCTCTATGCCGAAGCGGGAAGCTCATATGCTGAGGGAGGGCTAACCATAGCGATACGCTTCTTGAGCCTTTTCCCCGACTGGTGGATGTATCCTCTTTAAGTGCTTATTCTGCGCTTAAAGATGGAAACAATTGAAAGCAAGTTTTCAGTGATGTTTGCCGTAATAACTTGCTCTGATGCATTGCTCTTCCTGTGTATGTTACCGTTGCAGAGATAGTCATGGTGCATCGCGTGGAGATGCCACGACGAGATGGAATCAGCCGCGATCCTTCTTGTTTGCGAACTCACGGCTGGCTGTGGTAACCGACTAGATACACTCTGATGACGTGTGTTGTGCAACTCAAGCTCGCCGAACAAAGTCGATTATTCTAGGGTCATTTCAGACTTTTACATGAACACCGAATCTGATGATGTCTGAGCTTAACTGTCGCTTACACGCCCTATCCGGGTCCCATCAGGCTTCATTGATCTAGGCTGTTTGAACCCATACCATAATATGGAATCTTACTCAAAATCGGGTGTTTGGATGCTACCCAAGTAGGTAGGAGGTTGTCACACCCTGGTTCCTCCACAAACCTTACATACATACATATCGAAGACAGGTCATGATCCTCAATCCTCCAATCAAATCATGATATATGTTTCCCCCGCGAATGGCCCTGGTTTGGTTTCCTTGTGCCTCCCACGCTTTTTGGGTATCATCGTCATGTACATGTACACATATATTCGCATGGAAATACACCCTCTTATCGCCATTGGCAGGCTGTGTTCCATATCTGTAGATGGAAAGATATACGCTGGAACCATTCAATTACCAACACTGTACATACACCGAGGTACGATGAGCGAGTATAATGCGTACAAAGCGGTAAAGATTAAGCGACCTTTGGCTGTACCACTGAGTACATCACCATCCGAGTACATGTATGTCATATCAAAACCCCTGATGTTTCGGAGCCTTGACTAACCTACCTGTCTCGGCACACTCGCCCAGATGCGACCAACCTTCTTCTTTGCTACCTTGGAGCGTCAATCGATCATGTTACCCAGCAAGTTCACTATAGCTAACTACCGCATGGATATCAACCGATAACGTCCTCCAAAAGCCGATATAGTGAGTCAATGCGGCTATTACCGATGCCGATACTCCTCTATACCTCCCCATCAAAGGTAGCATGGCTCCATCACGAGTTCATCATGACCCCCGTTTCGCCTCGTCCCTTCGCCCGGCGGCAAGCGCAAAGAGGTTTCCAATGCCACGTATGCTCAGAAACCTGATGTAGCATCGTGTAAGACAGCGGGGGAATATTCCTCCCCATTGCTCTTACATGTTCAACTTGAGAGAGGATATAAAAAGCTCTTGGTCCGACCCTGTGAGGTGGCACGCTGCTTCTTCGTCATCAAAAACATATTCGTTTCGGATCCGATAGCCTCAGCATCCCTATAGCCAGGATGCCTTCATTGACTGCTCTTGCGAGCTTGCTCGTTCTTGTTCCTTCTGCTCTGGCTGGTTGGAATGTGAACTCGAAGCAAAATATCGCCGTATACTGGGGTAAGTACTTCTTGATGAAGTTTTTTTGTTTGGGAAAATCCATCATCTAACATGCAAATAGGCCAGAACTCTGCCAACTCGCAAAGCACCCAGCAGCGTCTCTCCTTCTACTGCAATGGTACATCTACCAAACTCTGCAAGACAGTCCAATCAGAAGATAGGACAAGATAGAACTAACAATTTTCATCAAGACGCCAACATCAACGTCATTGACATTGCTTTCCTGAACGGAATTACTCCTCCCATGACCAACTTTGCCAATGCCGGTGACCGATGCACGCCCTTTTCCGACAACCCCTGGCTCTTGAGCTGTCCTGAAATTGAGTGAGCCTTTGGACCTCTCCCTTTTCATATACGTTTACTGATTATGATTCACCATCAAGGGCGGACATCAAGACTTGCCAGGCCAATGGCAAGACCATCCTCCTCTCTCTCGGCGGCGATTCCTACACTCAGGGTGGCTGGAGCTCAACCGGTGCTGCTCAATCAGCTGCTGATCAAGTCTGGGCCATGTTCGGCCCCGTTCAATCCGGAAGCTCTGTCCACCGTCCCTTTGGCAGTGCCGTCGTTGATGGCTTCGACTTCGACTTTGAAGCAACAACCAACAACCTCGCCGCCTTTGGCGCCCAGCTAAAGAGCCGAACCAACGCTGCCGGCGGCAAGAAGTACTACTTCTCTGCTGCTCCTCAGTGCTTCTTCCCCGACGCTGCTGTCGGTGCCCTCATCAACGCCGTGCCCATGGACTGGATCCAGATTCAGTTCTACAACAACCCTTGCGGCGTCAGCGGCTTCACTCCCGGCACCTCCACCCAGAACAACTACAACTACCAGACCTGGGAGAACTGGGCCAAGACTAGCCCCAACCCCAATGTCAAGCTTCTCGTTGGCATTCCCGCTGGTCCTGGTGCTGGTCGAGGCTACGTCTCTGGCTCTCAACTTACGTCAGTCTTCCAGTATTCGAAGGGATTCAGCACCTTTGCCGGCGCCATGATGTGGGATATGTCCCAGCTTTACCAGAACACTGGCTTTGAGACGCAGGTCGTCAATGCCTTAAGATAAAAGGCCAATTTATAACATACGGAAAAGCTCCAAAGTTTGGGAGTATGGGGGTGGTCTGACAATGGAGGGCCCAAAGGTAAGATTGTACAATGTATATATGCCTGTCGAACATCTACTGTATATAGCTTCGACTTTTTGCACATATTGAATTGATTGTATATGATTTCAGTTAAATGTGTACTATCCTATAGTGTAATCAATTTCGTCGTTTCTAACGTTGGGTATCATAAAAAATTCATCAACAGTCCTGAAAATCAGTCGTCAGTTCCCGTCCTCTTTCCACCTCTTTCATAGCCATATCTGAAAATACTGAAAATCATACATCTACGTAGGGATAAAGTGCTTAGAATCCTCCTCCTGCTGCGCAAACGACTGCGAAAAAGCGGCCAACCCTATGATGATGCCCACAGCCATGAACAGCACCGAAATGATGGACCAAATGACACCCCAACACTGCGACGAGCCGCCGTACCTCTTGGCAAAGACGCTCGCATCCGACTCATTGACCTTTCGAAGGATCAAATCGTCACAAATGTCCCACACGCTGTACAACGAACTCATGACGCCAATGAACAAAACAACAAAGCGCAACGCCTCAGCATGAACGATAAACCAACATCCAATCAGCAGTCCAACAGCAAGCAAGATGGTCATGATAGTCAGCCAGTCGCGTTTCCCCCACCAGAGGGTTAGCAGGAAACACACTCCCAGGACGATGCTGGCGATTTTGCTGGCGACGATGTCGAAACCGCACATGGTGAGCAGTGCGCCAATGATGGAGGAGCCGAGATAGCCTGCGGGCAGGGTGATGGCGCTGATGCCGCCGGTGAGGTGAGTGACGCCACCTTCATGGGGGTCGAGGGAGATTGATTTGACGTGGCCGCCGGTGAGGATGGCGGTGATGGCGTGGCCGAATTCATGGAAGGCAATGACAAGCATCTGGGGGAGAGAGTGTTAATGTATGTGATGTATTTGCTTGGGAGTATGTGTGTAGATGGAATGGTGTTTAAGTCAAGTTGATGGGGATATTGAGGTGAAGCCATCATCATACCTTGAACGGCCACAAGATCATGCGCAGGTAAGGCACATTCCAGAGGATGGCGATTGCGACGACATATCCCGCAATGACGCCCAATGTGACGGCCTGAGTGTGAGTTGGATGCTGGAGATTTCGAGAGAGGAGGGCATGATCTTGATGTTGAGAGTTGGAGTGTATAGTGGAAGCGCTTTCAAGAGGCTGCCATGGCGCCATTTTCACAGGTGAGGTTATCGGTGAAGGATTTGATGTTTCAGAGGAAGAATATCCCTTAGGTGATTGTTTTGGTACTCCAATGGAAGTCAGGTGGGATGAACCATGTGCTTAAAATGAAGATCAACAAAACGATTGACCCCGCCGCTTGAGTAGCAGAAGTAAAGCTGATGTTTACTTTACTGAGGAACGAATGTCATAGGATGAAGGATGAAGGAAACAGATTGAAAAGGTAAAAATGTAGTAAGAAAACACACAATCTTTCCCTCGAAAAAAGACAGTACGGAATACTGAGTACCGAATTCCAAAGCGTTGACGCGGCATGTGAGAAGCAAGTGGGACCACGAATTGCGTGGCTGGGGGGCGCTGCACATCATCTATTTTTAGGCGATGCTGGGGATTTTGGCGGTTGCAGTAACTCCAATGAGCTGAGATCGCCAGGGCGAGCTTTGCCACAATTGAAGCCACAGCCACGACTTGGCGTGAGTTTGCAAGTCAATTACTAAGACACTTGCAGATGTGAATTTGTAAGAAAGACAAAGAATTGAATTGGATGGAACATATGTAGTGGGATGAGAGTCTCCAAGTTACCAGGATGGGGGATGAACTCCATCCCGAGGAGCTGATTCCAGTGATGATACAGAGCACCAACGACCACGAAAAGTCATATGGGCATTGAGCTTCAGCTGATTTGGTTTATAGACCGAGGAAATCGTATCTTAATGTCAACCTTGAATCGGTGTCTCGGACATGGCCCGCTGAGATGCAGCAACGTATGACTAGACTATTCACTTATGTTGAAGCTGTAGTGTGCCCGATGCAGGCCATTTAGCCTGTGTAACGAGACGCGATGCCCCAATAATTGCGACGATAGGTTGATCTTTGTGTATGAGATGAGAGTTTGTGCAAGCTGAGATCTACAGCAGTTTACAAGCAGCTGAGGAGTAGAGGCCCGCTGTGTTCGATACGCGCATGTATATCGTGAGTTGCAAAATGTGCATCAACTCCATATTGTAAAAATTGATAACGTATTTTTCCATCCATGCCAATACATATTCTCTAAATACTAAAATCCGAACAACTACTCGTTACTCGTTTCTCGATAGTGCTGTCTCAGACCGTTCCTGCATGTACTCTCGCCGTCGCATAGGACTCGTTACACTCGCTGAATACATGACAAACCAGGCGATGGTCTTTCAGCCCCTCTGTACCACCGTCATACAGCGCCCAAATAACTTGGAATCGAGATATTATTCGTGGGAAAAGAGATTAGTTGAAAAGTAAGTAGATTTTATTCTCATATGAAAGAGATGGCAGCTGAACCCGAGTCGATGTCCTGTGCTACAAGTGTACCTACCTAGTACCGAGAAGTTAGAGTAGGACCAATCTGAATTATTTACCTAGGTAGTCTGCTATTATTATTATTGTAATTTTCCTTGGTAAAGACATCAATTACTCTGAGACAATGTTTCTCAATAAATACTCGGATGCAGAAGGATGAACCGAACCGCTCTCTCTTGCCAGATGACAGACCTACCTACTTATCTCCTTATCTCCTCTCCTCAGGCACCAATCAACAATCTGAATGCTTTAAGCTATGATTTCTTCATCTTCTTTCTCTTCTACAGCTTCAAACCTAATATTCGCAAATCTGCTTCCTATCAACAAAGTGGCCACCACAGATCCTCGAGTCCAGTCTATCTCCGCCTCCTGCAGAATGATTTGCCCTCCATTCGTCTTCTGAGAGGCGCTCCGCCCTCTCCCATCACGCGATAGGCTCTGGGACAAAAACATCGACAAGAATCTACCGCTGCGCATTGATTTTCATGGAGAGCTTTCCCCATGCCGCCATGGCCCCGAAGATCACGTCGCAGGATGCAGGGGCTAGAGTACCGCTTCCAGGGCAAATCATCAGCGTCATGTTGTCCTTGGCAGCGACGACTGTTCTTACACTTTTCTTAAGTGAGACTGCCCATGGAGTACTCCCTCTTCAACTATCTTGTTCAAACGGGAAGAAGCTAAACGCCGTGAGTACATCAGCACAGAGAGTTCTCGTGATTAAAGCCTGGAACCGGTTGCCGCCTGTGGTTTGGTGTAAGTTGCATTTCTGAATTCTGCCACCAAAATTCCTCTCCCCATCAGTGACAAGGGGCTGATGTACATCCCAAGTGGTATTCGCCATTTATATTGATTCCTACCTTTTCGTCATCGCCACGGCCGTTCTGCAGCACTCCCTTGGTGTCAATTCAAGTTACGGGATATGCGAAGCCGCTATTTTCCTATGCCTCGTGTGCTACGTTACTACCAAGGTGATGAGCATGTTCTCAGACTTACAAGTGTTTCGTTGCTGACTTGATACGTCTTGATAGATTGTGAGCATATCGTTCCTCTGCGTATGAGACATATGTTTTTTGCTAACCATCTCAGTTCATTTACTTATTTCTTGCAGAAAAGGCTGTGAGTATTAGACAGTCCAACTTACAGGGAGTTCCTAACTCAAGGACGTCAGTGGATCATTCGCGGTGCAACGACCCCACGCCTCAAGTCCATATTGTATCTGGTAAATTCGCTGGGCATGCTCACCATATATATCGCAGTGGTCATCCTAAATTTCGTCTTGTAAGTTTGATAGGTATACGATGGCATCTGAGCTTTAATAACATCTAGGCTAGTCGCATCACAGAGATGCGCAGCGGGGAATGCATAATCGGCATGCGAAGTGCCGCCATGATCCCCCTTATCTCCTTTGACACGGTGATTAACGTGTACCTCACGATCATGTTTCTTATACCGCTGAAGAGTAAGCTTTCTGTAGAAAATTGTTGATAGTGACGATCATGACTGATGTTGTGCTAGAGCTCTACTCTTATACCAACATGGCTCGAACACGGGCCAATATTCGTCTTCGCATGGTGGCATTCAGAACCTTTTGCGGAGCAGTTTGCACGCTTGTGAGCAGCATTGTGTATGATTCGTGACCAAATCGGGTCTATCAATTCCAAAAGTCTTAACTGACCACCATTTTTAGCAATCTGTCTGTCTTAATGGCCCTTAATGGTGAGCCAGGATGGGTCTGCTTGATGTGTTGCAATTGTGACAGTCTGTCGCCCCAGCATCTTCTCTGCAAAGAGTGTTCTCGGCTAATCCTTCATTGTCGATAGTCCTCTTCTCGGCGATCGTCATTCAATGGGTTACATCCAGGGACAACGCCGGGACGATGAGCAGCTCCTCTTCTGACGAAGCTCGACGATCCCGAGATCTCGGTTCTGGGATGAATCGCATATCCATTCCAAGCGAGCTCCATGAGACGCCATCATCCACTCTTGCCGACATCTCGCTCGTGCCAACCAGGCGTCGATCCCGCGGAGCCGATGATGTTGATCCTCATGACCACGACCCCCCTGACACCAGCGCCGCCAAGGTTATTAGCAAGCCCGCCAGCGCCGTCATGGTGACTACGACGATTGAGAGTGAGACCAGACCGCGTTCTTATAACTTTACCGGACTGACCAGAGAGTCTTCCAAGGCGTGCGGGCGCGGGTGCCTGATGTCACGGAGGTCATGCTTGGCGGACGATAGCTTCTTTTCAGCGCAGACCAAGATCACGGCCGGGGGCTCCCATTTTTTGGAGGACTTTGGTCAGAAAGTGGATATTTGTTACTGTCAGCCTTTTGTCTTGAGAGAGACGAATAATGTTGCTTAGTTCTACCCTACCACCTTGGCCCTAATAGAGTTTTTCGATATTTTACCTATACAGCTTACATGGATGGGTGAAATGACTAAATTACGCCCGCTTTCGTTGTCAAAAATGACGGAACTTTAAAGGAGCCCAAATAAACAAAAAAGTCACAAGCAGTTACTGGTTTTAGGCACAAGAAAAAAAAGTGTGAAATCGCAAGACCTTTAGTTTAATTCGTAGCTCGTAGATCTATGCTAAAGTCTTATCCACGACCCCATTCTATACGTAGATACATACTGGATCTTCATGTTTCCGTGAACATCTCTCTCCTTTGTCTCATGGATATTGAAGTGAAATAAAGACGGAAGGCCGAGATGACCACCAAAAGTGACTATGGCAGAATATCTGGAGCACACCCCCTTACAAAAATCAGTGTACTGATGCTGTGGATGTTCCATCCAAGAACCAGAGAGTTAAAAATATGTACAAATGAACTTGAGTTGCGCCTATTCCCCCCCGATACCCATTTTTTTGGTTAAATGATTCCTTCAATAAAATCTTTGTGTCTGAAAATTGGCTAAAGATGCATCGAGATGTCCCTAGCTGGTACTATACAGGAAGCGAAAGATGCCCTTGAACGCCAACTTAAGCGGTGGCGTAGACGTTGCCGTAGTCGCTGGGGGAGTTGCCGTTCATCAGGATGCCATCGCCAACCATGAAGTAGCTGTAGCCCATGACGTAGTCGAGGGCGTCGAGCTTTGGAAGGGCCTCCTGCAAGAAAGCGCTGATCTCGTCGTCAGAGCCAGAGGGAGCAAACTCGGTAAGGATGACAGGCTTGCCACCGCAGACCTTGTTGGCTTGCTCAAGCTGGGTGAACAGAGTGTCAATGGCCGAGGCAGGGGAGTACCAGTGGATGTTGCAGAAGTCGAAAGCGCAACCGCCCTCCTGAGCGCTGCAGGCATCGACGAAGCTCTGGAGCCAAGAAAGACCCTGGCCATCAGCACCAGAGTTGGAGACAGAGGGAGCACCGATAAGAGCCTTGCCAGAGTACTTGTTCAGGAACTGGGCGTGAGCGGCAGCGGCAGCAGCAGGAGACAGGTTAGACTGGGAAGCAATATCGGGCTCATTGAAGGAGAAGATAGCCTTAGAGCCAGAGGCAAGAGCGGCCTCAGCCTGAGCATCGAAGCCAGTGGAGTGGTCAGGGGAAGGTCCCCAGAGAGTGGGAACATAGCTGTACTTGCTGGTGTCGATGCCAGAGGGCCAGAAGCCCCAGTTGTAGGCCCAGTGGCACTTGTCACAGCTCTCACCGAAGGTGTTGGCCAGGGTGCCGTCGTTGTAAGCCATACCACGCTTGCCGGGGAAACCACCAACGGAAGCAGGAGGGGGGCTGGCGGCCTTGCTGGGGGCAGCAGAGGAGCTGGCAGGAGGAGGAGCCGGCTTAGACGAAGAGGGCGTAGGGGTGGGAGTGGGAGTGGGAGTGGGAGTCTCCGAGCTGGTAGGGGGAGCCGGAGTGCTGGAAGGTGCCTGCTCAGAGGAGGACTGAGGAGCGGAAGAGGAGGCCTGGGCAGCAGGTGTGCTGCTGGTCACGATGGGAGCGGCCGAAGACGAACGGACAGCGGTGATCAAGGTGGTGGAGTCCTTGGAGGAAGCGGGAGCCGCTGGGGTCGAAGCAGCCGCAGTGGAAGAGGCAACGACGACGGTAGCGGTCGAAGTGACAGTTGGGACAGCTCCAGCGTTGTTTCCGGCAGGGGAACCAGTAGGGTTGACATCCTGAACACCGAATCCGGTGCCGGTGGCGGCAGCGGGAGCAGAGGGAGCGGCAGTCGACGCAGACGGGTCAACGGTGACATAGACGGTCTCCCAAACGGTGCACCAGTCGGTCTTGAGGACTCGCTTGTCCATCTGGTGCTGGTGGCGGTGGGCGTTGAAAGCCATGGACTGACCCGCGAGGGCAGCGATAGAAGTGAGGGCAACGGCCTTGTACATTTTGTCTAGATTTTGACGGGGTTTGGTTTTGGATTTCTTTTCAAATGTCGGAAGTGATAAGGACTGTGGGAATGAAGTCGAGTTGACTTTGTAGTGCTTTTGAAGAGCGCAGCAATGGTGTGTTCGGCGCGGCCGGTAAGGAGTGCGAAGGGTCTATCAAAGACACAAATTGTAAAGAGTGAAACAGCCTGGCTGATTTCAAAAGAAGTCGAACTGGCGACGGAGAAGATAAAGGAAAGACGAGCTGACGAGATGCCAGGGAAAAGAAATGTTGGAATGGTGGAAGAAGGAGAAAAGGAAGAGATGAGCTGGGGATGAGAGGGGCGAGGGGCCTGAAGTAGCCGGCAAGTGGAAGCCGCAAGGTGCAGGGCAAGTGCAGGGCCTTCTGCAAGGTACAGCGGCAGGGCAGCGGGGCCCTGGGCCTGGTAGGGCGAGGGTGTTTTAGTGCTGTGGCAAAGGGAAGCCAGCGCCGGTGAGGGCCCGTACGCGATTCAAGGCCCTGACTGACCTCGAGTGATATGGACGTGCTGCATGCGTTCAATTGTAACTTGCGTGTGCACTGTAACGCACGGGGCACGGGGGAACTCTGCTGTGCTCGAGAGGTACATGGTCGGAGAAGCAGTGCAAAGTACCCTCTGGCGCACGCAGAGCACGAGAATCGTCCGTTTGTGGTCCGTCATCCGCAACCTGATACAAGTCGTGCCTTGTTTTGCCATGTACATGTCAGAATACGCCTGCGAGGGTCCACACAGTGACAGAGGGCGGGAGGATTGTGCGAGTGAGCCTGTAGGGAATATATTGATGTAGTGTCACTGAGTGGCCTGAATTTGGGGGCTCAATGGATTCAATTGAATTGATATTGAATGCCTGCCCGCCTTATGAAGGGATACACAGCAGCACCTGCAACACTGCATTTCATCATCATCATCATCTTCCATCGCCCTGTGCAATATCAACTGTGTAGCACAAGAACAACGTCAAGATAAAACACTGAACAGAATAGAACAGAACAGCAACATTGAACCCAAACCCACCGAGACCTACGAGATCGTTGGAAAAATCAACCTGTGCTCAACTGGAATACAAAGACGTCCCGTTAACCGACCACGGGCTCCAGTTCCAGCACCAACTAGCGCCGGCCCAAGCCTTACTAGCGCAAGGGGGTTTTTGGGGGGCAGCGCCAGGCACAGGCACAGCGCCAGTTGAGGCTGCTTAGTGGCCCAAACGACACCCCTCCCCCTGCTGATTGGCCGCAGCCTGCCAGGCACAGACTTCCGGTTGGCTTCCAGCAGCACCGGCGGGTGAGTCCGGCCCGTCCAGGCCCAATCGCCATCCACGGCGCCCCGTCTTCTAGTCAAGGTGAAACAGCCCTCGCATGTCAAGTCGTGCGTGGCCCAGATCCGGTTTGCCTTAGGGGTGCGTTGGTTTTTTTTTTGTTCTTTGAATTGATTACGAGTACTGTATCTTGGATTTTGCTCACTTTTTTCTAGTGATTACAGGTGGCTTTGGGCGGTGGTGGGCTTGGCCCTCGCTTGGCCATGCGTTGGTATTCTCATAGCTGACTGAGGTCGACTCTAGGGATGGAGAAAGAAGGTTGAGGCTTTTGGCCATGTGGGCTCGGCCACGCCCTCGGCGTTTGTCTCTGTCGCTTTCTTCCAATGTCATCCATTTGATACGATAGCACAATATCGCACTTCCTGCACACTCCATCCTCTCCTGATACACCGTCCTATTAAAAGGATCAGCGCCGATGAGGCCTTTGCCCTTTTTTCCTCGGACAAATAAAAAAACAAGCAATTGCAGGCAAACCCTTCCAAATTACCTTTTCTCGTACATATGTAGCTGCGTGGATACCTTACTGACTTTTGATCTGTAAAGTAAAGTGGGCTGCGAGGGCATGATCATGTAAGACGGCCGACGAACTCACAAATGCGTAGAAAGATGGACAAAATACGAGTCTGTGTCACGCATTGCTTTTCGTATTCCATTCGACATACCTAGAGTTTATCTTGGCGTTGCATTCGATCCTCCTGTTGAGATCGAGCTATAAAAACATTGCTAGATACGCTGTAAACTTGTAGTATTCGTAGGGAGGTCTTTGGAAACTGACACCGCATATAGAAAGACAGGGGACAAGGCCCCCCGGCAGGCAACGCGTTCATCTCTTGTCGGTGCTAGGGTACGCCGATGCCAGTGGGGTCTATTGGTTTCATGCTCACCAGAATGGACCGGCCAGGAAACTTGGCTACAGCAGACGAGGCAAACAAACCGGAGCCCGGCATCGAAGGATGTTTCCCCAATGGAATGTATACGGAATACGGAGCACGGAGTACTCCGGATACATAAAGAGTATGGAGTCTCATTCTCCGCACACAATGCAAAATGATTTTACGGTAACAGGTCCTTTGTGTGTGCGATTGTCTCACGGAGCCGTGAGACAGTCCATCTATCGTACTGTATGCTAAGCTTTTGCTCGGGTAGCTGCAAGATTTGAACTCTGCATCGACCAACGTGGCTCCAATCGAGCCGCTTCACATGTTTCCTTTGCGCACATTAACTTTCGCGCCACTAATGTGAAACAAGAGAGAGAAAAAGAAGAAAAAAGGCCGCGACTTCAAAATGGCTTAGATCGTATGCAAGCCTTGACTAACGGCGCCGGTCGGTTTTTTCAGCCGCCGTTGTGACCACAGACTCGCAGGCACTTTCACTTAATTGCACCATCGTGGTGACAAGCTCCACCCCTGGCCACGTTGGCTCGGCCTCAAAGGCCAAGACCTGCCAATCGCTAGGCTATCCGGGCCCACAAAGATAGCGGTGGTTTTTTCTTTTTTTTTTTCCTTTCGCGCTCTTGGCATCTGCAGTCTAGAACTACTATGGCGTACAAGGATCGTGACCAACAGACGACTTCTCGAATCAAGTTTCGAGTCCTGGGCGCTCAGCTTGGCATCAGGGCTTCAGCCGTCAAGAAGCTGAGCTGAGCAGCTTGGAGTTTCTACGATTACGACCATCTTTGTCAGAATTTAATATTAATAGTACGAGCGAGAAGAGAAGTACAGTACAAGATTAGTCGTAGTGGGTACATCCATGCTACTCTATGCAAACACGTGGATACGAGTGCTGGACTCGTACACCTCTCGTGGCTCGGACCAAGCGCCTGTTTGGAGAGAGTTTGCGATTCTCCGTACAGGGACAGTAATGATTGCCCATACCTCGAATCCGCAGAGACTCGCAGTATTGCTAAGAAGAAGGCATTGTCGTTGAGCTGAAAAAGGAGGTGAGCAGACAAATCTTTTGGAAGTGCCTTGCTGTGTCAAGAACAGACTCCGCGAACGCCGTTGGCCGGATGGCGCGATATGTCAACCTCGAAATTACTTTCCCCCTTTCCTATTCTACAATTGCTATTCTAGACTCTGGCCAAGATGTCAACCGCCTGGTTGCCCCCCATGTCCCTGGCGGACCTCGATTCTTGTTTACAGGCAGGGTGCTGGGATACCCGGCACAGCAAACCTGAACCCTGGGCCAATCATGGCGGCCCTGGACTTTCAACTCATTCGGAGGTACTTAATTTGTTAATATATACGAGCGCTTCCAACGGAGTACACGCACATTCCATCACTGATGTCCTGCTTGTTGGGCCAATGGGCCGACTCGGAGTCAGTGGAGCGGCTGGTCCTGCCATAGTTCCTGTAAATTGTCGGCCTGACTTGTGGTTATCTTGCCATCTCATCGAACATTCATGGGCGTTTCAGTTGAAGCTTCAATCTATGTACGTTCCTTTGCCAATCTTGGTGACATTTATACCCGCCGCATCTCCTACAAGATAGTATTCAAAGGACGGGCGTGTCTTTGGCCAAGTCATCAATGGATCAATAGGTCTACAAATTGCCTACTTTGTGACCGCCACGTCCGGAAATTGCGTACGGGTACTTGTATCAGTAAGCGCCAGAGCCTAGCCTGGGCCTCTTCCGCAGCAAGCAGAAATCATACGAAAAAGCATCATCAACACCAGTAGATGACATGGCGCGATGATGGTGACAGTTTGATTCGAGTTGCGGCGAGGCGCCCATCGCACGCTCCATGTAAGCGACCGTTGTGATCCATTTTATTAGCACCATGTTGTTGTGCCTGGAGCTGATGGAGTTGTTGGCCACGTTCTTTGTTGGTCATTGACCAACCGGTATTGGAAGGCCGATTCACGTTGGACGCTACTGAGATTTCTAGCCTGCGTCAACCCTCAGGGCCCTACGATCGGCTCCTACCGAACTGTGAATATGGGTACAGGAAGGATCCAGTGGTTGGCCCCCAACGAAGACCTGAACAACACTTTTTTTCTTGGCTATCACCAGGGCCTATAAGCACCCCACGATGTTGTGTGCATTGCAAAGACTTGTAGTGGGTGATGCATTATGGGAGAACCTACACCGTAAAAGATTACAGGTACTCATGCAGGGCCAGAGCGCTAAAAGTCACTTGCGCCGTTGAGCTAGGAACGTTCAATTGTCTGGCGTTTTACAATAGACTGCGCGTGCTGTGTCTCGTCCTATTGTGGTGATTACCTAACCTTGAATCCTTCACCGAGCATGTAAGTGGCATCGCCATGACAAAGACCAATGTGCCGATTATCCACAAGTGTAAAAAAAAAAACGGTCGAATAGCCGCATCCAATGCCATATCTATCCCGCAGAGTGCCATCATTATGAAGAAGAATATTGTCAACCTTTACCGACGAACGCCACAATTCATGCTCTGTTGCTTCCATGGCATTGAAGCCTCAATTGGTTCACCGAGCTCTTGAAGTGCGGGCACAAATAGCTACCCTAGAGCTGGGGAAGAAAACGCGGGGTTGTAGATGAGGCGAGTGTGCGGGTTAATATACACAGTATAAATGATTATACATAACTACAGGTGGTTATAGTATTGTGATGATTGCTGTGTTTTGAAGAAAGGTGCCGGTGTAAAGAGCGTTGGCTTGGGTCGTTACCAGAAGAATCGCTAAAGGCGGTAACCTGCCCACTATTCTCCAACGTAAAATATGGGTAGAGCCCGATTAATAGGGAAAGAATACCTGACTTGCTGGCATATGGTCATCACTTATCGTATGGAACAGGATCTAATAGTTATTTGAAAAGTTTCTAATTGGCGAACCACATGCGACCCTTTCTCGCCTGCGCCAAAAATGTCATCCACACACCTCCAAGTTTGTAGGATTTTGCTAATCTCGTCACGTCAAGTGATACTTTCGGTCACCAAATCTGCCAAGCCTTCCGGGCGAAATGGACGCGATAACTCGTGCAAAGCAGCCAAGAAATCGTCAGCATGCTATCATACTAAACGGGAAACAAACCAGAAGCGCGCCAGCCAAGAATAGGCCAGCTGATCGATTGGAAGTCTGTGTGGAAGCCATCGTGGAAATACTGGTGCCTGGTTAGTGCTAAGGCATTGCTGCGCCGCCTTTGCCCGGTTCGCCTTGAAAAATCCATGGGTGGTATCAGGAACAACTGCGAGGCTACGAGTATATATTTGCACGGAGGTCGTGGTTCGGAGTAAAGGTGCTCCGTTCCTTGCGGCTAAATTGAAGCAACAGGCGGACTGCCGTCCCGGCTCTTTGTCTGACAGCTTCTACTTCCATTTACGGCAGCCAAGCTGTAACTCGTATCTCGACGATTCGCGACTGGCATCGCAAACTCAGATTTACGAATATTTATTTGCCCTCGGCAGTTCGCATTTTGTTGCTCGGTTTCCTGCGACTGCCGAGCGATTTCTGTGTGCAACTACACGTGCGCACTAATCGCACTTCTGCGGATGTCGCATTAACCTGCACGAAGCGCGCGTGGGGCCATATAGAGTCATCGGCGAGCTGGATTTGTACAGACCTGCTTATAATTTGCCGAGAGAAGGGCGCGCGTGCTCTGAACGTTGCCTAACATGGACCAACAGCCTTTTGATAACGACATCATGTCGTTTCCGGATCCCTCTGAATTCGACTATGCCTCCTTTCTGCAGGCCGACGACATGGGCTTCATGGATACTATGCAGGGCCAGTCGACGGGTTCGCTATCCGGGTCGTCAGGAGGAATGCACACACCCCCCTATCCCGGCTCCAGGAGCCTATCCAGCAGCAGTAACAATAACTACAATGCCGTGGACATGAGCCTCCGTCGACTGCCGGCGCAGCAAAGGCAGCGGTTGGAGCGGAGAGGCCATACCAAGAGCCGTCGGGGATGCTACAACTGCAAGAGACGGCGTATCAAGGTAAACGCGCACAAAGCACTGGTTTCGATTGGCGAAAATCAACATGCTGATTTTACCTTTAGTGTCAAGAGACACACCCGGCCTGTGGTCATTGTCTTAAGACGGGTCTGAAATGCGAGTACCCTGCTTCGCCCCAGATCACCCACCAGGTATGTCTCGGCGAGGAAGCCATCACGTCACACAGCCATATACATCTGAGACCTGGCTGACACCACAAACAGCCTCACAATCAGATACCTTTATTCAGTTTGCAGGACATGCGATGCTTCCAGTACTTTTTGACACAGTGCTACCCACACCATCCTCTGAAGCAGGAAGAAATTTGGACTCACGAGATTCCAAGCATAGCACATAACGTACGTTCGAGGCTCCCGTGTAGTAGCGCATCTGCTGGCATGCGGGTATGCTGTGTTGTACCGGTTAAATGTACTAACGCGCACTTGATAGCACGAGTTTCTTATGCATGCCATTCTGGGGTATGCCGCCTCAGAACTGATGCATGCAGATAGTAACCTTGCGCCGGTGGCTATGGGGCACCGCATCAAAGCCATCAAGGCGATAAAGAAGCGATTAACAGAGACGTCAAAGATGGACACGACTTACGAAGAGGCGAACGCCCTAGTAGCTACCTGCTTCGCACTCACTTTCCAGTCCGTCAGCCTCGAGGACGGCTTGGCCGAGTACATGACGTTCATTCGCGGCATTGTCATTGTGGGGATGCAAATGATGTTTAAGAGCATCAAGCCTCTTTTCAGCAATCTGTTTGAGTCCAATAACGATGATGTCCTTGCGCCACTTATGGAAGGACTGCCGTTGATCCAGAAGGGATGGGCGGAGACGGCTATTGAATCCATTACGAACTTGGGCCCGCTGTGTACGCACCAGGTTGAAATCGAATATCATGAAAAGCTGATGACCATTGCGTCCCATCTCCTCACCAACTCATTCGAAGGTAGGCTGACTGTCATATCTGGTAACAGGCACCGTGCTAACGTGGATTGTTATAGCGTACAAGGCCAATTCGAGGCAATACGCATGGTGGATGCTGTTGCCTCATGCCTCTTTCCAAGAACTTATCAACTCCAAGAATCAAGTCATCATCTTGTTGCACACCCATTGGATAGCGCTGTCGCAAATCATGGCTTTCATTAATGAGCAAGAGTATGAGGTGCGAGAGAAGCACCCTGCTCAACAAGAGAGTAGCCGTATCGACCCAGGATTCATTCGCTGGCTCAAGTATCTGAACGCGCGTGTCAACCAAGGACATCAGATGTTCAACCAGTGGCCAAGATGGGTAGATGAGCAGCTGGACCTTGATATAACCTTTTTCGGAAAGCGTCGGTAGAGAGACAATTTTTGGATTCGAGCAAGTTGGCAGGCATATTGGCGTCGTTTGTTTGCGGCGTATTTACTCGACATATATAATGACTGGTACGAAATCGATGGGCGATCGGTGTGTGAATCAAGCTGATCAGATGGCGATGATTAGTGTACGAGGCTTTGAGCTGGTCTTTCCGGTATATGTAACCTTGGTTTTAGTCTCTGTATAGATGGTAATCGAAGCGGTGTGTGATTGTTTCTGTTAGAAGCGGTGCCCATTACCGCGAGTTGCGACTATGAAAGCCAGGTTGTAACACAAACCGGGATACTTGGCGGAGTCGGAGTTATCTACGGGGCCCGGTGTTATCCGATGAGCCCGTGAAGGTGAGGAGTCCATGGAAAGTGAGGCGTCCGTGGAAGGTGAGGAGACTGTGGTAGCCGAGGAGTCTGTACAACCGAGGAGTCTGTAAGCCGAGGAATCTGGGGGTGATTGTTGGAGTTGGGTATATATTCCCTATATTCCACTAACCCTTTATGTCACTTACTACTCCTTGAATCTATAGCAACACTAGAACTCCCATAATCCTTTGCTGAATCATTCATTATCAACTTCCTATATTACGCCATAACATGTCTCGGTATGTAATATAGCTCCAGCAGCTAGTTTTGTTTCATTATATAAACTATTCAATTGTTAGACTGACTAGCTTTGGTATAAACCAGAGGAAGAATTCATCCGTCTCACAAAAGTGGAAGGACTAGTTTCAGAGACAGAAGCCGAGCAAGTCTTTAACCAACTAAAACCCATCGCGCCCTCATTCCTCATTGGAAAGTGGAAAGGCGGCGACCTCAACAGGGCATGTCGGGCACCAGAAACTCAGTGACATGCGTTGGGCTGGGAAAGACTTTCGGTCTGAGAATGACGGTGACCCAATCATGGTTCTAGATGAGCAGGGGAACCGGATCTGGAATAAAGACTGGGGTCACTGCTTGGTTAGTTACTTTCCAATTATTTTCACTGTTGTTTTGTTGCTGATGTTAGTTTATGGTTAGCTTCGTGAAATGGTCTTTCGTGGCGTGACTTCAACTGCTATGATCTATGATGAAAAGCCGATTTTTGACCATTTCCGGTATATTAATGAGAATGTTGTTGCGGGTGCCATGGATTGTCCCAAGGTATTTGGGTCTGAGTCTACCTACTACTTCTATCTTACTCGCCTTGAATAGCTTAGGGGGACATATAAACTTGATAAGAGTTTTCTTACCTAGTAGTTTCACCGTAGAGGCCCGTGCCGTACTAGAGCTAATAGGTAAACACCGCCATTCCCACGAAGCCACACCCGATTACAATGTAACGCCCTGGCACATCACGTATATTGCAACACCACAAAGGACTTTGAGATGGATCGTGATTTCTTCATCGCGGTTGACGAGGAGCTCCCAGTCACACGTGAATTTGCAAGCTACAAGAACTAGGAGAGGATAACTGTAATGATTTGCAACAGCCATTTCTATGGCACAGTCCGACACCGCACACGGGGTGAAAGACAAAGAATGGGGCTGGAAGATATCGCCGAAATGCCGAGTGGCATGATATCTGGTCTTGCAGGTTGCATACAAGTAATACACGTTACACGTAGAGGTGCCTTGCGATAATAGCGGCCAGTCTTCATACCGATTGTCAAAGGCATATCCCCTACCTCTCGGCGTCGAGAGTGAATCTTACGAGGAATACGGCACTTGGTCTGGCGAGTAATATTCAAAGGTTACTCGATGCTAAGCCTCGATAGTACTGACCCCGTCAGCAAGGCCGCTAGCTCTCCTCTTGCCCACCGAGAATTCCAAGTCGATTCTCCCTTCCCAATTGAAGCCTGATACCATCAAATCTCAACAAGCTTCTCGAAGCCCCCCGGCACAGCCACTCCAGGCTTCCCACGAGGCACGAGACAACGAAACATTGCAGAAGGTGCGATTATGCTTTCGGCAGGCTCCACAGAAGGATCTGGCTAACGGCATCGCGCTAGTTGATATCCTCCTTGCGAAGAGTGATTGGCCCGCGTTCATCGTATTCCACGTATTTGGCCCGAGTGGAGAACAGAGCGCCCCGCTTTGGGGTCTAGCCAACATGCAGAGAAAGCGCGCTGGTGGCCGTAACAGGACAGGAGCTGAGACTTGACGTAGGGAAAGAGTGATCGGATGGGGGTTGATGCGGTGGCTGTGAGGGAGCGTATTGGTCGGTTTAGGCGGTTTGGTTGACGTTGGGTGATTTAAGGCTTCAGATGATGAGAGAGGCTAAGACGATGCTGTTTTGATGTACTGCCTAGTAGTGCCCATGAGATAGTATAAGTAGTGACGTTGAGTAGCACATGCCATAGAGGTGAAATCAGATTGAAGCTGAGAATTAACATACAAGACTTATACTTGGCGCAACAAGAATACATCACTCGAATACTCGACACTTTCACATTTAACTTGTGCTACCTACCAATCAATACACAGGCATCGTCACCACCAGCATACACAATGGCTGCTACCGCCACTCAAACTGAGGTGCTCTTCTTCAACCGAAAGCCCTCACGAACTTCAACTGGAGCGTCATCTCTTCCACCAGCCTACGACTCCGGCAGCTACGAACTCAGACCCCTATCCACCACATCCTCACGCTCCAGCAATTCTCCTCCTCAATACGACACCCTCGATGCCGGTGGCTCGTCCTCTTCATCTCAATCAGCATTCCACTGCACCAAGGCCTTCCAGATCGAAACACGCGGCCAGCCTCTCATTGCTCTACCCATTCCTCCTCGACCGGTACCTATCCCCGTATACAACGTAGATCTCGCTTCAGATACCGTCACAGATCTCGCCTACGAGTCACTTCGTCCACTTCGAAACTCTGGCAACTGTAGCCTTGTCCGAGCCGGTGACTCTGAAGAGAATCCCATCTGTCGGACTACATATCGATGGGGTCCTGGTAGGCCACCCAGGATGGAGCTTGCTGGCGACATGGCTCTTGATGAAGAGTTTGAAGTCGTGAGCAAGGGACTTACTACGAGATCGCAAGTGTTCCGCACGCACCTTGGTACGTTTCAATGGCGCTACGCCGGACGCGAAGAGAGGAAGGCTGCTGGAGCGAACAATTTGATGGTTCTCGATCGGATCATCATGGTGGCTCTTGAGGGCGGAGGCCAAGAAGAGAGGAGGACTCCCGTAGCGAAATTCCTGAGGAATGAAATGGTGAGGACGCATGGAACGAAGGCGACGACGGCTGGGAACGGGGGAAGGCTGATGATGAACTTGACTGAGTGGGAGAGGACTAAGGGGGAGGCAGAGCAGCTGGAGGTGTTGGTGATTGCCAGTTGCTTGTTGATGCTGAAAAAGGAGGTTGATAGGAGGAGGATGCAGCAGGCTATTGCTACGACATCGCCGTGTTATTTCGCCGCTGCGGCCGTCCACTGAGGGACTTTTATAAGTGAGAGAATGGGCTGATGATGAAGGGATTATATGAAAGATTGAACGATACCCGTTGACCGATATACTTTTTCTTTGTATTTGATAGAATGACGCATACCTTATTAGTCTATATATTCTTGTAGTTGTACAGTCGACCCGCCTCCTCTTTTGTCATATTATGGCTAAACGATGATGAAATTTCATGGATGATTTAAAGGACCTCGATCTAAATCGCCGTCTTCTCTCCTCTACCTAGTTCCAATATATCCCCACTCGGCCGTCCTTCATCTGACGAAGCTATCCTTTTGAGATCTTTCTTCTTGCAATTCGCATAATACTTTACGCAACAGCCATCCTTTTCGCCAATAAAGGGGTCATCCCTAGATGACTTTCCCCATAGCTCCACAACGAGCACCCATATCGACAAGCCCAGTGTGACGGATATCAGATCAAGAGACCGAAGCGAATGCGCCAACGGCAAAAAGAACATGACAATGCAGACAGCCCCGCGATTTGCGAGCCTGATGTTTTTGTGCAGCCGAAGGGTGGGAGAGTTCATGTGCTCATGCGAAAAAGAGATGGCTCCCATGGAAAGAAGAGCGATGGCGAGGCCGTGGCAGTAGAAGAAACGGACGCCGGCATTGAAGTGATCTTCAGAGCTCTCTCGGTAAGGCTCTGCGAGTTGTTCCGGGTTGGTGTCTGGCACGTCCGTCGCCAAGACGAGTCTGGACAGGGCTGATGTAGCGACGATGTAGCCCATTACGAACAGTAAATGGGCAAACTCCCAAATTCCCGCTGTAGCGTTGTTAGCAGTATGTTTACAGGAAGAGGATTATGCATGAAACTGGACCTGAAATCCGAGAACGTCGAATAGCATGCAGATTCAAGTTGCTGGCATCAATGTCAAAGTAAATCCAGTTAAACGTAAAGGCTTGCATTAAGCCTAGGATGGCTTTTCCTAGAAATGCATTGATATTGTAGCCACCTTGACTCTGGAAGAGAATCGCAACAACTGAGTATCCGAGGACCAAGGATACGAATGCGTTCATCCTTTCCACTCGATGTTCGATGCTGATAGCGGGATAAAACTCAAACATGCCGCCGAGATGCTTCTTCCATATGCCTTCGGGAGCTTTGCCTTGTACGTATAGGAATAGACCGAGGAAGAAGACATGTCCGTACATGTCGAGGAACAGTGCTGGAACGATGAACCCCAGGCGGCCGGGCATGTCGACGTGAATGCTGGCGATCCACAGGGCCGTTGGGATAAGAGTGCCGAGGAGTTGGCAAATCATAACGCCCTTGATCATGGGTAGGAGATAGGCGGTTATGCCGTAGAATATTGCGGTAACAACTCGCGCGGCGAGGTAAAAAGATACGAGTTGCACGTAGGTATTTTCTGCAGGGTCTTCGACAAAGATATGGGTCATGTTTGTAGTAAAACTATCATCAATTGTCAGCCAAAATCTTGCATCCAATTGCCGCTGGATTAGGCCATTTTACCCAATGAGGGTTGAGATGCAGAACAAAATCTCCAACCTGGTGACTACATCGTCTGACTCAAACCAGCTGAGTGTAAGAGTAATGCTTGTCCATATCCTCCAGGTCATGACGAATGTAATGACGAAACGGAGCAGCTCGTACCCAGTCGCTTCTTCTGCCATGTGCTCGCCATTGGAATGAATTATGCCAACTGCTTGAATGTTATTATCTCTGGCCAAATTTACCCGCCCGGTACAGCAAGCGTCAACATACCATACACAAGATCAAGAAAGAGTTCAATGGCCATGATTTCCGTCGGCTCGGACATTCGCCATAATAGACCTTGATGAAACCATTGCCTAATCACAGGCCGCTTAAATAGCTTGGTCGTCTCACCGTGACGGTCGCCCTCTTCACGCTGCCCACGGGATTTCTCCGAGATGGAAGTGTGCGAGGAAGCGATAGGCGGATCTTCGTCATCGTAGGTTCGCACGGCGGCGTCATAGCCAAACTTGCTAAAATTGCCATATAATCCTGATGCTTGGTTCTCCAGATGCTCCAGCTCGCTAGTCACCGAGGAAAGCTGGTTTTGAATATCTTCCCATTCTTCAAATGCGGGCCCGTGTTGTTCTCGCAATAATTGCCGGCGCTCCTCGTGGTGATCTCGAGATTGGCGAAGGTATTGGCTGTGCTCTGCGGAGCCATGAATAACGACCTCTACTTGGGTATCCCTGTCACCCTGGTATTTTCGGCGTATGTCCTCTAGATCCTCGGGGAGCGCAACGATTATCTTTCTGCCATTAGGGAGGAGCAGCTCTTGCGGCTTGCGTCGTCTTCCCTGTAAAGCAGAAGACATGTTTTCTTTGGAGTTGACAAAACACGGGCACACTCAAGTAAAGAACTTGTATGAAAGAGAGCCGGAGCAGGTTGATATAAGATCAATGCCTTTTGGGAATGGAGTTAAGGTAACTCCATTGCCAAGAAGAGCTCTGATGAGCATAGGCGTGTAAGGAGTCTGGGCCAATGCGTGTCTCAGAGTCTAAGATTCCATTGGCGCTACCAAATTCTTCCGCCATGAGTTGGCGGACTTTCATGTTTTGACTATCTGGGTTGCATGTGTTTCCTATTCGGGCCAGGACTAAGATCATCTCATCAAAGGAGAGATGGCGGACTAAAGCGGAATTGCTGACTTCATCATCTCGGCTTATGCTGGACTTGCTGATGCAATGCCGATTGGACCCTGGTAAAAAGATAGTAGTATTTCAGTCGTGCACGAATATCTTCAGATCTGATACGATCTTGGTCGGTGCAAGCTGAGACAATACGTGAAATATGTAGGTGAGCAATTCAGGTGTAAGTGATTTGCCTTAGTAGATCTCTATTCTACGTTGTACGGAGTACTGAAGTATGGAGCGGAAGATGTTAACAAGGGCCCCAATCAGGATCCCGTGCGCCTATTGGGGACCTGCCGACGACAACCGCTGAGTCAGCCATTTACCTGCACGTGACTTTTCGAAGCCTGAGGTGTTAGCGCATACTCAAGCGCTCGATTCTGGCAAAGATTCAATCGGCATCATTAACAACGCCTATTTTCGCCGTTCAACCCATCCATTCGCCAAGATGACTGCTGCGTGGAAAGCCGCCGGTTTGACGTACGTCAATTGATCCCCTACCGAATCAGCCTCGCCCTCACCGTCCCGAATGCCCTCACGACCGCTGCGTTGCGACTTTTTTCTGCCGAACTATGCGAGCCGAGAGACTGACTGACTTGCGATCAAATAGCTACAACCGCTACCTGGCCGTTGCCGCCCGTGCCATCCGCCGAAGCCTCAAGGAGGACAAGAGAATTGTTGCCGAGCGACGTGCTGTTTCCGAGCTGCGATTTGCTACCTGGAAGGTATGTTGACTGGACGAAGATGAACAAGCGCCGGAACCTGGTTGTTAATACCTCAGTAGAACGGCAAGGCTGGTGAGCCCAAGGATCTTGCTGCCGCCAACGCCGCCGCCATGGCCGAGAGCGCCTCCTCTTAAGCAAAACGTGTGGGAAAAGAGTGGATGAGACGGGCGAAATGATGTTGCTATAGACGTTTGGAAGCGACAATGAGAAAGGCCATGCGAATGGGGCTGGAGTTCCAAATTGCTGGCGTTGTAAAATAAATAATTGCTGCAATACACCAATATATTAAAGCAAATTAATCGTCCAACGAGGGCTATTTGAGTGTTTTGAAAAGACTGCGTTAGATTCTGAACTGATATAAATTTGGGAGGGGTGACTTTGTCTGCTCACCCAAAATTATGTACATGTACTCTACCTATGAATGTATGGTGGGGAATGCGACTGAGATCTCACATGAAGCTATTGGTCTTATGCAAAGTCGCAATCCGGGTAAATCTCCTAAAAGGAAATTGAATTTATGCCCTTTATCATGTAAACTCACTGCTTGATGCCCATCGAAAACCGGGCTTGCAAAGGAGGGGTGTTGCTCAGCATCTGGCGCTGTCTTTCATGCGTCTTAGGTCTGTGTCTCGGCCCGCGAAACAGTGCCTGTCTCCAGTAGTCACCAAAATCACACCCCATTTCAAGCCACCGCAAGGGAACATAGAACTCTACGTTTTCTTTTTCTTTTCTCGTTAAAACAGGCAGATATTCCGCGCAATAATGCCAAGCTAATCCCCCCTGAGCGTGAACCATCTACAACCATGGCTGACTTTGGCGTTGGGGTGCCAGACGGTGCGAAAAGATGCTCAAGCCATCACAATCTCTCCCCTCATCCCCAGCAAATTTCTAATCTGGAGGCTACGCAGAAATCGCGAGATTATCGCTGGGCCAGGGCTCTGCTCCTCAAGATACGCTGCCGCCGAGCATCAGGAGCGAGGGCATAGCCGTCGTGGACATAACAGCAAAATTTTCAGATGCTGTCAAGAGTGAGTAATCTGATTGCGTTCCCGTGCAGTGCACGTAAGCTGATTCCAACAACAGCCCTTGAGCCTGGGGCCATCGTCAAGGATGGCTTTTTTACGCTGTTTGACTCCGTCGCGGCTTTGGAGGTGCGTGTTCTGCAGACTGTCTTGTGCGAGGCTTCTATCTTCTTACATGGTGACAGATCATGGATCCCAAGATGGACAGCGGGTGCTCTACCACGGAGGCTGAGGTGGAACATCTTTACGACGTTTCCAAGCCACTACTGCCCGAGGAGGTACTCGGCATCATAGATCAGCTTTTATGCCATGAGGTCAGTTTGGAAAGGATCGCACCATGTCATGTTTCACGGGCTCATAGTTGATTAGATGTCATGGCATCTGGGATACCCCCTCTCTCAAACCCTCTTCACAAGCTTCTACGTTGAGGCTCTCTCAACGCCGGATCCCCGAAGCATCCAAGAGGCTACATTCATCCGCAACGGCGGTCATGACCCAAACGAACAACCCATGCTCCAGGTCTTGCGGGCGTATTGTCTGGGTATGCTCAAAAGCTGTGGTTATGTTAATGAGAGAATCAAGTCGGAGCACTATTACGAGGTAAGTACCTATGCTCAGGTAACAGCGGTGATTTGGTCACTCAACATAAAGTATAGGAAGAAGATTTCGTCACAAACACATATAACCGCACGCTTTTGGCAAGCCTACCAACAGATGCGATCCGGGACGTCATAATCGAGGCCATAGCAGCTCTCAAGTCACAACGAGGCTCCATCTCTGATAATCTCGTCGACGCTTTGCTGCTTCGGCTGGAGCTGAGGCATATATTCCTGGATGCTGTAGAATGCCCCAAACATATGAAGGAGCCTGATATGGCGAAGAAGCCCTGGAAGGAGGGCCTCGCCATCTTACCAGCTTTGAAGAAATCTCACTCTCTTGCTTCACCGGTAGATGAAGCCTTCAGCGCCAAATTACAGCGGAAGCTGGCTAGCACTATGCCTCCAAGGCCCATTGTTCAGCTCGACTTTGACGTCGCTTTCGGCCACCTAAATAGTCTGTTCGAAGACGGCTTGGAGCTTATTGATGTTCTACACTATACTGATTCGCAGTGCTTACTCGTAAGTAACCAACCTCTAATGGACGGCCATATATGTTGACAAAGAAAAACAGACGTTTGTGTCTACGTTTCAAGCAAAGAAGCCTCAGCCTATAGTATATGTACGAACGCTATTGCAGACATTCCTGTTCGACGCCATGGAAGTTTTAGGGTCTATGAGCATCCGCCAACTTCTCGACGACGACTTTGCCATTCTTACAATGCCGGCACATCAGTATCTTGATAGACTTAACGATGAAGTCGAAGCTGTTCAGGATCCACGGTACGCCATGGCGCAGCAGATGGAGCTTTTTAGAACAAGAGCAGCCCAACCGTTTTTGGATATCCTACGCACGACCTGCCAGAATCGGTGCCGCGTGAGGAGGACCCTCTGTCACCTTCTTCGTGACTGGGAGAGTCTCCAGGTGGACGCAGAAGAAATCGACCAGATCCTCCAGGTCAGAGTCAAGGAGCAGCCGACCATGCACTGGTCATCCATGGGTAGTGGCGGCGTGGAATCTTACTCGCTGCCCCTGTCATCGTGGACATATCTGTACAAGCTACGGCAGATGGAGCAGATTATCCAGCTAGGTTTTGAGCTGGAGATTTATCAGGCCGACGAACTCGCCGGCATGTACTGGTATCTCAATTACATTTCCAAGTCTCGCCTTCATCACACTGAACGAATCAAATCGTTCGTCATCAAAAGGGTTGAAGAAACGCATGGGCAGCCGGGAAACCCGGATCCCACCATCGGCGCACAGCTGCAGCGATCGCTCATGTATACTCGCCTATCACTGCTAGACGCCGCCGTCACCTGGGAGCTATCCGACTCTCTGTCTTGTCTGTACACTGTTTTGAATCGCCTTAAGCTCATCAAGGCACCGCCAAGGCCGTATAGTACCGACGAACTCCGATACGAGATCCGGATGAGACCGTTTGCGCCAGTTGGTCTTCCTGTCTTACCCACCTTTGAAGAGTTTACGGCCGGAACGCTGCAGCCCGACACGGAGATTGACGAGCTCTTTGAGTATGCGGAGAGAGCAGTGGAAGGCGCCAAGAGAGGCTTTGAGGCTCTGAGCAAGATGACTGCCGAGGAATCCTTCTCCGTCGGTTCTCACCAGCGATGGGCCGCGGCTACTAAAAATGGACTCAAGTCGTGCATTGCTACGAAAATTGCCATTTCAGCGGTGGCAAAGGCGGTGGAAAAGTCAAAGGATTTGGATAATTTGAAGATCAAGGTCGAGATTCCCACTCCGGAAAAGGCGTATCATGAATCATGGATTGTCCCCAAGATAGTGCCATTAGCATGAGAGCAGGCCCATGTAAATATTTAATAAAGGAAAATGAATTATTGAAATCGCATCTTTTTATTTTCCTCGCTCCCTGAGCGTTTGTAAAAGAGGTTAAGAAGAAGAAAAAGCAAAGAACAGGTCCCAAGGTATCCATTCGTGACATACATCCATCAACCTAAAATTCGTTCGAAGTCATTCCGGAAACCCATTCTATACCTCCAGGGATATTAACCACCCTTTCATAAAAGTCACTTTACCTGTGGTGATGGTACACTTATGGTACAGCCTAAGAAAATTACATCCCCCTATCTATTGGGCCCCAACCAAGCATCTGGTCCAGTGATCCAAGTTGTTGGAAGAGAGTGCATGCTTTTTTTGTGGTAGCAAGCAACCGCTGGTTATGATAGATGGCAGCTTTACGCCTTCTTGCGGCCCATCCTGAGCCTGACCATCTGCTCGTAGAGAACATCCTTGAAGGCAAAGAGGAAGGCCGCCGTCAGGACGCTCTGAGTAACCTTGGGGCCAATACCTGTGATTCACTTTTTGTTAGTCTCTCATGGCTTTTCGACCTGCTTTTTTTGGCAGAAGAAATTGACCCACCCTTGTATAGACCAGAATAACCTTCGTCCTTGACGACACGGCTCAAAGCCTGAGACATGTTCTCCTTCTTCTCGCTATGGGCAGCGACGTGCATCTGGCTCTTAACAGTGATGTAAGGATATGTCACTGAAGTGGCAAAAAGCTTGCCCAGGGCCCCCAGCAGGAACGCCATGGTGGGAGTGATCTTTCTCTTCTTCTCCACGGTATTCTTCATCTGCTCAAAGAGCGTGTATTGAAGAATGGGGTTGATGACCAGCACTAGAGCCGGAATGACTCCCGCAAACAAGGCCTTGGGTCCCTCGTTCTTCAAGAGGGCCATGAGGGTTCCCAGCGTGGTGGGAGGCTTGACCGCTTTGGCGCCGGCACCGGCCTCGAGATCCGGGTCCTGTCGGCGCGTTGTGATGCGCGTGTTGACGACCCAGATGGGGTTGGTGATGATGACGGTCGCGGAGCCGGCAATGGCGCCGGCGATCATGGACTCGATCGTGGTGAGCTTCTTGCTGGCGCGGCCGGCGCGGGTGGCGGCCTTTTCGAAGAAGGCCCTGGTCCATTCGTACCAGTAGTAGTAGATGAAGTTGGTGACGCTGATGCCGAACAGCGCCGAGTTGATGCCCGAGTAGAGACCCGAGACGCCCTCGCGCGCGATGATTTTCTGGATGGCTTCGACGAACTTGCTCTCGGCCTTTTTGGATTCGACCTGGGCTCTGGTGGAGAGGGTGATGAGAGGGTAGCTATTATAAGAGGATGCATGTTAGCCAAAGGAATCTCTCTCGTGATGTGACATCGCAATCCTGGGAACGAGATGGAGGCATCCTACGTCAGAATCATGGACAAAATGCCCCCGCCAGCCCCGGCTAGGGCATGTGCGACATTGTCATTCTGGGGAATCGGAGACTTGGAAGCCATGTTGTTTGACTATCGAGGAATTGAATCGGCGGCTTGACCGGCTTGTTGGTGAAGTATCGCGACGCCTCTTGCGACCAGTGACTTTGCTATCGAATTGGTACCCGACGATAAGATGATACAAGAGTAAAACGGCGGGTTCTCGGATCGCATGCGATTGTGCGGAAGCTCGATGCTATATCGGCGAGGGAAGCAAAGGTTCTTCCAGGCGTGTAACCGTCGTCGATGGGCCCCTGACAGATGCAAGCCGAGGTCCCTGTTGCGAGTTTGAAGCCGGCGGATGTGTCTGTAACCGCATTGTTCCGCTTTAGCGCGGCAAGAGAGCGCTGGAATGAAGTCATGCCTCCCCCGTGGCAGGCCGCTAGTGCGCTGGAGCTTGGGGGTGTTGCATGTGACTTTGGCGGGGTGTCTGGGCGGCTTGGGCGGTTTGGGCGGCTTCGGGGACGCAAGGATTTCTGGGTAGCGAGAAGATCGATCAGTGGGATTGTGATTACAGAAATGCGGGTGCCGAGGTAGGTGCTGGATCGGGGATGGCGGCAATCACTAAGTGGCAAGCGGGTGTTTTAAATTGGCTGGATGCTGTTAGTGCGAGCACGAGACTTTGGCGTAAGTTGAGTGTGTATGTGTTGCGTGTGTTGCTTTCATGGGCGTCCGGGAATGAGCCCTGTCGAGTCTGGGGAAATGAAGGGCATGTCACTTGGCACCCTTCCGGTAACGTGAAAGTCACTTCAATTGCATGTGCACATGTGCATATCAAGTCCATCAAGCAGTAACAGGTGAAGTGTAGCGGCACCGGAGTAACAATACTGCGTTAAAAGAAAGTTTAATATCAACTTTTGTAAAAATCCAAAAGCCGAAGGTGCATCGGCTAAACCTTTGCGGGCAGTAACCGAAAAAGCCACCAGGCTGATGTAGCTTTCCTCGTCTCAGTCGGTGACGAATACCTCCAACGCTTCCCCAAGCTTCTTCACGCGGTGGCTGGCCCTGCGCTTCATGCCCATGTCATCTGCGACAACAGATCTGGAATGAAACATTTGCTTTGCTGCAGATGCCCCGGCGCAGGAAGACCGGATTCCAACCCGCTTCGTTCAACCTCCGCTGGCACAGCATCGCGGACCCCAACACGCCTAGTGTTGATATTATGAGCTCGCCTGACCCGCTGAACGAACCCACTATATCGTATCCTAGCTTTGCGCCTCAGTCATCGGTCTCGTCGCGTCGCGTGTCGCGCAGCCCGCAACGGAGAATCTCGTTAGCCTCGTCCAAGAAACAGAAACAGAAACAGACGTCTGAGCTGCAAGCCCGGGATTCATTGTCGCCGCAGCGGTTACGAGCCCCCGGCGAGACGGAGGGCGACGACGAGATGGCCTCTGTATCCAGCGGCACGAGGAGGAAGCTCTTCAAGTCGCCGGTTCAGTCGCCCACAGTGCGGCGCAGGGCGGATGACACAATCACGACCACGGTCCCGCTGAGGGAATCCGTCGAAGATGAGCTCACAGCTGCGGTAACTCCTAGTAGGAGACGAAGCCGCGCTCGGCCTTCCAATGGAACACCTCTTCCTACGACGGGAGTCAAGAGGAGGGCGGGATCACCAATCAGCAGAAATCCACGGCGCATACGTGATGAGAGATTCACAGGGGGAAACACCGGGGAGCTACATTTTGAGGAGAAAGAGAATGTTCAGGCCACGCCTGCAACCGCAAAGCGAGGGCGTCCGCCCAAAAACAAGGCCGCCCAACCGTCCAGCGAACTAGGAACCGCGAAACGAGGGAGAAGACGACGGGCAATGGCCCCCGATGAGTTGGTCGGAATCACGGAAGAAGCGGCGGCTGAAAGAAGCTTACAAGATATTCGCCGGCCAAGCGAAACCCAGCCTCCCTCGAGGCAAAGTGCCAATGGCAGTGCTTCAGGTTCTAATGCTGCATCCAATGCCGATACAGAATCAATGGACGATGACGATGAGCCGACACCTAAGGCCTCAGCACAGCCTTCAACGATAACATTACCTTCCAAAAACAGGCCGCTAGGAGCTGCTGATAATAGAAACACTGACCGTGCTCCAGAAGCAAGCGACCATTCCACCGTGGATGAGCACCATGACTTTAGCTCTCAGACCAACGACACGATTGCCCAGGGTGAAGATTTTAGTATGATCTTCATGGACTCCATTCCTTCTTTGCAGAACAGTTACATTGGCAACAGCACTGCCCATGATGATGACGAACTTGGTGAAGACACACATATTATAATCAACAATACTCTGGCTTCACTACGGCAGGAGGTCGCTCAAAGCAGCGATCCAGTAGATATCACAGAGGCAATCGAGATCCCTGAAGTTCCCGAGCTGGAAGATTCGCCAGAAAAAGAGGTGGAATTCATTCCGATCATACGGGAATCCGCCAGAAATGCGCGTCTAAGTGACAGTCCGTGGTGGTCTCGCAAACCTAAGAAGATGGGATCATCACCGACAAGACACCAGACGACGTTGTTGAGGTCAGCCGCAAAGAGGTCAGGGAGACTATTCAAGTTCGACCAACGGGAGGAGGAGCCGACGCCCACTAAGATTGGTAAACGGCCGGCATCCGCACATTCCCAAGAGCGCCAGTCGAAAATTTACGAAGACTCCTTCTCTGAGATTCCTCAGAATTTCCTTGATGCTGCCACCCCTAAGCCCATAAATTTTGCCGCCACTCGAACCGAACGAGAAGTTGATTTGATGGAATACGGATTGCATGGAGAGGAAGGGGAACCAGTCGAGGAGGAACCAGCCCAGCATACCGAAGAACCCGCTGAAGATGACGTTGAAGAATATGTCGATGAAGATGCGGAGGATGTTGCAGACGAGGGGCCGGTAACTGCACAAATCCAGAGAACGGCTGGGCCAAGTACGATTAGGCTACCAACACCGCCATCGCCTGATATAATAAGTTCTCCCGTACGGGATGTCGTCGAAGAGAGTGAGGACGAGGTGCGCGAGGAATTCAAAGGGCATGAAGAATTCGAAGAACACGAAGGGCAGGAAGAATATAAAGAGCACGCAGAACAAGAGGAACATGAACATGCGGAACAAGAGGAATTTGAAGAACACGAGGAGCATGAAGAAGAACCGGACCAGGACCTGGAGTTGGAGGAGGAAGAAAGAGGAGAAGAAGAGCTGACAGACCACGAAGAACAACATGAAGAAATGGAAGACAATCAGGAGGAGGCAGAAATGGAAGAGTTTGAAGAGCATGGACTGCAAGATGAAGAAGAGGAAGAAGTGGAACAACTGGAACAAGAAATGGAAGAAGACGAAGAGCAGCAGGAAGATGAGGGAAAGCATAATGAGAATGAAGAAATCGAGGAGTACGAGGCGCACGAGCACGAGCACGACCATGAGCATGAACACGACCATGAACAGTACGAGCACGAGCATGAGGAGTATGAACACGAGCTGGAGGAGCATGAGGAACACCAAGAGCTTGAGGAGCATGAGGAGCACGAGGAGCCCGCAGAGCCCGAAGAGCATCTCTACGAACCTTCACATCGCTTGCGAGCAGACCTGTTTGCACGCCAACAGCCTGCGCACAAAGACTATTATGCCGACGAAGAAATGCGCTCCGATCCTCTAGAGCAACCCGAGCAGCTGGAGCCGACGCCTGAGTACGAAGCGCAGCCAGTGAAAGCCACACCACTCCATCAGATGTCATCGCCACTCCAGGACCCTCAAACCGTCCCTGCAGAACCCGTGCAGTATCCGGCAATACGACCTGTCCTTTCTTCAATAATGCGAGCTGGCCGTGTTTTACAAAACGTCACTTCAGATCCACCATCGCCAGGAGACCGAGAGAAACATCTGGGAAGCCCATTCAGGAGTTCCGCAAGCAAAGAGTCATCACAAGGCGCCAAAGAAGACAGATATCAGCTCTCGAGCAAAAGTCCGCCACAGATGTTCCCTTTTGGCCGCGACCAATCGACTATTAACAGGGCGTCTGTGAGTCATACAGTCACTGCCAAAACCGCGGCTTTTGGTATGGGCAGTACCGGTGTACGCCGGCCGCTTGATGTTGGGCCAAAGGAAATCCTACATAGGAAGCGACCGTCATCAAGAGAATCCGTAGCAAGCTCTCTAGGCAACACACCGCCAAGTGGCAGTGCCACGAATTGGTTCGAAAGGGAGGGTCCAATAAGTCCTCTTATAAAGGGAGTTAACTCATTCCTGCAATCATCGCGCTTCTCGAGCATTAGGCATGCTATTCCGTTTGTTCAAGTTGACGGCGCCGCAGAGGACGAAGAGGAAGAGGAGGAGCAAGCGGAAGAAGAAATGGAAGAAGAGGATGAAGAAGACGAGGAAATGGAAGAACAAGAGCAAGAGGTAGAGGTAGAAGCAGAGGAGGAGGAGCAGCAAGAAGAAGAGGAAGAAGAAGAAGAGGAAACAGAGGAGGAGGAAGAGCCAGAAGAGCTGGAAGAACCAGAAGAGCTAGAGGAACAGGAACAAGAACCGGAGCAGGAATATGAAGAACAAATCCAGGAACAGGGGCTGGAGCAGGAATATGAAGAACAGCTGCAGGAACAGCAATCCGAAGAGGATGAGGAAGATGAAGAGGACGATGACGATGATATTGATATCTGGGAATACGAAGCACGGCGAGAAGTACCGCCTCGCCAAGAACTTCAGCAGCCGCTAATGCCTTTGGCACAGGATCGCGGCACGGTGCCGGGCCTTTCAAATTCCTGGAGAGACGCAAAAGGGGCACCTGCTGCACCCGTTGCGGCTCCAAATGATTTGTCAAAATCATCTCGCATGAGGCAGTCGATTAGCCGGCGCGCTGAGGAGAATTTTGGAGGCGAGGAGCGCTCTGTGATTTCACGGAACCAGCAGGAACACGAGCCCGCAGCTGCGTCTAAATCCAAGCGGTTTGATCTATCATCCTTTTTCTCCTCACCAGCTGCTATTCCCGGCTTGTTGGCTGAAAAATTCATGTCACCCAAATCCAAGAAAACTGCTGAGGCAACAGTTCAGCAGGCAGAGCCTGCTAAACCCCGACAAGAACCTCCAACAGTGCCTGCGACAGGAATCTTTTCAAGACCTTCTCAGAATGGAAATGTTCCGCGAACTGTTCGTCGCAAAGAGCCTATATCTTCAACTGTTCGGCCTAGTCCTCTGGCTGATGAGCAAGTGGCTGAGCAACCTGCATCCCCTGGCACTCCTCCTGAGGAACCTTCTCTCCCTGTCATTCCTCAGAAGCAAAACTTTACGCCGCGGCCGCGACAATCCAGCGAATCCTTCTTTCAGCCCTCGTCCTCACTCGCAGCTGCAACTCCACCAAGGATGCAGTTGACCCATGACGATATTCATAGGTGGCAGCTCGAAACCTCAAGTGCAAATGGAAATTCGCCCACCAGCCCATCCGCATTGAGGCCACTGCCGTCAAAACATGTCTCGCCAAAGAAATCAAGTCTTCGCTCTCCTCTTAAACCGCATACTCCAGGACGAGTGGTTGAGTTTACAAGCAGCGTGTTGTCGCCTCAAGAGCAAGCTCAAATTCGCGAACAACGCGGCCGAGCTAACGAAGAGGTATCCCAGGAGGATATCCGCACCGCCGCCGTACCAACCCATGCAGAGCCGCGGGCAGGCAAAGGAAGCATGGGCAGGCAGCAGAAGCAACCGCCACAAAAGCTCGCACCGAAGGTTATTCAACCCGCAGGCGTGACAAAGAAACGGCCGACAAAGAAGCGAGGGAGACGAGAGCCCCCGTCCGAGACGGTCTGGACCCGTCGACACTGGATCTTCCTCGATACACTCTTGCAAATGCGGCGACAGCGCCCATTTAGCGAGGAGTACGAGCCTGTCTCCCGACGGTACCTTGGAAAAGTCGTCACTAGCATGGGCGAGTCTTTGGTGCTGCAGAAGTGGCATCTCGAGTGCGTGGACGCTTTTAAATCCCAGATAGGGGGCTGGGATGAAGGCGAGCTCGCCAAGAGACTCTTTGCGCTCATTCTCGGAGAAGCACAGCGGCGTCGAAACTCTGTTGGCTCATCTCCCGGAGTGATCTTTCATTGAATGAGACGAGAATCAAGAAGGGGATCTACCCTTGTTTTATCATATTTGTCTGAAACTTATTCTGCCGGTCCAGTTGTATTTTTTTTGGATTCATGACTGGCGGAAACGGAACAAATCGATTTTGTAGATTTTTTATAGCATTTCATCGGTGTTTGGAAGAGTCGAGGAAAGGTACCTGAAGCACACACAAAAACAACTACGTATGCATGAGTTGGCGTTGGAAAAGGGGAAACCGGTTTGATTTACTTGGCTTTGGCTAGGCTTTTGGCTTTTTCGGTTCGGGGTTTGCTTTTTATTACAACTGTATTTAGGAAAAAAGATACCACTTTGAGCGGTTGGATTGTTCGGTTTGGTTTAAGGGGGAAAACATGGTTTACCTTTTTTGTTCATACTTGGATGAACTACCATAGCTTCTTGTATGTACGGATCTGTGGAGTACGGTACGGTTGGCTATTCTGTTACCCTTTTGTCTCCATGGAGAAAATGAAGATGGAATGAGAAGAATCATATCTTGAGTTAACAGAATTGTACCTTTCTTGCATTCACATAACCAAAAGTAGGATCAACTGGTTCAGTAGGAACGGCGAGTCTTTTGGATGAATGAACGCCTCATCTACCGTGACTAACACATTACAATACAAGATCCATCCTCTCCAGCCATCAATTCCCATCTCCCATGCCCATTGTATTTTTCGTCTACTCAAGCATGGAGGCCTGGTTTGTGTACAGCACATCCACAACGTTGCTCAGCTTCTCAATCGTCGCTAGAGCAGAGTCATACGACTCGTCCCGCTGCGTCTCATCGTAAATAATAAGGCAGCCCGCACCCTGGTCCAAGACGCCAATAATGACCTTGTCGAGAATCATCTGCGACAGCTTCCTCTCCACCTGCTGGGTATCGAGACCCACCATCTTGGCGATGTGGTCAATCTCGACTCGTGAGAAAGGCTCAATGACCTTGATGAGGTTCTGCTCCAGCAGGGCGTCGTACAGGCGGCGAAGGTGGTTGCGGATGAAGGTGTCGCTGCCAAGCTCGTATCGGTAAGCGGACAGTGCTCGCTCGTACTCTTCCAAAGATCGGTTTGCGTGGGCACGGGCAATGGCCTTCATGGCCTCGAGGTTCTTTCCAGCATATTTAACAGCCTGTTTAGACGCCATGAGCTGGTTGACGTCATCAACCAGGTTCAGCATGATCTTGCAGAGGAGCATGTACTGCAGCGCAGCCTGGGCCTTGGGAGCCTCTTCCTGGGTGTGGTATCCGTCCAATGCCTCGATAAAGTACGAGAATGCCGTGTTGAAGTCTTTATCTTCAGCGTGGAGCATTCCGCTCTGCATATCGAGGTTGGCCTGCAACAGCGGAGGGGTGTAAACGCTGGCAGCACTTGTCCTCGCGCTCGTCAAAGCAGCACGAGCCTTGGGGATGTTGCCCAGGGCATGGTAGACTCGGGATTCGAGGAGCTGGACCTCGACGAGGCGGAGCTTGTCGTCGAGGCGCTTGAGCTCACGGAGAAGGCCGTTGATGAGGGTGAGGGCTTCGTAGTAGGTCTGCTTGGACATGTAGAGGGTGACCAGGCGGACTTGGAGATCCTGGCGCTGGAAGGCACGGCGCTCGGAGGTGGCCCATTCTATGCAGTCTTTTGTAACGGCAACTTCGACGTCGACGCTGTTGGGAATATCTTTGAAGAGGTCCAGAAGCTGGCGGACTATATATTGCCAAAGCACCAATCAGTCAGCGTTCATATATCCCAAAGGTCAAGCTTTGAGTCGAATCATCAAAGGACGAGACATACCGAGCTTCGAGGACTTGGCCTTGGCAAAAGATGAGAATACCGTCCGGCTTTCCTGCACCAAAGTGACGAGTTCCTGAGTCTTCCTGTTGGGGAAATTAGCTCAGCAAACACAATCCACGGCCATCACAACTGACTTCTCATCCCGGTAGAGTTCTCCCAAGCTTATCAAAGCAGCTTCATATTCGCGCGTGGCGGCGTCTGAGGTTGCCGCAGGGGCCTTGGATATGATGTCTTTGAAAGCAGCCTCTGCCTTTCTCGGGTCCGTCTTGACGAGGTCTTGGGCTTCCTTGACCCGGCTCGAGTCGCCGGCAGCCATGGTGGGAGGGGAGTAGGTTGGGTCGAGGTCGGAGAGCTTTTAAGTGAGGTCTTCGGTAGGCGATGGTGGTGACAGCGGCAGAATCGTGAATCCGATGTGTTTTCTCGTTTATTGCAAGGCCGAGGATGTCCGTCTTCGGCTTGAATGGTGAAATGCTGGTGTTGAATGAAGCTGAAGTTGATGCTGATGCACAATCTCGATCTGAGCTTCACTTGTCCCTCCAGGTAGCCACAGCGCGACGTAGCCCAGCCTCCAAGGTACAGTCTACTTAGTCAGCGCAACCATTAGCCTGCCCCGCGAGGTAGCGTGTACCTGACAACACCTAACCTCCCACCTTTTGCAATGCTGCTGCCGGCACAAGTACGGAGCACAAACATACCCCGGGCCGTCAATGATCCGCCCGGCTGGTGGGCTGAACCGGCGCAGGCCGGAGGCGGGCCAAGTCATTGGAATTTTTATGGCCTCCCCTCATACAAGTCCAGTCTAATAGCAGACATAACCGAGCTTCTTCACCACCAGAGCCGCCCAATTGCCTGTTTTCACAAATCTTCATCAGCCTCACTTTTCCTCATAAATCACTCATCATGCTTCGACAAGCTCTCGCCTCTTCTTCCAGAGCTCTGCGCTCAACACCCATCGCTGCCAGCCGTGCAATTCTTCGGCCTCAAATTCAGACTGCCGCCCCCGCCATCTCAATAAGATCTTTCCAGCCTATCGCTAGCCGATGGTACAGCGAGACCAAGGAGTCCTCAGAGACCAAGGAGGCTCCGGCCGCTGAGGAAAAGGCCGACGCCAAGGAGGGAGAAAAGAAGAATGGCGAGACTGACGAAGTTGCTCAGCTGAAGAAGGACCTTGAGGCCAAGGACAAGGAGGCCCGCGATTGGAAGGTTTGTATTCTCTCTCTCTACTCTTTTTGACCAACGAAGGTCCAAAAAATCATCTAGTTCAGTGTTGCTAACTCTCCTCGCAGGATAAATGCCTCCGCACCGTCGCCGACTTCCGCAACCTCCAAGACCGCACCGCACGTGAGGTCAAGTCCGCCCGCGACTTTGCCATCCAAAAGTTCGCCAAGGACCTCGTCGACAGCGTCGACAACCTTGACCGCGCCCTCTCCACCGTCCCCGCGGACAAGCTCAAGGCTGAAGAGAAGAGCGAGGACCTCCAGGAGCTCACTAACCTCTACGAGGGCCTCAAGATGACCGAGGGCATCCTCATTCAGACGCTTGCCAAGCACGGCCTGGAACGCCTGGAGCCGGATGGCGACAAGTTCAACCCCAACGAACACGAGGCTACTTTCATGGCCCCTCAGCCTGGCAAGGAGGACAACACCGTCTTCTTCGTCCAGCAGAAGGGCTTTAAGCTCAACGGCCGTGTTCTGCGTGCTGCCAAGGTCGGCGTCGTCAAGAACGCTTAAAGGAAGAAAGAAAACCCTCAACTACTTCTCCTTCCTTTCTCTTCTTACCTATTTGAACACTTCGAAGAAACAAAGAAGACATGAACTAAAAGATGAAGAAGAAAAAACTATACCTCAAGATGTGTGGATGTCATGATTCGAAACAGTCATACAACAAACACCTCTTACTTGTACTACTACCGGATTTTGCGTTGGCTTGGCGTTAGGTCAAAAGTGTATAATGCTCCTCTCACGATGACGGCTTTGAAAAGAAAAACATCATTTATAATATCTGCATAGTGGTTCGGGAAACCTGAGCAAGGGCGATGAAAAAGGGAAAACAAGGGTAACGCATTACAGTTGGACACATGAATGTGAAGATGAAAAAAAAGAGAGAGAGAAGAAGAAGAATCTTTTGTATGAGCGGATATCCATACATGTACATACGACTTTGCGTCCTCTGAGCGGCAATCAGATGAGCCGCCCTTTAATCAACCGCTTCAAGCGAAACGATACACACTTGAACAACCTGATGCTCATATAACGAGTCTTGATGATATGACTTGCGATGATTTTATCTAGAGCTACAACTCCGTCATGAAGAAATCCACCAGCCACCCATCTCTAACATTAATAGTCGTAAAATTCGATGCTGTAGTGACATAAAAAGCAATTGTACCACGCCAATTCCTGTTTTTCTCTCTTTTTACATTTGACAACAACCAGTCAACATTATACAGCAGCCTGCAAGATGGCTCCAGCCATGTTCGTCATAATAAGTTATACATTGAAAGGTGACATGCGGTCGTTCATCCCAAGCAAGCATATTATTTCTTTGCTTTTTCCTTTGCTCCGGATGCCTTGGCCTTGGCGCGGCCCTTTGGCTTTGAGTCTGTAGTGTCGTCATCTCCAGTGTCGACCTTTGCCGCCTTCTTCGCTGGCTTCTTAACCTTGGGCTGTTTAATATATTTGTCTTTCTTGAGATCAACTTCGTCATCCTCGTCAGCATCTGGTGCCTCCAGCAGCTCGGCGTCATCTTCCTCCTCGATGGCTTCTTCCAAATCCGGTGCATCTTTAGTCTGCTTCTTGGGCGCAAAAACATTGGTTGCTTTGATGAATGGCAATGGATGAGTCATGGCATTGTATCTATATCGAATTAGCATTGTAAAAATGAAAACCATTATAGGGAAAGGGGAAAGTCGGCGCAATGCAAATGACTTACGTTCGAGTGAAAGCAGCCTTTGTCTTAGACTCGATTGTGACATTCTCCTCATTCATGGGACCAACTGCGAGCTCTTGGATGGCGTCAAAGTCTTCCCGAGTGAGGTAATAGCTGTCCATCAGCTCAATAACTTCTCCCACTGCTTCATTCCCCTCCTTCTGCAGTCGATCCACCGTTTGAGACCACAGTAGCGGCAAATATTCTTGTCGAACTTCGTTGTGGTCTCCTGATGACTTGAGTCGCATGTGAGAGTGAATTTCCCGAATATACCGGCCCAATTTTCCAGTTTTGCTGTGGTTTCCAAGCCAGGAAGTAAAGTTGGATCCCATCAGCTGGCCGGCAATGAAGCTGGCAGGTCGCACAGTACTGAAAACAGCATGCGTAGGCATCAGACTCCAGTGCTGTTGCGGTCCGTGAATCATGCGGTCCACCAAGTCGCCGTCGCTAATGCTTTCCGCTGCTTGATCAAAGAGCTCAAGTGCTTTCAAAGTAGCTTCTCTGCCACTATATCCCGAACCGCTCAGGGCCATGGGCTTGGTGCGGAGGTAGTTCTCCTGGATCATGAGGAAACTGAACTCGTGGTCATTGAAGTAAAGTTCAATCTTGTCATTGAGCGTCGCTTTGCTAGAGGGTGCAAATAGGCCACCAGCAAGCATCTTCTGGCAGATATCCCATGGTTTCAAGACAACATGCTTTTCCCATGCCTTTGACATGGCCTTGGTTTGGTCAAAGCTCATGGACGATTGGTCGAGCTTTGCTGTGGAAATCATGTTGATGATTTGGCGAATATCTTTGTTACTACCCTCAATGAGCGCATCAACAACTGGAGGAGGCAGTTTCAGACCTTCTCGATGGCAAATCGTCATGATTCGAGAGCGGACCTGGTCGACCGTCGGGCGGTTGAATCTTATATCAAACGCAGCGTGGTCGAAAGGCTTCATCTTTGGCAGTCTTCGCTCGTTGCAGATGAGGATCAATGGCACCTCCGTTTTCCTGCAGAACTTGGCCAGGGCGCCAACTCCGCCGCGATCACCAGCCGACATACCATCAACTTCGTCCATGATGAGCACAATCTTCTTCTTGGTGGAATCCACAGACTTTCCATCTCCTGCGAAAAATCCCAGCAGGGACGTGTTGTTCATAACATCGCTAACGCCGGCCTCGACAAGCTTCTTGCTACGTGTGTCACTAGCATTGCTCTCCAATACATCGTAACCTTCGAGCTTAGCCGCCAGGTGTGCTGCTGTGGTTTTTCCAATGCCGGGGGGGCCAGAGATTATGATGGCTCGCTCGCCTCCCATGCCATCAGCGCCACGTTTCTGAAAATTGTACTTCTTGGACTTTGGCCAGTTTCGAAGCCAATTCTGGATCTTTTCCACCTGTGCCTTATTGCCGCATATGTGATTCAACTGTGTCGGAGCGTATTTAGTAGTAAGAAGCATATCGGGTGCCTTTGCAGGCTCAACGGGTGCACTGCTGGTTGGACCTCGGGATGCAGCCAATTTCTTCGCTGCTTTCTCCGCTTCTAGCCTCTTTGCTTTTTCTTCTGCCTCCATTTCAGCAACCTGCTGCTTCACCTTTTCTTCTTCCGCCTTCTTCTTTTCTTGCGCCTTCTGGGCACCCTTGCCGGTGCCGCCAAACGCTGGAAGCTTGCGAATCAGGTCAAAGAGGCCATTCTCATCGATTGTCTTGATGCCGTTTGCCTTGATTTTGGCTAGTTTGGAAGGCCCAGCATCTCCTCCGAGCACGACAAAGCTTGTTTTGCTACTGGGTTGGCCAGTAACTTTGCCACCATATCGCTTCACTAGTGCTTGAGCCTCATCGCGACCAATGGTCTGCAACACACCAGTAAAGACAAAAGTCAATCCGCTAAGACACTCCTCTTCGCCTTCTGGAAGCTCGCCGGCTGGAAGGGCAGGCGCCGCAGCGGCATTACCTCCCCCTGTGGCAGCTTTTCTCCAGTCGAACTTCGCATTGGGATCTTTTGGCGGTGGTGTTGGCGCTCTCACAGTGGCTACGCTGTTGAGAATGTTCTGAATATCCTCGTCCTCGGGTTCGTCTGCCTTCTTTGCCCTTGGTGCTCGAGGCTTGCTTGCAGCTGTAGGTTTCTTTCTCGGTAGCTCTTCTTCTTCGTCATCTGATTCCTCCTCTGGTGACTTTCGCTTCTTACTGGCCGATGCAGTCTTGGTAGTTGGCTTCTCTTCAGTCTTCTTGGCAGAAGCAGGTCGTCCTCGTGTGGCAAGTCGTTTTGATTTTGGTAGAGCTTCGTCTTCTGATTCTTCCTCCTCATAATCATCGTTTTTGCGCTTATTACGACCCTTAGCGTCAGCAGCAAAGATGTCATCTCCATCCTCATCGCCATCATCCATATACACATCGTCATCATCGTCAACAGGAGGGGCTTTATACGAGGTCCTGGCTTTTTTCGATCGAGGAGCTACGTCCTCATCCTCATCCTCTGGAGTAGCCGGTTTTGCTGTGCTTTTCTTGGTCCGGGGGCTAGATCTAACGGGAACTTCGGCCTCGATCACGATTTTGCTGCTGCTCTTCTTGGGCGTTTGAGATGCCTTGACTGGTTTAGAATCTTTCGATGAAGCAAAGTAGTCGTCGGCAGATATTGCTACGCCTTTAGGCTCCGTCTCCCTGACTTAGAGTTAGAGGGGGAAATCGCAATGATAAGGCGGAAAACAGGAATGCACCATCGCAGTAAATACCTTTTCTTCGCCGCGGGTTTCGGCGTAGGCTTCTTCTCTCTGTAAGTTCGGTTAGAGACGGAGCGTGAACTATATGATAGTTTGAAACGGGGTGGCAGTACTCTACAACTTCATCATCGCTATCTTCAACAACTTTCCGGCCCTCTATATACTAGTCAGTATCAATTGATGACTTGTGGATGAATAGCACTCACTTCCTCGTTTGCCCTTGGCCGCCGGGGGCTCTGGTTTGGCGGCCGCAGGTTTGGGGGCGGCACCACCCTTTGGCGCGAAGAATGATCGGATATCAGGCATTGTGTCCCGCTATTCAAACGCAGATGAAGTGCCAGGAGACAATAAAATTGACGAAGGCGACAAGACAAGATATAGCCTTGATATAACCTTCACAGGGGCCTCTTCCACTGCAATTTGGTGCTGTTGCCTGACCAATCGCGGGTCCGGCGTGCAGAGGGAAGATGCAGCCTAGAAATTGTTCAGTGACGTGCGCTAGATCCCACTTGCAGCGCAACGCGAAGCTGACGCGAGGTGCGTGACCTGGACTTAATTGCCTGATGCTGCCGGATGAGTAAGCAGCATCGCTGAGAGCCTGAGATCTCAGGCCCCACCACGAGACGGATCCATGCCATGGTGGGATTCTTTTCAAGATATCGGAGCAGTCGTGCGATATCTCGAGACAAGCCGAAACAAGCGGCCAAACCGACGCCATGAGGTCCAATGGCGCTTCCGCATTGCTGAATGCCTTCCAGGGACTGAAGATTTCCGCATGCACCCCGTTGCGACAACTGAGGGCCCCGATTCAGCACCAGTCCAAGGTCCTCGGCGCCGCTCTGCTCCAGAATGGCAGGGCCTTTTCCACAAGCCCGGCCATGATGGGCACATGGCTCGAGCCTAGCTTGAACCGAAAGAAGAAAATGGCAAAGGGACGGCCGCGAGTAGCGACGGGAGGGTCTACGAAGGGCACAACAGTCATCTGGGGCGACTACGGGTTGCGCATGGTTGACCACCACCGAAGAATCAGCGCCAAGTCACTAAAGATGGCTGAGGATACGATCAAAGTGCGACTCCGAGGAGAGAAATACCGACTTTACAAGAGAAAATGCTGCAACGTTGGTGTCTACGTCAGCGGTAACGAGGTGCGGACTTTCTTCAACAAACTGTTTGAGAAGGCAATGGCAAGCTAAATGTTGAATTAGATGCGAATGGGTAAAGGAAAGGGTTCCTTCGACCACTGGGCTACAAGGATGGCAGTCAGCCAAGTCCTGTTTGAGATCAAGGGCCGAATCCACGAGCAGATTGTCCGAGACGCTTTCCGGTTGGCTGGCAATAAGCTCCCAGGTGCGAAACATTGTCATTATGATCTCCCTTTGAAGATCACCACTAACTGAATCACAGGCCAGTGGGAATTTGTGAAGAAGGGTGACGCTCCCGTTGTTGGAATTACCAAGCTGGATGGTGTCACACTGGAGGACCTCAAGAGACCCAGAAAGCAGCTTGCCCCTCAAGAGCTTGTTGAGGTATCAACTTCTACAACAACCGCTGAAGCCGGAAGCACATCTCCGCCGTCTGGGTCCTCATAAGCATCAAGGAGAATGCTCTGTACCATAAGAATACTTGTATATAAAACAAAAGCCGCCTGATGAAAAAATGGAAAAGAAATAACGAACATGTGAGCACGAGTCTCAAGCAAGGATCATCTCCCCCACCATGTCGGCAATTTTGTAATCCTGTATTTTTACCAAGTGAAATTCAATTCCAATATTACCTACAAGAAGGAAATAGCAATGACAAATTCAAAACAGAAGATTATTGGGCTTCGTGGCCTGAAGCAGTACAAGTGCACGTTAAGGGAGTTATCGAACCAACAGTTAGCGGCCTGTGATTTTTTGGCCGTAAAACCAGCTTCGTCCAGTGGCTACAGGGAACTGCAGCAGGCACCTAGACTTCCCCACTCTGAGTTCATCGCACAGCACTTTACGCGACGACGCGTCTGCCAACCTTCAAAATCTTGGAGCTTCCAATTCAATACGCACGCCAATCTCAACAGCCAACGCAATGGCTCTCATCGTCGACAAGCATCGCCCGCGGTCTCTCGAGGCTCTGTCATATCACCATGAGCTCTCCGAACGACTTCAATCTCTCGTATGATGCGATTATTCACATTCGCAGCTGCAATGGCTAACCGTTAACCCCCCATCACAGGCCCAAAGCGGTGACTTCCCCCATCTCCTAGTCTACGGCCCATCAGGAGCTGGAAAGAAGACAAGAATAGTGGCAACGCTGAAGGAGCTGTACGGCCCCGGCGTGGAGAAGATCAAGATCGACGCACGAGTGTTCCAGACGTCTAGCAACCGAAAGCTCGAGTTCAACATTGTCGCCTCAAACTACCACTTGGAAATCACACCATCCGACGTAGGGCAATACGATCGAGTCGTTGTGCAGGATCTTCTGAAAGAAGTAGCGCAGACGCAGCAGGTGGACCAGTCGGCAAAGCAGCGTTTCAAGGTGGTCGTTATCAATGAAGCAGACCACCTAACCAGAGATGCGCAGGCCGCACTTCGTCGGACAATGGAAAAATACTCTCCCAACCTGCGTCTGATCCTACTGGCCAATTCAACAGCGAATATCATTGCGCCAATTCGTTCAAGAACACTGCTCGTCAGAGTTGCCGCCCCGACCCATGCCGAAATCTGTGACGTCCTTGCGCAATCAGCAAAGAAAGAGAACTGGGAAGTTGTCAAAGGACTCCACCAGCGGATAGCTGAGGAGAGTGGAAGGAATCTGCGCCGCGCGCTACTGATGTATGAAGCGGTTCACGCTCAGAAGTAAGTGGAATCCAACGAATCGACTGTTTTGAGTCTCTTTACTAATTATACTTTGCGCCGCAGTGAGAAAGTAACAGACAGCACGCCAATCCCACCTGCAGACTGGGAAGCACTGGTCGGCCAGATCGCCAAAGAGATCATCGAGGAACACACCCCGGCAAGGATCTTGCAGGTGCGCGCTAAGCTGTACGATCTCCTCACACATTGCATCCCACCAACCACGATTCTCAAGACTCTTACGTTCAAGCTGCTGGGTCTCATTGACGACGGGCTCAAAGGAGAGGTCATAAAGTGGTCCGCGTTCTATGAACACCGAATCAAGACGGGTACAAAGGTTATCTTTCACTTGGAAGCGTTTGTCGCAAAATTCATGCGCATCTTGGAAATGTACCTGATGAGCATGGACATGTAATTACGGCGACTGGTCACGATGGCGTCTGGAGTACTAGAAAAATAATTGAAAGGAAGCTTTGTTCTGCGGACCCTTTAATTTTACCACAAGTTGTTCATTGGCCCCGAATATGTCCTACAAAAGAGAAGAAAGGCAATCTAGCGCTTCATGTGATTGTTCAGGCAAACAAAGAGGCTTCCCACTTGACTATATCTATGTCTCCTCTTGTGCCGGAAAGCTTCCCCCGTTGACATGATTCATCACAGAATTCAACAAACACCCTACCAAGTTTGCTCAACCCATAGTAAGGACTCCTTGGACGCGTACGTCTGCCACGCCTTACGTGCGAGACATGCTAACTCTACTGAGCCGAACAGAACTTTCAAAGGCCATCTAATCTCGCGACAGCAACAATGAGCTCTCATATAAAGCATCATCATGCCCGCGCAAGCCAGGAGCTTGCTCAACCCATTGGCAAGGCCTCAAGGGAAGACAGCAGCATTGGCGAGCAAGGTAGCTCTCCCAACCTTGAGAAGATCTGTGACCCGATTGACGAGATTCTCAACCTTGCAGTTGACATTGTGGAGAAGATATGGCCCAAATATGATTCTCAAGCCTTCTCAGAATATCTCAAAGCGCATATTTTTCATTCTGCGGAACACAACGCCAACAAATCCGACGAGAAAGCCAGAGAGAGAAAAATAGAAAGGATTTCTGAGATTATCACCAAAGAAGGTGACAAAATTGCCCACGAACTCGTTACGAAGTTCGAGAAAGTCCGCATACATGTTCATGACGTCCAGGACAATAAAGACCATCTCCGCGAGCTTGGAGTCCAAGCTAAAGCCCGTATTCACGACTATCTTAAAGTCCATCTCCACGAGGCTGTTGACAAGCCTGTCCACGAGACTGTCGACAAGCCTGTCCACGAAATTGTCGACGACAAATTCGATGAGGTTGACGAAATCGCCTGCAAAGATTACGACAAAGTATCTGAAAATCCCTTCGATGAATTTATCACAGACAGTGACGTAGAGACAGACCACACTTACGTGGAGGTGCGTAAATAGGCAGCTGACGAAGACGCCGCCAAATCCTGATGACAAAGTTATTAGTCCTATGAAGGTTGACGATGGTGCCACTCAGGCCCTTAGGAAACTGGTTGAGCAAGTCGCCTGCAAGTTCATAATCGAGGTGGTTAACAAATGGAAAGAAAGAAGAGAAAGGAAAGAAGAAAATGAAAAATACCAATTTAACTTCAAGGGCTTTATCAAGCTATTTAAAGATGCCGCCAACTTTAAGGCCAACTTCGATCCCAAGTCTGTCGAGCCCACCAACTTTTACACTGACTTCGACTTCTACGGCTTTGTCGAGCTCTTTAAGGATGCCACCAAACCCCACACCAAACACGATCCCGAGGGCTCTGTCGAGCTCCTTAAGGATGCCAACAACTTTTCCACTGAGTCCGATTCCGAGGCCGTTGTCAAGGTCCCTGAGGATGCCGTCAAATCTTACACTGAGTTCGACCTCTGGGGCCTCGTCAAGCTATTTGAAGATGCCGCCAACTTTTACGCTACCGTCAACGGTTACGCTGATGTCGACTTTTACGCTGACTTCGACTTCGACGGCTTTGTCGAGCTATTTGAGGATGAGGAGGACTATGTCATGGTCGATCGCAACACAATGATGCCGTCTGCCACGGATGATGAGGTGCTGGCAACCGAGGTCACTGAAAAGGCAGCTGCAAGGACTAGAACATGGTGGTTCTTTTGGTGAGGCTGAATTGCTTTGAGTTGATGCGATGTGTTAAACGAGGGTGATGTGTTGGGTTTTTCATGACTTCATGAGCTAGGTTGAAAAAACGATGAGTGAAGTTGTACGATAGGCACGCAGAATAAAAGACAAAAAAAAAATTCAATAGCACCAGTTCTTGACTGTTTTATGATCCATGCTTGTCCATCGACTGCCTATTCACGCGATGTACCTACTTTGAAATAGCTCGATGAATGTCCCATTCTATTAGAGGCGAGAAAATACCGCTGCCACGAGCGCAGTGCAACTATCAATGATTTCTGCAAAGGGCTGTTGGATGTGATAGAAACGAGTAGAAGGAGTGAGCCTTTGTTGCAATTCTTCTGCCTTTAAGCCTTTATTATGTGATTTAGAACCCTTTGTTTCAGTCATTCAAGGCTAGTAATCAATGGAGGGAATCTGAGAAAACTGGCTCAAGCCAACACAAAGACATTGTCACGCCTTTGCAACGAAAATGGCTACCAACCGATGTGGTTTCGACACAAGTGAGACAGACCAACGCTAGGTCGCAACGAGCGATTTTTCACGAAAAGCTGCCCTGGCATGGGCTTTAATACCTGCTGCGAGGAGACGCATGCCGTGTTGTTCGAATTTTGACGCAGTGCTAAGGTGGTAGTGTGCCTGCGTTCTCCATTCGGGCCGCTACGGAGGTGCTAACTGGACCAGAGTTTCCCCGTGAAGCCGTTACCGTTCGTCGAGGTGGTTGTGAGATGCATCCGATCCATGCAGTCATCTGTTGGTGCCTCGGACAGGGCTGCAGAGGCTTGATGCAGAACCTGTCAACATGAGACGAGCGAATACATACCTACCTTATCTTTCTTCTCCGATCATATCCGTCACAAAACCCTTTTAGTATTTAACCGGCAATCTTGGCCAAGATTCGTATAATGTTTAACCTTGACAATCCTGTCTTATCAGCGAAGAGTGAGTAAGCAGAGATTTGCAGTTTCTGGTTTCAAGCCTCGTAACCAAGTAGTAGTACTACTCCGTAGGTTCATCTCAAATTAATCACGCATAATCCGTACCGGTTGGTTGGGTGCGTTGGGGGACCTTTTTAACGTCGCTTTTATTTCTGTAGGGTAACCGTTCGCTGCAACATTAGAGTGGACTGAAGAAAATGGATGGATGGATGGAACTTGGAAGGGAGGGTAAAAGAGGGGCAGCGCATGGACACGGCAAAGTTCCTGGAGCAGAGTAGCATCGAAGGATCTAAGGCCAACCAACCACCAACAACGGCCAGTCCCCCTTTTTGCCTATTTTACTCTGTACCATTGGCGATTCGCAACATTCTTTCTTAGTCAGGATCTGTCTCCTTTTCCCGTGCTTTGGCTACTCGTACAAGATGGCAACGGGCGGATATCTCGGGAACAAGCAGGAGAAAAAAGACGTCCAAGCACCTATCTAGTGCACGCAAGTAGTGGATCTGATATGGCAAAAGCCGGGATGCGGGCCACAATTTCCCATCCGTGATAATTGATGGGAAAAGGAACCCCTCGGTGATCCAAGGCAACCCATGGTAGTAGCACGGAATGGAACTCCATACTGTAGCTCTGGTGTTAGATGGGGGCATCGCTTATTCACCTTGTCCGGGATGCATGCAGCTAGCATGTGCGCATCGTGGGTAGGCAATTTCAGCGCCCACGACCATTGGCGGCCGCTGCCTGATAGACGACATGCGTCTGCAAGGAGCTGCAAACTCTTTTGCTAGCACTTTTACATACAGGCGGAGACGGCGGCATCAGCAGCCAGAATGACAATTACGTATTGACATGTACGATTACTGGGTGAGCGTGATTATATGAGACATCAGCTTAAGCACGAGAATGCCCGGGAAATCCAGGACTCTCAATGGCAAGAGACCCGAGGATAAGGTCGAATATGTCTCGTGGCCCCTCGGACGACAGGCGCCGGCAACATGGCAAATGACGAGAGACGAGAGACGCAACTCACCAGGACGAGCAGCTAACCCGAGCCCTTCCAGGCCGGTTTCATATGACTCGTGGGTCTTGTCTCTGAAGACGGAAATGCTGCTTCTGGCTCTTCGGGGCAACGGAGCTGTTGATACCCCACCCGGCCCATCGGGACATGCGCCGCTTGTAGGGCAAAGGCTTCACCAGCAGAAGCGGTGCTTGACCCGTTGCAGATACGCAGTGCGTGGCGATGGTTTCCCAAAAGCGCATAGAGGTGGCAGGACAAGCCGCTAGGGATTCTGGGGGAGTTTGGGGGAGTGAGGAGTGAGCCTGGGGAAAAGTACGGGGGAAGAAACGGCCGGCGTCGTGGCGAGTAGATACGGTACCGTGGTGTACCGAGTACTTGGAGAGAGGTTGCTGTAAGCCCTCGCTCGTCTCCCTCATCACCAGCCTCGCCTCGAGATGGACAGCTCTCCGGACCAAGCACGAAGACTACATGCTAACTAGACATGGTACCTGGACACGAAACCCAGCTACAGACAGCATTGCCGTTGTCGCGATCCACTATTAATGGCAGGTTCCTAGGTGCAACGCCGTGTCGAGATGGAGAATGGTGGTGGTATTAGTATGGGCGGCTCCATACCAGACAGGTAAGGGTCAAGTAGGTTGACAAGACTAAAGTAGTGAGCGACAATGGAGTACGAGTCTGGTATTACCACACACCAGACAGCATCCTCAAAGCTATCCCCAGAATGCCATCTCCCTGGACGGCACTGGAGAATCGCCTCCACCATCTTATAAAGTCATCCAAACCCCCTCCGCTCCGCCGCCTCCTGTCCTCTCTCTCCTCTCTTTGTTGCTCTTGCTCTTGACCATCTCACCCTACGTCACGAAGAGGCAAACACCAAAGACTTCAAAGAGCGTCCAGCTTCTCTCTGCCTTTGTCCGGCATCTGCTCTAGTTGCTCCCCATCCTCGAGCCCTTTGCGACTCGAACAGGGACAACGACTCCATTGACCGACTGTTGCTATTTGCATCGCAACGCATCGCAACATCTTCGCCTTTGTTGGGGGGAAAATATCCATCCACCGCAACGTAGCACCAAAGTACTCTGGACTTGAAAAGCTACCCCGCACCCGGTCGCATTTCTACAGCGCTTCCTTCTGCTCTACCCCTCCAAACCTCTTTTCTACCTCTTTTTCCGCTTCGGCACACACAAACCACACAAACTCTTCAACAACCGCAGCCATGGCCGACAACCAGGGAGTTGTCGTGGAAGCCCACGAGATTGAGACTTTCCGTAAGGACTTCTTTGCGCCCTGTGCTTTTGCTTTTTTCTTCTTTTTCTTCTAGCCATTCCAAGCCGATGCTAACCTGTGCGCCCAACAGAGCCTCCTCAGAAGATGTTCGCAAGTATGTTGCCCGCTAGCCGCTCCTCGAAATCTCCGATAGACAGCCACCCCTACCCTTTTTAGTCGCCTTTGGCACCAGATCCAGCTGACATCTTTTTCTCTCTCACCCATTTGACAGAGCACCCCGGCAAACCCCACATTGCAAGTGAGTAAACCGTTTTCCTAAACACCTCAAAGAAGCTGCCCCGTATCTGCACCGGTCTCGGCGCAGTCCGCGGGGGGTAACCCGGACGGCCGGAATTGCGTCAAATCAACGGCGCATTTTTTCCGCCTGTCCGGTCGGCCGGTGCAGCTTACTACTACGGTCACGCAATCGAGACTATCGAGACAATGATTGCTGACAATGCTTGAAAAACGATAGGCCTTGAGGAGTACCAGAAGCTCTACAAGGAGTCCATCACCGAGCCCAACAAGTTCTGGGGCCGAACAGCTCGCGAGCTGCTTTCCTGGACCCGCGACTTTGAGACCGTCTCTGCCGGCAGCCTCGCTGAAGGTGATATCAAGTGGTTCGTAGAGGGCCAGCTCAACGCCTGCTACAACGCCGTCGACCGCCATGCTTACAAGGACCCTAACCGTGTTGCCATCATCTACGAGGCCGACGAGGTCGACGATGGCCGTAACGTCACTTACAGCGAGCTTCTTCGCGATGTCTCCAAGGTTGCCTGGGTCCTCAAGCAGGCTGGCATCAAGAAGGGTGACACTGTCGCCATCTACATGCCCATGATTCCCGAGGCCGTTGTCGCCATCCTGGCCTGTGTCCGTATCGGTGCCGTCCACTCCGTTGTTTTCGCCGGTTTCTCCGCCGACGCTCTCCGGGACCGTGTCATTGATGCCAAGTCCAGATTCGTCATTACCTCCGATGAGGGCAAGCGAGGTGGCAAGTTCATTGGCACCAAGAAGATTGTCGACGATGCTCTGAAGCAGTGCCCCGACGTCAGCAACGTTCTTGTCTACCGCCGCACCGGCGCCGATATCAACATGGTCCCCGGCCGTGATCTGTGGTGGCACGAGGAGGTCGAGAAGTGGCCCAGCTACATCGCCCCCGAGCCCATGAACTCTGAGGATCCCCTCTTCCTTCTCTACACCTCTGGCTCTACCGGAAAGCCAAAGGGTGTCATGCACACCACCGCCGGCTACTTGCTTGGCGCCGCCCTGACCGGCAAGTACGTCTTCGATATCCACGACGGCGACCGCTACTTCTGCGGTGGTGACGTGGGTTGGATTACTGGCCACACTTATGTCGTCTACTCTCCCCTGCTCTTGGGTGTTTCCACAGTCGTCTTCGAGGGCACACCTGCCTACCCCAACTTCTCAAGATACTGGGATATTATTGAGAAGCACAACATCACTCAGTTCTACGTTGCCCCCACCGCCCTGAGACTGCTCAAGCGAGCTGGTGATGAGCACGTCCGCGGCAACTTCAAGTATCTGCGAACTCTCGGTTCCGTCGGTGAGCCCATCGCTGCCGAGGTCTGGAAGTGGTACTATGAAATTGTTGGCAAGGAGAGCGCCCACATTGTTGATGTAGGTTCAAACAAGCCCAATCATCCTGCTTCTCGCCAGCCTGGAAGGAGAAAGAATGAAAAACTACAAAAAAAGGGTAAAACTAACAGACAACTTATAGACCTACTGGCAAACCGAGACCGGTTCCAACGTCATCACACCTTTGTCCGGCATTACCCCCATGAAGCCCGGCAGTGCTTCACTACCATTTTTCGGCATTGAGCCCGCCATCATTGACCCTGTCTCTGGTGAGGAGCTCCACGGCAACAACGTTGAGGGTGTCCTTGCCTTCAAGCAGTCATGGCCCAGCATTGCTCGTACCGTCTACGGTAGCCACAAGCGATACCTGGACACCTACCTGCATGTCTACAAGGGATACTACGTAAGAACCCCCCGTCTTTGCAGACGTTCTAAGAGTAAACATATATCTAATACGGAGACATAATAGTTCACTGGTGACGGTGCCGCTCGTGACCACGAGGGATTCTACTGGATCCGAGGACGTGTCGATGACGTCGTCAACGTCAGTGGTCACCGTCTCTCCACTGCCGAAATCGAGGCTGCCCTGATTGAGCACCACTCTGTCGCCGAGGCCGCCGTCGTTGGTGTCTCCGACGAGTTGACTGGCCAGGCTGTCAACGCCTTTGTCGCCCTCAAGGATGGCAACGAGAGCACAGATGCGCTCCGCAAGGAGCTCGTCCTGCAAGTCCGCAAGAGCATTGGCCCCTTTGCCGCCCCCAAGGCTGTCTTCATCATTGGAGATCTCCCCAAGACTCGAAGTGGCAAGATTATGCGCCGTATTCTGAGAAAGGTGCTGGCCGGTGAGGAGGATCAGCTTGGTGATGTTTCAACGGTAAGCTATTCCCCCTTCCTCTCTTTGAACTAGGGAAAGACTCAGTGTAACTAATCACTTCCTTCTTCAGCTGTCCGATCCTTCAGTCGTGGACAAGATCATCGCCACCGTCCACGAGGCCAGAGGAAAATAAATAAAGTAAATAGCAATTCGGGAGTCAGCAGGATTTGTTTTTCGCATTTAGCTTGTCAGTCGATACAATTCGGATAGGAGACAATGTCCGTCGGAGGTTAAAAACCAGGGTAATATGGGGGGAGAACTCTTTGGGATGAAGATACGACATGGGATAGCATTTTGATATCTAAGACGACGAATCCAATTTTTTACGTTACACTGATGGCGGATTCTCTTGTGATACACATTGGAGGATGCTGATAAGGCGAGAGTTCAAGGCTTGACGAGAGTTCCGCTCGCTGAGGAATCAGCAAAGGACGCGCGTACTCTTCGGCTAGTAAAGACGTTAAAGTACGTGTAGCTTGCAAATAAGGTTCGATGCATGCATGGGAGTTGAGTTGTTCGACGCAGTTTCTGCCAAGGAGATTTGTAAAGGCGAATCAGAAGTACAGCCCTTACGGGGCATGTATGGCCTGGGTACATCTCCGCCTAGGTATACAAGCGAATGTAAGGGATAGTGTTGAGCACACACTATCTGACACTTTTCATCCGATTATCGTTGCTCGATGCGCCTCCGATTCGGGATGGAGTCGAGCCAAGACTGGCAATGCAGCACAGCCTGGAAACAAGACCCACGCCGACGATTCCGGGAGATGCAACACTAAAACATTGGAAGTCGAATCTGCGTTTGTGTAAAGTAGTACATATGAAAGGGGGGCTAGTATCTTGTGCGTTGTGACGAAAGGGGGGGTTGTATCTGTGCGTTGGTGATGGGCCGGGTTTAGTGCAGAACAAGTTTATGAGATATCCGGCGTAAATTCACAGGCGGCCTCACAGAACAGCAACAACAGCCGGGAGAGGGGAGGGGAGTTTGGGCTAAAAGCCGAAAAGATTGGAGAGAAGAAGAAAAAATGTTGGTTCGAAATGGTCAGCGCCAAGACAAAAGGCGTCGTCATGGGACGAGGGCGCTGAGGTTCGGGGATTCTCGTTGGTTGGATCGGGGCTGCAAGTCTCATCGGGGCGAAGCGTGATGAGCATTCTACATACAGGCAGTTGGGCTAGTTTTTCTTCTTCTTCTTGGAGGGATTCCATTTCTGCTTCGCTGTACTACTCGCATCGCGATGATGACGATGATTTTCTTTTTTACTGTGTGTAATTAACATTGATCTCTGGCGGTCAAGGGCCGCACGGGGCGGGGGTTTCCCGGCCAAGAGTGGCTCAGCCCTCGTTATACGAAGTATGAGGGTGAGAAATGGGGTGACGGGATGTGTTTTAAGATGTCGAGACGAGATGAGTTTATTTTAATCCTTATTCTTTTTTTTTTCTCGGTTAACGGAGATGGCCGTTATCGATAGATTAAAGCTGTTTCTTGCAGGGTACAAGATCAGAATAGCACTTGTGTTTCTCTTACACAACATTGATAGTTTTGCACGTTTCCAATGTCTCTCGTATCTGATACGAAACAAGCGCTTCCATTGCCGCAGTGTTTCCGGCTCTTGCAACACGGACTCTATAATTGGGTCAGCAGGGATTCGTGGTCAGAGAAGGCGAGTGACACGAGCGGAGCTGCAGGGATCCCCCAGGGAGTTTCAGGGTATCGCAGTATGCATAACAGCGCCAGTCGATGTTAAAATGTTGGAGGCATGTGGAGGTTTGGTATGGAAACAAAATCACCAACATGCATCACCTGCAGTAACAACCGAGACACGCAATACTAAATGGATGACGTCGGGAAGAGCAGAACAGAACAAAACAGAATAGGCATCAAGTGACAACGCCCGCATCGTAGACCACGGTAGATGGCAGCAACATGGAAGACAAAATAATAACCGGCCTTAGTGTTGCATAGCCACGCTGCGAAACAGACTTGAAATCAAAGCACCCAAACGCCAAGCAGCCCTGCCTGTCATCAACCACTAATTTGCACGAGTCTAGCGCTGCTCAGTGGAGGCTTAGTGGGCCCCCCAGAAGCTGCCAAGCTGCCGCTGCTAGCGACTCTTGTTAGTTCTAGCTGTCTTCTACAGTAAGGTTCAACCGCCATCTGATGATTGGTTTTGAGGCTTTCCTCCATCGTCCCGCCTCAGCTTTCTTCTCTCCGCCTTCACCAACATTCGCCCTCTTTGTTCCTCCATTCATTGTCCCGGCCTCCGTCCGCGGCGCGCGCTTCCCCACCTCCGGGGCTTTTGTTTCCTTTCCTTTGGTCTCGTCGGCTTTTTCTTTTTTTGTTTCCCTTCGCTGCATCTCTAAGTCCGATCGTTGTTCTGCGCCACGCTGACAGACGCAATCGCTTCTTGGCTTTGTCTTTGTTCTCTGCTTTAAGTTAAGAGACAGTCCGGTTCGGTCATCTGGATGGCCTGTTTGCGATAACACAGCTTTCCCTCTTTGCTTCTACTCTATTACGTGCCGCCTATTTCGCTGGGGGGCCGTGTAGATATACCCACCCCGCAGCTATGGTTGCGCTCCGGCCTCTTCTGGCCGCTTTTGCTAGCACTGCCTTGTTAGCCCAGTCCGCGATAGGTACTGTTTGCTCCTCTACCATAGCCCTTTACTCTCTTGACTTGGTTGGTTCCCATTTACTGACGTTGGCACCCGGCTGTAGCGCATTCGTTGAAGAGAAGTCCTCTCAACTACGTGTCTGTCATTGACAATGTCAAGATCCACACACCTGCCGGTCGAGTTCATTCGCATTCCGACTTTGACCTGACCTTCTCCTTCAACGGGGGAGAAGAGAAAGTCCGACTATCGCTTCACCCGAACCACGACATCCTCCACGATGACTTTGAGGTGACGTTTCTCGACTCGGAAGGAAAGGTCAAGTCGAGAGAAAAGGTGGAACGTTCCGAGCACAAGGTCTACCGAGGCGACGCCTTTGTTGAACGTCCTGGCGAAGATGGCTGGTCCCTCGGTGGATGGGCGAGGATAACGATGCACCGCGATGGTAAACATCCGGTATTTGACGGCTCTTTCCGCATTGACGGCGATAACCACCACATCCATACTGGCTCCAAGTACAACAGCCTCAAGACCGAAGACGATCCCCTCCCTTCAGACTGGGAGGAGATACATGATCACGATGAAGTCATGGTTATATGGCGTGACTCTGATGTTCAAGGCTCCCAGAGTCGCGAAGACCTGAAGCGCGACGTCTCGAAGCCGTCAGACTGCATCTCAGACTCGCTAAACTTTAACAACCAGTTTGACCTGGAGCTGAGGCGATCAACTGGGCTTCGAGGGATTGACCCGAGAAGCCTGTTCGGCCGCCAAATCGATGGAGGCTCCGGTGGTAGTGGCCAGGATCTCATTGCGAGTATTGGAGATACAGCTGGATGCCCCACTACCAAGAAGGTTGCGTTGGTCGGGATTGCTACTGACTGTACTTATTGGAACGGCTTCAACTCTTCCGAGGATCTTAGGAGAAACGTCATCGGCATAGTTAACCAAGCCTCCCAAGTCTATGAAAACTCCTTCAAGATCTCCTTGGGCATCAGAAACCTGACGGTCCTCGACCGTGGCTGCCCAGGCGCACCCTCCACTGCCACACCCTGGAACGTGGATTGCCAGGCCAACACCACCATTAGCGACCGGCTGAACCTCTTCTCTGCCTGGCGCGGTAGATCTCTCGATGGTAATGCCTACTGGACTCTGTTGACTACGTGTCCCACAGACTCGGCTGTTGGGTTAGCCTGGAGGAGCCAGGTATGCCGTCAGGGGTCGGGGACCAGTTCGGACGGGCAAGGGAACAACGAGACCGTCGCTGGCGCCAATGTCGTCGTGCGAACTTCGACAGAATGGCAAGTGTTTGCCCACGAGTCGGGACACACTTTTGGAGCCGTCCATGACTGTACAAGCTCTGCTTGCCCCGTAAGCCAAACATCACAATCGTGCTGTCCGCTCAGTGCCAGCACCTGTGATGCTGGGGGTCGGTACATCATGAACCCTTCCACTGGCACCGGCATCACCCAGTTTTCCCCATGCAGCATCGGCAACATCTGTTCCAGCCTCAAAGCTGCATCTCTGTCAAGCTGCCTAACAGATAACAGGAACGTCCCAACCATTACAGGTAGTCAGTGTGGCAACGGTATTGTCGAAGAAGGCGAAGAATGCGACTGTGGTGGCACTCAGGGCTGCCAGAACAACACATGCTGCAACCCCACGACTTGCAGGTTTAGGAACAACGCCGTATGCGACCCGTCCAACGAAGACTGCTGCACCGACCAGTGCCAATTCGCAAACTCGACAACGGTATGCCGTCCCAGCACTGGCGAGTGCGACATTCAGGAGACGTGTCCAGGCACCGCAGCCAGGTGTCCTGACGACCAGCACAGGGCAGATGGCGACACTTGTGGCAGCGGTAACGGTCTCCAGTGCGCTTCGGGCCAGTGTACATCTCGCGATAGGCAGTGCCAGGCCGCCGTTGGTACCACGGCCGACAATAGCTCGACGACTGCATGCCCTGATACACGAGACAGCTGCACTGTTTCCTGCTCGAACGGACAATCTACTTTTGGGCAGCGTCAATGCCTCTTGTTTGGCCAGAACTTTATCGATGGAACGCCCTGCGGCGCTGGTGGACACTGCTCGAACGGATCATGCGAAGGCACCTCGACGTCTCGAGAGATTAGAGATTGGATCGATAGTCACAAGCAGATTGTCATCCCCATCGCCGTTGTCGTTGGAATTCTGCTCATCATCGTAGTGGCGAGCTGTATCATCAGCTGCTGCCGCCGTCGAAGACGCGCAGTGCCCAAGACTTCTTCACCCCCGTCAGCAGCATGGACGCAGTGGGGAGGCAACCAGAGCCGTGGACCGGGGCAACAGTTTGGCGTAGCCCAACCTCAGTACGATCCACCGCCGCCGGCCTATGGCCAACAGCAGCAGCCTCCGGAATACGGACAGCCGCCGAATCAGGGGTGGAGGCCGAGAATAGAGCGGTATGCCTAAAAGTGCTGCACATATCAGTTGTCTTTTATTCAGTTGATTGATTGTCTGTTTGTGTTATTATCGAATATGGAGGTTTTGTCTTTTCTGTATGGGATCTGGAACAGCTTGGGATAGGACTCTCGTTTCGCTGCGGCTTGGAAAGATTACATGCATGCTTGGAAACTTGTTGACGGCGTTTTTTCGAGGTGCGGGTGCCATTTAAATGACGACTTATGAAAGAGGGAAACAGGGCTGTGTTGGTTTTGTCTTTTTGGGATACATACAGCTGATACATACATACCCATCGTTACAAAGATGTTGAGATTTGAAGTTTTTCTTGTCTATAACAGCTGCTGAGTCTGGATCGTGGGGCACTGCAGATAGGAAATGATTTTAATTGAATAGCTTGAAAAGAAAGGAGTCGTTAGAGTAATGGATCCGATGCCATCCATGGTCATAAAAGTTCATAATCCGCCGTGATGAAAAAAAGAGAAAAGAAATAAAGCAAAAAGAGCAAGGAGATTCAGGCCCATCAATCAATCATCCTCCAGGTCCATGTTATTAACAGCCTTTCGCGTCTTGACGTGCCTCTCCCGCGCCACCGACAGGGTAGTTTTGAAGTGCGCATTGTTCCGCCAATCCGCCTCGTCTTCGTAGCCGCACATCATGGCCGTGAAGCGCAGCCTCTGACTTGCGAGGCTCTGTAACCAGACATATGTTAGTATCACAGTCATAATTTCTGAAAATATTGAGTAGAAGAAGAACGAAGAAAGTGAAGATGCTAGGAAGAATAGAGGGTGGGGAGCTGGAGTGGTTATACGCACGTCGTTTGAGGTGTTGGCGTACATCATCAGCTGCTCAGGCCGATCCAGCACCGCAAGAGCATACGCTCTCCGCTCACGCGTCTCGAAAGCTTCCGATTTACAGCTGAAAATGGACGAAGTAGTCGTTTTGCTAGCATCGTCAAAGTCATCATCATCATACCTAAACCACACACAAGTCAGTAACAAAAACCCCAAACCCACAACAATCCATCAAAACAAGAAGAAAGAAAACGTACTCATCCTCTTCCTCCTCCTCCTCTTCCAACTCCTCCATCTCCTCCAAATCCTCATCGTCATCGGCCTCCTCATCCGTCAAGTCGTCCTCATGCTTCTTGTACGCGTTCTTCCCGCGCGCCTGCCGGTCCCGCATGCTCGCCGACACGAGCGTCGGAAACGTCTTCTTCACGGCGACGCGTCTCCGGGGCTGCGGGTCTTGAGCTTGTTGTTGTTGGTGGTAGTGCTGGTGCAGCTGGTGCATGAGGTGCGACTCTTGGAGCTGCTGCTGGTATTGCTGGTTGATGTTTGCCTGTTGGGCAGCAGACATTTTGACTGGGAGGATGGCCTTGATCCGGTAGTTGACGTCTGTTCAATAATATGCGCCCGGCTTCAATTTGTGTGATTTTCTATTATTCTTTTTAATGTTTGGTTTGGAAATCAACAAGTTGCGCTGGCTGTTAATCAAGCTGTCGTTGGAACAGAGATGGTTTGGCGGAGGATGAATGAGGTTAGCAGTGTCAGGTTTGCCGCGCCTAGTGGCGATTTGCTCCATGGTCTTTTATTATCCGCTGAGCCTCAACACACAGACCCCGCCTTCCAATAAGAATTCACTTATTAAGACACATCCCGATATATTGCACATAACAATTACATATATTGCCTGCATCTTGCATCGATCCCATCAAAAGGCCTTCACCACGCAAAGCGGATTGATTAATAACTGGGGACGCTGTCCCCCGTTAGATTGATAGTACTCTGCAGATTTTATTGTACAAGAAGCAGTCGCACTATTCGCCGACCTGTTCAAACAAGTGTAGACACAAAGTAGAAAAGTGCCCCGGCTGCCTCCCCCTTTCTCCGTCCCTCGCCTCCTCCCGTTTGCCTTGGACCCGAAAGAGAGAGTAAAAAAGCAAAATAAAGCAGATAAAAGCAAAGATGAAATAGATAAAATGAAATAACACCACTCGTTACTCCGTACGTCCGTTTTATCCCTGTCCCTTCATTCGAGTGTATCCGCGTAGTCAAGATGATTAGCATAGTCCAGCTTCCCCCCGGCTGTCCAGATATATCGTGGTTCGTGACCAAAAAAAGAAAGTGTAACGGGGAATGCTGGTAAACAAAAGGGATTGAAGCGCAGAGCTATTCGAGCCCCAGCGTTTGAGTTCGCGGCACCTCACCTCCCCCACATCCTTTTGACCATCTTTTGTTCCAAAAAGAAGAAGAATAGAGAGAGAGAGAGAGAGCAAAAAAAGAAAAGAGAAGAGGGTCCGCTGTCGAGATGAACCAGATCATGTCGCAGCCCCGTTGTCATGTCGCGCCATCCGCCGATACCGTTTTGTTTTCTAGAGGTTGCCGTATCGTCTATCACGGCTTCACCTAGAGTCGCTCAATCCATTCAACATCACTAAAAATATTATATGCGTTCGCCGTAATGCGTCTGCGTTCTCGTATCCTCAGCGGCAGTGGTTTCTATCCACTGTTATTACCACTGAAGCTGATAATCGCAAGCTATTCAAAAATGGTTAGCATGGCTTGTCCACCAAACATCCCCTACCCTCTCCTCTGTTTGGTACATGTAACACTTACACGACTGTTTGCGCCGTAAGCAAGCTTCTGGCCGTCCCTGTCCCAGCACAAACAGTGCTCATCCTCTTCTTCGGAATCTTGATTGCTCTTGAGGTTCTCTAGCTCGTCCTTGGACGGTCTCCAGATGGCCCGAGGCACGGTATGGCTGTCGACCTTCCATATCAAGACACTTCGTGGCGTGGCCCCTGCAATAAAGGCTCCGTCTGGCGTAAAGGCGAGCCGTACGACTGGCAGGTCCATTGTGAAGAAGCATTTCGGTTTGCTCTCGGGTTTTCTAGCGTTCCAAATCAGAATGGCGCCGTCCTCTCCTCCAGTGGCGATTAACCGCTCGTCATCCGGTCCGGTTTGGTCTGGCGGCAGTGGTTGCCAAGCCATTGTTGTAATTGACCCTTGGTGGGCTGATATTGACCGACGTTGTCCTGATTCATCCCACAGCTGCACGTACATGATTAGTATCTCTGATACCAGCGCTCATCTTTTTCATCCCTCTGGTTGTTGCAAACTTACATCCAAAACACCCTTGTCACTCGAGGTGGCAACGAGCTGTGATCGCGGGTCAAACAAAACCTGGGCAAAGTGATCATCCTCCTTCGTCTCAAACTTTCGGGTTCTCTGAATGGCCGTCTCGCCCACGCTCAGGCATTCGAAAGTGCCGGCGCCGCAAATCAAAAACTCCGAGTCGCCCGTCCATGTTGCGTCTAAGCCCGTATCGAGACTGTGGCCCGGGAGGAGATACCGAAAGGACTTGTTAGAGCCTATTGAGTGCACCGTCACCAGTGTGTCGACCTTGTTCTCTGGGGAGATGGCGAGCAGCGCCGTGTTGCCAGGGTTCCATAGCAGCTTGACAATGGGCGGCTCCGACACGTCCAGGGACTGGACAAGCTCACCGCCGGCAGACCACAGGTGGATGGCGGCACGAGCTCCTCCGCAATCGCTGGCGACGGCAATGGAGGCGCCGTCCGATGTCCAGGCCAGCGCCGTCACCGTCGTCGACTTTGGAGAATCGGGATCTAGCAAGGCGTGGGCGTGGGGTGACACGTGATGATGCTGGCCGTGGTCAGTTGCTGTGGCACGCGAAACGGTCCAAACACGGGCTAGCGCATCGGTCCCAGCAGCCGCGAGGATTGATGGGTCTTTCGGGTTCCACTCGCACTGCAGCAGAATGGGAGTGTTTTCAGAGGCAGAGCCAGCTGGGGAGGGCGAAGGCGCTGTTTCAGTGGCGCAGTCGTCCATGAGGCGGATGAAGGTGGTGCCGGCAAACAGCTGCTCAACCTTGTCGACCTGCGTGCCTTGCTCGAGTCCCTCCGTCCGCACAATCGGCAGAGGAACCTGCTCTCCTTCCAGCGGAGATGGATAGGCGTGGTTATCGTGCAGGCTCTGGTCGTCATCGGCGTGGTGGCTGTCTTGCTGGTCCACATCCATGGGGGTGCTGACGGTGGCTGCATCGGATTTGCTCTCGAAGCCGTTGCTGAGCCGTGGGCGCTTGGAGGGCGACCCATTGGGCAGAGAGTTGTGATTCCGTTTTCGCGACAGCTCTGCCTCGTCGTCCTCCTCTCCGGGTGCATCTTCGTCCTCCTCCTCCATCTTTGCCGGCGGCTGGACTTCTAACGGCCCAAAGATGCCGTTGCGCAACGCCTCGGCTTGTGCGGCCGCATCTTCAGGCATCTGCAGCCGAATTGGATGGTTAGCCAAGGGGGAAAAAAAGGAAGTGGGAGAAGCGACCCGCGATTGGCGCACAGGCGGCCCCCAAGCCCAATCGCGAACAGGCAGGGAAATCAATCAAGAAGAGCCGGCAGACATGAGAAATCGTAGCAAAACGTAAAAATCATGGCGTACCTGACGGCGTGAGTGCTCTCGCTCGAGAGCATAGTAGATGAGGCCGCTGTTGACGACGGACACTAGAGCACGGCCCTTGACATGGCGCGCAAAATCAAAGTCCCGTTGGGGCTCCTTGACGTGCCATTCCTTCTGGAATTTGGCCGCTGTTTCTCTGTAGTCTAGAAAAAAAAAAAGTAATTCACAGGTTAGATTCTATCCTTGGTCCAGTCCTACGAGGAGTAGAGAGGGAGAATGCTATGCGATTCCACGTACTGCCTTCAAGCAAATACCTGCGCAAAAAGGGTCAGCAAAAAGCGTGAGTGGCAACGAGGCCTCTTTGGACCGAAAAAAGCCAGGGCAAACGGGAAACTGGAGGTAAGGATTGGGCTGCGGCGGGAGTTCCTTGGGGGGTCACTGGGCTGGGGCAAAAAACGAGCACAAGGCTGATAGAGGCCGCGGGAATTCGAGGGCGTTGGGACGAACCTCCAGATGAGAAAGTTGACTCGGTCTGAGTCGAGAAATTCCTTGAGGACCATGGTTTCCGGGGGGTCCAGATTCCGAGGGGGAAGCGCGCCAGCGAGGTGGCGGCAGTGTCACGGCTCGTCGTCGCAGGTGAGTGTGATTGTTGCAGCTATCGAGCAGCGCAGAGGCCCTGATGGGTAGCCGCCAGAGGGGAATCCGAATGGCAGGCTGGTGGTGAGAAGGAAGTGAGTGAGTGAAGATTCAAGAGAAGATGAATCGAATCCACAACTCGCCCACGGTCGGCAGAGACAAGGTACCTCTGCGTGCCTCTGTCGGTACATTGGCCCTGCCATGCCGCGCATGGAGTACGCAGTACTTGCGGGCGGCGCTGCGAGTACCTGCAAGCCCGCCACAGCCAGCACCACCGCCCAGGTAACCATCCAAGTACCGCATACTTTGCACCGACCGGCCCTTCAGCCCGCGCCAGACTAACGGGCCTTGTTTGGAGAGCCCAGAAAGGCGAGGCGCCGAAGGAGAAACCTAGCCGGTGGACTGCGCTATAGCCGGCGCCAGACATCAATTAAAGACCAGACAGCCCTCTGCCAATTATGTATGTACAAGGTACCCAAGCCAAGGTCGCGCCCAAGGCATTCCCAAACCTAATGCTGGAGAGATCTCCCCCCAATCTGCCTCCCTACTGGTACTGGTGCTGGGTGCTCTACACGCGCTAGCCTTGCCATGGATGGGGGCTCAAATGCACACAAACGACCGTCTGCAGCATGACACTCTTCTCGCGTCCACCCCATGAACATGAGCATGAGGCCAGAGGGCAGATGTTGCACAGCCTGAGCGCGTCCATCTTGATACATGCTCTCTGTCTGTTGCTAACGTGAGCTCGCAGGTAAATGTCTGTCTGGTGGCTTTTACCGTCGACATCGCAGTGGCGCTCCGGCGTATTTAGGACCAGACCTTACTTAGTAGGCAGCCCTTGAAGCCAAAAACTGTCCCATCCGCCCATGGCAACGGATTACCTAACACACTTGCCATGCTGCCCTCTCAGCCTGTGAATACGGAGAGGTACCGAGCTGGCGCCGCGGCATGTGTGCGACGTCCATGTACTGCTCCGTACTTGGCACTACTGCATCTAGTCGGCCACCAAAGTGGACTGGTCTGGCGCTAGATTGAGCATTCAAATCGTTGTGGAACGAGATAGCATGGCGGTAGGGCAACGGGAGAAACGGGGATTGGGGAGAACCCTAGGCCTTGGCCAAGCTGCCGAGACCTTTGACGGACCATCTAGACAATGAATCAAGGTACCCGTCTCGGGGGTTCAAGTACGAGGGAACAATCAGAGACGGCCCAAACGGCAGCCATGCTGTGCTCGCAATCTGCATGTACATTCAAAGGACGTTTTTCGCCATCGAGAGGAACCAGTCTTTGTGGGGACCAGTTAGAATCGTCCTTGACTGACGAGTGCGTGCATTTCTATCGGCAACGAAAGGTACAAGCTTCTGGTACAGTGCTACTGTGCTGTCACGTAACTCGGGTCCGACATGCGTGGCAGCGCCGCGTGCCATCTCCAAGAGGCGAATAAGGGCACGACGATCGAGAGGGAGAAAAGAAAAATTGCACCCAGTTGTTAGCGTCGGTGGCGCCAACCGCTGCTCCTTCGTCAATCGCATCAATCTGTTCCATGCTTTCGCCGTGATGCCCTCGATCACCGTGTCTCTCCCTTGTCTCTGCGGACCAAAAAGCTTCTCCGTATCCAGAACATAGACAAGTCTCAGCAAGGGAGCCGCGCGGAAACGTTTCTATCCCGTAAAATCCGCTCCAGTAAGATTCGGTAAAACCCGTTTGGTCATGTCGTCACGGACTCGGTTAAAAAAACGATAGCCCAAACCATTCGAACGAGTCCCTGCAAAGGGGGGAACCAAATTGCTTTTGTACTGTAGAGTGTACGGGGACAGATTGCTGAGGGTCCCCCCCCCCCCCCCCCCCCCCCCAGGATTACTAAGGCGGCTGCCAAGAGAGGATAGGAAGCCAAAAGCCTCAATTCATGCGGTGGCAAAGTGCGAAAGTCGGGCGGTCTTTTGTGCAGCAGCTCCGGACTATCCCCATCACCAATCGAGATTCCGATCCAGGGCCAAAAGAAGCAGCTCGTTGTTTGGTTCCCCATCTGGTCGTTCTCGAGTCTCGCTTCCTTTCGCTCGTACTCGTCCGCGTGTTTCCTCCGGGCCATTCTGCCATCATGAAGGTCGAAAGCAGACCCCAGAGCGCACCAGGGCTGCACAAACAAGCTGTGCTGCTGCAAGCTCAGGAATCTGAGACTGATTGCAGATCGGCTGGGCACTTCTCCGGAAATGGAGACAAGGTCTCGTAACTCTCTCCAGTAGTACCTGGACATCCCGCGCCCCGCAGCCTGTCCTGTCGCCCAATTGTCCGTACTGCTGCCACGGGATCCCCTTGAATGCATCTGGGGCTCGTGAGAGGCCAGAGGAAAGGCAACGGCATTGCCTGTGCGTTGTGCGCTATGCGAGGAGAGAGCACATACTGTAGCTTCTTTGGCCAGCGCTTTGCTGACCAGAATCCTTTGTACACCATCTCCGGCGCAAGAAAGAACCTTCCATGTCCTGTTCTTATGGCCTCGTCGATTACCTAACCTCCAAAAAGTGGTCCTGAATTTTAAGATTCAGTCTCACGCGCGCGCACTGACGGTTCCCCCTGGCAGCGTTTCGAGTCTGGAATTGGCAGCCCTCACAAAAAGCTTCCATAGCGGCCAAGGATGGACAACGTGCTCTCCCAACTCCGACTCTTGGCCGGTCTCCTCTTCCCGCAGCAGCCTTGTGGACGACATCAGCGTCTTGGAGGGTGAGGTGACTTTATCGTCAGACTACGTGGCACTGGTCACAGGCGACAAAAGGGGCGGGCGGCGACGTTGTGTGGTGGTCCGCCTGGGAGGTGGCGCCGCGAGCTTGCCTGTTCCCCTTCATGCCTGTGAAATGCATCTGCACAGGGGTCGAAGGTGACGGCTGCGATGTGCGTGCCGGGGACAGGGGTGCGATGAGATGGCTGCCATGGCTTATTATAGCCCGGAGACGGTGGATGAGACGAGGGGGGATGACGGAGCCAAGCCCGGCCAGCGCATATATTTCGCGATGCATTCTTCAGCACGAGTACAAAGTACAGTACGATCACAGGTACGTCGATATGGATCGCTTGGAGCAAAGAAAACTCTGAACGAAGAAAAAGGCCTCGGCTGCGCTGAATTTCGCTTCGTCTGCCCCCCGAGAGACGTGTCGCGGTAAAACAAAACGCTGCATCCACATCCACAGCCCCCCCGAAAAAACTCCATCCAAGGGATTCCAAAAGTCAGCATCTTTGGTGATTGATGGGTCCCTTAAGCTCGCCCCACCAACAACCCGCCCAGAGAACCGGCCATGGATTCGCAGACGAGGGACAAGGACGAGGTACGTACCGATTACGCGACCCAGAACTCTTCGAGGAACAAGAATCGTGAGGCAGGCTAATCAAGTCGCGGTTTCGGACGTGCATGTACGTCAAATGCACCAAGCTCTCCGTACAGATGGAGCACATGCACCTCGTACTTTGCACATGAGCTTGCATTGGCCTGCCACGGGTACAACGTCGAGGTACTTGCAAGGTACGAGTACATGTACACACACAGCCCGCGAACCCACCAACCTTGACCTCCATGCCTGCGGGCTGTACGTACAAACCGGTAGCAGCACTGCGAGTGCCTTATGCTTAACCTCTTGGTACTCGTACCTTGCCTGAGCCAACAAGTGATGACGACCTCTTTCGATGTTTTATTCCCGAGCAATGCCAAGAGCTTGTGCAGACGTTGCTGTGAGGACTGATGCAAGGTCGGCTATTCCGACACTTGTCTCTGCCCATCTGTTCGCCGCCAGGTTCTCGTTCGGGACGGCTTCTCCGCCTGTCTCTTGTGCCCCCGTGTTCCGTGACACATGTAACGTGTACCTGTCCCTGTACCCGTGCCTGTACAGAGCGGGAGCTTCGCACAAGGTCCCCCAATTGCGGGTTTTTGCACATCGGAACCCCACATGATGGCCAATTCAATTGCAGGCTGCCGAATCAAGCTGATGGATCCGATAGGAGGAAAGCCCGGTGTTCTAGCCGAGGTTCTGCCTTTCGAATTGTCCACCGCTGAGTCATGACCTTTGGCACGGCCGCACGAGGAATTGTGGTCTCGATAGAACACACTCAGATGGTGAACAAGAATGGCGTGAGTAGATATGGGACAGGCAAACTGAGACGACCGCATCCACAAGTGGCAGGATATCAGCGCTTTGCAATGATTAGAGAGGATCGATGCGGGTTACAAGGTTTGTCAGTTCTCAAGCCAAAATGCACTGATCCTAGTTCATCATTTTGGCATACCGTCGCGCGGAGGTTCAAGGCCGTTCCCGCGCCAGCCACAAGAACTCAACTAGGAAATGCACCTCCAGCCTTGGTATGATGCAATACCATGAACAACCGTCAAGTATGCGTAGAGCAGCTATCAGATAAATCGCAGATATCATAATGCCAAAGAAGAAGACAATAAATATCCCATTTTCCTAGTAATGACTCCATCTCAGATCACACTTGCAGCTGGGAAAGATGCCAGTACTATTCGTTGGTTGATGCCTGAGGCTCACACTCTAGCAGCCAGTCGGCAGCTCCCGATCTGGATCCCTTTGCACACATAATCACAATGCTAGCATCCCTAGCATGGAAGCTGTCGCCTTGACCACAAAGCTGCGAGAACGAATATCCGAGCGCACGCAAAGAGGACAGCAAAGCCTTGTTCCCGCCTTGCCGTGCAGCTTCGCCTTGCCAAAACTCCCCCCCGGTTCAAATGACATCTGAGAAATCCCCGCGAGAAACCGCCCCCATCCCGCATCCCGCATCGCATCCCGTCGCCATGCCCCCGCGAATAAACATCCCGCCAGTCACACGAGCCCTGCTCGGCACTCTGCTCTTCCAGTCGGTCTTGAGCGCCGCGATTAGGTATCGCCAGTGGTCCGAAGACACGGACATCGTCATCCCGTACTTGACGCTCATCCCACAGCTGTCTATTACCTATCCCTGGACTTTTCTGACGGCTTCCCTAGTTGAGGGCAACGTCTTTACGTTTGGACTGGGCGCTGTGACCCTGTATCATGGCGGCAGATATCTGGAGAGAGCTTGGTCGTCGGCAGACTTGGCCAAGTTTATTGCCATTGTTTCGCTGATCCCAAATGTCCTAACCTTTTTTACCATGGTCTTCTTCTTTACCCTGACAAGGAATCCTGACTGGACGTGAGTTCACACACACACATATATATATATCCCTGTTGCATGTTACTCTATGCGAGATGACTGCTAACACCCGGTTTTTCCTAACAGCCTTACGGTCATTGGCGGCACCATTCCCTTCCAGATCGCCTTCCTCGTTGCCTTCAGCCAACTCATCCCTGCGCATACGGTAACGCTCTTCCGAGGAGTCGTCTCTCTCCGAGTCCCGAAAACCCCCCTCATCTACATCGGCATCGTCACCTTGCTCTCGTTTACACCGATACTGTCGCGCGCTGCTCTCTGGTTGGCCAACTACAGCTTCCTCACCAGCTGGACATACCTGCGATTTTTCAAGCTCGTCTTTCCCGACCTTGATTCCGCTCAGCCAGCGTCGCTGCGGGGTGACGCCAGCGAAACGTTTGCCTTTGCCGAGTTCTTCCCAGGACCGGTCAAGCCCTTTGTGGCTGCCGTTGCAGATCAGATATACGGCATCCTTGTAGTGATTCGGCTCTGCAAGCCATCGGGACAGCGGGGCATAGCCACACGCCATGACAGCATCTCGCAGAGAGGGGCCCCGGGAAGTGCTCGTGCCGAAGCCGAGAGAAGGAGAGCCATCGCGCTCAAGGCGCTGGATCAGAGACTGAATGCAGCCACCGCCGCTGCTCGACAGTCGGCTCCGGCTCCCCCACCAGCTTCTGCGCAGCCAACCGGCCCGCCTGTACAGGTTCAGCCCCAAACAAGCGCTCAGACAGCTATGAAGTCTGAGCCAGGACCAATGCTTGGCGAGACCAAATTTGAGCCAGAGGAAGGTGATTCATAGGAGAGTCTCAGGGGCGAGCCGCACATTCGTAAGATGTAATGATATAAGTGATATCTCGATGTCGGGGGCGAGGGAACCAGGGGCGATGGCGTCACGAATCAAATGATAATAATGATACAAGCGGATTGGATCGATGGACAGTAAGTTGGCGTCTTGGTGTTGGTTGTCCTGGATCATGGGGTTAATTGTCTAGCCAGCACGTCAAGAATGAATCATGTCTTTGTTTGCCGTGTCAACGCCAGAACATGTCCGTTTTAGAAGTGTATTTTTGAAGAGCACCACCCTCTGCTTGTCTTGGAATGGATACGAGACATGAGTGTTTTGTATTTGCAAGGTGCTTTGTTCGGATAGAAGCGGACAAAAGCCTTGAGGGAAGCAGGCGGCAAATACCTGATAATCAAATGAAAGCTGAGGGACGATCAGTTGAGCTGATTGGATCGGAGCAAGGAAGTAGCTTTGTTTGTCTCACGATGACATGGTGCATGGTACAATATGCAACGGGACCTCAGGAGCTGCTGGCATCTTAATGTATGTGGGAAATTAAGAGTTTCTCATGACACCTCTAGACGCTGACGCTTGCACGCGGAATCTGAAATCAGATATCATAAACATGTAGATGAAGACAAGATTACAGAAATGAAAGCTGATACCCCATTATACCATATCGTACCACCATATAGCGTGGTAGGGCCACGAGATCCAAACATGCTGGTGATTAACAGTAGAAGACTAGAAGCAGGCTTTCCTTTTTTTTTTTTCTTCTCTCGAGGGCGGCATGTCTTCAGCATCTCAGGCTACCTAAGATGCACATCACATACATTTCCAGAGACTACATTATGAAGACATTAAAGGAGTGGTATTAGAAAAAGGCGTCCATAAGAGATACACTCCCAAGAGTCGCAAGGGTGCTAACCACATATCTAGGACAGTAGTAACTAATAGCCATAAAATCCTACGACTAGCAAAAAATGATTATTGATAGAAACCTACCCATCGTACGTGTCATGTCCTCTTAAGACCATCGTAAACGAGTCCAACCAGAGGCAGCCAAACGCAAAAAGAGGCATGGCGTCCTGAAACCAAACCCCCAAAAAAATCCCCCGCGTCCAAAACCTCAGCTACCCGGGCCTAAATACAATACACCAAACAGCCGTATATACATACATCCATACAAGGACACCTACAGCAATGTCCTAAAGCCGGGGCATGCATGAGGACAGTAGCACCCCGGATGGAGTAGGGGTGAAATTGTGGCTTGCTTGCTTCGCTCTACCTTACCTGACCTTACCTGTAGTATTCCAGCAACATCGAAGGGGGGGAAGCTAGTGATGGTGGCATTCTGATTCAAGAGGGTGTGTGTGAGTGTGTCCAGCTTTCTTGTTTAACGATGCAAAGGGGAGGAGGGGGGAAACAATGTTGCCGAAACAATTGCAGCTCTTGTGTGACCGGCAAAGTTGATGCGTCGACTGCTCGTTGGGTGCAGGCTATTATATTGCAGCGGCTCATGACAGGCCGGAAGTACTTGCATCACCATCCATCCTCTTTTTTCATTTCGTCTCTTGTCAAGGTTGCTTAGGTTGCCCAAATTTGTTGCACCCCTGACGCTCATTCTGGGGGGAGTGGAGCTTGCGGCAGAGGCTGTGAGTTGCTTGTCTGGGGATGATCATGGATTGCTAGGCACAACGTGTAGAGCTAGAATTGCTTCTTTTCAGCTTCATCCAGCTCAGATGGCGCTCTCACCAGCTACTTGAAGAAATCGAACGATCTAAAAACTAGTCCATCTACAGTCTCAGATAGCCTGACAATCAGACAGGCTGATGATCAAGCAGGCAACGCAGACTGCCTAGCTTACTACACAGTTCGCGGCCCATCCAGGGTAGCGACAACGAGACGGGCAGCTCGCGGACTGTTGGTGATAGTCCTTGGCCCGCCCGCCGTTCGTCGCCTCGCCTTGCGCAAGGGAGGGAGGGGCGTGCAGGCTGGAATCGCCGTGACACGAGAAGTTGCCAACCATCGTCCAATGGCGAAACCCGAAGCACTGGGCCGCTGCCGGAGTCAAAGAAGAAGAGCTGCAAAAGCAGGACAACGTTGCTGCTGCGTGCATTCACTGTACAGCAAAGGACGGACGGGCTCACGTAGTGCAGAGCGAGAGAGGCTACAGGCAGGTTGCACAGCACAAGACACCCACAGATGCCGGGTACACATGCAGTTACAGTACATACTCGTAGATAGATTGGCACGAAACATCGCAGTCAGGCGAAACCTGGCAAGTCGGACGTGCGGGAATCTGGGCTGGGCGGCTCGCCTTTGTTCGATGGGCGATGAAACTGGACAGGCCACAGCTTTGCCCACAGCTAGGCCGGAAAGGGTGCTAGGCAGGCCTGTGTCTCTGGATGATGGGCGCTGAGCACAAGGAGCATCGATCGAGTCGTTGCAGGGGGACGTGCGGCCACTATTGGAATTGATCTGTGCTAGGAGCATTCTGCACGGATGCAAGTCGTGGTGGTAACCGTCCCCCCTAAAACCAAGTACGCGGAAAAAGCACGTTGATGGATGATGCCGTAGCGAGCGAGCGAGCGAACGAGAGTGTTCTAATGCTGCGGTCGCGTTAAGCCGTAGAGGGTAGAGGAGGGGATGGGGGAGGGCAGAAATGGGAATGCGCCGCGGCCAGTTGCTTCGCATTAGCCCGCGAGATTTCATCGGATGCCACTCCAGTCCAGGCCAGGCCAGGCCAGAGCGAGACGAGAGCACTAGCCATCGGGGTCACCTTGGGCCAACCTACTTGGAGCCAATCTCGTGCGGGATTCTGGCTAGCAATGCTAGGCGGCCATGGCGCTGGCTTCGTTTCTGCTTGCCGCCCTCCTGCCGGGCCTCGGGGCTTCTGGGCCTCTGGGGTTGGAGCCCACACGCATCGCGTTCCGTCGCTGAGCAAAGCAAGGGGCCGAGCAAGGATGCTAGGCAGAGCTAGCAAGAGCTGGGAAGAGCCCCAGATGGCCAGATCCGCCGGCGGCTGGCCGTGGCACGTCAGTGTGTTGAGCAGCTCAGGAGTGTGTGGGTTGATCCAGTTGATCCACTCGGTAGCCACTCGGTAGCAGAACTTCTTTTTCTCTCTCTGTTCCAAATGGATGACATGAGGAGGTGGAGCCACTTGTGGACTGGACGCGCTCACGGTAGGGGTGCGCTGGAGCTGAGCGGGCTCTGAGCGGGCTCTGAGCGACAAGGGAGTCAGCGTACAGCGGCCCCAGCGTGTGCGCAGTGCGTTCTAGAGGACGGGTACTCGTGGGTGTGCTCGTACCTGTACAGTACTCGTGCCTGCGATGGATGGGGACTCAGACCGCATCGCGAACACGCGGCTAGTGTCCGAGCATTTTCTCACCAGACCACCGACGCAATTCATCGTCAGCGAGCATGCTCCCTCCCTACATAACGGCGTATCTACTCGTCCAGTAAGGCCCATGATGGACCTCTGCTCGTGCAGGTGCAGGTGCAGGTGCATGTACTTGTACCTGCTGGCACGCACGCCGCGTGGAGCGCAGCTGCAGGCCACGGCACTCGACATGAAATGCAACAATTGACGTCGTGTACCAGTAGATGCTGAGGTACCTGTACATGTGTCCAGGCTGTCTTGCTGTCCAGTCCCTTTTTCCCGCGAGCCATGCCATGCACCCCAATGCTTCCGTGTAGCATCGCTGTCTGTCTGGCCTGCTCCACCAAACGAGCCCGGCCAGCGCAGAGATCCTATCGGTACCACGACCGCCGTAGCCGGGCAGTGTAGCGTAGCACGCAGCCTCAACAGCAGTACAGTAGCAGTAGACTGTAAGCCACCAGGTGTGTTGTGGTTCTTGGGGCCTCGAGCCTTGTGCGGCAGTGGCGAGGCTTTCCATTGCTGGCTGTTGGGATTATGGCGCTGTAGTAGGGTATGGATGGTCTGGACACCTAAGCAGCCGCAGCTAAGCAGAGCTCACATGGATGCAAGCAGTCGCTCCCGAAACAATTGTTCAGGGTGGCTCGCGGCTTTGCATTGCTCCAAACGGGGGGCTGGGCACAAGAAAAACATGCGTGGCACACGCTTATGTAACAAAGGTTGCCTGCAGAAAAAAGGCCGAATGCAAGATACGGCTTGGAGTATCTTGATCCTGAGGCTCCCAAAAACAGGCCGCCCAGCCCTCCCGCGCTACCCTGACCTTATATTTTAGGCGCTGCAGCCCCGGTCACATGACCTTCGTTCCTTTTTCGTAGCGCCCCCTGGCCTTATCCCCGACTATGGAGCTCAAAGCCAAGACTCTGGCCCCGGTGCCGCTCTTTCTTTCTGTGCTCTTCCGTTCACGTCTCTTTTGTGGGGTCTCTCTTTAGCGCCCCCTTCTGGTACTTCAGTACTTCCTCTAAGGTACTAGCCCCGTCCGATGCTCTCTGCTAGCAGCCACTCTAACTTGAGCGGCACTCCGTGGGAGCCGTCATCTCTTGTTGCGAGCGTTTTTATCACGGAGTCTGCTGTCTGGGCCGGCAATGGGAAATGAGGTGCCACCTACGTCCATCTAGTGAGCGCGGCTCCGTTCTTACGAGCTTAGCTACTGTGCTGGAGCCCAACACCGAGCCGGGTACCTCGATTCCTTTTCCACTCGAGTTTTCTCTGCCTGGCTGCTGGAAAGCCTTGCAATTCGTACAAATAGCTACTCTCCGGCCAACAACGCGGTCATTTGCGCAAACCTTGGCTGGAGCTGTTCCTCTTCAAGACCTGAGTGGCTTGCCAGGCATCCCGGCTGGCTTCTTGTCACCTTGGCTACACACCACCATTTGTTGGCGTCGTTCTAGTTGACTCGTTCTGGTCGACTCGGGTGCCACCAAGTTGTCGAGTACACCTGCCACTGTATGCCGGACGAGGGAGCGCCTTTGTACCTGAAGCGTGTCACTGCCATCATCTCCATGTGTAACCTCTGGTGCCACCTCTGGTATTACCGCCATCTGCCCAAACTAGCGCCATGGTCATTTCGCCCACCAAAACTCAGGCCAAAAGAGCTGCTGACACTGCATGCCCACGAGCCAACCAACACATTGTTCTCCCCCCGGCAAATACCGGGGGTTAAACTACGCCTCGCTCCGTGCCTGTATTCGTATCGAGGACTGGCGTCGCCAATAATGGTTGAAGATCCCCGAGAGCTAGCTAGTAGGAGAGCTCTTGCTGCCGGTTGTCTTACCCGCTGGATCATCGTGCCATGCTTGTTTCTGCCTCGATGCGCCCATGGATCCTCAGGAACCGGGATACGTACGGATCTTTTCGCAGGCCCTGCGTTGCGATGCACCGATACATTGAATCTACTGAAATACATACAGGTACGAGGACAAGCATGGAACGCATTTCCTCCTTGAGTTGAGCACTTTGTCAATTATAATTACTGGTACAGCCACCGCCATCTGGTAGTGTCAATCTGTGGCCGCCTCAAACTCTGACGATTTGCCTCATCTGAGCGATGCGATGTTCGCCATGTTCGCAGCCAGCGATGACAGAAGTAAACTTTGGCTGGACACTCGCTATCTCTGCATAGGTTGCATGAGGGAAATTGCGCATACTCAGCCTGTGAATAGAGTCTGCGCCGCCAAGTACGAGTATGACTGCTTGCACCGGCTTGCGTGCCAGCAAATCGACAGCCTCGCCGTCAGATAAGACTGGTCTCTTTTTTGCTTCTTCTGCTATGGATCCTCTCGGGTGATCAGTGTCTCCGTGCAGGGAAGTGAGCGCTCTCGCCATGGTTCCTCTCAGCCGCCTTAGCCTAGCCCCTCGCCTATGTACATGGCCGTATTACTGTGCTTTATGCATATACTCGTGGATGGCCTGCAAATAGAGAGCCACGGCAGCTGCGTCAACTCGGGTGCCCAGGCTCTCAAGTCTCCGTCTCCCCCCAGCTTTTTAACCCTTCGCAGCCCAGAGTGTGTGTGGGCTGCTGGTGGTAGCCTCGGGCACTACAGCGGTACGTACCTGAGCGTGTGTACCCGGGTACCTTCGTACTGGCACACCATCTCTCGCAGAACCCTGCCCACACCCCCACTTTACCTACTCGGCAAGGAAGAGCCAAAGCCGCCAAGCAGCCAAAGGCCCCACTTGACCAGAGTGGCCCCGCTCCACAACAAGCCACGCCCTCCGTGGCTGTAGGCCATCCTTTCCCTCCCATTTTCATCATTTTCATGGGTAAGGTAAGTTTGTCGGTTCAGCAGCGCAGGTCCGTCCTCCACAAGACCAGCCTTTTCTCTCCCCATTACCCGTTCTCTTTTTCTCCCCTCCATCACAACTCGCAGCCATAGCAAGCAGCGTCGGGGGTTCGTGGATCTTGACGTGCCTCCACGGTACCAACTATTCAACTATCCTTCCGCATAGAATTTTAGCCTCACCGGCCTTCCGTTTCGCTTGCATTTCTACTTTGCGTATTCTTTTACTCTTCATTCTTTCTTTTGTCGGGCCGAGCTGTCACTGGCGCCATAAATTAAGTGTCTGCTCTGCGCGGGTGCTTTTTCAGCGGTGCCTGTATCCAAGCCATTGGACCGCTGCCACAGCGATCGCTCTTCAATCGACACGGCAATCACCAGCTCGGAGATTTTCGCGCCGTCGCGTCGAGACTCATCTGTCCAGGCCCGCGCTATTCAACCTACACCGCCAGCCTTGTCGCGATAATCCGCTGCCGAGTGCGTCGCGATGGCGAACCATCACCCATCACCCACGATGATGCAGATGCAGCATCAGGCACCCCCTCCCGTGGCACCGCCTCAGAATGTCCAGCCAAACCACTTCAACCCTTCGCACCAGATTGCGGCTATGAATGAGGCTGTCTGGTTGCAGATCGGTATGAACCCTTCCCTACCTACCAGCTCACCCAGGCCAAGCTTGGAGACTGACACCCTGAACAGGAAGCTTCTCTGAGCTGTTGCGCGTTCCTGACGAGGCCATGCACGCCTATGAACGAGCTCTGCAGGCCAATCCAAACTCTACCGCCGCAATGAACGCGATTGGCATGCTCCTCAAGGGTCGCGAGGCCTTTGACAAAGCTCTCGAATTCTTCCGAGCCATTGTCCAGCTCGATCAGAACAATGGCGAAGCATGGGGAAATCTCGGTATGCCGCGTCACCGCTACACTGATTCTTTGGATTTAGCTCATCGAATGCTCTACAGGCCACTGCTACTTGATGACTGAAAACTTACAAAAGGCATACGACGCTTACCAGCAGGCGCTCGTCAACCTTCGGGATCCCAAGGTATGTGGATGACGCGCTAGACAGCTTGGCTTTTGCTTGGCGATCTGGGTAATAACTGTGACCATGGTAGGACCCAATGTTGTGGTACGGTATTGGTATATTGTACGATCGTTATGGCAGCTACGACTATGCCGAGGAAGCATTTTCTCAGGTCATGACCATCCAACCCGACTTTGAGAAGGCCAACGAAATATACTTCCGACTGGGCATAATCTACAAGCAACAGTCGAAGTTCAACCAGAGCCTGGATGTAAGGCAATGCCCTAAACTAAGCAACCCTCTAGCCATCTTGACTAACAGTCTTTTCAGTGCTTCAAATACATTGTCAATTCTCCTCCTGGGCCTCTTACCCAGGAAGACATCTGGTTCCAGATTGGCCACGTTCATGAGCAACAGAAAGACGTGAGCTTCTCATTTTCACCACGACTGCATGGTATGCTAACCTTGCTTCACAGTTTGATGGCGCCAAGTCCGCCTACCAGCGCGTACTGGACCAGTCGCCCAACCACGCCAAGGTTCTACAGCAATTGGGTTGGCTCTACCACCAACAGAGCCCGGCATATGACTCTCAAGAACGTGGCATCCAGTACTTGGAGAAGTCTGTCGCGGCAGACAACCAAGATGCGCAAAGCTGGTATCTCCTAGGCCGTTGCTATATGTCGCAGCAAAAGTATCCCAAGGCATATGAAGCATACCAACAAGCCGTATACCGGGATGGTAAGAACCCCACGTTCTGGTGTTCTATTGGTGTCTTGTATTATCAGATCAACCAATATCGAGATGCGCTGGACGCGTACTCACGGGCTATTCGTCTCAACCCGTACATTTCTGAGGTCTGGTATGACCTCGGCACTCTCGTAAGTCACCCTGCTGTCTTCACTATCTACTTCTTACACAGCGGATCACTGACTCGGAGCAGTATGAGTCGTGCAACAACCAGATTGCCGATGCACTGGACGCTTATCAACGGGCAGCAGAGTTGGATCCGGGTAACCCACACATTAAAGCTCGCCTTCAGCTTCTTCGCTCCGGCGGTACAAATGGCGGTCCGCCACCTGCTGCTCCTCAGCCTGCCGACATGCATCCTTCAACGTATCAGACAGGTCCTACAGGCCCTCCTCAATGGGGAGGATCCGCGCAGCAACAATCCGCTGGTCCCCCTGCTGCCACTCAGGCAGCTGGTGAGAGCTGGGCTGGTAGGCTGTCCAACGTCAACCCGCCACCCCAACCGCCCAACCCTTATGAGAGCAGAGCCGGCGAGCCTTTCCGTGGTCCAGCGCCGCCTCTCCGGCAGCCTAGCCCTCCTCCGCAAGAGCCGCCTTCACGCCAGCCATACCCTGAGCTTAACAGACCTGGCCCATCGCGTCGTGGCCCGTCACCGCCTCCCCAAGCCCATCAATATGCCCAGCCTCTTCCTCCGCCACCACCTCAGTCTCAACCCCCGGCTCCCGCACCGGCTCCTTCCCGACGTGTTGTCAATCCTAACTGGGATGGCTCGACGCCTTCGTCGGCTCCTGCTGCCAATAACCCTAACAATGCCAACCCGCCTCCGAATGCAATGGCTCCGTTCCGGACGGCCAACAGCCCTCGCACTACCGACGGCCGCCCTCCAGTTCACGACAACCGCATGCCATCCCCCAAGTCGGCTTATCCCCAGCACCAAGCTCCCCCGCCACCTCACTATGCCCCCCACCATCCAGAAATGCCACCCCAGAGTGCTCCCGAAAACAACACACAGCCGCCGCCTCCCCCGCCTGCGGCGATCTCTGAGCCTCCTGCTCAACGCATGGAGGACCGGCCTTCGTCTGTAGGACCCAAGAGGCATCGCGAGTGGGAAGAGGAGTCTGTGGCCAAGAAGCCGGCTAATGAGGAGACTCGTGCACGACTGGGCGATCTGGCACACCGCAGGCCCTCTCCAACCCCTCCCCGCGACCCATACCGCCGCAATTCGTCGGAGGCTCGCCGGACGGAGGAGCAACGTCGTCCTGAAGAGCCCAGGAGGTCCGATGAACCGCGCCACAAGACGGAGACCTATCACCCGTCCGAGGCCGCTCATCACACGCAAAGTCACAGTGTGAGCTCAAACCACCTGCCGCCGATGCAGCCAGGATCAGGTCCCATGACTGGTGTTGTCCACGAAAAACCCCAGCCACCGGTTGTTCCTAAGGAAGAACCCCGTGCCGAACAGGCGCCCCCAGCTCGCCCAGCTCCTCCACCAGCCTCTGAACCCGAGCGTGCTGCTAGGAAAATGGACGTCGACGAGGACTATGATGACAGCGGGGAAGACGAGAAGAAGACGGTGGTCCTGACTAATGGCTCTGGGCCTCCGGCAGCATCAACTGACTTGAAGGCCCCAGCGTCTTCTGCAAGCAACGTCAATGTTGCTTCTGGCCCTGTGCCCAAAACCGAGTAAGACATTTTGACATGCAGACCAAGAGAGGATGGGATTTATGAGTCAGGTCTTTTACGTGGCGATTTGTTTCAGTGTCCCTTCCCCCCTTTTCTTTTCTTTATTATATATCAGACTTTCAACCCCAGTATTACTACTTAGTTTTTCATATGTTACGGGACGATTTTGACGGATGGCAATGGGGGACGGATCATTGGTTTTGGCTAAAACAAACTGTCGCCAGGGAGCGTTTTCCGTACCATAGGTGTAGTCCTTTTTAAATCTCAATGACTTTTTTGACCAATTCTCTGTGGCCCTTGGGGATGTATCCGTACTGTGTCTTATACTCAGCTTGGTTCCTCTGTGATGCTTTGTCCCGCAGAATGCTTGTGCTGGAGACCTTGAGTCACGTGAGCCATCGCCCTTTTGTCCGTACCAAAATTTTAGTAGTGGTTGATTGGTTGAAGTGGCCCTTGCGCCATATACGGCTAGCGCTGAAATTTGGACCTCACATCAGGTCTCGCTTAAATTTCGCCCACAAATTATTTCCTGAAAGCCCTTTTCACTTTTCTGCTCCGCGCAGGCTTCGTCAATTTTTCATACTAAACTCATCACCACACAACAGCCCAAAATGAGTGTATGTGAAGATACCGAAAAGAACCTCCAGATATCCCACGATGATGCTAACATCAGAATAGCACCGCAAGTACGAGGCTCCCCGTCACGGCTCCTTGGCTTATCTGCCTCGGAAGCGCGCTGCCCGCCACCGCGGAAAGGTCAAGTCGTAAGTGTTGGAAGAAGACGAAAAAAAACTTCATATGCATCCAATCCGAGGATATCGCAAGGAACAACGCTAATCAATTGAAACTGGCAGCTTCCCCAAGGATGACCCCAAGAAGCCCGTCCACCTGACCGCCGCCATGGGCTACAAGGCCGGTATGACCACGATCGTTCGTGACCTCGACCGACCCGGCGCGAAGGCGAACAAGAAGGAAGTTGTGGAGGCTGTTTCGATCATTGATACCCCCCCTGTACGAACAATGCAGCCCGCTTGGCTATGTGCCTATGGCTAACATCTTATTTTAGATGATCGTTGTTGGTCTTGTGGGATACATCGAGACTCCCCGTGGTCTGCGATCCCTCACCACCGTGTGGGCTGAGCACTTGAGCGACGAAGTCAAGCGCCGATTCTACAAGAACTGGTACAAGAGCAAGAAGAAGGCTTTCACCAAGTACGCCAAGAAGCACTCCGACAACAGCGGTGCCTCCATCAACCGCGAGCTCGAGCGCATCAAGAAGTACTGCACCGTCGTCCGTATCCTGGCTCACACCCAGATCCGCAAGACCCCCCTCAAGCAGAAGAAGGCCCACCTTATGGAGATCCAGGTCAACGGTGGCTCCGTCGCCGAGAAGGTCGACTTCGGCAAGGACCTCTTCGAGAAGCCCGTCTCCGTCGACACCATCTTCGAGCAGGATGAGGTCATTGACGTTATCGCCGTCACTAAGGGTCATGGATTCAGCGGTGTCACCGCCCGCTGGGGCACCAAGAAGCTCCCCCGTAAGACTCACAAGGGTCTCCGAAAGGTTGCTTGTATCGGTGCTTGGCATCCTTCCCACGTCCAGTGGACTGTTGCCCGTGCCGGTCAGGAGGGTTACCACCACCGTACCTCTGTCAACCACAAGGTTTACAGAATCGGCAAGGGTGATGCTGACGACAACGCCTCCACTGACATTGATGTCACCAAGAAGAAGATCACTCCGTATGTTTACTACCCTTTTCTGCACCGCTCATCAGCGTATATAATTGCTAACATTGTCTTGCAGTCTCGGTGGCTTCGTCCGCTATGGTGAGATCAACAACGACTTCGTCATGGTCAAGGGCTCTATCCCTGGTACCAAGAAGCGTGTTGTGACCCTCCGCAAGTCCATGTGGACTCACACCTCAAGAAAGGCTCTGGAGAAGATCAGCCTCAAGTGGATCGACACCTCATCCGAGTTCGGTCACGGTGCTTTCCAGACCCCTGCGGAGAAGAAGCAGTACCAGGGTACCCTCAAGAAGGATCTGGCTTCCGCATAAAAAGCTTATTTCCTTTTTGCGCGTCGGGTCATTGCATTGGTGTCGGAATTTGGTTTGCCTTGCTTTTTGGGCTGGGTTTTGGGGCTTCATAATGGGAGGAGCACGAAAAAAGATGAATTTCAGCTAGAGATCTGAAAAATTCGAAATGAGATTTCCTGTTATGATCATGGAAATCCCGCGCATGTGCATGCCAAGTAGCGACGCCAATAGAGAAGAACTGACCATTTATACGCAAGTCTTATGTGAATCTACTGTAGAAACCTGGATCTATTTTTGCACGATTGTAATTGTAAACTATGGAAGTAAAAAAAAAAGATAACAGCTGTTATGGGAAATTCTTTCATTCTAAGTAGTCCTGATATTACCATTATGAGTGATGAATTTTGCAGCGTTTTTAACGTTTCTAGTGCTCACGGACCTGATCTATAGCGCCTCAAACTCCAACGGATTCGTCGTTGACGTCACCCCACCTCAAAAGCTGACCAGACCCCCAGCTTTAATAGCACGAAACATCTTTCATTACCTGCTTGAACCTTCTTCAACCACTCTCCCTCATGCCATCCAACCAACAAAGCCTCTTTGCTGCGTTTTCTTGCCCATCTAGAAGAGCCCTGCATATCAACAACCGCATAGCGCACCCTATCTCGCAAGCTATTATCCATCTTCAGCGCCAAGATCAATACAACAGCATCTCTGCGCCGAGCTTCACCCAACGTCGAACCCTATCGAATACTGTGTCCCGAAAAATGGCGAGTGACGAGGATTACATGGCCTTCCTCAACAAGGCGAACCAGGATGCGGACGAGGGGAGGGCAGCAGCGCAAAGCTCGCGGGGAGCGGGGCAGCAGAGGGCGTTTAAGATTGCGGATGAGGGGAGCGAGCTGCCGAAGAGCATTGCGGAGGTTATACGCGATGCGTTTTACGTGAGTGAGGCGGATGAGCCGTTTAAGGGGGTGTCGTTGAAGTGGAAGGGTGAGGGAGGGTTGCCGGATGAAGGTCAGTTGTTTTTTGTCTATGCCCTTGACACTCCATTTCAAGATTGGGGGTTTACTGTTCCCTCAAGTCTGTGGAAGGAGAAAATTCGGAGGGGAAACTTGTGCAGAAGAGCTAATTGGAACTATGTCTATATAGTCGAATTCGCAAAGCTGATCAACCACTGGGACGCCGAGAATGCGCAAATCGACATCATGGATCCGGTCGACTGGGACTCACAGGGGGAATACGGCAATGTGATTGATGCTGTGAGAGAGGCGACGAAAGGAAACGATGTGAGAGTTTATAGAGTTGCGAGGGATCTGACGAGGGCGGAATACTTTGTTATTTCGCGCGATGACGAGGGTGGGAGGATTGTGGGAGTGAAGGCGCTGGGAATTGAGTCGTGAGCGGCTGGGATTGAGTTCTTCTGTTGCGAAAGGCTCTGTATCCGTATCTATGAGTCCTTGTGTCTTTACATTTGCTATCTATTGAGGTCCTGAATATGGCATTTATTCGTCAGACTGTCCCGCAGCCCTCCGAATCCAAGATGGTTTAGCTCATCAGCGCTGGGGGGATGCAGATGGCGTCTCAACAGCGCTATGGTACCAGTACCAAGTTGACGGATTTTAATAGCTCACTGCCTATCCTTCTATCCCTGTCCTTTAATCTTTCGAGTAAACGGTAATTGGCTCACCTCACGTACATACATGTTTATAATCATAGACGGAGCATCAGCTCCCTCAGCGGCTAGGGCACTTTGAGGGAGAGAAAAAAAAAAAAAAACCACAATCAACCGGCTATCTACCTACCCGGCTACCTAGTCATCCTAGTGCTAGGTACCTATTTGTGTTCCATCGAACAAGGTGGGCATGCAGGTGGCGATTCATCTCAAGCCTCACTCATTGGTCGTTTGGCGACGATCTCTTGCCTAGTCGGGAAGCTTCCCCTCGGACTGCCTTGAATATCGAAAAGCCACGGATGGACGCCGGCCATTCAAGACACACAGAAGGAGCTTTAGCTCCCACGTTGACACAGACAGACTACGCGGACATGGAGAAGACGCTTACTTACACGTACAGCTGCTGTCTGGAGAAATGACGTCTGGCAGGTGCCGCGCGGAATCAGAATTTCGATGCGGTTTTGGAGAAAAAATCGATGCCCCACGCTTCGAATTTTGTGCGCCGCCTTGTAAAGCTCCCCGTCGTCTCTTGCTCCTTGGTCTTCATTTTTCAACCAAACACACCCATTACTTTTTTATTTTTATTTTTTCGTCTTATCCCTCTTCACTCGACTTTATCGTTTCAATCTTGAAAGACACAGTCGGGCACAGTCCATCCACCGATCTTCAAATGACAAAGAGAACGTACTCTGATCGCCGGCCGTATGAAACGCGGCCTGTGTCGCTAAAACGATTTGTCAAGAGCCAAGAGGCTCTAGACAATCTCTCTCGGTATGAAGAAGTCAGTCGTCAATTTGCACAAGAGTTCCCGCAAATAGCTTGGAGTCTTGGGCAGCACTCCTGGATACCATGTTTTCTCTCACCGAATACAGGACGACAAGAAAACAGGACGACTGCCCCAGCAGATGTTACAATCGCTGCGGACTCCAAGGTAGCCAGTCCCAGCGGGGGGCTGGCTTACGATTCCGAGGTCGCGGCTACAGCAGATTATGACATTTCGATGTACATTGACGACAATTGCTTTGACGACCTCACTTTTACACCGACCTCAGCGTCATCGTCACCGACTGAGCAACCAGGCCACCCAGACTCTTTTACTCCTCCCGAATCTGATACCGATTTCTACCCGACATGCGACCTCAAAACATTAACTTCACAGCTCCTCCAGTATAATGAAGTCCAAGAATCGAAATACAACCGCTCGTTGCAGAATTGGAATGCGGAGCAGAGGGGGGAGCAGCGGAAAAGGCTATGCACAACGATTTCCAAATCTCTCGCCGCGCCGCCAGTCGAGCCAATGGGGTCTGATAATCTTGACAACGAAGCTCTAGCCGATGCCTCCCAGGTAGATAAAGATAGGATGAATCAGATTATGATTGACTTGAATCAACTGGGGAGTCGGTTACGAGGGGATGCGAGGCGGCAGCTGGATGCTATTATTGGTGAAATGTGTTTGTGAACCCTGAGCACCTTGCTGTGTCTTTTATTTCAATGTTCTCTTGGTCTCTCTCTCTCTCTCTTTTTTTTTTTTTGGGTGTGTTTTGTTGCTATTTCAATGCTGGAGTTGGGTACGTACACGGATATACCAGGCGGGGGTCAGAATGATTCGACCATAGATACAAAATATCAGAGGCAGAGGAGTTCTCTGCCAGATTGAAGGAAATCGCGCAGCTGACAAAGATGAAAGGATTGATATCATATCCTTGACAGAGTGAGCAGAGGAGCGGCCATTTGCAATGGAAGATAAACGACTTCCTAATGTGGGTATCGGTAGACTTTGTCACCACATTGTAGTACCTACCTAGATACAGGTGACCTTTCTACGTAATCGTATAGACCTTGTTCCACTATCACAGGCATGCTGCTTCGTCCATCATCACTTTTACTACCTAAGGTGAGCACTAGTAGGTATCATCTTTTATCTACCATCTCGATTTTTCATGCATTTTCGCGACCTTGGCCTACCTACCTGAAGAAATGTCACAAGCGCACCCTCTGGGTTTTAGTACGCGGACGAGGGCACTAACAGGTGCTAAAGGCCGGCAGAATGGGCGTTGTAACCTCAGATAGATTAGCAGGGCGGTAGCTAATTTGGGGCCGCACAAAGAATCAGCTAATCGTCCATGAAAATGGGAGCAAAGACTCCGCGATGGGAAGTGGGCACATGGTCTAGAAGCTCCAAGGGCTATGCTGCTAAGTAGGAATAGCAGCAATCAAGGTTCACCACTCTTTTGTGTCTGGCGTTGGAGGCTAGCCGTCCCGTCCAGTTAGTTGGGCAGCTTTGGCAGCTTTTTTTCGGAGGGGGAGCGGTTTGGGGTAGTTTTGAGTTTTGCTGGCACATTGTTAGTTCCAATATGGATCAATCATGAAATCAAACTGATGCTGTTTGTGTTTCAAGTTTTGCTTATACTACTGTACGGACTGTACGATAAGGTTAAGCTGTCAGTTACCTACAAGGTAAGGTACTCAAGGTAGTACGAGCAGGCAGTGAGTGGCAACTGCATAATCGGAGGTTAGTACGGAGTACGGGCTCTTTTTTTTTTTTTGGTACTCGGGATATGTAGCTTTTCGAGGGGCTGCAGCGCTGCGGCAACTGCAGATTCTGCTCCAAGTGGCAAGGTGCTGAAAACACGCCTGGGGTACCCTCCAATATATACCTTGCATAGTGCCTCTGAGAGTCGTTGGTGATCGGCGCCCCCATGGTTTTTTCCAATCCCGAGCGACAGCGATCCGTGCACCTTGTGGCGGCTGTGGAACGGTGATGGCAGCAATTCCGGACCGGGCTCAGGTGAAGGCTGCCAAGCTGGTGTCCGAGTCGGCCAGAGAGCGAGAGACGTTTGAGTGAGTTGGAGATTCTTTTCTTTTTTTCTTTTTTTTTTCTTTTTCTTCGTCTGCCCTTCTCTCTCTCTCTTCTTCTTGCCATCGTCAGATCAGGTCAGGCTCTTCTTCTTTGTGCTAACCCGTGGCATCATCATCATGTAGATATTCTTCGTCTCTCCTCAGCGCCGTCAGGCTCAACGAAACCGGCAAGCCGACACCTTCGTCTGAGCTCGCTACCGCCGACGACGTTATTCTCACCGGCCTCGCCCAGCTGGGAGCTTTGCAGACGGGCACCGACAGGTCCCTCATCTCGCTGTTCGACGCCCACCGCCAGTGCATCGTCGCCGAAGCAACACCCACCCAGCGCCTATATCCATCACTCAAGAGTGACGACTGTGACCGCCCCCTCTGGCTATGTGGCACCGCCATCCCTCGTAGCCATGGAATCTGCGAGCTGAGTCTCCTTGGCGACAAGGCTCTCGATGCGGCCGATGGCGAGAACCCCAACCAGCTCCCTCTGACCATTGCTCATGACCTTGTCACCGACCCCCGGTTCTCGGAAAAGCCGTACTGCCAGCCAGGCACTTTGGCTCGGTTCTATGCGGCTGTACCGATTCGAACTCGACGTGGAATCAACATCGGCGTCTACTGCGTCATCAACGAGACACCAAACAAGACCTGGACTGATGCCCACTCGCAGCATCTACGAGACATATCCTGGGCCATCATGGACCATCTCGAGGCACAGAGACTCAAAGTTGTGCATAAGCGGGATCTGCGAATGAACAGAGGCTTGGGGTCGTTTATCGAGGGCAAAGCTACCATATATGGAGGGCAGAAGTCTTCACATGATGTTGTCTTGGAGACAGTGCCCAACAGCCCTAGCCACAGGCAACGATTTTTCCAACAGCAACAGCAGGACATACCAGAGGATGATCTCGTGACCGACTTGTCACCGAAAACGACATTGACAGATCCAATCGACGCCTCAAGGCCGGGAAACGAAGCAAATCTAAGCCCAAACGACGCCATCTCTGGCCATGAACGTCGTACATTCTCTGCTGGCAGCTCAGGATCCACGAGGCCCGAATTCAAATCCATGGCTAATCTGACAGAAGACGAAAGCTCAATGGTCATTCTGTCAAAAGCTGCCAACATTGTCAGAGAGTCCATCGAGGTGGAGGGCTGCCTTTTCTTCGAAGCCCCGATCCTGTCATATCTATCCCCGGCGGCGCAGAACAGCACTGCAACTGACGATGGAAGCCAGTCGTCCGCCACGAGCAGTAGCGATGAGGACCTAGAAGCGAGGCGTCCAAGTAAGACTGCGTCGCAGTGTAGGCTCCTTGGCTTTTCTACGTCTACGGCATCGAGCATTAATGGGGCTATTCCAAGTCGGCCCTGCATTTCGCTAAGAGAGAACTTTCTGTCCAAGCTTCTTCGGCGTTATCCCAGGGGCCAGATTTTTAACTTTGGCGCTGACGGAGAGTTACAATCGGACTCGTCAGAAGACGAGCAGCCATGGCAGTCATCGGAGGCATACCCGAACGTCTCTCCGTTACCCTTTAGTTATTCCGAAATAAATCTAGCAACGCCACGAGTGAAAAGCTCGGCGAGGCAGCTTGAGGGAAAGGCTCTCCTCAAGGCTTTCCCTGGTTCTCGGAGCATAGGATTTGTTCCTATCTGGGACCCCAGGAAAGATCGATGGCATGCCGGCGGATTCATCTGCACCAAGGACGTAGCTCGAAGTTTTTCACTTGAACAGGAATTAAGTTATCTGAGAGCTCTAGGGATGCTTGCCATGTCTGAAATTCTGCGGTTCAAGGATTTGCGGGCTGATAAAGCAAAGACGGATGCTCTTGGATCGCTCTCACATGAGCTTCGATCCCCGCTGCATGGAATTCTGCTCAACGCCGAACTGCTAATTGATACCAAGCTCGACATCTTTCAGGGCAACGTTGCCCACACTATTGAAACTTGTTCCCGCACACTTCTTGACACAGTGGACCACCTCCTTGAATATTCCAGAATAAACCATCTATCCGGACGAGATGATAGGGCGCTTAGTTTAACGTCAAATGGTCTCGAGCTGGGGCAGTTTGGCAAAAAATCCCTACTGCGCGACTCACAAATCGACCACATTGTCGAGGAAGTCATCGAGAGTGTCTTTGCTGGCTTCAACTTCTTACACTTGTCCGTCAAACAACTCTCTGACGAACACAGCGGGTCTATCAACAGTGATGTAAATGCGAATCATCACTCGGATTCGCTGCAAGCAATAGATCAGCTTGAACCCTGGATGACCAAGAACGGGGAGCTCAGGTGGAGCTTCGATGATGTCTTGATAATCCTCTCAATGGATGCCAGGTGCAATTGGGCGTATTGCGTTGACGTGGGGGCCATCCGTCGTATAGTCATGAATATTTTCGGCAATGCTTTGAAGCATACCAAGCGGGGCACAATTACAGTTTCACTTACGCAGGAAATGGTTCGTCTTAGGGGCCGCAAGAAAGAGCGTGTTGTTAGATTTACGGTGCAGGATACCGGCAAAGGCATCGGCCCTGATTTCCTCAAGCACGGGCTCTTCCGTCCCTTCTCCCAGGAGGATCCATTATCACCTGGTGCTGGGCTAGGTCTCAGTCTCGTGCAGCAGATAACATCTCATCTGCAAGGTGATGTCTCGATCCGGAGCGAGCTTGGCGTTGGGACGACAGCCTGTGTCACACTCCCATTGGAGCAGCTACCGCGTCCTGTGGAAGTGGCCCCTACAATATCCGATGAAGAAGACAAGGCGTTCAAAGAACAAGTCGCTGACCTCAAAGGCCTGCGTGTGCGGGTTATAATGGCGAATTCTGACTGGCAAACGGCTATAGTCAACACCTGCCGCGAATGGCTACATATGGAAATCATCCCCAATACCCGGGATACAAGCGTCACGCCGGACCTTGTGTTGTGGTCTCATATGGACATGGCGAGACTGAGCGAAGATTTTGAATCATTTGATAAAACCCCTAATGTTGTCGTGTGCTCAAACGCTCTACAAGCCTATCGCCAATCACACATGTTCAAGAAGGCTGCATCTCCTGCCATTTTTGAGTTTATTTCTCAACCGTGAGTCTCTCCATCTTTGGTGCTATTTTCTTGTTCCTCGTTGACTCATGCGCTGCAATCTTTAGAACCGGCCCTCGTAAACTTGCCAGAACACTGCATTCGGCATACATGCGCTGGATGAGCAGCTTCAATTCGCCAGGAGCACCTCTTTCGACTCCAATGGTGGCCACGAGGCCAAAAGGGCCCAAAAGAACGCCAAGTACATTCTCTTCTGCTCGTACCGGTAGGCCACCATTGACCAGACCGACGACTGCTGTATCTCGAAGCAGCGGTTCAATATGGACGAGCGACGGTTCTTTTATATCGACTAATTCTCAGACTGAAACGCCTCCAAAGTCCCCGGAAGAGTCTCTAGTCCGGCGGGATAAGCCCGCCGCGCCTCAAATCAGCTTTTTGCTCGTTGATGACAATTACATCAACTTGAGAGTGCTCTCCACTTATATGAAGAAGCGCAACATTGGATTCCAAGAGGCGAAGAACGGCAAGGAAGCGGTCGATTACTTCCTTGCACACCCCGGCGCGTATGCCTGCATCCTAATGGACATATCCATGCCGGTCATGGATGGATTTGAGGCCACGAGGCAAATTCGAGCACATGAAGCACAGATGGGACTGACACCCGTCCCCATTATTGCGCTTTCGGGATTAGCAACGGAAGATGCTCAGCAAGAGGCATTTGGAAGTGGGATGGATGTGTTTCTCACTAAGCCGGTAAAGCTTGGGGCTTTGGGTAACCTGCTCGAGTCTCATGGAATTCTCAACAGCGGCTGAAAGGCAAAGTTGAATTCTATACTACTTGACTTATGCGTTCAGCATGGATATACACGAAACGGCTGGTCAAAACCGAAACGGAGAACGCCGGTACGAAAGCACTTGTTTGTGAAGAATACTACGAGGGAATTACTAAGATGCGTCCAGCGTCTGGCTCACCGAAATCTGGTACGCTGGAGTGTTCTATTTCTGTCTATAATCATCTACCACCCCGGTTGAAGCCAGATGACGAATCAACCAGCCTCAGCGGCCACGAGTCAACAGTCGTCGCGTCATCGTGGGCACAGGGAGGATTTTGGAGGTAAATAATCAAATGTGGCAATGAGGAATGAACGAGGATTAATGCCCGCCATGCGAAATGAGATACATGGATGGAGTTGAAGGAAGGCCCTTAGTGGCCTAGTAGCAAGAACTAGCATGAATACGAAATATGGTGGCATCTTTGGTAGAGATGCCATATTTGATGTCCAGGGACGGACTGATTCTGTGAAGGATTACCCGAATGGTGAGATCCACCAGTAAAGAACATCTATTTCATCTTGATGCAGTCGAACGAGAACGAGGTCATTGAGAAAGGCCCATTGTTGCGTGGCTTCTTAGAATCCTGGGTGTCATGGATGGAGATGCTCGAGGGCCCCTGGCACGGAAATCGCACGCGATTGCGGGGGAGAAAGAACATTGATCATATTTTTGATGAAGCTTTTTTTGCTGCCCATGTTATGTGTGTATGTAGGCAGTATGTATGTATAATCATTTTGGTAGCAAGCAATAATAAAGGGGTTAGCCTACCAGGTAAATTGTGGGAGCGCAGTAAGAAAATAGCGTGGAAAGGGCGGAGAGGAGGGCTATGGATGATCTGCCGGGCGTGAGGTTGCGTGCGCAAATGCATCTCTCCAGCTACATATTACCTAGTAGTTTTTTTCTTTTTTCTAATAATGTACATATTTTGTTCCATGCTTACGTTTTGGCGCACTGTAGATCCGGGTTGCGACGTTAGATCGGGGTTTTGATTGTGTCCCCATAAATAGGTATTGATGATGATGATGCCCTGCGCTACGACTGTTTGAGGGAGCTGGATTGTGGACAACGAGTAAGGGTGATTTCGAGATGGGGCTGGGGAAGAAGACAGCGATATGTTGGGCAGTGTTGGCTGTGTAGGTAGTATATTGGTATGCTTGGGTGCTATAAGCAAGGCAGGGGAGGGTGTCTATTTATATTGGGGGATGCTAAATATAGTGCCTGGTGGAAATGCTTGAAGACTGAGTGCTGATTCAGATTGATGCCGTTTATGACGATGAATATATGCCGAGGTGTAGAGATATTTAGATGTATGGTCTGGGGGATGTTTCATGCTATATTTGTTCTTTCTTAGTATAGATGTTTTATGTGTTTGTGATGGGGTGGATTTTTACTTGTTTTTGAGAGCGTGGAAGCTCTATGGGTAAGCGGAGGAGGACACGGTAATTGGTGGATATTAGTTGCCAAAATGAATATACCTAGACGTGTGAGATTTTACTGGATGCAGGTGGATGGAATCAAGTGGTTGGTGTTTTAACATTGCTTGATCTGGAAATAGGTATGCTTGAGTGCCTATGAAGAGAAAGGTTTTGAACAGCATAGGATAATCTCTGTTTTCTACTAAACTACCTAGTACTCAAAAAAGATTATAATATCGAGTATCATGAAACTTTCTCACCTACCTAGCTGTTGTAATGTGTGGTGTGTTCCTATGGTTGTCTCGTTCTCCTACTATTACTCCTCTTGGAAATTGTCTTACACGTTCTGATAGCATCTGCGATAATCTGCTACTCTCATTACCCTCCCCCAGTATAAAGCAATGGAAAGATCATCTAAGATCCTGCAATACCTCTGCTCCACAGCATTAATGTGCCTTACCTTGATAGAGCACTGAGCCAACAACCAAGCTCGTATGGATCTCCACTCCGCTGGCTCTGCGGACCAGGATCTTGACAATTGTTCTATAGCCATCATGTCACTATTCTTAATCTGAAACATAACTTACTTCTATCGCATATGCTAGTACAGTTCTAGGCTAATTACGAAATTGCATGTTCCCAAACTGGGCATCTCTCACCATCCCTGGAATCCATTCTGCTGACTACCTCTGTAGTAATCCTCCACTATTCAGCAGTAGACAAACACTTTAAAATGGAATCTTTGAAAAGCTGCCCTGGCTAGTCTTGGGATGTGGGCTTGACGGCGAAGCTATCGTGGAGCAAGGACTGTTGTTTGAGCCTGGCACGGTGGGAGGAATGAGGGTGTTGCTAATCATCTCGCGGCGGTGGAGAGACAGACAAAGGCATCGTTAAGATTGTTCAAGTCCTGGAGCCATGACGGATGAAGTTGAGATATACGACATAATTCGATTCTGCCACATTAGCGCAAAGATATCTAATACGTCGATATTAAGTAAAGTAAAGCCAAATTGATCTCAATTCTCTCGAGATTTCTGGAAGCTCCTGACCGACAGCAGCGAACAAAGAGACATGCAGACTGTCGTCATCTGCAACTTGAGCATCGGTCCGCAGGTTATTCCGCAGCACAGTACATACAGTGCGCACAGACCCTCGACCCACCGCCCAGGGCCACTGGCACTACTGTAGAGTTTCCCCCAGAACATGAACGTGGAGCTTGAAATTGTCTGTGCGAATTCTATTTCTATATTTAGATTTGACTCCCTGCAACTCCCACTGAAACTTGCTCTTTACGATGGCGAAACGGACATGAGTCTTTGCGGACGGTCACGGTGTTCCCAGTGGCAAAGGCAAAAAAGACTCGATCATGGCAAAAACAAAATCGTCCTCGTGCCGCATCTGCACTGTTCGTCCGGAGTAGTGCGGACCGACGTTTATGCAAACAAGAACAAAAGATGCGCGCACAAACGCCACCAATTGTGATAACGCCATGTTGCGATGGCCGGAAATCTGCTCGTTGGTCCGAGACAAGCAGCAAGAAACATCCCCAAGCACGACTCGCCATTGGCACGGCCGTGTGACAGCGGCCGAGGTCGTGCATCTGCTTCACAAGTTTTGTGCCCGATTAGACGCCATTGGCTCCTGGGGCCAGCGGGCGATTGGCGGGATGCCTCAGGGCGCTGCAGCAGGGGCCGGGGCTCAGCGCTTACCCGCAGGCTAGAAATAGCAACAGGGCCACTCACGGCCATGGTCGACCCTCCACCTCCGCTGCCTCGCTCTACTCGCGTCTATCCCGACGACTGCAGCGGATGTGATTTGGCTTGCTGCCGTTAGCATCATGCAGCTGCGTCGGCTGAACAAGGACGGAGCGGTTCCACTTTGTCGCTGGTGGCGCAAGAAAAGGGACTGGGGAGGAAGAGAGAAAAGAGGAGGAACAGCAAGAGAGGAGAAGAGGAGGAGGAGGAGGAGACGAGACGAAAAGACGCCGAGGACGATGCACAACATGCGCGGTTGTTTCGTCGTATATAGCCGCCGACGATCCCGCCATCTGGTCTGTTGGCTTTGTTCTGCGGCATTTCTATTCTCGTCTCACGACGCTTATAATACAACCCCAAGGTTTGCGTTTTGTTTCGTACTCGTACCTGGGACGATAATACAGTTTGACTTTGACTTGGTTGGGTCAGGGATCTCGTTGACTCACCCCACTCACTCCCCATCTTTATTTCTCTCTTCTACTCCTACTCTTCAACTTTAACAGCTCTCATCTGTCTCCGTTTAAACATACATCCTCTTAAGTGAATCGTGATGGCTTCTCAACCCTTCCAACAGACCTCTTCCAAGAGGCCACGGCTATCTCTCAAGATCAGCACCTCCAGCCCTTCAGTCCCCAGCAGACCTACAAGAGGCTTCCAAGTCGACCCTACCGATCGTACCGCATGCAACACACTATCCAACGTATATGCCACGGCCATCGAGAGATCTACGCCAGTCCAAGCAGAACCCCTCACAGCAATCAACACCCTACAAAGCTTCTCTCTAAAGACACCAATCGAGCCTCGAGGCCCCAAGCTAAGAATCAAGACGCCATATGTCGCCGCCTTTCCAGAGACACCAACCACAGAGACCTCGGGCTCGCCACCACAGCAGATGGAAATTGCCTTTCCGAGCACAATGACACCGACGCCTCCCATGTCTGCTGGCGCCGTCGACCCCAACGGACCAAAGGCCTTTTCTTTCTCTCCTATGGATATCTCCTCCAAGACAAGGGCATATGCTGTCACCTCTCCATGCTCACCTGTCGAGCCTCTTCTATCCAGACGGTTTACTTCCCTGTATACCACTGCCGCCCCGGCTCCCTATACGCACCCTCACTCCCTCCACAGCATTCTGCGCAACTCACCTCTTCCCCCCCGGACGGCAATTCCAGCCTCTCCGAGGCGGCAGTCCTTGCGGCTGCAGGAAAAGGCTGCCAAGCGAGTGGGCTACAACAACCCTCTCACACAGACCATCATCACCAACAAGTACACCAAGTCACACATCGACCTTCTTGTGGAGGAGGCTTCGCCCGCCTCGCCATCATTTTCCCCTATTGGGGGCGACAGGGCAATCAACATCAAGCAAGCCTTTTCACCCAACGAAATCGAGAATGGGGGCCAAACGCCAGGCCCGTTCGAGGACATGCGACGCAAGCTTGCGGCTTTGAGTGGCAGTGCAGCAACTTTGTCTCCATCAGAGACGGGTGGCATTCGCAAGCGCAAGCGTAAGGAGAAGAAACGCCAGTGGGTCTGGACAATCGGCGTGGCAGACGAGGAAGAAGAGGATGACGAACGCATTGGCGGCGCAATCGCGGCCTCGAGGGCTGAAGCCGCCTCTGCAAGGGCCAGGGCAACTGCCAAGACGCCTCGTGGTGATGAGGCAGTGTCTACGACAGTCGTTCCAGATATCCAGATGGTGCCTGACACACCGACAGCAAGCATCGAGAGCAGTGCAGACTCGGCCATTGACATTGACATGTCAGATGCCAGCAGTGTCGTCTCGGAAGATTCTCAGCATTTTCTTGTTGCACATTTGGCTTCAGCTGAGCTGGACATGAAGACGCCTACGGAGCCCAGGGCGCAGTACAATAAGCGGAAGCGGGATACGCCTATCCCAGAGCTAGCTGAGGCGCAGGACACGCCCGTAAGCGGGCACAGCTGAGTTGACCCCTGGCGAAATGAAATCGACCAAGGGGACACTCTAGAACATAAAATGAAAAAAAGAAACGAAAAAGAAAAAAAAATCTTTCTGTACTTGTACGATATTTGGTATTAGCATGAGGATGAGGGGGTGGTACGGACCAGGGCATCCTGGCCGCTGCATTTTTCTCTTATTCATGGCGAGCAACAACAAAAAGGGTACATTTTTATTCTGATGAGAAATGAACTGAACTTTTATGATAGCGAATTGCCTGAATACACATACAGGCCTGGCGTTTTTTACTGCTCTGTGAGTAGGGGTGGGTTTATTTCGATGCTATTATACCATGTTATATTACTATACTTTGAATACTATCACCGTGCTTTGATTAACCGAAACAACATCTTCTTTGGCATATTTGTGATTAAACCTATGTGACTGTGTCTACTCATATTGATCGATAGGAGCATTTGATGTAAGGACACGTATTAATGGGTATAAGCAAGGATACTTCCATGTTGCTACTGTATTAACTAGATCGCATACACACGGCATACAAACTACTTGCTGCATAATATACCTGTATGTTCCTTTTTATTTGTCTTTTCTGCTAAAATAACTTTTCATGCCGTCTTTGCGCCTTGTTGCTGATCGTAATATATCTCCTCGGCCTGGACGATGCACTGCATGTTGGCACCCAGCTTGTTAATGGTTTCTTGCCACTCTTCGTATTCGTCTGAGTCGAATACGATACCGCCACCTATCAAGATCGAAAAGTTAGTTATTGCTTGATCTATTTTTAAAACATTGAATGGGGAAAGTCAAAACGAACCTGCTTGGAGATACGCCACGCCCTCCTTGACCATCATGGTCCGCAGAGCGATACAAGTGTCCATGGCACCCTCAACGTCTTCGCCGTTCTCATCCACGCCGCCGTAGCCAAAGTATCCCACCGCACCGGCATACACGCCGCGCTTCTCCTTCTCCAGCTCGGCGATGAGCTCCATCGCCTTGACTTTTGGCGCGCCGGAGACGGTGCCGGCGGGGAAGATGGACCGGAAGGCGTCGAACCGGGTCTGGCCTGGGCGCAGGACGCCGGAGACCTGGGAGACGAGGTGCTGGACGTGGCTGAATTTCTCGACGACCATGAGGCGGTCGACGCGGACGGTGAATGGGTCGCCTACGCGGTTGACGTCGTTGCGGGCGAGGTCGACGAGCATGACGTGCTCGGCGCGGTCCTTGAGGGAGTTGCGCAGCTCGTTGGCCAGCCGCTCGTCCTCCTCTGGTGTTGGGCCTCGCTTGACCGTTCCGGCAATGGGGTGGGTGATTATCCTGCCTGCCTCAGACTTGACCAGCAGCTCGGGAGAGGCGCCGACGATCTGGAAGTCCTGGCAGTCGATGTAGAACATGTACGGCGACGGGTTGACGGTCCGCAGGTGTCGGTAGATGTTGAAGGGGTGGAGGTTGGTAGGGCGGGCGAAGCGCTGCGAGGGGACGGCCTGGATGATGTCGCCGATGACGATGTGCTCTTTTAGCTTGGTGACATGGCCTTCGTAGCCCTCGCGGCCAATGTTGGACTTGTACTCCTGGCCCAGCGTGATGGGGCCTTGCTCGGGCAGGGGGATCTCGGGGCTGTTGAGGACGTTTATCAGTTCGTCGATTGTCTTCTTTGCATCGTCGTACGCCGCTTCCAGGCCTGTCTGTCCGTCCGCCGGAACCTTGACGTAGCTAATGACCTTGATGATGCCGTAAAACTTGTCAAAGGCCACAATTGTGTCGTACAGCATGAAGAGAGACTCGGGAATCTTCAAGACGTCCTCCATCGGCCGTGCGGTCTTGGGCTCAAAGTATCGCACGCAGTCATATCCAACATAGCCAACGGCTCCTCCCGCCATGGGAGGCAGCCTCAAGCCCGGAACGTGTGCGACAACATGGTCGGCTAGCTCCTCCTCAAGGGCCGGCAGCGGATCCTTCTCGTCGCCGTGTAGCGGGCCGGTGGTGAGGATCTTGCGCGGGTTGGCGCCGACGAAGCTGTACCGGCCGACCTGCTCGGTGGCGGCCGATTCGAAGAGGAATGAATATGTGGAGGAGGCGGAGGAGGTGGACTTTGCGTGCGCCGAGACCTTGAGGTAGGCGGCGGAGGGGGTGATGAGGTCGGAGCTGATTTGGCGATAGACGGGCACGAGCGTGGGCTTCTTTGCGCCGCTCTTGAGGGGCTTGTTGAGGAGCTCTCTGACGGCGTCGAGAGACGGGATGAAGCTTCTCTATAGTCAAGGAGAGCAGATTAGCGCATTGAGGCCATGAAAAACAGGGTGGCGAGCCGATCTGGCGGCTTGCTGGGTGACGTGAAGAAAATTGATCAGCATGTAAGAAAAAAAAGATGACTAGCTTACCACATGTGCCATAGCGAGGGGGTATGTATGGTATCGATGCGAAAACTGAGAAGATGAAGAATGGGATAGAAAAGAAGAGGAGCGTCTACGGGAAGAGCGCTGGACCTCGAGTTGAGAACCTCAAAGCAATGTTGAAGATGGGCGCATGTATCCGCAGAGTTGATGGTGATAAGGACAGTAAGATGTAAGTCAGATCAGCAGAATCTTGGCTGTGACTCGAACGAACCCCACACCAATCGAAGGGTTCTGAAGTGCTAGCGGATGGAGGGGCAACTTTTGGGCCGGCACCGGCGTGTTGGCATTCCAGGTTAGTGAGAGCCACTAGCAGCGGAAGGGCGCTGAAGCCATCCATGAGTTGATCCATGGGTTGAAACCTCCACTGTCATCAATCTTCCAGTTGTCGCGCTGGGCTTTGATTGGTGCAATTGAACCCCTACCATGCTTGCTCAGTCAGGGTGGGCCGAGAATTGGCGGCACTTGGTCAGCGGCATTCACTTGTCGATGCATTTCCGTACAATGTCCACTGGTCCATCTATATCACCCAACAGCTCCTGTTTAGAGGCCTTCTAGCTCTCCAGCTAGTATTTCCCTTTGCCTCGAGAGGGCCAACGTCTTTTTTTGCCCTCGAGATGATGCCATGGACGGCTCGGGGGTCAAGAAGCCGCCCAAACGCCAGGAAGGCCGCATCATTCTGCAGTTTGTCCGTCTTACTCCCAACTCTGCCGTGAATAGAAGGTAGATGTCTAGTATGTATGTATGTCTTGCTAAATTCGGATCCATTAGGACTATGACTGCTTCTACGCTCAAGTGTTTGAGCAAAAGAACCCGGCTCTGAAATCAAAGCCGGTTGGCGTCAAGCAGAAGAACATCTTGGCCACGTGCAACTACAATGCGCGCCGCCGCAATGTCAAGAAGCTCATGCTCATTTCAGAGGCAAAGAAGATATGCCCTGATCTTGTCCTTGTCGACGGCGAGGACCTGACGCCGTTTCGGGATATGAGCAAAATACTCTTCAACTTCCTAAGATCTCACTCTTGGAACGGCAAAGCCGAACGCCTTGGTTTTGATGAGGTCTTCTTGGGTGCGTCTAAGAGTGCACGATAAATATCTACATATACTAACAGGTCTACCAGACGTGACGGACATTATCGAATACAACATGTTCTGTCTCAACCGGGCTTCAATGGCTGAATCTTTCTTCTACCTATCTAAAAAGGATCCCGAGCTGGGCTTCGCATGCGATTTAACCTCGATTGCAGGCTGCGTTGTTGGTGCCGCCCCTGAGAGTGTGGATTTGGAGAGCCCCATCTACTTGAGACACCTCTTGGGATCCCACCTTGCCCAATACTTGCGACTCAAATTAGAGCAAGGCTTTGGCTACACATCAACCTGTGGCATCTCTACAAACAAGCTTCTGAGCAAGCTCGTTGGTAGCAAGAACAAGCCGCAGAATCAGACAACGCTACTTGCATTGACTGATGATGATATCATCAACTTTGTAGACGGACACAAGCTTCGCACCATCCCAGGAATGGGCTCCAAGATCACGCACCTTTTGGAAGCCCATATCTTGTCCAAGGAACTCGATCAGGACCTTGGTCCCTTTGATTCTCTGGTTACTGCACGGGAAGCCCGTCTCCATCCAACCGTCACGCCATCCTTTCTAGAGACCCTTTTGGGCGGCCCAGGGGCCGAAAGAGGCGTCGGACCTCGAGTTTGGGGGTTTCTCCATGGCGTGGATCCTACTGAAGTCAAGGAAGCTACCGATGTACCGTCACAGATTAGCATTGAAGACACCTACAAGGGCCTTGAAACGGTGCCCCGAATAACGGAAGAGCTTCACAAGTTGTCCTGTTCTCTCATCCGCAGAATGAGGGTAGATCTCTCTGTCCTGGATGACGGTTCGGATATCCCTGGTAGTCGCAAGTGGATTGCTCGACCAAGGACGCTTCGCCTCTCGATTCGATCGTGGCCAAAGTCAGATGCCTCCCAGCCTCGGGACTTTAGTCGCGTGTCTCGGTCGGGACCGTTGCCAAGCTTTGTGTTTGACTTGAAGGCTGATATTGATGAGATCGCCCAGCAGCTAGTCGCAGAAGCGCTACTGCCATTGCTTCGCCGCCTACAGAATGAAAAGGGCCAAACGTGGAACCTGCAGCTGATTAACATCTGTGCCGCAAACATGGTTGCCGGAGCTACTGGCGACAAGATGGGGGCGGGACGGGACATTGCAACCATGTTTAAGAGGCAAGATGAAGTGCTTGCTCCCTGGAGAATTACATCTGACGCTATTGACGAGAATGATCAAATCATGGAAAACGAGACGGAGAGCATTGTGCCTGAAGATTCTGATTCTGACACGGACATTTCCTGGGAGGCTACAGACAATTCAATATGCGCTACCTGCGGTTATTCTATACCTTCGTTTGCGCTCTCCGCCCACTCAAGGTATCATGAGCTAGGCGAATGAGCCACGCCAATTACAATCACAGTTTCATTGAGAAAGAGATCTAGCCGTGTTGAGGCAAACACTTACACCAGCAGTCGCTACCTTTGTGCGATGATATTGCACATTCTAGTTGACTACTTGCGGACCATAGACGCCATGTCCTTTGACTGCGCTGTGAGCTGCGGTGGAACATGGTGCTTTCGATGCCTATGCGCAGAGAATATTCCACGAGGGCGCATACCCTTGTCTGGCCGCCTTATTCAGCCAAAGCTTGAGAGGAAACTCGAAGCGTACCGGCTAGGCGGTATTAATGAAGCCGCCTCCTTTGTCACTAGTATCACCGACCCAGGCGCAATTCGATAGAGGTTTCTTGGCAACACATACACTAATAAGGGTTTCATAAATGAGGTGGCCTAGGCCGTGTAACACAAATGAATTTACAACCACATTAGGCAATATGAATGAGGGACGATGAAAGGGAGGGGGGGCTGCTGCTCAAAAGGCATTGTTGAATCAAGTCCTGTGTGAGCTTGCAAGAATTAACCTTTTGAGCAAACCTTTGTAGATCAAGTATATATATTAGTTCGTACCTATCCAAGACCTCGGGTTGGCAAACAGAATGATGATGAGACAGATTCGTTTCCGTCATGTTTGTGGACGGATAGCTGTCGTGTCTGTGCCACCTTTGAGGTGTCCCGTTGTCAGACCAAAGCTTGATTGCCTTGCCCGTCTAGTGCGTTGACAGGTCGATGTCTTTCAGTGAGAGAGAGAGAAATATTTCGATGCTACGATATGCCAGCGACGCATCTCGCATCTCTTGGAAGCGGGTGGTCGCGAGTAAGCTTAACTTGATGCTCTGGCTGGCGGCATGGTATTGTTGGGGCAGCGGCACTCTTGCGCAGCGGATATACACATATTCAACAAACAATAGACATGGATTGTTTTGTTTGTTCGGAGTCTAGAAATCCAGCAGCTCCTTCGGTTCCGCCTCGAAATACCGATTAAGATGTCCCTATAAACCTCACCCTGGGCCCTCGTTATCCTCTCCTTTCTTATCTTTCACTTCTTTGTCCTCTTCTCTTCCATCCAATCTTCCACCCTTATCTTCCCACTCATAGATTCGGCACTTCATCAAAACACGAGAGTAAATTATCGCTCAGCCACGCAGAACAAGGCAACGGCTCCTAACATGCAGTGGCCAGCACGGGACGCGGAGCCGATGCAGACGCTATGCGGATTCTTGGGTAGCCGGTGCTCTGGCAGCTTCGCCTTGCCACCATCGTGCGGTCTTGTGGTCTTTTTGCCTTTGTCCTCCGCCCGCGATTGTAATGCTGTTAGCTTGGTGAGTTTTGTCTTTTGTTATCCTTCTTTATAATATAATATTGCTGTTGGTAGCTGCGTTGCTGCTTTTACTATCCCTAAGGTACTAAGTATAGTAGTTTGTTGGCCTAGAGTACAAAGGGAAGTGAAGCCGTTTCTGGTCTTTTACATCCCGCTACCGTTCGTGATGCAGTGACTTTGCCTTTGTTTGCCCTTTATTTTACCCTCCCATATTTCCCTGCGGCTGTGTTTATTTGCTGCCCTTAGCTCTTTTGACTGTAGACCGACCTTTATCTCCTGTATTACGGTGCATTGAGAAGACAATCCTTTTATCAATTATTCCTCTTTTCCATCTTTATTTCTTTCCTTCTTCCTTCTTCCCTTCTTTCCCTCCTTCTTTCCTTCTTTCTTTCTTCCTTCTCTCCTTCTCTCTCTTTCACTCACTCTCATCTCCGTTCTGCTCCTTCCCTCGATGACTTGCATGCATGAATCTGCTCCTGCCATCCGTCTCGGAAGCAACGCCTGGCAGCCGCCTAGCAGCCGGCCAGTCCCAAATTCACCAGCGTTCCTTCCCACAGCCTTTTCGGTTCACCTTCTGTTCAGATTCTGTTTGTTTCATCTCCATTCCTTCTTCTCGTTTCTTCCATTTTCTGGTTCTTCTTCTCTCCTCTCTTCTCCTCTCAACTCGCACATCCACCAATCTTGATTCCCCCTTCTCTATCACGAGGTTGATATGCCTGTTACTTCTTCAGACACATCACAGCTTCATCGCCTCTCGCAGAATCCGGCCTCTTTGATTGCTATCTCCACCGTCATCACGAATCGATATTTCGTCTGGCCATCCTCACTGGCAGTCACCCCGAACTTCAACATCCACTACTCAATTGCTCAGGAGCTTGTTTGCCAGAGATCTGCATCCCGCCTTTTAGAACTCAGTAGCCCAGTCTCTTAACGTCGACGGGCTATCGAATCAACCCATAATTCTCTCAGAAGCAGGCTATCAAGAATTAGACACTGAATTTCGACACGGCACGATACTTCATTCTCCTCAAGAAAAGTCCTGCTCAGGCGAATCAAAACGTTGATCATGGCTCGGGGACGCGGAGGCGGCAATCATATCCAACGTCGCGCAGTCGACTTGACCGGTATTATCTCAATAGCTGAGAGAAATGACTTGGAGACTTTGGTCAAGGCTATTACGGAAAGAATGGCCAGAGATATTAGCAACATCTTTGACTCTCCCCCCGTTGCCCCAATTCAAGGCGACCACGGTCATCACAAGTGGCTTTTGCTCCCCTTGCTGCATCACAAACAGAATAGGTCGGCATCCCATTCCCATTCCCTAATGGGCTTGATACACGCCAATTCATCGAATACTTATGACAAGGCTCGAGAAATCATCGAAAAGGAAGAAAAGCAGGCTATGACTCCACAACTACGCGAGTTGAAAAAGGAAGCCTTGGTCTTCTTCGACAAATGGCAATCAATTGTTTTGCTAAGGGTTAAAAATGTTGCTGTGAATGATCAGCAATGCTTCCAGGGAAGTTCTCGTGGTCGTGGACTGAGAGGAGCACCTCGCGGGCGAGGCGGAGGTGTAGGCGGCCGTGGTGGGGGAATAATACGCCCCCAGACTCTAGCAACAGGTTTGATGAATCTCTCCCAGCTTCCCATACTTCTCCAACTATGCGTGAGGAGAAATTTTGCAAACTAACGATCTTGTAGGACCGCCTCGTGCACCCTCGAACTACGCGGATCGTGATTTGGCTGCTCGTCACCCCCCTATTCCAAATGCACTATGGACTCTGGATTTGAACAAGCGCAAATCGCTGCTGCAGATCGTCTTCTTTATTATGTTATCCATGCAAGAGTACACGGCAAACTCGAGACAGCTCCTTCTAGGCCTCACAACTTCCTTGAACCTCCCATTCAAGGTGTATCAAGAGGAAGAACTACGCCTTGCTCAAGGATTAGCCAAGGCAGCTCTTGATCAAGCCAAGGCGGATCAAGCCAAAGCGGCTCTTGATCTTTCTCCGGAGGATGCTATCAACCAAAAGTCTGAAGAATCGAAGAGCGCACGACGTTGGAAAGTTGGATTAGGAGGCCATCCGGGAAAGCTTGCTGCTCCGAAGCTTGCTGCTCCCCTTATTGACGTCGGTATTGGTACCGCACATGAGGGCCTTGGCCTCACCTCCTCTGCCGCTGCAAGCCTTTTGGGTACAATGGCAGAAAATGCAACTGCAATGGGTGCTCTTTTCGGTATAAATGCTTCGAAACCGACAGCCAAGATGATGGAGATTTTTGCCCGCGAGATTCAAGACTTTGCATTCATCCCTCTTCATGGTGTGGAAGGCTCTGAGTATCGCGATGCTCGAGAGATCCCTGCAGAGCATCGTAGACTCTGCCTTACAATTGCTCTGAGCGGATTCCTTCTCGAAGATGAAGATGCCACAAAAAACTGGCGTTGTCTTGGCCGCTTTACGGAGTCTTTTGTCACACGATGGGAAGTTGCAGCTCTTACCAACCTTGGCAACTCTCTCGAGGAGGTGGTAAAGAGTAGTGCTTGGATCGATGGGCAAAAAGAGATTAAAGCTCGCACAGGTAAGTGAAATTGGGCTGATTCAACAGTGTATTAATTCTCAATATTGACGTTAATGTGCAGTCTTCTCAAGCCTCATCGATTCCTCCTGGCCAGTTAAGCTGCTCAGATCAAGCAAGATTATGGACAATTCTTGGAGTGTTGGAATGGTAAGAGCGGAGAAGGCGGGTGCTGTCCTTGCTGACGCCATTATGCGACAAAAGTTCCAGGGAGACAGGCCAGTTTCATTGGTAGGATACAGTCTTGGGGCCCGAGCCATATACGCATGCCTCATGGTGTTGGCAGAGCGCCGACAATTTGGAATCGTCGACTCAGTCATACTGATGGGCACCCCGGCGCCATCGGAAAGTCGAGTGTGGCTGACGCTCAAGAGCGTTGTGTGCGGTCGCTTGATCAACGTCTACTCAGAGCACGACTATATCCTGGGGTTTCTATATCGAACCTCCAATATTCAATTCGGCGTCGCTGGCTTGCAGGAAATCCAAGGGGCAGATGGTGTCGAGAACTACAGAGTGCGTAACCTTCCTCGAGGCCATCTTAGTTACCAAAGCCAGGTGAGTCAAATTTTGAAGAACGTCGGCTGGGAGGATATCAGGGCAGATGTTGTCAAAGTGGGAAAATGAAGTGTATCAAAATATGCCAGGCTGTAGTTTGTTGCTTGTTCAGCCGCGTACGTTTACTAGATTGTCACCAGACTCGAACGGAGAGTTGTGTGTTTTCAGACTTGGAGAGAAGGACTCTGTATCGTTCGTGTTTGAGCCCCGAGCTTTTTTATCTAGTCAGATGCGGTGTGAATAGCTTTCTGGTCGATTGTTTTGTATTTATTTAGCTATTATGGTTCAGCCAACTTTGCCAGTGTCTATACGATTCATCTTTTTTAGGTAACGGACTCAATTCTGTTCACTGTTTGTGCGTATGAGCTGTGTATAGGTCAATATCAGGAGGTTAGCAAGTTGAGTGCACAGGCAAACACAACACAAATCCGTGAAAGACGGTCAAGCAAATCGAATCAAAAATAGTCCAAATTAACAAAGAGCTCCCTTGCCAGAAAAAAAAAATTGCTTGTTCTAAAAAAAGAGAAAACGAGCTTCCCATCCCGTTTAGGTCAAACCAGTTCAAAAGGAAAAAGAAAAAAAGAAAAAAAAACCAACACAAACTTGGTTTTTTATATGCCATCGTATGCCTCTCTCCTTCACCTCAATAAGAAAAAATTCCATGCATGCATGCCCGTTGCTTCTTTTTTTTTACAGTTGAAAAAGAAAAATAGTTTCTTGACCCCTTCTTCCTCCTTCCTTCCTCTCCCCATTCGCGAGTATGTTGTGACTTTCGACAATAGATTACATCGATGCGTATTGATTTTATTATACATTTGAAGGATTTTATCTTGCTTCTCATCCACATCGCCGTTTTTCTCTCACTCTCACTTTCCATTTCAATGCAAAGTTTGTCCACTTTTCCTCTCAAAGCCAAGAAAGAAAATGGGGATCTTATAGGGGCGTGCCACCCAGCATGTTGGGAACTTGCTTTCGAGCAACTCCCTTGGGACCACGCGGCTCGACACGGGGAACGCCCTGGATGGTGCGAGGCTCACGCATGAGCGATCTGTCAAGGCGAGCCGGCATCCGCGTCACGATGCTGTGATATTCGCCCGGGAAGTTACCCTTGGGCAGAGGCACAGAGGCTGTGCGCCATATGTGCTCTGAAGTATCGCTAAGATAGGGGGGAATCTTGCCGTTGCTGCCGCTGCTGGAAGCGCTGCTGCCACTACGGCCTGATGGTGAGAGCCCCCATGAATTGGTACCGCTGTTACCGCGAAGCGTTGACAGCCTGGACAAGCTCGAAGGCAGACCAGTGCGTCCACGTGCCTTCTTAGCCATAATGATCTCGTCGAAGAGCCGGATTTCAGGCTCAGAGGCAAGCTTGATTTCTCTGTCATGGATAAATTCGTTGAATGCTACGGAACTTGATTAGCAGCTGCCGTGACAATGTAAAAGAATGGAACAAAAAACATACCTTGCGTCTCCCGCATCATCGTAACATACTCTTGCTGATCGTAAGGGAGACTCTTGATGAACCCATCCATGTCAAAGGCATACAGCTGGCCACCATTCTTCTGCTGCTTTGAGGGTTTGCCCAGGTATTTGCGGTATGTATACAACAAGCTGGCAAGGCAACGCACAAACGCCGCTCGGACACGGTCGGCGTGGAAAGCTTCGGTACACACCAGAGATACGAAGCCCAGGCATCTACCGTGAGCCACGGTCTTACAGGCACCGCACTTGTAGAATCCATCGCCTTCAGATCTCTCTTCGCAGATTGTGCAGACGGATGCGGTGTCCTTGGGGTTCCAGTTGAAGCAGTGTCCCTCTACCCAGACCGTCGTATCAGTGTTACTGACTGGCTGAATCTGCATGTTGGGCATAATAGTTGAGGCCGCCAAAGTCGAGGCCGCGTACGTCGATGGAGCATAACCTCCTCCAAAAGAAGACTGAGAATCCAAAGTTGAGATGGATAGATTTGTCTGATGGCCGTTGAGGAAGGGCAGGCTAGGCCGGTGGACGGGCTGGTACTTGTCGACGCCAAAAGAGGAGCTTCGTCGGCCCTTGTCTTCTCCAAAATGCCCAGATCGCTTCTCCCGAAGCGTTGCGGTCAAGGCGAACCCTGAATCACTGCGTGAGACCGGAGTGGACGGCATGGGAGGGAATTTCATGGAAACTGGAGATACGGAGGATTGAGGGCTGGTGTGATTCGACTTGCTCGTCCCGGGTCGATCAGATTTACCTGTGTCCACCATAGACACAGAAAATCCGTTAAAGACTGGGGGTAATAGCTCAGTTGGGGGGTCGGGATCCGCGAAGCTAGACGAATTCTGAGACACCCATTTGCCGAGAGTCGACGGCGGAGCAACGCTTGTGAACAGAGATGCGTTTTCCGATGAAAAGGAATCATACGGGAAAGCCTCCATTGCGTAAGGGGGAGGCCCTGTGGTAACACCGTATCGAAGCTTATGCGGAGCCGCAACCTGCAGCAAAGACATCAGCTTCCTACGATGCTGTCGAGGTAAACGGTTAGGCTGCGACGTAGCATCGATAGTGTCCTTGTCGAGATCAACCAGGACATAATCATCATCAGGGAGATCAATTCGCTCATAACGGCGCTCCACGCCAACAATATATGGGCAAGGAGCATCAAGAGCAGAGATCAACCTGGCGGGCAGTATAGGGATAAAGATGCTTGCCCATTTCAGAGGGTACAGAAGGTTTGCGAGAGCATGGCAGGCCAAGTGCAGCATGCTGGTGTGAGAGGAGAGGAAGATGATGCGAGATTCAGACATGGCGTATTCAAACAGAGCCACAATGTTCTCGAGGGAGAGGCATCTGAACAGAGCGTATATGTCAATGGTCCTAGAACCGGGAATCTCGTTGGCCGCTTCTTTGCGGGAGAAGAGGCGCAGTTCCCGTACGCCAATCTCGACTTGAGTTTTGGAGCCCAGTGGGCTAAAAGCCTCAGTACAAAGATTGACAACATATTGTTCCAAAGGCTGCCATCGGCCGACTTTGGGGGAGCTTGGAGGGATCCTGAGGACGGCGCCGTCGGTCATGGGAACAACAATCGCCTTGAGCCATTCTTTCCAGAATGCCATGTTTGCAGGATCTCTGCCCAGAATACCATACGCGCGTGGGGCCCAGAGACCTGTCTCGCCAGTTGTAAGGCCCTCAATTCTAGAGGCGGCACCGTGTCTCAGGGGCCTAAGCATGTCTGTCATGAGGGTAATCTTTTCCTCGACACCGCCGATCTCATCCTCGAGCCTATCGCGGGCCGGGGTGCCTGAGGGAATTGTCCCAAGCTTAGCCAAGAGCTGCGACAAGTGCGATCGCTCGCTGGCGAGGCGCACACCCAGGCTGGCGGCCAGCTCCCGCTCCTCGTTGGACATGTGGCTCTGTCGCCAGTCCTCGCATTTGTTCTCCACCACCTCGGCCACATCGGCAGGCAGTGCTGTCCACACAATGAGTGTAATGCCGTACAACTTGGAATTGTCGTCGGATGTCATTGTGAAGCCATGCCAGGTAGACCTCGGCCGATCATCGGACGAGACAATCTGAACATCGTTGGGGAAGGCGAACATGGGCACATAATCGGGGAACTTTCCTCGTCGAGCGACCTCGTCGGTAGCAGTCTTGGGTGGGTACCGGTCCAGGAGCATAGGCTCGAAGCGTCTCTTGAGGGGATGCATATCGGGATCGGTATTCAAAGGCTCGGGAGGGGGGATCACCGAGTTGTAGTTACTAAGTCGTCTCGTGGTCCTTATTGAAGCTATGACAGAGTCTTAGTTAGACATGATCTTCAAGTTATACACGGCAGGTGAGAAAGGGAAGGGGAAAGGCACTCACGAGCTCTTTGTGACATGGGTCTGGCAACGCTGGGCTGCTTCCGCAGGCTGTTCATATCCCTAAAGCTGATCTTGCGGCGGATGCTACCCTTAATGCTCCTCAGAGGACTGACCCTTCCGCTGGGTTCAGCCTCGTCGGCACGAATGCGCTCAGCCCGAGGGTTGACCATGGGCGCTCGTGCCTGTGTTTTCGCACCAGCACTGAAGGAAAGATCCTCGAGGAAATTCTCCCTCTCTGCAGCGAACTTCAGAAGTGCCTTGTCGAAATCAAAGTCCCCCATAAGGCCCAAGAATTCGCCCATCGAACCGCCATTGTTGATGCCATCCCCGTTAGGGATGCCGCTGCCATTGCCAATGCCTGGCCTGGCCTTTATAGTGGCACTGCTCCTGTTGCTCCTTGTGTTGCCATCATCCTCCTCGATGGTCTGAACAGAATTTCGGCCGTCCAAAGAGAGCTTGGAGAAGCGGTTGGCAGAATTCTGGCGAGAGTGGCGGGCGGCGCTTGGCTTGGTGTGGTTGCTAGCAGCGTCCTCCTCATCCTCGGGCTCTCCATCCTCGACGATGGTAGTCGTCTCGGTGGAATGGGTCACTGGCGGCAAGGACTCATCGTAAATCACCGCCTCTATGCCGGCGATCCAGAAGTATTCCGCCAGGGGAGTCGATGAGCCCTCCATGTCATGTCAAGTAGTTCACCCCCTTACCGTCAGATACGGCGATTGATGCTTCGACAAATGTGCAGTTGCAGCCCCTCAGTGGCCTTGCACTTTTGGTTTGGCTTGTCTCTGTCTCCAGTGCCAACGCCCAATATTTTTTGATTTTTCCTTTTCGTCTCGGCCCAGGAACGTGCAGTCGGTGAACGGCGCGTGGCACGTTGAATGCTGCAAGAAAGTCAGTAGGGGCACGCAGGACAGGGGCATGGAGCCTGTTTGACGGTAGGTGGCATCGCTGCCGCCACCAAAGCTGTGAAACAGCTACGCACCGAGACACAGGCAAGGACGCTGCCTCCTATTTCTATTGATTATGCCGTACGGCTTAATTCAGGGAGAAGAAAAGCGACAAAAGGGCGAGGTCGACCTGGAGAAGAATTGTCGTGAAATTGGACTGGGGGGGAAAAGGCGCCGTGGGAGGGGGGGTTTCGTGAGCCCCTTTGGTCTTTGGTGCTGCAGAGCTTCGATGCCTCGACGTCGATTGTTTTCCAGGATGCTCCTGGTCCCGCAAGCGATTCAAACGCCACAGGTCAGCACTGGATTGCCAGCTCTGGTCGACCCGGCGAACGAATGCATTCGCAGTGCAACAGAAGGATTCTGCTGGAGCGGTGCGCAGTGCAGAGAGCGGACTGCGGAATGCGAACTGCGAAAGACTCGAGGGGATTAAGGTGGTCTCGAAAGGGGAGGAAAAGGGTCGCGCAAAGCCCCCGGCATGGCTATGGGGCAGAGGTACAGGTACGGGTGTCCATACAGGCACTACAGTGGGCTTGTAGGGACTGGCCTGGGGGAGTTTGGGGGCGCCAGCCGGTTTGGCACCGATCTGCGCCGGCGCTTGTTGCAGCCATCGACAAGCGAAAAAAGGTGCAGCCAGGGAATCGCAGGTACCGCTACCTTGCGTCCAGTGCAGCAGCTGCCCCGTGCAAGCCAGAAACAACAGGACTTTCAAGCTCCCTTCGTTTATGGCTGTGCTTTGCTCAGTAAATAATATCGCATCCCACCCGTTTCATGCCAGAGCCAATGGAGGGCTATCACTGGACATCGCTGGCTTTAGCCGCATCAAATGGCTGCCATCCTTTTTACGATCCCAAGCAACAAACGATTCTTCAAGCACCTGTAATCTGTAAAGGTGCGAGGCTTGCAGGGGTCTGGCTTAAGGTACAGGTACAGTTACGGAGTGCTGGATCCAAACGGTACTAAAATGGCAAAACCTGTAAGGTACCAGGTACTAGCCGTAGCGTTGCGAGTTGCGGAAGCAAGCCACCCCGTCGAGCCGTATAGCAGCCAACACTTCAAGGGAATCAACGGCTCTCCAAGGCGCTGGGTAGTCTCTACATCGGCGAAAAGTACAAGATATGGGACTGCAAAGAATGATGGCTGCATTCATGGCACTAAACTCCAGCCCGGCTTGAGAGACGAAAACTTGCATCCCAAGTATTCAAGTACCAGTACAGATGGAAGGAATGCTTGCAGGTCGCGTTCCGCTGCCCTCGCTCACCTACTAGTTTGGGCTTCCACGCACGGGTCACGCATCTCGCAGAAGCAGCGGCAGAAATAGCATTGATGGAGCAGCCACAGGGATTAAGCAAACATTAGCACTTGTAAGCATTATAATTGGGTGCTGCCGGGTTTGGCAGTAGGAGGTACTGTACTTGGTCGAGAGGAGGCTGATTCTCTCGCTGGTAGGGGTAGGTACCTGCATGTTGGTTCTTGTACACCCAACTCCGTTATTCGTACTGGTGCTGATGGGAAACGTCCACGGATTACAGACCCAGGGATCCAAATCAGTCACCGTGCATCGTCTTCCGGACCTGTTGGTCAGTCGCATCAGTGCTCCGGCATGGCCGTCTTTGCATTTGTATCGGGTGCAGGACGGCGGCAGGCGATGACGTTTTCTCGTACTCACAATCAATACGTCTAGGATCGGGGTGTTAAACAGCGTTCAATGTCATATTCGACGTCAGCAGGAGAGTCGAGAAACTAACCGACTGCAGGATCTATGCCCACCTGGTGTCTTATACCTGTTGCAGGGCGTTATACGAAGCTGAAGACAACCAAGACCGCCAGTTCGGAGCAGATTATCAAGATGTTGAACGACTACGTGTACCTTTGGTGAACAGGTACCTAGAGGTACAGTTACAATTACGTTACAAGACATCTTCCTTGGGTACAAGTAAGGCACTGAGAAGGCGTGCTAATGCATGCGGGTTAGAGAAGAGGATGGGCATGGAAAGATACAAGTCACAAAGGAGAAGACCTCGAGGTTTCCGCTCCTACAACAAGTACTGTATCCAGTGCTTGGTACAAATACCTTCAGGCTGCTAAGGCGCCCTACAAATTGCAGTGCAGTTGAGGTTAGGTTCAGAGGTGCCATTTTTACCTCTTCCATCATCTCCAGCCGTCCCCGAAACAAACGGCCGGCATTGATCTCTCTTCACCCGGACAGGCAGCGGAAACATTGCCGGCCCTAAGCTCATACTATCGATGTCCAGGCAGCCTGTGCTAAGCTGATTCGAGATGCTGCTAGGTTAGTAGCTGGCGTAGCACAAGGTCATGTTGATATGCAAAAAATCGACAGCATGCTAATAATTCCCAAGCGCAATCGCCACAGTGTACTGCAGACTTGAATACAGAATCGGACGGCCAGTCGTTGGGCAGTCCCCGGTCAACTAAGAGACGGCTATCGGGAGGTGTGTCTACCAGTGCAGTTGTGCGCTGGTCGACTGGTAAGCAGCAATCCTCTTACAGTCCCCCCAGAATTGAAAGGGTGATCCGAGAGCCAATCTCGAGCTCCATAATCGATGCTCCATGACTTGCATGCCTCATGTATGCGCATGTACAAGTACGGAGTAAGCTGCTGTGGACACTCCGTGGACTAGCACAACTCCGCCTCCTCTCAGAACAAGAGGCATGGCAACCACGCTCAATCAGACGGCAGAGACGATCAACAGGTTATGGAACATGCATCATCTACACGTGTGAGTTCTTGGGACAGCACAATCGCCTCTTCCCGCGCCGTACGATACGCTCCCTCACTCGTGCCTCTTGAGAGATGCAGACAAGCTTCCAGAACCAGAGACGGCATCCCTCTCCCAAACTCTAGGAACCAGGCACCAAATCCAGCAACCCAAGGCGTCAGGGATACCCCTGGCACAGCTAGGGCGGTAGGCGCGCCTCGCGTCAACTGGCTCGTCGTCGGCCTTCTTCCTCTAGCGGCGGCTGATGACTCCTGGGGGTGCTTGTAATATTTCGTACTTGTGCGGTACAGGATTATGATTGATCGATAATAAGATGGGCTTCTCTTCTCACCGCAATCGCTCTGCTCTGCAGCCATCGTGAGTGGCTTTGAGCAGTACTCCTCCCTGCAGGCGATATCTGCGCACAGTCGCGAAGCGCAAGGGGGGGGAAACTGATAAAAGGTACTCCGATTGACAGAATGCTACCAGTTACAAGTCCGTATCTATGCAGCAGAGACCTCCTGTCGCCACTGAGATGCAGGTACAGCCACGCACGCGAGCGACAGCACCAAGCACTCGGACGACGCACATGGAAGCAAGCAACCCAAAGCCCAACTTTAGCGGTCTCCAACTAGCCCCTGGACAAGGTTGTTTGGCTCCGGCTGGGAAGCAGAAGCACGGGCCTTGGGAAGCAAGTGCTGCGCGAGTTCGCACTAAGGAGAACTAATATGGGATATGGGCGGAGGACTTCGTATACGGGACAAGATTCGTCTCCATGGAATTGGGATACGGAGCACGTTGACATATGAGGGGAGGACCCCTTTCTCCTCGAGCTGGCTAAATGGCTGGATACAGCTAGCTTTTGCTCTTGAACCGTCTTTCCGTCTTCGCCGCTCGAATCTTGTTTCCCCCCTTGGGAATCCTTCATCACCGACTCCCTCTGAGGCTTGACCAACTCCAGACCGAGCAGCGACGCTGGTGATATGTTACAGCCCATCTAGGAACCTTTTTTGTGGTGCAAGTACGAGTACATTCTTCGAACATACAGGGGATGGCCACCCTTTTGCAGATTCAGCAGCCTACTTGGACAAATTGGTACAACTGGAAGAAAGCAGCTGCAGGCCGTTTCAGGACACCCCACATATGATGTGTCACGATCTTAGCCAGCCACCCACTTGGACTGCTCAATCCAAATTGAACCCTTGCTTCGTGATCAACCTGGATCACGGAATGTTATCGACGGTGACTGCAATCACGGATCATTGCGGATATCACCAGAACTCATATCATCACGACAGGCCCCTTTAATGACCAGCAGGTGAATCAAGTTATCAGCTACGAGTATCACTGATCATAAGCTACTCCAGAAAAAATCTACATGTTCGTACTTGCAACTTGCAAATCCTACAAAAGACCCCTCCAATTCATCCAACCAACGCCGCCAAGGGACCAAGCAATCATGTAACGCCACGCTTCTCAGCAGCTCCTACGTCAAGTCTTCAACCGGCCCAATTCGTTATGGAAGGCCGAACGCCGATCACATTTAATCATTTTTCTGTCGATCGTCTTCTTCAACTCGGCGCATTTGTACCCGATTGGCGGCTTCATACCACTCCGATCTGAATTGATGGCCTCAATTCAACCTTTCGAGTCTCCCTAATACTGAATGCCATCACTCCTGGTTATCTTGTTGCTACTATTTATCATCTTGAATGTCTCCAGATCGCCGTATAATCCTCATTGGGCTTCAACAAACCCTTCACATAACTATTTGATCAGCTACCCCATGCTCATCCATCGTCTTCCATTCAGCTGTAAGAATAAATTCAAGAAAATACTCCGAACTCCATATTCATTACTACCTACCTATCGTGCTACTAGTCCCTCCTTGTAAGGCACTATTTCACCCCTTAAATGTTGCAAGGGGGAGAGAAGGGACTGAGATGTGATACTGCCACTTCGTACATACGGAGTCTCAGGCAAGGAAAATCGGTTTGCATTTTGAGTGGCCATTTCTCAACTTGTAAGAACTCGTATGATATGCGTCGTCAGCATCGGGCCACATGGCCTTGCATACACGACGTCTTTGCCTATTAATAGATGGGCTCGTAATACTACTTGGTAGTGAGTACTTACTGTAACACTGGCGGGCGTATCCCTGAAATCATGAATAGCCCTGGAGGTGTTTTAGGTTAGCAGCTAGCGTTGGGTTTGGAGCGAATTGGGAAACGCCAGTAATAACAGACTCTGCTTGACGGATATCAAGCTGCATACATGTAATCGCGGCCAATTGACTACTCTATAACAGTAAAATTTATTTCACGATGCTCTGGATATACCGCTGTGAATATCTTCCCCCATGTCCTATACCGCCAAGCGTATACAACCCAGATAGATTAGTAACTAACCATCTCTCCTCTATTTTCATAAGATAAGACGTCCAGTCTTTGTAGCACAGAATCCTGCCAAGTAACACTCATAAAGTCCCTATCAATTACAGTCGTACTTGTGCGAAAAACAGAGCGGAAACGCACACCCGTATGCTGTGCTTCGTAACCATCGGCTCTTGACTTTCTGTGATCCAGTGTCCTCGTATCCTAGCACGGCAGACGGCCGTCAGACCGGGCCATCGGGCTCTCATTGCCCCCCTGTACTCCGTGCTTGGTCGTGGCTTGGCCCCCTCCTTCGTGAATCGTAAATCGTGTATCGTGATGCCTCTCCACCCCCTTGCTCAAGTACATGTCTATGGAACACCATGCACTGCGCCCAGCCACGCTATCAACTCATGTTCGGTAGCCGAGTTGACGCTGGTCTGGTCCGTAAATCGAAACGTCTAGACAAACGCTTTGTAATAGCCCTTGGCCTGAATCTCCTCTGTGTCAACGAACAGCTTTTCCAGCTCCCTTTGCCTCTCATCGAACGGCAACCCGAGCACCAAGCTTGCCTGTTGACAAAAACCCGCGGCATCCCATCTCGCCCCTCCACCCAATGCCCAATACACCAAAGATCATTCTTCCGTCCGCCGTCAGCCGTGGGCCATTGTCTGCACCCTTCTCCTGCACCAGGAAGCAAACCTGCTCAATCTCGCCCGGGTGCAACACCGGCTTCTTGTCCCCGTCCGAGCTCCAGTTGCAGTCGTGATAGCCCAGGCCCTCCTCCGTGTCCAGCACCACTTTTTCAAGCTGTATCACGTCCTCGCTGCAGTTTTCGAGCTGCGCCTCGAGGATCCATTTCTTGATGTTGCTCGTATCCGAGTTGAGGCTGCTGACCTTGGTCCTCACGATCAAGGACGCCTTGCATATAAACTGATATAGCTTCCTAAAGGTCCGCGTCCGCCCACTCGTCTCCGTAGCCTCAGAGTAGCTCACCGTCACGGCCAACACATGATTGCCTTCTTCCTTTAAATCAAAGCCAACAATCTTCTGTAGCGTTCCTCCCGGCTCAAGATCCACCCCTCCTGCGGGCGCCGCACCGTGTATGTTCGCAGGACCGAGTTCAAGCTTCTGGGTGCCTCCCAGGCCAGGGGTCTTCATCTCAGCCTCGATGCGAACATCACGTATGCGCTTCGCCGCATCAGGGGGGAGATCATTGTTGGCGCAAAGGGTGCAGCTAAACGTTTCGCCCACGTAGGCCGAGCCGAACGATACCGGCAGGTTGAGGATCGGGCTGAGCAGGAAAGGCTCTGGGTTCGTATTTGAGCCAGAGTATGCGAGTGAGGCGGGTGCCGGCTGCGATTTGGTGTTGGGAGGAGAGAATGGAGGATCTATCGGATACTGCGTTACGAGCGATGGCTGAGAGAGCCTGGCAATTGTCTAGGTGAGGAGCGATCCACTCAATTGACAAGCGTTGGATGCGTACCTGAGCACTTTGACAGAGACCGAGTGCGGCTCCTTTATAGGATCGTGAGAAGGATACGCTTGATGGCTCATTTCTCGCCTGGTTGCTTTATACTTGTCGGTTTATGAATGTTTGGGAGGTCAGAATCAGGACAGGCGACCACGGAGGCGGGACACCTTACGCAGCTGCCGCTGAGCTCCTTATCGATAAAACGCTAACACACTATTCTTAGCACTCTAGCGTCTGTAACTTATAGCGGGGTCCCCCGTAATAGACTCTAGGCGTCTCTTTTGGACCCTTGACCAAACCAAGGAGTGTATTCAGAGAGTCTTATGTCTGAAATTCGCCATTGTATCTTGTGAACGTTCACAAATGAATAGATATAACCATTTTGTGTATATGCAACTCATGTAAAGTCTAATATGTTGCGTAAAATATTGTCCTAGAGAAGTCGAGGAAGCAGAAGTAGGTATGTACCTGAAATTGTTATTAGTGCCTTGTACTCCGTACGTCCCTCGATTGATGATCGCCCGTCTCCAACCTCCGATAGCCGGTCATGCGAGATTTCCTCTTTAATCCTACCTCCCTACTCAATTGTTTATGCGTTCTCATTATATGAAATTGTTTGTGTGAAAGCTACTCATTACAAAGACTTGGTACCTCGCTCAGCAAAAGAGGGAGGCATTCGTTCCTCACTTGGCATCCTTGTGTAGTTCACGTATTGGGCCGAATCGCCCTTATGATACCCTCAGCATCATCAAGACCTTTTATCAACATGGCAAAGCCAAATTTACTTCTCTGCTTCGATGCCTTTGGCACATTATTCAGCCCCAAAGGCGCAGTCGCCCAACAATACGCCGAAGTTGCACGACAATGCGGCATCACCGAGTTTAGCGACAACGAGCTTCAATCTCGGTTACTGGCAGCCATCAAAGAGGAAAGGGAGCAGAACCCAAATTACGGCAAAGCAACTGGACTGGGAGCCACAAAGTGGTGGACAAATGCAAGCGGACCCCATGCCATTATTTGTGAAAAACAGTCATTCTAACATTTGTCTAGGTCATTCACAAGACATTTACGCCTCTTATTCGCAGCGATCAGGCGCTTCCCCCTACTCTGGTTCCGAAACTGATGCATAGGTTCTCTTCAAGTGAAGGCTACGATGCCCAGCACGATCTCGTCCCTGCGTTAAAGGCATTACGACATGAGAAATCACTGCAGGGCTTTGACAAGGTTGTCATTGGCGTAGTCACCAATTCCGATGACCGAGTTCCAAGCATTCTTTCTTCTTTTGGACTTAACGTTAGTCCGGCGCGGTACGGCTCAGAAGACCAAATGGACGTGAACCACGAGGACCGATATGACATCGACTTTCATTGTATGTCTTATGATGTCGGCGTGGAGAAGCCGGACACGCGGATCTTCAACGCTGCCGAGCTCATGCTGTCCCGTATCATCGCTGCTCGACACGGCAAGGCTCCTGCTGAAGCCGACTTGCAGAGTTGGCAGAAAGTGTACGTCGGCGATGAGTACGCCAAGGATGTCGTCGGGTCAACTGATGCAGGATGGAATCCTGTGTTACTCGATGTTGCTGGGACTTCTACTCAAGTAACCAGCTTGGAGGATTGTCCACCGCAGGCTCTCCAAGATCTTTTCAAGCAACATGCCGTTGTCAGGGTCCGATCGATACGAGGGCTAGCCTCTTGGCTCACGGGGAGGGAGTGGGAAGCAAAATAGAAGGTCCCAGAGATAAATCATACTACGGATATCCCTCACTGTACACGCCACTCTTAAGATAATATCGACTACAAAGATTAAGTGCGTATAATCTGCTATAAGCTATGGTTTTGAGCTTAGCTTCATACAATGCAAATCACTACTTCGACCATCACGTTAAACATACTTTCTAAAAACCACTGCCATTTACTCTGGTCCTGGTTAATGTCTACAGCCTGTGCTTGTCAGCAGTCAAGACTTCTCACACAAGACCAAACACTTTTCCTGTTTGCACAACAGTTATCAACAACGAAAGATAATGGTCTCGTTCAGACCATCTCCCTACCACTGGATTATGTCTAAATTCAAATTCTGGACTTGTCAGTTAAATCCTTGTTACCAAACCTAAGAAATTTGTTCGGTGCGTTTGAACCAGCAGTTCTGCGCTTCCCCCAAGCCATTCGTGTACGAGATCTGTAGCCCCCTGTTGTCAACCATGCATAGTACAAAGTCAGCATAACAAAACGAGTAGCGAGCTCTTATGTCAGTCATGGAGACGTATTCCCTTAAAGCCCGGGAGGGGGTGGGACCTAAATTGGGTTGGTAAGTAACTAGTGACGGGTATGGGGGGGTTAGGGTGAGACAGGATATGAATTTACTTACAGCGCTGAAGCTTCCACCAGGAGGAGGAGGCCCGGATGGTGGTGGAGGAGGTGGTGCAGAGCTTGGGGGAGGGGGAGGAGGAGGAGCCGCTTCGGCAGGGGGAGGAGGCGGCGGCGGAGAAGCGGATTGACCTGGGGCTCCTGCAGCATGTGAGCTCTGACCGGGTGCTTGAGTCTGACCTCCATAATACTGTTGATACAAGGCGACATAGCTGTCAAATGTTAGCCATTTTGCGAGGACTCGCTTCATAGAGGGCTGAATTACTTAGCATATCCTCCCCAGGCAGCGTAGGGATCAGCGCCGTTGTAATATTGAGCATACTGTGCGGCATAGTCGGCGGCATTTGGAGTGGCGTTGGCTGCCGGAGCAGGGCTGTTGGTTGCGCCGCTATCTGAGTTATATCTGTTGTACGAAGAGTATGAGTTGTTGTGGGAGCCACCATGCGACCTGTCGTGGGATCCCCGGTGGTGATGATCACCATATCCGCCACGGTCATTATTGTAGCGAGGTGGCCGGGCCCTGAATTCCTCATACTGTTCCTTGACATTGGCAATCAAGTCTTCGCAAAGCTCTTTGGCCTTGGTAACCATATTTGGGTCCGGTCCGCTGTGGATTTCAAGTCAATAAGGCAGATCAAAGAAGAGAGGCGGTTTCCATTCTGGATACATACGTGACATGGAGGAACATGGCTTCATCGCTTTCATGGTTAGTAGACGCTTCAAGGTAGCCCGAGCCTCGGCCTTTGATTTGAACACGGCATCCGGTTTCTTGCTGGATATGCTTCACATAGGCACCGCCGTGACCGACTACTTGAGCACGGAGGTTGAAGCCATGAACAGGCTCAAGGTCAATGGGAATCTTCTCCTCGGGCCATTTCCTCTATAAGACAGTGTTAGATGCAAAGGGATTAATCAATGATTTTGGGGAATCTCATACTCGTCCATATTCGTCTCGTTCAACTTGGGGCTGCTGCTCCTGGTCTCGACGCCGAAATCGCCGCTCATCAACCAGTTGAGGAAGCTCTTGCTTGATGAGATCATTAATTTTCGCCACGGCAGCTTCAAGCCCTTCCTTAGATGTACTCGTAATATGAAGATATAGAGGGGGGTTCTATTTTCGACATCAAGGCAAGTCTGCAGTTAGTAACGAGCATTGAGTGAAGCAGCAAAGTGGGCATGTCATCTTACCGCTGCGGTTGCCATGCTCTTGTTGGGGTAGTAGCTGCCACGAGTCGTAACGTCTAGCAAATACAAGTCAACACCGTCATTCTACATTTTAGTTTAGCCAAGGATGAATGCATACCGGCGCCAGTATCATTTCGGATCTAGTACGGCATCTTGTTAGCGAGAGCGAAAAGGGGAGAGGGCATTTGCGAGCCGTCAACTTTGTGGCTTTAGTGCTCACGATCGTGGTGCCGTGGACATCAAGCTGGCAAAAGCAGCGGCGAAGGAAGTGCAGTAGTGATTTGAGGATTGGTTACCATTTCTTGGGTAGAGCCCTTGGTGAGCAGGTATCGGTTTCGCAAGTCGTTGACCTCGATGTCTTGGATGTAGTCGCCATCGGCAACATACATCTCAGGCTTCATCTCATGTTCGCCTGATGCTGCAGACTCTCCGCTAGCAGACTTGATCGGCGGGACGTCGACATGCTGAGGAGCTTTTCGTGCTTGCAACTGGGCGTTGATCTTGGCAGCAGCAGCGGCTATTTACAAAATTAGCTGGACGCTGTCGCAAAGTCACGAGAATTTGCGCCTCGACAGATTAGGGTCTCAGGACGTACCAGCAGCCGCGGCGGCGTCTACCGGGGGCTTCTTTGTCTCGGAATCATCCTCCTTGGAAAGGGGACTGCGATCTCTCCCTTCATGGCGGCGCGTGGGTGGGGATCGAGAGCGCCTGTCAAATCTCGAGGCTCGCCTGGGCTCAGGCTCCGTCTGGTCGAAACGAGAACGTTTGGGTCGCCGCTCGGAGTCCTCCATCGTGTCGCGCACAAAGAAAGTCGTTTGCAAATCAATGGCGGTTATGATTCGGCCGCTAGGTTGAGAGGCTGCGGGAAGCTGCAGAACGGCCGGGGTTGTGTCGTATGCGGTTAAGAAAAAAATCAGATGAGCGATGCAAGGCTGCAAGGCGCGAGAGCTCGCGACGTGCGTGGATCAGCAGCAATTTTAACTTTAGGTAAGGCACTCCGTATGCCGTACTTGGTTACTTTAGGCTGGATGCAGAGCGACCAGGCGTGGTTAGCCTCGTGGGCGATGCGACTCGTAAAACCGCATCGGAAAAATGTACTCGCGACCTTGGAGGGCGCCTTATGTAATGCAGCTTGAGTTAAAGTTGAACTGGGGAAAAGCGATCTGTGAATTGGTTGTAAAGTCTGCGGTGTCGGAGCTTCACAGGCTCAAGGGTCTTGACAGCGGTGCTCCACCACAGAACAAAGACTCTGCTGTTTGTACTGGGATCTGTGGTAAGAGTCATTGGTGAATGCATCCAGCAGCCATTCACGTGTCACTACAGCCCCAAGAGTCGCAGCATGTTACAGCATGGCATAAAGTGAAATCGAGCCACGGATTTGAGCGGCAAATGTACATGTAGTCACCCAGCAGGCGCTCTTACGTGAGGCTGCTGCAGGGTCTCGGCTGTTCACTGGGGGCCGTCCCAACCTCGACTAATAACTGCGAAATCAAGAATCCCTAGAAAGCCAATGGGTTCATAAAAAGCCCAATTGAATAGTCGAGGATATTATCTATTACGAACACCAGACAATTGTTAAAAAAGTGTCTGGTGCTTCCATGAACATTGCGATGGGATCTTACTGCCAGATCGCGGGGAACGAAGAGAATACGCGGGGCAGCCTCTGCCTTCAGCAATTGGTAACATTGCCGCGAATTGCCATCCATGGATAGTAATCCCAACCGTCGCAGAATTTCGGTGGCCGAAACCACTACTGCATATGCAAGTTTACTGCCTGTAGTCATCAACGGGAATTGTCGTAGCGTCCATGGGCCAATTACACGTGCAAAGTATAAGTGCCTGTATTAATGTAGCAGCGACCCTGATCCGTGCTAAGCCGCTGCGTCAGTCAACCTCCGGTTCATCGGAGCCCGCCTCCAACTCACTAACTTTTCGACTTGACTTTCCCTTCCTCTTCCTTTTCCTCTTCATTTTCCTCTTCATTGACTCAACATCACGGTCCAATCCACCATCAACTCCATCGCCCGAACTTGCTGTCCTGCAGTGACCGTCTAGAAATCGCTGCAGCATGGCTTCGCTTCGGCCGTTGGGCGCCTCTTTGCGCCTCGCCGCCGCTGCGAGCAGGACGACGGTGCGACACAGCTCGTCCAGCAGCTCGACCTCTGCCATCGCCTACAAGGCTCTGCGACGCCGCTCGGCTCCCCTGCCCACCACTGACTCTCCTCCGGCATGGTCAGCCCAGGCCGCCGTCTCCAACATTCTGTATGAGATGCCCACGCCGTCCATGGCGCCCCCGAAGCGTCACATCCTCAACTGTCTGGTCCAGAACGAGCCTGGTGTGCTGTCTCGTCTTTCGGGTATTCTCGCCGCTCGAGGCTTCAACATTGACTCGCTGGTCGTGTGCAACACCGAAGTGGAAAACCTGTCCCGTATGACCATTGTCCTGACTGGTCAGGACGGCGTTGTCGAGCAGGCCAGACGTCAATTGGAAGATCTGGTGCCTGTCTGGGCCGTCTTGGACTACAGCAATGCTGCTCTGGTCCAGCGTGAGCTGCTCCTCGCCAAGGTCAACATTCTTGGACCCGAGTTCTTTGAGGAACTGCTGGCCCACCACCGCGAGATGAGCAACGGCGAGGTAGAGGGCAGCGAGTTTGAGCGAACACTTGAGGAATCGGCCAAGGACTTCCACCCTAGCAAGCTGGCTGCCAGTGAGGCCCTCCGACACAAGCACGAGCACTTGAAGACCATCACCTACTTTACGCACCAGTTTGGAGGCAAGGTGTTGGATATTAGTACTACGAGCTGCATCGTTGAGGTGTAAGTCCTGCGTATCCCCGGAACACCTGTTGGTATTGTGCTCTTGTACTGACTACATTATAACAGTTCTGCCAAGCAGTCGAGAATCGATTCATTTTTGAAGCTTGTTGCTCCCTTTGGAATCCTCGAGTCTGCCCGTACCGGTCTGATGGCCCTGCCCAGATCACCCCTGTATGAGCATACCGAAGAGCCTCTTCACAAGGATGCTGAAGAGGTTGTTGATGCCAGCCAGCTTCCTCCCGGTTAAAAGCACTTTTTTTTCTTATTATTCTTGCGAGCTTGTATGTAGCTAGGGTCTTTGGACACTTGGCGTCTGGTGGGGAAAGGATCGTTGGTTTAGCAATGTTATGAATTCAATTTTACTGCCTGTGTGTTGCGTGCATACATCCAAATTCACCATTTTGATAACTCCTCCTAAATCACACAAGTTGAGCCTGTTACTCAAGGACGCCCTTATTTACAACAAATCCTTCCAACGCCGCTGTGAGAAGAGACAACAAGTTAGCTCTATATCGTCCATGTATGAGTAGTAGTAGCCGTAGACTGAAACTTACCAACAGCGGCCCAAAGTCGGTTCTCTGCTTCGGGGAAGACAAGAGACCTGGGACTGTAAAACACCTCGTCCGCAACTTCCTCTGGGTGTCGAGGCAAGCAGTGCATGAACTTCCAGCCATCTTTGGCGCCGCCTCGCTTCGCCAGTTCGTTTGTGATCTGGTAGCCGGCGAAAGCCTTGAGCCTCTTCTGCTTCTCGGCCTCTTGTCCCATGGAGATCCACGTGTCAGTCACCAGAATGTCGGCATTCTTAATGGCCTCCTCTGGAATGGTTGTCTCTGAGAGCTTGCCGGGCGACTGCACGCCGTTGGCGGCCGAGTTGATGAGCTGCCTCATGTGATCGGGGATGCCATAGCCCTGGGGCGAGGCGACGGCGATGTCGACTCCTGTCTTGACACAGCCAATGGCAAGGTCGAAGAGCACGTTGTTGGAGTCACCCACCCAAGCAACTTTGAGGCCGTTGAGGTCGAGGGTGTTGTTACTTGACAGAGAAGATGGGAAGGCCTCGTAGATGGTGAGAAAATCGGCAATGGTCTGCAGCGGGTGGAAATCGTCTGAGAGCGCATTGATAACAGGCACAGTCGAGTGCTCCGCCAAACCGGTAACGTCTGAGTGAGGACCAACTCGGGCTACCATGCAGGACGTCATTGATGAGATGACAACAGAAGTATCATACAGCGACTCATTGACCTGTACACGGCATTTAGCAATGAGTTATCATGACAAGGGCTATCGGGAAGAACAAACGCCAAGTTGAATGTCGTCCTTGCCCAGAAACATGGGATGCCCGCCGAGCATCGTCACCGCCGCCTCGGTCGACACTCGCGTCCTCGTGCTTCGTTTGCTAAACATCATGGCGACTGTCTCACCGGCCAAGCCGCCGCTCAACCGGGACACGCGACCGGACTTGACATCCTGTTTCCGAGCAGCGGCATTGCGCACCAGAGAAGAGAATTCTGAGGGCGTGAGGTCACTGATGGACATGAGATGCCTGGGCTTGGCAGCCTGTGAGTAGGCACGTCTCTGGAAGCCATTGACCGCGCCCCGGAATGCTCGCGCCGCTACTGTCTTCATGATTCTTTTTTATTGTGGTTGTGTAGCAGCTTTGAACAAAGTTTGCTTTAGCTTTCGTGTTCCGAGTTGCGATTGCGGGATGGGAAAATTACCAATTGGAATTATAAGGTGAGGTGGAAGCAATTAATTGAGGCCAACACCGTTGTTGGATTTACAGTTGCTCCTGGAGGGCGGATGTTATGAAAAGTACATGCAGAGTCATGAAGAGCTGTTGAAAGAGTCATCGAGCCGATGAAGCTGGCGAAAGACGGAAATGTGGGGTCGCCGGTTGCAACTATCAAGCTCCACGCCCTAGCGATTTTTTGATAGCAATTAACATGCAAGCACTTGGGGGGTTTCACAAGCCACTATCATACTAAAAAATATGAATCAATAGTGAGATTTATTAGCCAGCACTCCTTGTTACTTATGTAGGTAGTGTAGAGAATTTCATGAAATAAATCTGAGTGTCATTACAGTTGATGCCTATCTGCAGGTAGACCTCATTAGAGAGCTACCAGGCAAATCCTAGATATGTACTCGGGAGACTTGAATTCACGTCAATTGGTTTAAACATACGGCACAGGTAAGAAAGTAATGTAAGTAAGACTAAAAGTTTTATTGTCAATATATGTATCAGCAACTAATTGTTGCTTTATGAACTATATACATGTATTTGCAGAGACGTAAAGCTATGTACTTGGGTATAATAGGCACTCTGCAAGACATTGCGATGTAAATCTCGTGATGCTCATATTCGTTCGACGCCTTACGAGAATTCCATCTCAATGAATGATTTAGTGCAGGTCAGGGTTGACATCGTCAAAGGTGGTGCCAACGGAGATCTCATCGTACCAGACCTGGCGGAAGCTCTGGCTGCCGGTCATGTGGCCATCGTCGTGCCAGCTGTTAGCATACAGACCGACACGGAACTGGAAGACGCTGTCATCATCGACGGTGGTGGCAACGTTGTACTCCTCGTGGACCTTGACACCGTCGAACCAGACCTTGAAGTAACCGGTGTTGTCGGACTTCCAGTTGATCTGGAGGACGATTCGGTGCCACACTCCAGCACTGACTGTGGCAAGGTTGGGGCGGGTGACGATGTTGCGGCCGCAGTTGGGCTGGCGGTAGTGGCCGTTGACGTAGCGGCCGTAGAGCTGGTTGTTCTGGATCCAGAACATGCTGGAGGGCATCCAGTCGTCGCCACCGCAGCCGGCGCCGGGGCGGTTGGCAATGAACTGGGCAATGTTGTAAGACTGAGGCTGGAACTGCCAGTCCTCAGAGAGACGGAAGGCAAAGCCGTAGAATTGCTCCTCGCCGCGGACGTAGCCGCGGTTGTGGTCGACCTCGGAGTGGTAGCGGTCCTTGTAGCCGGGGGTGTAGGTCTGGGTCATCTTGAGAGCAGAGTTGCCCTTGAAGACGACGTTGGAGACCTCGGAGACGGTTCCCTGGTTCTCGTGGCGGACAAAGTCCCAGCCGTTGAGGTGGCCATCGTTGTAGAAGCTGCGGGTGGCGCTGGCCGCAGGCAGGATAGCCAGGACGGCGGCGAAGATGGACTGGATAGCAACCATTTTGGGGGTGATTGTCTCTTTTGATGGGGGTTTGATGTGAAGACCGCGTTGGGAGGAGATGGTTCTCGAGGAAACGATCGACGGACCTGAGGTTACTTATACTTTTGCTCGACTATACGGCTCGTTGAAGGGGACAAGGGGTATGGCATCATTTACGTACATCCACGGGTATAGAAGCTAGGATGCCCTAGCCATGATCACATCTGCCTACCCAGATAGTTAATTTGATAGCAACAATCATGGAAATAGTGTATGATTCGGGATGACAGTAATGGCTAGTTTGAGAGACCTGTCATGTTTTCGGAGAAAAATCCGCCGTTCCAAACGATGTTTCGTTAATAAACTATCCAATATGCTTATGCCATGCCCCTGGACGTGGAGTGTCAAAACGAGAGAATTAACATGATGTTGGTCGGTTGGATCTCGGCGGATCCGCGAGCCAAGACAGCTGATGCATCGCGAAAGCCTGATTAGGTAGGAGATTGATGAACAATGTGGGATAGATCGGGGTTGGGTCAAGCTGTGACTGGTGGATTAAATTATAGAGTAATCCTGGAAATCAGATCTCAATGCAACGCCATGTTCGGTGTATATCACAAGGCTGAGCAATCCATCGTACGGAGCTCACACGTAAACTATCGGCCATCTTGTCTTGTCGAAATGGGCTCGGAGTGGCCGGCTACTCCTAGGTGAAAATCCACCCATGAAACATAGTTTATCCAACTTTACACGATTTTTACTTTAAAGTTTAATGCTAGCAATAGTAATCCGGGATGAGAGTATTAGGAATAGTAGTTTTGCAAGCTAGATGCCATTCGATCAGCCTCACCTTGAAATTTAGTGCTTCTTCGACTCCATAGCAGTGGGTTTAGTGTATTTTGGTGTCCTGACTCTATCCACTCCATGATATACTGCCCGAGCAGTATCTGGAAGGTCATATGGAAGTTCTATTTCCCAGGGTATTCTGCAAGTTCCGCCCTGGTACTAGCTTGTGCTCGTCAGGAGGCCTCGGGTATAGGCTGACGGGCTCCTCATCTGTTCCCGGGAAACGTGTTGCTTTCTCTATCACCCTAGGCAAGACTACCACGTACCAAGACACCGTAGCATTGCTAAAGTGATTGGACCCACTAGAGTAACCATGAAAGTAGAGTAATTTTTAAGTTTAGTTAACCACGAGGCCAGAGCAGTAGAACCATCGTGGAAGCTGGACATTTCACGATGGTACCTGTAGGGGTGTGTTATCGAAGACTCAAACACCATCTTTCGAACAGCGAGAGACGACAACAATGTCATCTTGAGAGAGGGTCAATTATGATCACAATGAGTTTTTTTTCCCTTAATCCAACCTATTGGCTAGTTCTCAAGTCGGGATCAAGGGCAGTGTATTGTCATGTAAGCCCTCCGACCGGGGACTCGGTGTTCTGGGCAGTCAAGACAGACAAAGAACAAAGATATGATGGATGCCTACATGCTTGCACGCAATAGTGTCACCCAAAAGTAGGCAATTATGCAGCTGCGACTCGAATGCAAACATGAGATGTCGTTATGGACTCAGTTCCAGGGGTTGGCGCTAGTGAAGATTACCGAAAGAGGAAGCTCACGATGATCTTGGCACGGAGTCGGGTGTCGGAAATGTTCCTGAAGTCAATGAGAGAGGGGACGAGCTTGCCAATGCCAAGGCTCTTTATGCCCCGTTGGCAAGGTCCTGCATTTATTCGCAAAGAATGATTCCTCCAATCGCATCATGTTGGAGCTTGAAATGAGGAGAGTGGCTTTGGCGTAGCCCATTCATCATGAACTAGTGTTTTAATATGTGAATAGTCCTGGACGTTCGGCTCACATTCAGGAGAAAGCACGGATAGCGTCGACGGTTTCTGGAGATGTGAGAACTGGAAGAGTAAAGCCAAAAAAAAGTCAAATTATATGAAAGCACGTCTTTGAGGTTCTTGAGTCTGAGTTGTTGATTCGTCTGTTGTGCTAAAAGTCGATGACACCTTGACATTAGCCCCACTGTTGTTCTACTAAGAGGCAGACAACTTTCCCATAATACGCCAGTAATACTCCCAAATTACGCCAACACTAGAGTAGTAACAAGTAGTAATATACCTCTATCAACGTCTTAGTAATTGTACTGAATTACCTCCCCTGTCTCGCCATTCTACTATGCCCTCTTAGACACTCGTGTATCAATGAACAAAGCAGAAGGAATAAGAAGTTGCACGGCTCTCTCTAGCTAGCCCTTGCTAGGTCTAGCACCAGCAGCGGAAGCATTAGGAGCGTGACCACACTCCACAAAGCGATTGACAGGTACCTGATGGCGCTGTGCCGTACCTTTACAGAGCGCTAGCCCCTGCACTAGGCTTAGTACAGCGCACCTCTAGGACGCAGTTGGAGCAGCTTTTGTTGGGTGAGACACCGCCAAGGATGGTTGAAGAAGCGTGACTAAGCAGCTCCGGCGGTCGCCACCCAATGAGATCAGCCATCCACGTGCGTCGTCTCCGTTCTGATCCGTACCTGTTCCCACTCCTATCGCTCAATCGTGACGACAACACCAGCTGCCCAATATCTCTACCAACTCTTGGTCATCGTCTCGTCTTAACGCATCAAGCTCGTCTTAGCAGTGGCTATCCCTGCACTCTTTTCCAAACCTCCACTTACAGCAATTATCCGCCTGGGGCCGCCCACCCTTGACACTGCAGAGCTCTGCAGACAGCCTCCAGTGAGAGGTGACGCCTCGCCAGGGGACGCATCATCCAGTGGTCTGCTCGGTCGGACCCAGCACCTGGCTCACCATGCCTAACTTCATGCCCGATTTCCGGGTAGCAATAAGCTTCAAGAAGCCGTTGTCGTCCCGCACCGCCGCCGATGGCACGACACTAGACAACGAGGCGCCGGAGGCATCCGAGACGTCTCCCCTACTCTCATCGGAAGCCGAACACAGGCCTGCGACTGCTACTGAGTCTTCGCCGTTGCTTTCCGACGGTGATCATCAAGAGAGCGAAGAGGATGAAAGCGATAGCCTAAACAGGTCTGCGTCAAAGTCAGAAAGCCGTTGGCGATGGCCCTCCATTATTGCCATACTAATCCTGGCCGCCCTTACCGTGGTGGTCATGGTCCTTGGCTTCCTTGTCCCTCCAGCCGTCAAGTCGTACGCTGAGAATGCTGCCGTCCTCGAGCCAACGGGCTTGTCTCTCGAATCCCTCACTCCAGATGGAGTTCGCGCCCGAATCCAAGCCAGTTTCAAGTTAGATGGCTCACGAGTCAAAGACGATACCGCAAGGCGCCTCGGCAGGCTGGCTACCAGCATTGTCAGGACGCTCGATACCGAAGAGACAAAAGTTCGCGTGCATCTGCCAACCTACGACAACGCCCTCTTGGGATCTGCCGTTGTACCCCCATTGAGCATCAATCTGGTTGATGGGCAGCCTACCGTGCTGGACTTTGTTGCTGATCTCAGCCCTGGAGACGCCGAAAGCTTGCGCCAGATTGCCAATGACTGGTTAGATGGCAAGCTCGAGCAAGTCAAGGTGACGGGATCAGCAGCACTGAGCCTCAAAACTGGCATTCTGCCTCTTGGAACTCACGATATAGTCGAGTCGATGGTCTTTGAAGGTCAATCTCTCTATCGCTCCTTTGCTTTACTGTACTTTGGAGAAAAAACAATATCATAAAAAGTCATTGGCGTATATGTTATTTGGTGCACTGTTTGCTAATTCCATTATAGCTAAGCAAATTCCTTCTATTCCCGAGTACAAGATTGACCGCCTCAACATCCATGATGTTCCTACCGGTGATGGTGGGCGGATGGCCGTTGGTGCGAATGCTTCAATCGTCGCATACAACGACTACCCAGTTGGCCTCACTGTTCCGCAACTTGCATTTGATCTCCTCGTCCCCAACTGTGACTCGTCTGAGCCCCATATTATGGTGGCTACCGCTATTACTGAGCCAATTGATGTGGAGCCGCATGCTAATGTTACTGTTGATGTCGTTGGTCTCATCAATGACATTCCCGATACTCTTACTCGAGCCTGTCCTCTGACCAACATGTCGCCGCTGGATAACTTCTTTAAGCGGTACATGCACGGTGAAGACGCTCAGATTTTCGTCCGAGGACAGGATTCAGACAAGTCTGATATTCCAGAGTGGATTCGATCCTTCCTCAGCAGTGTCACTGTCCCAATTAGCTTTCCGGGACAATCATTTAATGATGCCATTCGAAACCTCTCGCTCACAGATGTCGACTTCAAGCTTCCCAGCCCATTTGCTGATCCCAACGATCCGGATTCGAAAGCTCGCGTGTCTGGAACGGTTGATATTCTTGCCGAGCTTCCTTCTGAGTTGAACGTGGATATTGGTGTCAACAGTCTCCGAGCCAGTGGCGACCTTTTTTACAAGGGCGAGAAATTTGGCGAACTGAACGTGGAACAATGGCAAAAGGCCAACTCGAGCAAGACTATCGACCCTGAGGATGAGAAATCGCTGCTCCGAATCACCTCTAATATCGCCAATGTGCCCCTCGACATTACCGATGGCGACGTCTTCAGCGACGTCATGGGCGAGCTCCTGCTCGGCGGCAAGGACGTCATCCTTGATGTCGAGGCTCGTGTCGACATCAAGGTCTCAACTGTTCTTGGAGACCTTATTCTCAGAGATGTACCCGCAAAGGGCAAGATTCCAGTAAAACGTCTGTCTTCGCCTTGGTGATTTTCATGCGCGGCTAGCTTGTGTTGGTAGCATAACGTGGCTTTTTGAGTTGATGAAAGTACGATTATGGTTACCTCACAAGGCACCCAAGGACGGCTCTGCTAACAAACTGGAACAGAGCTTCCTGGTAAATCGCTTACGGAAATTGAACCACGCGTCTCCAATTTGGTCATTCTGAATACAACAAAGCATGCTGTTCACATGCAAGCGTCGGTCAACATAACGAACCCCACGCCTTATACAGCCTCCATTCCTTCTGCAAACGTCCACGTGTACCACGGGGGGCTGATAATCGGAGAAGTCACTGTCAATCATTTAGAGGTACAGCTGGGCAATAACTCAAACTTGGCCGTCTTGGCCACCTGGGATCCAGTATCTCTGGGTGGAGAGAAGAGCCACAAGGCTGCTGCGAAACTCCTTTCCGACTATCTTTCGGGCAAGAATACAACACTTACATTCAAAACTCATAAAGGTAGCATCCCTGGGATGCCTATCATTGGTGATGCTCTCTCCAAGTTCAACATCTCACTGCCAACGCCCCGGATCAAGCTTCCTGGCGACAAGAGTGGCAAACATCAAGGCAAAAACTTTGTGAGAGATGCCATCTTCCACATTTTCTCCTCCACCGCCTCTTTTAGTCTCGCATCCCCGTTAAAGCAAAACGTTATACACATTGAGAAGATAAACGCTACAGCATATTACAATCATACAGAACCTGTCGGTCACATCCTCTACGATGAGCCGTTCGACGCGCCTCCAGGGGTGACGGAGACTCCGCGACTCCCCGTCACCTGGTCGGCCGATAGCATCGGCTATGACAAACTGATTGACGCAATGGACGGCTCATTGAAGCTAGATGCCAAGGCAGAGGCAACACTAAGGATAGGGAATTGGATAGAGACCGTTCATTACGAAGGGCGAGGTATTGGAGCTAGGGTCAGGATATAGACTTTACATTTTTGATTCTTTTACTTTCATTTATGGTATTTTGATTTGGGAGCAGCGTTTGGGAAATTTTGGTTCAAAGAATGATACGCATTTCCTTTAGCATACAGGTTTGATATTCGAGCAATCTATTACTTTTCTTACTATATGCATGACATGGTAGTCCCGCCAACATATTCCGTCAGCTTACAAGAGATGGCTAGTGTTTTACGCCCACCAATCTATAACCTTATTATTATGTCTAAAAGGAATAGTAATAATTTGAGATGGCCACCATCGTCTACCTTCTGTCATCCTCGGCAAACTTGTTTCTCCAAAATGACCGGAAGTGGTTCTTGTTTCCCTCCGTCGAAATCTCCGCCACCTCCTCGTCCGTCAGCTTAAACTTGGGCAACCGCTCGAGATATCCGGTCAACCGCGACTCCTTAGAGCTGGTTGTGAGTGTGACAATTCCCTGATCAAGAACCCATCGGAGGCCGACGTCAGAATCCGTAACGCCGTACTTCTCCGCTAGCTTGTTGTAGACGGGGACCACTGGGCCGCCCTTGACGGTGGTGATTGGCACCAAGGGGCCAAATGAGGCGATGGCGATGTTGTGCTTCTTGTGGAACGCAATGAGATCGCCGTGCTGGAGGTAAGGGTGGTACTCGATTTGATTGATTGCGGGCACCACCTTGGCCGTCTTGAGGAGAGCTTCTAGATGCTCCTGGAGGAAGTTGGAGACGCCAATGGACTTTGCCCGGCCGGAAGCCTTGATGGCTTCCAGGTCAGCCCATTTCTCCTGCAAGTCCTCGTCGGTGTCGGCGAAGAAAGGACCGTGGATCAGATACAGATCGACATAGTCAAGGCCAAGCTTCTTCAGTGAGAGGGCGAAAGCCTTTTCGGTGTCCTTCTTCTCGAGGGCACTGATTTTGGTTGTGACGAAGAGTTTCTCTCGGGGAACGCCTGAGGCCTTGATGGCAGCGCCGAGCTCTTCTTCATTTCCGTATACTAAAGGTAAAGAAAGGCTGGGGTTAGAAACGTTGTGCTGCCTCTCATTACATTCACATCCTCGGCATACCTTCGGCACCATCAAGGTGGAGGTAGCCGATGTCGATGGCTTTCCTGGTGAGCTCAATGAGTTCGGCGTCTAGAGGCCCTCCATTGCGCTTGAATCGGGCAGTTCCAAGGCCATATCCGAGCTGGAAACCCGGTCAGTGTCGGCTCAACTTAACACCGAGCGAAGCTCAGGAACCATTACATATTATTGAGGGAGGGGTCATGGGTCATACCTGTGGAATCTCATTACCGTCGTTGAGCTTGAGAGTTGGTGGGAACGACATCTTGGCGGCTGTAGAGTTGAAGAGTCTATGACCGAGACACACAGTTTGTTGTCGAGGTTTGAATGAACAAAGAGAGGGGGTTGAACGGGCGTTGATGCGAGACCATGAGTAGCTGGGCCTACTTATAAGTGGAGGTGCAAGGCTCAAGACGCTTTGGCGCATGGCGTGCAATTACCCCACTGATGATGATAAATGCAGTTTGCGGCTACTTGATGGGAATAAGGAATGAATTGGACTACTACTGAGTGGTGGTTTGGATGATGGTGCTAGCTGAGGCTGTTACGAGAAAAGTCGGGCGCGGCGTGATTTGCTTGTCGCCTATTTCGCTTATGATGCAGCTACAGGTTATGTGATGTGAACTATTGCTTTAGTGGGCTGCATCTCATCTTGTGAGGCACGAGATGGTGTTTTGTTGGGGGTCACGTCAAGATTACAGTACATAGGTCAAACCATGGTCTACTATTCTACGCATTAATAAGATAGACATCATAGATAGATACGATGAGGTGGAAGCTGAAGTGCGTCACGCCATATCATTAGCTTGATGCTATTGGGGTATTAGCCGGGACGAGGATGAAGCTGAATCTAGGTGCTGTTTTATCACCGCGGCAGGGTTGCCCACCAAGTTCTTGACTTAGTCACCTAGCCGTTTTTCTTACTCATTATAGGTATACATGTGTTATAAAAGAATCAACTGGGAATATTTTATTATTTATGAAGTAATTATTATTGGCACTTGCATCATCTTATACGGGGCAGTTTGCCTCCCACAGCGGTTAAGTCGGAGGTCCGATCCGCGGCATCATTATTCCGTCCATGTCATTGGATGGTGGGGCGAAATGCAGCCAGTTCGGTGATGTCACGGAGCAGCTCGCAACTGTTTCCGCGCATTATCCGATTGTAATCGCCTTAAGCCGGCCGAGGTTCACGGAACACTCAATCATCGCCCATGCTGCAAAGACAACTCCATGCGAGCCGTTTCATAAGAGGGAACCTGTCGCTGAGGATCCTCGGCGCTTCATCATCTCGATATTTCATCCGGCACAGCGGAAGCACGCGAACCATGGCCTCTTCAGGAAAGCCGTTTGAGGGCGTTTCGCTGGACGATTTGCCCAAATCATGGAACTTTACGGCCTCACTGCCTCCGGATCAAGCCTTTCCAAATCCGGCAGACTCGCATAAGACTCCTAGAGACAAAATCTTACCCCGACAAGTGCGCGATGCTCTCTTTACTTGGGTACGACCAGTCCAACAGGAAGACCCCGAACTGTTAGCTGTAAGCCCAGCTGCACTGCGGGACATTGGAATCAAAGAGGGCGAGGAGAAAACCGAAGACTTTCGACAGCTAGTAGCTGGCAACAAGCTGTATGGCTGGGACGAGACAAAGCTGGAAGGCGGATACCCTTGGGCGCAATGCTACGGCGGCTTTCAGTTTGGCCAGTGGGCAGGTCAGCTCGGAGATGGAAGGGCCATTTCGCTGTTTGAGGCAACGAATCCGGCGTCTAATGTGCGTTATGAGCTGCAGCTCAAGGGGGCCGGCCTAACTCCATACTCTCGATTTGCAGACGGAAAAGCCGTGCTTCGATCCAGTCTCCGAGAATTTGTTGTTTCCGAAGCACTCAACGCACTCAAGATACCCACAACAAGAGCACTGTCTCTTACCTTGCTTCCTCATTCCAAAGTCATGCGAGAGACGACCGAGCCTGGAGCTATAGTGCTCCGATTCGCCCAATCATGGCTGCGGCTGGGCACTTTTGACATAATGCGGGCAAGAGGAGATCGCGACCTCATAAGGAAGCTTGCAACATATATTGCAGAAGATGTCTTTGGCGGATGGGAAACGCTCCCTGGACGACTAGAGTCACCCGAGGACCCTAAGAAGTCACCACCTCCTAAGCGCGGGATACCGGCATCTGAAGTTCAAGGACCCAGCAATGCAGCCGAAAATAGATTCCAACGGCTGTATCGAGAAATTGTGAGGCGCAATGCCGTGACTGTTGCCCACTGGCAAGCATATGGATTCATGAACGGTGTTTTGGTATGTACCGCTTTGCGAAATGTCTTTTGAGAAAGGCAGCTACTAACCTGTACGGTAGAACACTGATAACACATCAGTATACGGCCTGTCGATGGACTATGGCCCATTTGCTTTTATGGACAACTTCGATCCGTCATATACTCCAAACCATGATGACCACATGCTGCGGTATAACTACAAGAATCAACCCACTATTATATGGTGGAACCTCGTGAGGCTCGGCGAAGCTCTTGGTGAGCTTGTGGGCATTGGAGCTCAAGTCGATGACGAGACCTTTGTCAACAAAGGCATCAGAGAAGAACAAGAGAAAGAATTAGTTGAGAGGGCAGAGAATCTCATCACCCAAGCCGGAGAGGAATACAAGACTGTCTTCCTGAACGAGTACAAGAGACTAATGACAGCGAGGATTGGCCTGCGCAACTTCAAAGAGACGGATTTCGACGAGCTCTTCAGCGAAGGGCTTGATACTATGGAAGCTTTGGAGTTGGATTTCAACCACTTCTTCCGTCGCTTGGGCACCATTAAATTGGCGGATATCGCAGACCCGGCGGGTAGAAAAGAAAAGGCTGCCATCTTCTTTCACAAAGAAGGGCCGCCCCAGGCAGTGAGCGCAGACGATGCAAAAGACAGAATTGCCAAATGGCTTGACAAGTGGCGGGCGCGTGTCTTGGAAGACTGGGGAAGTGAATCTTCTGATTCCCTTTCTGAAGATCAGGATGCGGAAAGAAGACAGGCCATGAAGCAGGTGAACCCAAACTTCGTCCCTAGAGGCTGGATCTTGGACGAGGTGATACGGCGTGTCGAGAAAGAGGGCGAGAGACAAGTCTTGGATCACATCACGCACATGGCTCTACACCCGTTTGAAGACTCGTGGGACGGGATTGCAATTGACGGTGTTGAGTACAAGGGCGACCCAGAGGAGGAACAGAGATGGGTTGGCGATGTGCCCAGGTTTGAGCGAGCGATGCAATGTAGCTGCAGTTCATAGATAGCAAGCTAAATACAGCCCAATTGCGCTCCCATGACTTCATTTTTCACATCAACATTACGAAGCAGCCACAGCTGTCTATTCTACGGCATCTTTTACTGGATGAAATGTTACGACCGGCGGTAAGAGGCAGCGTTCATCGAGATGAAAATTCTCTCCCATGCTTCCATAATCGGCGTAGATTTTCTCTTGAGCACAAGATAGAGGAGGACTCGACAGAAGCAAAGCAGAATGCGATGCCCAAGCTCACCTACAATAAAATGTGCCCGTGTACAATTAATGAAGCAAAAGAAGAAAAAGAAAGAAAAAAAGTTCAGCCAAGGCCAAGCAAATTAAAAGGTCCCCGGCAATGCGGGACATCAGTGCCTCAGGCAGCGGCAATGGGCAGCTGCAGCCAATGAGCGTGCTGCTAAATGGATCCGTAAGGGAAACCCACTAGCGCTGGAAATGGGCTTTCCAACCATCCAGACAGCAGATCCGTTTCGACGACGCCCATCCCACTCGAACTTGAGCCCTTTTTCACTCGCCGCAACGTCCATCACGTTCAATCCGTCAAGGCGACACGATGCTCCGACAGTCTCTGGCACGTTCGGCTTGGCGGACCGGCAGGCGGGCCGCCGCCGCCTCGCGGGCTTTCGCGACAACGCCCAGACGAGCAGCCGAGGTGGAGCTCACCATTGGTAAGCATTCTGATTCTTTTTCGCGGCGGGCAATTGGAGCTGGAGCGAGTTGCTAACGGCGGTGCAGATGGAAAGAAGGTCTCGATCGAAGGTATGGCTCTGAAATGGAGGGGTTGCTGTGTTGCGGGATAAGAAAGAGAGCATAGATGCTGACATGGATTGTTAGCCGGGTCTGCTCTGATCCAGGCTTGCGAAAAGGCCGGAGCTACTGTTCCCAGGTCAGTTGTTGAACAATATAAGAAAAAAAACATGTAAAACTTGCAAGAAATGCTTATGCTAACATGTCTCAGATATTGCTACCACGAGTACGAAAGCTTTAACCCCTCCTCGCCCCTCTCCCAACGATTCCGAATCCTAACCACAACATTGATAGAAAACTCATGATTGCCGGTAACTGCCGTATGTGCTTGGTTGAGGTTGAAAAGGCTCCCAAGCCTGTAGCCTCGTGCGCCTGGCCCGTGCAGCCCGGAATGGTCGTCAAGACCAATTCGCCTCTTACACACAAGGCCCGCGAGGGTGTTATGGAATTCCTGCTGGCCAACCACCCCCTCGACTGCCCCATCTGCGACCAGGGAGGCGAGTGTGATCTCCAGGATCAGTCTATGCGATATGGTGCCGACCGAGGACGATTCCACGAGATTGGAGGCAAGCGAGCTGTCGAGGACAAGAACATTGGACCCCTGATCAAGACATCCATGAACCGATGCATTCACTGCACCCGATGTGTCCGGTTTGCCAACGACATCGCTGGTGCCCCCGAGATGGGCTCGACTGGCCGTGGAAACGACCTGCAAATCGGCACCTACCTGGAGAAGAACCTGGACTCGGAAATGTCTGGAAACATCATCGACCTCTGCCCCGTTGGTGCCCTGACCTCAAAGCCCTATGCTTTCCGAGCTCGCCCTTGGGAGCTGAAGCACACCGAGTCAATTGACGTTCTCGACGGCCTGGGTTCCAACATCCGTGTCGACTCTCGTGGCCTGGAAGTTATGCGTGTCCTTCCCCGACTCAACGACGACGTCAACGAAGAGTGGATCAACGACAAGACTCGTTTCGCCTGTGACGGCCTCAAGACCCAGCGACTCACCGTTCCGTTGATCAAAAGAGAAGGAAAGTTCGAGACCGCTGACTGGGAAGAGGCTTTGACTGTGATTGCCAAGGCTTACCAGCAGACAAAGCCCCAGGGCAACGAGTTCAAGGTCATTGCTGGTGCACTGACTGAAGTAGAGTCTCTCGTCGTTGCCAAGGACATGGCCAACAAGCTGGGATCTGAGAACCTTGCTCTCGACACCCCTACCGGCAGCCAGCCTCTTGCTCACGGTGTTGACGTGCGATCAAACTACCTTTTCAACTCCAAGATCTGGGGTATTGAGGAATCTGACTGCATTCTCATCGTCGGAAGCAACCCCCGACACGAGGCCGCCGTTCTGAACGCTCGCATCCGTAAGCAGTGGCTGCGCTCTGACCTCGAGATTGGTGTTGTTGGCGAGACCTGGGAGTCCACTTTTGAGTTTGAGCATCTGGGAGCTGACCACGCTGCCTTGAAGAAGGCCTTGGCCGGTCCCTTTGGCAAGAAGCTCCAGGCCGCCAAGAAGCCCATGATCATCGTTGGATCTGGTGTCACCGACCACGTCGACGCCAAGGCTTTCTACGAGACCGTCGGCACCTTTGTTAACCAGAACGCTGCCAACTTCAGAACCGCTGAGTGGGACGGCTACAACGTGCTCCAGAGGGAAGCCTCAAGGGCTGGTGCCTTTGAGGTTGGCTTCGTCACCCCGTCCGCGGAGGTTGCCCAGACCAAGCCCAAGTTTGTCTGGCTCCTCGGCGCCGACGAAGTCAACGAGGCCGACATCCCCAAGGACGCCTTCGTCGTCTACCAGGGCCACCACGGTGACCGTGGCGCTCAGATTGCCGACATTGTCCTTCCTGGCGCCGCCTACACCGAGAAGGCCGGAACTTACATCAACACCGAGGGACGTGTGCAGATGACCCGTGCGGCCACTTCACTCCCCGGTGCTGCCCGCACTGACTGGAAGATTCTCCGAGCCGCCTCTGAGTTCCTTGGCGCGCCTCTCCCCTACGACGATGTCGCCGCTGTGCGGGACCGCATGATCGAGATCAGCCCCGCTCTGGCTGCCTACGACGTTGTTGAGCCCGTTGCCCTGAAGGAGCTGAGCAAGGTTCAGCTCGTTGAGCAGAACAAGGGCGCCAAGGCCAGCAATCAGCCTCTCAAGAAGGTTATCGAGAACTTCTACTTCACAGATGTCATCTCCAGAAGGTACGTTTACTCCGCCCCTTAGTATACATTGCTCTACATCATATGCTCTAGACTATGTCCTACATGACAACAAACTCATGCTAACTCCATCCCAGCTCACCGACAATGGCACGTTGCTCAGCGGCCAAGACCACTGGCGACCCCAGGACGAATTTCATGGCTCCTGGTATGGAGGAGGACAGGCCCATGGGCCAGGTTGCGTACGGTGCTTAAGATAGGTGAATGTATTAAAATAGAAGAATTTTCCCTTGCAGTTCCGGAGCGGTATGTCGATATGTACATATATAGGACGTTGGGGGCTAGAAGTGTGTGGTAAATAGTTGACCAAAAAGTTGGCTTTTGTCTCTTATTCCCCCCCTTTTGCCTCGTCCTTGTATGTTTGTGTCGAGTATGAGGGGTGAATATTAAAGTACGAGTATATACGTTTGCGTAGGTTATGTCGTGTAACCCCAAAAGCATCCACATGGGTGGGACAATTTGTCCCTCTCTCCAAGTAGGTATGCGAACGTAACGTTGCCGGCCTCCCCCTTTTCTCCTTTCCTCCTGGAAATTCAATATCGTCTTTCACTGAAGCCGCTCTCGCCCGGCTCAGGCTGTACAATGGGATCCCCGAAGCGAACTTTCTTCTTGGGCCTGTTTGCCGAAGGAGACCGAAGGCTGGATCGGCGCACCGGCTTCTAGTCGACGTCCATCCGACCCTGCTGCTGCTTCTGTCTCAAGGCCGCGGCCTGCATCTGCACCTTGATGGCGTCGCTCATGCCACGAACATGGTAGTCGAACGAAGAAATCTCTTGCGTGGCAGCAGCAATGACCTTCATTACGCCCCTGGCGGCGATTTCCCGTGGCGAGTTGAGCGGCACGTACGTTATGGGCACTCTGTCCATGTCCGGCAAGGGAACGCTTTTGACGCTGTAGTCCGTGGCGGGATTGTCGCGCTCGCGCATCTTTGCAATGATGCTGTCCAAGTCGTCCTTTAGCGCGGGTTCATGCTGTTTCCTCACTTCTGCGACGGCGGTGAAGTAGTCAAAGGATGGGTCGCGGGCTTCTGCCTCGCGGTTGATGCGGCGCATTTCGCGCTGGTAGTAGGCTTGGATGTTGTTCCGGACTGAGGCCTCATGATTGGTGACGATGGTGAGTGCGGCGCGATGATATTCGTATGATCCGGGGACGAACTGGGGAGGGGAGAGAAGATTGGTGGACTCTGTGATGGGGACGAAGATGGCGGCGGAGGTGTTTGTTAGAGGGGGGATGAAGTCGAGATCGTCGGAGCTGTCGTCTTTGCCATGGCTGGTTGCGCTGGCCATTTCAGTGCTGGTGTCGTCGTCGTCGATGCTGACGCTGTCTCTGCTGGTGCTGATGCTATCGCTTCTGGTGCTGGTGCTGATGCTGTTCTTCCTGGCGTTTTCCTTGTCGGTGCTGCTCTCTCTGGTGTTTTCCTCATCTCTGGTGTTTTTATCATTGTAAATATCGTCACCACGATCCCCCTGATTTCTGATTGTCTGCTCGCCTTTGCTGCCGGAATATTCGCGAAGCAGCTCTTCCAGCGGAGGCAGCTCCGATGCCGATTCCTGGCTGCCATATGCATTCTCGGCCATGGCACCTGACTCGAGTTTATACCCGACCTCTTATTGTTTTGCTTAGATTTTTTATTTTATTTTTTCTTTGTTTGTCAAGCTCGCTTGGGTCGTGCAAGCAAGCGATGCGGGATTCGGATTACGTTATGCATGTCCGGCTTAAAGTGACAAGGTCGCTTTGACTTGGCAAATGTTTGTTGGTCGTGTGAATCAAGGTCGAGTCAAGCTCTGGGCTGTCATTTGTTATTGCCGGGCATCGACATTCATTTGCACGGCAAGGTGCCGAAAAAAAGCCCAACACGGAAATGGATAAAAAGGGTGCTGACTGAGTGCATATGTCAATGGCGGCTAAACGCATAGTACATGAATCAGAACTCTTCGGCTTTTTATAATTTTACGAAGTGGATTTATCGTCCATATCATTGGTTGATATTCTTGTCCATATCATCAATGTCGCTGCGAATGAGTGTGCAGGACTTCTCGCTTGATATCTTGCCAGGATTGCTACGGTAGCAGAGAGTCAAGAGGAATTTCGGTAGATGTCAATACAAATTTGGGATATCTGAAGTAACTTGAAGAGCCTAAGGCGCTGAGAGACATCAAGTACACGAGGGATCCGAATATCACAAAGGAGAGCTGTCAAAGGGGGCTGTTATCAGTATTGTATAACTATCCAGACCTCATTAAGTAGAATGTAAAAGAATGTACAAGACTTCGCACAGCTTCAACACTGGCATCGATAGTCAGTAACCTCAATGACGGATGAAGGAGAGATTGCGCTTACCGTTCATGGTCTGCATAAACGACATGGACGTGAGGAACCTTGGAATATAGATGTTGCGGGTCGTTGGGTTAAGATGGAACATGGCGGCAAGGAAAACTCTGTGGAGAAGATATTCCATCCTGAATCTTGTCAGCTTCTCCAATATGTAATCTGCGAAATGACCGGGGGACGCACGACAATGAGTATTTGTCGTGTGAGGCGGTCTCCCCATATCAATAAAAACTGCATCGACTTTTCTCCCTCACTGGCTGCCTGCGTCTACTCCTCGGGGAGCATCTCATCTTCTCGCAATTGATCGCATCTCCTCTTGAATGAGCTCCTCAAAGAAGTCCTCATCTTCTCGTACCTGATCGCGCATTTCCTGCGTCATCTCATGAGCCTCTCCAGTTACTGCCTCTGTGTAAAATATCTGAAGCTCTTCAAAGGCTTTCCGCGCCTCCTCTCGTAGTTGGTCGATCTCTTCACCGAATTTCTGATTATTTCCCTTGACCGTTTGGATGCCTTGTTCCAATGCTTGGTACTTTTGTTTGAGGGCCTGAACCTGTTGCTGGAGCCAATCAAGGGCAGTCTCATTTTGCTTCTTGTGCTTCTCTTGCTCCTCATTCTTGTGCTTTTCGTGCTTCTCGTGCGTGTCTTTCTCGTGCTTCTCGTGCGTGTTTTTCTCTTGCTCCTCCTTGTCCTTATTCTCCTTGTCCTTATTCTCCCTGTCCTGCTCCTCTTTCTCTTGCTTCTCTTTTTCCTGCCTCTTTTTCTCTTGCTTCTCCCGGCGTTGCTTCTGCCAGTATTGCTTGCTTCTCCCTCCCTTCTCCCTCTCTTGTTTGTCTATCCCCTGATTCCCCTGCTTCTTATGTTTGACTGTTTCCCACATTTTGTTACAACGGGAGGAGAGAATGAGCGAAACTCGGTGGCTGGAGAGCGAGATCGATAATCGGAAGTAGTTCAGAAGGAAGACGATGACCTGGATGGTTTAGAAAATGTGCGTATAGAAAAGAAAGGAAAAGGGAGGAAAACAAAGGTGAAGATAGAGAAGGAAGAGTTTAAAGTTGAGAGGCAGATGGCATCAACACTATCAAGAGGTAGGTGCGTAGGCACCAGAACATCAAACTTTAACTTCTGATTCGAATCTGCACTCTTTTGATCTTCTATTGCAATACTTTTTGTTTATCTGGTACTTCTCTGGTTGGATTTCATCATGGTGCTTTACGACTTTGGTCTAGGATGCGATTTCTAGCCATTCTGACCCAAGAGCCGTCCAAAGCTCACCACAGAGATCAAAAAGACTGCTGAGTCCATCCGGCAGAGGGCTAATTGACAGATATCTGCTGGTACATGTAAGTACGTTGAATACGACGTTTCCTCCTGCTTAGGAGTCATGGCTACGGCAACGGCGATCATATCAACGGCCTGGCGAAACTTGGGTCTCTTGTTGCGGAAGGATCTGTTGAAAGGGCGGAGAGATGATGATATTGGCAAGATAACCTCGAGCTTGAGTGATGATGATAGACAAGAACTTAGCAATCATCGCGATTACTGTCTTGATGTCAAAGGCCACTCTCCTCCTATCACTGCACCTGGATATTAAGGTACGATCGGTGATTAAGTTCCGGCGTATTTTTACGTGTTTCGTTATGGAGTAAATGTACCTACAGAGTACATGTGTGTTGCACCCAAGTAGCCCACTGGCTGAAAAGGTTTCAATTGATGTCAATTTGCTCAATCGTAGGGCCCAATTGATACAATTAAAACAGAGGGAAAAAACAATCATCTCTTGGCCAGGTTCACCTCTTGACCCATTGGATACTGTCCGCAAACTCATCTCGCCGAGCCCAGAAAATGGCGCCCTTGGTGGAACATGCATGGGAATCCTCCCGCTTACTCTTCATTACCGTTAGTATGGAGCACTAATAAATACCACAGCAGAGTTGATCCATTATCTGATATGGACGCAAAACAGGGCCTTTTTTATGGCGCAGAAGCGTTGAAATGGCCAATGGCGCTAGCCCCAATAAGGGCTAGGTCCCAAAGCTTCCAGGCGCAAGAGCTCAACGCAAAAATCTAGCCCCAAGGGATTTTGAACGACTTGTCCGTCACCTCGACCATTGTGTTATCAACAACCCTCGGGCCCTCGCTTGTCCCTCCTTCACCCTTGGATACAGCGTCAATTGCGATCATCCCGTGAGCATCTCCTCGTGCCTCACGTCGCCCGCCCTTTTTCCGCCGCCCGTCCACTTGCCCGCCTGCCCCGGCATCTCTCTCACAGGTGAGAGACATTTTTCCAAGATGCTCAGCGCCGCTCTTCGGAGGCGTATCCTCGCGCCTACTCACCAGGCCCTGCGAACTGGCTTCACTGCGCACGTAGTCCGCTACTATGCCTCATTCCCCAGCCACCAGGTGATCAAGATGCCCGCATTGTCGCCCACAATGCAGGCTGGCAACATTGGTGCCTGGCAGAAGAAGCCCGGCGATGCCATCGCCCCCGGTGAGGTTTTGGTTGAGCTTGAGACGGACAAGGCCCAGATGGACTTTGAATTCCAGGAGGAGGGTGTTATTGCCAAGATCCTCAAGGAGGCTGGCGAGAAGGACGTCGCTGTCGGCACCGTAAGTCGTTTTCTGCCTCTTCTGTTTCGTTCCGTCTCTTTCCGATGCTAAGCATATTCGCTCCATAGCCTATCGCTGTCCTGGTCGAGGAGGGCACCGACATCGCCGCTTTCGAAAAGTTCTCTCTGGAAGATGCCGGCGGCAGCGCCCCTGCCCCCGAGGCCAAGAAGGACTCTGAACCTGCTCCTGAATCAACCCCCGCCTCTACCCCTCAGTCCACCTCTGCTCCTGAGCAGTACGCTTCCGAGGGCAGACTCCAGACCGCTCTCGACCGTGAACCCAATGCTGTCCCCGCTGCCGTCCGACTTGCCCGTTCTTCGGGTATCAGCCTGGATGGCGTCAAGGGCTCTGGCAAGGGAGGCAAGATCACCGAGGAGGACGTCAAGAAGCTGGTCGCCAGCCCCGCCGTTGCCGCTCCCGGCGCCACCTTTGAGGACACTCCCATCAGCGGAATGCGAAAGACCATTGCCAACCGACTGCTGGAGTCTACCCAGACCAACCCTCACTTCTACGTCAGCAGCTCCATCTCCGTGTCCAAGCTGCTGAAGCTGCGACAGGCCCTGAACGCCTCCGGCGAGGGCAAGTACAAGCTGTCCGTCAACGACTTCCTCATCAAGGCCATTGGTATCGCTTCCAAGAAGGTCCCCGCCGCCAATGCCAGCTGGCGCGGTGATGTTATCCGTCAATTCTCCACTGTCGACGTCTCTGTCGCCGTCTCCACCCCCACTGGCCTCATCACCCCCATTGTTACCGGTGTCGAGGCCCGTGGCCTGGAGTCCATCTCCTCCAAGGTCAAGGAGCTCGCCAAGAAGGCGCGCGATGGCAAGCTCAAGCCCGAGGAGTACCAGGGCGGCACCATCTCCATCTCCAACATGGGCATGAACGATGCTGTCGAGCACTTCACTGCCGTCATCAACCCTCCCCAGGCCGCTATCCTGGCTGTTGGCACCACCCGAAAGGTCGCCGTGCCCGCCAAGGACGAGGATGGTGAGACCGTTGTTGAGTGGGATGACCAGATTACCGTTACTGGCAGCTTCGACCACAAGGTCGTTGACGGTGCCACCGGTGCCGATTGGATGCGTGAGCTCAAGAAGGTTCTCGAGAACCCCCTGGAACTCCTTCTGTAAACGGAAGAGATCCGAAAAAGGGAACTTTCTACATGTATGAGCGAAAGATGGCGTCTGGGATGGGTTACAATTAGGGATGGCTGAGCAAGTGTCCCTTGTAGAGTAATTTGCATCTAACGAAACCAAAAAAAAAAAAGGCCTGGCTATTGTGGTTGCGCAGTTTATAGCTAGAAAAGAATAATTAATGGTGCTTGCTAGTCTTATATAGAAAATTAAAAATATTAAACTTAAAAAAAAAAAATACGCACAGCTTGATCTTGTATCACGATGATTGTATTGCATTGTCACTGACTGATTCCAAAGAATATTCTTCTATAAATGGATATCCATGGATGAGTGTGCATAATGATTTAGGTAAGACTGCAGGCGCTAGAGCCAACGCCTCCCAAGCGTCCGGGCTGTGGCGTCAGGGGTACGACCGGCATTTGATGCACGCTGGAGGGGAACAAACTCGTGGGCGCAGCCCCATGATGCAAAGCAATTCCTCCGCCGGCCTTTGTCATTGTCTTGTCTTTTTCCTTTCCTTGTCCAATTTCCCTGTATCTGCGACTGGGATTCCCACTGGTGACGAACACAATATTGAGTGCATTGCCAATTACCGATCCTCCCCTGCACGTGCGCTGAAGTCATCCAAGCCCAGCGATTCGATACAACCTCGTCCAACTGAAAATATAGACTTTCAAGCCCCTGCCGATCGACCAACTGCCCACTTCCACCCGTCCGTACGATTCCTCGTTCTCGCGATTCCCTCTCGACAGAGCCCACCAATTATCCAACATCTATTACAGCCAGTGACGTCTCCATACCTCGCTTCATCAAACCAAAGGGGGCAGAGCCTCCCTGGGGCCCCTGGTCCTCTTCATCGGCCATCCCTGTGCGCCGGCGGCCTGCCTGTGCCTGCGCCTTTGTGCTGTGCCTCGTATGCTTTGTGCTCGTATGCCTGGAGCGCTACTTGTACATGCCTGGCTGCTGCTGGTAGTAGATCATATGTCCGTTCTTTCAGCCGTCGACGCCTTCTGCCTTCTCCAGACACAGATGCTGCTGCCATCGTCGCTCGCAACCGCCACAAGTAGGAGCATCGTATCATAGCCGCCTCGGCAACCGCAGAGATGGCCCCTCCATATCCCACTCCCACTGCCCGACGCGGATCTGAGTTTACGCCGCGAGACGAGACCGACCTCATCAGCCGGCTGCATTCAGACGCTCTAGATACACCAGTCTCGCTCACACGACGACTTGCTAAATCCAGGACGACCCACGCGCGAGTGAATCCCAACCTCAGCTCTTCCGACTCTGAGGGCGACGCCAACGCCGAACCGTCTTCGCAGCAAAATCGCGGCCGCCAGCCGAACCACTCCCGCTCCATGAGCAATCCGTTTCCGTCGCTCTTCAACGGCCGTAGGAGGCAGGGCTCGGCTTCAAAGCCCTCCGTCGACGTGGATAGAGCAATCGGTGGCCCTGCTCCGAGCAACAGGCCGGTACAGACGCACAAACGAGGGAACCCCTCCATGAGCAAGGACTTTGCTACCGGCAATTGTATGACATGTGCCTCGCTCGTAAAGTGGCCCAAGGAGTTAAAGGTCTTCAAGTGTACCATTTGCATGACCATCAATGACTTGGTTCCAATTAGTGTTGATAGCCAAGGCTCCAAACAGCGCCATGACACAAGCCCAGGGCCTTCGTCATCAAAGCAACCGCCGCATTCTCCTGGTATGGCGCCGGGGCAAGGTCCCAGGACGAGTCCTTTTGGCCAACTCAATATGCCCATCTCTCTCGATCAAACAAAACATCTGGTCCGGCAAAATCTGCGATCATATGTTCTCAGGAGGCTTCGCGACTTGTCAGCTGAGGCTCAGGTTGAGCAGACTGGCGACGATTGGCCGCTACGGCAAGATCGACTACATCCAGATCTTGCCATACGGACTCATGGACCACTGGATATCACTCCAGGAAGAAAGGGTTCCGTCACCAAGTATACCTTTGACGAGGAGCCAACACTGCATCTCAATACCGCAGGCGCCAGTCCTCCAGTCGCCATGTCCAGGTCATATCCTTCATCTTCCAATGAGCAACCCAGGTTGAGAGGCCCGCCACCCAACAGCAACCATAATCATGTCAGCCCGCGCCCACGAGATCGGTCTGCTGGCCCGCCTGATGACCCTAGAAAGATATTCAAGCAATTAGAAGACTACATTACAAATTGTTTCAATAACTTTGAATGTATCAACTCTTCCTTTTCCACGCAGCATCCCCGATATGCCTCGAGATCCGCAAGTGATACCCCTCGACGTCCCTCGGTCCCCTCAAGGGACGTGCGGCAGCCCGCACAGATAAAAAGTGCGCCTCGTAGGCCATCTCAGTTGGAGGTTGACTCCCCCATAGTTGATTTGGACCCAAAATTACTACTATTGGGCGACGTTGCGGAAAATGGGCTATGGTGGACCGGCCAGGACACAATGGCACCGAAGAAGACTCCCAACAAGGAGGAGCCTGTCCATGTTCACCGGCCATCTCCACAAACAAGGTCACCGCAGTTGAATTGGGCCGATATTGATGAATGGTACTCAGTCGTGAACAATGCAGCGGAAGGCTGGTTCCAAATCTACGAAGAGGTCTCGGCGGATCTTTCTCTGGGCAATCTTGCTGAGCAAGAACTTCGTGCCATCGAGCAGGATGTGCTCAAGGGTCAGGATCACACTCAGCGGTTGCTGTTGAAAGTCACAGAAAACTTGCTGAAAAGACCCGGCCGCCCAATCAAGGACCCGATGGATCTTCGATTCCTTCTGATCATCATGGAGAATCCGTCTCTTCATTCGGATAATGAAAGCTTTAAAGGGCTACTCCAGCCCGAGATGAACCAGCCTATACGTTCGAGGCCAACGGATGTAAATCGCCCTGCTGGAAATACAGGTCTCCTATCAGGGCAGCATTCTGGAATCGTTAAACGAATACTGGGATTAATATCGAATGCATCGCCAGAGTGCCAAAACCAAATGATAACTTGGCTGGCTAGATACCATGCCGCGCGCTTCATTAAAGTGAAGGAGCTGGCATCGGGGTTTTTGACATATAGGATGATTCGACAAAGCGAAAAGAAGCAGACTGAGCAAACAGTGGATCCGACAGCTGGGTTGATACCACAGATGCGGGCTGGTCGACACGGCGGTGCGTCTCTTCATGATGCGATTGGCGGGCCTAGACCTACGAAGAAGTCCAAGGAGCCACCCAAGGTGATTTCCTACTCAGATGACTGGCAGATCAAAGCTGCTTCCCGTGTGCTATCCCTTTTGTTTTCTGCAAACAACCTGTCGCAGAATCGCCGCGGTGAGGATGCTCATCCAAACAGCCAAGTTACCTGGAACGGAGCAACTCGTATTGGCGGATACTTTCTACCACCCACTGATTTCTACAATTCCATGATAGATTACGCCGATCTCATTGACGATTTTGAATCATGGGAGTCTAAAAGGAGTAAATTCTCCTTCTGCCAATACCCGTTTCTCTTGAGTGTATGGGCAAAAACGCACATCCTAGAGCACGATGCCCGTCGACAGATGCAAAGCAAAGCTCGGGACGCCTTTTTCGATAGCATCATGACTCGAAGGAACATCAACCAATACCTGGTCCTTGATGTGCGTCGCGACTGCCTTGTTGACGACAGTTTAACAGCTGTGAGTAGCGTCATTGGCAGTGGTGGTGAAGATTTGAAGAAAGGTCTCCGCATTTCGTTTCAGGGAGAGGAGGGAATAGATGCGGGTGGTCTCCGTAAAGAATGGTTCTTGCTCCTCATCCGGGAGGTTTTCAATCCCGACTATGGTACGTTGATTCTCATGCATACGAATTGCTGAGCTCTTCAATCTAATTCAAATATAGGAATGTTCATCTATGACGACGACTCGCAGTATTGCTACTTTAACTCAAACTCGTTCGAGCCCGCTGATCAGTTCTTTTTGGTTGGCGTTGTCATGGGCTTGGCTATCTACAATTCTACCATTTTGGATGTTGCCCTGCCTCCTTTTGCTTTCAGAAAACTCATTGCTTCAGCCCCTTCTCCCCCTGGATCAATCATACAGCATCGACCACCGATGAGATATACGCTAGACGATTTGGCTGAGTACCGCCCACGACTTGCAAATGGGTTAAGACAACTTTTAGCTTTTGATGGAGATGTCGAAGAAACGTTTTGCTTGGATTTTGTCATTGAAACTGATAGATATGGCTCCAAGGTACAGGTACCTCTCTGTCCCGGTGGCGAAAGCAAGCCCGTGACAAATGAGAATCGGCGAGAATACGTCGATCTTTACGTACGGCACGTTCTCGACATTGCAGTGAAGAGACAGTTTGAGCCTTTCAAGAGGGGCTTTTACACGGTCTGCGGCGGCAATGCGTTTTCCCTTTTCCGGCCTGAGGAGATTGAACTCCTTATCAGGGGGTCTGATGAGCCGTTGGATATCGCGTCGTTGAGAGCTGTGGCGGAGTATGATAATTGGGAGAGCAAACAACCTGAAGAAACAGAGCCGGTCATTGGCTGGTTCTGGGAGACTTTTCAACAGGCTACTCCTAGTGACCAACGCAAGCTACTTACATTTGTCACTGGAAGTGACCGCATACCGGCGATGGGGGCCGCCTCGCTAACGATCAAGTTGTCTTGTCTGGGTGATGACTGCGGGAGGTATCCCATTGCCAGAACTTGCTTCAATATGTTATCTCTCTGGCGTTATGCTTCAAAGGAAAGGCTAGAATCAATGTTGTGGAGAGCAGTTCATGAGAGTGAAGGGTTCGGTCTCAAATAAATAGTCGGCAACCGTTGTCAACTCAACATCATTCATATCGCAGTCGCCATTCGATTACTTGGCTTTTCGGCATATTTGGACATATTTATCATGGATTAGAGCGGTCAAGCATTACACAATACCCCTAGATTAGTTTATATGTAGGCCAACCGTCGTTGAGCATCTGCGGTACTTGGGGGGATTGAACATGTGTCATATTTATCATTCAGCCCATAGTATTTTTCTTTTTTTGGACGATACATTGCCATATACTCAAACAACCGCTTATCGTACAAATATCTATCTTCTTCTTTTTTTTTTTTTAAACCTCCTCTTGCTCTGCCATACCACCCGCGGCTCTAGCTCGCTTCAGCATATCCTCTTCCTTCTTCTTTTCTAGTCTCAGCAGTCGCACCCTCTCGCGGTCGACCTCTGCGTTCTTGCGTAGTGTCTCAAGGGCCTGCATCTCGGCAATCTCCTCGTTTGTAGGCTGCAGCGGAACGGCGCGGGTCTCGGCCATGAAGAACTCGAGGATATGTGATGAGTGCTTGTTGGCCATGTCGATGTGGACGACGCGCTCGTCCGCGGTGGGGGGTTGCGCCTTGGAGAGGTTCGTCCGGGAGGATGAGGGCTGGGCGATGGGTTCGGAAGAAGAAGAGGACGATGCTGGGGCTGCTTCAGCCTTGCGGAGGTAGATTGTCATGGTTGGGGGGAGCTGGTTCTGGTCGTGGCGGTTGACGATCATGGGGATGGAGGGGTTGTGGTATTTCAGGCGGGGGAGGTATTCTCTCCAGAATTTCCTGTTTGATTGGTTTGCCCGTTAGAGATGTGCGGTCTTTTGAAGGTATCGTGAGAAGCTGTTTTTGGGAACGAAACGAACCTAGCTCCCATGTGGCCGCCTTTTAGACGGAGGGCGAAGTCCATGTGTATCCGGGTGACCTCCGCGGGGAGGATCGCTGCGCCGGGGCCGCATCTGATGTTAATGAGCTGCGTGAGGGCTGCGTAAGTTCGAGTTCGGTTCGTAACGAGAGTGTATAGGCATTGGATCTTCTTACTTTCTGTAGTAAGTTCTTGGTTAGCGATTGTCACACCATGACGAGAGATTCAAGACGTTACCTTTCGAAGCAGGTTTAACCGCTCTCCTAATGACCTCATCTTGGCCTGTGTCTTTGCACCTCGTCTATTGCGAGGGTCCAATTGCTAAAAGGGTTTGACGGGCAGCAATTATCGCAAACGGGCTGTTTCAATCTCACATCCAAAGTTGGTCCAATTCAGAAAATCGCACTGCAAACTGCTGGAAGTTTGGCGGGCCGGCTAATCATCCGGGACTTTTTTTTTATGGTGGGGTGAACCACGCGACAGTGGGGGATGTCAACTGCCGCCGATTTTCTTGGGAAGGGTCGATCTACTTTTTTTATAAGACACCTTTTTTTTTATCATGTTCTATGAACTGTGATTCAACGCAATTCTTTCAGCGACAATGCATAGGGCGCTGACGGCACGGCTGCTTAGGCAGGCCCTAAGGGTAGGCGAAGCTACGCCTTCAACGGGACTGCCTTTATATCTGTGTCCTGCAGTTGTTGGACTCTCAAGCAAGCTTTCGAGTATAAGTCTAAGAGCTTCAACGAGCATTTCTCAGCGACGAGCAAACCACACCGAGGCTCTATCCAGCAATACCGAATCTGCTACGGCATCACCATTGTCCGAGCCATTAGAGAAACCTGTTCGAAGATTGCCATTGACGTGTTCTGGGTGTGGCGCATTCACGCAGACTGAGGACCCTGAGCAGCTTGGATACTATGATGTGAGCAAGAGGAGGGTGAGAGAATGGCTACACCCCATCGCGCGGCGTTCGAGTCCTCTGGAAGACGACGAAGATAAGATTGTCAATGCTACGCTAGAATCTTTGGACCAGGGGAGATTGAAAGAGCTTGGTTTGGATCCCGCGACGCTTGTCGAAGGCGATGGGACAGAAAACGAGACCATGAGCTGTATGATACATCTTGACTCTGAAACTTGAATATGGCCTCGTGCTAACTTGCGCACAGTATCATCACACCAAAAGGCACCTGTTTGCGATCGTTGTCATGACTTGCTACATCATAGCACAAAAGGCGACACTGCCAAGGTCGCCATGTACCATCCAAGCGTCGAGTCTCTGCGAGAGACAATTGAGGAGTCGCCTCACAAGTATAACCATATCTACCACGTCATCGATGCCGCCGATTTCCCCATGTCTCTCATTCCGCGGCTCAATGTGCTGCTGGGTGACGTTCCACTGCGCACGCGCAATCGACGCTCCCGAGCGGACAAGTACCAGAACGATCGCAAGACCGAGATGAGCTTCATTATTACAAGGGGTGATCTCTTGGGCCCGACCAAGGAGATGGTGGATGCCATGATGCCCTATCTAAAAGAGGTTTTGCGCGACGCACTTGGGAGACTTGGCCAGAGAATCCGCCTGGGCAATGTCAGGTGTGTCAGCGCGAGACGAGGATGGTGGACCAAGACAGTCAAGGAGGACGTCTGGAATCGTGGCGGCGCTGGATGGATGGTTGGTAAAGTCAACGTGGGGAAGAGTCAGCTTTTTGAAGCCATCTATCCAAAGGGCAGAATGATCGAAAAGCCCGAGCGAGCCAGCGGTTCGACGCATCCAAGAGCCGTATCTACCGGTAAACCAACGACGAATGAGGACGACGAGAGTTTAGCGACTGTCAATTTTGGATCTCTCCTTCCTCCCCCCCGGCCGGCCCAGAATTATCCAGACATGCCCATCGTTTCGTCACTACCAGGAACAACTGCGTCTCCCATCCGCATCCCTTTTGGCAATGGCAAGGGAGAGCTTATCGATCTGCCGGGGTTGGCGCGCAGTGATCTTGAGCTGTATGTAAAGGAGGAGCATAGGCAGTCGCTCATTATGAAAAAGCGCATCATTCCCGAGCAGGTTACTGTCAAGCCGGGGTCCTCGCTTATTCTAGGTGGAGGATTGATTCGAATCACTCCTCGAACTCCAGACATGATCTTTCTCATGTACAATTTTACGCCACTTCACGAGCATCTGACCTCAACGGAAAAGGCCATCGCATTCCAAGGCCAAAGTCACCAATCCATTGGCCTTGAAAATATCACTTTGCCAGGAGCTGGAGACAAGATGAAACACGCTGGCACATTCAAACTCGACCACGATGTAACTAAAAAGAGAGCTGGACCATTAACCAGGAAGAGCGCAATTGGGTTGAGCGTTGAGCAGCTACCATTCCGTGTGCTGTCTGTTGATATCCTCATTGAAGGCGTTGGGTACGTTGAGATCGTCGCTCAAGTTCGCAGACGAGCTTTGGAGCGCATACTTGCGTCTCAGAACGCACCTAGAGAAATTGAACAAGAGACAAGACCAAAAGAAACGCCGCGCAATACCAGCGACCCATTTTCAGACATGTACAGCATGAGGAGGGATACAGCCGGCTACGACAAAGCCACAGAGCCCAAGGTGCAGCTGCAGCCTCAAGAGTCGTCAGACTGGCCGGCTGTTGACATATATTCTCCGGAGGGCAAGTTTATTGGCTCGAGAAAGCCGATTAACGGATGGCTGAACAACAAGCCACGCGAGCTGGCGGAACACAAGAAAAGCCGCCCAAGAAGAAGCATGAAGGGGGCGAAGAAGCTTGAAAAGCAGCGAAGGGGCGAGCACCACGATGCATGATTTGGTATCACATGCCAGATGCCGTGTACAATACCACCTTACTCTAATGACGACTGTATGCAATGTATATTATGACCACACCCCAATGTCATTGATTTTTGTATAGATAGATGGATAAATTCACTCAGGTAGCACATATTAACCGAAGACTGAAAATCAAGAAATAAACAAAAGCAAGGTATTGCAGAAAAGTATCGTCTTATTAATGATGGGCAGACGACGAGTCTAGAACCTTAAACTACGGGTGATTTTTACTGAGTGACGCCACCTGACAGGGCTGGTAAATGCCCATTTTGGGGGACCCGCGGGGCCAATACCTGTTCCTAGCCGTTTTTTTGCCTATCGATGACATCTACGAAAAACAAAACATCCCGCCTTGTCAAATCATTCCTTATCCATCTCCCCCCTCCGAAACCCACACACAAAACCTGCGCCGTTCCGCATACCGACACAGAAGAGGCTTTTCAAGTCCTTCTTTTCATTTAGCGTTGCGTGATCAACAGGCACGCCACAGACAAAAGCAAGAATCCGAGAATCCAGACAAAAGCAAGAACCTGAGAATCTCCCCGTCGATCTAGATTCCGTGCAGATCAAAGCGCCCATTGCCACCACCATGTCGCAGCAGCAGGAGCGCAGCGCGCAGGCGCCTCCGGCGTCACAGACGACGACAGATACTATTCGGCCGGAGGCGGCGGAGAGTTCGCCCAGGGTGATATTGCGCTTGAGGGGAGGGCATACTTCGAATGGGAGGTCGGTGCAGTGGGCTGAGGACGTGGTTGATAACGAGGGTTTGGGTCGCAAAAGTTCAAAAGGTATGTGTATGCGGAAGCTTCGCAGAGCAGTGCCAATGACTATGTTGTATTTTCCCTTTGTTATTGTGGCTGCTACGCGACGGAACGAAGAGGAAAGCTGGAAAATGAAGCTGACAGAGTTGTGGATAGTGTGCTGCATATACCATCGGCCCAAGGGAGTTGACGAATCCAGCGACGAATCATCGTCCGATTCCTCATCTGATTCGGATTCGGATTCAGAGGGTGAATCTAGACGCAAAAAGAAGGCTGGCGGCGACAAAGACGACTGTGGTCACGCTCATGATCATGGACACAGACATCACCACGGACGGGGCAAAAGGAACAGCAAGAAGAGGGCACCAAGTCCAAATGCTTACGAAAAGATACCAAAGCCCAAGCCAAAGGATACGGGTAAAGAGGTTCCCAAGTAGCACAATATATCTTTCAAGGAAGGCAGCGCATGATTGGAGTTAAACAAATGGTTTAGGTTTGCTTAAAGGGTTTCAGGGTTATTGTCATGGTTTTTGGATGCTGGCACGGAAATGAGGAACATACGGCGGCATTATTTGAACATCGAAACGAGGAAGAAACGAGGAACACGGCATAATTTCTTAACTTTTTTTTTTTCTTTCTTTGGAGGGAATATGGCTTTATTGCTTGTTATCAAGGGTATCGTACAAGAAAAAGAAAAAAACAGAGATGGACAAAGGCGGCAGCCTTCAGCTGGGCATATACCGATTCATATACCATAGGGTTACAGCAGACTATGTCGAACAAGACAGAAATGGCATTCACGGTTCCCCAGCTTCAGCTTTCTTCCCACTCTCAACGACAAAGTATTTTCCAGCTTTTCTTGATGCCGTTGCCAGTGCATCCCAGTTCTCAGCGTTAGATTCAATGCGTTCCTTGGCCCTCCTAGGTCTTTGATAATGGCCTACAAGAGTCTCTTTCGCCAACACCTCCTCTAGATCTTTCAACCCAATGGTCATCTCTTTGACTGCAGCTTCTGTCTCATCCCTAATAGCTCGAAGCGGCTCCACTCCCTTGGTGTCGACTCTCTGTACCGCCCGCGCAAACTGTAGCTGGCTCTGGAGCGTCGCAATCATGGACTGCTCTTCGGCTGGGGATTTGGGCAAGGGGAGCGCAGATAGACGCAGCAGATGGTGCAATTGAGATGGAGTGATGACTTCTGGTGCGGAGTGTGATTCAGATGGAAGTAGAGAGCTGACGGACCAGGTTGGCTTGGAGAGGATATCGTGAGCTGTTGAGGATGGTGAGGACTTGGTTGATAGAGAGGCCGTGGCTGTTGTTTGCCTGGGACGAAGGTTTTGCCTGAGGCATGATAGACGGCATCTGGCGCAGAGAGACATTTGTGGCGATTAGATTGAAAATAGAGATTTTTGTGAGAAGTGAATGACGATATCTTGGATGCTTTGAAACAAGAATATCAGCTGGTGTAACTGATATTGTCCACTCATTGATCTGATTTTGTTTCCTGCCACAAATGAGTACAAAATGTTATTAATACTGTGTACGAGTGAGACGGGCGGAGCAGGGTTAGTCCGCATCTGGCAGTATCCATCCAAACTCCAGCCTCTTGGAGGATAGTCAGATGCGCCCCAACCCCCCACTGCCAGCTTCCTCACATCGTCATAGTCCAGCCAAAGTCGCGCTTAACATACTTCCGGCTCTTCTACGGCCAGTTTCAACCAGTTGCTGATAACCGGGTACATATAGCTCTAACTCCGAAACAGCCAGACACCATGTCGCCTCAACCCCATGTCCGGCCTGACATTTATTACTTTCCATCTATTCGAGCGACTTTGTATGACGCACTTGTTAAAAACACACCGCTCCGCCATTTGATACCGTTCGACTCGAGGATTGCCGGCATCATGAATAATCCTGAGGCTCTCATCCAACAGGTTCGCCTCTCGTTTGTCTCTTGGTTGAAGCTGAGGAAATGAGGACGCGCTTAGCTAACAGATTGAGACGGTAGGCCGAGAAGCTCGTGGCTAAGGGCAAGAGCGGATGGAGTTTCTTTGGCGGCTCGGAAGAGAAATATGAGCAAGCTGCCGAATGCTACAGGAATGCGGCCCAGGCATACGAGATGAATGGTAGCTGTACGTATCTTCTCCGTCCTTTTGTTTCTCCGCTCCACTAAGAGCTCCCCCAATGAAAGCATATGGGGACTTTACAGCTCCTGTCTGGCGTATCGTTGTGGTTGACTTTTCAATAGTTCTCGATGCAGCCGCTACATATATAAAAGCAGCCGAAATACAGGAGAAGAATCTCAGTGATGGTTTCGAGGCCCCCGACAACTACGTCCATGCCTCCGATGCTTACCGAAGAGCCCTCATGGAGGAGGTCAAGCGGCCGATCAACGACAACGAAAAGGCCGAGGTGAAAGCGAAGGCGATAAACTGCCGAAAAAAGGCCATTAAATTGACCGAGTCGTCCTCCAGTTCAAGTAAATTAAGAAGATTGTCGAGAATGTACGATGCAATTGGTCAGATAACTGAGACGGACATTGCGGGCCCGCTTGTAGAGGCGAGGCAGAATCTATTGAATTCGAAGACGCTGACTGCCGCGGATGAGGAACGCATGAAACATCTGGCGAAGGAATTACAGCCGACTCCCAATGAGGCCGACGAGCTGCAGTGGCTGCAGTCGAAGACAACGTTTAGTGACGAGGAGAAGGCGCATCTGAAGTGGCTGGAGAGTCAAATTCTGCCAGCCCTGGATGAAGCGCGCATCGCGTACAAAGAAGCTGCTAACTTTTTACGCTTGGACGCGCCGCTGTGCGTTTTCCCCCTCGCTTGAGCATTGTGTCAAACCTCCATTGTTGATTGATAGCTAATGCGTGCGAGCCTTAGGAATGCCAACGCTCTACTAAACAAGTATGCTGACATCAGCGTCTTCATCGCCACTCTCCTTCCCCATTCCACCGAAAAGGGCAATGCCAAGTTCAACTACTACGAAGACGCCCTCAACGCCTACGCGACTATTCTCAAGGTCCTGCAAGGCGACCCAAAGCACAGATTTAATATCCCTCCTTATTGCCTCAAGTGGTGCGTCTGCCGTCTAGCCCAATGCGACGCGGAAGCCACAAGACGCGACATCCCGAAATATCAGGCAATCGAAATGGACACGTATCGGCAACCCCAAATGAGTCTGAGAGATCAAGAACAAAAGATAGAAATCGAATCGAAGAAGTATACGCTGCTCTTAAACCTGAACGAAGCCATCAGTAATGAGAGTCGAGCGGCGATTGATGAGTTACTGCAGGTCAACTCGGTGGATATATGGCAGAGGAACGTTTTCACCGATATCCAAAACAAGTGGGAGGTTGAGTTTGAGTTTGCGTAGAGAAATAGGTCAATTAGAACAAATGCAAACGCAAAGAGGATGATATACTACTGAGCAAACCAGGATGCAGAGGGGTTTGCTACTTTCTTTAGGCACTATCTAGTTCATCAGGATGGAAACGACATTGCTTTTCTGTCTGCTATTATGCAAATGGAGTGTTGCACATGCTCTAGTTATTGATTATTGCTCATTTCTTTATTAGTTTAGCTTCGAAATGCAAAGGGACTTCGTTCAAGTCACATGCTAGTACAAACATTGGCCAAGCAGTGAGACTCGTTCATACAAGAAGCTATTCCATATCATATCGTATATTCATGTCTGATTCATAACCGCGAAATTAATATACATGCTATAAAGCATCATCGTGGAGAGCATTCTTCCCTACTAGTTGCCCGATATATCCCACTTGTTCTATTGGCAATCTTCCATGAGCCATCTGCAATCTGTACTCTGTTACCTCAATGCTTTCACTTATTATGACTGCCAGGTGTCCTCCTTAACCACCTCAGTGACACAGGCCACCGCAGGAACAGTGTAGGTGTGGTTGGGATCGCTCTCCCAGGTGACGGAACCATCCTGGCCCACGTTGATGTACTTGTACTCGATAACGTCTCCGGCCTCCAGATTGACCGATCCAATCCACAGAGGGTGGTTAGTGGCATAGTTGACGGCATCCAGAGCAATGGCCGCGCTCGTGCTCCAGTTGCCCAGCTCGGGAGCGCTACCAGCGACCTTGATAGTCTGACCAAACTGCGTTGTGGCAAGCTCGTGGAAAGTGACGGCAACGGAAGTCGGGGTAGCACAGGGAATGGGAGTGAAGGGAGTACCAGAAGGAACGCCAGGCTTGGGGGTCTGCGATGGTGGGAATGACGTGGCTGTAGGACGCGAGTAGGATCCAACCACAGAAGCTCCCGAGCAGCTTGAAGGAACTGAGTTAGCGCCGCTGCTGGCCCACGAGGGGGGGACAACGCCAGCCCGACGGGCCGCGGCGGTGAGAAACGAGGCGTACGACCAGGTCAGGTGAACAGCTGACAGAGGTGTGCCGGTGTTGCGATCGAACTGCTCGGCGAGCGAACCATCAGCGGGAACGTATTTGGCAGCCTCGCTGAGGAATCCATCAGCATATGTTGAGACGGCGTTGATGATGCTCGTGAAGGTAGACTGGCTACTGGAGTAAGTTCCAGCCGCGACACCGGGAACGAGCTCCTGGAAGAAGGCCAAAGAAGTTGAAGTCACCGTGATGGAGCCTGTCTTCTTCCAGACATAGACGGAGTCGTAAAGTTGCTCGGCAGCAGCAAACGTGGCGAGATACCAGGGGTTTCCGTTAAAGTACACATCTTCGGGGTATCTGCCGATGGCGACAGCAGAGCCAGCGGGAATGCCCTTGTTGACACCGTAGATGGAGCGGAAGGAGTCTACAACAACCTTGAGGTTGGAGAGAGCTTTGTCGCTGCAAGGCTGAAAGGTAGAGGCGTCACAGCCAAGGCTAGGGTCGAACGTGTGGATAGATGCGAGAAGAGAGTTGGCATCTTTTCCAGTCCTGCCCTCGTTGGTGTTGACTATAGCAAGCTGTTTAGTATCGCGCTTCATCAAAGCATATGGTGCTGGTGGACTTACTGTTGGAGTCAATGTATCCACCCGACACCCAGAATCTTTGGAGGAAGCACAGGATCTGAGGCGCAACTGAGGAATAGGTGCTTCCCGACTGGCCGAGGGTGACAGCAAGTGTGGCGCCCTCAACAAGAGCTGGAGAACTCGTCAGCATTGTTTAATTCCGACTAAGTATCGCACATGAGATGTTGATACATACCTCGGTGCTGGTTGGCAACGGTAAAGAACGAGCTACCATTGACTTCCTCCCACAGGTCGAAACCGGTTTGGTTCCTAAAGTGAAGGTGTTGGAATTAGTCATAAACAAGACGAAAAGACGTCGAGCTTGTACTAACCAGTATTGGGCAACATAGTTGAGGTCATTCCGCACAATGGGCCAGATGATATTTGACACCGTTGACTGGTAGTTGTTGTTGATGAGCCACTTCGAATAACCAATCAAGGCAATGGCTCGGAGAGCTGGGCCATCGCGCTGCGGGCGACCCCAGTTGCCAGTGAACTGGCTCAAAGTCAACTCAAACTTGGGTTCACCAAGACCGGACCCGTCCGAGAGAGAGCCAGAGGGGTTTGAGATGCCCTGAAGAGTGACCTGGGCAGAAATGTACTGCTCGATGCGGCGCTGCAGGCCGGCATCATACTGCTGAGTGAAGCGGTCGACAATGTTCTTGAAGACAAGAGCACTATCTCGCGTCCACATGTAGTAGTCTGATTAATTACCCTCGTGTTAGTATAAGAAACTTGACATATCAGGAATATGCCGGTATAAGTCAAACTTACAGTCTGGGTCAGTTGTGCTCGGAGATGCAATCACAGCACCGGCCGATGTACCAAAGGCACGGCATCCATCAGGGCCAACATTGCAAAGAAGGTTGTTTAGTGCAATGGGAGTCTGCGTGTTGATAAAGTCATCCACAGATCGTTTTGTGACGCCGGATAGGCCGTTTGATCCTGGTCTTCCCAGAACCTTTTGGACGGCAACTGAGCCGAGTAGCACAGCAGTCGACAGCACGTGCATGATGGGCGGAATGAAGGAGGACGTATGAGAGGAAACGTTGAGAGACAGAGCCGATGCCGAGTGGCTCGTGGCCAGGTCCATGGCGAAGGCAGGCATCTTTATGATACGGCGCCCCGAGTCAGAGTACTTCTCGCAATAACAACAACGGCTTTCGTTTTGCCGACTTGGTCCAATGAGATCAGCTGTTGCCCGCAACGTCGTGCGTAGGTACAACTCTCAACACTCAGTTTAGTCCGACTCGGACCGACAAAAGGTCTACAGGGCCAAGAGTGGATGTGCGGATCATCCCCATGGGGAACTGAGGGCCGCAACGCTGTGAAAGGGCCGATTCTCCGGGGCCCAAGTGCCGCGACGGGCGGTGCAAACCTGTGAAAAGAAAAGCCGGCTGAATATGGCGGGTTGCACTCAGTGGCTGCGGGATAGAAACAAAGGAGCAAGCAGCGGCGATGGCAATAAACAGAAGTTGGACAGTTGCAGGGATATTCAGCTCTTGCCTGCTCGGCTCTTCTATCCTTCTGTCGTCTCCTCTTCACGCGGGCTGGCTGAATGTAAGACAGACGAGCCTCTCTCTCTCTTTCCCTCTGAATACGGGATCTGACGGCCTTTTTCAATCGTCTCGCCGCCCAGGATCAGCTCTTTCTCGGAGAGATCCGACGAGTCGGTGATGCGGTCTCGGGTGGCAGCGGATGGCCAGCTGATGCCAGCCAGGGCACGGCCCAATCATGCCCGCGGCTTGCTGCTCTGCCTGGTCAGCGTGACGAGCTAGACTCAGATGCCAGGATGCGTCAGGCGAATAGGCTGGCAACGCGTCATTAGTCACGCTGTCAGGAGAACATGCGCAGCTAAGGGGAGGGAGGGGAGGCGAGGCAGGGAGCAAGGGAGCAGGGAGCAGGCAGGCCATCGGCTAGCATCCAAAGCACGGTGAGAAGAAGCGAAAACGAACCAGCGATAGTCAGCAAAAGCTCCGAGCAAGCTTCAACAGCTCCAAGGGGCTGCTCCGCATCTCCAACTCCCCCGTGGGGCAGCATCCCGGCTCATGTCTCTTCTGAGTTTGCAGTTGCCAGGTTCCCGCCCACTACCGCCTCTAGCCTCCGGTACTAGTCGCCCTACCCTAGACTCAACGGCCTCGAATTTGCGAATCCCATTTACATAGCCGGAACTTTTGTGTGTTCTGCATTGATAGCACGTGTCTGGTGCCTACCAGAAGCGACAAGATGGGCGAGACGGCATCAATTAGAGAAATTTTCAGCTTCTAGCATCATGCAAGTTGCGCTGGATGTGGCGCAGAAGACGCCGAGTCGGCGTTACTACGAACTCTGGAGAGCTGAGTTGTGTTTCACAAGCAACCGAGGGCTCGTGATGACAGCCTGCAGTGGACCAAGATCTTCGCATATGCGTCTGGATCTCTGTGCCAAGGCCGAGCTTCCTCGCTGCCTCACACGTGCTGGAGATGGGAGAAAACAAAAACATGGTGTGAAGCGGAGGAAAAGGGACAGGAAAAAGGGCCGGGCTGCATGAGGTAATGCGTCGTAGCCAAGCTGCTCCTTTGAGGTATGTAGATCTTCACATGCATTGAGGCGCGATGGAGTAAGTAATCAAACTCATCCAAGCACACGCCAAGCTAGGCTTGATGAGGTGTTTGGTGCGTTTGCTACAACACACAGCCAACATACTGTCATCATACAGCAATTATCACCACTGACAGAATCCCAAGAGGCTTGCCGTGGCCCGACAAAACTTGTCACGAGGCATGTAAGCAGTTTCCCATTCGCCCCACCAACAAGGGATCCTTTCTTCCACGCCCGGTTCATCGGGGTTACTTCGTGCATGTTTTTTCATCGTCCCCGTTGCACAATTAAATCATATTTACTCCGTACAGCTAGTCAGATGGCATCATCGGGTCAGAAGGCTAACATGAGGCTCAACGGCCGCTGTAGAACTGCTAATACGGAGTACTAGCATCGTGATGTAGGCAACCCATGGTTTTCCTCAACCTCATCGGCCGACGGCCTTGGAAAAAAGGGTTGGAATATGGGGCCCCCGAATCCTCCAGCCACAACACTCAAGCCATCTTTCGACGGCGAATGAGGCAGCCAGAGGCCGAGTTGTTCTTGGACCTGTCGATAGGATGATTGACACCATAGCAAGTTGATGGCTCCATAGAGTTATCGAGCTGCACAGCAGTCGACCCTAACGCGTGAACGCAGAGGACCGCTGAGCACAGATCCGTAGTTTGTTGAGAAGGAGAGAAAGCCTAGAAGAAAATTTCACGATACGGCATTATATGGCGTTGCGATAAGATTGGGTTAGTGGGGATTATCACGTGAACGGAGATATATCGGCAAAACTGATTTAGCTGGCGATAAGCCTTAGCAAGCTACTGCTATCAACAGTCATTGCTTTAGGCCGACTTTCCTTCATATTCGCGACAATTCAACCAGATCCGTCTCCTCTGCCGCAATATCAAAGCATCATGGACGCGGCAACGATCGAAGAGACGAACCGCATCCGGATATCGCTGGGCATGAAGCCCTTGCCGGTACCTGGAGCTGCCGCATCGCCCCAAGCCGAGGCTTCAGATGGCGAAGAACCAGCGAGTACAGTTGAGAGTCGCCAGGCGCAAGCTTACGACAATTACAAGAAAGTTCAGGATGACGAGGCTGCCAAGAAACGACGCGAAGAAAAGGCTGCCGCCGTACGAAAGGCCCGTGAAAAGGCCCAGCGGTTTGCACTTCTCGAAGGGAAGGGACTGGGCGAAGAAGATGAAGGTGGCGACATGGATGCGAAGGCGTGGTTGACAGGCCAAAAGAAGAGGCAGAAGAAGATTGATAAGGCAAGGAAGCTCGAGGAGGAACTTGCTGCAGCAGAAGCTGCCGCTGCCGCTGCCATACAGTACACCTCCAAAGACCTTGCTGGCATCAAGGTTGCACACGACTCAACAGCCTTTCTAGACGGAGACGAACAGGTCCTTACTCTGAAAGATACGACAATTGATGAGAATGAGGAAGAAGGAGATGAGCTTGAGAACCTAAACATTAAAGAACAAGAGAAGCTCACCGAGAGACTGGATCTAAAAAAGAAGCTAAAAGGCTACAACCCTAATGATTATGACGATGGCGAAGGCACTATTCTGGCACAGTATGACGAGGAGATCAACGGCAAAAAGGCGAAGAAGTTCACCCTTGATGACGATGGCGCTATTGCCGAGCTTTCAGACATCCTCGGCCAACCGGAGCGAAAAGGAAAGAAAATTCAGTCAATAAGCCTTGACGATATTATAGGTGCGTACATATCTCCCTTTATTTCCACAATGTTCCAATGTGACCGCCGCTAACAACTTACTATAGATGGCGCAGCACCCTCATCCGACTATCTTGCTCCATCAGAGATCAAGGTGAAGAAGCCAAAGAAGAAGAAGGGAAGCAAGGGGACCAGGCAAAAACAGCATGATGAAGATGACATCTTCCCTATAGAAACAGTGGCGGCGGATACCGGCTCCATGGATGTCGATTCTAAAGAGTCTTTAACGGCGAAAAAGCGGAAAGCTACTACTTCAGATGCCTTTGCTGATGACGACGATCTACAAGCATCACTAGCAATCCAACGGAAGAATGCTCTAAAAAAGCGCAAAAGGACACGTCCCGAAGATATCGCAAGACAACTCAAGGAGGATGGGGAGGAGCCTGAGGAAACTCAAAGCGGCGGTCTTGTCATTGGTGAGATTTCCGAATTTGTCGCCGGCTTGAGCAAGCCAGACGACGAGGACCGCCAGTCGAGGAGGCAAAAGCAGGCCACAAAAAGTCCCGAGCTGGAGGAGGATCGTCATATGGGCGATGAAGACGAAGATGCCGAAATGGACGACTACGCAGCGGAACATCAAGAAGCCCTCCTCACCGCCCAGAAAGAAGAGGAAGAGAGAATCAAAAGGGAACAAAATGAAGAAGATGATGATGCGGGTATTGAAGATGAAAAAGTTGTTGGCGCGGGTATGGGTGCAGCCCTCGCTTTGCTCCGAGAGCGAGGTCTTCTCGAATCTTCTGATAGAGGAAATTATGAAGATTTCAAAGCTCGCGAAGATTTCCTTGCAAAGAAACGAGTATTGGAAGGAGAACTGGATGAGCAAACACGACAGCAGAGAGAACGTGATAGGATGAGTGGCAGACTAGACCGGATGTCCGTCAGGGAAAGGGAGGAATGGGCTCGTCAGCAAAATACCCACAGAGACCACCAGCAATCGAAGCGGATGGCCGAGCTGTTCAACGCAGGCTACAAGCCAAATGTTGAGTTGAAATATGTCGACGACCATGGCCGGAGACTGGATCAAAAGGAGGCGTTCAAGCACCTCAGTCACCAGTTCCACGGAAAGGGCAGCGGCAAGGGCAAGACGGAGAAGCGCCTGAAGAAGATTGATGATGAGAAGCGGCGTGAGGCCCAGAGCATGTTCGACGCAAGCCAGAACGCCGGTATGAATCTGGCGACGGCGCAGCAGTTGAAAAAGCGCAGGGAAGCTGGAGTACGGCTCGGCTGACGGATTGTGTGGGAATTTCCTTTTATTTGTTTCCCTTTGCCGGAATACTTGCATCCAGTACTAATCATACCGCTTTGTTGGACTTTTTGTTAGGGATATTTATAAAACCAAAGGTGCATACTCCTTTTCTTGTTATGATTTCTCTCTTTGCTCTCTGTGTTTCGTCCCTTGCTGACACTGTTAGAGCGGTATCGACATGGTGTGCGTCTGTGTGTTCCTACCCAGGTTCGTCACTTGAGATTCCCTTTCGCACTGCGTAGCGTCGTGATGCCAGCCCGCCAAATGCATTGTAGCGTGATATATATGCCCGTAGTATCTTCGTTCTATTTGTAAACCGATCGGCTCAAATTGCTCGCTGTCGTAGGCGATTTAACCAATCTAATCAACATACTAAGAAAGGCAATAGGCAGAATCCTTGGGAGAACATGTCGGTTTATTACGTAGTAGCTTTGCTCCATTTCTAAATCGATCAATTTAAGTCACTCGCTGTCGTAGGCGATTTAGCTAGGCAAAATACTTGGCAGAACTGTCTGTCAGGTTACTAGTATATACAGGTATCTTTGTTTCATTTATAAACCGTTTAGGTGCACTGCTTATGTCGTTCGCTGTCATAGACGATTTAGCCGTTCCAATCAACATACCAAGAGAGGCAATAGGCAAAACGCTTGACAAATTTGGCAGCTACCTAGGCAGTTTACTGATATGCTGTTTCTATTTAGCCACTGAATTAGTAGCTTTGGAATCTTTAAAGAAGATGCAGATCTCGAACGGCATTTGGCGGAAAATTGTATTCCGTATGACGAATATGATCGGGAGTCGGCAATAGCGTCGGTGAAACATCTTCCAGTCTACCCGTGATGCTAATCCTATATCGTTTCATTATAGCCACTAGGATGGAAACGAATAGCTGATGAGACCTTGATAACGTGAGCATTGCATGAATCTTGGATGAAAATGTAACCTTATAAACGCTAATTTACGGCTCTCATGCTCGAAACAAGCTTGGATCCGTGAATTTTTGATCTATTCTGTTAGTAAGAGGAATTTAAACTGCCAATGTATTTGCTTGAAGTAGATAAATGTCAATTGGGAAGAGATGTAACTGGCAGAGACGAAGAGAACTGAATAACTATCATTGTGATTTCTTATCGTCGAGACTGAGAAGAAGGCAGTCTCAACGAGGATATGAATTGACAATGATACAGCTGGTTCATAGGTATGGTGTATTTTCCGTAAATAGCCCCTTAAAAATTGTAGGCGGCGGTAGTAGCATTTTAAGCTGACGGGTCATGTTGACACGGCACCAATGTAATGATTGCCTAAGCCTTACAAAGAGGGCGCGGAGATCCGTTTTCTCGTCCGGACATTATATTATATGTATGTCATAATCTGTGACTCGGCACAGAAACGTGAAGCCTATAACTACCTGCTGTTGCAGCTTAGGAGAGCAGTTCTTTCAACATCCTCAACCGGACCAGCCAGCCACCCCGACATCTTTTCACGATGCAATTTTCCATCATTGGTGTAAGTTGAACATAATATTCAATCATTGAACATCTTGAGTATTAAATGAATTATATATAGGCACTCTTCGCAATGGCAATTGCCCCCGCGGCTGCCGCCGACGGACTCACCTTCGACATCTTCTTCACTCCCGGCAGCGTTCCTACCACCCAACACTGCACAGCAAACGGAGTCCAGACTCTCACTGAGACTGTGACTGATGGCGGATGTCAAGCATGGGCATTCCAGTTCGGAGATGCCGTCAAGTTGTCACCTGGACAGACCATCCCTGCTTCTTTGCAGACCAACGAGACTCAGACTTGCACAGTCTACTTTGTCCAGCAGGCTGGCGATACGCCTTCGAGGCACTGCACGGATGTCGTTTTAGGGACGACGGCGGACTTGACCGATGAGTGCTATGTTGCGCCTCCAGGAACGTATGGCTTGAACATCGTTTGTGCAAAGAATTAGTAGCCAGTGGGTGTTGGTTGTACGGAATACTATGGGTAGGTACATGGAGTAATGGATCCTGAGACGGGTTGAGCCTAGTATAGAGACTCGGAAGTCGTACAAGATGGATACATGCATGTATTATCGTCCATTGTTACGCTAGCCCAGCTGAAATAGGATACGTGATCATCAAGATATGCTGTTATAGAACCACTTGAAGCGGTGATACTTTGATGCGTTTACCAAATGTTAACAAGCAGATGTAGTATCCATGTATTATTTCAGCCTTTTCAATGGATCGCAGCATCATCTTAGATCTACAATTTTAAGCGCGGTGATCTGAATAGGCGCTTGCCATACCACACCAAGCAGCTGCATGTTGCCATGATCAAGCGGACGCAGCCTTGCCACCCGATGGGAGAAATTTCGGTGAAGCAGATTCCGCCTTGTTGTTGGTCGTGTTAGCTGCGCCCAGCGCCTATCTGACGATGGTTATTGGCTGTTCAGCTAATATAAATGAGGCAAAGGATTGCTGTTGCCTTGCTATTGGAGAGCACCCCTGTCAACCCCCGCGATTTACAACGCGAGTTTAGAAATTGGATATTGTATGCGAGTATTTTGTCAATCTAGTAGGTAAATATCTATATAAGCTCTTGTATTCTTATTCCTTGCTCTCTAAATATATGTCATTTATCTGTATCGTCTCAACTCCTACATCAGTACTGCCAAAGATGAATGCTTCACCATCTAAAGGAGTAAAGATGAAATCCCTTATGAGAAAATTTAAGTCTCCTGAAAAAAGCTCTTCACTAGCTGCAGATCCGGCTTCCGCATTGTTACATGGAAACTCACACTCTGGCGTGCCGCATCTTCAGACTAAAATGTCATCCCACTCTTTGAGTACGACCGTATCAGTAAACGATGATACAATTTCCCAAAGCTCCGAGAAACTGTCCACTTCTCCATCTTTGTCTCCTCCATTAGCCGTTCAGCCATCTGTCTCTCCTAGTTCCGACCAATCATCATCATCTAATTCTCCTCCGGCCATCATCATATTGCCTTCTGACTCTATTACCGAGGCAGCTCCCGCCACTATAGCCACTGAAGAAACACCCGAGACTCCAGCTCCATCCTTTCCTCCGGCCATTACAATATCACCCCCGGTTTCTATTATTGAGGCAGCACTCGCTACTATAGCTGTTGAAGCAGAGGTATCTGAGACTCCAGCTCCACCCTTGAATCTATGGAAAGAAGCATTCGAAATTGTCAACGATGGAACAAAACGCTGGATCCAAGAGCATGGACTCAACTCGACGGAGCAGTCGCAACCAGACGGTCAAATAACAGAACTCATTACTCTTCTCAAGAGCAAAACTCTCGCCGAAGACAACGATACGCCTTCCAAGATCGTAATCGGTGACCGCAGAATCGTTTTACGCGAGCATGTCAACGAAGTCGTCTCCCTTCTCACCATGGCCGGCGATATTGCAATGAATTTTGCGCCGCCGCAGGCCAGTGCGCCTTGGGCTATCGGAAAGGCATTTCTGAAAGTAAGGCCCCTAACTGTCTACGAAATTCACCCAATTTACTAGCATCGGGAGTATTAATCAATAACAGATTCCAGTCAAACATGTCGACCAGAAGCTAGCCCTTACCGGGACAATTCGTTGGTTTACACGCATTGTCCACAGAGGTCAGATATATCAGTTGCGCTACACTGCGATAAATACGGATGAGCAAATAGTGTCCAGCCTACACGATGCCCTCCGAGATTTATATGTCGCAGCAATAGAGCTGTTAGCCCGTTCTGATATTGTATTCAGAAGTGGAAGTTTGAAACAAGCATTCAGTGCCATTGTTCGGCCTGATGAGGCTACAAACCTTGTTTCCGAACTATTAAAGAAAGAGCAAAAAGTTGTGCTGGAAGCGGAGGCCTGTGAAGCTTGGTGCAGTGCCAAAACAGATGCGAAACTGTTTCAAAGAACACAGTACATGCTGGAGAAGCTTGATGAAATGTCGGCCCCACTGAGACGAGCTGATGAGGGCTTAATCAAGTTGTTCAGGCAGATTGATCAAGGCCAACTGGACGAACTGATGGACTATATTAGCTCAGAGGAATATGGCAAAAGCCACTCCGAGTTTAGTGAGTCAAGAGTAGAAGGTACTGGTGACTGGTTAATAAGTCACCAATGCTTTCGCCAATGGCAAGCAAGCCGACATAAATCAGTGCTTTACCTCAAAGGAAATGGTGAGTTTCTCTGTTTGTTAGTATCCCGTATATCCTATTCCTAACCCAATCTAGTCGGCACGGGCAAAACATTCCTTACCTCACGAGTCATTGATCACCTAAAGGAAACTTTACATGCATCGCTTGGAGATGAAGGATTTGCGTTCTTTTACTGCAACCGATCTACACCCTTGACGCGAGACCCCCTCGTCGTTCTTAGAAGCTTTGTTCGCCAGCTGGCTGACGGGGAATACTTCGACGAGGTCCCAAAAAGCCTCAATCAGGCATATGAGAAGGCGAAAAAGGAAAAAAGAGGATTAAGTTATAAAGAATGCGAAATACTGATTTTGGACTTGCTTAGCCTCTATCCAAGGACTACTATAGTCCTTGATGCTTTGGATGAGTCTGATACTGAGAAGTATATTCTAGCTAATACTCTTGTTGAACTAATAAGAAAGGCGAAAGACCCAGTCAGACTCTTTGTATCCAGTCGCCCAGACCGGGAATACTTAAGAGCATTTGAGGGAATGCGGATAATAACGATTAATAGCGACGATCAACAGATTGATATTGGGAAATATCTTAATGCAAAGCTCTATTCTACACCCTCATTTCAGAGTCACCCGACAGAAATCCAAGAAATGATCAGGGCAGCTTTTACATCTCGAAAGTGCGGGATGTAAGTCATACTCATTCCTCATTCCTCACCCCCCTGTTACTATCTATATCGCCAGGTTTAACTATGGTAAACTAATACTATTTATTAATCATAGGTTCCGATGGGTCCATCTACAGGTCAAACAAGTGAATAAGCTCGTATCGAACGATGCGGTCAAATTGTGGGCCAAGACAGTTCCTGGCGATCTAATGGAGGCATACGACCAGATGTGGAACATTTTGAAAAAGGATCACGCATACGACATGCCCTTGATTGAGCGCGCTATCAAGTGGGTGTTGGGCGCTCTAGTACCGTTAGAAACCGAACAGCTGGTGACAGCAATCCGATATACAATTGAAGGAGATAATTTGGTAGAGAAAGAGCGACAAACTCCCAGACGGATACTATTGCTTTGCCAAGACTTCTTAACGGTTGATGCGGAGAAGCAAGTGTGGACATTGCCACATGCTTCAGTGGCTGAATACTTTGAATCCAGGAGCGAGATATTGGGGAACTGTCATGCGTTCATCGCCAGCATACAGCTCAAGATCCTTATAGAACCTGAAGAGGACGTTCTTGTTTTAGAACCTCATAAAGACGACCCCGACTACCCGGAATTCTGTTCTGATCACATACCTTTCAGACATCATTTCATGAATGCTTGGCCCATGTATGTCGAACGATATGACCGATGGTTGGGCGCAACAGAGGGCGCAACCCCGGATGCACAACTTGTGGCCTCTCTGCGACGATTTCTTGGCTCACCAGAGCAGCGCAGCACCTACTACATCAAATGGTGTAAACGCAGGTCCCCTCCTTGGAATGGGTTGAACGCCTCTGACATTTGGTTCCCTCCTTGGGATGGGTTGAACGCCTCTGACATTTGTTGGCTCAGCATGTGCCGCTACGGGCTTTATTACGTTTTACAAGATTGGTGGGAGAATTACGTTAGCAATAGGCCAGTTGATCTGACCAAGGTCAGGTATAGAGGGCTTGCACTTGCGGCACAGGGCGGGTGTATGGAAGTTTGCAGATGTTTGTTGAGCACGATGGATGAGCTGGATTCGGTTCAACTTGGGCCCGCAATTCGAAACGCGATACACGAAGGTCACAAAGATTTCTTTTTGCTGTTAGAGAGGCATGGGAATTTCCGCATCGCGAATTACTTTGAGGAGAAACCAGGTGCCATTCTGGGGGCAGCCCGCCATCCCGGCCTGATCTATTGGCTTGCGAGCCACAGCCTCTTCAATTCAGTCTCTGGAAACTCCCTGCTCGAAGCTGCAAGATTGGGCGATCTACAAGCAGCCAAGGATCTGCTCGAGGCTGGAGTGGATGTGAATCACCGTCCTCATCACGCAGAGAAATTTGGGAGCGCCCTTGCCGCTGCCGTTACTTCGGCTGGCCTAGGCGGGGACTTTGAGCCGGACCGCGTGAAAACCATACAGCTCCTTCTCGACAACGGCGCAGACCCTAATCTGCCATTATACAGTGGTCAGTCTGGCAGTGCATTAGAATCGACGATTTTCTACTATTGCAAACCAAGATCAGACGAGAAAAGGGATGAATTTGAATTCGCACATCCCAAGGATGTGCTGGCACTTCTGCTCAAAGCTGGTGCTAAACCCGCCATGGTGCTCGATCACGGGAACCATGGCAGTGCTCTTGCCGCCGCCGCATATCGCGGGTTGAAAGACATGCTGGCCTTGATGGTGGAAGTCATTGGGAAGGACTCGGCAATCGAATGTCTCCGCCAGAGCAGGCGTCCTGAGCGCACGCGTGCCGTCAGGTTCAGAAAACTGAGGCAATCCAGACAGGACACAATAGCATATCTCACCGACGAGCTTGGAGTCGACAAGGAAATTCTCCACAATATCGGGTTGTGGCAAGATAGTCCAGAAGAAGTCGGTACATTTGAAGGTGAATTCTTCAAATATAGACCAAGCCAGGAATCTAAAGCCCAGGAACCAGAAATGGAGGAATCAAGAATCCAGGAACCAAATACCGAGATATTTTTCCAATCGTTATATATATTTGCAGCCGTTGCAGCCGTGGCAGTCGTGGCATTCGTGGCACTCTCGTATGGAATCTTTGAGCCGCGGAGCCAGGCCCCTTGGGGGATACCTATCCTCTCCAATTACCCCAACCCCATTGGCTCATGACACCTCCAGGAACCAATACACGGGCATTGTTGACACGAGCATTGTTACTCCGCAAGATGTAATGCCTTCAGATTTGTTGTATGCTTCTATTAGACTAGGTAGCGAAAGCTTTCAGGTTAGCATGGGTTTACAGAGTGAAAACCCTCTCACATACTCGGTTTGTGGCAAGTTAGTTTGTATGAAAGGTGGATTTGACGGTTATTATTTTAGATATATTTAGAGCTTACTCCTGCTATGATAAAATGTTTGCTATATTAAACATCTCGATGTTGTGTGTGCGATTCCCTTGTGCTCGAGGTTGGTGTAAATCATAAGTCTGGGTGGAACTTTGCCAGCCGAGAATCGAACTCATGGATAGGTACATGCTCGGTGCATATGAACCGAAAAGGGGTTCTCAACTTGTACTGTGTGTATTCTGCTGTTCTACTCTATTATGCTCACACAGCCCTCTTAACCTGTGGTTAATCTCAATTCAAACCTCTCTCATTCTTCTTACTTATTTAAACTCAGCAGAACAGATCTATCCACGGCCCCACCTGTCCGTGCCCGTCTCGATTTAGCACCGCGCCTCACGTCATGATCTCTGCACCAATCGCTCCCAATTTGTCTTCCACTTGACATTGATCTTTGATAACTCTTGTTAATTTTGCCTGATAAAACTTGCCTTGAATAATACGAACCATGCCCACCGACTTTGACAAACAAACCTATTGGCATCACCGCTTCGCCAACGAAACCTCCTTCGAATGGCTGCTGAGTTCCGCCGACTTCATTTCAATCCTAAAACCTCTTCTTATCAACCTTGAGCCTTCATCAGCTCGTATCCTACACCTCGGCTCCGGGACTAGCGACTTACACAACCACTTTCGTCAACTAGGCTTTCTAGACGTCACAAATGTCGATTATGAGCCTCTAGCAGTGGAACGTGGACGACAACTTGAGCAACAAGCCTTTGGCGATGTCAAGATGAAGTATTCAGTAGCAGACGCTACAAAATCTTTATTATCATCAAGCAACAGCAATGACCAAGAAACACACAACAACGACAAATTCGACCTTGTCGTCGACAAGAGCACCGCGGATGCCATCTCATGCGGCGGAGACGAGCAGGTCCGTAACATGGCCCATTGCGTTAGGGAATGTCTTGCGGATGACGCCGTTTGGGTTTCAATGAGTTACTCTGAGTCACGATTTGACATTGGCGAGATTCCTTTTAACGTCGAGGTTTTGGCAAAGATTCCGACGCCGAAAAATGCAGCGACTGATCCGGACATCTTTCACTGGTGCTATCTGCTGCGACCGAAATGAAAGTCTGTTTGGATGAGGGAGCGACTTTAATTTGCAGTTGGATTGGGATTCCAACGGTTTTATTCAACTATGAAAGATTAGCTGCTCAAAGATGGAACAGTAACTGATTGGAGATGGTTCGGTTGCAAAAAGGCAGAATCACTGGTGTGTGACAAACTCCTGGCTTCGAGGCCGGCTATTCGGCAGAAGTAAATGGTTATACAAAAGTCTATCTCTGCCTAGGAGCCTTGATGTTTGCGAGTCAAGTTTAAATTTGGATATAGACAAAAAAGGCATCAACGCAAGAAACGAACAATCTATTTTACCTGGCTTGTCAGAAGCAACTCCATCCCTCTAATTCCCCATTCTATAATTGTGGTGTGTTATGTCGTGTATAATGTAGATGCCCATCCATTATCCCCTCTATCCCATTACCTTTAATACAGCCCCTCTAATTCGAGCCAAGTCGATAAGTCTCAATCTTCTTTCTCACCAATCCCTCAATCTGCATCCATCGTTTCGCCAGAAGTGCCCTCTGGTCTTCCCTTCCAACCTTCAGTTCCTCAATCTGCTGCAACCGCTTCACAACAACATCACTCAACAATTCCTCAAGTAAGCCAACAAGGTATTCATCAACCCGATCCTGAACAAGCCGCCCCTTTTCCTTACCGTCAAGAAACTCATGAAACTGCTTTGTCGTACAGCAGAGCAAACGCAAGACTCCCTGCGTGCGGCGAAACTCCTCGGTCGAAGAGCCCAGAGGATACTCTCCCAGTAAATCTCGCTTCTTGAGTTCTTCCTTGTGACTCTTGCTCAACTTGGGAAACACCACATCGTCAATGTAGACGTCATCAGACGGATTCTCATCAGGGATGAATCCATATTCCAGCAAGTTGTAGTCGTTAGAGTGCCTACTGTATGAGATGAACAGCTCTTCACCCTTCCTGTACGCCCGATCCGCAACTATATGATACGCATCAGGCGAATAATACACTTTACACCCATCATCTGAATGGTTAAACAAGTCGGCCACTGGAATTAACGCCAGCCTATCTTCCCAGGGGTACTTCAACGTCTCCGGCGTCTCGTTGTAAAACGTCCGTGTATTGACAATCATCCAGGCATACGTATACTCCTCATACGGAACCTCCGGAAATGCATCCCTGAAGACACTCCAGCCGCTCTGAAACTCCTTTTCACGTTTCCGGAGGTTATCTCTTGACTCCAGAGGCAAAAGATCACTCAGCTCCCTCGGCCACAACATGGGAATGCCTGCTTCGAAATCCTTCATCTTTGGCAGCACAGCTTTCCACGGCTTAAAGTAAGGACTATTGTCGAGTGCCAGGTCCGCAGCCAGCAACCCCTGGATAGTCGTGTCTGCGGGCAACTTCTCCCGCACGCTCATAGACACCGACTCCAAGCGGCGAAGAACCCGGAGAGGCACCGTCAGGATCTCCTCTTCAGCCTATTTTTTTTTGGGCGAGCAAAACGTTAGACCCATCCAAGTGCGAGTGAGACACCCAACAGGTCCGCTGTTTACCTTGATTTTGCGCGTAGCGAGAATCCCTGTGCCTCTGCCAGGGATGCTGCTGGGCTCGATGCCTCTGATGACTACGCCGGACACTTTCGCCCATGTTATGAGATTCTGCAGATGCCCCATGATCATGATGAAAGGAAAGGAAACGGTTCAAATTGGGAAGACAACAAAAGAAATCTAATTGATCATGATTCTCGACATATTGGTAGGAGAAAATGAGGGAGTGTTGCCGGCATTGAGTAGGAAAGACAAAAGCATGTCACGATAATGGGATCCCCTTTTAGATGGCGTTTGTTAAGCTTTCATCACGATATACCGCCACTTGGGCGCATATTCGAGGTATATCCGATTACCCGGATAACAGCCATCTTTTTCTTGCTCTAACTCCCGTATAAGCAAAACGGACATTGGCCGCCAAAAGGCACGAGCGACGATGCCCGTCTGTTTCACGTTCGCGACTGGAATGCATTTACGGAAAATCATCTCGCCGAACTAGCCGCCTTACTAACATTGCATCAACATTTTGTCATGTCAATAGCACAGGCCCTTTTTGCTCCATAGAAAACTGGCGGTGACAATAACAACAGCTGCCTAGAGGTAATATTCTGCGATGTTTACATTCGGATACTTTACTAATCTGTACTCGTTCCATACGATACACAATTCCCATCGAATTTAATCTATGTGATGCATGTGGGCCGGAAAGACAACATGGAAGCCTGGCGATTCTATTCGTTCGTGATGCCAAATGCGCATTGATTGTTATCCACCGTTTACGGCATGCCGAACTGCTGAGAAAGTTCGTGCGTAAGACGTGCATTAGCACACAGGAAAGGAGTGGGTAAACAAACACCAAGACTCCTTATCCCCACGGCACCCACAGTCATTTCTGGTGGTAAACATTGGCTTATAGGGGCAACCCGTGTATCATCTCAGCGCTCTGCAGGAACAGAACGGCTGCTAATTTGCCCCATGCTCGAATATACTCTGTACATACAGTATGCCGGATTAGATGGCCCCGTTCCAGCTCGAAGGCAGCGATATTGCCCATTTGATCATCACCACTTCTCTCCATCTAGCCCCTACTGAATCCTCCTCCTCTTCCGCCTCCTCCTCTACCCCTTCCCCTTCCCCGTCCAAAAGCATGGCCCCCTCTCCCTCTTCCGCCTCCACCACCGCGACCGTGACCCACGTCATGTTCTTGACGCGGCCCCTTGGCTTTCCTCTGCTTCCTCTCTTCCGGACTAGCATCCCACAGGTTGTCAATGCCCAAAAGCTCGCAAAATGCTGTAGTCTGCGGGTTTGTGTACTCGTCGGGCTGGTTATTGACAATCTCAGGCGTGCCGAGAACATATGGAGGCGCTGTGATCTCAAAGTTTTCCGGCACATCTATCTTCCCCTTTTGCACAATATTCTCTTCAACCCATGCCCTCTCTGCTTCAATCAGGGGGAGATAGTTCTCCTCGCCTAAATCTTCAGGCACTTGGGCTGTGTGATCACCAAAGATGTTGAATTTGTGAAAGGCACGTGTGATGGCTAACCACTCAGCATCGTACTGAAGTCGATACCGAGGGCCCGAGGCTTGCGGTGGATGTAGTGATAGTTGCTCCTGTTTGAACGGCTGAACCTCGCATAGCTGAAGGAAATGTCGTCCAGGTAGACACTTGTCTAATGATAGAAAGCGGACTTCTTTGTTTTTGATGCCTGGGGGGACTGGTTGGCCTGGTGTGCGCCTCGGCTTTGCTGTGGGACGAGCAAATGATGCTGGCAGCTGTGCTCTCAGATCTTCAGGAACATCGCCAGTAGTTATCCCAGCTTCTGCAGTCACATCTTTGGTGGTATCGCCAGGCTTTTCGACATCTTCGTCGTCCATGTCCAAGTCAATCTCGTCAGGATTATCTTGGACAGGAGGTGCCGCTTCAGGGGGGTTATCCACCTGAACAACCTCTTTTGCACCTGATGCATCGTACTTCTTGAGGGCGGCGAATTTCACATGTAGATGTGCAGAGAACCAGTACTGTGGTCGTAGCCGGTCCATGACATATTCCGCAGCCACACTGCCGAGAGACCCATCCATAGATTCGCGTCTCAGAAATGGCTTTATTCTGAATAATGCATCGAGATCTCCGTGAGTCTCGACCTGTCGTGGCCAGTCGTGGCTTAGGCCGACGTCAACCTGCGTCTGTAGCAGCAACAACTTTCGAACATCAATCTCTCTAACCGAGTAGAACGATTTGACGTCGCTGCCAGTGAAAGGAATCCGTTCATGGTGCGGCTTGCGGTAGTTCATGCCTCTCCAAATTCCAGACATGCCAGCAATGCGAATTGGCCCCAGCCGGATGACGTTGGCAGCCCCGAGATAGTAGATATTGGGAGCAACCCAGCCGCCGTAGTAGAGCTCCCAAGCATGGGAGGCAGCCTCGTGATTCCCGCCGATGAAAATGGTCAGGTAGGGCGCTTTCTTTCTGCCGGCGTAGTAGTCGTGAAAGTCGCCGAGTTTGCGATACTTGACGGGACAGGACATGACAGTCAAGTCGGCCGCATTGCGCACAGCCTACGAATATCAGCAGCATGCACATAACTTTAGATAGCTCATATGGTAAGTACCTGAAAATCACCTCCAATGATAAGCACATCGACGCCATCCCAGCCGCGCTCTTGGGCAGACTGCTCGACGGAGGTGTATATCGCGTTGAGCTTGGCATGGCCCTGAGAAAAGAAAGCAAGTCAATTGAAGTTCATCACCAACAGCCGACAGAGACACAGTATAGAGAGACTCACGCAGCCCTCCACAGCAATGCGAACACCCTGAGATTCGAATGCTGCCATTTTCGAGGTCGAATGCCCAAAGGGTTGTCGAAAAAGAAAGGTGAATGAGTTGGGCTTAGCGCGTGTCCACGCCAATGGGACTGGGCGTAAAAGGTGTCTGATATGTTTGCTAGACAGCATGAAAATAGCCTCCAGGCCAGCCAGAATCACTGCTATCAACCCGTTCGCCCTAAAAAGAAGGGCCGACGCCTACGATTATGAATGGTTCATCGGAACTGGGATATTTTGCACCAGCCAGGATTGAGTTGAGTCACAGAGCTTGATATGCAGCCACTGTGGCTTGCTTGTAAGAGTCACAGTTGCTGCATCTGCATGCATATACAGGAATGAAAGAGTCATCTTTCCTTGTCCATGTTTAAGGGATGTTTTCGTTGGCAATTGTAAAGTAACAAGTCGTTGATCATATACATTTATGGATTCGTAGGACATGTTACTCCATCAGTACAAGTAATACGGAGAGTGGTACGTTTACAAAGAGTAAAGCATTCAGCTAAGCATGTGCCCCTACAAAAAAAGCGAGATCTCAATGTAAGAATTGCGAGTCAAGCAGAGTGAGAGGAGTGCAATCAATCTTCCAAATCTAATAGACGTTCAACCCACGGAGGAGTGAGAGAGGAACGCATATGCTGAGATGGATGTCACCAAAGGATCATCATCATGAGTATCACTGTAAACACAAGTTGCTGCTGTGATTCGTTATTCTTAGTATTAGGGACGAGGCGCATTGCTTTCCTCTTCTAGTTCGTAATCGGTGTGGTATCATATTTCGTCTCATAATCTTCTTCTTCTTCTTCATAGATCATCCATGGCAGTGCACCATTCATTTCGTGCTCATGTTGGCCCTGTTAAATAATGTTAGAAGCGCCTATAGCTCGACTCCCACATGGCTTACTGATCCAAGCCCAGGTAATCGGCCGCGGCCAACAGCTCAAGGCAGAGCTCTACAGGAATGTCCATGTCGGGCACGTCTTCGCTGTTTCTGTAACGGTACCAGTAGTGGAAGTACTCGACCACTTTGTCGAGCACCATTCCGCTGTCGGGAGGAGTCAGTCAGCCAGTTCGGACACGATGTGGAATCATGGCAGCAGGCATTTCCAAGGTGGTTTTTTCTCTTGGTCGGTTCAAGTGTAGTTGCAATATCAGCCAGACCAGCGAGCACACTCTCCCGAGACAATGAGTCTGGGTGAGATGGCAGCGTTCTGTCAAGTAATGCTCGTGAATTGTCGTCACCCCACGCAGACATTTCATCGCTGTGCATTGTACATCTTACCTCATCTCTTGGAACACGCATCTGGCGTCCTTGGCCTCGACGAATTGACCTGCACAAACATGTGAGCAGGCAGAGGAACAAATAAGAGATATTGGTGGTTCCCGGGGTGTTCTTCACGCACTCCTCGGGTCCAGCATGCCCTTGATGATCGGGCTCACCATGGCAGCCTCACGCAGCACGACAAACTCGAAACCGTCTCCGGAAACGAGCGTCACGTACTTGCTGGGCGGAGCGAGATCCATGGTGACTTTGCACAAAAGCAAGAAGGAAGAAGAAGAAATTAAAAAAGGAGAATCCACGTGTGGTGGAAAAAGAAAAAAGAGCTTTATACTGCAAATTTCGACTCGCCGTGCTCGCGTCTACACAGACTGAACTAGACAAGTTAGAATTTTCGCGAGCGGCTAATGCACGGACCAACCTCGGAGCCGGAACAACCCGCCCCAGCCACTCGCCAATGTCTGTCACGTCAGTGCACCGCCATCCGTTGCCCGGCCAACTGTTTACTCAGCCCTTTGGGCTCCGGTTTCCATGTCCCCCGTCTGCACCAGCTGCAGCAACAAGTCCTTGTCCCACCAACTGTCTCGTTGCCCGGAGCGAACAGCAATAGCAACAGCAGAGCCAAGTACAACATCGTCATTCCCCCCCCAGCCTCTGCATCCCGTCCGTCTTGCAAACCTTCAGCTACGGGGGCTGCGCTACAGTCGAACAGTCGCCGCATCGTATCCCACACCGCCGCAGCTGCTTTATTCATCTAATCTCTTTTTTTCTTTTTCGTGTTATTTTTTTTTCTTTTGCCCTTACACCGCATTGTTCCTTTACTTGCATGCCGGCCGGATCCTCTGTTTCTGCCGCGGTGCCCACTCCTATTCTTTGTTGAAGCAGCTTCAGCATTCCAGTCGAGAGAGGAGACCACCATTGGCTGCCTGAGACAAGCTCTCTCTCCCAGCACCCGCTCCCATCATGGCGGCGTATCAGAACCGCAACTCGCAATATGCGACGGGCAGCAACGAGAAGCGCGGCCAGCGCACCCGCTCCAGCGAGGGAACTGTCAGTACAACCATGAGCTCATCGTCAGGCCGCGATTCAGCAGCGACTCACGTAACGGAGGCCCCGACATATTCGAAGAAGATTGTCGTTGTAGGAGACGGTGGATGCGGCAAAACATGTCTGCTCATCAGCTACAGCCAGGGCTATTTCCCAGAGGTAAGCAACCCCCCAAGGCTCCAGCCGCGGCCGCAGCCTTGTCGCCTTTTTGTTTTGTCGCGTATCTTGCACGAGAAAACGGATACTGACGGCCGCCTCCCTCGCGGGCAGAAATATGTTCCTACAGTATTCGAAAACTACATCACCTACCCGACGCACCCGCCCACCGGCAAGACGGTAGAGCTCGCCTTGTGGGATACCGCCGGCCAAGAAGAATACGATCGCCTCCGTCCCTTGTCGTACCCGGAAACCGACCTCATCTTCGTTTGTTTCGCCATCGATTGCCCCAACTCTTTGGACAATGTCATGGATAAGGCATGGCCCCCCCTTTCTCTTTCCCCCCTTTAATCTGAACCGGCATACGTCACTCGTCGGCGTCTTCAAATCTGCTAACTCTGGCCACAGTGGTACCCCGAGGTTCTGCATTTCTGCCCTTACACCCCCCTGATTCTGGTCGGCCTGAAATCAGATCTCCGACACAAGAAATCCTGCATCGACATGCTCAAGACCCAGGGACTCACGCCTGTCACCGCAGAGCAGGGAATGGCTGTTGCCAAGAAGATGGGAGCCCATTATATGGAGTGCAGCAGTAAGGAAATGCGAGGTGTCGACGAAATCTTCGAGCAGGCCATCATGACTGTTGTGGCCAACGACCGGAGGAACATGGAGACGCCTGCCGCGTTAGCTGCGTCCGCAGGCGATGGGAAGACACAAGCTCCCGTGGTAGGGGGCCTTAAGAGGAAGAAGAGAAAGTGTCAATTTCTCTAAAGGGCTCGCTCGAAATCTCCGAATGCTCATCATTTTCTGCACCGGCAGCAGAAGGCAGCACGCCGTCGAGGGTGGATTTGGTTTGGGCGTCGAGAGCGGGTTGCGGATGCAGATGCGGATGTGGACGCGGACGTGGATGCGGATACCGAAATTGTAATGACCATCAGACGATTCCTTTACGACGATTTGCGCCCCTTTACGAACGACGTCCAACGGCTATGGTCCACGATTCTCAAGACGATGAAAGCGAGGTGGTGGGAGACGAGCTGCTGGTGCATCTCTCTCCTCGAAAGAAAGCTACAGCCTGGTATATAAGCGGGAGTCCGCGTGGTTGATTTAAACATATTCGAGCCGGCCTCTTTTTTTGGATTTGCGCTTCAGGTCCTGCTATGCTAGCCTTTTGACGCATGGAAGGGAAGGGCGGATTGTGGGAGCCACGAACTTTTTTAAACGCAACTAGGAAACGGCGGTGGTGACGTTTTTTGCGAAACTTTGTGTGGTCTTTTAGTACTTTTTTTTTTTTTTACTATTCTCTTTTGTTTCGTGTTTCTTTTTTTCTATCCGCTTTTGCGTCTTCTCTTATGTAGCATGATACTGTTGAGTTCAATCAGGTTTGGGATTGGGAGATTAAAAAATCATCATATTCACACCCCTATACCGGCTGTCTCTTCTCTTCCCTACTTTCAACCCCCCTATTTCATTTCCGATCCAGCGATCGTGTTGTAGTGATAGTGATAGTGTAGATTATACAAAGCGTAGATGGGCTGGGGTACTTTGGTGGAGGGGGGTATCTTTTGCCCATGCGTGCTGTAGCAATATAATCTCTCGTTTGTTGTCCGCTTCTCTCTCTCTTTTGGGTATCTTTATCTTTATCTTTACTCTTGCATTGTCTCGTCGTCGTCGTTGTGCTTTGCGGCGTCTTGTTGGTCGGTCTGTTTATTGGATTCTTCGTCTTTGCCCATTACGTTTTCGAATTGTGACCAGAGGGCTTCTACAGAGGAGAATTCATTGCCGACCTAACTCCAATTATTAGCCCATATTCATTTAAATCTCGGGTAATTTGTTTTGAGGGGGACGAACAGCGATGATGGCCTCGAGGGATCGATTCAATTTGTTGATGTTGCCGAGGACTTGTTCGAAGCTCTAATCCCCACCACCCGCGACGTCAGTATAAAAGCGCGTGGCGAGGTGTCTTTGCTATAAAGGAAAGGAACGTACTTCGGCAATGTCGCCGACGAGGGCTTCTCGTTGCTGTTCGAAATACGCTCTGCTGCTTGCTGTGCCGGCGCCGCTGGTGCGAGAGTCCATTGCGAGGACCGGCTGCTGCTGCTGCTGTTTAGATGCTTTATACTGTCGTGTTGCTTTGTTTTTTGTTCGGGGTGAAGTGGATTGATTATTGAGTATGGGTGATTTTGTTGGAGTGTAGGAGGGAAGCTTTTGAGGTTGCGCGACGCGTTGAGTGGCTGGAACGTTATCCTGCAGCTTCTCCAACTTTGCTGTAGCTCATGGTGGGGTTGGCGTGTTTGTCTCTTTTGCCAATAGTGCCCCGCCCGTATCATTCTCCAATTCGATGTTAACACAATTGGAGGAGGCTATTCTATTTCTAACATCAAGTTTCACACAAGAAGATGTGAAATCAAAATTCATATACTGAAGATATACTTCATTGTTCGAGATAAATATCATACAATATCGCCACAAAGCGATCCTCCACAACCAGCAATCTCACACTGCAGTCCTGTCCAAACTCAAAAACATCCTATAACAGTCGCAATTCCATAAACAACACGTTTTTAAACAAAGAGTAAACACACCAGATCCCCTCCCTCCGATTCACAATTGGCCTCCATCAACATTGCATAAACCCACCCGGAGACTTCCTATATAATCACCCCAGTACCCTAAAGTGCCCTCTATAGATTTACACCCAACTCGTGTAGATTGATGACAGTAAAGACGCGTATACAAAAACTTGGAAAAGCAACGAGCAATGGCAAGGCAAAACACATGGATTATAATGAGGACTCCTCATGTTATTTTCCCTTGCTCATCCAATGGTCGTCAACAGGCGCTCTTCAGCGTCCGAACCTATCAGGGTGCCTGTCGTACTCGTGAGGTCGAAGACTGCCCCGGTTCATTATGTCACGCGGGTCTCTCGGGTCTCTTGGATCTCTGGGGTCTCGCAAGTCTCTTGGGTCTCGATCTCGCGGATCTCTTTGATCTCTCGGGTCTCTCGAGTCACGTGGCTGCATCTCTCTTGGGTCTGGTGCTGGATAAACATGTACTTGAGGCTGAGGAGGTGGCGGCCCGCGGCTATCGTAAACACTTGGAGTATAGCTTCGGCTAGGCGGAACATCTCTTGGATCTCTTGGATCTCGAGGGTCGCGAGGGTCCCGAGGATCTCGTGGTGGCGCCGGCCCGGGAGTTGACGTGTAACGCGGGTATGGCTGAGCACTAGAAGACATGGGCTCCGGCGCTCGCGTCGTCTGCGGATAGCGAGACTGTAGCGAGTGTTGCTGCGACAAGCCCGAGGTGCCCTGTCCGTATATTGAAGGAGGCCGGTCATCTCTCAGAGACATGTGCTGTTGGGACGGTGGAGCGGCTGCTGGCCATGCCGGAGCGGGAGTCCCTGGTTTTGTCGAAGGGTGCTGGGATCCCCAAGCCGGTTGGGAGTGCGGAGGAGGCGCCTGTGTTGCCTTGGGAGGTTGAGACGGCCAGCTGTTGCCTTGTGATCGAATATCAGAAGGCTGAGCTTGATGGCCAGACGACGGCCATACGTTGTCACGGCTACTTGGTGGAATTTCACGGCTCCTTGACGATGAGTGAGTTGCGTACTGCTGCGTCGGCGGCGAGGTAATATGCGCCGGCTGAGGCCCTCCTCCGTAGGCTGTGGGATATCCTGTCTGAGACTGATACTGAGATTGACTGGACTGCGGAGGTGGAGGGTAACGCTGCGACGTCTGGGGAGAGTTTGTTCCGCTTGCTGGATGGCTTTGTGGATATGCATGCCGTCCATAATAATCAACCTCTACCGCGGAATCAGATGGCATGCTTCGGTGTCCACTGATATGTTGCGAGGAAGCTGGCGAGGAAGAATAAGGAGGTTTTAGAGAAGGCATGGCCGATGGTCCACTGGATGGCGTTCGTCCATAGGGAGAGTAGTGAGAGTCTGTTTCCCGGCGAATCGGAGGAGCCTGTGTAGATGCGGCCGCAGGTGGTGGAGGCCGACCGATACCCTGGGATGGCGGCGTTGAAGATGGTCCAGGTGTGTGACTTTGCGTAACCTCAGCGACCCGCTTAGGGGGCGGAGGATCATCGTTCAAAAGCGACATGATATTTGACTTTCGAGGCTCAGGCGGTCGAGCAGGTGTAAGAGAGGGCATTGAAGAAGGGTGCTGAGGAGGCGGGGCAGCTGCACCGTAAGGTTCGTGTGGAGGCCCTGATGAGATCCTTTGGGGAGGAGGCTGGGTTGGCCTTGAGGACGGAGGCGCCAGTGGAGGTGACTGTACCGCTACGGGGTCAGAAAGCAGCGACCGCATTGGCTGCTGTGGCGGAACCGACGTGGGATACGGTTGAGGAGCAACAGAACGAGGTTCTTGGGATGATGGTCTCGTTAGTGAAAATGGCTCGCGAGGGCCTCCGCCGTGGCTAAGCTGCTGTCGATGGCCGCCATACGGTTCATAACGATGGAGTGGTGCTTCAGATTCCTGCTTCATTCTCATCGATTGCTGCTCTGCTTGTCGGAGTTCTCTCTCCCTCTCCCTCTCGCGCTCACGTTCACGCTCCATTTCCATTTCCCTTTCACGCATGAGCTGCTGTTGCTGTTGCTGCTGTTGTTGCTCCCTATGCTGCTGCTCCCTGTGCTGTTGCTCTCTGTGTTGCTGTTCTCTTTGCTGTTGCTCTCTGTACCGCTTCTCCATATTCATCCGGTCTAGCTGAGCAGCACGTTCACGTTCCGCAAGCACATCGGAATGTGCTGGCTGCAGAGGCTGTGCCACAGACAAGGGGCGAGAGTCTCGGAGTTCTGGAACTTGGCTAGCAGAAGGCTTCTGCGGTAGCGGGACTCGCTGGGGTTGAGCAGGTTCGCGCTCGCGTTCTGGGAAGCCGAAAGGCGGCAACGCTTGGTGCAAGGTGCGGGCATTGGGGGATATGGATTGCTGCGTGGCTTGGGGCACTGAATGAACCGGTACCGCAAGAGGTGCCTGGTTAGGTTGTGCTAGAGGAGCCTGGGCCGGAGCCTGGGCAATCGGCACTCCGTAACTAGGTATATGCTGCGTTTGCCTCAATGGCTGAGGAGGCGCGGGTTCAACCTTGGGCTGTGGAAGATCGCCATGAGGGTCGGCAACTCCTGGAGCCACCGCAATAGGCCTCGAAGTACCAGATGCGGTGCCTTCAAATCTCCTACCACGCCCACCAGTGGTGGGCACAGGAGGATCAGGCCTTTTCTCTCCTCTAGCTCGCTTCGCATCCGCCTCTTGAGCAATTGCCTCCCATTCTGGTTTTCCAGAATCCTTCTGTCGAACGTAGTAATTCTTCACCTAATGGTTTGATTCCACATTAGTAGAATATTCTCAGCTCACGAGGAAGGATACATACCATGACTGTTGTCTTTGAACCCATGTATTTCGCAATTGCTGACCAATCAGTACCGAATGCTCTTAGAAGGTGTGGGAAGTCATTGGCTTCAGACACGCTCCAATAGCTCGATGCCTGAGATAGCTGCTTCCGTTCAGGGATGGCCTGCGTCAAGTTAAAGGTGGTGATGGATGACGGAGGAGGTGGCGGTGGTTCTGGTCGAAGTGAAGGTGCTGCCATGACTTCTGTGATGGATCCAGGGACGGCTACAGGCTTTGGCCTCTCAATGAGCTGTGGCTGCGGCACGGCAAACGGTGGCTGGATACCTGCTTGCAAGGGTTGTTCGTACTGCACCGGCAAACGATGAGGGTCGGAAGGAGGAGGGCCCGGCAGGTATTCCGCAGCCACTGGGCGGGAATCGGCTCGGCCTCTTCCTTTCCCGGCTGCGGGTCCCGGCGCGGCGGCGAGTGTTTGGTTTGGCTTGGACGCCTTGGCCTCTTTGTCCTTTTCCTTTTCCTTGTCTTTGTCCTTATCCTTGGCCTTTCGTCTTCCCTTCCTTCCATCCACCTTTTCGGGCTGGTCACCTCTAGAAGCAGCAGATGCCCCGCGACGCCCAGGAGTTGCAGCAGGGGTGCTCTCGCCGTCCGTCTGAGGTTGTTCGAAGTTCCACGTAGGAGCAGCAGCTCGTCGTGGCCTTCGCCTTTCTCCATTCTCGCCGTTTTCCTGAGGTGTCTCTTCTCCTTCCGGCTCGCCGTTGCCGAGCTCCGAGACCAAGGCGCTGGATCTCTGTTTGCCCCGGCCACCCTTCTTCCGCCTCTTTGGCTGCTTCTTTAACTTTTCTTTGAGATTCAGCTCTCCCTTCATCAGATAATAATACTGAATGCAGGCGCGGAAGTCACGATTTGGAAGAGCCTCAGCAATCTTACCCCATTGCTTGGGACACTCCAGATAGCGCTTCTCGAAAAGATGGGCTTCCTCTTCTGTGAAGTTGTTGACGGGTTGAAACACATGCCATGCAGCAACAAGCTTTTCTGGGGGGGTGAATCCCGACTGATCAAGGTATTGAACTTGTTGCTTTTCCAAATCGTCCCAGTACATGTCCGGAATTACAGCTTCCTTGTCGCTGCGATACTTTTCCTGTTGGATTCGCAACTCTCGTTCTTTTCTCTCCTCATCTTCTCGCATGGAGGCTTGAAGTACACGTTCAAGGTCACGCTCTGTAGCAAATCTTCTACCTGTTCCCCTGCCCTCCGGTTTCTGCTCAGGCGTTGGAGTACCTGCAGTATCTGAGGGAGCCGAGACCGAAAACTTATCTCTGCTCTTTGTTGCCACAGGGTCATCCGACATGGTATACTCAAGATATTGCATGTAGTTTTCAGCATACTCCTCCTGTGCGCGCCGTTGTTCGGTCGATCTATCGAGGTGCACCTTCTCAAGATACATGGCAACGAAATTATCAACAACAGGGTCCGATTCCAACGTTGCCAAGAATTCCCTATCTTGGTACCAGAGCGGGTGATCACTATATTCGTCGGGAAGACTGTCCACAGGCGGTGTTGACATATATCGTCGGACAGTGGCAACAGCAGCAGCAGCTTGGACCTCCATGTACGCCTCATCTTCGGTTTCTGTCTCGTCATCTTCGTCTGCTACTTGGGATGGAGTGCTTGGAGGCTTGGTCTCTATTTCGACAGGTTTCAACAAGGTGGTGGCTTCGTCAATAGGTGCCAAGGTCTCTTCGGCGGTCGGAACAACTTCGGCTTCTTTATCTTCTTTGGTAGAGCCGTCTATCGTAGTTTCGATCATCGGCTCCGGTTCGTTATTAGGCTCAGGGGGTGGAAGCCTCGGTTCGTCATCGATGTCCATTTCTTCCGCCTTGGGCTGGCGATCCTCTGGCTCTTGCGGAATAACTTGTTCAACCTTTTCCTCCTTCTCTTCTTCAACTGGGGCTGGAATAAGTTGATCGTTACCAGGGCCAGGCTCTTTCACTTGAGTGGTTTCCTCAGTTTCTTTTGACACAAGAGGCTCGTCGTGAGAAATAGGGGGCTCTTCGTTTTGTATCTCGGCAGGTTCAATTTCCATCTTTTCGACCACGGGCTCGGGACTGGTTGGAATTTCGCCCAACATCTCTGACAATCCTTCTCCTTCGTTCAGTATTTGTACCATTGACCCATGCGATAGAGCCATGTAACGCCTAAGTATTTCCACTGGCAAGTCCGGCTTTTGCAGTTTGCTCAATTCAGCTTCGGTCTTGTTGATTTCCATATCGAAATAATCGCCCATATCTTCGTCGTCGGATTCGGGAGGCTCTTGCGGTTGAGTTTTCTTCGGAGGTAGAGAAAATCGAACGGCGCGGACCTTGAGCGGCTTGTGCTTTCGTTTCACAGGCGCTGCCTCAGCAGGGCTTTTCGTTTCTTCGGTCGCTCCATTTTCCTGCGGCTTTGGAAGTGAGTCAAGCTTCAAGGAAGTAGAAGGCTGTCCAACAGAGTGCGCCGGAGATGCAGGAGGTTTTGCATCGTGATCCATCGATTCTGGCGGTTCGTAATCGGCCACGTCATTTGGCAGTGGCTTTTCGAGTTCACTTCGTATAGTTATCTCGCCCGGTTCCTCACTATGATGAGCTCGCATTCTATTCTCTACCCCCAAGTAAGGATCTGACTTTTCATCACTACTACGCGGTCGCCTTGGGTCAGAGGTATCAACTTGTGAGATGCCCCGTTGCAGCGGAGGTTGAGGTGGGATTGGTCGTTGTTGGACGAAGCTTTGCGATCTCATTACCTTGGGCGACTCGGGTGGCTGTTTCTTCAGACTCGGATTGATCCATTGTTTGCTCGATGGGCGAGGGGGCTTGGGTTGCTGCAGTCTGGGGCCCAGAGGGATAGGAGGGCTGTCGTGCGGTAAGACTTTTGAGGGTCCAGTGGGTGGCTGAGGAGTCTCGGGAGCTCCAGAAGCCTGCCCTGCAGACACCGGACGCTCTCCAAAGGCGCGGGGAGCAGTCGGTGGTGGCTTAGTCGTGACAGCGGCCGGGGTAGCCTGCGCATCGCCAGTACTCGGAGCCCGGTTGGGCACAGATCCAAATGCCGGGGCGGATGGTGCTACAGGAGGGGGTGAAACGTCTTTGACTTGCGCGGCGGATTCCTGAGCCGCTCGCGCTTCCACTTTGGCACGGAAGAGCTCACGATTTTCCCCTCGATCCCTCTCATCGCGTGGGTCGCGAGCTTCTGGGTATCTGTCAGGACGCTCGCGCTCGTCGCGCTCACGTGCCCAACGGCCTTCCTGAGAGCGACTGCGCTGGTAGCGGTCGTTACGGTCGTCATACGGGACTCGTCCTCGTCCTCTCTCAATAGGCCAGTCGCCTCGTCCACGGCCTCGTCCACGGAAGCCTCCACCTCGAGAAAATGGTGGTGCGTTGAAAACAGGCTCGGACGATGAAGAGCCGGCTGATGGAGGGCCACCATCACGAGAACCACGACGGGACCTGTCTGCGTCTAGCCCCGGAGGGATATCCCGATCACGAAAATCTCGCGTCGGCGATCGTGCTCTTCCAATTGGTGATCTGCGCAGCCTGAAGTCTCTCTGCTCTCGCCAGTCCCGTTCTCGCTCCCGGCTTCTCTCATCTCGATATCGGTCTCGGTCTCGAAAGTCGATGTCTCTGTCCCTTCCCCTATCGCGGCTGTCGTCTCTGCCAGGCCACCCTCTCCCTCCTCTCCCTCGCCCCCGTCCGCCTCTAAAGTCGCCGGCAAACCCTCCTCCTCTCGGCCCGGCGGGAGGATCTATCAGCGCCTTGGGGCCACGAGGAGGTTCTCGGCGCAACGGATCCGCGAATACGTCCCTACCTTGGGAGAATGGCGCCGGATTTGTTCTGGCTTCTGCAGACGAACGGCGCCTATCGCTATCGCTATAGTGTGATGCCCGATCAAAGCGGTCCGGGGAGCGATCTCCTCGAGGAGGAGATCTGGACCGCCGGTCCCCGTCGTATCGGTGCCTGAACGCCCTGTAACAGGAAGTAGTGTGAGTAAGATGACCAGTGACAAATGTAGGAGACAATCGCGACTTGTCTCATGGTGCAGTCGATGGCGCCGACCAAGGTTCAACAACGGCTTCTGCTGCGATTCGAGCGCGGTACGTACATGATGAATGGCGGGCCAGTGCCGGATGAGATCCTGCATAAATCCCGCAGGTCCCATCCAGAGGCCGGCGGTGTCGCGAAACCGGCACTGGAGATGCGTAACGAAGTCGGCTTCCGTGGTGTTGATCACGAGAATCTCAATCGCTCACTTCCTCGGCTAACAGGCGTCTCTGCCCCGTTGCAGCGCAGGGGGTGGCTGGGAAAGTCGATATCAACAGGCAGCAGACCTCAAAAAACCAAAAGAAAATTGTAGCGACGATGTCGGACTAACGTGCTGCGAACTATCCCAAGGTATCGATGCAAATGGCCGTCAGAGGCTGGAATGATGAAGGAGCTGAAGATCTCGAGGTCCACAGAGAGACTTCAAAATACATCCAGATCGCGTGGCGCTTGAACAGTACAGGCAGTCTTCTTTGCCGCGAGACGCTAGGCGCTAGTCTATTCTGAGCCTTACTGTTACCTGTCCCCCCGGCAGTCAGCGGGGGCTTGGCGCTGTCGACGTGGAAAATTACTAATATGATACCTGAGGCGGTTAGTGCCACGGGCGGGACTAGCCCCGTTATGAGATTAATGGAAACTCAAAAGAAAAAAAGCAGAAAAAATTCCAATCTTTTGCTAGCGGATCAAGTTACCCGCGAGCTGTGCAAATTGTGAGAAGACATCAAGTACCTACTCAGTTACTCACTCATATTGAATTAAGCAAACCTGTAAATAAGGAAGCTGTATTTGTTCTTCATCGTATTCATCCTCTGTAACAAGAGGCTCTTTCTTTTCTCGTTTATACACAGCACAACAAGCTCATATTTTATACTGAGCATTCCCTTTCCCTAACATGGCAGAAAACGGCAGCTCAGGTGCGCCTCCGTTGGAGGTCACCAATGCGGTGCTCGTCAAATCAGAGGAAATGCCAAAAGACGCACAGAAAGTAGAAGAACTCGACTTCAATAAGCTAAAGGGGCCTATCACAGCAGAAGATTTATTCCTTGGAATGAGAAATATGGGATTCCAGGCAACTTCAATGAGTGAAGCCATTAGGATTATCAATGACATGGTTAGTATGAGAGAGAGTTTCTCATGGGGAATCGGCTAACGACCAAAAGAGAGCTTGGAGAGACCCCGAAACTGGAGATAAGACGACAATTTTTTTGGGATACACTTCCAACCTTATCTCATCCGGTCTAAGGGGTGTCTTTCGGTGGCTGGTGGAGCACAAGCATGTCTCATGCATTGTCACAACAGCCGGAGGAGTAGAGGAAGATTTCATCAAGTGTCTCGGCGAAACATACATGAGCTCCTTCAGTGCTAACGGCGCCGACCTGCGGAAAAAGGGCCTCAACCGCATCGGAAACCTCGTCGTCCCTAACGCCAACTATTGCGCTTTTGAGGACTGGGTGGTGCCCATCTTTGACAAGATGCTGGAAGAGCAGGAAGCCAGCAAAGGAACCGAAAACGAGATTCACTGGACGCCTTCAAAGGTTATCCACCGCCTGGGCAAGGAGATTAACGACGAGCGCTCAGTGTACTACTGGGCTTACAAAAACGACATTCCCGTTTTCTGTCCTGCTTTGACGGATGGCAGTATTGGAGACATGCTCTACTTCCACACGTTCAAGAGTTCGCCACAGCAGCTACGGGTTGATCTGGTAGAAGATATTCGACGCATCAACACAATTGCCGTTCGAGCCAAACGAGCAGGCATGATTATCCTAGGAGGCGGAGTCGTCAAGCACCACATTGCAAACGCATGCCTCATGAGGAACGGTGCAGAATCAGCCGTCTACATTAACACAGCCCAAGAATTCGACGGTAGCGATGCCGGCGCGCGTCCAGACGAAGCAGTATCTTGGGGAAAGATAAAAATAGGGGCAGATAACGTTAAGGTTAGTACTCCCCCCTATCCAGGGCCCTCGTGAATATGAGCTGACGTGAAGCAATAGGTCTATCTCGAGGCGACGGCTTGCTTTCCATTTATTGTGGCGAATACTTTTGCGAAAGATATTTAGACATAGATTAGAGCCACTAAAGGTCTAAAATTACAGCCATGACCACAGTTGCTCCATTGCTTTCAAGACTTTTAAGACGCCTATGATTCCCCAATTAGCTGTCCGAAGCTACTAAGCGCGGAAGCCCAGTCAGAAGCCCCGTCTCCCTCTGCCCATACTCCTACAGTCTCTATGCCTTCCAAGTCTTCTTCCATGTGAGTCTGGCTTGTTGTGCCATCCAAGATGGTAGTTCCCTCCAGTCCTAATACCATTGAATAAAACGCCGCAACTGCTCCTACCCCGGCCTTCTGCGCTACCTCTCGCACAGGGCTGCATTGAAGCAGATGTCTGTTGGCGCTGATGGTCCAGAAAGATTGGAATACGATTTTCTGTTCACGGCAAAAAGCCCTAAGCTCGGTTTCATAGCCAGTTCTGTTGTGGAAACGATTCTGCACGACAGCGGGCTTAACGGTCATGTCATTGAACAAAGCTTGTAAGATTGGGAGTGTAGTGTTGGATATCCCAAGGTTCCGAATCTTGTGCGGCGTATAGGTTTCGAGAGTCTTCCACACAGTTATCGTCTCTTGCATAGTGTCCATGGGCGAATGGAGCACTAGGCTATCCAGATATGGCTCTTGGCCTTCAATACTAAAATTGGCTAGAGAGGACTGCACAGACTGATGAACTTTGTCCGCCAGCGGAGCGTTCAGATCATATGGAGCGACGTTATTCTGCCCAGCTGGGGATGTAAATTTGGTCTGGATCTGTCATATGTGTCAACCAGAGTGCTCTAAAAGGAGGATCCTTGATGAGACCACTAGGATCGGGTCGTGCATACGAATAAATCCTCCCGCTTAATGAGGCCTTCCCCCACAGCCCGTTTGACAGCCACACTAACACCACGCTCGTCATAGTGCTTGGGCTGGGCCGCGGTATCGATGGCTCGGAAGCCGGTTTTTAGAGCTAGGTAGACAAGATCCGCGGTTTGTTCCTTCTTCCAGGCAGTGCCATAGATGAGTTTCGGAATTCGAGGGGAGGTTGTCGATAGTCCAAGAGGAAGATCTCGCGCAAGCCGTGATGCTTGCGCCCCAATAGCTGGACGAGCCATGATGGAGAAGTAAAGTAAGCTGATGTGGAATGAACGACAATCAGACCAGTGATTTACTTATTTATTCGATGTTCATCATGGCGTAGGAGATGATGGAAGCTGGACGCTTGCATTGTAAAGTGAAACTTGGAGCTGGTTGTTGTAAGCACATTTCTATTCTCACGCACACAGCAGCGGAGCTCAAGACGCGGGGCAAAGATAGGACGAGGTCACGTCAGGGTTGTCATTATCAGCGTATCTACATGTATCTACTGTGTAATCTACAATCCGTACAGGGGAGATTATATTTCTTGCAACTTACATTTCACACTTAACCGCTACACGGCAATTGGTAAACCAAGATTTTTTTGATCAATTCTTGTCCGACCACAGCAACATACAGTCATATATAGTCTTATCTTCTCCATGTAGCCACCTACTATGCTCTTCAATATTCGGGGTAATTGGCTCCATGAAAAATGACGCCGTCCATTTGAGCCTAATTGGATCGCAAGCTGCCAACCCCACCAAGCGCCGATTTTGTCTCCCCGCCCGCTAGGAACGTTGCCATGAGGTGAGGAGGATTGTGGGTGAGCTATTTGGCTATATCCGTCATAATACGGATGCGAGAGAGAGAAATTGCTGCCGCGGGGCAACTTTGTCCGCACGACCACCGGACTTATGAGGCTGTTGATTGGCGAGCGCGAGGATCAACCACTCCATCTAGTGTGGAGGGCTTAGCCTTGGCTGTTGATTTACGGCGAACTCGAAAAGGATCTTGGGTCTCGTAAAAGAGGGCTGAGTGCTAGTGGCCGAGGATATAAAGAAGCGTCCATTACCTCATGTCTGGGTTAGTTTAGGAAAGCCGTCGTAAACCTTTCATTCGACAAACTCAACCTCAACCACAACCACAACCACACACTCTCATCCACAATGGCGTCCGGAAACCCTTACACTCTAAAATGGGGCATCATGGCCACCGGTGGCATCGCAGAGAGTAAGTATCTAACTGTTTGAACCTGTCTGTATAGAGTCGATCGAATCGCTTGAAACTAACACGGTTCATCAGCCTTTTGCAAGGATCTCCTGTGCAGTCCTGCAGTTCGCGGCGCCGACGATGTGCGCCACGAGATTGTTGCCGTAGCCTCCTCCAGCAGCAGCAAGAGAGCGGCGGAATTCCTCCAGAAGATCAACGGTGCTTTTGACGCCAAGACATACGGATCGTACCCGGAACTCGTTGTCGACCCCAACGTCGACATCATTTACGTAGCAACTCCCCACAGCCACCACTTCCAGAACACCATGCTGGCGTTGGAGGCCGGCAAGCACGTCTTGTGTGAGAAGGCATTCACCGTGACCGCTGCACAGGCCAGGAAGCTAGTTGAGACGGCCAAGGCGAAGAAGCTGTTCTTGATGGAGGCTGTGTGGACACGATATTTCCCGTTGAGCATCAAGGTTCGAGAACTCATTACCTCTGGCGAGATTGGCACCGTCTTCCGAACAATTGGTAAGCCCGAAACCCTAAGGCCAAGAACACAGAAACACAAGGAAGAAGGAAACATACTAACGTGCAACTAGGTGACTTGTCAATCAACTCAAACGCAGAGGAGGGTAGCGGATTGAGCTTCGCAGACTCCCATCGGATGGTCAACCCTGACCTCGCAGGCGGCGCAACTCTCGATCTTGGAGTTTATCCCCTAACCTGGGTGTTCCAGACTCTGTATCACTTACAGCCAGAGCAAGACAAGGAGGCCCCAACCGTGATTGCTTCCAGCAACAAGTACACCACCGGCGCAGACGAGAACACGGCCATCATCTGCAGCTTCCCCGGCCACAGCAGCATCGGCATCGCCTCAACGACCATGCGAGCAGACACCGACCCCGAGAACGTCGTCCCGGCCGTCCGCATCCAAGGATCCAAGGGAGAAATCCAAGTCTTCGCCCCGGCCTACCGGCCGACCAAGTACAGGGTGGTCAAGAAGAACGGCGAGGCCCAGACGTTCGACGTCCCCCAGCCCGCGGACCCTGCGCGCAACAGCTGGGGCCACGGCATGTTCTGGGAGGCGGACGAGTGCGCTCGGTGCTTGCGTGACGGCAAGTTGGAGAGCGCCACGTTGCCCTGGAAGGAGAGCATCGTCATCATGGAGACGATGGAGGAGGCGCTGAGGCAGGGTGGCATCACGTATCCGGAGCTGATTACCACCGATGTGTATGACCCCAAGAGCCCTCTCAACACGGGCAATCAGTGAAGGGAAAAGGGAGAGTGTGGAGACATACGTAAATAAGAGTAAAACATAACATCAAATGGTAAATTGGAAAACGCCAGAAAGCTGGATGCCGTGACTAGCAGCTTCGAGAATATGCGTCCTTGACGTATGTGACAAGTGACAGGCCACCCCATCTAGGAAGTTTTAGATCCGGCACCCATCCCCTGACACGATGGATTGCTCAATCCCACACGGCATCGGGCGTAGTCTTTTGTAGTCAAGTGCTTCGTATACAAGTCAGATAGAACCCGGCCTTGGACTATGAGCTACCGTATATCCCATGCACGAATAACTGCTTTGCGTAAAGACCAGATTTCCACCCCATATTTCATCTTCCAGCCCGTCTCACCTCTTGTCCATCAAATATCTGAACATCATAGCTAAATACGGAGTACACGATAAGAATATGTCGTCCACGATGGAGTCTAATGGAGTCCCAACTATCCATGACCCTTTCCGGGGCAAATGACCACATCCGCCCATGTCCTCCGTCCTCCCCGACTTTGTACTTGTACATGCACCGCAAGGGTGTCCCAACAACCACTGCAGAATTGTCAGGGTGTAAAAAGAACAAAAAAAGAATACATCACAAGTACTATCTTTTTTTTAAAAAAGAAAACCAGCAAGGGTCCTACATCTCGCACAACAACCAAAAAAAACGACAGATTAGCTTTGCTGCTTTCCCCCACGCGGATACCCCGTAGCGAAAAAATATTGTTCCGCCAACCCAAATTTTTTGTTACGGGCACGCCCACCCACGGATGAATTCTTTTTTTCTTCTGTTCTTTTTGTGAACCATTGCACGGATAGTTCCCCACTTTCCGTGTTTGAAACTTTGACGACAGACTTACTTTTTGATATCTTGAACGTCAAACGGAGGGGCCATTTTATACAGATCAGATAATACATACGGCCGGCAACACAGATTGGATAATCTCATTCATTCTTTCCGTCTCGCATATTGACATCAATTCATACATACATCCAAGCCAAATACCATCACTTCTCATTTCCGTTCTCATCTCAAAGACAATCTCAACCTCAACCACACTTCCTCAAAACACCAAAAACCACCACATCACAACTCATCCCCACCCTCACTCCTCCCTCCCCAACAAAAATGCAATCCTCCTCACCAGAGGCCTACGAGGCCACCCACGTCCACTCCGTCTACAACGCCATCGCGCCTCACTTCTCCTCAACCCGCCACAAGCCCTGGCCCCTCATCTCCTCCTTCCTCACCTCCCTCCCCGCCGGCTCCGTTGGCCTCGACGTCGGCTGCGGCAACGGGAAATATCTCCCCGTCAACCCGACCCTGCACATCTTCGGCTCCGACCGCAGCGACGCCCTCGTGCATCTCGCCCGCACAGAGCGCAACGGCGAGGTCGTCGTCGCAGACGCCCTGAGCCTGCCCTATCGCCAGCGGTCCGTCGACTTCGTCATCTGCGTTGCCGTGATTCACCATCTGTCTACGAGGGAGAGACGCCAGGAGCTCATTCGGGCGCTGTTGGATTGTGTCCACAAGGGCGGAAGAGTGCTCGTGTACGCCTGGGCCTTGGAGCAGAGCTCGAGTCGCAGGGGTTGGGACGAAGGATCGGAGCAGGATACCCTGGTGCCGTGGGTGATGCGCTCAAAGGGCAAGCCGGATGAGACTTTCGAGCGGTACTATCACCTGTATCGCAAGGGGGAGCTGGAGGAGGATGTGATAGCGGCAGGGGGGCAAGTTTTAGAGAGCGGCTATGAGAGGGACAATTGGTGGGTGACATGTAGCAACCAAGGCTGAAAATACACTTCTTCTAGATAGTACCTTACTTGCAAATGATACCTGGGCAGCAGCCTAAACCACGAGACCTCGAGAACAATATTCCTTGATTGATACAAAGTAAACGCTGCAGACATGCGGTGTGCTAGCTACCTAAATAGACAAAACAAGAGTGGCTGTGTGCCCAGTGTATGCCAATGCCATTCCTTCATTCCAAATAAAACGCCCATCCGCCCATGTTGCCGGTTCTTTGGCGTCTACCCAGCGGATGCCCCAACATGGATGCCCAAGATGTCCCGTCATCACCTCCTGATCGGTTCGTCTCATGTACCTCTAAGCCATATTAGAATGCCCATCATGTACCAGACCCCTAAAAAGTTCAAAGCCTTTTCTTTAATCCAAGAAGCGCCTCTAGCCATATCCCGAAAAGAGAGCCAAAAACGAGAAGAAACGAGGTAAAAAAACAAAGCCAACATAAAACAGATTCGAGATCGGTCAAATAAATCCAAGATCAAACAAAAATCAAAATCGAGACAAAACCAAATCAAACAAATCAATAAAACAAAACAAAACAAATAGCAGCTGTCTTAGCGTCCGTGACCGAGCGTATTGTGCTGTTGATACCATCCGTCCGTATCAGTAAGCGTTTCCTGCTTTGAAACACATTCCGTATGCCCCGTCTATTGATGTCAGAGTGAATGTTTGATCCAATGCAAGCTAATTTGCATTACCTCATTGAATCCATTCAGGTGTGAGTGTATAAGTGTGTAAGTATGTGAGTGCATGTTCCTTTAACCCAAGTAATGAATGAATGTATCGTCAATATCCATCGACTTCGCTTATCGTAAGCGTTCTTTTTTTCTTCCCCTTTTTGGGTATGTATGTCTTTTCTTTTCATGATGCATGTAAATCGTGGGATAGATAATATGGTGACAAGACAATCTTATGCGAGTCTTCGCCTATGAGCAGCATCGGGTCGTGTCATGTCGGGGCTCGCTCGTCGTTTCGTCCCTGCTTGCTCGAGGGGTACGTAACGAGGCATCGAGGGAGTAGCAATCGCAGGCAGAGAGGTAGGCGTCGGTGGCCCGCTTGGCGGACCGTATGGGCTCATGCCCGTGGTCAACTGTGCAACACCTGGCAGAGGACCGGTGTTGTGGGACGACGGGTGAGGCTGGATCGGAGCCAGCCCAGGACCCGGGCTACGGCGGTAGTCACCAAGAGGGTGTGCCAGAGCGGCAGCAGGCGCCGGTGGTGGCGGCGGCTGCTGCGGAGCCGGTGGTCCTGGTACTACTGTGTGGGGTGAAGGATGGGGTGTCTGATGCATGTGTTGCGGAGGTAGCATTGGTCGCGTTTGCTGTGGGGGAGGTGGTTGTGAGTTGATAGGTCCTCGCCGAGGAGTTCGCGCCGAGGTCATGGGGGGCATAAGCTGGCTGCGGCTGTAGCTCGTGGGAGGAGACGGTGGCCTCATTTCACGGAGAGCGCTGTTATCCTGCGGCTGAATCGGAGCCTGGGCTCGGCTTGCCAAAGCCCTGTTGCTCGACGACTCACTAGTATTGACAGCAGCGAGAGAGAAAGGAACTACACCAGCCCGACGAGCCATGTCTGCCTCCCCAAGCTGCCAGTGCATAGCTTCGGCTGCTCGCCAGGGGACAGCCAACTCTTCAGCTACCTTGGCCCACATGTCAGATTTGAACCTAGGAGTTGGGAATGTTAGTCAACTTTGTCATGACAAAGATGAAGATGGAGATGGAGGAGGAAGAAGAAGAAGATCGACAGGCCCATGTAAATAAAGAGCTTCTTGCTGCCATGACGCTATCACACATACCTCTCATACAGCCTGGCAAGCTTGTTCTTGCGCTCCTCATCCCACTCACTCCGTCTCTCGAGGTAGTTCTGATAGTGAAGCCGGCAACTAATGGCACTGCGTCCTGGAAGTCGCTTTGAAACATCTTCCCATTTCATTCCTCTGCCCCGCAGCTCAATGATGATGGCGTCCTCCTCAGGAGACCACTTGCTTTGCTTCTTGACTGGCTGATCCGGGACGTGAGGCGTCATACTGCGCCTGTTGCTCGGGATGAGCGCTGGAGCTACAGCCGAAGGCCCAACACGCGGAGGTAGGAGATCATGAGGAGTAGTCGTGGGTGTTGACGGTACAGAGGCAGGTCGAAGCTGTCTTCTAGGGGACGGCACGGGGGACTCGTTTGAAGCGTTTGAGGAAAACCGAAGCAAGGAGGTGATATCCACGGGGCTGGCTGGCAAGCCTCTGCCGCCCATACGGGGCCGGTCAGCAGGTGCGCCAGGACCGCGGATCAGGTCGAAACTGCCGTGTGCGACCACGTTGAACGACGTTGGTGGCCCTGCCTGCAGGAGGCAGAGCGGCGACTGGCTCTGGAGTTGAGCCAGCTCAGCGACTGCCTGATTAAGCCCCGGCGTGGGCTATGCAAATGAGGCGATGAAAGAGGCCCGGCGTAGCAGGACCCAGTGAGGTGGCAAAGCTGGGTCAGCAAATGTGCAGGCACACGCAGTTCGAACGATCGTCGATGAGTATCCCCGGGCCTGGTTGGGTTGCTGCTAGAGAAGAACCAGAGAAGGCAGCAGACGAGACTAGGCGGACTCGCGTTGTGTGAGAGAGGAACCACGGCGCCAGAGGCAGGGACTGCAAGGAGGAGGACTGGACAGCTTGTGTGTCCTAGTGTTGAGAGGATACAATAATAAGCACACGGGAGTTGAAGATAAGCAAAAAGAGTCGAGGCTCGGATGTGCCAACTTTTAGGTACCACGAAAGGGGGGGAAGAGCACGAGGGAAGAGAAGGATGGTACTGTCTCAGAAATGAATACAATGGGCTTCTGGCAACGAGTGAGTTTATGAAGACAAAATGCCAACATGATTGGCGTGCCGGGGGGGTTCATGGAGCCAATGGGGGGGACCATGAGAGGAGTCGATGAAGCAGAGCATGGCCCGGCGGCAACGGGCCACTACGTCAAGACCAGACCAGGACCCTGCCACTAGATCGGGTTGCCGAAGGAGAGAGGCCTTGGGAGAGTCACAAGTTCCATCTCGACAGTCCCATGAGAGAGGAAACGTCAGATGTGCTAGGCAGGGGTGGCGAGGACCCAGCGCTGGGGACAGGGCGGACGCCAGTCGGGAAGCCACTTTGTTGGTGCAGACGAAGGAAGCGGGCAAGCAATTGAGCAAGCCCAGGGGTGTCCAAAGGAAACAGGAAGAGTCAAAGGAAAAGCTGATTGGCTTCTCGACACCAGCTGGACTGGAGGAACAGAGAACGGTGGGGGAGTGTGAATTGGGAACCAGAGCATCCAAGGGGGGGGGGGGCCAAAAAAAGATGGCATGTTGGAGCTGGCCCTGGACTGGTTTGCATGCATGGAGAAGCAAGCAACATGATTGAGCCTGGGGTCGTGAAGCTAGGACGGGCCCGAGCAACATAGGGCTAGCTCCCGGTAAATAATGAATCAATTAATTAACACTGGCGCTAGAGTAAAAAGAATGGCCCGGTAGTGAGGCGGGAGATTGAGGAGGGAGGACGGCTCGCTGAGGACAGTGTCCGGAATAATACTGACGACGGACTGACCCAGACCAAGCCAGGTCAAGTTAGGGCAGCATCAAAAGGAAGAAGGGTGAAACTGGGAAACTGGGAGAAATGGAAGGCGTGGAATAAGAGAAAAAAAGGAAAAAGATGGGGAAAAAATTAATAAATAAAAAAAAGAAAGGAAAGGAAACACAAACCAGCACACAGAGCAGGGGAGGGGGTGCGGCTGAAGACAAAAGCAGCAAATAGTCTCCAAGCCAAAAAAGCAACGAGACCAGAAACCCAGCTTGCTCGAGGCACTCTCCAGTCCAGCTGTTGAAGCTCAAGTCGGTGAGCAAGAGCATGGCGGTGGCTGTCTAGCCGTCCAGAAGCCGTCAGGCGAATTGCATGGAGACGTCCATCGGTAGCTAATCAGAGGCTCGCTGGTCTTGGGCTGTTGCAAAGTGGAGGATGCCGGGTCGGGTTGGGAAATCTGGCAACGTCGTGGCCTCTCGTTTGCATCGTTCGTCCAGTGGCTGAAGAGAGACAGTGGCGGGACCGCGTGGGTTCAAATGCCGGGCGGTGCGTCATTGAATCACCGAGTTTCCATACCATTCTGCCCATGCATTGCCGCAGTCGAGCAACGGTTTGTCGTCGTCGTGTCGTCGAGCCAAGCCCCTTGCTTGCCTTGTAAGCATGAGCTCATCTCTCATATGAGCATGAGCACGAACATTGGAGCTGGAACTGGTATCAGCATCAGCATCAGCATCAGAATTTGCCTCCATCAGTCAGTCCAGAGGCATCCGAAATTCGCGCTGGCCCAAGACACGCATCAGCACCAGGCATTGGATGGATGGATGGCTTCGTTTTGTGCGTGTCTGCATACCTGTGCTGTAACGAGGACCGCAGCGAAAAGACCAAGTACCTCTGTACACACACAGCGGGTCCGGGTGCATCGCGCCTTACGGCCTTGCATTTGGGTATAAAGATAGATTAGTAGTATTACATATCCTGGCAGCATTGATGCTACCATGCAGCTGGTCGGGAACCCGTCTTTCGATCCATATTGCCAGGTAGAAAGTTCCAGGGTTTGGAAGAAGAAGGGGGGGGGCGTGGTTGTGGCTTGAGCAGAACGGTCTGTACTTCGTACTTTGTACAGCAAATCCAATGCATTGACGGGATGCGGCACACTTGCCTCAGCAGTACCCCTTCCGCCACGGCCGCCACCACTAGCCCCGAGGTACTCCCTGGTAGCGCTGGCCACCGTTTCAACTGGCCCAGATCTTCAGCGCACGCCCCCCTCCAGCTCCTTCCAACTGGTAGCCCCATTTCCCCCCCTTGTATTCTGTACATCAATGTCGCTTCAAATAGCCCGCCAATAGGCTGCGGCCTGGCCACTTCCAAGGTATCTGTTGTCTTGTCTTTTCTTTCCGAGCTGCTTCACATCTGAAGCCACCGCCAGTAACTTGGTCCTAGTATTTTCATATACACAATATGCAGTGTAGCACATGACCTGACCACGCACTCATGCATCATCAGGTACTAATCTCTAGATACTTGCTTTAGCACGGTGCCCGGCATGCTGTAAGTTGCTGGGCATACGAAGTACTCGTACGCACCGGGTTAGAACCAATTGCAATCCCACTTCCCGCTTGTTGTTAGGACTGCTGGTGCTTGTGTCTTTTCCGTCGGGCTTCGCTGGGCTGGGCCTCGTGCTCAATGTTGGCGAGCGCGGCCCCCAAATGTCATGACTCGACCAGCCGCAGCCATCTTCGTGTCCGAGCGGTTGCGTTGTGGCCGTGGTTGAGCTTCCTACCGTAGAGCAGCCTCCCTAGCGCCACCATCACCACCGTGTTTGGCGGGATGGCGCCGCCTCACGCACGGCGTTTGCCAGGAATAGACTTCTGGGGCGGAAGAATTGGGACACAACAAACCGATAAGAGGCCGTCATCACATGGCAGCGAACAGGAGTTTCCGGAATTATTCAAATGGTGAAACAATGGCTAATGACGCTGGGCCTTTTTAGGCTATGGCCAGTTGCTTGGAGAGAACAGGACAGACTACAACCCCCCAACACTTACTTGTAAGTCGTAGTCTCGCATCAACGATTACCAGGGTGGATATACTGTATCGATCATCTTACGGGACATGACACCCGTCAATCTCCTTATCTCTAGCTTGCGAGCAGTAATAGCGCCTAGTGTCTGCTTGGCCCTGCTAACGGTCCCAAGGATCAGGATGGCCCTCTGGAGACTACTAGTTGTAATCAAGCTAAACTCGCGCTCAACCTCTTTTCAAATTGGCAAAGCTGCCCTAAAAGGCCAGGTCAGCTCTTTCTACCGCCAGGTTAAACCCTGCTATGGTTTTAATTTAATGCGCCTCGGCGGTTTTTTGCCCTCTTTTCTCTTGATCATGTCTTACCTTTATTCTTGCCTTTTCCCCGGGCCCCCTCTAGAACGTGTATTTGGGACGCCACCGCAGGGTTCAAGGTGAAACCTATAATGGTTGTCAGCAGGCCAAGCGAGCTTCGTCCTGGTTCGCCAAGCCCAAACCGCGGTGAGCATTTCTGTCCCTTGAATAAGAACGTGTTCGCTCGGGGTTGTACGGAGAATATGAACTGCATTTCATACGTGTATTCCTTGTAAAGACCGTGCCTCCTGGACTGCCACGTCTGTGGCTGCTGCATGCCGTCACCTGCGAGCTCATACAGTATTGATGGCATAGAAGCAAGGAGAAACGCCACAGTCTCCATCTATGTAATATATATCGCTTCCCGGATGCTCGTTCCGTCTAACGTCTTGGCGTCCCGAGCCGTCGCTGGTCCGGGGGAGACGGAGTGGGAAGCGGTACATGGTACAAAATGATATCAATCGCCCTCACATAGATGGAGGCACTCGTTCCGTGACGGGTTCATCTTAGTGCTTCCTGTTCCTTACCTACTACGAGTATACTCCTTATTACTACTAATTTAGAGGTAATCTGGAGCACTACTAACCGGTTGCTCCTTATACCACTTACTAGCACCAAGGGACGGAGTACGAGTACTCGTACAGAGTGCCTGGTATACATGTGCCGTACTCCCTGTTCGAGGCCACACGCTAGAGCTTCCTGCTAGATCTATCACATCTATGACCTGATTAGCCACATGCGTATGAGCAGGCATAGCCCGGACCTGGTCCAATAATACAGAACAAATTCAAGGGCGATGTTACATTGCGGGAGCCGAGCTTAAAACTACCTAGATGATCAGGCTGACATCTAACCAGGCTGCCGGCTCTTTTTGACGGGCGTACTGTATGAGTCTGTAATACTACTAGGTACTAGATCCGCCCTCTTCGTACATGTATGTACAAAGTACTTTGCAAGTCAGATTCGGGGAAGCGTCCAAACTGAATGAGCGGCACCCCTGGCTGAGCTTGTCGTTCGGCACTTTTCTCGCAAACCCTGCCTCTCCAGGAGCAGGGTTCAACTGGTAGGCAGAAGCCAATGCAGGGAGAAGAGATGGTGCTGTTGCTTTGGTAGAAGCAATAGCGGCCATTTACTAGTAGGTTGAAGGGGGAAAATCCCGAGTCTAAATTTAAACGCCGAGCCCTGTAAGAGAAAAAATAGAGAAGGATTTAGATGGTGTATGTCCGTTTACTCGTACCGTTATGTAATTTTCACACTGGACCCAACTTGTCGTTGCGGGTGGCTCTGAAGAACCGCTGCAGCCCCCTTCCTTGGTCAGCCATCAGCACCTCAAGCCACACACTAGGAAATACGTCTGATGGTAACTAAGAAACGCCGGCTTGCATCTAAATTTGTCCCGCCGCAGGAGTTTATGAAGATCTTGGGAATCATTCTGATTACTGTACGGCGCACTCGCCGGACAATCGCTGTCATCTACTCCGTTCGCTTACTGTATTTTCCAGATTGGGGTTGGATGAGGCTTCATGGAGAGCTACACCTTTAAAAATAGCATCAACGATAGGTACTTGGACTTGTATATCTGCCCTGGTTACCAACCTGTTGTACAGACTCATTCAGTCTAGCAGCGCTACCACCAATAGGATACGAAGTGAAGTCACCTGTAATATTAAGCCGTTTCAGGGTGCCTATCGCGTGAGTGCTGGATAGGGCAAATTAATTACCTGCTAGCAGAGTGTTGTCATACTTGGGCTTGCAACAAGTTAAAACACAAGGTACACGAGTGGCTTGTTGCTGTCCTCCTTTAGGTACTCGTACAGGTACAGGTACTCCATATCTCATCTTCCAGCACACTAGACGTCGGTCATGCCTGCCCCCCAGCCCTGCCACTTCATTCACCTAATGTTCCAGGCCCCCCCATATCAATTTACCGTCTACCACTCTAATTCTGGATTTTGTACAACTTCATACCTAATGATCCGATGTCCATCCCTCGACTTGCGCCGCCGCCCCGGACTAAAACAGGCCATGGCGGATGAAAGGAATCGTCAGGCCAGGCAAGCTGACTTTCAGCACCATCAGCACTCCCAGGGAACCTGTCCGGGGCTGCCGATGAATTGGCGGTCAACTCCAAGCTACCACCACTCTAGACTCTGCTCAGGCAGCCCAAGGTAGAGGACGACGACGATAGCGGTGCGTGAAACTCGAGCAGCCAGTTTGTGTTCACTTGAATGCACCTACGAGAACTAAGCATGCAAGAGGCGTGGGAGAAGCGTGGAGGCGTGGGTATGGGCACCACCTCGCCCAAACGTGTGTGTGTGCGCGTGCGTATGTGTGTGTCTGTGTCTGTGTGTTGGCTTCAGGAGCCGGACCAGGATCAGGGCACCATCGTTCGAACTGACTGCGAACCATGATCGCCCAGTCCCAAGCCGCATGAGACTGGCCACCTCGTCGAGATCCTGTTCGTACGCCCCTCGTGGCCCTCTGCTGGCTGTCTGTTCCGCCGGCGGTCTGCGCCTCAGCTGCACTGTCATCCGAGCCGCTTGAGAGATTGAATCATGGTGCGCCGCCGTTTGCTTGCTATGCCCCATGTCCTCTGTGTCTCAGGTCCACCACACCTCTATTAGTCGCTATATACGAACTGCTACTGGACCAGAACACCAAGAGGCGCACGCTTGATCGCAGCCAAACATCTCCAGGACACGAGACGAGCTTGATGAAGCACTCGACGATCTGCGGTGAACAAAGCAAGCCGCTTTTATCGGCAATGTCACAGCGGCCCTTCCGACGTCCACTCTGCACGCGAACAGCAGATGGCTCCCCCACGGACAGAGCGTCACCCTTTGAACAACGACCAAAGAGTAATTACACATGCCCTGGAGTATGATCAACCCGCGCGGCTCTGGCCTGGAACTATTGCCACTAATATAGGAGCATGTGTAATTGTACATGCTACGGTAAGGAGCCCACAAGTACCGAGCTCGAGTGTTGATGCCTGAGCAGCGAGAACCGAAAACCGCCAGCATTCTCCCTAGTTGATCCGCTTTCGCTTCCCACTGGCACTTCCTTTCCTCCTCCATGTTACTGTAAGTTAATGCTAGGGTCAGTAGAGTACCTACTCCGTACCGAAGAGCATCAATACGGTGCCTAGCACTCCGTACGGAGTAGCGAGTGCAGGCAAGGATACAGATCACCAGAGCCATTTTCTCAGCCCGCGGCTGCCCTAGTCGATTTGCTCATGAACTAGCCCTCCCTGGCGAGCATTGCGAATACTCCGTGCCTCGCACTCCGTACGGAGCACACATCCCGCCCCTCCATCTGCCGCGGTGCCTCCCGGAAGCGCCATCACCAACTATTTTCAATGCTAAATACCAGGTACTACCTCGTACAGCTATATACTCGTACTACTTGTTCTTAGTGTTACTGGCGCATACATTAACGTGGCACAAATGTGCCAACTCTGTGCTGCCAAAAATAAAACGATGACGACAAGGTCACTCGCTACTTTCTCCAGCTCAAGGCACGGTGGACGTTATCGGTCAGCCGTATGAACTCTCATCGTCTACATCTAATAGTTGACAGCCCAACTCCTTACATCAGATGCTCCAAGTACGAATGTACGAATCCACAGGAGGCTTTGTTGGCTCGACACGCCATCCCCAGAGACATCCCTGTCAGACGACGTCGCTCCAGCAGCCGTTCCCCGGTCGGGACATCATATCTCACATCTGTCTGTCATCGCGGGACGTGCAGCAGGTTTTGCCCGTTACCAATCGCGTGGGCAGCGAGTCCGGGAGGTCCATTTCCAACACCCTACCAGCCAATCCAACGCCATCCTCCACATGCAGAGCGTCCTCTTACACACATGGTAGCGCAACCTGAAGAGAGGTATCGACTCCACGCCGCTTGAGAAGCTCCGCTTTACAGAACTGCTGCCGCAGCTATAACATGCGGCTGCGGCTACTGGGCCTCTTCAGTTTTCTCCTCTTTTACCTCCTTCTCCCCTCCACGACGTAGAACACGCAGGCCATACATGATCCAAGCAATAGAAGGTCGTGACGTGGCGGCGGTGAGTATCGGGTCAGGCGCCAGGCGCCATGATGCCCCTCCAAAAGGACGGGGGGATCACCGAAGGTTGGGAGGAGGAGCTTGAGTGATACGTAGTTAGGGTAGCATTGCCTCCCTCTTCATGCCTGGCCAGGGTCATCCCACCAGGGGTCTGGGGTGCTGCTTCGAACCTAGCAGCCTACGGGGTAATTTAGCAGCCGCCAGAGGTAAGACGTCGTTTATCAATCGCTCAATGAAGCGTGTGAGGGAGAGAGCCGAGACCGTCGATGACATACGAGTACAAATATTTGCACACTGAGACATCGCCTCCCAGCTCGACGGAAAGATTTGTGCATATGCTTAGGCATATTCATTGCACAACGGAATCCAAGACACCCATTTATCATGATGAGAGGAGAGGGAGTTTGACGGCGATTCCTGATGGACATGACGTCCCTCTTACCCTTTGTTCTTCCCTTTGCCACATCGGTGTAGAGGTTGAAGAGAATGGTTGCATCATTGTCTTGATTACTCGAACGGAGCTCATTCCGATCTAGATGTGGACAAGGCTGCCGTATGTTGTGTGACGTGAAAGATTCTGCACACCAATAGAGGGCAGTAGATGGAGCCACGTTTAGCCAATAACCCTAATCAAATATACAGGTACCTCTGCGAACTCAACGTGCTATCTCGATCTATCACCGCCCAGAAGAGCGATTCAAGTCAGAAATGACCAAATTGTTATGTCAAGATCAAAAGACGAATGACTTTCTTTATCAATGCTGACATTTCCAGGGTATACAAGTTTTGTAACTATGACTACCTGCAAACCTCTCTTTGCTCGCTTGCAGAGCAGCTTTACAACGCCTCGTGCTCTTCTGAAGGTACTCATGTTCCATATTAACAAATCACTTTCTTCCTATCATTCACAAAGTTGGTATACCCGTATCCTATTCGTTCAGGCAAGGAAGTGTAGAAGACAAGCAAAGGTAGTATACATGAGTAGCATCGCCTGTATTGATTGGGCCTAGTACTTGGGCACTTACATCCTGCCTCTTTGATGCATCCACCCACCCATTCAAGATGGGCTCTGCGGCAATGCTCCGATGCAAACACACAGGGTCACCCAACTAATCTAGTCATTTATGACATGGCCATACTACCAGAAGTAGTAGATACAGGCAGCCGTCGGCGGATACCCCCGAGGCGGGTGATACAGCCGTCGAGCAAGGGTTTCGGTGTCGTCTCTGTTTGCTTTGAGATGCCATGTGGGTAAGGGTTCTGCAGGGCCCCGAACTGATGCCCAAGTGCCGAGCCGACTTAGACGCTTGCTGGCACGGCTCTTCACTCCCACGGTCTGCTGGAGACTGTGCGCTCGCACAAAGGTAGCAGCTGAGGTGGGCTATTCTCTTCCTTCGAGCTTGCTCTGTTGTTTGCGGTTTCGATTGACATGATATAGTATCCATGTGCATTAAGGTTTCAGGCGAGGCCTCCAGGCATCTGCCAGGTATGTTATCATCAACTGGGTATCTATTTTGTTGGATACCCAAATTCAAGGCAGCCGCATTGAAGCCAATCGCTGGCCACCGTCCCATGAAAAGTGATGCTCCATCTTTACGCAGTTGAGGGTCCAGGGAGAAAATGGTTAGGTACCGATTTGAGCCCATGTACGGAGGAGACGCCTCCAGCCTATTATAAGCAGCCTGTACTCCGTATTCTTGGCCCGTATTGTCGTAAGAGGTGGCGGGCGACAAGTGTGGCTGGCGATCTTTAGAGGTACCTGCTCGAATTGGTTGGACGCTGAGTACTTCGCGCAGCGCCTTGATACGGTGTATGTCTATGTATCTTGGTCGCCTACAGAACTCGAGGTACAGCGCTCATCCACAACTAAACAGCGTCGTTCTTTTCCCCTGTGGCGCCGAATACCTTAGTTGCTTAGTACCTCCTACCTGTAGGCAGTTACGGCCTGGCGAGGAAACAACTGCTTCGTTGCTGCCTTTCACTCTGACTGTAGCGTTAGTAATTGGCCAATATATAACTGGGCATGAGAAATTTACTGTGCTCTCCTTTCTGACCTTTTGACTGCTTCATTGTCATATCCCTTGCTTCGACAATTCCACCGCACATCAAATCTACTGCCTTTCAAGGTCTGTCTGTTCCTGGGCCACTAGCCAAGTGTCCTTGACCAAGTTACTCCGTGCTCCATTCTGCGTCGATATTCTAGGGGCAAACCCCGCTAGTTTGTCCGAAGTGACGGTGGGAGAGCAGCCGACGCTTCTCGTCCTCAAAAAACCTACCGAATTGATACCAACCACCACAACGTTGATTCCTTAGCGACAAACGTCACAAATTCCAAACCCAAAGGGTCCCTTTGCCGAGCTAAAAACTCGCCCCGTCAAACACCATGGCCGACGTCCCTCTACTGGTCATCTCGGAGTACGCTGCTTCCGAGCGGCGCATCACCCCTTCGTGGACAATCTTCACGCTCAAGACCAAACTCGAGCCTGTCACAGGCATTCCCCCCTCGTGCCAGATTCTCAGTCTCAAGACGTCAGCCGGCTCGGAAAAAATCCCCCTCGTCGCAGCAGATGAGGACGCGGTCCGGTTGTCCAGCTTTCCCCTGGCTCCGTATGCAGAGCTGCATGTAAGTCAGCCATTGTCGATTTCATTAGCCGCCGACTGTGCTGCTGGTCAGGGATGTGGCGTTTTACCTCATGCCCTGCTATGCAGCGCAAACGTCTCGGTTTGCTTGTCTCTCTTCCTGCCTCTTTTCATTTTTCTTCTCGCTTTTTCTACTCTCTATGTGTAAGCGTGGGGGGAGGGTTGCTTTGCAATCAGCCCAGCGCCTGAAAGAGAACTGATGAAATCCCAAAGCGGGCCTTTCATCGAGGTTTGGGCAGCCAAACGCTTTTCTTCTGGGCGCGTGCCCCCTGCTGTACATAATGGAGCGTCTCTCTGCATTTGCTGGGGATGCAGACGGCAGAGAAGAGGGGGGGCCTAGATGGAGACGAAGCTAACACGCCATGATTTCGTAGGTTGTTGACACCCGCCCACCAACAGCCAGGCCCAACTTCACCGATACTTCAGGCGTGGATAAGTATGTGATGCCCGATGAGGAGTACGAGAAGAAGACAGATTCCGTGCTAGCCTGGAAGAAGACGGAGAAGCTTGGCCGATTTGACCCTACAGCGCCAAGCCGCGAGGAGGCTAGGGTGGCTGCCCTCAAGGAAGAAATTGCCCAGCGTGGCATTGAAGTTGGCAAGAGATGCCGCGTCGGTGGAGAGGACACTCGTCGAGGTGAGGTCAAGTACGTTGGTGACGTTGAAGAGATTCCCAACGGTGCTGGACCGTGGGTGGGGGTTCATCTGGATGAGCCTGTGGGGAAGAATGACGGCAGCATCTCAGGCAAGCGTTACTGGGGACAACCCTCAGAGCTAAAGCATGGAGTCTTTGTGAGGCCAGAGAGGGTGGAGATTGGAGATTACCCGGCTCTCGACGACCTGGAGGATATGGAGGAGATTTAAAGATACTACCTGGTATAAAAAAAAATCAACAGAGCAGCTTTGAGTCTTTGGAGAATCATTTTAACGATTAATCCGCTTCACATAAAGGAAAACGGCCAGAGTGAAGCTACAGTTATTATGAGGTATGCTCTTCTTCCAAGTGGTATGCAGGGCTGACCACATGTGTCGAATTAGTTCGGAGTGAACGCCATTCTAGAAACGAGAGCTATGCTAAGAAGGCTCTTCTTTCCGGCGTGATCCTGGGCGCACTAATGCGGAGGATAAGACCCTCTCTAATCAGATGCTGCCACGGAACTCGTCTCCATCCTTGCGTCAAGGCAGAGGCCCCGTAGCTTCGAGGTGGCCTTATACTTGCACTGCATGTGCGTTGACTGATATCATAGCAATGCATCTTGAAACTTCTGCAGATCATGCGAACACGAAAAAAGTACGAGGACTGCTAGGTGAATGCCGGCCGGCGATTTTGGAAAGATTCTGTCAGTTGTTTCGTCTCTCTTTTCTTTCTGCATCGTATCCCGGCATCTGTGGAACTTTTGGAAGTCTCCTTTCGGCCCGTGAACCTTAATGAGATTCTACGTTACCATTGCTACTCTTTTCTCTTTCTTCCAAATAGGAAAAGACAGGACAAAAGAGGAAAGGGGAGATGCGGTGACTGATGGACCTTCTCGCGCGCGTATTGCAGCTTTCCGAACGGCTTTGGACTTTGCCAAGCGGCCGGCCTGTCTGCAGTCCTGAAGTGGACTGGTGACAGTCCCTTGTCTCAAGTTCGTTTATCACCGATCTCGCTGTCAACCTGTTCCTTATCTGGCAACCGTTTTGGAACGTGGTATTGAGCATATGGGTGCCTGTACTAGAAGCGCAGTCGTGATCAAGATGCGGTTCTACTGTGGGTTGGATGCCAAGGAGCCAAAATGACATCAGGATGCAACCTATCAAACGGTGAACACAATGCGATGCAATATACCACTTGAGTCTTTCGTGATTCCTTTCTTCTTTCTTTCTTTTGCTTTCCCGCTCTCCCGCCTTCCCGCCGTCTTTGCCGGTAAGACGGAGCCAAGATCAAGACTGCGAGAGTTACTATCAGGGATGCCAGGGAGCCCAAACACTGTTGGGATGCAACTCAAGGTGACGCACCACTAGCACATTCCTCTGCGTTTCCGTCTTCTTTGCCGGTAAGCCGTAAGCAACCTGTCACCAAGGAGGATTCAAGTAAGCCCTGTAGCGATGCTAGTTTCACCTTGTTAAGCGCCAAAAACGGTGCGGAACGGACGGGTAAGCAGCGTTTTCTTTAGCACATTACGGGTGCTGATCCAATCTGTAGTTAGTTCAACATCATCTTGACAAAATAATACGCTCGGAAGCTCTCGTTTGTGGCAGCTCGCAACGCCACCGCGTCGGTCACGGCTTGGCCGTCGGTCATGATCATGATAGGTGAGCTAACCGTCTGCTCTGAGACGGATGCGCGCTTCTCCCACCTCAATCTGGGTTAGGAGCGCTGTCGGTAACACGGAGCACTAACCAGATTGAATATGATAAGACGTCCGTCTGATGCGATGAGATGATCACCGTATCGACTGGGGGATATCCAAGTACGACCGAATGGCAGCACATCGTGGCCCTGTCTAGGCTATTCACGAGCCTCGGCATGAGATCCAGATGGCGACATCCCGGTAACGATTTGCCTTTGATACGCTTACCCTCCAACCAAGCGTGATGAGCACTGCTGCTTGAATGGCGATTTTCACACTCACCTTGCCTCTGAACAAGGGAACTCGGCCAGACAAGGGAAAGAAAGACATTGTACCGATCAGCCCTAGCACGGAGTAATTCTACCAGCAACGCATTATACCGTCTGGCTAGCACAGTTTGATATCCCTTCCAGAGAGCAAGGGGGGACGCATGCAAGTTTCTTCCTGAGCTTTACCCCAAACGACAAGAGGATTTGACGGGAGTTGAACGCACGGGCATGAGTCGAAACTTTAACGGTGATAACCTTTCCCGAGAAGGAAAAAAAGTTGGCCGACGACTTCCCTGCTCGAGCAAGCGGTGGAAGCGCTGAGGTTGGACAAGGTGCGACTTGTCGAGATGGCCTCTATGTGCTCGCAGGTTTTTAGACGCGCATTGCAGGGAAAACAGCGATGACATTCTCTGTTTGGGGTGATATTAAGAGGGGAGTCTATGGAGCGAGCAACGAGACGGGATGAATATGACCCAGGGTTTTTGGAAGTTGGTGAATCTACAGGGCTCAGGGACCGGATGATTTGGACCCTGCAGCTACCAGGACCATGTCAGTTAAACTAACCTTTGTTAGCAATGCTAGTGACAGCTCGGTGAGGACTAGTATCGGTTTGCGGATGCTGCAAATTCCTTTGTCGGTGGTATTTGACCCGGCATACAGGCGTCAAAAGGGTCTAATCAAGGTACGAACAACAGATGGAAGGGTTACACGAAGATGGCGGGTCCTGCTGACCGTCGCATTTCTCCGAGGGAGTTTTTGCTTTCTTTGGTTGTGTTCGATGCTACAGTACAGTAATGGGTTGAATCGAGTACGTTACATCGCCAGGAAGCGTCGGCCGAAGACTTATGGAGAAGAGAAAAATCCTAGCATTGAGATTGAAAGGTGTTGTTGAGTGCGATATCACTCGGCTCAATTTATACACGTACAGGCTGCTTGTGTTGGCCCGACTGAGATCATCATGGCGCCTATTTTAGACGCTAATAGTCCAAGGTGCTGGCTGATGTAAGGCCCAACGCACGCACAGCATAACTCATAACTCCTTTCCCTGCAAACGATTACTGTGTCAAACGGGCTAAATCCTTTGACGGAAAAGCATGGATGAGGAAACAAGAAATGAAAATACACACAACGCATTGACGGCAGAAAGTTTCGGCATCGTGAACGTTGTTTGATTAACCCGCTTATTCAGTTTCCGCGGTACTCACCCAGACGACGGACGGGACATGGACATGGACATGGAATGGAGGATTCGGAATGCCCACCCGAACGTCCGAAGTGAGAATGGTGTCAAGTCGTCTTACAACGCTGGCGAGATGCGCGGTCCGCCGGGGAGTTAGACGTGATCCTGGTTGAAGATTGAACGGCCCAAGATTACGGAGTTCCATGTAATTCCATGAATACTGTACGAGGGCTCCGTAATCGTTATACGTCTGCCTGGCACGGCCCGTGTACGAAGTTGCTAGTGCAGTTTTCCCCTTTCAAGAGCAATATGTGTAGCAGTTCCACCAATGCCGCTATTGAGCTGAGTCGACATGAATCATTGGAAAATCAATCTCGAGGCTGCAATATACTGTATTATGTAGTTCTGTGGCTTATTAGTTTGCTCGTAGATGTCGAAAACCGCTTCGGTGAATTGGCCGAGGCTGGCCAATGAGCAGTCGCCAAAACACCGAGTAGGAGCTTCGAATATGCCGCTTTCCGAGCTTCAAGCTGCGAGCTACGCCTTTGCCGTCATCGTTCAGAACTCCTTTGGATCTGGACTTTTGCGCGCATTTCTTGACGTTTGCAATTTATTCTCGGAGAAAATACCGTTGATTGCGTGCGTCATTTCACGGGTGCCGCGTGATTTTGTAGACAAATTCCTCTAAAGAAAACAGAACAAAGTCAAACAAGAGAAATCACCGAGTCGTTGCAAACCAGCTCCACCAAGGTCTCCAAACCATGGATCCCGGGTCTCTTGACGATATCCCAAAAGTTCCTCCCCCAACAAACCCTGTTGAGAAGAAACGCCGTCGACCGCCGCTTTCTTGTGAGCAATGCCGGAGACGCAAGATTCGGTGCGATCGCACGCAGCCGTGCAACAAATGCATCGAGTCCAACGCCCCCAGCTGCACGTATGCCCCAGTTCACATCCCAGCCTGGCGGGCGAAGAAGCTGGATCTGATGGCCGGCGGCAACGGGGATTCAGCAATCGATAATGCGGCGAAGAATCCTTTGAGGGCCATCAAAGCAGCGGAACCGAGGCCCGAAGGTCCAGGAACAGACACGATAGATTCGATCCACCCGGTTCTGCCGTTTATCAACATGGACTCTACCAGCGCATCTTCGTCGAAAGTAGTCAGCTCGCTTGCTGGGTCTTCTTCTACCTCGTCGTCGCCCAATGTCGACTGGCTGGTTGCTCGAGTTCACCAGTTGGAGGAGAAGCTTGCCAAAGCTCTGCGCATCAATGATACTCAAGATGGGCAGAAGAGGCGTCCATCTACACCGGAGATGGCGGAGCCTGGGGATGGATTCGTGGCCAAGTCACGGTATTACGGTCACAGTCACTGGATATATGGTGTCAATATTGTGAGTTGTTTTTCCTTTTCTTTCATATGCAACAATATTTGGCTAATCGGAATTTCCTTTCTAGCTCAAAGTTGAGCATGATCTTATGGGTCAAGACAAAATCAACCAGGGTGATTTATATGCATCACTTCTTAGATGCAAGACAATTGGCCGCAAGATTAAGAAGAATCGCCTAAAGCCACTCTCCTCTACCAATCTTGGAGCCCATATGCCTACCAGAGAGCTGGCGGATGTGCTTGTCGAAAACTATCTCCGCACTTTTGAAGGCGTCTTCCGAGTTGTTCACATTCCTACGTTTCGAGCTGAATACGCGAGATTCTGGGAGGACAGCCACCCGTCCAACGAATCTTTCCCAATTCTGCTCCAGCTTGTCTTGGCGCTCGGAGCGGCGTTGTACGATGATCACTTCTCCCTGAGGCCAATGGCAACGCAGTTCATTTTTGAAGCCCAAATGTGGCTCATGATTCCGCCAGAGAAGAAAAGGATGAACATTGAGGGCATCCAGATACAGTGTCTTTTGCTCCTCGCCAAGTCGACTTGCAACGTCGGTGTAGACATGGTGTGGATGATGGCTGGGAATCTGGTGAGGAATGCCATGTTCGTAGGCCTTCACCGAGATCCGAGATATCTCGGAGACTTGACGATATATCGAGCCGAGATGCGGCGTCGTTTGTGGGCGACGGTCCTGGAGCTGAACCTGCAATTATCCTTTGAAGGCGGAGGCTCGCCACTGCTGTCTACAGCTCACTACGATACTCTTCCTCCCGCGAATCTGAACGACGATGAGCTCACGGACGAAAAGGACAATGGCAGGCTGAACATTAAAGGCCCAAAGGTGCCCACTCAGACGTCCGTACTGAGGGCTCTATTGGCAACAATTCCGCTACGCATGAACCTCATCAACCACGTCAACAACACGAGACCGGGCGACCACTATGAAGAGACGCTGCGACTGAATTCAGATCTGACAAAGGCCTGCCGAGCCATCTCAGAGGCCCTTCAATCTCTCCAGGCCGCGCCCAACTCACCAATTACGCACTTTCACGTCTTGGTCACGGAGATTTGTCTCTACCGCTGCTTCCACGCGCTTCACCAACCGATTATTGTCAAATATATAAATGATGCCAGATTCTACTTTTCTCGGCAAATGTGTCTGGACAGCGCCATGAAGATTACGCACATTTGGGGATTCCCGGATGCCTGGTGTGGAGACCAATCCACCGCCTCCGAAGCAATGGATGCAGACCTCAAGAGGCTAGTCACCAACGGAACAGGCATGTTCCATAACGTCGCATCGCAGGCCATGATCATTGTCCAAATAGAGCTTCTCAACGCAAAGGCCGGCCAGCCTACGAGCCTAGGCTACCTCCCAACGGTAGGCAGCGCCAACCTGCACGCCCGTCTCGAAGCCACGCGGGCGTGGAAGCTCGAGAGGGTTCGGTCCGGAGAGACGAACATCAAGGGCATCATCTTCGCTGCGGCTTGCCTCGCGCACGTCAAGGCCCTGGAGCAGGGCGTCGATGTCAAGCAGAGGACGCGCATGATGTTTCAAGCGGCGACGGAGGTTGGGCAGCAGTGCTTTGAGATTCTCAAGGAGGTTGCTGAGCGGGAGGGACTGCCCAGGTCCAAGTGGGAGGCTGAGACAGCGAGCCTTGATGGTGGTTCGCTGGGGGACATTCCTATGGATTGGATGCAGGATTGGACGTGGGAGGATGGGCAGGGCATCTCGTTTCCGCAGTGGGATCCTGATTTTGACACTGATAATTTCATGGAGGAGCTGGGGTTTGATATTGGCGAGTTTTAGGTTTAGGTAAGGTAGAATCTGGGCTGTTGTATGATGATGCCACTCAACTCAAGAAAAAGTTCCGCTCTACTCTATATATAGATTGCTGAGGGTCTCCTTTTTTCGTGATATTACCGATTAGAGGGAGAGGGCAAGACATTGTCTCTGGCACTTTCGTTTACGCACTCCTCCCACTTTCCTGAAATAGCAGTGCCCGTTTACTCTGTAAAAAATGCTGTTGGTTGATAGGTGGATGAGGAGGCAATCAGCTACGTCAAGTGTCTCCCTTCTGCTCCTGCGCCGAGTTCCGTTTTTGCCGAGTTGAAAAAAGATCCTCCCTGCAGGTGACACCGCCATATTCAGTTTTCGTCTTTCTCATGCTCGCACAGAAGAGAAAAGGTGCTTATAAGAAGAGTCAAGGTGGCAGTGAACGAAAAGATTCTTTGCTCTCCTATTGTCTATATTAACTTTTCCAGTACAATCCAACCTCAAGACGCTACGAACCTAGGCAATTACACCCATCAGCCAACACCATGACTGCTCTCAAGACCAACATCCTCCTCCTCGCCACGCTCTTCACAAAGCTAGCCACCGCTCAGCCAAACGAAGACATCGTCATCCCCAGCTCCTTGCCCGGCTGCACGTCTACCATAACACTCACACAATCTCGCCTCTCAACTCCCCCCTTCTGGGCGCAGTGCTCCTGGGATGGAACTATGACCGTATATCCGTCCACCGTCACGATTGATGATCCGGTGGATTGCCATGGATGCACGGATGTTCGCGTCACGGCGGTTCCTATGGTGCATTGTCCAGCTATGATTATTTCGACGGTGGTGCATGTGGCGACGCCTTCGACGAGTTATCGCACTGTTTGCGCGGTGACTCCTACTCCTACGGCTTGAGTTTGATGAGTTTGATAATGGGAAAGTATCGGTGTTGGGGTGGGGGGAGATGGCGGCTGTTTAAATTTTGAGGAGGAGGGTGGAAAGTGTAGGGAGGCGTGGTGGAGAGATGGTAGTGGGTATCGCTTTTCGGGATGGGCTTTTGTTAATTGGCCTTTTGTACGGAAGCTTTTGCTCGAGTCATACCCGGATTATGTTATTTTATCAAATTGTATCAAATGGGTGATCCCAAACCTACAGGAATATATACGGGCCCTTGTTATGAAAGCCACTACATGTATGTTTATATACGTCAACCTCTTGATGCAGTCTACATCTACATGGTATGAACTCTATTAAGCAGCTTTATGAGGAATATAAATCCTCATTACAAGTCGTGATTGCCTTACTATCGTATGTACCTATACAGTTCACGACACTCCTCAGACTTCAAGTGGCCGTATCCATGGGACCGACTGCAAAAGCGCCACTGGCTTATCAGATTCTGCCGCCAACTTAAACGTTTGCCATCGTCTATCTTTTTGCTTTGTCTAGTTTCCTCTTCTCACAAAGCTTGAGCCTATTGCAAAAAACTACCTTTATATCTTGTCTCAAGTACGACTGTCTAAGATAAGGCACCACTTGAAGTTGCAGGGGATACCTCGAAGGTAGGTACCCAGGTAGGCAGCGATATGTTGGAAACTCTAACTTGACTTTGTTTCTTTTCCATCTCTTTTCTTTTTCCTATAGTTTTGGATTTGTCTATTCCCGGCTTGGAAGATACTTTTCACACGATAGTTTATACGTCGATGTATATAATGGCCCTCTTCGCCCTCTCCTTTCTCCCCCCTTTTCCCTTTTGCCGTATTCTAATATCAGAATCTTCCCACAAACCAACAAGCATAAAACAAACAAAGAACCAAATGACAATGCGCCCTTCACTCAAATGTGCCCTCGTCTGGGGCGCTGTCGCCTGCATTGCCACGGCAAACCCCGTCTCGCGACAACTTCTCGTGAGGCCCGACTCTAAGCTCAATGACACAGCACCGGTACGTTCTTCGCCAAAAAGACTGCGTAAAAACATGAACTAATCTTTTCATCAAAGACGACTTCTACAGGCTACCCTTCAGATACATATATAACGATGACCAAGCATTTGACCTTGGTCATTAAGAATACCCCCGTTGACTGCGCTCACGGCCCGAGTCCGACACCGTTCGCGTTACCGTCTTGCGATTTCGAGAATGGTACTTCGCCGATGACAACTACTCGGTATTATTGTGGTGGTGAGGGGTTTCCTCCTTGGGAACGCGATCCTGACGAAATGGAAGATGACGTTGACTATGATGCCGATGAGGAGGATTTTGATGAAAACGATGAGGATGAAGATACGGATGAAGATGAAGATGAGGATATGGAGGATGAGGAAGATGACGACTACCTCAGTGATTATGCCGAACCTGGATTCTTCGCACCTGAACATTTCGACCGCATGAATATGGACTGCACAACTCAACGCATGCTGGGCCCCCCCGTGCTCAACTTTGAGCGCACCACCACCGTCTACACCACCACCTCGACCGTCTCCCAGCTCGTCAACTGCGGCCGGTGCACCGCGGTCACAACAGTCCCTTATTTCTCCCCGGGTTACCCACCCCAATTCCCCAACTATACCACGACCGTCACGGCCATCCAGCCCACCACGACGACGCTGCTCAACTGCGAACCTCAACCCACGCAGGACGGTGTATATGCCGAGAGAGAAATTGTTAGAGTTGGCGGCATCCCTGTTCCTGTGCGGACACACCTCACCAAGGTTGACCATTGGCCCCCGCTCGTTACTACGTACACGGATTTCCCCAGGGGCCGTGACGAGGTGGAGTGTGCCATGTACTATAACCTCTTCCCGTCGCGTCTGGGCAGCGTTCGAAAGATTTATACTGCGACGAAGACGACGACGGCGCACAAGGATTGTGGTGTTTGTGCACTGGTCTGGGGCACGGCTGCGTATCCCTTCGAGGTTGGACCGTTGCCGACAACGAAGACTAAGAAGGGGAAGACGACGATCACGGCCATGGCGTGCAGAACCCCGAAAGGGGGTCGATAAGGGAATTTCTTTGTGGGATAATAGTTTGATGGTGCGTTGAGTTTGGCTGGCGCATGATCTGGTTCGTGATATTTACTGATTTGATGGTTTTGAGAGTGAATCATGTCTTCCTTGTTTTACAGGAAGATATCATGGTAACAGTTATGTTTGGTATGTAGTTAGTTGAATATAGTCGAATATAATTAATCCATTTCATCTCTGTCTCTTTGGTTTGTTCTCATCCAGACCATTCTCTGCCCGTAATGCTGGCGGTGGTGTGGCGCTCTTGGCCAGTAAATTCCTCGTAACATCGATACGCCAGATAATCGGGCCACGCTCCTCATCATGGCGTCTGTTAGTTTCAACCCATGTGCGAATCTGACCGCGTACTTCTTTATTCGACGTGATTGTGACATTTCCCGTCGCCCAGCCATACATGTAGATACTCAGCTTGGAGCTCTTGAATGCACCGCACTTAGCAACGTCGAGAGCAACCATGGGGAGTCGTCCTTCAGCTACCGCCTGGTTGACAGTAGATATGGTCCACGTCTCATTGAGTATTTTGATGGGAATTTGCACATTGTCGGGAAGAGGATGGACAGATAGCTCTTGGAAACGTCTGCGAATGTCCTCGACCGGCATATCCCGCGTGGTATCATCAAAGGGGACTAAGAGCTTTCCACGCTCCCTTTCGGTGGGTGTGCCGACTGTGCGGAGGACTTCGTGGAAGTGCTCTGCGGCTTCTTGCGTGCAGACAAGGGTGCGGCTTTGTAGGATTGGATATAGGGCGCGCACCATGACGCCGCCGTGTTTTCGCTCTTCTTCGATTTGCAGCCGCGTTGTCTGGGCTTGCCATGGCTGAGGCTCGAGTTGGAGGTGGGTGATGTCGGAGATGAGATCGATGAGGATAGTGTGATCCATGTTAAGGGTATCCGTTAGACCATCAAATTCGTCTCCTATGAGATTCCTTATGGCATCCTGGATGGGCGGAGGTTGTGTTTGCATGAACACGCTGCTAGAGTCCTCCACAACGATGTCAACTAGAGGATCGAGACGGCATATCTGATCTAATAGTATATCGATATCCTCGTTTTCTCCTCTCATGAGGTTAGGAAAAACGATGCGTAGTCGGGGGATACGATACTCGTGCCGATTCATTTTGGCCGCAGCAACGAGCCGCCTTATTTGTTTGGCAAGAGGCGTGTCCTCCCATTCTTCCGGGTCGACAATATCTCCCAGTTCATGGTCACCCCATCCCCAGCCGCAGTCGGTCATCTGTCGAGCCAACCTGTCCGCTTGAAGCCATCGAATGTCGAGCCATTCGCTTCCTCCTTCGACCACGTCCACTTCCACTTTAGCCTGTTCTTTGAGAGTTCGATTCAGCTGCTGCTTCTCCCTACCATTACCAACGATTTGAGAGGTTTGTTTCTTCCGGTCTTCTTTGGCTGACCCCTGAAACGTCTGATCGATGACGAGAAAGGTATGACACCGCTTGAGAATCTCCCAGTGGACCGCCCCATGCTGTACAATTGTAGCACTAGCCACCAGCTTTCTGTTTAATAGACCCAGTCCGATCTCATCCTGCTCGCCGTCGACGAGTTCGGATTCCACTCGTTTCAGGATATCATGTTCTTTGCTTATCTTACGGATAAAAGCAGGCAGACCGGTCACACGCGAGTTTTTCACCTTTGATTCGATGGTCTTGAGAAAGCTTTCAATCTCGGGAATGTATGAGTCACACGCAAGGATATTCTTATGAGTCTCTTGCAGCATCAACTGCTTTGTGGCGGCAACATCATCTTGACTGCCTGAAAGGAAGTGAGGCTCTGGCTCCTCGGCAGTTACTGAGCCCATGATGGTTGTGTTGAGGAAAAGAAGAGGCAATAGTGATTGCCCAGTCTTGAGTATTTCATGACCTATCTCTTGCCATTTCGTTGATTTTACAGCCTAAAAAAATGCACAGTCTTGCAGCATGAAGCTTTCGTGAGAATCTTGTGGATGCCTAATTCATACTGTGTGGCGGATCATACTTCTACCGCCTCCGAAGCTTTTTCATGTCCAAAGTCACAAACAAGCCAAAAGATGAATTATTTGATAAAAAGGTTTCTATTATGGAGTAGTTAACTGATTTTTATCAGTAGATGCGAAACCATACTGAATGTATGGAATTGTAAAATAGCCAAATTCAGCCAAGATCAGGTTCATGTACACTGGCTGTGTTGGTGTATAATTCAGGAACAAGTCCGGCCTCGGTGAGTGCTCGGTTTGTCTAGGTTAGGTCCAGACCACACTAGCAAAAGACGCCATCACGGCCCTTTAAGGCATTGGATCCTTCATCGTCTAGGTGGTTACATTCACTCTCCCGAATATCACATGCTTTGACACACATACCAGCATTTGGATGAATACAATGATTCACAGAGTGCTTCATAATTTCATAAATATTAATGAGATAGATGTAGAATTCATAAACATTTATGAAATACATGTGGAACCCGATCACCCAGCAGACTTTTTCCTCTGCAGCATTGTACCCAATCTTCCATCCACCTCCAAACAATATCCAACCACTTACATGAATCCTCACCCCATCCATCAAGCTAGCTTCACGTCCATCCTTTTCGCCACTGCTCGGCAATCGTTCTCCATGAGAGTCCCAGAAAATAATGCCTCGTCTCCATACACTCCCCACCATCACAGACAGGAACCAAGGAGAAAAAAAAAGTTCGTTCCTTGCATATCGGCCGTAACCCGAACGTCCATCTATCCTCCTCTAAGCTAATAACATGACTACAAAATCAAGTCCATCGCCCACTAGCATGAACTGACAAGCCAACCACAATCCATTTTCCACGTGGCGGACAGGACAAAATCCACCCTGTTGCCTTGCTTGTGCCAACTCATCAATGACTCGAGCCGGTGTCCGATCAATCCGCTGCAACCCGCCTCTTTTCTTGTTTTATGTGTGTGTACGTGTGCCTGATTACGTGTGACATGCAAGATGCAGTGTACCTTGACCACTCGGATCATCATCCACAACACACATCCATGCATGACAACGAAACAAGGTCCGAAGGGAATAAAAAGAGGGGAAAATACACTTTCTCGTAAGAAGGGAATTCCAATATCCGGTGCAATCGGAAGCATTGGATGAAAAAAACTTGTAACCTGCATTAGTTAACGACCGGATACATGCACCAATGGGCCAAATCGGCGACCATTCCGCCAGTAACAAAGGGACCCATGATGATGGAGAATGACTGGAGGTAGACAAGAGAGAAAAAAAAAAAAACTCATACTGATGTAGTTCCCATTGTCAGAATAGAAAAGTTCCAGACAGCTTTAGAACACAGACTAAGTGTTGAATAGTAGACCGAACCATTGGGAATACGTTTGGCTCGGCTCGGCGAGAATGGGCTACGGAAAGGATAACGCCATGGCGTATTTCGTGCCAACTACTCACAGACGAGGACAAGAGGTTTGGATGGGGTTTTGAAAGTGGGATGGTGTAACGCCATACAACAGCTTTTACCATGTTTCAAAGAAAGTTAGAGTTAAGCTCAGGCAACCACAGACGTCAAGAGGCAAATTCGTATCATAAGAGCAAATAAACATTTCAATTATATATATAAGAGAACCGTAATATATATATAAAAACGGATTCAAAGTAACTTGCGTGGACGTCCATAGCCTCGATGGACATCGGGGGAACCCGTAAAAGCCACACGCCAAACACCGTAGATATTCTCCACGTAAGAATTCTTAAAGCCGAAACACATGTATCAAATCCCAAAAGCCAGCCCAACATATTTTCTCTATGCCCCTCTGCGTCATCAGTCGGTACTTTATCCTGAGAAGTTGACGGTAACCTCAACGGAGGTCTTGCCGGGCTTGATGTTGAGACCCAGGCCATCGAGAGCCTCGGTGCCGCCAACGAAGGCGTTGTCACCCCTGCCGCCGGGCCAGATGGTAGAGCAAGTGCCGGCGTAGTCGCCGGTACCGCAGACCTTGAGGCCGGGAATGGTCAGCTTGTTAGCAGCGGCAACGATGGAAGAGGCGTCGAAACCGGACCAGCCACCGTTGGAGAGGTTGCCAACATCACCCTCGACCCAGGTAGAGGCGAATTGGCCGATGTTGGTCAGCTCAGGGCCACCAGGGCCGCAGGCACAGCCGAACTGAGAGTTGGAGTCGACAGCGAGGACCTGCTTGCCACCGGCGGGGAGGTCGAATGTCAGAGCCTCGTGGCCGTTGAAGAAACCGTCAATCTGACCATCGGCTCCGATCTTGTTCCAGCACTTGCACGAAGAGTCGGCGCCAGCGTTGTTGAAAACCACAGTGTACTGGTACTGGTCGAGGAGGTTGCTCTTAACAGGCATCAGGTTGCATCCGTAAGCGCCGTCGGCGCCGACATTGCCCTTGTAAGCGATCTCAGCAGCGGTAGCACGCTTGCTGTTACCATGGCAGAAGGGAGTGTAGGTGGAAGGGCCAGAGCCGACACCAGCAGCAGAGCTGGCAGCCTTCTGAGCAGGAGGAGCGGCAGCAGAAGGCGAAGGAGTAGGAACAGCAGCAGGCGAAGGAGTGGGAGTGGCGGCGGGAGGGCTGGGCTCAACAGGCTTGTTGGCAATGACAAAGTCGCCGCGGGCCTCGAGAGAGTCGTGGGCGCGCTTGTGAGCGTGGCCGCTGGGGTGAGCAGAGGCGCCGATGGCGGCGAGGAAGATGGAAGCGGTGGAGAACTTCATGTTGGCGATGTTTATAAAAGATGCTGTCTAGGTTGTATATCCAAAGGAGCGAGCGATCGTCTTAGTATTTCCAGAATACCGCGAGGAGGTTGTTGCTGGAGGAGGCCGAAGGAGCGAGGCGACTAGATGCGCGGGCGAGATGCCGTTGTTTGTAGGGTTGCGAAAAGAAGGTGGTTGGCAACGCACGCGATGTCTTTGTCTTTAAGGAATGACTTTGAAGGCCTGGTGTAGACGGTGAGGAGGAGGAGAGAGGAAAGAAAGGGAGCGGGAGGGAAGCGGGAGTTATTAAGGCCCCAGCATGCCAGTCCAGGCACAGGGGACGAACATTGTGTGGACTTGGGGCCCTGGAGCAGGGGGGAAGAGCACGATGCAGACTTCTGCAAGCGAACCGTGCTTCGGGGCTCCTTAGTGGGTGGCAACGCCCTGTGCTGGGCTCCATGGCTCGTAAAAGCTGCCCGTCTGCCCCTAAAGATGTGTGGACTCAATGCTCCCCCCATGAAACCTGGCTAGGAGAGCTAGGAGACCCCTGTCACGAAGCTAGCCACAGCAGTCCAGGAACCACCAGGTACCCGCTGCCTGTCATTGGCCCAGGTGGGCGTGGAGCCCGAATTGGGGTTCAATGTTTGGAGCTGTCTGGTTCAATTTGTCGCGTCAGCCCACATGCACAAACCTCGGGCCAGTTCTGCAACCGGAGCTGAAGATGGAGAATTTCAGTCGTGGAAACTTTGTGGTTTGTTCAAAGCTTGTTCTTTCTTGCTGACACGATAAGCCATGTGCTGCACAAATCAGAGTTTTCTTTGACAAGTTGATGATGCATCAATGACAGAATCTTGAACAGCCAGAACACAGATACCCAGCCGTGTTCACGCACGCAATCAATCATTCAGTCCTCTTTGTGGGCGATCCACGCGTGATCCACGCATGGGTTGACGTCCACCATGTCAAACGCTCTCGTACCAATTTCAACAAAGATACCGCGGAGAACAGCGCCAGACATGGGCCATCGCAAGTACCCGGACATCCACGTGTACTTGTTGATTCAATGCATAATCTCCTCCAGAAATCGAATCAATCAATCATTCACCCATCCTCGTACGGGAACCTGTAAATTCACCTCCTTGTTTCCCCCAATGACGCCTCGCCAAAGCCCGTTCAGCAGCCACTCAGGCTCCAAGCACGAGACAGACACCAGACATCTTTGTTCTCCCAACCTTTCCCTTTCCCTTTCCCCCTCCTTTCTTCCCCTTCGTTCGTCTCCCCCTTCTCCCACCGCCAGCCCATCTCGCTGGCCGCAAATGAACAAGCAGTCCGTCGCCAACGCCTTCTGGAATGAGGAATAGATTTTCTTTTCCACCGCAGCCCTGTAGCCGACGAGTGGAAGGGGAAATGAGACGCCCCTGGGAGGTAATTTCGTGCGAAATCGGGGCTTTGCTGCATCGGGTTACCGGCTCGTGAAGCCAAGCCCAACGGCTAAAACAACCTGGTCACGGGCGGTAAAGGCCGGCAGTTTTGTTGTCCACTTGTTCCAAGGTGCAAGGTTAATGTTCTCTCGCTGCAAGATTACCTAATGGAAGTCGTCTCATTGTGACGAGAAGCTGTCACGGAATACGAGGGCATGTCTTGGAATCTTTCCAGTTTGTCGCCAAATTGCACGTCCAATTTCGCCCGTTCGGCTGTCGTATTTGAGCCCTGTAGCATCCAATGGCTCCGTGCTTGCGTACTGTAGCATGCGCTATGGAGAACAAAGCAACTTGAGCTGCATTAATGATTTGTCTCCTCAGTTTTCACTCTTCCAATGGCTACAGTAGCTGCAAACTCAAACAATGCCAAGTGCCATGCAGGGCGCTTCTATGGGAGCAATATCGTACTCCAGCCCCCCTTGGTTCACCGCATCGCATGCGCCAATATCAGAGCAACTACGCCAAAATAGTATTCCATTCCAATCGCCCTTCTCGCGCGCGCCACAGACACGTCAGTGTCAATACTCTCTCAACTGCATGCATAACTACAAATAGCATTGACTTTATCCACAAAGCAACACCTCCAATATCGATCCATCTGCTGCATGTACCCGTTCTACATACATACAAGTATCGCATTCCCACACGGACCATTGCAGCAATACCCACCGCTACTACGTGTGCTATTCTTATCCCCGTCTCCTCATCTTCCCTGTTTTGTTTTCTCCTATGAACCTCGTCAACACGGGCACCGCCCCTTGGGATCCATCATATTCTCCGTGCGAGTGCATATCCCGCCTTTCCGGCTCTCCACATCCCCAGCCGCAGCTTCGGATCCGCGTCAGCTCCTCACCTTACCTCAACCCCCTCTCTCGGCATTCTCCTAAAAGACCCAACATTCGACGGCCCATACGCTCCGAACCCCCTATGGAAGCCTTCTATCCTTGGAATACTAATCTAAAGAACTCAACATCCGACGAGCACTGCCACTGCATACGTGTGCAATGGTTTGGACGTTTTATATTATGCCCGTAGCCGTGAATAATATCTGTATGAACACAATCACACATCTCGTAGTAAATCCACGCACTGTATGTGCTACTAAGGTACCTACATATGCATGAACAACTCAGCATCGTTCGATTCTTGCTCCCCTGTTTTGTGGCTGAGGAACCATGTGGTGTCCGTTTCGAGGAATGCAGAATGCCAACCTCTCTAGCCACGTAGAAAATTCCTGTGGTCACCACTTCACCACTCTCTAGCCAATGTTTCAGTTCCACGCGATAGGCATGTTGCGTAATCGTCATCGAGCTGTACTCCGTACCTTCTTTTTGCTTAATGCCCTACTAGATCTGAAAGCCCCCGGCCTCTCTGGACAAGATCTGAAACAGCTCGCAATATGAGCATCTAGGGTATGCGCCGTCAAAGACGAGCATCACACATACATTCTTCTCAGCTCTGTCTAGAAAAACGATTATATCCAGTCTCTGGAGATAAGCTATACTGATGTAAATAATATGATGGAATACTATTTTCTCAAATAATTAACGTTAGCAACCTCTCCTCGTAGGAGCTCCTGTGTAAATAAGCCTGCGCCTAACTCCCATTTATTCCAACGAGGCTACCTTGTGATAAAAAAAAAAAAACTCGCTCAGGGTGTTTCAGATATAGAAGAACACAATTAAACGTCGAAAGACGCTCGTTATTTAAAAAACTTTAAAAGCTCACTGGTATCACCAATGAGCACGATGGCACCCTAGCGTGGGCAGACGTCAAGCATCGTCTGGTCGTGTAGTGGAACGTCGGCAGTTTCTGAGAGGAGCCCAAGACTCGTGAATGGAGCTCCATCGAAGGATGCCGGAGACTATCGACAAGTGCCTCCGCATCAAATAGTTTTCCAGTGTCTGGAGAAACGCGTAACATGACTTGATCGAATATGAGTACCAATGCAATAAGAGTACCAATGCATCTTCCAACAGGGCTCCCGTTCAGATGGCGCAGACAGGACTACCTACCTCTGGTTACTCTTTGCCCCTCTGCTCGTTTAATATTACCTAAACCAGCCGATGCCGCTTTTGTTAGGATCATATCTCATCTCTGCTGCTGAAGGACTAGAAAAATAGGGGAGGACGGTGTTTTTCGCTCTCATTATACCCAGACTGGCGATTTTTGCTAGTCTGCTCACTACTTTGGGCATCTCGTGCTATTATTTCGTTTGGCAGCATGGATACCTACGAGGCTCTGAAGCTGTATGCCACTGATAAGAGTTTCTTCTTCTTCTTCGTCATTAGTGTTGGCGCTTTCCTTGTTCCTAGTGGCATACCATAATGCCAAATGCCCTTCAAAAAGCCGCGGCATCTATACTGCAGCCATCTCCACTAATTTCTTGACAGCCATGCCAGTGAATGACTTCCATTTGATGTAGAAATTCCCTTTTTAACGCCTATATTTCGCCCCGCACTCGAGTAGTTTGCTCCTTTCCGTTGCTACTGACTTTGCTCCTACAGCTTTAGTCATTCCCGAGTATTTGCGCTTCTTTGATGACGAAAGGAGACAAGGCTTTAGGGAGATTCCAATTCTACAAAGGACTTCACATAACAATCTATTATAGTTCTGTCTGTATCGAGGCTTCCCTCGTGCTATATGATATTGAGAGGGTTGCTGTCTATTTCCGTGATTGAGATGAAGAGTACCCGTTGGCAGACTTCATAGATTCGTATATAGCAGAGCAATTGAGGAAAGTTAATGGGTATTTGGCACCTATGGATATACTACATGGGCATATCCACCAAAGGACTCATGAATCACGGTATATCAAAACGATTCCTTCTATTTATGGGGCTGGTTGGAGGCAGATATATTACAGCTCTCATACAATTCCCACCAACCAACATACCTGTAACATCATGCATTGTACTCCTCGTTCTGGCAAAATATCCACATTCCTCGCTCCCACTAATACACAAACATAGGTACTAGGTAGAGTATGTATGAAATGTATTTCAAGAGGATCCAGACTTTTCGAGGGGTGCCTCATGCCTATTAGGACGCAAGCGAAATATACGCTGAATCTACTGCATCTAGGCTACGCTGCAGATAGCTGCTTCTGATAAGCACCTGCAGGATCGATGCCGTCAAGATAAACGAGACTGTAGATATGGATACATGTATGTACTAGGTATCTTGACCCTAGCACCCACAAGCGAATCACAAAGAGAGGCGGCATCAACATTCTCATTTCTCTGTATTTCCACGACATGATACAATGGATATTTCCACGTTGGACCCGTCCGCACATGCAGTTACTCCATGTATGTACAACAAAAGGCGGCTTCGGGATGCATGCAATTTTGCATCGCATCCAATCAATCTGGCCGTTATCTTTCCTTGCTTTGTCCAGTCGCAAAGGCCATGTGGTCTGCCCGATCTGTCTCATAGGCTGTGCCTCGCTGGGACACTCCGTAAAATTCTGCAACTCATGTACGTGTATGCATGTCTTGGCTCTCGCCATCCATACATTGAGAGCTTGCATTCCACGCATGTGCTTTATTTAGCTGGGCGTATTGAAGAAGAGGCTTTCTGTCCGGATCCGATGTTGCATGAGGAAATATCCGATACATGTAGAGAGCCGCACGGCATTGGATGCCTTCCACCAGCATCTGCTTTACGGCCCAAGGTCGGGTATCAATCCATGCAGCGATGCGACATTTTAATCACCGGGCAGCGGCCAGAATGCCAATTGAGGCTCGAGATTTCTTCAATCACTTCATTACGGCCCAACAATAGCCCGAGATGACCTCAAGCACCCGTCCTCGTATCGACTTGGGTACACGGGAGCTACGAGCTTCCAGCGGCCGAGTCAGCTGCATCTTTGCGTCTTCAGCTGGTCGCGCCGATTCAATAAAAGCACCGAAGAAGCGCTAACGGCTCGAGCAAAGTCGCTGCTAAGCTGCTACGGGAAAGGCAGCTGGCCGTCATGTTGCGTCATGCGGGGTGCTAGTGCTGGAAGCTGTAGCTCCCTAACTCCGATAACGTCTGATCAGGCCGTGACAGCTACCTTATCAGCTAATGCACGACCTGTCCATGGCAGGAAGCTTAAGCACGGGTAGACGCTGTTCCTTGGCTAAGGCATCCATGACCAGCTGTGCCAGGAAAAAGTGACCCGATGGTATTAGTAGGGCATTTGACTGCGTTGGAACTTCAACTTCAACCTTTCATGCAGCTGGCTAGTTTCCCTGCCCGGCAGCTCTCCCTTTCGGCGTCACGCGATTTTGTCGCAGACTATCCATCACTAGCCATCATCCCTGGCTTCTTTGGGATTTTTTCCTGCTTATAGGTCCATTGACCGTGGACGCGAGGCTTTTGGGCCTGCTACGCTTGTTGCACCCGCTGTTTTCTCACCGTCTCGAAAGTCGCCGCCGTCATGCCTCGATCTAACCGCTGGCGCAACATTGATCGCCTGCTTGGCTTCGATAGACATGGCCATCACTCTCGCCGCCAATGGGTTCATGAAGAAGAGCGTGCCTGTAAGTCGTGACACATTCAATTGTCCCCGAATCCTCGCCACGTGCCTCTGGAGGCCGTCATGCTAACAGAGGGCTTCGCACCCCGGCTTCAGTGCTCCCACAGCTGCGTAATGAGGAGATAGACTCTGCCATTCCACCCGCCGACGTTACCAAAGTATGCCTCCGACTACGACACCTAGTCCAAGAGTGCGTACCATGTGAAATGGAAGAGAGCCGAATCACGGCGCCCCATAGCCGCATTATTACGCCCAACGTGATCCAAGCTGCCAAGGAAGCAGGCGGTCAAGAGTACAAGGGTTGTGTGGTACGTGACGGCTGAATATATGCCGGCTACTATTGGGATGACTGTTCGCTAACAGCACCTAGGTCTACGCTTTACTCGTCAATCAGAAATGGTTTAATCATGAAGCAAATGTTGAGCTCTGGGATGCTGGTCTGCACAATCTGCGATCCGAAGCTTGTGGTGTTATAGCCAAGGCCCTGTACGTAGCCCAATTGCAAATGGCTCATTGATATATACTGACTATGGGACTACTAGTATCGAGGAAGAGGAAGACACGGCGTATCTACTGCACTCGGTGCTCCTGCGTCGATACTCGTATATTGCAAACGGCATCCCGACGCCTCCTGTCAATGTCATCGAAAAAGCTGTCGATTTGCATGCGGTTCGAGTCATTGGCTCGTCAGGATACCAAAAATGCATCAGCTATCTCTGGCGTGGCTGGCTCGTGCAGGACGAGAACGACCCATCTTTCTTTGTCGACTATAATGACAAGGACAATCCGAATTTCCTGGTTCATATGGATCCAGATCGGATGCGAACCCCTAGAAACCAAAACATTGCCCAGCTGTTATTTTCCCTTATCTATCTTGCCCTCTTCACCATTGCCATCAACTCAGTCAACGCCAGTGGCGTCATCGACATTGCCGAAGGAGCCCTCTATTTCTTTACACTCGGATACATTTGCGATGAGCTGCTCAAGGTCTACAAGGCTGGATATCAGATCTTGGGCTTTTGGAACGCTTTCAACGCCATCTTGTACGCGTTTTTGACGGCATCGTTTATATTCCGCATTGTTGGCCTGACTTTTGCGGAACATACAGATGGACGTACCCATTACAGCACGCTAGGATACAACATCCTGGCCTTTACCGCTCCGTTGTTTTGGTGTCGTCTCTTGCTCTACTTGGATAGCTTCAGGTTCTTTGGCGCCATGCTTGTCGTTCTCAAAGTCATGATGAAGGAATCCGTGATATTCTTTGCCCTGCTCATTTTCATTATCATTGGTTTCCTCCAAGCCTTCATCGGTCTTGACCTCACTGATGACAACGTTGCCGACGACGTGTGGTTCATCATCGAGTCTATGACAAGGGCTATCCTCGGAAGCCCAGAGTTTGATGGGTTCGATGGATTTGGGCCACCTTGGGGCGCGATCCTGTATTACTGCTTTACATTTATTGTCATGGTATGTCTTGAGTGTCAATTGTGTGAGAGTAAATTGAAGCTAATGAATGGTGTCAGGTTATCCTCCTCAACATCCTCATTGCCCTGTACAACTCTGCCTACGAGGATATCTATGATAACGCGGACGATGAATATTTGGCGCTGTTCAGCCAGAAGACGATGCAGTTCATTCGCGCACCAGATGAGAACGTCTATATTGCTCCACTCAATTTGATCGAGATTGCCATCTCAGCTCTCTTTGAGTGGTGGATGCCTAAGAAGTCGTACGAGTTCATCAATGACTGTGTCATGGGCCTTTTCTACTCACCGCTTCTTTTGATCACGGCAATCTTCGAGACTCGCACGGCGCATGCTATTCGTCGTAACCGAGCTCGTGGAGAGGCAGATGACGATATCATTGAAGAATGGGAACAGCTCGCACAGGACATTGACTTTGGTGCTGAAGGATGGGCCAAGACCTGTGAGGCTGTCAAGCCAAATATGGATGATGACCCGGCCGTTGTTGAGATTAAGAAGCTGCGCGCTGAGCTTGCTGGATTGAAGTCTATGCTGGCTGACCTTGGCGACCATGTCCACTTTCCGACGAGCCAAGATACCAAGATTGGGGACGGCAGCGCCTATGAATTCAAGCCATCTTCGGAAACAACCCACGAGGAAACGGATCATGCCCTGAGCACCGGCAAAGACGTGGCACACGACGCAGCAAGCTCATCGGGCAAAGCGCCGGCGGGGAGCAGCTTCGAAGAGCTAATTGACCTGGTTGATGATTCTGCTAAGCCGTCCAAGGATTCTGAAGAGACTGCCAAACCAGCTGAAGAGGAGACCGAGCCAGCGGAAGAATCTACGCGTCCTTCCGAAGCCGTACCAGAACCAGAGAGTGAAGATCCATCATCTAAGGCACCCGAAGTTACACCATACAAGGCAACTGAAGACCCATCATCTAAGGCACCTGAAGACACCGTATCCAAGGCACCCGAAGACGCACCGTTCAAGCCATCGGAAGAAGCAGCTCTCGATTCCTCTGAAGATGCTCCGACCAAGACACACGAGGCCCCTGAAGACGTGCCTTTCAAGGCTCCTGAAGGTGCCCCTCTCGAGGCCCCCGAGTACGTTCCGTTCATTGCCCCCGAAGACCTGCCGTCGGAGGCTGCTGAAGGCGTTCCTCTCGAGACATCTGAGGGCGCTCCACTTGAGACATATGCAGAGGCGGCGGCCAAGGCCCCTGAAGAGGCTGCGCCTGAACGTGTTGAACGTGTCGAATCTGAGGAAGCCGAAGGCGAGGATGCCAGCCCTGAGAGTCCATCTGGCGAAGGCAGGGCAGAGGGCGAACAAGATCCCAAGCCAAAGGCCAAGAGACGAAGAAGAAAGAACAAGAACAAGGGGTCCCAAGCCGGCCCGAGCGGCGGTAGCTAAGCAAACGAGACTTGAGGCGCCAATACTGGGGCACGTAAGCGCGGCAAAGGAGTGAAGATTGTGTGTTTTATCTTTGGTCTAAGGACGGCGTATATACCCCTAATGGTTCTGATTTGATAAAATGCTGCTCAAGCAGGGTGGCGTTTTCTTGTATGTCGTGGACTGAGCTAAGACACGGGGACTTTGGACGAATAGGTGATGCTCAATGTATGAATGACTTTGCTTGTTACGATTTGGGAAATGGTTGCATTTACGTTTTACATAGCATGGAAAATTGAGGGTTACATAATTTATTTCATTTATTTTGACATCTGCAGAAGTTCTCCAACTTGGTGTGCGTGTTGGGTGATTGCATGCATCGCCCACCACCTTGTTGAGCTTGTCTATGCAAGAGTCCGCGATGTGAAACTACCTATTCCTTGTGTGTGTGCAACCAAAGCACATGTTGCTTGTCTCCCTTAACCGTAAACGCCAGCCAATAAAAGCATCCAAATTCTTCGTTTCTTCCCTTTCAAGAATCCTTAGTCGGTACTTGACTGAGGCATCTCACTTTCATCAGGAGGGAAGTAAAGGCTACACAATAGCATTAGCAGTGGTCTTCCAAGGATGAACAAAAGGAATTTAGATATCTTACGGTAACACGGCATCGTACGCGTTCACATCCTTAGCCAGAAAGGTAACAAAGACGACACGCTCAATTTTGCCCTCGTCGTTCCCCCCCTCGAGAAAGTCCCTGACAGCTCTGCAGGCCACATGAGCCGCCGCCTCGCTGGGGTAGCCGTAAACACCAGTGCTGATGCCGCTGAAGGCAACGGTAGCACAGCCGTTCTCGACAGCGACATGGAGGCACCTCTCGTAGCAGCTGGAGAGCAGGGGCTCGCTGGTGGCCTCGTTCTGGTAGATGGGACCGACGGTGTGGATGACGTGCTTGGCGGGCAAGTTATGCCCCCCGGTGATGACGGCGTTACCCGTCTTGCAGCCGTTGGGGTAGCGGGCGATGCACTCTGATACGAGGCCGCGGCCGGCGGCGGAGTGGATGGCGCCGTCGACGCCGCCGCCGCCGTGGAGGGAGTTTTTCGCGGCGTTGACGATGGCGTCGAGGGGGAGGGAGGTGATGTCTGCGCGGAGGAGGGAGATGCGGGTGTTGAGGGAGGCGGAGGGCGGGCGGAGAGCGTAGGTTGCTGGTGGTGGTGAGAGGCGGCCGGTTGCGTAGAGGCGGGAGATGGTGGGGATGTCGGCGACGTTGCGGATGACTTTGGACGACATGGTGGCGATGGGTGGTGATGGTGTTTTTGTTCTTGTGAGAGAGTGGTTGATGTGAGGTGTGAGATTTTGCTGGGGTTCTTGATGGTTAGTGTTTTGGTGTTTTGGATGGCGGATGATGCGTACTTTAAGTACTCGAATATTTTAGGCTCAGCAATCTTGAACCCTACTAATGTTGCCAAATAGGGTTCACTCTTTGCTTTGTTGCTTCTTTTTGTCGAGTTCACAGAGAGGGGAGAGGGGAGTGTTTGAGTCGTTCGGATGTGATGCGGGTGAGATGAAGTAAAGAACAATGAGAGAACGAATATTCATGCGAACATAAAGTTTGCAGGCACGTGTTGTGGGTGTGGCGTATCGATACCCTGATAGACTTCAACGCATGTACCTATTAATATTCCTTCTAATGTTCCCTTTTGTTCAGACAATGGTTAATTTGTCGACAATCAATCAATGGCTTAGACCTGCATGAAATGAGTGTAAATTGCTTTGATCCCCTCATTAAGCCGATCGATGCGGAATTGCTGCGCCATCCCCGCAGTGAGCCTTATTGGCCTCATTCTCAGTTCGCCACCATGGCATTTCTTTATTTATTTTCGCACTGAAGGGTTCAATACTAAAGAATCTGGACAAAGCCATAGAATTGTCAATTGGAAAGTCATATAACACTATCTAAAAATAGCCGCACTTGTTGGTGTTGTATGCTCCTTGGATAAGTGGACATTACACAAAGCTGCCATTCTCTGCTTTGTTACCTCACTATTCATGGGCATCCGTTTATTTATAGAGAAACACTCTACAAAGATAGAAAGCGAACTTTCCGTTCAAGATTATTCGAATCGATTTAGGCATATCTGGGTATATGTGATTTGCATCGTTTCAGTGGGATACACAGACAAGCAGCAAGTCTTTGACAACCATATCGTCTCATTTACCTATGCCTGCCCTGAAATCCCAGACTACTAATAGGTTCATGAGATGCATCGCAGCTTCTCTATTTGTCAAGTTTCACGAAGTCGTCGCAACCAATTCCCTCGCCAGTCTACATAGTGACGGGTTAGCATCTATACCATAGAGTTGTGATTCGGTAGAAGCGCACCAGTAGAAGCGTGCAGCATCGAGGGGCCTGTCCGAGCGTTTGGCACGCCTGCTTAAATTCCATGCCGTTCTGGAATTGTTCAACCCCTGGGGCTATAAATCTTGCAATTTAGTAAAGGTATCATATGTCCGAGGAGCCTTGGCCATAGCATAGAGAGATTGGTACTTACGGGTCTCGCAGTCCAGATCGGCGACTTTGAGAACATCAACTGAGCAACACGCTGGTCTATTTCGGTTATTGGTTGGGCAAGGATCAAAAGCAAAAACGCTGACAGCGAGGATGCTTAGGAATAGAAGCTTCATGTTCATTTTCATGGATCCAATTGGTAGAAATATCCAAATATTTTTTCTCATAATGTTGGTTAGTACAGATGAGGGTATGATATAGAATGTGGTGTCAAGTGTTTCGATAACAATTCAACTTACTGGAGAGGCTAGGCCGCGATATTTAAGTGCCTGTGATCCATATTTCCTTTTTCTTCCAGTTCAGCTCTGCTCCCAAACCCTCGTGTTTGCAATGAGGCTGGGCTAGCTGTGAGCAGGGGACAGCGCTGCATCCCTTCCATATGACACAATGACGCCTCAGCTGAAAACAAGTCCGAGACAATGACCCATGTGATGTATCATTAAAATTCACGTAATGATGCTAACCAAGCTCTATTCCCTCCTATCGTGCTGCCTTTCGGCTGCCTTATCCCGTTCCTGCCGAGCAAGCTTGTTAGCCACTACCTGGTACTCCCTCGCCTTGGACAGCGTTTCCCTGTGCCCTCTCATTGTTTGTTGTATCTCGGACGCAAACATTTCTCTTGTCTGCTGCATTTTGAACACTTCGTCATCAAAATCCATCATATCGATATCTCGTTGAACAGATTCGGCAAGCTCATCGAGGATATTTCCATAAATTTGAATCGTTCGAGGTATCAGCTGCGGGGTACGCCCCGCTGGAACGTAGACATTATCGTTGGTATCCTTGTTGACTTCTGCAATTAGCTTTGAAAGGCTATTAATCTTTTGAACAGAATCAGCGGATCGTTTCTTTGGTACCAGACCTTCAAGAACGTCAAAGGTAGTAGTGTAGAGATCCCAGTTGCGCTTTTTCTTGTTCCCGGAGCTGACGAATGGAACGGGGTGATCTTCCATTAGAGCTCGTGTAATCTGTGGTTCACCAACTTTGAGATCTGTATGAGTCCTGTTCAAGTGCTGTGCCTCCTTTAGCTGGTATGTCCAACTTATACTTGTGGAAGCTGGTTGTTTGTAGACCCCTTGGCGGTACGAATCCGCACGCTGTAATCGCAATCTCGCTTCATTTTGTTTATCGATTTCCATTGCTTGATGGATGTCTCGTGTTCGATCATCTCCTAGAAGGTTGGGATCTACTGTTGAGGCGAAATCCGTAGCATTTGGCGTGGGAGCAAGTGCATGTAACTCTTCGCGCTCAAGATCTTCCATCAATTTGCCCTCGTCTTGCTCAAACTCCACAATATTGTCGAGCAAGCCTGCCCATTTCTCAGCAACTCCCTGTACTCCTGCACTTCGGCTTGGCAGAACAATCTTGTACGGGTTCAAATCGAAATCTCGGGCATATCTCTGTTCAAATTCCTCCAGCTTAGCAAGCTGATCGCCCTTCAGGTTGAGCATCGCCCGCTTCGCCAATGGGTACCATCTCTCCCATACCCTGCGCTTTGACTTGCGAAGTATAGGCACCGTATGAAGCATTTCTCGCCAGTTGGCATGCACTTCTCTCGCATCTTTGGAAATGAGGTATGAAATGTTTCGAAATGAGGTTAAACAGGATAGTACCTTCGCCTGCCATTCGTTTCTCCAAGATGGCAAATGCGCTTGAAACCCGTTGAGGTCTCTAAGCAGTCTTGTTAACTGGGTGATGATTTTGTTGTTTCGAACTCTCCAGATGAGTTGATGGCCAGGGATCCCTTCAAGATAATGCTCCCAGAATCCAATAGGCAGCTCGTATAACTGAGCTACCATGGCTTCTTGAATACACAGCTCTTGGTGTAGAAATTTGGAAAATCCCATGAGTGATTTGGCAAGACGGTCATCGTATTTGGCTCTTTCACGGGTAATACCCGATATGAATTGTTCTATAGACATTCCGTCTAATGATGTGGAGGTTTCATCGGGCTCGATGCTTTTGTGGCTTCGCAATCGCCGCCATTGCTTATAGAAAGTTGTTGCCTCTTGCCTCTTATTTCTGGAACCGAGTCTCCTGTTTCTATATAGAAAGAAGATGCCTGCTTCAAAAGCAACCATACCCGTTTTGCAAGCTTGCGCTGTCAGTCTTTCGCCTCTATGGTACCAGTTTTCCGCAATCTCAACAAAACGCTTGGCAAGCATCGGGAATTTCCATGCGTCATAGATCAGAGCTTTGATGTACTGCGCGATAACTTTTTGGCCACTTGCCTCCAGCTCCAGAATGAAACAACTGACCCATTCCCGAGATTCAGGGGTGCCAAAGGCAAGATCGCCAAGGGAAGAGTGAAATGTAGTAGACTCCACGGCTGAAAACCAGGCAACTCTTTGTGGGATGTCTGGAACGCTCCTCAGAGCTGCCGAGCCATACTTTTTAAATGTGGTGTTCCAAAACTCTTGGGTGAAGAAATTTTGAACTGTTCTGTGACAGTTGAATGTGAATGATTTCTCACCCACTACGTACGGGGCAAGTACTTCGTGTTTAGCAGAATCCCGAGGATAAAATTCGCTCTGGTCGAACGAAGATGTGAGACCGCCGTAATACATTAGGAACATTGGTTTATAAAAGGACAAATGCGTCATTGGATATGGACCATGCCCCAAAACCTACGCACGTAGTCCGTTAGTACTCTATACATTTTATGGGGGGAGTGAAGTCCACGTACATGTCTTTCAAAAGCTTCCCCAATTTCTTTTCTCGAGTCATTTTTATAATATGGCTCAATGTCTGGATAATGGGGTGCCGATGGATATAAATCTCTCTCAAGTAACTTGCAAAATGTGAGATCCGCAGGGTGAGAAACTCCAAACTCGCGAGGATGCCGGATCCATAAGAGTGTTGCTTCTATAATGGCATGCTACAATGAAGACTGATGTCAGTAAATGTGTTCTGCTAAATCGATAACTGTGTCTCATAGCATGCACTCAGAACGAAATAGTAAGAAGGAATTACTGACACATAATTCGTGCACCATCGTCGCCGCAAGCATCCAGCTAACCATGATTTTCTCCGAGGAACTTAGTTGGGTAGCCAAAAGCTGCCAAATAAATTCTGCTGCGAGGTTGATACAAATTGAACTGCTGGGATTGGAGAGTTTGAACCGTGTCACAGCAAAAGCCGTCTCTGCGTCAAACTTTCCTGTTGGTGATTCGATATCGTAATGAGCACTGACAATTCGCCATTTCAATCTGCTCTCCAAAACTTTAAAGGTGAGCTCCACTGGGTTAAATTTTGCAGAAGGTCTGACTCTGTGTTGATAGCCTATGGCCTCACTTTTGTCGCTTCGAAGCTCAATTTTGAAGTTTGGTGCTTTCGCCTTCTGAGGATTTGAGTCCGAAGTCGCCGGGATCTTATACCAGTTACCTACGTCAAGTATTGTTTTGAAGAAAGGATCATCCTGACAAAACAGTCTGGTTGCCATTTGAAGGGCAGGCTGAAGGCTGTTCCAGACCTCCTCATTCCGCTGTTAAGAGTTCAGTACCTGTAGTTAGCCAAATAGCTGCTATTTTGCAACATACGGTAACGACTCACCTCGACATCCATATCAAGGGATTTCCCATCAAGGCGGAAAGATACGGCCCTGACGTCTACAACGCCAAAAGGAGATTGGTCCCATTTCTCTCGAGAGAACAAGCTATGACAAGTAAGAATACTGCTTCCAACTCACTATATAATGAGCACGTCATTTTACCTGTCTATTGGTCCACTAAGATTGCTCTGAAAGTCACTAATCTCGAAATAGTTTCCACCCAAAAGCTACTCATAGTCAGCATTCATAATATGTCACAAACGAGCTTCTATCTACTCGCCTCATCCATAGTCATGTCTCCAAAGAGGCATCCTTGCCAAAACTCTGCAATTAGAAGTTCGTCAAACGCTTTTATATACCCGTGTTCTTGGGGCCCATCGTTCAGCGTGGCATTGGAACACTGAGAAGTAAGATAGTCGTCAATATGGAGTCCTCTTCTTTGCGCCTGCTCTTCAATTTTGCTGGCAAGGTCTCTTCCGGTCAAGCCGCAGCCGGATGCATCTCGCGTTGCCATGAATCGCTCTGCTGATCGGGTTGGTGAGGTACACGATCGTCCATCAGAACGGCCTGGAAATATACCAAATCTTACGGCGTTTTTGGTGGGATTCTTTGCCCTATCTGTATCTAGCATCATTGGTCTTACGACGTCCTTTACAGGATCGCGAACAGCAAAATCTGTGCCATTGCGGGCGTCTGTGTCGTCCTTCCAGCCTGGAGCTGTCCATGAAGGAACGTACAAAGCACGTGTATTTTCTCTCAACGGCAAGATGTTTTCACCTTTGTTCGTTCTAAAGGAAAAATAGCTGGAATCGGTGGAGTCGTTGGAGTTGGTAGAACCATTGCAACAGTTCTGATCACTCTGAGACATTGTAATTGTGTGTACTGGCGTTTCTCTTTGGGCGTATGGTAGAAAGTGCCGTGAAAAATACTGGCCTATAATTCAGAATATGAAATTTGACAAGACGGTTAACAGAACGAAGGAAAAATCCATGGCTTTATTGACACCTCGAGACCTGTTGTTAACTAACGGTGCACCATCATTGGAGACGATAATTCTTTGGACGAGTGGCTGGATGCATTAATGGGCAGCGACGACAAAGACGCAGGTACATGATTGGATAAAGATAAAGATTTGAGCGGAAGGGCTTCTTGGAGCTCATAAAAGAAACTTGAAGCCGTACCCAGTCAATCACTTAGGTAGTGAATGTCAGTGTATGGTTACAAAGAAGGATTGCCGCTTCACTTCATTGTCAAGGCCTCTATAAAGCGATAGCTGGTGAACTATTCCAGGAGTCAACAAAGGAGCACGCCGTTGAATGGATGCCTCCTGTGAGTAAATCTAAGGCACAAAGGCGTTTGTCTCGACCAGCAGACCTTGAAATCTTAATGTTGAAGTGCTTTGAGGAGAGACACAGACCATCAAGATACTGGGAGAGGGTCAAGGAGGATATCGACATCCAGATGAGTCAGCACGGAGGTTCTATCGACAGGAAGCACCTCAGCACCTGCATTCTTTACTCTTGCCTACATGTACCTCCTACGTCGTGATCTGCCTCTAAGATGTCCGTCAACGCTGGTGATTTTCTTCTTCAACACTAGAGGTGCCAGCGGAAGCTCTACAGCATATTAGAGTACGGCTCTCAACGAAAGCCGGACTCCAAGTACAAGTACATACAGGTCTGATGAACAAGCTCCGTCCAGCCGCATCTGACTGTCGGTGAGTCCGTCCCCCAGCTAATGCGCATGGAGCAGAGAATGCAGGCTGGACTCTGGGGCCCCGCGATGGTGGTGGATCAAGGCATTGGATCTAGTGAATTGGCGACACGATTGTCTGGCTGCCGAATGCAAGTCTGGGCTACCCGAAAGTGAAGCCTGGATCTCGACATCAACAGCACCTGCTCGAACTCGAAGATGAGAGTCGAATCCAACAGACCAAGCCAACATCGAGCGGCTGCTAGTCCCGGGCGCTGCTCCACGCCGTCCTAGAGCCAGCCACTGAGACGAACTTGATGTGACAACGTGGCGCCAAAGCCGGACAGGAATGGCAGGCCGAGTTTATTGGAACGGTCTTTTTTTCTGCCGGGCCCACCGTTGCCGAGAGGGTGCAACAAGCGTATGAAACCCCGAGCATGTGCGGACAAGTAGGGAGCATTTAGATATGAGGTTGTGAGATGAGGCAGGATGCGCTGACGACGCAGCAGCCTGACTGTCTTATTCCTCAGAGGGGGTAACTGAACTGAACTGGACACAGGAAATCATGCCAGACAGCCCGGCTAAGCCGGTGAGGTGTGAGAGCTTCTGACACCGCCTCGGTTCTTATGCAGGAGCAGCTCGTGAATACCTTAGCAGTGACAACGGGACCAATAGGTACCGGTATAAGCTGGAGTACTGGAGTAGCAGTGCTGCTACTCCATCTGCAGGGGCGGCATCGGCTGGAGCAAGTGTGTGAGACGGCCATCAGCCAGGCAATCTATCTTATATTAATGCGTGGCGGCAGATCACAGGAGTCTGGACGAGACGTCCCACACCAGCCTCTGCGCCGTACATGACTAGACGACGCACCCAGAGGCTTTGGCGAGCAAGACTGCGAGAGTTGACCAGTACCGTCGAACTTCGACGCCCACCAAGATGAAGCCTCCGCCAAAGCACGATAGACAGAAGCCAACCACCAGCTTGCTGCCACGTTGGGGGTGCAGCAGTAACAGGCTGCCAATCAAAGCGTCTTGTCCGATGCTTTGGATGCAGATTCACACAGGCAAAGCATATCTTCAACTCGGCTGCCAAAAGTAGATACCTAACGTAAGGAGGCTTGATATGCAAAATGGCTGTGCAAACCCCGATATCTCAACTCTCCAAAGCCATGGCACTAGTGAATTTTCTGTTGAGGCAAAACATTCGCTGCGCATCGAATTTCTTCTCCTCGGCCGCCACAATGTTCTTTTTCCCACTGAAAATTCTCAGCACTCAGACGCCTCACCGCCTTTGCTTTTGTGGTGGGCTGTCCCTTTAAGGCTTAGCGCGCCATGATAAAGCTGATAAGCCTCGAGACGCCCAATGGAGGGGCAGCAAAAAAAATCTTTCTGGGCTGCCCGATTTTAGCCACACACCCCGCGAGGAAAAAAAAAAAAGTTGTGGACTTGCTGGCTCTTGGGCCGCAGCCTTTTAAATCTTGTCTCCCTCCCACCCACTTTCTTCTTCTCCTTCGATCTTACCTCCATCTCCTTTCATTATTTTTTTCATCTACTTTTGGTCGTCACTGATTCCGACCTTGGACTTGTCTTTCAGATAGTCCATTCGCTTCTTTGACGAGTTGTTCTTTGGTTCCTCCCCATCGAGCAGCCCCGCCACCCCGAATCTACAAAAAAAAAAAAAAAGCCTCGATACGAGAGTCGATTCCTCCATCGGCTCTGTTGGCTTCATAGAAATCGAACGATTCACATCGATTTCGATTCTCTCCTTCGTCCTCCGACTTTTATAATTCATACACATACTCAACATCACCGCCAAAATGCCTAGCGAAGGTGCCGAGTCCATCAAGATCCTGGACGAGCTTTTCCAGAAGCTCACCGTCTCCAAGGAGGCGGCGGACATTAAGCAGTCTGCTGGAGAGCTCGCTGGTTTCCTCAACGGTCGCATTGACGACCAGGCTGTCCCCGAGAAGTAAGTTGATCTTTGCAATACCTTGATATCAATTGTCCCTTTTTTTGTTAGGCGGGAAAACTTTTTTTTTGCCTCCTATCTCGCCTGGCAACAGATGCCCCGCCACTCACAGCGGGGTTTCCCTGCCTACCCCTCCATCAGTGGCCACTTTGGCTGCTAAATCCCCTGAAAAGTTTTTCCTTTAGCTGTGCGACATCAATTTTTAGCGTTCAAGGGTATTAACACGCCTTTTTCCCAGGATCGTCGGAGACATCAAGAAGAGCCTCGTCAACAAGAAGGACGCCACTGCCCGTGAGAAGGCTGCTATCGCCATTGAGGCCATTGCCTCTCACTCTGAGGTCGCCGCCAACGTCGAGCCCTACCTCATCGTTCTTCTGCCCACTCTTCTTGCCGCTGTTGGCGACAAGATCACTGCTGTCAAGAATGCCGCTACCGCTGCTGTCCTGGCCATTGCCAGCGCCATCAACGGCAACGCTGTCAAGAGCGCCCTCCCTTACCTGATGGAGTCTATCCGCACTGCCCAGAAGTGGCCTGAAAAGATGGCTGCTCTGGACTTCATCCTTGCCCTTGTCAAGACTGCCCCTGCTCAGCTCTCCTACCGTGTTCCCGACTTGATCCCCGTCGTCTCTGAGGCCATGTGGGACACCAAGAAGGAGGTCAAGGAGCACGCCTACAAGGTCATGGAGACCATCTGCCAGCTCATCGTCAACAAGGATATTGAGCGCTTCATTCCCGAGCTTATCAAGTGTATCGCTAAGCCCGAGAACGTCCCCGAGACTGTCCACCTTCTCGGTGCCACCACCTTCGTTACTGAGGTCCAGGAGCCTACTCTCGCCCTCATGGTCCCTCTTCTGGATCGTGGTCTTGCCGAGCGTGAGACTGCCATCAAGCGAAAGTCTGCTGTCATTGTTGACAACATGTGCAAGCTTGTCGACGACCCCAACATTGTCGCTCCTTTCTTGCCCAAGATGATGCCAGGTCTCCAGAAGAACTACGACAACCTTGCTGATCCCGAGGCTCGTGAGAAGACCAAGCAGGCCCTTGACACCCTGTACCGTGTCGGTAACGTCGTTGACGGCAAGATCCCCGAGGTCCGCAACGACGGTGACGTCTCCGTCGTCCTTGGCAAGCTCAAGGAGATCCTGTCTACCCGCTATGCTTCCCTTCTTGAGAAGATGGAGCCTGTCGCTGAGTACATCTCCGCCATTGCTGGTCAGCTCATCGACATGAAGGAGGCTGAGTCCCTCGTCTGGGTCGAGAGCCTTAAGCCCTACGTCGCTGTCATCACCGGCATCGACAACGCCGAGAGCACCATTGACACTCTCCGCAAGCGCGCTTCTCCCGGTGCCGCCGAGGAGGAGGAGGGTGAGGCTGATGATGAGGAGGGCGAGGACCTTTGCAACTGCACTTTCTCTCTTGCCTACGGTGCCAAGATTCTGCTCAACCAGACCCACCTCCGCCTCAAGCGTGGTCAGCGTTACGGTCTTTGCGGTCCCAACGGTTCCGGCAAGTCTACTCTCATGCGTGCTATCAACAACGAGCAGGTCGAGGGTTTCCCCAAGCAGAGCGAAGTCAAGACTGTCTTCGTTGAGCACGACCTTGACTCCGCTGATACCGAGATGACCACCATCGACTGGACCATGAAGAAGCTTGCTGAGGCCAAGGTCGACGTCACTCAGGCTGATGTCGAGAAGCGCCTGGACGAGTTCGGCTTCACCGAGCAGATGGTCAAGGGCGAGATTTCCGCCCTGTCTGGTGGTTGGAAGATGAAGCTCGCTCTGTGCCGTGCTGTCTTCGAGGCCCCTGATATTCTGTTGCTCGACGAGCCTACTAACCACTTGGACGTGAAGAACGTCAAGTGGCTCGAGGACTACCTCACCAGCTCCCCCTGCACTTCCATCATTGTCTCTCACGACTCTGGCTTCCTTGACAACGTCTGCCAGCACATCGTTCACTACGAGCGATTCAAGCTCAAGCGTTACCGTGGTAACCTGAAGGAGTTCGTCAAGCGTGTTCCTTCCGCCAAGTCCTACTACGAGCTCGGTGCCTCCGAGATGGAGTTCACCTTCCCCGAGCCCGGTTTCCTTGAGGGTGTCAAGACCAAGGCCAAGGCCATCCTGCGTGCCACCAAGATGTCCTTCCAGTACCCCGGTACCTCCAAGCCCCAGATCCAGGAGATCAGCTTCCAGTGCTCTCTCGGCTCTCGTATTGCCGTTATCGGTCCCAACGGTGCCGGCAAGTCTACTCTGATCAACGTTCTTTGCGGTGAGCTCATCCCCACCGGTGGTGAGATCTACCAGCACGAGAACATCCGTATCGCCTACATCAAGCAGCACGCCTTTGCCCACATTGATAACCACCTTGACAAGACTCCTTCCGAGTACATTCAGTGGCGTTTCCAGACTGGTGAGGATCGTGAGACCATGGACCGAGCCAACAAGATCATCACTGAGGCTGATGAGAAGGCCATGGACAAGGTCTTCAAGATCGAGGGTACCCTGCGTCGTGTCATTGGCATCAACGCCCGTAGAAAGTTCAAGAACTCCTACGAGTACGAGTGTTCATTCGCTCTGGGTGAGAACGTCGGCATGAAGGGCGAGCGATGGGTCCCCATGATGACCGCTGACAACGTCTGGCTGCCCCGTAACGAGCTGTTGGCCTCTCACCAGAAGATGGTCGCTGATGTCGATATGAAGGAGGCTCTTGCCTCTGGTCAGTTCCGACCTCTGGTCCGAAAGGAGATTGAGGCCCACTGCGCCAACTTCGGTCTCGATGCCGAGCTGGTTTCTCACTCTCGCATGCGCGGTCTGTCTGGTGGCCAGCGTGTCAAGACTGTCCTGGCTGCTTGCTCTTGGCAGCGACCCCACTTGATCGTCCTTGACGAGCCTACCAACTATCTGGATCGTGACTCTCTGGGTGCTCTGTCCAAGGCCCTGAAGAAGTTCGAGGGTGGTGTCATCATCATTACTCACTCTGCCGAGTTCACCAAGGACTTGACTGAGGAAGTCTGGGCTGTCATGGACGGCAAGATGACTCCTTCCGGCCACAACTGGGTCCAGGGCCAGGGTTCTGGTCCTCGTCTCAAGCAGGACGACGACGATGAGGAGGACAAGTTCGATGCCATGGGCAACAAGATTGTTAGCACCAAGAAGAAGGCCAAGCTGACCTCTTCCGAGCTGCGAAAGAAGAAGAAGGGTAAGTCGATTGCGAATTCATCTCATGATCCAATAACGAACATATTTACTAACGTCTTTGCTTTACAGACCGTATGGCCCGCCGAAAGCGTGGTGAGGAGGTGTTCAGCGACGAGGATGATCTGTAAACGATTCAACATACCCCACATCACGGCATCTCGATGACGCCTAGTCCTTGATGACTTAGAGGATTTTTTTCCCATGTTCCTTTTGTTTTTAATTGATGAAAAATACGGATTGGTAACGGAAAAGTTGCGATGCGTTTTTGCGATGATTGTATGCTCGGGCTGCCGATAGAGAGGGCCTTCTCAATAGATTGATGGCCTGGATGAGTGTGGGACACCACGACCTGGGGATGGAGGACCCCCATGTTGTCACAAGCTCTCGCACCTTGGGCTATAGAGGAGGAAGAGGGTACATAGAAGCCCGAATAGACTTTTAGTAACAAACCTCTTGAATTCATCTATCGTGTGCCTCTTTTCTGTGAATGTTAAGATGCAAGTATACATGCTCTGAAGATAGAAACCTTGTGTTATAAATTCACGCGTTGTTGTTATTCTGATTTCATGAACAACATCAGGAGAACGGCTCACTTTGAATATACATATACAAGCACAACTCATGACAGTTCACATCGTACTTATCTTTTGTAAGATTTTATCATTTGATAGTTGATACTAACACGATATTAAGCAATAGCACTAAGAACAATGTTTGCTGCATTTCTCTGTCTAGCTGGGTTGATAGAATTAGGATTTGAAGTTTGCTGATAGTTGACTGCAGAGATACGGGTTTCCTCTGAAACACAATCTTCGAAGCCCGAGCACCATTTGACCTTGTAATGGGAACGCAAACAAGAACACTGAATTCCCAGAGGCTCTCCCCTCAAACAATTTCCTCCACATGCCCATCTCTTCATCCTATCCTATCATTTCAACCTCCAGGGTATCTCATTCATCCCTTCCCAATCCTCCTCCCCAATCTCATTCCCCGTCGTCAAACCAACAAGACCCGATTCTACTCGCCCATTCTCCCAACAATCACCCAATCAGCGTGAATGGTTTAGTGGTAAAATTCTCCGTTGCCATCCGCAACGTCGGGGAGCCCTGGGTTCGATTCCCAGTTCACGCATCCCGAGAACCTCATTTCTCGGTCTTTTCTTTCCAAAGCGTAATTGGTTTAGTGGTAAAATTCTCCGTTGCCATCCGAGCAGCGTCGGGGAGCCCTGGGTTCGATTCCCAGATTACGCATTGAGATTTCTTTTTTTGCTCTTGTTGTTTGGTGTTTTGGTGGTTTGTGTGTTGACGATGGTTATGGAGTCGTGATGAACTTTGGTGGGGCCGCTTCGTCTTGGTGAGGGCGACATCTTTTGTGTGCTCCTGTATGCTGCAAGTGTTGGTCAAAGTATGATTGATATAATATTTTTTATTTTTGTCATCATATGTCCTGGGTATATATCATGTCTATGTAGCTCATCCATCTTACACGTCTAGCCTCCGTATATACCATGTAGAATCTCTAATTCCACAAAACGTGATGGGTATATAAAAAAAAAATAACATAGAAACGAAAAGAAGGGGACGTAATAAAGACATGGGCTCATAATATGGCCTTAGCCATTAAGAAGAACGCAGGGGGTACTCTTAAGTTCCCTCCTTACGCCACAACAAAAGCCGCGTTCTTGTTGCGCTTGATTCCAACCAACTGCAGCATCTCGGTCCAGAATCCAGTCGGGGGTTCGACAAAGTGTGATTCGTAGGCGTCAATAGTTGGTTTTTGCCAGACAAGATCCAGCTCGCTGGGACGGACAACTCGGGTGCGCTTCACCACCTTCCAGAAGATGAAGAGGATAGGTGCCAGAAGCTGCATGGTGTAGTTGCGGAAGAAGGCCGAGACGTCCCAAGGCATGAAAGCCTCGTATCCGTATCCTCCAACCACCAGAAGCTGAATAACGAAGGCGATAATGGCGCAGTAGGGCTGTCCCCAGCCAACATAGGGGAGTGACTTTCGGTCAACACCTTGGGCCTTGCAAGCTCTGTAGAACCAGAGATATGTAACCGACATGACGAGGTAGTCGATAATTCCGCCAGCGGTGATCAAGCTGACCAACCAGTCGAGCACGACAGCAGAGCCGTTGCCAACTTGAAGGAAGGATAGGAATGGGAAGCACATGACGACCAAAAAGGCATTGATGGGTACACCCTTGCTCGTGCACTTGCGAAGGAATCGAGGCGCACGGCCCTCGAGAGCCAAACCATACAGTGATCGGGTCGCACAGTAGGTATATGTGTTGCCAGCAGAGAAGATGGATGTCATCATGAGGGCATTGACGATATGAGGCAGCACGGAGACACCCATGTTTTGCATGGCAATAACGTATGGGGAAGCCGCTGCAGTGCCGCTGCCCTTTCCACCGCTGACCAGGTCAGCCAGCGTCTTGTCATTGTACGGAAGAATGATGCCGACTGCCAAGGCGCTGCCGATGAAGAAAACGCCAAAGCGGATGTAAATGGTCTTAAAGGCGGTCTTGATGTAGGTTCGAGGGCGCTGAGCTTCGGCCGCTACCATGGAAATATACTCGGGTCCGACGACGGCGAAAGCTGCACTCCAAAGGCCGGTTAGAAAACCTTCGAAGCGGCCAAGGGCGCCCTGCGAATGATACTCGGCGAAGGCTCCGGGATTATTCCAATATCGAAAACCAAAGGCATCGTGGTTCGGATTTCCACCGACCATAGTCACGAAGGTAAAGGAGAAGAGTATGAAGATAAGAATAACCTTTCCACCGGAGAGGTAAAATTCCGCTTCACCATAGGCTTTCACAGCGAGGACGTTTAGCAGACTACATATTCACCGGGTTAGCAAATATCCTTGGGTAGCAAGAGAGAGAAGGCGGCAAAATCTAGAAGTGTGGGAGTCTTTTTGCGACCTTCGCCCCTCCTGGAAGGAGATGGAAATCTTACGCATAGCAAACGATAACGGCGGCACAAATACCGGCAGTCGGGCCCGGATTGGTGATATTCTCGTCCCAAAAGGAGATGACAAGGTTGAGTGCCGTGATTTCAAAGGGAATTAGTAGAGCCTCGTACAGGAAGAAGTTCCAGCCGGCCATGAATCCCAAAGCATCATCGACCCAATGACCTGCGAGACGAATGAAACCTCCGGACACGGGCATATAGACAGTCATCTCTGCGAGAGAGTTGTTTACCAATCCGAGAACCATGGAATACAGAGCATACGCCAAGAAAAGGCTGCCCGGTCCGGCTGTGGAAAGTCCACTTCCGATGCTGACGAAGAGAGCAGTACCAATCGAACCACCGATGGCTATTAGTTGGATTTGACGATTGTTAAGTCGTCGCTGAAGGCCATCCGCATTCTCGATGAACTCTTGGGACGCCACATCTGGGGACCCTGGAGCCTCGAACTTGGGGTGCTTTTCATCATCCGTAGTGGCCATTTTGGAGGTTAATCAGTAACGCAACGGTAGTGTTGTCTCTTGCTTTGCCGTCATGAGAAAGTGTGACGATAGCCAAGTGCTTAATTGATGAGCATCAACAAGCAATAATGCTGATCCTTTAGGTGAATGATTGCTGTGGGGAAAACCAACAGTAAAACATCCAAGGACGAAAAAGGATGAGAGGGAGAGGAATGAAGTTCCACATGGGAGGAGTAACGGGCGAAGGAGGAGTATTTGTAGCAATTGTACGGAGTAGATAGGCGGCGAATCGAACGGGCCAGGGACGGCCGAGAGTACCTACGAGTATATGGCTGGGAATGACCGAATGAATGAACGAGCAAATACTAAACCCTGATTAACCAGGGACCGGCAGAAGAGCGAACACAACACCGAGCACTTAGAACCGCGATTAGATTGGACAGCATCACTGTGACGCCGAATCTTATGTGGGGGGAGGGCCGAACTGGAAACGCATCCAATATGCTCTCAGGCCATTTTTTTGCGCTTGATGCTGCGCAGTCGACTGTATTGGTCTTGGCACACTGCCCCAAAGCTGCTCTTGTCCTACAGCTGGCGAGTCGCTCTCTATTCTGCGCGCGTACCCTGCCATTGTCGTTCATGGTGGAGAAGCCAAGGAGGACGCCAGAGGAGTGCTAGCGCATTAGGCCCTGCTTAGAACGAACGGGATGAGCAGCCATCCACACAGAGGAGGGCTAGGGACCCAGATAGATGAACAGGGGGGAGGGCACAGTGTCAGATTTCCCAGGCCTCCCTGTACATGCTCCTAGACATTCTGTACTCGCCAGAGATGCTGGGGTGGAAGTCCGCAGCCAGCAGACGGTGTCGTCGCCAAAAGGAGGTACAGAACATCTGGTGCTGTAGATAGTGATTAGTATTGAATAAAGGAGTAAACACACGGGTAGTGATACTGTACTACCATGGGAATATCTGAAAAGCTTCATTATAATGCCCTTTAAGAGTTTGGATCATAGACCGACCAGCAGTGCTTGACGCATCCGGTATCTTGCCCGCCATGTGAAGCAAGGGAGCATGTCTCTTGGATAAACAACCGATTGTTTGGCAAAACTTCAGTTGTATGTATATATGGCCATGCTAATTAGCTTCGAGTAATTGAAGTTTGTATGAAGTTGGCTTTTCAATTATACTCCGACTAGATATACTTCGGTCAGATGCAAGGTAGCTGAAGCCAATGTGGTAAGATTGTTGTGATTATCCAGTACCTGAGTTCCGAAATAGAGCTACTCAACAACCGGAAACAAGGTTAGGGATAAGTTTGTAAGTCAAATAGATCTTGATGATGCCTACTCAGTCAAGATCGGATCTAGAATCTCGAGATCGGCTCTTCAACCATCTCAGTTGATCCGAGAGAACTGCGTTCTGTATGGATCATCGAGTGTTGCATTAGGCCTGAGATACAATTCGGCTCCTGACCTTGTGCAGTTCTCGTAGCATAACACTATCCGAAATGGGTATTCGACTGTATCTTACACTCTCGCCATGGGGAGAGAGGCCATCTTCGTCGTTTCGTTTCATCACCTTCACAGCGTTTGTCTCGGTCACCAAGCTCTCCGAATGAGCACTGTGCAAATCGGCTTTTTTACTACATGTCGCCGGAAGACCCCTTCGCCACTCCGCGGAAAGTTTTAGGCTTAGGCCAAAGCCTCTTTTCTTCTGGTAACTTTCCCATCACGGCTGGACAAAGCGCATGCTGCTCAAAGAACATGCGAGTGCCACTCCTCAGCTCCTCAGTCATCCCTTGAAAGCGGCATGATCCAGCTGTTTTCGTCGAAGGAATCAATCCCCTGCACACAACACTGACGTCACCCCGCCTAAGCCTTGTCCCACTACTAACTCGCCTTGGACTAGAGGGTATCGCCGATCCGTGGCTCAGTGGACGATGTTCCTGGTCGCACAGTTTCGGGACAGTGTTGATGGCGAGACGGAATAGCCATTCTGAGTATGTAGAATTGGCATGACGAGAGCGACGACCCGAGTGCTATGTGCGTGTTCTCTATTATAACTGTTTGGATGAATTCTGGTTACTGCAGACACCACATGTATAATAACCCGAGATCGCAGCGCCCCTAGGTAGCGAGCAAGGCAAGATACCAGGAAGGCTAGCCGAAAGCCGCAGCCGGATATTGGTGGTTGCCTCCGGATCCTTGTCTCAAGTGCTGGCGAGGAGAAGACAAGCAAGACAAGGCTGCCGGCTGAATACATTCCAACAAAAGGCCATTCTGGTAGAGGAGCTGCATGCGGTAGGCTGGAGGACGCGAGTCAGGACAGCAGCAAAGCCATACATCATCAGAGCCGTAATCGTCATATTTGCCTTGGCTGAAGGCGACGGCGAACCTCGACAGCCAAGGCTAGCAAAAGCGAATCAAATGGGCAAATGGTGGTTTGTTGAGGCGAGAAGCAAGGAATAAAACGTCGCCAGTTGATTTGTGGACTCGCTTTTTTCTCCACAGTTTGGAGTGGGGGTCTATACGGAGTGCTTAGACTGGACTAGCAGTTCTCCGTACTCTTTGTGTGGGCTCCTGTTAACATGGCACACACCAATTGACTTAGTTCCTACCTGTACCTAACTCCGAACATGGGGTCTCTACCTCGCGGAAACCGCTCGTTCTCGCTAGTTTCTGACGGTGGTCAGGTTTCTCCCTCGTACTTGTACGCCGACCTGGATAGGCGGTGGAGTCTCTGCCCTCGCACTGTGACAGTGTACAGGACTCTTGGGTGCAGCGCCCGTGCTGCAAAAAGTCCCTCCACCTGTTGTGTGAATGAAGGACTCCGTACTCCGTACTGCCTTTTAGTCTCTTGTTCTACTGTAGGTGCTTTGCTCTGGGGGCACATCAAGACGTATTAGACGGCGCCAACAGTCGTTTCAGGGCCTCAGCAGCGCCAGGGTTTTTGGTGGCAAGTCGCCAATGAGCATCAAGAGCCGTAAGAAACGGACGCTAACGGTAAATTATAGCGCAAGCCTTTCTTCTCTCGGGTTTTTTTTTCTTCGATGGTGGCTTTGGGCTGCATCTCAGTACTCGCCTTGCTCGCATAGGCCTCGTATCGCTGCTGCTGCTGTCGCGTGACCTCTGTTTACCCAGACTAAAGGGGATGGCATCCTGTAATAATGGGTGTTTGTATCTCGTATGTTTATGTTCATATTCACTCGATACTGCTATCGAGACTCTGCTGCGTTTGAGTCTCCATACATGTACTTTTACCAAAAACTCGATCTTTGCCGCCGCCACCCGGAGCATTCTTACTGCTCGTGGCATACAAGTTAGAAGGACATCATCAATAAAACCCGCACAGGTCAGAAAAACTCTGCCAAGTCCACTTCACACTCAGCTTGGTGAGCCTGTGGGTCCGTTTCAAGACGGTGCGTGTCGAGTAAAGCCAACAGGCATGAGATGGGGCGAAAGAGCGAGAAAAAGAAATTGAAAGGAAATAATCATTAGAACATTCTTCATTGTCGAAGCATGTGAAGATGGATTCTCTCATTTGGATGAAGCCATCTCCGCGCATAGAGATGAAGCTCAACAAATTTAGTAGCAACGTTGCGATAAGGCTATATAAGTTAAGCGAGAACAAGGCCTAGAACTGAGTAGATGCAGCCCCGGATTTACATTGCCAATTTGGGGAAATCACATGTCAAAGAGATGGCATTTCTGAAGCTGATGAATTTTGTTGAATGAGGTGAGCACGGAGCATCATCTATCTGCGTTAGCGGTGAGGATGTTCATAGCCTGGCCCTTTGGTATTTGAAGCTCCTGTTCATGGTTACCAAGCACCCATGTGGAATTCAACGACTAAGAAGGCAACACTTTGCGCATGTCACCCCTGACGAGCCAGAGCTGCCCCTCCTATACTCATTCAATAGTCGTAGCACCCATGATAGGTAGAGAAGATGATTCAATCCAAATCGGATGAAAAACTGTAGAGGCTAAATGCAAGCAAGGCAAGAGAATGCTTCCAGACTTTCTTCCATGTCAATCGACACACATGGCTGGCTGTCAATGCTGATAGGTGGGGTAAAGGGTTCTTGGACGCTAAAATTTTCTTGGTAAACCGCCATCCCACCTCGACGTCGTTATCGATAACGAAAACCACAAAAAAAGGCAGCCTGCGAAACCTCAGGATACCGTATCAAGGCATCACAGGGCAGCTCATGTCTGTCTCAGGACCATACAGGTGACATCTTTTTGATACCCAGATCCATTTATTCCTAATTTGTGGCGGCTCTGTCATCGCCAGGGCTGCCGTTCAACACCACCAACTCCAAATATCAGCATCAACCCCACCATGGTTTCAGGATCAGAAAATGTTCATAGCCTGGCCACCCTGGTTGGCAGTGCTGTAGCGGAGCAACTCATAACGGCACATGTATCTCATCTGGTCTCCTTATCGAATGAGGCAACCTCGGTCTCATCCACACAGCACCCATCCTCAGAACTCCTCGCCATAGGTCGAGCCGCTCTCGATGCCTTTCTCCAAGCAACCGTCACCGGCCCTGTCCTGCCATCGAATGAGTCAACTCACGTCGAGAAGCTGTTTGTCAGTGCTTGGAATTCCAGCAACTCAGAATCTCATGACTCGGCCGTTGCTCTGCATCAGCTTCGGAGGACCTGCCTGAGATATCTCGAGGTTGATGGCGTTGTTCCTTATGCCCACATTCCTTATTTGGAACTCTTCTCGCTGGCCAAGTACATCTTGGTCGACACCCTAGCATCTGAAACAAAGGATATCTTTGAGCTGTCTTCAACTGAGGGAACTTTTAAAAAGCATAGCCTTGCGTGGGAAAGGCTGCGTGTCAACGTCTGGCACTACAAGATTATCACACAGCCAAGCTTAGGCTCATCATCAAACTTCAACAAGAGCTCACAATGGAGTGATGTGCCCACACTGGCAACACAAATTAGCAATGAAATAGACGCTCTTCGAGGAACAATCCTCAGTACCGAAGTCTGGGCCACGGAAGAAACCTGGACCAGGGAAGAGAAAGCCTTGTTTCTTATCGAAGCTGCTAACAACTACATTCTACTTGGTCGTAATGATAAGGCAAAAGAGGCCATAGATGAGGCCGCGCAGGCTACTGGCGTTGCTTACGCTCTGTCTGGAGCTCTTGGAAAGAGGACAAAATTCCAAGAGAACAGCCTCAGTCAGTTGGTTGTCTTTGCAAAGAGTGCCACTGAACAGGATATTGCAGGAGCTGCTAGCAAGGACGATGACGAACAGGCCAAGCCAGATGCTCTCAAGCTCAACGACGATACCTTGTTGGAGGAGATCTCTTACGCAAAGGAGCCCGCAAAGACCACGACAGCCGTTGAGACTCTGCCGCCTGCGTTGGCAGACCTGGCGCCAGGTGACCAGCCACAGCTATCTGCCCTCGATGAAATCATTCTCCTCACTGAGGCAACAATCAGGGATGCCTTTTCACCTCTCGATGGCCTCACCTCTGAGCAGATTATGCCTTTTGCAGTCCGTGTTTTGACCGACAAGTCCGTCAACTGGCAGATTTACACACAAGCCCTGCTCGTTCGTTCAAGGATAGAAATCCACAGAAGCAGAACAGTTGAGCGCGGTGTCCTCCAGTTACAGGCTGTGGCCGACCAAGTCCTCACTGATACCACCTTTTCCACTCCAAGCAAAGAAGCCCAGGACAACGATGAATCTGATGTCCCAGCTATTCAGGTCACTGCCCCTGGCCAAGCTACTGCACCTATCGACGATTCCAAACCCACCACTTTCCTGCCCGCCGCAACAAACTCTGAATCAGCCCCCGCCCACGTTCGTCTTCGTTATATCCACGCTCTATCTACTCCTCCGCGATGGCATCTCGAATCCGAGCTCGCCTATGCCTGGGCTGGCGTTGGTTCCATGACATCAGCTCTGGAAATCTTCAAGCGTCTCAAGCTCTGGGCAGAAGTTGCTCTTTGCTATGCCAGCAGTGCAGCTGCCGAGGACGAGGATGGCAGAGGCAGCGGAGGAGAAGCCAAGGCCAAGGGAATCATCCGCTGGAGACTTTTCAACAAGACCGGAGCCGCAGCGGACTCCACATCCGAGCCAGAAGATGAAGTTGTCGGCCAAGACGTCGGCTTCCTCAAAGCAGAGGACTTTTCAGGACCAGAGCGACAGCCTCCTCCCCCGAATGCCGCCCGTCTGTGGTGCATCCTCGGTGATCTGGAAAACGATCCGACTCACTATGAGCGCGCATGGGATATCTCCAAGCAGCGCTTTGCCCGTGCCCAAAGATCACTAGGAGAATATTATCTCGGCCAAAAGGATCTGGCCAAGGCCCTCGAGGCCTACAAAAAGGCCACCAACGTCAACAGACTCAGTCCCGACATGTGGGGTCGTCTCGGCGACATCAGCCTGCGTCTGGGACGCTTCGAAGATGCCGCAGAGGCTTACAGTCGATCAATCAGCAGCGCAAACGACACCGAAGGAGGTGAAGGTGCCAGAACATGGAGCAACCTTGGCAGCGCTTTGTACAGCCTCTACTGCGAGTTGACAGCCCCAGGAAAAGACAAAGAAGAGAACAAGCCTACAAACGGCACCGCCGCCGCCGAGGACGATGAAGACAGCATCACAGCAGCAGCATCAGACGAAAAGACCATATCCCGCGATCCTAACAAGCTCCTCGCCCAATCCCTCGCAGCATACAAAAAGGGCGCCTCCATCGCCCACGACAACTGGCGCATCTGGGACAACGTCGTCACCCTCGCCTCGCGCATCTACCCGACCCCCATCACAGACATCGTCATCGCAATCTCAAACACCATCCGCATCCGCAAGTCGGAAACCGCCCTCGACATCGACATCCTCTCCGCCCTCCTCCAGGACGCCATCCTGTCAAAGGATAAAGCCCCCGTGAGCAGCGGCATCTACGAACCCGCCCGCGGCTCCGTCGAGCGCGCCGTCATCCGTCTCATCGAGGAACAGATCACGCCCCTTATCACTACACGCTCCGAGCTGTGGACACTCGTCTCGCGTCTCCGTGCTTGGCGCAACGACTACGCCGGCGCAATCGATGCTTCGGAACGTGCCTGGCGTGCGGCCGTCGGCTCCTCTGGAAGCGGACTGCTACCCGGTGAATCAGCCAGCGCCGACTGGACATCAGACGAGGCAGCCTGGACGGAAGTCGTCAAGCGCACCGACGAGTTGGTCTCTGTACTTGAGAACTGGGGACCTGACGTCGAGACTATTGGACAAAAGTGGAAGGGCAAGGCGCGAAGTGCCGTCCGCAGCGTCATGGGACGAGGAAAGGCGACGTGGGAGGACAGCCAGGGGTGGCGAACGTTGGAGAATCTCATGGAGGGATTGAAAATAGACAGGAATTGAATAGACTAGAATAAGATGAATGCAAAGAATATGGAAACGATGCTCATTTGAACATCATGGTTTTAGCTTACCTGAATCTCTATAAAGCATGTAAGTGGTTGATGCAGCTACATAAAGGGGCACTATCCAGATCTGACATTAAGTCGCTGGCATAGACCAATTAACACTGTAATCACAACACACATGGCAACAAAATCTGATACAAACTGCATCTCAGAGCATCATTTCTCAACACCAGTAGGCATGTTACATGAAACTACACTAAACAGCTGTCATGTTCGCTTATACACATGTCGCTTTTCCGCTTCCGCAGTCATCCAAATCAACAACAAAACTTCAAGCCCAAAACATGCAACTATAAGCAACAGCGCTTTTAAACAGAGCTTCATTTCTTGCCCTTCTTGCGGCCGGGGACAACCTTGAAATCGGCACTCTGAATCGCTGCCTCGCTTTCCCTGGTCTGGGTAGCACCGCTCTTCTTGGCAACTTCGCTCCATCCGCCGCCGGAGACCGACGCCTTGCTCTCAGCCTGGGGTTGCTTTTCAACTACACCCTTCTCTGCCAGCTTCTTTCGTCGAACGTACTCTTCAGCGAAATGTCGTCCGTCCATCGTGGTAGAGTTGGCATACACAGCGTCTGCGATCAGTCCAGTGTCGAGGGGCAGGACAGCGAGATCTGCTTGGAAGCTCGTGACTGCAAAATACGTGTTAGAATATTCTGGAGACGTGAGATGCGAAACATGTAAAGACGACTTACTATCGTTAACGCCAGTGATCCCCCTCGAGAGCTCCCTATAGGCCCACTTGTTGAACTCATCTATGGCAGTGTTGGTAGAGCTAACATTGCTAACAATGGACTTGGGTGCCAGCTTCACCGGGGTGGCCAAAGCAGGCTTGACACTGGTGCTGCTAACTGAGCGGCTTTGAAGCTGAGACGGGACAGTAGATGGGCTCTTCACTTTGCCACCGGCTCCAACGGTGGCCCAACCACTTCCACTCGTCAAGATGGGAGAGGGTGCCGTCGGAGTAGAGCCGTGGTTCGGCTTACCGGCAAGGTTGGCATAGCTTTTAGCGGTGCTGACAGGGGCGCCAACGCCAGTCTGAATAGCGACTTCCTTGGCCTTCTGCTTCCGTGCTTCCTCTTCGCGCTGGATTTCGGCCAAAGTCTTCTTGGCTCCAGCCGCACCAGATGCGACGCTGGGTGTCGTTCCCTTGGCCTTTGTAGCTCCCGGCTTAGCCCAGGGGCTGACAGATGCCACGGGCGAACTTTGGCCCCAGGTGCTGGTTGCTGGGAGGCCAGCGTTGGCAGCGGCCGCAGCGGCAGCCGCCGACTTTTCCTTCTCTCTGAGCAGAGCTGCCTCTTGTTCCATCGCGGCCTTTCGGAGTGCAGCAGCAGCTTCTTCGGCCTTTGCCGCCTTACGGGCTTCCGCCTCTTGAATTTCCTTCAGGCTTGGGCCCTTCTGCCCCTCCTGACCGGGATCTTTGGCCCACGGGGCCAACGGAGGAGGCTGGGCGATGGCGTCGGGAGTTGCGGTTTGGGATCGGTTGAATTGCTCAGGCAAGTTAGACCTGGCTCTCTGTGCCGTTGGGGCGGGAAGGGGGGTCATCGAAGCTGGAGGGGGGAATGGCATTGGCATTCCTGGCTCGGTCGGCTGAGGAGCAGGAGGGGTAGCCGCTGAAGCAGCTACAGAGGCTTGAGTCTTTTGCACCTGCTGGGTTAGAGAAAGCGACGACGTCTCTTCACTGACAGCCTTCTTCTTAGAGGCTTTGCTTGGCTTGCTGGCTGAGGGGGCAGGTTCGCTTCGCGGGTCGACGGAGGGGGGCGTTGCTACGGTCGCTTCTTCTTGCTTTGCGGAGCTCTCTTGTGATTCCTCGACGATCGCGGCAGCAGCTTGCTCGGCGTCATGCTCGGCGCGTAGATCTTCAAATTCTTTCAAACGATCTTTGAAACCTTCATCGTCCTCCTTGAGCTCGTTAGCTTCTGGCAGACCGTACCGTAGACTTGCGTCGCCCGGAGTCCCAATGGGCTGAGGCGCACCAGATTCAGTACCGGCAGGCTCACCCTGCAAGGATACGAGCATTTGACGTTCATTGGCCGACAGGTTAACCAGGTCTTCTGGTCGGAAAAGCTCCCCGTTTCCCATAGCGGCGCGGACAGCAGCGGGGTTGGCGGCACCAGGGTGGGTGTCAAAAACAGTCGCCGGGCCCAGGCCTCCGATGGGTTGTTGATGCGGCAACTGGTGATGTTGCTGCTGGGGAACTCCCAGCGGCGATGTCATGCTACCAAAACTTGGTTGGCTCTGGAGGCTATGAGCACTGGAATGATGCTGCAGGCTTGGCTGTATTTGAAACTTGGCCATGGCTTGCTGTCGCATCATAAAGTCTCGTTGTTGAGCCATGAGGAACTGCTCTTCTTGCTTGCGGCGCTCCAGATTGTTTTGCTCTTCGGCAGTGAGAGTTCTACCAAAGGTGGGGAAAACACCGCTCAGAGGTGGAATGATGCCACTTCCAGCTCCAGGTGCAAAGGGGCCACTCTGCATAGGAGGTCCATGAGCAATTCCGATCTGGGGGACCAAAAATGGCTCGCGAGAGTTTCCAATTCTCCTGATGAGCTGGCCGAGAGGCTCAAACTCGGGGTCTTCTACCTTCTTCACTCTAAGATCAGGAGTAAAGAAGTTGGCCTTGTACCAGTCGTTCATCTCCAGTCCAGTAAAAGGACCCTGAATTTGCCCCTGAGGGTCGAGGTAGACCCATCGCATCCGATCAGGCATTACCATTTGGCGGACTTGAGCAGACGGGGGCTCTACGCCAGCCTGAGCATTCCCAAACGGCATTCCGCCACTGACTGGCGTGAATGACTGGGGCACTGCCGCAGCGATGCCGGGCTGTCCAGCATCTGAGGTTCCAAATCCGGCCAGATTTCTAGAGCTATCGCTGGAGGGGAAAAGTTCCTCAAAGACCCCACGATTAGATCTCATGGGGCTGTCTGTGTCTCGAGTAGGAACGGTGAAGTTGCCTCGGCCAATAGCACCGAGTGGGTTGCTCTGCCGAAGGTCGCCAAGAGAGTCGGAGAGGCTGCTTTCGTGCTCATGCGCATGCATCTGAGCCTGCATAGCGGGAGGGAACAGAGATCCCAACTTGCTTTGCCGACCGATGCTACCGGTATTGGATGGCCCAAACACGCCGCCGAGGTTGCCCAAGCCGGGAGATTGGATGTCACCAATAGGGCTGAAGAGAGAGCTGCCGAATGCTCCTCCAAAATTGGACCGCTCACGATCAGGGGTTCCGGTAGACGGGCCAGCTGGCGCGGGCCAACCAGACGACAGATAGGCGGCTTTGGCGCCCACGCTGGACGTCTGACTACGATCGCTCCCGTCAAAAGCAGCAGCAAAACCTCTAGAAAGCGTACTATAGTTGGAGTGTGGTTGTTCATGGCCAGTGCTATGAACCCTATCCCCAGTGCCTAGATCAGAAGGTCCGTCGTGATCGTGGCGTTCTGTCGGGGGGCTCCGGTAAGGGTTTGTCTCCGAAGGACTGGCAGGACCATTGTCGCCGGACGATGAGCCGCCCAAATTTAGGTTGGTCATTCCAAAATCTCCAGTAGATCCCTTAATGGGAGTGCCAAAGGGCATCCCTCTACTTGGTGGCTGTGGACCGCCAGGAGCAATATCCTGCTCGCCTTGGAGAGCAGCACTACCCGACATGCCAGACATGCCGGACACCTCCTCGCTGCCGCCGAAAGGATCAGTATCAGTTCGTGGCCTAGTCCTCCAAGACTGTTGGGGATTCTGAGCTTCGGACGATTTGCTAGCCGCGCTTTCGGTATTGTCCTTGGGAATTAGATGAGCAAGTCGACTGCCTCCCGGAGCACCGCCCGGTCGCTTATCACCAACGGCTGGCGAAGTGGGCAAGGCAAAGCTACCAAACGCGCCAGCACTAGACGCGGTAGATGATGGCCACATTGACGTCATGCTCACACCGGTCGACGTGTTGGCTCGCATTAAACCAGGAATCGGCGGCTTTGGGGCATCACGCGGGGCCTGTTCGGTGTTGTCGGGATCATCATTTTCTGACTCTCTCAATTCACCGGGCTTTCGCGAAAACCACAGGGGGTCATCTCGCGAAAACCGGCTGGCAGTTGGCGACGCAATGTTGGTAGGGCTGAACGGATTGGAATCGACGGTTTCTCGTCGGCGGGTGGCAGGTCGGACAGCGGATGATGGAGAGCTCACGCCAAATGTGCTTCCTGGGGCATGAGAAAGAGATGGTTTCCGGCCGTTAACTGCCGCTTGGTGACCTTCTTTAGCTTGCGTAGGAGGCTTGAGTGGCGAGTTGATGTCGGTAGAAAAGGCCTGGTCAAGGTCAGTTATTTTGCGCCCATATAGCAACTTCAATCAGAAAATTTGGGCATCTCGAACCTCTTTTTCGTCTTGAGAGAATCCCGACAACCCTATGGGTGCCGTGTCGCCGTTGAAATCCCAGCAGGTGCCGGGATCCTGTGGCACGTGGTTCTCGTTGCTTTTTCCCCAGCCCCTTACGCCACTACCACTGGCATTGCTTGGATCCCAACCTGAGATGAAGAGATGAGAGGGATTGCCACCAGGCCGCTGGGATTGATACATCTCAAGCAGATCATCCTTGGTATAACGTGAGGGACCAACTTCGTATGTTGTGGGCTGTGGGATGGGGTCCTCGACGGTAGGTAGCTGGACGGCATTGTCGTTCGCAGGGGGAGGGTTTGAGGTCTGGCTCAGGGGCGTGGTAGAGGAACGACGGAAAGTCAGGGTACCGTTAGCTGAGCGGCCGTCTCTCCTAGACCTAAGCATCCAAGTTAGCTTCGACGAAGGTGAAAAGAGGTCATGACCGTTTTCGGAAAAACAACAGAGGGGCACTGTGTCATGAGCGCATCCCCCGCCAAAAAAATAAAAATAAGAAAAAATAGAAAAAATAATATTTCGTACGGCACACACTAGTGCACGGAAGCAGGACAAATTGCATGCATGACAGAAAATCTCCGTCGTCTGCAGATCTCGCGTCCAACGCAGGTGTCTGGCGAGGGGGCAAAGACTCACCATTCGCCTCCAGCGGATCCCCTTCCATCACTTCTGCCACCCCTCGCATCGCGGTTGGCATTCTGGCCGGCGGCGGCCGAGGCAAAGCTTGACGGGAGATTGGACGGCATGGTTGGACTTGTCCCACGGATCGGAATCGTATATCGAGGCGCGGGGGTGTTGGTCGAGTTCGGGGCAGTCGTGGGTCGACGACTGGAGGGTGAGAAATGCAGACACGGGTGGGTTGTGTCTGGCGAGAAGGAAAAATTCCAAAGTCTGCTAGGAGTAGCAATATGACTGGTTATAACAATGGCGCGTGTAAAAGGTCGTCTGAGTCGTATGAATAGCTGGAGGCTAGGTCGCGAGAGGACAGAATGCTTGAATGAGAAACTAATGCTACCAAGGCTTTGCTGGCGTTAAAAACCTGAGGTTTGGGAAAGATAAAATTGGTTCCAATCTGTTCCCCAGGCTGTATGTACAGCGAGGCTGGGCGCCGCTAGGCCGCAAAGGGGCAGGACCGAACCTTAACCGAGCCTACTGTGCGAGGGCTAAATCCTAATCGAGAAAACTGGCAGGGCGACCAGCGCCGTATTACGACATGCTGCGATAAGTGCGGCAACGCACCGGGGCGGGGGCTTGAGGAGCGCCAAATAATGCAGAGGCATTGAATAAAAAAGTAAATAAAATAGTACTGGTACAATCACGGCCTGAGAGGAGTTGCATCTGGACATGTGAGCCCTGAAGCAAACTGCGTGATATTTGCCCTAATACGGGTCATGCGGCAGCTGAAGGGAAGGGTAGCATCTCCGGAGCAATGGCTCTGCGCTATGCTAATACATATGCAGCCGCAGCCGTATTGGTTTGGGGTAACGGCCCAACTGGGCAGTCAGTATTACTCATTCGAGGCCTGGTTCTTATTTGCTTTGGCGACTGTTGTAATACATACGAGCACGCACCAACCGCCACCAACTGCAGGTACTGACTGTTGGTTTATATTGACTTTGGTGGTTCGTTCTCCCACGTTCTGTGTATCTACTACCTTAGGCATCTCTTAGCATTTATATTCATAGAGAAAAGTAAATTATCCATACGTTTTAGCTGTTTATCGCGATCGCAGAGATACGGCAAACGTTTACTTGCCAATGGTCCGACTTTTTGGATCACAAGGCCGATCAACCTTTGGCCACATGCGGAGCCTAACTCTATAGGTTAGGTACCCATGTACAGCATCAAGCTCAATAAGGGAGGTATCATTGGAGAGCACACAAGAGCACGCCCAAAGGGATCGACAAGAGCTTTACATACTGCTCATGAGAAGTGCAGGCATCTATATCATTGTGGCTGTCGCTATCACAAATAGCCCTTACCATTACTCCTCTATCCAAAATGCGCCATCTAGGCAATTCTTTTACATACCTACCTAGGTATCGTCCATAATCACGCCTCATAACCATGGATCGCTTTGCCCGCTCTGCCCTGCTTCTTATTCATCCACAGTCTCTCACCTAGGAGGTACCAAAGGCCAATCATTCAGATGAATATGTGGCGGTCTCGTTCCGTATACAATGACCCGCCGTACGCGTTTGATCCACAATATCCAGTTGAGCCTAAGAAAATCACAAGTCAACACGTTGCTCGTTGGGGATCATTTCAAGGGGAATATTACGCACATCTGCCAGAATGCCATCACCAGAGCCGAGACCACGCTGACCCAGTAGTACAAGGGCCAGCTCTTTCCCGCCCATCCATGAGCTCTAGCCAGATGTGCATTGCCAAAGAAGTGACAGTATCTCAACTCGGCGTCGTGTTTGAAGCGAGGAGAGTGGCAATGCACCATAGCAACAATCACGATGCCTATATTGAAACCAGCGGTAATGGTCCAGAGAATGGAGACTGCAATCGTAGCCCAGAGAGTGTCAAGGTTGATGGCAAAGTCGTGTTGCTTTAGGGCTGCGAATATACACAGGACTAAAAATATTGCGCCAATCTAAACAACGGTCATGGCAATGATTAGCTGTGTTCTCTAGAGACGACACACAGCCTTGCTGGTGGTCTTACCAGGCAAAGATTTGTGACATAAATGGGGAGGCATATTTTGACGCCAAAAATTTCCATCTTGTCGTAGAGAGCATTCACGTTGGCCAGTAATATGAGAGCCGCCATCGTCCTCAGCGCGGGGCCAACAAAGGGCACAGGTATCCTCCATGGGATCGGTTCGCAAAAAAACATTGCTACTGACGCTTCTCTGTAAGCTGTAGAGAGATAAATCGGTTTTGGCTGGTGATTTCGGAGATCCGGGCTTCTGTGCAGCTTTGTCTTTGCTCGATAACCGTAAGTCGATGAGATGAGTGAAAGGCCTGTTGTATGTTGCAACAATGTTAAGGACACGTTTCGATATTTATTAATACCAGTCCAACAATACGTAGGATACGAGTGAAGGATGACGACGTATATCCCAATATTGAAAACTTAAAAATGGACAAGCCAGCCTCGGTCGTGGAGCTCGTATGACCAGACACTCCCAAAACTCATGACGGATAGGGGCGGGGGCATCAGAGATCGAAGTAGTCGTGATATCCAACCGCTAGACGTTTTTAAGGAAATGCGATTTGAATTTCCTGTTGGCTCGATCGGCAGAGCGCAGCATCATCTGGTCTCCGAGAACCTCAAAGGCGAATCTCTTCTCCGGGGCATCATTGGCTTGTTGAGGCTCGGATACTTCCACACGAAACGTGGTCCCCTCCTTTGGAACAACCTTGAGCCCCCTCTTTCTTGTAATCAGCTCAACAACAAACTTGCGGTCCCTCACAATGATGCCCTTGATACCCACTCGTCCTGGGCACCGACTCCTCACCACTTCGGCTTCAGCCCCGTGAAACTCGGCGCTTGCCAGCTTCGCAGCAGCCAGTGGGCCGCCGGTGTATATGTCGTTGCCCAAGATTTCCAAGGCGTAGCCCATCCACAGCTTATTCAGCCCTTCGTAAATTTCATACTTCTGCCCCTCTTCGGGGATGTCGTATAGACCTAGCTGGCGGCGCTCACGAGCAGAGAGCGGCTTCGGCCTTTGTTTCCCCCGGAGTTTGCCCTGCAGACGAGCTCTTTGACGTGCTGCCCTGGCATTGAGAGCAGCTGCAGGAGGAGATGTTGGCTTGAGCTGAAGAGTTCGATACTGGATCTTATCACTATAGATGCGATTTGCGCTGTCGGGAGAGTGCGCTCTTGAGAGCAAATCCTGAGTCACCTTGACCTGCTCGGAAGACGCCATGATGGCGATGCGAAATCTTGACCCTCAGACGCCTTAGAAAATAGCAAGCCCTTGAAATCGACTGTAAATGGAGTGAAGAAACCGGGAGGCTGACGTGACTGAGAGATTGAATGTTGATGAAAATTCCATCCCAATCGGCAATTTTTGGGATGTTAAAGCTTGGCAGTAGCCTTGCAGGTGGAGCAGAAGTCGCCGGTACACAGCACTGGGCAGCTGCTGGTGGCGCCTTAGCTGTATCTGGTACGGGCTTGGCCACTAGCGTTTTCAGCTGTTCAAATGGATGCGACCACAGCCAAACAGCTCTGCTTCACATGCCCTCGGGCCAAGGAACCGCTGGAAGGCCAATTTGTTAGCACTCACGCTGCGCTGCCGCCCCACAGCACTATTGCGGTACCCCGGATAATCATCAGACTCCTCATGTCTGACCCTTTGTTATTCTTCACCAGCTTTGATTCTGCATATTCTATGCATCAACCGCGGCATCAGCTCAAGCGCCTTTCTTTATAGCATGGCCTTGCTGTTGTCCGTGTCAACGACCCTCTGCCGTCTCTGAAATCGATTCCACACCACGACAATCCCATCCCTCGGCTCCGCGACCTCCAGCCATGTCCCACGATGGCGATGCCGTTGACGACGCCAATAGCTCGGCCCCCGACCTCCAAATCCTAGGCGATGAAATCACCCTGCAGCCTAGTGGCTTTGTTGAGCCCAAGGGAATCGTCCACGATGAAAAAGAGGAAGCTTTGATGAACCAATCGCCCAGGTTTCGCAGCGAGCCACTCCAGTGCGTATTTGCCGAGGCTTGCCGGATCCTCTCGCTCCTACTAATTCCGCTGGCGACAGGTTCCTTCGCGAAGTCTCCCTCTATGTGTCTGGCCAAGGATGGCGAGCCTACGACCGCGTCATCGGCCAGCCGGTGTTCTACTCCGGCTTCTCGGAGAACATGACCTCCATGGTGCTGTCGGCGCCGCTGCTGCAGAAGCGGATTTCGCAGCTCGCCAACGATCGCCTAGCGGTGGAGGAGAAGGAAGGATTGTTGAATAAAAATGACAAAGACTACATAACCAAGCGTGCGCAGCGACGTAATGTCCTAGAAAACTCTCTGCTAGAGGTCGCGGAGAAGCTTACAGACAACATGATTTGCAAGATGGAGAGCAACACCTTTATCCGCGGTGCATACTACCTTTGTATGCAGCTGGTGACGCGCGCCTACCATCAGGGAATCCATGTGTCCAGCGAAGAGGTCCTGCGAATACGAAAAGTGGCAGAGCTGGCCGCCAAGAATAAGCAGAGCATTGTATTCCTGCCGAGTCACCGATCACACGTGGATTACGTTTCTCTCCAGCTGATATGCTATCGCCTTGGTCTGACATTGCCGGTAGTCGTAGCCGGAGATAACCTCAACTTTCCGGTTGTAGGAGCTTTCCTGCAGCATGCGGGCGCCATGTGGATTAGACGATCATTCGGAGACGATGCCTTGTACACCACACTCGTACAGTCATACATCGACACCCTGTTACAGAAAGGCTACAACTTCGAGTGCTTTATCGAGGGAGGCAGATCGCGCACAGGCAAGCTGCTGCCTCCAAAGTTTGGCATCCTGAGCTTCGTTCTCGACAGTATCCTATCCGGCCGAGTGAAGGATTGCATTGTGTGCCCTGTCAGCACTCAATATGACAAGGTCATTGAGACGGAGGGCTATGTCACTGAGCTGCTTGGTATGCCCAAGAAGAAAGAAAACTTGGCCGATTTCCTCTCCAACGGACCCTCTATTCTGTCTCTCAAGCTGGGTCGAGTCGATGTTCGGTTCAATGAGCCATGGAGTTTAAGGAAATTTGTTGACAACCACCTCTCAAAACTTAATAGCATTCCTGCAAGCTTAGACACGGAGCGCAACAATTCTGAAGTAAGAGCTGTCCGAGAAAAACTTCTTCGTGCCCTAGGCTACAAAGTCCTCGGCGACATCAACGCGGTATCGGTCGTGATGCCCACTGCCCTCATTGGCACTGTTCTTCTCACTCTACGTGGTCGCGGTGTCGGTAAAGAGGAATTGGTCCGTCGTGTCGAGTGGCTGACCGCTCGTGTCCGAGCCAAGGGTGGAAGAGTGGCACACTTTGGAAACGCCCCCCTTTCAGAGATTGTTGACCGAGGTCTGGAGGTCTTGGGCAAGGACTTGGTAGGGGTAGTTGAAGGACTGGCTGAACCAACATATTACGCTGTCGACCGCTTCCAGCTCTCCTTTTACCGCAACATGACGATCCACCTCTTCATCTACGAGGCTCTTGTCAGCGCAGCCATGTACACGCGCGTCAAGCGTGGAGGCGGTCCGTCGAACCAGGACATTACTTACGAGGAACTCAAAGATCAAGTGGGATTCTTGTCTTCGCTGTTCCGCGGAGAGTTCATCTTCTCGGGCGCTGGTCTTGTCGCAAACTTGGATGTCACGCTGCGCGGCTTGGAAGCTGACCATGTGGTTCGCCTGGACAGAGACGAACATGGGAACATTGCAACCATTGGATTGTCGGATGAAGAGCGAAAGGCAGGACGAGAAAACTACGACTTTTACTGCTTCCTCATCTGGCCTTTTATCGAGGCCAGTTGGCTCGCTGCAGTGTCATTGATGGGCCTCACTCCTCCTGCGGGTAAAAATGGCCACGTATGGATCGAGGAGGCGAAGGCTCAGAATAGTGCACAACTGGTAAGGAACAATTCTGCTCGTAGATTTCTTCTTTTGGATAACCTCTGCTCACTCTTTGGTATCATAGCTCGGCAAGACTCTCTATCACCAAGGCGACCTCTCATACTTCGAGGCCGTCAACAAAGAAACCCTCAAAAACTCATACATGCGCTTCCAGCAAGAGCAAATCATCAACGTCGTCAAATCCAAGGACTCCAAGATTCCTCCCCGCCTCCAGCTCGATCCTTCCTGGCGCCCTAGTCGCGATCCTGAGACCGGCGCTCTGCTGGCTGAGGGCAAACTATGGGACTTTACGGAGAAGATTGCGAGTTCACGTCGTGAGGGCAAGAATCGACGTGATGGCGCCACGGTTAGCAGCCGTGTGCTTCGCTTGACGGATGAGCTCGGTAGTAGGCTCTTTGTTGAAGCTGAAGAGGCGGAGAAGAAGGGCGGAAAGGTGCCCAGCAGGCTGAGCAAGGAAGATCAAGATGCGCTGGATCATAACATGGAAAGTGCACGGAGGAAGAGGAAGCTGGAGGGCAGAGCGCATTTGTAAGACTTTTGGGGGGGTTGTTTTTGTCTTCTTTTCTTCACCCCTATTTTCGACCTGTTTTGTATTATACCCAAATGATGCTATGTAAATTAAGAAAAAGATCCAACAAAGCGCATATTAGCGGCCGCTGGAGAAGGAGCGAAGTATTCGAATTCTACCCGCCATGAACATTTCTGTCTCTCTATATTTCTTTTTCTTCCTCTTCTTCTCGTAAAACTCCTGTTAAACCATACTTCTTGTTCATCAATCGTAAAACCATACCATCTCAACTATTTCTTTCTTACTGGGCCTTGGGTGGCAGGATGATGTTATCGATCAGTCTTACCGCCGGGCCTCCAGAGTGTCCCAGATCCTCTCCATTTTGCGGCTCCTCCACAGGCAGCATCTTGATGGCGCCGCTGAGAACGGCTCCCTTTGCCGGGTCTACAGTATCAACTTCTTGCAGCGTGTCGGGATCGGCCAGGGAGATGTAGTCGACCTCGTAAGTAACCCGCTGGTTAGGCGGGAGCTCCTTCTGAGCCTGCAGCGTGCTGTCGGCGACATTGTTTGCAGCGCCAAGGACATCACCGCGGCTCAGCTTGCCGCTGTCGTAGGCTTCTTGGGCAGCACGCAGCGCCTTGCTCAGCACGACGGCGACGTGGCGGCGGCGTGTGCCGAGATAGACGTTTCGAGAGCTCAGGGCGAGGCCATCAGCTTCGCGGGTGGTCGGGCAGACGACGACTTCGGTGGGCAGCATAAAGTCCTTGACCATGCGCTTGATGACGACGGTCTGCTGGACGTCCTTTTGGCCAAAGTAGACACGGTCGGGCTGGACGATGTTGAAGAGTTTCATGCAGATGGTTGCAACGCCGCGGAAGAAGGTCGGCCTGCTGGCGCCCTCAAGGACCTCGCCCACAGGCGTAATGGTGACAAAACTGCCCTTGCTGTCAATCTCCTGGCCCGGAAAACCAGACGGATAGATCTCGGCGGTGGAGGGCGCAAACACGGCCGAGATGCGGCCCAAGTTAGCCCCGTCGTCGGCAAACTCGCGGTCGAGCCGGGCCAGCGCCGCGACGTCAGAGTCCCATGTTACGGGATACGAGGCGAGGTCCTCCTTGATGCCGAACTGGGCCGGGTTGACGTAGATGCTGACGACCACGTGGTGGTTCTCGCGGGCGGCGGCGCGGATGAGCGAGAAGTGGCCCTCGTGCAGGGCGCCCATGGTGGGCACGAGGCCGACGGAGCGGAAGTTTGTTAGGTGAGGCCTTCGCCATTGGCGCACGGCGTCGACGAGCCGGAGGACCTTGATGGACGTTGACGGGACGGTTTCGGCGGCGGCGGTGCGCAGGGTGCGGATGGCGGCGCGGGAGACGAGGCGCGAGAAGGAGGAGGAGGATTGCGGCAGCATTGTGAGAGATTGCTTGTGTGTTTGTCTTTGTGATTGTGTTTGTTAGGAGAGGGATTGGAGTTGCGGTTGGCTTTTGGAGTTGAGGTTTGTTATCGGTATCGTATCAGTGGAACGCAAAGCCCGAGGTTTCACAAGAGAACAGCCGGGATATCCAAAGCAATTAAATATACGTCGAGGTGAAAGCTCTCCGCTCAGCCGAAGCAGTCAGGCAGGAATCGAAGCCTCGGCCGCCATCGCCGACGCGCAATGGCTGAGTCAAGACCAGGGATTTTTCTGTTTTTTCGTGATGGTTTCTGCCGCGGAGTTTTGGGGACGAGTGAGAGGAGTGAGGGGTGGTGGGCTAACAGTACAGTGCTGCCGTAATTTTTTGGAGGTTGTAAGTCAGGGCCCCTGGAGGGGAGGCTAGTGTGCTATGTCATGGCTTGGGGTAGAAGAACCAGGCTGCCGGGTTCCATTGCGTTGGGAAATTGGGGAATTGAAGGTGAGAGATGAGAGAGGGTGTGTTGCATGGAAATTCGGAGTTGGCCGTGAAGGAGCTGCGGCAGGATGGGAGCTTGGACTGGATTACAGGTTGCAGAGTTGATGTCCTACGTGAGATCAATGCTTGGGAGCTGGATCGCGTAAGACGTCATTTGCAGTTCATTTCACAGCTGTTTAAGCCCCAGTAAATAATTACGAGATATCCAGCTTGTATCAATACAAATCATAGTGATTCAAAAAGAGAGATGACCAAACCGCATACGTATATCCGGCTTATATCAAACTATTCTCTTATTTGGCTGGTCTCCTCCAACAACAACACAATACAAGGCAGGGGTATGTAGCTGCAGCCTCGTCTTCTCGCTGCAGTCAACCTTACATGCACTCGCACTCTTCCAACTGGTGATTCCACCTTGCATCTTGCCATCATCTTTTCTCATTACAGTAAGCTGACTGTCTGTCCACTTTATGCATCACGGTCCAAACGCTCTCTCGTAAAGCAATGCCCAAATGTATGCAATAGTACGTAAGTTGTGATTCTCTTTGCGAAGGATTATCTATATGGTATACAAAAAAAAAGATGCTAGTCTAGAGCGTCATAATCCCACTCCGCCTATTATTACCCACCCACGGAGTATAATCGTCTCCGCTTCATCAAACACGTATAAACAAAACGCCTGCGATGCAATCTTCTAGAACATGCTATAGCTACAAGCCTAATGAAAATCAGGCTGTCGCATGTATCATAAGTATGACATTTAGGAAAAAATGAGGCTTATGCCGCTCCTCCGGCGTTCTTGAGAGCATCCTGGTTGAGTCTCTGCCACCTCATTCCAAGACCAATAAGAGTCGCGATGCCCGTGCAAGCAACACACATGGCAAACACAACCTTGATGCCGGCCATGTAACCGTCAATGACAAATGGCTGCTGGTCCACGGGGAACCTGTTGCGGATCTCCGTGGCACCAGTCAAGACGAGCATCGCCTCGCTGACCTGAGGAGCGTGCTTGAGAACGTTTCGGATCATGGTGTTGACAAAGGCAGACTGAGCTCCAGAAACAAGGAAAGCTCCGCCAAGGCCCTGGAAGAAGAGAAGCATGCCGGTAGAGGCAGCGAGGTCCTGGGGATCGGCCAGTGCCTGAACCGCAATCATGGGAATCTGAAAGGCGCAGCCCCAGCCAGCTCCAGCGATGATCTGGTAGCCAATCCACTTGCCAGTCGATGTGTTTACGCCCATTGTGTACAAGAGGCCAGCTCCGACAGTGGCGACAGATGTGCCTCCAAGGAGGAGAGGCTGGTACCAGCCAGTGGCGGTGACCAAGACACCGCTTGCAACGGTAGAGAAGGAGACGGCAATGATGAATGGCAGGTTACGGACACCGCTCATGGTTGGGTTGGTGCCGTGGACAGACTGGAAGTAGATGGGAATGTAGTAGATGGCGGCGAAGAAGCCACCGGCCTGGATAAAGGCAACCAGAGACATGACTAGGTTGGTGCGCTTAGCAAACAGCTTGGGCGGCACCATGGAGTACTCGCCCTGGAACCACTGGACAAATGCCCAAGTAGCGATGATGAGGGCGAATCCAACGAGTAGGCCAATGACGACGGAAGAGTTCCAGGGGTGAGCGATGCCACCGTACTGGACAGCCAGGATGAAGGTGACGGTGGCTCCCATCATGAGAATAACACCGAGAGGGTCCATTTGACGGATCTTCTCAACAAAGGGCGCCTTGACGGGAACTGCATTGCGAGGAGTCTGGAAGAAGATGAAGATGATGGCGGCAGAGACACCTCCAATGGGCAGGTTAATGTAGAAGCACCATCTCCAGGAGACATGATCGGTAAACGCTCCTCCCAGCAACGGTCCGATGACACTGGCGAAACCATACGAGGCACCGATGATGCCCGTAAACGCAGGACGCTTCTTAGGCGGTGCGGAAAAGGCAATGATGGTGTACGCGCCGGCACCGAGGCCAGCGGCGCCGAGACCAGCGATGGCTCGGCCGGTGATGAGGGCTTCGGCGTTGGGGGCGGCGCCGCAGATGACGGAGCCGAGTTCGAAGATGAAGATGGCGATGAGGAAGCTGGCCTTGAGCGGGAAGTACTTGTAGACCTTTCCCCCTGTGATGAAATTAGTATGATGAAAATGTTTAACAGTGAATGACGGTGATGGTGGATGGCTTACATGTAGATTGAAATGAACCGACAGTCATGAAAAAGGCGGCGCCGTACCAGCCAGCCTTGTCGAGGCCTTGGAACTCATCGGTGATTTTGGGAATGGCGGTGGCGACGATTGTCTGAAAGAGAATTAGCATTCAAACTGTCGTATAAGAAAAGATAAGAGAGTGTATCAAGCTCACCATATCGAGACTCAGAAGAAAGACACTCAGCACCAGGGCGAGCACGATGAAGAACATCTTGATACCCGAAGGGTACTCATCCTCTGATAACTCGTCATTCTGGACCGAAGCAATCTCCTCCTGCTTCTCGTCTGTCTCGTCTCTCTTCTCATCACGCTTCTCACCATCAAGACCGAGGTCGAGAACCTCATCATCGTCTCCCACGCTAGGCACAGGAGTCTTGCTATCAAAGTCCTCACCATTAAGAGTCGTGGTTGTCGAGGCTACTGCTGCATGCAGCCGCTCAGGGGTCTGCAATTTCGAGTGTAAGTCTGCCATTGCGACAAGGGAGCCTGTCTCTCGGTTGTGAGTAGTGCGAGATCAGGGTGGTATCGAGGAGCAATAAGCAGCTGCACGTTGACAAGGAGTCGAAGCAAGCACCATCACCACATCCTGGCCCTCGCCCATCCTATATATGCTGGGGATAGATAAAACCAACACATCAAGATAAAAATCTCCAAGGCGGATTCCTCAAGTCCGCTAGGGGCGTCGTCACTCGGCGGCTCGTGCTTCGTACTCTTATTTTTTCTTTCTTTATCCACACGCCCCCCTTTGGCCCGTTATGCGAGAACGAAAAGTCACTGCTAGTTAGTATGGCCTCCTCGACCCGCTTCTGGTGCGTATAAGTGATATGCAGTCTCTCGACTCTCGGACACTTAATCTCCAAAGTCCGCAGGGGTGACATAACATTGATCTCCCATGCTGACTCAATTAAGCTCATCATCGCGGCGTGTGAGCCAGATTGTCGAGCCTGGTTGGCCGCCTTATGCATGTTTAGCTTTTCCCAAGACATGTTTTGCCTTGCAAGTGACGGAGAGACGGGGTGGAACTGCGTGCCGCAAGCGTCCAAGACGTGATATTAGTTAGCGGCCCAAAGTGGCTCGCATGAGATTTTAGATATGTGTTTACAATGAATGGGCTCAGGTACGAGTACGGTACGGTACAACACGCTGCTGGAATCCGGATACAGTCAAAAGACCGAAGCAATCAATCAATTAATGGTTGTTGCTTGTGCACGTAACTCCGGGAACAGGCCATGTGTGCAGCTATTCACAGCATGTCCAGGTGGCGTGTAAGTCCCTTGCATCAGAGACAACGTGTGCATACCCAACCCAACTCAACTCAGCACAATTGCCCGAGATGGAAAATCAGTTTAATTTTCTTTTAATTTTCTTTTACAGTATTGTACACTGAACTGAACTGAACTGTTGCTGTCTAAGATTAAACAAAGGGCGTGCGAGTCAGAATCTAAGTTGAAGGAACGGGCAACATAACGCTTATAACGCGAGATCCCAGACTAACACGGCATAAGCAGCATAACGCCCAACCATGAGCAAGACTACCGACCGCTAAGCTTCTAGCAGGATCCGACCTTTGACTCGATCAGGAATCGCCTCGAGGCCCCGGTGACTCACTAGCCTCAAAGAAATCTCTGCTCAACCGCACCTTGATCCATTGAAGGTTTGCCGAACCACCACGGCGTTCCGCGGCGTGACCCCCCCCCCTGGTCAACTCTACCGTAACGCATACATGTATTCACCAGCAGTAATGCTTTTCGCACACATTTCGCACACATCCAACCCCTGTCCAGCCTAGAGCGCCTAGAGATGTCCTCTAAGAGCCTCTAAAGAAGCTGAGCCCCATCCTGATCTCTCCGACAGCCATCGGTTACGGAATTAGGACTCCGGACAAGTCGAGGAGCCCTTTTTGCTGCCCAGCTCTTCACTCTCGACCAAACGGAAAAAAGCGGATGAAATATTGAGCCGGACTGCGACAAGCCACTACCGTGTTTTAGCAGCTAATTCCAGGAAATCCCACTGAGGCTGACGGAGTTGCAGCGAATCTCTGCTTGAGCAGAGTACATATTTTTGCACGCCATGGCTCTAGTACAGCCCGTAGTGTAGCATGTTTTGTAAGCCTTGCAAGTTGGGCTGGCGGAGTTTTGTAATGTCCGCCGAACGAGATAGGCTATCATGACGACAACATGGAAATAGGGTCGAGATGGTGGTTTTGGGGACCAGCAACTCCGACACCTTTGGGGGGATTGCGGTTCCAATTCTGCGCATCCCAGCCTCTTTCTCCCTTGCCTAAAAGCATGAGATCCGCGCCGCAAGGGAAGGGATATTTCCGCCAGGCATCAATACATTAATAATGAACTCCGAGTTTTTTGAGGGCATCGACCCTCCGGGAGGATTCATCTAGAATGACATTGGTGATGCAGCTTGCGGATGGTGTGCGTTGGCATTGATGTCGGGTGAGACAAACGACAGTGATGTACACAATGGCGACTGTTGTGTGTCGCAATCTCGAGAGATGGCACCTTTGTGAATACAGCCGGGATACAAAACATTCCCTTTTAGGGCAGTAGATAATGAGATCCTCATTGTTTGTTATCAATCAGTGGCGGCAAAGTGGCCAACAAACGTAGACCAACGACCCAGCAAATTACACGCCCCCTCCTTTCCTCCTCTCCATGCTTGACATTTCAGTATTTTCGCAAGGCAAACTTGTTGTTTAAAATGACATTCAGTTCAAGATTCCCTGCAGTGCATCACCCGGTCGTGGTTATACGTTGGTATACGAGTATGATTTGATGTCTTGCGCTTGGACTGATCTGATACCAAAGCTCTTGTCCAACCTACAGGTAGATAGGTATCACATAATAGGGGGCTACAGAGTAGAAACCGATTCATCACACGTAAACCGATACTTGACCTTTTGGCTTTATCATATCCCATAGTATTATACTTGCAAGTACTTTATTTAGACGAATGACGTTGAGACGAAGGATTTCAGGTAGCAACTATAATAATAAAGTTACCCATTCATTGGGAACAGACATATTCTTCTACAGCAACATGATTTGGGCTATCCTCTTGGCATATGTAACAATTAGCAGTTGGCCAAAGGGCGTCGAAGGATCATTAGTTGTCGTCTTATATCATACGGAGCAGCCGTGGTATGCAAGTGTCCACTCGTGCGGGCGCGCCAAATCCTTCCTTCAATTCACCCAAATCCTGTCAGGCAGTTTTGCGATAATAAACTTTTTCTTCTTCTTTCTCTTCAGTATCGCATACAAATTATTTGTTCTCATACGATGCACGCCCATCAGCCAAGCTACGCCATCTCAGAGCCGTCGTTTCTGCAAGGTTTCGGAGACGACAGCTCTTCCTTTGGTGGAGATTTGGGAGAATAATAGAGTATATTCTTGCCCAAAGAACATTGTTGATGCTGACGCCATGTAATGAACAGATCAAGTTTTTCCATCGTCATTGATTCTCGAATCGAAGGATTGTCGTCCTCTAGTATCACGCCGACTGTCTACTTCGAAGTAGCGCAACTCGAGCTTAAGCGATAGCGACGACCCCTTGCCTCACGAAAGATTGCGTCACGAAGTATTTATAAAGGAATAGATGTCTCTACAATGCATTACGCACGTGAAATTCCTTCTGTCGCGTGTGGAGAGACTCTGTCAAAAAGTATGCTGTGGTCAAATTGATGATATCTTGCGTCTCCTTCTGCCCCTTGCATCGGTGGAGGATTACCATAAACTGGAGTTCAAGCAATGCGCAGCATCTTTTCGTTGTCCTTTTTCTTATCAGTGTTAAATGAAGTAAATCAAGCCAGTTCATTGCGAATATGCTATTAGACAACAGTGCATGTTTTGTCTGGCGAGGCTGCGCCAATGAAATTAGGAATAGAGGTCGATATTCGATTGGCTACTGATTGGTTGGGCAGTCAGGCAGCAGAGCAATCAAGAGAAGAGCCTGGCGATAGCGATTAATCATTGACACTTAAATTTGAGCATACTCAAAAGCCTACTATCCGACTGTCTTTCCATCGCAAATTGATCTATGAAGCCATCATGGCATCTAAGCCTTTGAGTTACAATGACTACACTGTCGGATGGATTTGCGCCCTATCAGAGGAGCAAACAGCCGCGACCGCGATGCTAGACGAGAAGCACGACCCTCTTCCAATATCCAATCCACACGACACCAACTCGTACACCTTGGGAGCCATCGGCAAGCACAATGTCGTTTTAGTCTGTTTACCTGAGAGCGAGACAGGAACCAACTCAGCTGCAAGCGTAATCATGCAACTGGTCAATACATTCCCGTCAATCAAGTTCGGTCTATTGGTTGGAATCGGCGGCGGTATCCCTCCACGCGTCCGACTTGGAGATACTGTCGTCAGTACACCCGTCGGAGAGTATCCTGGAGTGGTCCAGTGGGATCTCGGCAAGGCGACTGAGACCGGCTTCGTGAGGACTGGGTCGTTGGACCGCCCTCCAATGGTACTACTGTCGGCTTTGACGACAATGAAGACCAACCATGAAATGGAAGGACACAAAATATCTCAATTTCTAGAAGAGCTTACGAAGAAGTGGCCAAGACTAGCCTCCAAATAAACGTGGAATAATAAGCTCAGAGACACTTTGTTCGAACAAGAAAACTCAGATGACGAAAGAACTCCTGGTGATCCGAAGATCCACTACGGATTGGTTGCATCGGGAAACCAAGTCATTAAAGAAAGTTCTATGAGAGACGAAATTAATGCAAGATTAGGCGACCAAGTCCTCTGTGTGGAAATGGAGGCAGCAGGAGTGATGAACAACTTTCCATGCATTGTCATTCGAGGAATATGCGACTATGCAGATTCGAAAAAGAACGATTACTGGCGGGGATATGCTGCCAGCATAGCGGCGGCGTTTACAAAGGAGCTTTTGCAGATAGTGCGACCTACGCAAATTGAGGGGGAGCCTTCAGCGAAAGATGTTTTAAATCAGTGTTAGTAATTGGCATCCTCTTACTTCAGGTACAAAATAAATTGATCGAAACTGCAGTTTACCAAAGTGTAGGCCACATCCGACTGAAGGTGGATGAACAGGAAGAGAAACAGATACTTGACTGGCTTACACCCATAGACTATGGGTTATTACACAGCGACTACTATAAGAGACTTCAACCCGGAACTGGAAAGTGGTTCCTGGAACAAAAAGAATTCCAAGATTGGATCACGGGTAGCAACGATACCTTGTTTTGTTACGGTATTCCCGGAGCAGGCAAAACTATACTAACCTCACTGATCATCAATCATCTCTCATCAAGATTTCGAGGCAGCACTGACATTGGTATAACCTATGTCTACTTTAACTACAATAAGCAGGAAGATCAAACTGCTTGCGAGTCTATTAAAACAACTTGCTGGAGGTCTGCATCATCTACCAGAAAGCACCAAACAGCTGTATAATGAGCACTCAAAGAAAAGAACACGCGCGTCACTTGAGGAGATCATAACAGATCTCCCGTGTGTTATAACGAGTTACTCAGAAGTCTTTTTTATTCTCGATGCTTTTGACGAATGCCGTTTTTTTCGAATTACATCTCTTCCTTTCTAGACTCTTCGAGCTTCAAAGGGGATATAAAATAAAGATTCTGACAACTTCGAGACCTATTCCAGAAATTATGGATCTGTTCAATAACTCCAACGTCACCAAGCTACAAATCCGTGCTGAGACGAGCGATGTTACGACGTATATCGAGGCCCAAATGGGCAGATTATTCAGAGTCACTCGTCGAAATCCAGTTTTGAGAGAAGATATCAAGGCAAATATCTCCGAAGCTGTCGATGGAATGTATGTTATGGGATCCTGAGAGAAACGAAACACTACTGACATGTAATAGGTTCCTTCTGGCTAAGATATATCTTGATTTGCTGCAAGACAAGACAACTGTGAACGATATACGCAGGCAACTCGCAATCTTCAAGTCCCGAAACACAGATAATAACAGTGAACAAAAGGGGAAAGTACTTGCCTATGCGTACGAGCAAGCTATTGAGAGAATCAGATATCAGAAGGAAGGGATCAGAAACCTCGCAATGCGAGCTCTGGCATGGGTTACGCTTGCAAAAAGACAAATCACCGCATCAGAGCTTCAGCACGTTCTTGCAACGCAAGGTGGGATGACCACACTCAGTCACGATGACTTGCCTGATCTCTCAGACATAACTTTAGCTTGTGTTGGACTACTTACTATTGATGAACAAAGTCACATAATTCGGCTAGAGCACTATACAGCGCATGAATATCTGGAGAAAACTCAAAATTCTTGGTTCCCTGGCGCTGAAGAGTCGATTATGAGAAGTTGTCTTACATATCTATCATTCGAAATCTTCAAGTCCGGGCACTGCCGATCGGACGAGGCGTTTGAACACAGGATAGAGACCTTTCCGTTGTTTTATTATGCAGCGAATCACTGGGAATGCCACCTTTCTCACAATACCGAAGTCATTGAAGACGTAATACTTTTTCTCGAGAGCCAAACCAGTGTTGAGGCATCGATGCAAGCGCGATTCACTGAGAAACAACACCCTTTGCACCAAGGGTATAGCCAAGACTTTCCCTCAAACATGACAGGATTGCACGCAGCTGCAGTCTTAGGCCTCACAGAAGCAACAAAACTGCTCCTTGAACGCGGTCACAGCCCAGATGCAATGGACAGTTACAACCATACCCCCTTATCAGCGGCCTCTTTCCATGGATATGAAGCTGTAGCTGAGCTGCTGGTCACTGCGGGAGCAAATCTTGAGTTGAAAGACTTGGAATTTGAACGCACACCTCTCATGTGGGCTACTGCAGAAGGATATGAGCCTGTGGTCAAGTTGCTCCTTGAGAAAGGAAGTGATATTAATGCACAAGATTCTGTTGGCCAAACACCGCTATCTATCGCTGTACGTTATGAACATAAGGCAATTGTCGAGCTACTTCGTCAGAATGGTGGCACTATTGACGCTGAAGACTCCGTCATCTTTAAACCAGCTTATCATGACGGTGAACTCCCTTTGTGGGCATTGGTTTCGGTTGGTAAAAGCAAGAGTCTAAATCTGCCTCAAAATCCCAAAGAGAGTCGCTGTATTGTGCCTGAGACAGACAGTGATGTTGAGGATGACATGTGCTCGTTGATAGAGAGCGATGCTGATTTGAATGCGAAAGATGATAATGGCCGCACACGCCTTTCGTATTGTGCCGAACTTGGCCTACATAAGTGCATCCAATTACTTATTGGGACGGGCAAGGTCGATTTAGACTTAGCAGATGGCGAAACTGGTATGACACCACTACTTTGGGCTGTGAAAATAGGACACACATCTGTTGTGGAACTTTTAACCAATGCTGGAGCGCAGCTCGAGATCAAAGAGAAGAAACGTCAAATGACGGCCTTAGGATTAGCCATCCACCATAAACAGAAGGAGATATTTGATTTTCTACTACAAAGAGACGCCAACATACACGTATCGGATAGTGATGGCAAGACGACTCTTTATTACGCCGCCTGTTGGGGAGAATTGGTGATTATTCGACAATTGGTGGACAAGGGCATTGATATAAATGCCAGAACTTCTGATGGAAGGACAGCCCTATTTGGAGCTGTGCTGTTACAAAACTTGGATGCCGCAAGGCTGTTAATTGAAAAAGGTGCTGACGTTGATGTTTCAACAGAAGAGGGGTTCACGCCCCTTCGTTATGCTGTCGATGAAAACATCGATATTACAAAGCTGTTGATTGAAAGAGGTGCCGATGTCAATGCGGTATACGGGGGCTTTACATCAACATTTACAGCTGCTATGTATGGAAGGATCGATATTGTAAGGCTATTAGTTGAAATGGGCGCCGATATCAACACCAGAATGGACGGCGGCGAAACGCTATTGATGAGGTCGATACGGCTCATGTACACAGAGGCTATCCAACCGTTGATAGATTTGGGTGCCGATGTCAACGCGCGGGACAAAAGGGGCCGTTCACCGTTATTCTATGCTATTGAAGAGGGTAATGTCCCTGCCGTTGAGCTACTGGTAAGAGTGGATGACGTTGACATCAACAGTCCAGATGCTGAAGGAAATACACTAATTATGTTAGCTATGCATTGTGAGAGGCATGACATTGTAAAACTTTTGCTTCAATCGGGCAAGGTTACAAATTATGGCAGCTAGAGAACCTATAAATAAATAGAAACCAGAGCCGATGCATATGAATACCCTACCTCAGGGTATGGCGCCTTCATTACTGTGGCTGCAGATACCATCTCAATGTACATGCAGGTGGTTTCTGCACTCAACCTCAACGAGAAGACTAATTCTGGGCACCATACTTACAAGTACCTAGGTAGGTACCTATATACCTCTCTGAGTATTTTCTCTAATAAACGCACTTTGTAGGCAAGTCAGTGCGCAAAGAATTTTGCAAAGTCCAATTGAAGTAAGATGTTCGTCACGCAGCAACCAACCCGGTGATTATCTAGGAACTCTTGGATAGAGGAAACAATGCGAGTACCAGAAAGTCTACTAGATCAACGCTCTTTCGTTACGCTACAATTTACGGAATCTCGATACAATTTGGTTGTTCATCGAGAAAAGTTGGCGATGTCAATGCCAAGGACTCTGGAGTAGAAAAGTCCTCATCTAACGCAGCAATTCATGATTTTCTAATATCGCGAGACAACCCCTACATAGAGCTGTGATGTCTCGCCGACCTGCTAATTTAAAATTGTTGGCCGATGTCAATGCGAGAGATGATAATGGCCGTTCAATGTTATTTCATGTCATTGCAGGTAGGTGATGTTGAAGCTATCGTGGAGGTTGATGATAGTGATGGATGCAGTCGACATCAACAGCCCAGATGCGACGGCCATGATGCTGATTACCTTTGCTAAAAAGTTGTGGGGATGAGAAGGTCAGATCTCATCTACTTTGAACAAGCCAGGTTTACAGACACTAACGGGAACGTCATACATGATTAGACGGTGCTGTATTATACAAACAAGAGTAAAAGGTTGCTTAACATACAATTTGCCCTAGTGCTAGTTATGTATAGAGCGTTCATGGAAGTGATCCACCGCTCCATGCTCGGAATAATCTCACTGGCAGCCATTCTTGGCCATACAGGTACGTCACATACCTTATGCAATGCAGCATTGATCGCAGATGGTCAAATGCACGCACGTTTCAAATCTCACCACCGGCTGTCAAATGCCGAGCCCGAAGACCAGATCGGCATGCGTTGAAAGCAGGTCAAGGCCCAATCCAGCAACGATCTTTGTGTCCGTCCCGCTCTCCGTCAAATCTGTGACAGCATCTTTTAGCGTCTTTGTCCGTCAAATAGCCCCAAGGTGCCATGTGCCACAACTAAGCCCGAACGAGTATCCAGCTATAACGTGATGTCATCCATAGCTCAAAGCAGATTCGCTATCGTCAGATTGGCGACGTAGATTCCCATCTCTCAACCCGCCTATTGGACGGCGCCTTTTGCACCGCCAAATTCAAGCTCGGCGCCGCGAATCAAACCATCGTGACAGCGCCCTGGCATCACGTCACTTGCTGTCATGCACGAGGCTCGCAAAGCATATTCACACGGTCCAAGCTGAATGAATCCTTGGCACGGGCACAGCCACCGATAGCATCGACTTTCACGAAAAGCCCACTCAAGAAGTTCGCCTTCGCCTTCGCTTTCGCATTCTCCTCAGTAACTAACACCCGCTGAGATCTCGGGGTTCTAGTCAGCATATATACTATCCATGGACGATCCGCCGCCATATCAAGACTCGAGCGAAACCTACGTCCTCGGCCCAGGTGCGCAAGATGACATTCTCTCACCGACAACTCTCTACGTTGCGGGGCGCTTCATCCACTCCGTTGATCCCTGGGCGCCGCCACTGTACGAGCTCTCGCATTCGGTCGGCTTCCTCAAGGACACGGATCGCAATGTACGCATCGAAAGGCTCGACTACTCGATGAAGCGGCGAGACGGTGTGGCCCAGCTGGCGGCGCGGAAGAGGCACATCTATGATTTGAAGCATCCTCTGCGGGTTACTGGCCCGACATTTGCGTATCATGCCGAGCCTACCTCGCGGCAGAGCCTCTGCGCTTTTGGGTTGGAGAGCTTCCGGCCACGGAAACTGTCGACAACGAAAGGCTATCGCATTCGGCGCGCAACTGCAACCAAGTCTCTCGATCATCAGTTAGTGCGTCGAGACATTCTCTTTTCCGCTATCCCCACCAAAGACAAAGCCGTTCGATACGAGTGGAGCGATGCAGATGGTCAGCTGGTAGCACGAGAAGTGACTGAGGGCAATTTCATGACACTGGTTGTCAGCGCGATGATGGGTGCTTGTGAAAGAGATGCGCTGGTATCAGCGTGGATGTCGAGAGTTTGGTCAGAGCTTGCGAAGAAGACGGACCCGTTTGGTTAGGAGGACTGCATGAGAGGTATATTGAACCAGACTGATATTTGACGAGTAAATAGCATATCTTGGGTAAGCTTTCTCCCAGCGAGTTCAAAGCGGTGGTATTGATTGACACGATTAGATGGGTCAACGCGATCATGATGTTATGAATTTGGTGTATGATAGTCAATTTCAGTATATATCCCATAAGCTCACTTTTCCATCCTTTGCTCCTGCGGCAATCCAGTGCGCCGTCTTTGCAAGCTGGAGTCTGCGGTCCTTGACGCTCATTCCGGGTCCTTTTATCAGGCTCGCTGTTTCTTGCACGTCATTAGGTGGCACTTGCGGTGACGCACTGGTGGCCTCTTTCACGTTATTCTCAGCTAGTTGCTCGGAGGGTGTGGGCTTGGCGTTTTTGGAGGTATTTGACAAAGGATTTGGCTCAGCGACAGTGGCAAAAGCGACAGCATACGCCCCGACTTTGTGCCAACTAAGCACGGCCAGTTCCTTGAGAGTCTTGGTCGAATATATTCGTATCTTGGAATCCCATCCGGCTGTGGCAAACAACTTTCCGTCGGATCTGACTTTGAGGTTTTGTTGACCAGAGTGCTTTGTATTAATCACTTTGAGCGGATGCTCCCATTCCTTGAGTTTCTTGCGCCTTGGTCTGGTTTCTGAAGCGGTAGCATCCCTTAATGCTGCCGAGAGGAGGGACTTTCCCGTGTTAGTTTGATGAGGCTCAACCGCCTCCGTGACCCTTTGGTCGGGCTCAAGGTCAGCATCCACCTCTTGTTGAGAGGTTGGTACTGGATGTTTCGCCATCAGCGCGTCTGCTGCTGATGTGAAAAAGTATTCTCGACTGGGGTGAACATCTATAGATAGAATCGGCTGCGTATGTGCCTGTGACCGGTATGTCATTGTCCAAGACCCATCAGAGCCCAGACGGTGCACAGATACAAACCCGTTTTCAAAAGCCGCCGCTAGTGTTAGGCAGCCTTGGTGATGAAAAAGAGATAGACTCATGGCCATGCCATTTGTCTGACTGGATTTGATGGTATGTATCCTGGTTTGGCTTGGGAGGGTGTAGATGTCAATCTTCAAATTCTGTTAGTCAGACGTAGTGCCCTGCCAAGTACAGCGGCTACTTACGGCTTCCGACGCCAGTGTGTTTGGTACGGCGATGATGACTTCTGCTGTGGGTGAGGCCGCTTCGAGAGAACCCTGTTCAGCGTCACTGAGACAGGCGGCAAATGAGCAAAAGTTCATTGTGTTCACTTCCAACAGATGAAGCACCCAAGGCTGGGGGCGTGGCGTGGGGGTGTCCTCCAGGGGCAGAGAAACGCTGAGCCGACCCTCATCCTCCTCTGTAATCTTCCACACGATGAGCTTGTGATCGCGACCATGTCTTTTGAGACTCCAGTCAGTAACAAAAATAGATTCCACGCCATCAAGAACAGGACATACGTGATGATCTTGTCGCGACCCCACCCCTTCATGCCTAGAATTGCATTTTCATGGGCCCTCCAAACGGCCCTTGGCCGCATGATGGTGAGGTCCCAGAGCACCACCCAACCCTCCGCATCCCCAGTCGCAAGGCGCTCGTTCTGTCTCACGAATGTGGCGGCATGGATCTGGGCCTTATGCCCTCGTAATATCGCCTTTGGCGACGGCGTTGATTCAGCCATGTTTTTTCCCCGCCTTTTCAGCCAACTGATGAATATCTATTAGCTGAAACATTGCTACCCTAGCAAAGCGGGACACTCCATGAGTATGAAGAGAGCATCTGTCTAAGGATTGATTCTGTTGAGTTGGGTTGTGCCAGAGAGCAAGTATCGCAAGTTCAAGAGGCGTCGAGTGATACAGAGCAAGTTTATCAGTCACGTGCATGGCCGTTGTATACGTCACACAAGTTCTCTCAACCACTTTTCAATCTACAATCCATACAAATTCATCCACTCAAAATCTTTATTTACTCCAGGCACACAAATGAAGGATACGATCAAATTATTCTGATGCGTGGGGGAAAATGAGCAGAGGTTAAATTTGAACGTCATCCAGGGCGGGTGACCGGCGACCTACAGGCGACGCTCATGCTGCGTTACTCTCAAGGTCTCGGATTTCTGCAACCTCAATGAGCCATCTCTCATCTCTTTGGTTACAGCAAGCGATGATCCTTATCCCTGGAGGTGCCACGATCACAAGGCATCTCATGAAATTACTTCACTTCTGTTCACCTCCCTCTGAGACATGCATGTGAACCTTGTGAAGCTGAGCACTGGCCTTGGCTCCGGATTGGTCTCTGCCACGATCCAGCTTTGTCAGACTCTACCGATAGCCTTTCTTTTTCCTCGAGGCCTCCGCATGAACAGAAGGAGGGGAGCCCAGGTATCTCTCATAGGGTAATTTTATCTGCCCTGGCCACCTCTTCGTTTAATTGGCGTGCCTCTTCCTGATCCAAACCGCTATGTAGGTTGGCAGCTCACCTGTCTTTGCAGCAAGCCACCGCCACGAGTTTTCAGTAAGTCAGTCTACTGGGCAATTCAAGACTGATGCCTGGACGCCTTGGGCAGGCTCGGCAAACGCCGTATCTTTTGCACCATCCAAGAAGCTCACCGTCCCAAGGTATGGAGTCTTACTGGTAGCAACTCAAAGGAAATCGGGCCGCACCGGGAGATGTATTGGGTGATAATGGATCAGTCGAACATGCTGCGCTGTGGCCTTGAGCGCCTCAGAGTAAATTTCGGAGGCAGTACTTGAGAGTAGCATCTCTAGTACTCCCTGCAGCGAGAGCTGAGGCAGTAGTCCTTCGGACAGCCCGATTCAAGCGAAAGGGCTTTCGCCAGCTGGATTTATGCGGAATGCTTCAAAAGTCTCCGTTTATTGCCCTGAAATGGTGTTTCTCACTGCCCGATGCCACAAGTTGACACGGCGGTCTGCATTCGCATCAGTAGGTTGGGAGAAACCTCACATATGCGGATGGCCATGGATACGGACAGAGAGGCATTGCATGAACGCTTCATTTTGTACGACTTTGATGATTTCCCCTATATCAGCAACTGTCGCCATTAAACATACATGTTTTACTGCAATATCAGTGCATTAGGTTGGTGCCAACCAAACAACCAGGATGAGACCATCCACTTCTCGAGCCTGCTGCGTGTTTTTGCCGGTCTCCCTCACACCCCCGGACATATTTTTGTGTCCTGTGTGAGTCCAAGGCAGATGCTACTGCTGCAACGATGCCGGTAGGCTCATGCCCATCCCATACGAACTTGCCACTTCCCTCGGCCTGCAAGCCACGGCTCCGTGTCCCCTGCCGCCACATTATGCTTAATATCGGTCGTTCTATAAACGGCATTTTTGACGGATTGCTGTCATCAGAGTGGCCACATTCCAGATTCAGGCGCTCGAGGCCATTGCGATTCAAGAAGCTTATCACAGGTGCCATGGTTGGTGTTACAGAGATGCCAGTGGTGTAAATATCTGGGGCACTGGCTCAAACCCTTTGGCCTATGGTTGCATCTGCACATTCTCCTCAATTTTGTAGTCTTGGTTGGGCAATACAGACACCAAACATCTCGTATCACCGTCACATACGCTGATGCAATCTGACCTTTGGTTCAACAGAGGCATCTCATTACCTTCAAACTCCTTTTGCACTGCTTTATTGACACTTCACCGGTTGTTGATGGAGACTTTCTTATTCTAACGGCTACTTGATCCAATCAACTCTCCTAAGAGTAGTGGCTGAACTCGCAGTGTTCTCCATCAAGGTATGGTATAGACCAGATTCTTCACCGCAAGACGCAAATCAACACTAGACTTGGATGAACTTGATCATCTCGGAGCTCTCCACTCCTGATACTTCCTGATACATTCTGGATCTATTCATCACACCAATATGGTGTATGAGGCATGATTTCGGATCCGAGATTGCAGATCGAAACGTTAAGCGTATACTAATACTGCTTTCTTGGGAACCATAGCATACCTCCTTTGTCTCTTGATCTCAGCCTACTCTAGCTGGGGACAGCTGACAGGTCTGCAACCAATTCTTTGGGGTGTAATCCGAAGATTACTTGCCACTAGTTCTCTGAGAATTAATCTTCGAGGGAGATCTGGTAGGAAGGAGTTCTCAACACATCCTGGCCCCTAGAGCACCACCGATAAGCTCGATTCGATTCATTCCGACAAAAACAGCTATGCACGTCGATTATTCTAGCAGGTATCCGTGCCATATACCGATCCCAACAGGCAAGGCTGCGATGAAAAGCCTCTATTCAGCGGATTCGCCCATATCCAAACCTACACCCAAGTCGAAGCGAGTGCGCACTGGCTGTCTAACATGTCGAGATCGACATCTCAAATGCGACGAGTCAGTACCAGCCTGCCGAAACTGCGAGAAAGGCGGCCGAAAATGCATACGCGGCATTCGACTCAATTTCTCAAACATTACGATACACGATTCAGCTTACTTTGTTCCATTTGGTCCCTGTAATTGTATGGTCTAGTACTCTCAAAATGTCTTGGTTCCAGGCTGATATGCATGCATTTAGTCCTATTCCAAGATGATTCTCGGCGTATTGCCTCAGAATATGAAGGAGGATCAAGCAGATATGCAGATACGACGCATAGCCAACATGTTGACTACAAGATAGCGGTTCAAACGCAGCTCCCAAGTCCAGATCCAGGGCCATCCGACCATGTTCTTCAGGGGCATGTCTGGCACGTTTATATATCACCAGAGGGCTCAAACACAACGAGGAGCATATATAGCGACAGTTTGATACTGCAAGCAACTGAATGGCGTAAAGATGGGGAGGTCGAATCAGGGCCAATGAGTTTATCTGAAGTCGAAGATCGGTCGAATGTTAGCGAACCCATTGAGGATGACAGCGTTACTTGCCCAACGACTACAGTCACCACCTCAGAGCGCGAATTTCTCGACATGCCCGAACATGTCCGATATATGCAAATCTATGTAGAAGAAGTTGCAACATGGATAGACTCGTTCAACAAAGAAAAATATTTTGGCGAAGTCCTTCCATACAGAGCGCTCGACTCTCCTCTTCTACTCTATTCTCTCTTGGCATGTGGGATTCGACGCTTATCTCAACGTCACCCTGACATGAGTGACACAGCTGCAGCATACTACAGTACGGCAAATATGCAGCTGTTTCGCTATCACGAGAATCCAGAGCGTGATATTGAAGAGTGCTCAACCGTAGCAGTCATTCTCAAACTTTACAACATCATATTCAGAGAAGGCCCGCAGAGTGGCGGCCATAGTCCTACGGTGCTCAACTCCATCATCAGTGAAAGCCAATGGAGTCCAGAGAGCAACGGCATTGGATCAGCGTGTTTCTGGCTAAACGCCTATCTGGATATTATGGGAAGCTTGGAAGCAGGATACTGCTTGTACGTTGACTCTTGGAGTGTCGATATGCGCATGCCCAGCGACGGCAGCGAATTCATGACCCATGGGGATGAAGAATTATGGGTGCAGCGGATGCTCTTTATACTCGGCAAAGTGATAAGCTATAGGCTATGCGTGCTATCGTTTACGGATATAGATTTGCGGGAGAACAGGACGCTGGAGAATCTTCTGCCGGAATGGAAGCATTTGAAGCAGCTTTGCGATCAATGGAACGACGCTTGCCCGAGGAATATGCGGCCGTTGGGATATATGTATCCCGATCAGACGGAGAACAATTCTACTTTTCCGAAAACATGGTATGTCTAATGCTCTCTCCTACGATGATGTTGACATAAGAGCTGACCTCTTTGGATTAGGCTTCCTAAACGAGAGGCTGTTTTCTGTCGTCTTTTATACCATACTGCACAGTCTATACTTACGCAGACACATCCCATGGAGCAAACCATGCTTTCGGAGGAAATGATTGCGCTTCAGCTACACCATGCTCGCGAGGTATGTGGGATCGTGGCCCACGCGGAGGATAGCTGTCTAGGACCAATCTCCGTACAGGCGCTTTTAGTTGCCTTGGGTGCCCTGGTGGGAGACAAAGAACGCATGGAGGTCCTCAACATTCTCCAGAGAATGAAGGCTCAAATCGAATATCCCTAGTGAGATGTTGAGGCCGCCCGGGGCTGGATATAGGCGCAATGGAAAAGGAGATCAGATCAACTTCAAATCTAGAGTTGCAGGTCCAAAGTCATGAATATGACCGCTCTATCATCTACATCGCTATAACTGTGGCCATATGTCATCCAAGCAAAATCCCACCGATAATCCACGTAGTCTTTAACAAAACTGATCCGCGCTTTGTCATGATGATGAGCCTCCCTGTGAAAAATTCATGCTATACCCACCAGTCTTTTCATCCTTGACCATCTGGAAATTATTGGTGCTCAGCCCAAAAGGCTTAAGGATACCATCGCCAAGACTCTTCAACTTCCCCCACATCTCCGACATCTCAGCCTCCTGAGCAGCCTTTGTCCGGGGCGGCAAGGCCGTGAGCTGTGTACGAACGGTGCGCTGATCAGCCGGCGTCAAGCCAGGCATTTGAGAGAGCGCGCGGTAGTCCTCTTCCGCACCAGCGAGGTTCGACCAGCCGCCGGCCTCGGAACGGGCGCGCGCACGTCGAAGCAGGGCTTTGGTGCGAATTCGGAGGATGTCTTCTTTGCGATTCTCCAGGGCTACTTGCTCTGGTGTTGGTTCAGGGGCGGGAGCGGGCGCGGAGCGAGCCGCGCCAGAGCTGACTATTTCTTCTTCAACTTCATCGTCTTCTTTTTCAGCGGTTTTGGTATCTTGGTTGTTTGGTGTGTCCTCTTTGGTTTCGGCTGGACTTGACTCGCTTTCCAGCTTTGCCAAGCCGTTGATGGCATCTGTTGCGGCTTTTATGGCTTCCTTCCACTGCTCAACTTTCAAGTGGCATGCTGCAATGTTGCTTTGAATGACGGCACGCTCATAGTGGAGGTAGTTGGGACATGAGGCAATGGCATCGTCGTATCTGGAGAGAGCGTTGTGGTAGTCTTTGGAGGCGAAGAGGGAGTTGGCGTCAGCTTTGATGGCGTGAGATTCTTTGAGGAGGGCCTAGTATGAGAAGATGAGTGAGTCTCCTGAATAGTGAGAAGATATGAAATATGTTGATAAAGGAGAGATGGCTCATATTGTGAATGGCATTTCTGGTAGTGAGCGTAGATGATATGAAGCAACTGCAAGATTGATAGGGAAGACAAAGGTGCCGGTTGCATGGATACAGAGTGAGAATATTAAAAGTGATCCATGAACTTTTTGGTATAATACAGAGATATAAAAGATGAGCCAAGCTTGGTATAAGGTGAAGTGAGATGAGATATCTCAGAGCCTAACCCATGACATAAACGACACTAATTTGGACTTACTGCTTCCTCCTCGGGAGAGAATTTCACCACTTCCGGCTCATCATTGGGTTTCTCCTTTTGAGATACGTCCTTTGTACTTGTTGGCTCTTTGTCTTTATCACTCATGTTTGGGCGGTGTATGTCTTTGATGTGCTGAACGGTAGCGAGTCATGGATGAAATTGTGAATATTGGACATGGCTAGGAGGCTACGTAGAGGCGTGGCTGGTGGAGAAGTGGCATGAATGTGATTATGTCAGCGAACTGAGGGGACAATTTCAGGTACCAAGTGACACGGGCAAAAGATCTGTAGAGTACAGGTAGATGCAGCGTCATTGTAAACCGAAGGCTGCGTTCTCAATTGACAGTTGTTTTCTATAGGATATCAATCTCCCGAATAACTAAATCTAACTAAATCTCATGCCAATAGTAAACCAAATGTCAATTCTCCAGCGATACTCCGGTCGGTCTCTCCAGTGGGAGTCATTCGGCGAGTCCCGACAACTCAAGTCGCCCCGCCCCCACTTGGGCCGCTGTAGATCAGAGGCTTTGATCGATACAATAAACCGCCGCCAGCTGCCAACGCGCGGGTGAAGAAAAAAAAAAGTTGGCGAGGATAAGGAGCATCCCTCGATCCCGTAACTCTCGCTCAACAGGACCTTTTACACCCAACATCGTCTCTTCATCAACCTCATCTTCAGCCTCATCTTCAACTCTCTACCTCCTACAACAACGACCGCAAGAAACCATCTTCTGCCCTCTCTCTAAAAATGGCTCCCCGAACCGAGTATGTTCCTCATCGCTCATTCTCACCCATCGATTGAGTGCTAAACCACGACCCCAGCTTCCCTCCCGTGAGAGCCTGTCTCTTCGACATGGACGGCCTCCTTCTCGACACCGAGGACATCTACACTCTCTGCATCAATCTCATCCTGGACAAGTACTCTCGCCCCTCCTTGCCCTGGTCCATCAAGGCCCAGCTCCAGGGCCGTCCTGGCCCCGCCGCCAACAAGATCTTCTTGGAATGGGCTCAGCTTCCCATCACGGCAGAGGAATTCGCTGCTGAGAACGCTGTCCTGCACCAGAAGCTCTTCCCTGGCACCAAGCCTCTGCCAGGCGTCCCTGAGCTGCTCACCAGCCTGGTTCGAACTCAGCAGCCTGATGTTGAGACACCCGCGGTGCACATCGCCTTGGCCACGAGCTCGCACATGGGCAACTTTAAGCTCAAGACGAACCACCTCGCTGATCTCTTCTCCGTCTTCCCTGACAATCGACGTGTTGTGGGCGATGACACTCGTCTCACTCCTGGTCGTGGAAAGCCTCTTCCGGACATCTTCCTCCTCGCCCTCAAGACCATCAACGATTCGCTGCCTGAGGGAGAAGCTCCCATCAAGCCTGAGGAATGCCTCGTCTTTGAGGACTCCGTTCCCGGCGTCGAGGCTGGCCGCCGCGCTGGCATGCGTGTCATCTGGTGCCCTCACCCTATGCTCAAGAAGGAGTATGCCGGCCGCGAGGAGGAAGTCCTGGCTGGCCGAACTGGTGAGGCCGGACAAGTCGACCTGCACCAGGTCGGTGAGCTAGGCGATGGCTGGTCCGAGTACCTTGTCAGCTTGGAGAACTTTCCGTATGAAAAGTACGGCATGGTGATTCCTCCCGTTAAGGCTTGAAGAGGGAATACGGATCGATGATCCATTCAGCAATTGAAGCAATTGATATGATGCGACATCCTTTTCGAATTTTTTTTAATTTCACGAATTTTCAAAATGGGGAACGAGCCGTCTTGGTTCTAGAGACGAAGATAGAATGCTTTTCGAATTATGGCGACTGCCAAGTTACATACATCAGAGAGACTACGGAAAACTACGGGGGCGAAAATGAAACCAGAGATGCCGATAGAATAAAATAGACTTGAAGAAGCTGTTTTTCCAGTATTCAGATTACGAATAAAGAAGGTTTGTCATTAAATGCCGAGCACTTTAGCATAGAACTCAAAGCACCATAGGGTAGCATAATAAGAGGATATCCAACTCTTTTGACCACTTTGATGTTGTTCTCTAACAAATGCCTATTAACCAAGTGCTGCCATAAAAAAAATGCGAAATTGCACATAAATCGTGGCCAGTGATCTGAATGAGATATTGGCCAAGAAACGTCGCTTCTTGCGTGTCTAGTAAGGTCACCCGCGTGACGTAATTTACTGATCTACGGATGCGCAGTATTTCGGCTTCACATTCACACCTCAATCCTCTCATAAAAACTCTCTTGTCGATACAATTAGGCATGCATCACTGATATCAATATCGTATTCAACTACAATACTCACCCACGGAAATCAATCACGAGATACTATCATTAAAATGTCCACACCCTTTTCTCTCACGCAGACCATTCTCATCTCAGACCCTCTCGGCTACAAATCGGCCACTCAGTCCCCTTTCCTCGCCAACGCTTCCCAAGGCCGCGTCTCCAAAACTCTTCTAGGTCAATGGCTCGCCAATGACCGGCTGTATATCCACGCTTACATCCGTGGCGTGGGCCGTCTACTGAGCTTTCTGCAGCTCCCCGAGGTGGTGACTCCTCCTCGTGATGATACAACTGAGCGGGAGCACCCGCCAAACGCCAAACTACTTCACTGGATGATTGATGCGCTTGTGAACATCCGCCGAGAAGAAGATTTCTTCGTTCAAACTGCGGCCAAATACGGCATCGACGTGAATCTACCTGCTGATGCCAACGGCCAGGTTGCCAACGACACCAAACTCGAGGGTCTACGCCGCTTCGAAGCCCTCTTCGACAGCATCTCCCCCAGCAGCGACAACGACGTCATCCTCCCCTGGCTCGAAGCCGCCATCGTCTTCTGGGCGACGGAGAAATGCTACCTCGACGCCTGGTCCGGCGCCGCATCCCGACTCTCCACCCCCTCGGACAGCAAAGACGAGGACGATGCCGACGGCGGGGCCCTCAGACGGGAATTCATTCCGAACTGGAGCTCCAAGGAGTTTGCGCAGTTTGTCGACCAGCTGGGCGAGATTATCGACGCCGCGGTGCAGCGGGAGATGGAGCTGCGGCGGGACGCGGATGAGCTTGTCAGGGTGCAGTTGTTGGATAGGGCGTTGGCGAAGTGGCATGAGGTGGTGGAGGCGGAGAATGCATTTTGGCCTGCGATGGAGGCGTGACTTTGAGCATGACTGACCTGTTTTTACTTTATCATATGGTACATGTAGTTATGGCAACAAAGATGCTACGCTGGACGGAGAACGAATAGCCAGCCAAGAGTTCTTGGCCGTGGCTCGACCACTGCTGTTGAGAGCCAAGAAATCAAGTGCTCCAGAGCTAAGCCTCTGCACGGAGCAGACCATTCTCATCACCTGCAAATATTCATCACAAAATGAGATGGAAGACAAACCTCAGTAATATTCAGAGATTCAGATACTGTGAATATCGTGAATATCGACAATGAACATGAAAGTAAATGATAGCGACCGGCGACTAAACGGCCCCTCAGAAGCAGAGCCTCACCCATCGAAATAGGACAAAAGACGCGAAATGCAATGCGACCCCTCCCCAGTATCCCATCTGGGTAGGTTAGTATCCCAAGGACCCTGCACAGTAACCGCCCGGCCCCTCACGGACGGAATCGCGACATAAGAAAATCAGCCTTGGGCGTCTAAGAGGCAAAAAAAGATGCGCGTCGGCTGATTGTTTGGTGTGGCTTGCCCTTCTAGTGCTTCAGCACATGATTGCCCCTGAGAAACAAAGAAGACGGAATAGAAGTGGCTGAGCGGATGGCTGGGGAATCTGGAGTGCTACCGTGTAGCTCGCGCCGCCACTTTTTGTTTCGGACTTTTTGGAAAGCTTTCTTCCATCTTCCCCTCTTTTTGAGGATCAAACTGCGCTGAATATTTTGCGGAATGAGAGATTTCGTGCTTCGTAATTTGGGTTCTTGGCGTAAAGATGCACCTTGTTGCTTTATATGAAAGTCAAACTGCTCTTGCATCCAGGGAGTCAGTCATATCTACGTACATGTCACATCATATCAGGACATCGAGTCATTGTTCAGATTGATACTTTCTGCTGCAACATGCTGCATGTGAACCCCTCGTATAATCCTCCTGTACTGTATAATCCCTCTCTCCCATCCCATCCAGCAGACTCTCTAGCCTGATGGGTTCAAGGCCAAAAGTCTGTCGACAGCTCCAGAATGTGCCGGGAAAGCCGTGGCCTGGCCTGGGTGTCCCTGTCTGAGCTGACTGGCCCTCTACAGTTTTGGTGATATTAGCCGCCGCTCACCTACATTCCATTTCATCAGCCCTCAGCAAACCAGTGTCTACAAAACCAAAACGCATACTATATGAAAAGCAAATCATACTGTAATCTTCCAACATGTTTCCATAAACTTCCCATGTAGTATTTCCTTATTACCTGTCATCAGTCGTCATTTGTTCTGCTGGATTCCACCGCCCAAGCGCGCCTCCCAGAGCCGCAGTGACTGCGCCACTCTCCCAATGCACATGTACCTTGCATGCCAAACCGAAGGCACGAACCGCAGGGAACACACAGGCGCAAAGTAATCCGAGGCCTAATATCCACACACGCCTCCACCAGCCATGCTGATTCGTGTGCATTGGACAGCCGCTAAGGCTAACACTGAACCACCGGCCGTCCAGCTGAGAGGCCAGGCGCCGTGTTAGTAGGATCAAGTGTCCATGTCCATGTCCTTACTCCGGCGTCCCCCCCACCAAAAAGAGAAGAGGTCCCTTGCCCGCATGATTATAAAAACGGAATAAATAAGCTTGCCCGTGCTTCTGACTCTCTTTCCACTTATCTGGTTTCTTATCCTTTTTACATCTCGCCCTTTTTTTCTCGTTCTACGCCTCTGCTTTCGTTGTTGCACATATCCGAACCTCACAACCCCGCCATCATCATGTCTGCCAACGACTACTACAACAACGCCGGCGGCAGCGGCGGTTACCCTCAGCAGCAATACGGCCAGCAGCAGCAATACGGAGGCGGTTATCCCCAGCAGCAGCAAGGCTACCCTCAGCAGGTCCGTCTCTCTCTCCCAAACAATCTCTCTCCCCCCTCGACTAACAAACACAAAAAAACAGCAGCAGTACGGCCAGCAGCAACAATACAACCAATCCTACCCCCCTCAGCAACAACAACAACAACACTACGGCCAGCCCCAATACGACAACAACCGCAGCGCCTCTCCCTACGGCCAGCCCCAGTACGACCAGCAGCAGCAGTACCAGCAACACCAGCAGCAGCAGTACGGCCAGCAGCAGCCCGGCTACGGCGGTCAGTACCCCGGCGCCGACCAGCAGGGCCAGTACCCCGGCGCTGAGGGCCAGGACGGCGACCGCGGCCTCGGCGCGACCCTCATCGGAGGCGGTGCCGCTGCTTTCGCTGCGAAGAAGGCCGGCGGTGGCCTCGTTGGTAGTGGTCTGGCTGCTGTGGGCGGTGCCATTGCTGCGAACTTGATTGAGAACGTGTTTGAGTACGTTTGATATCCCAAAAAAAATAACTGGATATGGTGATGCTAACGGGATTTCTTGTAGGAAGCGCAAGGAGAAGAAGGGGGCTGAGAACATGGCCTACGGCGGCCAGGGCGGACACCACCACCACCACCACCGTGACTAAACGGTGTCGAATGCGATGAGGGCGAATGTGCTTTTTATACCTCTTGTTAGAATATCATGATTATGAGGGGCGTTTTTTCGTATTATTATTTTCTTTGTTTTATATGAAATGAGAAATTATAACGACTACCTATACATTATACATACATGTCTCGTTTGTTGCGTGCAAGGCTTGGTTTTCTGATGAAGCTGGCGTCTGCTTGCAAAGTCCATACATAGATCGATTACAATACGGACTTTTGACACAAATACAAACCACGTTCGCTTGTACAGGGTTAACATATATCAGCATGCGTGCAAAATCGATGACACTCATGTTATTCACTTGTACTGCTTTAACGATAAGTCGTCTCATGGACTCAGCCTCGGATTCTTCTACATCACTCGAAATCACTCGCGCGTTCAACAGTTCATTTCCCAAATGGCGGGCTTCATATAAATTTGGTATTTTGTTCGTTATGTATAAACCGCATATTGCGTCACGTCATAATCGACAGTTTCAGATTTCCAACTGCCCGGAGCTCCAAGAGCATCCTATCAAAACCCTCGGGGGCCAATCAAAGTGTTCATAGCTTTGGCCTCCAATATCCCAAATTCCCAAACAAATCAAAACATGACATTCAAAAAACTACGGGTATCCGGATTTAAACCTCTTCAGTAGCTCGCTTCTCCGCGGTGGAATCCCGCGCCTTGGTATCAAACTCCTCGTCGTGCACAGCCTTGGGCTTGTCGTCCCAGCCAGCAACCTCGGCGGCGTCGTGGTCATAAGCCACATCGAAGCTCTTGCGAAGCTGCTCGGGACCCAAAAAGGTCAGGACAAGGACGTAGGCGTAGACGCAGCCCATGAAGATGCAAATGACCTTGCCGTAGTCGTAGCGCTTTGTGCCAGAGGCTGTGGGTGGCAGGGGGAAGCGCTCGCCAATGCGCGCCTCGATGGTGGAAGAGGCCGAAGACACCAGGTTACCGAGCTGGTAAGCGGTACCGACGACAAAGGTCCTGAAGGCACCGGGAGACAGCTCCATCAGGTGGATGGGAATGACTCCCCAAGCGCCCTGCACGCAGAACTGCTGGAAGAAAGCAGCGGCCATGATGGACGTGTCGTGCACAAAGGTGTAGGGGTAGAGCAGAGCACCGCCGACAATGCAGCAGATGATGATGCTGAAGCGACGGCCCACAGACTGGCTCACGAAACCAACAATGGTACCGCCGGTCATGGCGCCCAGGTTAGCAACGACCTGTGTGACGGTGACCTTGTCGGCACTGAATCCGAGCTGGTTCGTCAACATGGTAGGGTACAGATCCTGGCTGCCGTGGCTCATAAAGTTGAAGCCAGCCATGAGCAAAACAAGGTAGGTCAACAGGATCCAGTGGCGCTTGACGGCCACCTTGCCCTCCTTGATGAAGACCTTGCCAACAGATTCGTCGTTGCTTCTGTTCTGGCCGGCCTCGATACGCATGCGCTCACGTTCACGGTATGTCTGAGTCTCGGGCATCATCAGACGGAAGGCGATGAAGAGGACGGGCGGGCCGGCGCCGAACCAGAACAGAGGACGCCATCCGTGAGAGGTGGTGTTGACAAGACCACGAGCAAAGGCGGCGGCGAGGAGATATCCAAAGGCATACTGTTCGAATCAAGCTGGTTAGCAAATTGGGTCCTTTTCGGTGTTTTGCACTTCAAAACAGGGCGATCTCGGAGCTGACTTACACCTTGCTGGAGCATACCGCTAATGATACCGCGAGCCTCCTCCGGGCAATCTTCCAGAGCGGTGGCGGCAGCATTTCCGTACAAACCACCCATGGCAACGCCAAACAGGGCGCGACAGGCGAGGAATTGCTTGTATGTGTTGCAGAAGCCGGTTCCCTACAAATGACAGCCATGGTTAGCGGTTTTTTTCTTAATTGCATTTATTCTCCGAGCGTTTGTATGAGCCCACGATGAATTGAGCAGCAAAATCAATAGCTCCGGCAGTTACAGTGCGTGCAGTGCCGCTGGCTATTGGCGGGGATTTTGGGGCCTGTGGCCAAGGCGGGTGGCACCGCCGGCTCAATCTTGGCAAATCGCCAAGTCACAGATTGCGGAAATAACACAATTCGAATGGAAGGGTGTCTTACCAGTTCCAGGGCGATAAACAGCAGGTTGTTGACAATAAAGGGCCACTTGCGACCGTAGCGATCGGCAGCAACTCCAAAGAGGATGGCGCCGACGGATCGGAACATGAGCACGAGCGTAATGCCCCAGGTGATGTCGGTGGTTTGCTTGTCGAACTGCTTGGCGAGGTCCGCAACGGTTAGGGACACGGTAAAGAAGTCAAAGGCGTCCCACGTCCAGGCCCAAAAGGCAATGGCGAAAAAGGCCCATTGCTGGCGGTTGAGCATCCGCAGAAGCTTCCATGGGTTGGGCAAGTTGAGCATGGGCGGCTTGAGCGACGAGAACCGCGTGGCCAGGTAGTGGCCAGCCGACATGTTGTCGTAGTTCTCGGGAACCCAGTATTCCTCCTGATTCCCTACCATGACGGCGGTTGTTTACAGAGACAACGATGCTATGAGACAAGGCCAAAGGGAAGAGTTGGAGGAGAGGAAGAAGAAAAGGGAGGCCGTGGAGAGGAATGGACTCCAAAACCTGGAGGAGGGGGGAGGAGGAGATATATAGAAAATGCGGAGCAAGGGAAGGGAGGGCGAGGGGCGATGGCTAAACGCAGAGCAAGTTGGGGAACCCCAGAATGATCATGTATAAAAGCGGGAATTCTCCAGGGTTGAGGCTTACATGGTGCCTGTGCTTGCTAGCCCTTCTCCACGTTTCCTGGAGCCGGCCCACGAGCCGGTCTGGAACGGCGAATTCGCAACAATACCAGCGTCCGTACATGCCAGTGCGTGATGCTGGCGCTGGCTCGGAGACGAAGACGGAGCCAAGATGGGGCTAAAAGTTCAAGCCTAATTATTCTCTAGCCTTGCCTCCACAGACGTCGCTGCGACACAAGCTTATTCTCTGTTGCTCCTGGGGTTGGGGCTGAGACCAACGTCATGATCTAGTGGGAGCACCAGCAGGCGGGCTATTGTACAGCAGGATCTGCCAGCCGTAGCCCGGTTATCTGCTCCCGCAAAGTGAATGGGAATACGAATGTAACGACCAGGGTCGGGGTCAAGAGACAGAAGAAAAAATTCAAAGCGTGATCCACCCGGCTTGGAACCACCATGACAGCGTCTGCCGGCCAGTCACACACCATGAGATGGAGCCCGTCCAAACCCGTCACAAGTGACTTACATGGATGTCGCAAACCAACGGAGCAACATGCCCCAAATGAAGGTTTGCCGTGCGAACGCTTCTTCCAACCTGTATGTACTCGTAGTCGGTTAACACATGCGCCTGATCCTTGCTTGGCCTTCATTTTGACAGTCGGAAGCGGCCAAATTCTGTGTCCTCAGTCTATTTAGCGGGCACCCATCAGATGACGGCGAAGAAGGCTCCGATTATGGAAAGGCACGGCGGCCATACCGAAGAAGGATCATGTACGATGTATGTACGATGCTTGCCATTGCAATATCTTACGAGCAACAGCTGTGTGGATGCTCGAGTGCTGTTGCTTGATGACTCGTACCAGAGGTCATTGCGAGTTGGGGATGGAGCTAAACCATCTCAGCTCGATACAACGCCATAAAGCAGCCGGATTAACGCCTCCATGGCTTGCCGGAAATGTGATTCGAGACGCCTAACCGAGAGATTCAGCCATGATGCAAGCCACGATCAGATCCATTTTCCACCATTCAAATCGTACGAGTACCGTGATTCGAGAATCTTGAAAGCAGTGAAGCCCTTCTTTGGCTCGTCTGAACAATGTGCTGGTTCATCTGAAGCTGCCGTCAGCCGACTGCAGCTATTCTCTTGTATAAACACAAAAAGAAGCTTCTTCAGGTTCAGTAGCAATCATCTAAAAATCGATCTACACGCATCGTCACAACTTACTTCTCGCTTCATGATGATGTACTTGGCGCCATCAAGGCCGCATCCGGCTTTCGATTCCCCAGGTGCCCTTTCCCTTTCGAGTGCGCTTCTCCGCCATCATGAAGTCGCGAATAGTTTGTCTTTGAACCAGGATCTGCAACGCTAGATGCCAAGCCTAGTCCCGTCTTGGCAGCAAATGGCAGCCTTCTCGGCACAGGATTGCCGGTCGACGGGCTTGGCATGCTCTCTCCAGCTTGCACGGGCCAATCAGGATTTCGGACCTGCTTCCCCGCCCGCATGGGAGTCAACCTTATGTAGGTAGATGCAAAAGGCAAAGTAAGCAACCCAGCTGAATAGAATACGCATTGGTGATGGGTAATTGTTGTTATTCCTATGGGAAATTGTACGTGTTAACAAGTACGGAGTATGAGCACGGGTAACAGAGAAGTGGTGGCAGTTTTCAGAGGGAAGTGTCTGGCATTTTGCTTCTACCACATGGCTAGGTACAGAAGGCAAGGGCAATGCCAGGGCAACTCTTTCCGCACTTGGCCTCACCATCAGGCACCAGCATTACCATTTTTTATTATTTATCTATTTACTATTTCCCATTATTTTGCAAGCCACGAGTCAATCTAGCGGTATTACATAAAACACACCAAGCAGTTTGGTGTCGTTCCATTGGCTGGCAAACTCGGTAGATTCGGCTAATACTTTTGATTGCCGTCGCCGGACCGCACTCTCTCGCTTGAAAGGATCAAATGGAAAAAAAAAAAACCTACGAGCCTCGTCCGCAACCAGAGCAGGAAAAAGCCACCAACTAGACAAGAAGAAGGCTTGGAGAAGCAGAAAAGAAGACGCTAGTTGTTTTTACTGGGCTTGCTCGTGCGAGTTGACTCCGATAGCCACATTCCATGCAGGCTCTTCCGGAAGAAGTCCGAACATTCAATCCCAAATAGATAGTCTTGCGTCTTTGACTCAGTTCACAGATCCTAGACCCTGTATTTTTGCCGCTTGCTCTTTGGTTGCTGGATGGCTACATAGCTTGGCAAAGAGGCAAACGTCTGCCGTTTTCGCAGCTCGACTCAACGTGGGCCGAGCGAACACGGACGGGATGAAATGCAGCGAGAATCTCACAACGGCCCAGAGAAAAAAGCACAGACGGAATACACGTGACTGCTTTTTCTTTTCTTTTCCTTGACAATAGGGATCCAACTCATCAGCAACAATAGGACCTTGGTCCCTCCGCCCCATACAACAAAATAGCCCCAACGCCAAACAATCTAAAAATCCGGGCGTTAGAGTTGGAGCATGCCCTTTTTTCCCACGCGAACGGCACGAGGCCTAGATCCCCAAGATCCAACCAAACAACGGTATTTTCCGTCTCGTTACAGTACAAAAATCTAAGCACTAAGCGCCCAGAATGCAATCCACAGGGAGCATTTCTGGATAGACTTAAAAAAGAATCGAATGCTACGGTCCGGTTTTTTACCACGCGAGAAATTCCCTCCTAGTGTAGCCAGAAATAGTAATCCTTTCTTTTTTTCAGCTCGCGGAAGCCCTGTTGCAAAGGTTGCAGTAACACGACGTCACACCAAACAATCTCTTTTGACTCCTGCCTCCATTCCGCGGCCCTTTGGAAAAAAGGAAAAAGATCATCCACCAAAAGTCAAAAAAAACCCCTGTAACCAACAAGCGAACTCGTCCCCCGGATTCACCCACCATGCAAAAAACGCCCTCTCCTCCGCATCCGCAAATCTCATCACCTTCTTTTCATTTTAAACTACGAGTACCATCCTAAGAAAATCTTAGATCCGGTTTTTTATCGTCCCCATGTAACACTCCATCTCCGTAGCACGCGTTAATTACTCAAAATCCCATTTTTACCCCAACTTCTTCTCCACGAAAAACCCTTATCCTCGTAACATGTCACCGAAGAAATCATATAAAATAATCGCCGCTGAACACTAGAACGAGCCAAAACTCCACAATAGTCTTTGCTCGGTGCCTTTCCGTAGCCCGCTCCTCCAACTGCCGCCCCAAAAAAATGAAACCATTGAATTGGATTCTCAATGCTTGCCTTCCCCCGGGCTTTTCCCCACGTCCTCGTCCCATTCTTTTTCTCGCTTCCCCACACCTTGACCCCAAAAAATTCTCGTCTCGTTCACGTTCACGGCCCTTTCTCCAACGCCCTCTTGAAACTGCTCTCGACGGATGCGGAGAAAAGGGGCAGTCGGAATGATACGGGAGGAGGGCCGCGTCAATCATCCTGTAATCATCAAACGTGTATCAAACAATTAATCATTCTCGCAAGTCATAGCTTCAATGTGTGTAGAAACTCAATTTGATTCCTGACGAAGCTTATCAAGCATCTTCCTCTCCCACTTTATTCCCGCTTCCCGGACCGCTTCCGCATCCTCACCTATCCGCCACTCCGAGTCATGATTCAAAGCTTCAAAGGTCCAAAAACAAAGTCTTAGTTTCCGAATTGCATAATCTTAATTCAGTCCAGCTTGAACCAAAACTATCAAAAACTACTCAAAGTCGACCATTCCCTATCACTATTTGCCTCAACGCCTCTCCTACCGCCCTCCTCCCGGGGTATCGGAAAACCAAAATCCAAATAAAAAAAAGGAGACTTGCCCGGTTAATAGTCCTACACGTACAAACCCCCCATATTAATTCAATCCATAACGATCCCAGTCTCCGTGTCGTGTCATTATATGCGTCTTGACGATGCCGTAATTTTGTATAGCCTTTCTTTGTCTTGCAGATCCCGTCTTGTACGCTCTTGAAAAAAGAAAAGAGAGAGAGAGGAGAAAGAGAAGAGAAGAGGGAGAAGTAACCAAGCCAGCCCGCCCTCTCTACATTGAGCGCCCAGCGAGGGTCATTAGCATCATGGCTCCGTCTGTAGCTGCCATCTGCGATGCCTCGCTTGCCTCGCCTGCTGTCTCGAGTCAGACTCCGCCACCCATGAAGGCGGCAAGGTCGTCGAGGTCTAGGAGCTGGCGCTCAAAAGCCTCGCACAGCTCTGGGGCAGTCATGTCTTGACTCGTAGTCTGGCCGTCGTGGACGGAGACCATGCCATTTTGAACCATCTCGGGACTTTGTCGCTTAACCTCATGCACCTGCATATTCGCTTGCGGCGCACCGGCTGGTGGCGGAGATACGGCGTCCGGGGTGGAGACGTGGTTAGATCCTCCGTTGATGGTTGTGACCCCGGGCCGCCGCGGAAGGGAGATGGGCGGCTCGCTGCTTTCCCCTCGGGCAGAGCCGGATACCGAGCGTGGTTCACTGGGGTGCTGGCCAGGCGCGATACTAGAGTTCTGCTGGTCATATTCCATGGCATCTGGGTTGGTATCAGCATTTGACGACATCTCGTCCTTGATGGCAGCCGAAGGCATGTGAGGGTGAGGCGCGTGGCTAGCAGGGCCGCCCATCATGGCCGCGGCATCGTTGTGCAGGACGCGTTGCATAACGGTCAGGTGCCTAAGCCAACTTGTCATGAGAGGCCAATTCTCGTTGCCATCGTGCATAAAGCGCAGCCCGTCCTTGACAATGTGCGCCGCCGTCTCGACGGCATTGGGAGGTGTCAACCCCTTGAGTGAAAGGTAGGCAATGGTCGCACCGGCGGTGAATGCGGAGAAGAGCATGAAAATGGGGAAGCAGGTGACATGATCCTTCTCAGCGCCAGACTCGACCGCTGCCAGGAGAGACAAAGTGCCGTGGCAGGAGGTGAAGAGTCGATCGACGATGTCGTGGCACCGGGGGCTCATCCGGTATGATTCGATGTTGAACGAGGGAGATGTCACATCCTCCAAGAGCCGTCGACGATGGACGAATATGGTAGCGCAGTGAATCAGGCAGTGCAGCATGGCAAAAGTGTAGCCAGATCCCATCGTCATATGAAGGTTGATTTGGCCAGGCTTATCGACAAACTGCATAGGGAGGGTGGCTCGGAGCCTCTCGATTTTGATGACGAGGTCTGTACAATCATCCTCACGGAAGCTAGACACGGCGAGCATGCCAACGACATCGCGCCAGATGGTGGCAGCCAAGACGATGTATCCGTACTCGCCAATCTCACCGGTTGGCACATGGCCTGGTGATGCGTGGGCATTGTGTTGGGCGAGCTGCTGCGGAAGCGTCTTCACATATACGGTATTACCAAATGCGAAGTTGATGTCCGAGCAGGGCAAGGCCACGTCGGTAGTATCCTGAAGAGCCAGGGCAGGGTAGCGGCCAGGGGTACAGGTGAGAAGGCAGTCGAGGATGTAAGTCAGCCACAAGGTGCGGCGAAAGGACTCGTCACGCAGGAACTGGTCGGCATTGTCAGATGCGTGATGGCTGTTAAGAATCCGGTACATCTGCAACAGCCGCGTGGCCTGGCCGAGATAGACGTAGGCACGGACGGCATTCCGGCTGCCCCATTCGTGAATGATGACGAGGCAGAGAGCCTGGATATCAGCGAGGTTAGGCTGGTCCAGGTTGGCATTGATTAAGGAAACTGTCTTTCCGGCAAAGGTGTCGGCAGCCGCCGTGGGGGTGCCACCATAGCGGCGGATGAGGTTTGGAGAGCTCCTAATGATTGTATCAGCTCATGTCGCATTATTCCAGAAATAAAAGGAAATAGGAAGAGAAATGGCCAAAGCCAATGCGCGTTCCTAGATGCCAAGCCACAGCCGGACAAGGCTTGTGTTGTAGCCTGACCTGCGGCGCCTGATCGGACCAATTGATCCACAGAGGCCGGCCGCGGCTGAAACATGTTTCATCGCTTGCCTGACGGCAGCGCATGCCTTGGAGAAGAAAAAGAAAAGAAAAGAGAGAGAAGAGAGGCTTACCGTGCGGCTGCTGTCAAAAGACCATAGACGAGGCTTGATTCCAGCGTCCCGTTCTTGAGCTGCTGCACAAACGTCGGCTTGTGAAAGGCCACGCAGGCCGGGAATGTCTTTGAGACGACACGCTCGCACTCGGCGATGAGCTCTGGTGTAAGCCTGAGGCAGCGTTAGCAAACATTCCGCTCGGGTTCCGGCGGCATCATCGGCCAGCCAAACTAGACTTGGAGGGGGAATTGAGAATTTGACAGCTCGCGCATAGGGCGGCGGTAAAGAAAAAATCGGGCCGTTCTGCCATCCGAACGGAAATGGGCGAGTGGGGACAAGAAACAAGCAGCATAGCTCAAAGTGAGCACGAGGCTAGAAGGGCGGCCGGGCCACTCGGGGGGGAAATAGTCGGGGGGGCAGAGGCTACCGAGGGCCAAGGGCTAGGGCCAGGGGACGAGACGGGATTGACACCGTCCCAACAGAGGCCAAGGCAACGACGACGTCGATGCAGGACGAGGGAATGAAAAAGAGAAGAAAAGGAAGAAATAATTCTTCTTTTGGCTCTTTTTTTTCTTCTGTATCGGGCGGCGATAAAAGGCAAAAGAGGGGGCGCGCAAGGAAACAAAGCACTCACTTTTCGGAGGTGGTCTGAACGTGTCTGGCTCCGCCTGAGCCCACAACGGGCTGCCTGGCGTCAGAGGCACCGGGCCCGGAGGCCGGCAAAGCGTCGCGAGAAGGGCGATGGGCAGCGGTATGGCGAGCTGGGCTTTGACCGTGGTGATGGGCCATGCTCTCCGAGGGCAGATAGCACTCATGCATGCCTTTTGCGCAGTTTTTGCAAGGCGCGCGGCCGTTTTCGTAGACACACTTGGTTTTGCCCTTGCGGCAGCGCACACAAGCGCCGCCGGCTCTAAGGGCAGTGGAGCGCACCACGCCGGAGGACATTGTGGGCGACGATTCGGGTCAGAAGAGAGGGGATTGAGGAGGGAAAAATTGCGCGATGCGATGCGAGGCGCGTGGCCGTCTCAGAGACGACTTGATCGGCACCGGGCTTTTGCTGCGTCGCGATAGTGACGGGCAAGTTTGCAGAGGGCCGGAGATGGCGACACCGCAGGTCCGGGATGAGGACGGTGCACGCGCTGACGACTGGCTCTTCCCGGCAGAGATTGCGCAAGTAAAGAGGCAAATCAGAAAGATGGAGGCCGTGGTAGAGGGATAACAGGTGGGATCGCAGGTCTGCACAGCGCAGGTGAGCAAAGGGATAGAAGGAGAAGGGGAAGAAAAATCTGGCGATGGGTGAGGAGGGAAGAGATGGAACAAGGAGACGGGCGCGAGGGTCTTTGGGGGATGAAAGGCGGGGGGCGTGTCGAGAGAGTGTGTGTCCCAGCGGACAGCGGGCAGCGGCCACAGCTTCAGAAGCCCCACGGGCGGATCGGCTTCAGGCCTTGTCCTGCCGGCCCCACCCACAGGGTTCTGGACAGCCGTTTTTTTCAGAGCGTCCAGCGAGAGTGTTCCAGCGAGTGTCCAGCGGTACCTACAGCGCTGGCGGGATTCGCATCTCGACAACCTGGACTTGATCCCGTTTGTTCTCTAAACTCTCTTCCGTCACATCAACAATGTCAGTAAAGCAAGATAACATGAGCGCTCTCCTATGCAAATTTACTCGCCGCCACCCACAGGCAGAAGCACCAAAATGCAATCTCCTCCAGCAGAAAGAGGCATTGGCTTTCGCAGGCTCTCGGAATGTGGCCTCCCGTCCTCTTTACCACCCAGTGTTGGCCCAAGTCACAGACGCCTGCGCTCTTTTCCTGGGGTGTGCGAAAGTGTCGCGCTCTTCCGGCCGGGCTAGTGCCACTGCCCTTGGTACAGTATCCCACAATGACGCAGCCAGGGCCAGATCGGAGTTTTGCCGCCTGCCGTGCTTCTGCCCGATACAGCCACAGAACTCGGGGTCTGCGCCAGCAATTGTCTGCGCTGTTGGTACTCGCCTTGTACTGATCCATCCAAATCCAGGCACGACGAGTCAAACATCAGTGTCTCTCTGTCTCTGCTCTGGCAACAAACGACGACATGGCAGCAGAATCAGGATCAGAACCAAAATCAGAATCAAAGGGCCCGCAGGTTCCCGACAACGTGTACTGTATGCACCTCAGCTAAGTAGGTGCATTAACCCGCCCAAAACGCAATTCAAACTCCAGTCAGAAATTCTCATCGCGCGTGGGCAGCCCAGACTTGCCAGGCTGCGGCGTCCGCGCTGGTGCTGCGGCCTTCGCCCCCTTTCCCTCCCCCATTTCTCATCTGGCCCCGACCTTGATTCTCATTTCACCAGCAAGCGCCGATTGCCTCCTCCCAAAAGCCGGGCTCGCCCACTTTGATCCGGGGGACCAATGACGACGAGCTTGCTGAGATGCGGCCAATCAGCCAATGCCTTTCCGCCGTGCCCCAGCAGATGGGCTGACTGACGCGGCGCGTGGTGCACCTGGGAACGCTCTCCGTGAGCCGCGCCGGAACCGAAAAAGCTCCATCGTCCGATTCCTCCCAGGCTCTGGTCGAGGGAGGGAGAAAAAAAGACGCTTCGGCTGGCTGCTGACATTGCAACACCCGATCTGGTGATTTTGCGACTTTACACGTCCGATCATGTACGCACACGACGCCGGTACGACAGCGACAAGTCCATGTACGTGTCCAGGCCTCCATAGCAAGTACTCCGTGCACAGCGGCTCTCCGACGGCGGCACAGCTTCGGCGGGCACGCACGTCCAAGGCGCATCCTGAGTTTCCATTGGAGGGATCGAGGGTGTGGCCACGAGAATCAAGGGAACAATCAAGGCAAGGCAAGAAAGAGGCCTTGGTGGGGCCGGCGCTGTCTCTCCAAAGTCTCTAGAGCCTCATTCTGTCGTACAGACCTGCACGAGTATGGGTATTCATTCGTACCTACGCGCCGGCTATCAACAATGGAAGCCACCTTTCCACTAACAACGTATTCGTATGCAAGCATCTGAGCCTGGCGCCGTGGGAAATGGGACTGGAAATGAGAATCCAGAACTTTCACACTTTCACAAGCAACAGCGCCAATCCGAGGGCCAGCCCACTTTCTGTGCGGAGGTCGATGTACTCTCGGAGCACGGTCTGCGCCGGCTAGTACGGAATATGCAGGTGGGTGGCTGTAGCGCCGTCCCGGTTTCACAGAGCAGCCAGATTCGCTCTCCGGCACCGACGCCAGCAGTGGTCGCCTCTTTTCTGCTTTTCTGTTTTTCTGCTTTGCAGGCTGCACATGTGAAAAGCAAAAATTATGCACTGGTGGTCAAAACTCTCCGTTGCTCTATCCGCCAGTGACTGTGGTCCTGTGTTGCCGAAGCATCACGGCGATATAAAAAGTGAAAGTGAAGGACAAAGAGAAAGAGAAAGGGGGGAAAGGAAAGGAGGCGGCCAGTGAGAAGACGCGCGCGCGAGCAGAGTCGCAGTCGGTGGGGTGGGACCCAAATTATCCACGGAACAGTTTGATCATGTCCGCAGCCGGACGGATGCTGCCAGCGAGGGCACTGAGGACGCGCCTTGCCTTGGCCCTTGCTTCTCGTCGCCAGCACAGTGGCTTGTACCACCTGTCTCGTCGCCGTGTCTTCGCCTCATCGTCACCTTACAGGCACAACAACAAAACAATGCGTCACGGCACAGCCAAAAGCGCAACGGCGCAAAGGCGCAAAGCCACGCGCGAGGCTCCGAGGAAGTGGAGAGAAATGCGAGCCACATGGGGAGGAGAGGTCCAAAGCCTCCATCGTCTGGGCGTCAGCCGCTGATCTCGACTGCAGCAGCACGCATCACAACCCGTTGGCCATGCCTCTGGGCTCTGGCTAACAGCGTCGGCCTCACCATGGGTGCTATCTCCGGGGTATGAGCCATCCAAATGGAACTTGTTCCGGCTCTTCTGGGGTGGCCAAGGCAAACAAGTGGTGCAAGTAAATCCGAAAAATACCACCTCGCGACGCACTCGGTGGGCCCTCCGTGTGCTCCGATATTTGGCCAATTTCTGGTCCACCTTGGGTCCCGCCTTTGATCAACGCAATCGCGGATGTCAGTCACGGCGGTTCGACTCGAGCCCCCCGAATCGTGGACAAGGCGCCGTTCCTGTGTTTGGATTTTGCATGCGAACGCATCCAATCCTTGAGCTCCATGTCGGAGCGATTGTCCGTGCCGAAGATGTGTGTACTGGGCAATAGAGGGCTTAGCAGTACCAGGCAGTAAGAATGCCTGTCTTCCTCACCGATAGACAGCCATGGATCTCATTCGGTTTCGCGTGGCCCCCCAAGGAGCTTCTACTGGAGAGTACTTTGCGATTGGTGCGAGTTATTAATAATTACCTTATCTCGTGTTGTTATGCTTTCTCCCGCAACCACTTGCAGCCCTAGCCGGATCGGAGCGAGCATCACTTTGTATACCTGTCTGTGCGGCGACGCTTCCGTTCATCCCCCGCTGCAGTTTGTGGCTAGCATGATGCAAGTTCCGACAATTTTAATTTCGCCCTTTGATTCAGAGGTCCTAGCTTTTCGAGTCCAGTCGATCCTCGCACCACGTCCCTTTGCGTCAGATCATTCTCGCCGAGCTGGGCAAGCAAGGATCATACCACGCGGGTGACTAAGACGCCGTTGACATGTGTTTCCAGACGAGGGTCGTCTGATGAGAAAAGGATGGCTTTTCGTCCTGCCTTGTAATTGCTACGCCCTCCAGTATTCGCAAGCTTACTACGGTACGGAGTACACAATGAACGGGCTTGATGCGAGGGATAGAGAAGAAGGGGAAAAAACAAAGCACTGCGGCAAAGACAAGACATGGCAGCGCGATTCGGGCCGTGACGTGTCGAGGGCCGCTCACAGCGGCTGGCAGATCTGAGATCCAACTGCTCGCAAGCGCGTCTCCCAAGCTCCGCATCTTCCGGTCCCAGCCGGTGTGTGCTCTGTACATACGTGCATGAGATAATCAAACCCCCTTTTTCCCCTTCTTTTTCTCTTTCTTTTGCGTCCTAGTGCAAGTAAGCATTATACCAAGATGGGCATGCCACCACTCCGCACTACGTCCTGAACTGTCCAAAGGCTTTTGCTACCCCGTGCCGACGGCAAACCAACAACAAAGCAGAAAAGGGAACCAGTGGTTGGATGTGCCATTTTAACCGCAATGCCGCAACGGATGACTCGTGGGTGTCTTGTCTTCCCCGGACCACGAGCTGCTCCGTTTCCCACGATGTTTTCTTTGTCCTTCAGCGATCTGCCGCCCTGCTGCAACACGGGGGACACCGTAGGCAGCAGTTAGAAATTGAATTCCGTTCTCTGCCTGTTGCTCGCGGTACTCGACTCGGAACAGCCGATGGCTCTCATTCAACGGCTAGCGGCATCTGCTGTCCGGGGTGGAGCAAGCCCTCGTGCTACGGGGAGCAAGGGATTTGCACTAACAAGATGAAAGAGGAGCGCAGCAGGCAAATTCGTATGTACGAGTCCATTGCAAAAATGGGGCACCGCCGCGAAACGTTACCCGGGACCCAGACCCGGCTTATTCTCGGCACAGGATGGAGACGAGATTGTGGCGGCCGGCTCCGGGAAAAGGGAAATCACGTGACGGTCCTTTTTGTGTCTCTGGTCCGGCGTTGGGGGCTCCGCTTGGGGAGGGCCGAAAAAAGGATCACGACGGGATTGCCGTTTTGGTAGACGAGGCCGAGACATGTCCGAGTTTGGGGGGGATGGACGAGGACACTTTTGTCTCGTTTTTTTGCGGGAGGGAGAGTCAGCGTCTAGAGTGCGTGCTAAAAGGAAGTGAGTGCGGAGTATCACATTGTTGTGCTACTTTTAGACGGAGCACGCCTTGGCGCTTCGTGGGCGGCAAAGATGAATCCGCCGCCGAACGGCCACTACAAGCCTCGGCTATCTCAGTTCTAGCCGTGGTCGGCCTTAAGAGAACAGTTCAGCGCTTCGGTATTAGTATTCTACAGAACAGTAACGGCAGTTTTTCTTTGTCAGGACAGTCCCTGTGTTTTTTTCCTCGCTTTAAGCTTAAACACACGGAAATTAATCCGAGACCGGCCCGGGTTCTAGACACTTTTGTTTTTGCTGTGCTGCATCCGCGGTGTTGCACAAGGTGAATCTGGATGGAGCAGCCATTCTTTGTACGTACGAGTGAATAACATCCATTGATGTACTTTGTGGAATTTTTGTTAGACATTTCAGTGGTTGTCGGTAATTATATTGGTAGGGAATACTACGTGAAAGCCGGGGGTGTGTGGATGTAGGATTTGAGATAGCTCGCATTGTCTATAACGGCTTATATATGGCTTGAGCATCAATAGAAATCGTAATAAGATACTGTTAACACATGCATGTCATACAACATTAATCTAACGCTAGGTTTTACTACATACTGTCCCCACTATCCGCCTATCAAATAGCAACTGATGTGCATATACACCCTGCATGGGGCAGATCATCTCAGATGAACAATCTCAGATATAACCTCACTTATACCAGAACCACAACAACCCAGCCAATATGAAGCCTGTTACATGAACAAAGCCCACAACCAACCACGCTGTCACAGCCCGTCAAACTTGATAAGCCGTTTCTCCGCTAGGCATAGACACGGCATACTCCAGCGTAAGCTTCACCGTCTTGCCCGCGTTCAAGCTCACATCCCAAGCCACCTGGCCATCCTTCTTCAGCTTCGCCGAAGCCTTGCCCCAGTTCTCGTCCTTGTTCGCCTTGCCAGGCTCGCCCACAGCAATCCCGTTCGCGTTGTCGATCGCCAGCCCCCTTGGGTACGCGAGTTCCACGCGCAGTCTCTCGTCCTCGGAAACAGGCACCTGATCCAACACAAGCAAATTGACAGCCCTGCCTCCCACAGCACGCGTGTTATTCAACTCAATGGTGCGAACGTACACGGCGCTGTCCTCCTTGGTGAAGAGCCCGACGGAGGCCCGGCGCACGTCGGGCTTCGGGTACGTCACCTTGATGGCAGGGTCGACTCCCAAGCTAAGACTGAAGGACTCGCCGGAGCTGCACCGGGGCAAGGAAGTCTTGCCCATGAAGGTGCCGTCGAGGGTGAGGCTGGCGCTGCCCTTGAGCAGGGCCATCTTGCTGCTGTTCTTGAGCTTGGCCTTGAGGTAGGCCATGGGCTTGTACTTTGCGACGACGGTGTGGCTGAAGACGACGTTGGAGAAGGGGATGCGGGCGACGCGCTGCTTGGAGCCGTTGAACTTGGGCACGAGCGTCTTGAAGCCGGGCAGGTCATAAGTGGTCGTCAGGCCGGTCTCTTCCACTTGGGAGGCTTTGTAGTTGTCAAAGTTGAAGGGCTCCTCGCCTTGGTCGTTGAGGAAAGAGTCAAAGTCGAAGTCGTTGAGGACATTGTTTGACTGCAACGCCGCGTATCCACCGAGAGGCTGTGCCTGCTGCTGCATCTGTTGTTGCGCGTATGGGTTCACGGCACCAGGGGCGGCAGAGCCAAACAATCCTCCTCCAGAGGCTGCCGCTGCTATTGGTGCCGGCGGCGGCGGAGGCAGAGAGGGAGCACCGCCAAAGAGACCTCGCGGGGCTGCTGACCTCAGGGCCTCGGGCTGTGCCGCGGACGACCCTTTCGATCCCACCATCATCTTCCGATTGCGGTTTTGTTGATGGAGCACCATCGGAGCATGCATGTGGCTGCGGTTACTCGAATGTGACGTCTCCTCATTGCTGCGAGTGATGTCGGGCTGGTTTCCTAGAAACTGTGATGACTTGGCGAGCTTGATGCGCCAGGGGACGAGCGTCGGAATCGTGTCGTAGAGGCTGGAGAAAGTCGCCTGCGACGTCGAGAGGGTGACCTTGCAGCTCTTCCAGGACTCGCTGGTCTGGTTGGTGAGCATGGCGTCAAAGTAGAGCGTGGCCGAGGCGTTTGTAGTTGACAGCTGGAGGTCGTAGGCCGGCGTCCAGTACGCCGCAGATGTAACGTACGAGAAGGCCAAATCGACCTCGACAGGGCCGGCATCCTCGTCGCCTTCATCTTCAGCCACCGAGACCTTGACGGTGTCGACATCGCTAGACGTGGAGCCCCGACGAGAGGTCATGGGCGTAAAGGCTGCGACTTCGAGCGTGATGCGCACGCTGTATACTTCCAGGGGCCAGAATTGTTGCTGCTCGTCGCGCAGACGCTGCCTCTCTCTCTTGGCCTCACCCTTGAGCCGATCCTTGAGAGCCTTTTTCTTTTCTCTCTCCTTCTTTGCCTGCGCCTTAGCCTTGTTCTCTTTGGCATTCTTTTTGTCTTCCTCTCGCTGCAGCTTGTTGTACTTCTTTTCAGCCTTTTCCACCTCCTTGTTGAGTGACTTTTGAAGGTTGTTGCTGTCCGTCAGGTCCTGAAAGGCCTTTTTGCGCTCCTCCCTGTACTGCTCGAGGGTGGTCTGGATAGAGTCGCCGTTCTTGTTATTGTTGTTGATGCCAATGGCCTCCAAGAGATCTAGCCGTCTTTGTGCGTTGCCTGCGTTGTCGCGGGCGGCGGCTAATGCATCTCGAGACTCTTGAAGTAGACCTTGAGCAGACTTCAGTTCATGGCTTTCTGCCTTTGCCTCATCGTCGGAGAATTCTTCCTCATCTGAATCGGATTCGGACTCAGAGTCAGACTCTGGGTACACCTCGTGGAAGAGCTGGCGGTTAGTTACTGACTCTACCTCCAGGTTGGTAATGGTGGCGCTGCCATTGGTCTCGACTTTGATTGAATCTGAGTCGACGGTTTGACTGAGCCCAACAATGGTAACTTCGTTTGTGCCTCGCTGGAGTGAGTTGTTAGTTGATTGGAGCTAAGGATAGGTTGCTTGAACTAGCGGGATAGCTTACCTTGAGCTGAACGCCTTTAATCTCTCGATATACTTGTGCCCGAGAAGGAAAGAGGGTTACCGAGGGTGTGTTGAGATCGCTGGCCAGATATTCAATCTTGTGGACGGATTCCAGTTCACTGATGGCAGCTGAGGCACCCATTGTGTAATGCTCTTCACTCAGACGTATAGATGACACAATAACTTGGTTGAACTGAGCTATAAATTGAATGACTACACTGGATGCCTTGTAATAAAAAGGAGATGATGATTGATTAAAGAATTGGGGAAAATGAAAGAAGGATGTCTGAGTCTTTTTATAAGCCGAGTGAACACATACATGTACCTGCCAAGAAACCGTACGACTTAAACATTGAATGTAAGGCGTTTTCTTTGTCTACTTGGACGAAACAAGTTGGCTTCAACTCCGCTAACTTCCTAGATCAGTAGGCTGCAGCGCAGGCAGACGCGGGGCAGAAGCGTGTAATTGCATATCAGAGTCACACTGGCCTCATTTCTCTTTGTTTCGCCGCCGCCTGATTCGCCCGAGATTGCATATGCCACGTCGTCTTTGAATTCTAACTAACAAACATGACGCGATACTGGCATCTGGCTGTTTCAAGGTTGCCAATTATTGGCTCCCTCCTGGTCGCGGGGGGACTCAAGATGCGTCATGGCCGTGACTTTTAAAGTGGCTACCTGAGACTAAGGCAGCTCGAGGGATAGTCTTAATTTGTTGGCTGCCAATGAGGAGACGGCTACGGTTCCGCTTTGGTCTGGCCCGGCAACTAACTGAGCTGGAGTGGCTGAGCTCGAGTTGAAGATACTTGAGATGGATATTGGGTTACCCGGTTGATGAAACTGCTGGAGATGGTTTGTGTTGTAGCTACGTGGTTTTAGGAGATGCTGGCGTTGGGCTACACGTATACCAGCCTATAATTGAAGCCAGCTACTGGGAAATGGCGCTCTAGGCTACCAGAATTATTACAACGTAGGCAAGTAGGCACGAAATCGTGCTTGATCTATACAAAACAAGCTAGTGTATGCAGATATGCGTATTGCCAGGATGAGAGAATCCTCATGTTGAACTCAATGCTATACACTTTTCAGCAAAAGTTTGAAACCCGGGTAAAAACGAGGAGACCATCCTGAGCATCAAGGTAAGATGGAAAATTTAGAAGCGACTCGTGGGATTGTTGCGGATTTGTATTGGGTTGCTCCGGCACTGTATTTGGAGAATCCATGTGCATACAACGATACGTCTTTGCTTATGGAGAAAGAGAAGGCGAAGACAGCGAAGGCAGTGGATAATATTAAAAACTTTTAAAAAAAATTGACAAAGGGGTTTAGGGGTAACAGAGGAGGCTCTTAATAAGCTGCACAGACTGTGGAAGAACCTTGGCAAGGAGATGTGGGATTCGTTTACACCAACTTGTCGGTGAGTCCTTGTGCTCAGTCAGGGTCATAACGAGGCTATGGACTGTGTAGAGTGGATATCGTGATACGGATAATCCACTAAATTGCAATGATATGGTGAGCAGTGGAAGAGATTCTGTTATTGAATATTAAGAATGTCGTGAGGATGAGAATTGCATCAAGCAGCATTTGCCTCCAATCAATTTCTCCTCGTGCTGCTGCGCTACTGTGCAATCCCCAGCAAGGCCATGCATGGATGGAGCTCTGCATGCACAATTCAGGGCCCCCACCTGGTGTCAATCTTTCCGGATATACGCATAAACTCATCGACGCCCCGACACATTGCATACTGGCGGTACGGGATGATGCCAAACCCCCACTTTTAACCGTCCTCAGCTTCGTAGGGGTTAAATGGCCGTGTACGAGTAATAAAATGCAATAGTGCTATCATAGCCATAGCCTTACCAGCCACCTCCAATTTGGCGCTCACCAGGTCTATTCCAAGGAAGCCTTTCGCTCATCTCCAAAGCCGTGACTTGACTCTTGACGTCTTCTTCTTCCCTCTGCTCTGCTTTGCGTGACCATAGACAGACTGCCAGCCATGGACTCCCGCTCGCCCTTGAAGACGCTCGACCCCGAGCCCATTGATTCGCCCGTGTCCAGTAGAGCTTTCGGCATCACATCCTCAGGACCTCTGCCTATGCGACCGGCCATGGACCAGCAGCCCGATCACCCGAACGACATGGACCTGCCCAGGGCGACACCGGTTACACGCGCGGCCGAGTTCAAGGCCAGCGACTTCCCGCCAAAGCCCAACGAGTATCCCAAGGCCAGCGACTACCCCAAGGACAATGGCTATCCCAAGCCTCACGAGTTCCCCCCAAGGCCGTATGAGTACCCGGTCAGGCCGATGCAACAGCTGCAGTCCCCATACAAGCCCACGACGCCCCAGCTCGAGCTGGCGGACGTCAAGTCCAACTGCCAGCGCAATCTCAGCCACCTCATCTACCTCCAGAACCAGCGGCGCGCATTTGGCTACTCATCGCAGGCCGTGGATCTGGAGTGGCAGATCCGAAGCCAGACCGGCCTCTTGATCGGCGAGCTGCGGACGCTTCAGGATGAGGTCCGCAGGCTGGTCAAGAACGCCAAGAATCACCGATGGCGACGATGGCTGTTTGGTGGATTCATGTAAGATTCGCGCCTCTCTCCCTCCTTTTGCGAACCTCTTGCTAAGTTGACATCTCCAGCGCGTCGTTTATTCCTCTTGTGCGCAAGCTGTTCCGCCGAGGCACAGACGTAGAGTCGCGAGCTTCTTCTAACAACACCGAGTACGCATTCCGCAAGTCAAAGGGTCTCCTCGCACGGATCAAGGACTCGGTTCTCGGCCATCATCGCCTTGCTAGCATCGCATTCTTTGTCTTTTCCGTCATGTATGTGTTCCAGAACGAGGTGACTTTGCGCGTGGCCAAGACGATGCAGAAGCGCCTCAAGAAACTCTCACAGCGACTCGAATACGGCAACCAGGAAATCGACGAAAAGGATCTGAAGCTTCTGGACGGATGGAGGTGGAGAGTGATTCTGTGGTGAAACGAGCTTGCAGGGAGCTTGCATAGAGTTTGGCCGTTTTTCTACTAATGGGGGCTTTGGAATGGTGAATTGGCTGCGAGAATGATGATGACGATACATATCCTACTAAAGGTGCATGATTGTAACGAAGCTTGTGCACAAACCGCAACCCAGCGTTGGGTTGCTCTTGATATATTTCCTTAGTTCTACATACCACGTCGATAGCCTGAGCATGATTTTAATTTCATCATAATTTCTTTTTAAAAAGTTGTCCTTGTACTGCGGATGAAGAATCGCGTCTGATTGAGCTTGGACTTTTACGCCGACAGAAGCCATGGAAGATGCTCTAGGCCGCACTCAGCACGCCAAAGCTGGGACGGGATCCCATAGGCCACTGGCCAAGGAGTCCAAAGATGCATACTTTCGCAATTTGTACACAAAAGCACCCGATTTCAAGGCGATTGCTCTCCTAGATCCAGATTTTGCTGCCGTGTTTGTCTTTTCTCCCTTTCCTTGACCTATCTCATACCTATGTATCTTGGATAGTCAAGCTAATGTGAGAAACAGCATCAAGGGACGCGACCTAAACTTCAACGATCCCAAAGCTGTTATGCAGCTGACCAAGACGCTGCTCAAGGTGGATTTTGATCTCAGTATTGAGCTGCCAGAAGATCGGCTGTGTCCTCCAGTGAGTTGGGCCATGGTTTTACTTTCCGTTGCAGACGAGACCAGACCCTAACATATGAGGCTAGGTCGCGAATAGACACAACTACATACTGTGGCTGAAGGATCTGTTGGACACGACATCATATGATGAGCCTGGCAGGAAAGTCGTTGGACTCGATATCGGCACCGGCGCAAGCTGCATATACCCGTTGCTTGGATGTGCCCAACGCGCGTGGTCATTTATCGCAACTGGTGCGTTCTCCTGTTGCTGTTTGCATAGCCCAATTAAAGTCTCTGCAGAAGATACTGACACATTGTTTTATAAAAAGATATCGACCAAAAAAGCTTGGAGTGGGCAAAGAAGAATGTCAAGCTCAATGACTTTGACAGTCGAATCCAGGTTATTGGCCGCAAACCCGACGATGCCCTCATTCCGCTGGATCACCTCAAAAAGGATTCCATTGACTTCACCATGACGAATCCACCCTTTTACGAATCCGAGGAAGCAATGGTAAAGAGCGCACAGGAGAAATCTCGCCCGCCATTTACAGCTTGCACTGGTGCGAAAGTAGAGATGGTGACGCAAGGCGGCGAGGTCGGCTTCATCAACCGTATCTTCGAAGAATCTCTCGTTTTGCGTGAACGCGTCCAGTGGTACACCGCCATGGTGGGATTCCTATCGAGTCTCACGCACATTGTGGATAAGCTGCGGGAGCACAAGATAGACAACTACGCCATCACTGAGTTTCAACAGGGCAACAAGACGAGACGGTGGGCGATTGCGTGGAGCTTCCAGCCCTTGCGGCCTGCGCAAAGCGTTGCGAGAGGAACCAAAGCTGCCTTGTCGAGGAATATTCTACCAGCTATCACGGAAGTTGTTGCATACAAGATGCCGCTAAAAGGGAGCGTGGGCAGCTTTGCTGAGAATCTGAGCGGTGCCATTGCAGCGCTGGATCTCATATCGTGGAACTGGGATAGGGAGAAGCTCGAAGGGATTGGAAGAGCGGTGGACAAAGTATGGGGACGGCCATACCGGCGACGGAAGAAGCGAGAGATGGAGATGGAGGCGAATGGTGAAGAGAAAGCAGTCAAACCCATGGCTGAGGAGCAGATTTGCATGTTTGGCTTCAAAGTTGCCGTGAGAGTCGGGAGAATGGATATCTCTGTTGAAGCGCGGTGGTTGGAAGGGCATGATGAAAAGGCCTTGGAGAGTTTTCAAGGATTTTTGAAGTCGGCGTCGGAGAAGGCTGAGGAGGATGCGAAGAAGGGGGCCTAGGAGATGGCTGATGCTTTACTCTCTCAGAGGGGCTCTATTCTTCTAAGTTTGACGATGCTGTCTTGTCTAATAACATCGACTCTAATTGACAATTGCTTTATAAATCTTCACCACATTGCACAAACTCTCACGGCAAATGCTTATCATAACCCGCCTTGATCAGCCTCTGCCCAGCCTCCCACACATCGTCAGGAATCTCCTGCTCAATCTGAAACCCACGCGCCGGATACTCCCTAATGCGAATCAAATCCCCCACCATAATACTTGTGACAAGATCCCTCGGATTATTCACATCAGGGTACTCATCAAAGCTCAGCGGCGGCGAAGACACAGCAAACATCGTCCCCTCCTCAGGCCACTGCTTCCGAAACGTCGCGTACGTCCTCCTCTCCATGTACGGCTTCTGCACTAAAACAAGACTCTTGAACTCGAACCCTTTTTCCCGGAGCAGGGCGTGCGTGAAGCGGACGTTTTCGCCCGTGTTGCGCGCCTTGGGCTCGACGATGATGCGGTCTTCGGGGACGCCCATCTCGCGGGCGATGGCGGCGAAGACGACGGCCTCGGGCTCCGTGAAGAGGCCCTTTGTGAGGGCGCCTGAGTCGCCGGAGAAGATGAGGTAGGGGGCGAAGCCGTCGAGGTAGAGCTGGGCTGCGTGGGCGGCGATGCGGGTGTCGAGGCTGCAGAGGCAGAAGATTGCGTCTGCGAGGAGGAGGGGCATGTTCATGCGGTGGTAGTTGTAGACGAGGGTGGCGTCTTTGTGGGTTTGGTCGCCGTCAGCAGTCATTGTGAATGAAATGTATTGATTTGTTTTTTGTGTGTGAGTGAGGATGAGTGAGTGAGTGTTGAGTGTAAGTGAGGACTGTGAGAGACTTATATGTAAGATGAGAGGCGGGATATCGAGGCTTCAGCCGCTATACGAGAGTGGGGGGCTGTGTTAGCACGCCCTTTGATGTTGTGAAGCCGTTGACGGAGTATCCTAAAAGGGAACTATGTTCGAGATGTATCAAGCGGTCGAGCTGTTATTGTAATGGCTTCATTTTTCTGTGTATGAGGCTGCTGGCCAATGTCTGAAGGCGAAGAGATGCTTGTGACGGAGTATTGGTTGGTGGGGGGAGCTTCGTACACATGTGATGATTCCCAGCTGTGAGCTTCATCTGGCAGCCAAGCGAGAGGGCATCAATTTTTATGCCTAGTGACATACTTTGAATTATTTACACGCTAATAATTATAATCTCAGTGTATAATTTGTTCATATCAATTGATATACGAATACTCAGATGGAGCCAGATAGCTGCATCTTTACATAACATGTCCTCGCTCATTTAGCCGATCGACACACAAGCTTCCCCATCTCATCAACACCACCCACAATAATTCACATCTCGCCACACAGCACTCACACCAAAACATCATATCCATTGAAATCGAAAAAAAAAAAAAAACATGGCTTCCTCGCACGCCTCCGACCGCGATGCCCTCACCAAGCGCGTCCTCCCCGAAATGACCCTCGCCCAAGGCCGCTCCCCCGCCGCCGAAGCCCGCATCGACTCTCTCCACCCCGCCGCCCGCGACTCCGCAGCCGGCCGCTTCAGCATCGCCGGCAACGCCGTCATCACGGGCGGCACCGGCGCCATCGCCATGGTCGTGGCCAGAGCGGTGCTTCAGCACGGGGCGTCGGGTCTGATGCTGATTGATCTCAATGTTGAGACGTCGCGGGATGCGATTCGGGAGCTGCGGGACGAGTTTCCCGATGTTAAGATCGAGACTCGTGAGGTTGATGTCACTGATGAAGAAGCTGTGACAAAGGCCATTGATGAGACAGTCACGACGCTGGGCTCAGTCGATATGCTAGTCTGTCTTGCAGGCATCGTGGGATGCGCACACGCTCTGGACATGCCCATCTCTCAATGGCGAAGAGTCCTCGACGTCAACACCACAGGAGCATTCATCTGCGCCAGAGCAGCAGCACGAGCAATGGTCTCACAAGGCAACGGAGGCAGAATCATCCTAACAGCATCGATATCCGCTCACAGAGTGAACTTCCCACAGCCGCAAGTCGCTTACAACGTTAGCAAGGGGGCATTACTCATGCTCAAGAGCTCGCTGGCGGCGGAGTGGGCGAGATACGGCATCACGGTGAACAGCATCAGTCCGGGATACATGGATACGGTGCTGAACGAGGGAGAGGGACTGGCTGCTGCACGAAAGGTTTGGAATGAGAGGAATCCGGCTGGGAGGATGGGGTTGCCGGAGGAGCTGGCTGGGGTGGTGGTGATGATGTTGAGTAGGGCTGGGTCTTATATGAATGGGGCGGATGTTGTTGTTGATGGGGGAGGACATGTGTTTTGAGCGGTTGATGCCTTTATCGTATATATGGATTATCACTTCCAGGTTGTGATATTTTGCATCTTTGAGATGTCCAAGTTTACAATATAGACGATGCATCTATGGCGCAATACACCAGTGTGCAAGTCACAGCCGAGCAACACCACCAAGGAATGCAAAACAACAACCACAAACCTTTGAAAACGGCTTATCTGAAACCCCATGACTACCCAAATCAATAAATCATCTATCAAACCATGTCTCTCATCTCTACTCATCCAAATTCCTCCGTCTAAGCGAAATCCCACCAACACCGGTCCAGGCCACCACCACGTGGGCTCCCTTGTGGCGCCTAGGCTAAGGCCAAGCCCGCCTCTATTTTTTCTCTCACCACCTTGTCTAGACAACTAAATTGCCCGTTTAAACGTTTGATTCATGCATGCAGGACCCTTGTTACGCGAGATGCAACTCACTTCCGGGCTCTTAAATCGTGCGTTAGACTGTAATGTGTAAGTAGGGTCTAATCTTCACTCCGGAGATAGCATCTACTACTTGATCCGCGTAATCCTCCTACTGTTCAACCTCGATGGAACACCTGCTGCAGATACCTTCATCTATTGGAAAGCCATTCTTCACAAAATGCACATTATTCAGTCAAACATGAATATTATTTGATTAACAATAATACCCTTTGCCACCAGCATCTCTCCATCCCGCCCATCCATCTCACAAAGCCTCAAAGCCCGCTTCATCCACCCAACGAATCACCTCCCCCACGTGGGCTTCACAAACCTCACCGAGATGCTTGCTCCATTGAGGGGTTTAATCGACCGTTGCACCAACTCCACGCTTCCGTATTACCTTTTTCTCTCGCATGCCCAATTTGCAGCGAGTAACGCGCCGGAAAGAGAAAATGTGCGGGCTAGGCGTGTCTCGCTTCGGCTGCCGTGCATTCTTGGTCGCGAGAAATCGGACCTGGGGGAACCGGCATCTGCTTCAGCGACGGGATATGGTTGGCTCCAAAGGGCGGATCGGCGTTGGAGGGGTCTCAGACCACCCTTGGACAGACCGGGAAGGCAATTTAATCTATCTCTCAACTTGGGCTGCAAATAGAATAATGGTGGTGTCCCAAGCCGGCAATCTTGGGCTCCCGTAGTGGTGGTGGCCCCTTGATATAAACAACACCATCACCAGGCTGTCTCCCCGTCCAACTGCTTGCTCGGGCCATGGGCACTGTAGCATCCAAATCTCCCCCTTTTCGCTCGTGAATCGCATCTCATCTCATCTCATCTTAACATGGACAAAGTCACCCTATTGACGGCATCTCGGCTCGAGCCCACCGTGGCCATCCGGCCCCACTCGACGGTCGTTGCCCGCCTTGGCAGAACCCTCGCGATTCCCCTTCAATTACATCATCGTTTCAAGCACATTTCCTCATTCATCTGCCTGCAATCGTACTTTATCTCCTCCATTCTCCTCATCAGCACGCGACATGCTTTCTTCTACGCATTTCTCGCCTCCGCCTTTCTTCTCAAACACGCATTCGCCATGTCCACCAAAGCAATTGTCGACGCCTGGGACTCCAAGAGCATCCAGAAAATCCGCGCCCGCATCTTTTACGAATTTGCAGTCTTTATCCTCGGCTGTGGAAACGCCATCTTCCTCATCCTCTTCTGGCCTGGCTGGCTGCTCATCGGCGGTGCCTTGTTTGCCCTGTGGCAATTAACTGGCTGATTGATTCGATTCATCGATTGGCCATATTTCTGAAATATCCAATCAAGAAAACAACAACTCCCACCTACATGATCCAGCTGCATGGATCGGCGACACGCCGAACAGTTATTGGGCCGATTCTTGGTTGCTCGATTCTTCCATTCGAGCTCCATACACGCGCTCAACCTCTTCATTTTGAAAAGAAAAACGTATTTCCACCAGTGTCTTTCCGAATCTGCGCCGAATAGTCCATCTCCGGATCAAACTCTTGCCAAGTGCTGGCTGGGTATATATGCTTATGCCTTTCATACCACCTACGATCCACCACTTTTGTCAAAGTCGGGTCCTCGTTGAACCCTTCCAGCGTTGAGACATCTGGCTGTCGCGCCTTAGCCGCTGCCGCCTTCTCAGCCGCAGTCACCAAAATACCAGTGGAAGGATCCGGGTCGAAGTCGGTCGAAGTTGTGCGAATCGGCGCTTCGGCGCTGTAATCGAAGATGGGCTTGCCACCGGGGCCAAGGCTCTTGTTGACGACGAAATAATAAAAGTCGTAATGCTGCATAAGAATTAGCGTCTCTGCATAGAAAGCGATAGAAAGCGATAGAAACATCCAGAGCGATAGATAGACGAATGCATGAATAGACAAGACTTACATGAGGAATTATGACAGTCCCTCTTACCAACATCAAATCGTCCACGCCAACCCTAGCCCATGCTCTCTGTGCATTTGCCTGCTCTCCAACTCCAAGCTCCGCACCAACCTTGCGGCTCTTGTCCAAAAAGACCCATATGAAGTCGCCCTTCTTCATGCGGACTGTCCCGCCGGGGATGTTGGCGCCATCGTAAAACACAAACGGTATCGCAATCTCGGTTGCCTTGATGGATTCTTGTAGAGCAACAAACTCGCGTCGCAGGGCCTCTCTCTCGGCAGCTTCCTTGCGCAGCGCCGCCTTTGTCACTGCTTTGGGGGCCAAGCCAACCGCAGCATTCGCCTTGAACTTGGCTTTTTTCTCGCCTAAAGCACCGTCTTTATCGCTTGAAGGCTCAGAAGCGGCGCTCGCGCTCACGTTTTCGGATTCGCCAGCGTCATAGTCGTCGTCGTCGCCAAAGGACAGAAGCTTCTTGCCTGGGTTCTTCGTCTTCTTCTTCAGCTTCTTCTTCAGCGGCCCCGGGCCAGCGCTGCCGGCGGAATCACTGCCAGCGTTGTCAGGAGTGCCTGTCAGCGAGCGGTCCGGTTTTGACGTGCCTGAGAGCGCGGCCTCGCGGGCTTCGCGCTCCTGCTGCTCGCGGACTTCTGCGCGCCGCTTGCGAAAGTCTGAGAGGGCGACGAGGCCGACGGTGTTTGTCGACAGTCGCTCGTTTGTTGTTTTGTTTTGAGGCGTAAAACGCGAAGCCTGTTGGTTTGACATGGCGGCAATGCCGATGCTGGGATCGAGCAGTTTGTGATGAGAGAGGATGATTTTGGAGCTGTCTGCGATCTGCTATCCGCCTACAGTCCGATAGTGGATATAGTGTGAGCGACTTGTTTTGACACTGTAAAAGCTTCCAGCTTCTTGATACCCTAGACTTGACCAAAGAAATTGTAAGAGAAAAGATTCAATCAAGGGTTCTATTTTCAATTTTGCATTCATTAAAAGCTTAAAAGAATCGCGTTCATAAACCCTCTTTGACTATCTATTAAGGAAGTCTAGTGCCCTTCCTCGTTGCCTGTCCCACCAACGAATTTGTTGTGTCATCCGCATACCTTTTGTAAACATCAATGTATTTCTCACTCTCGCTCCAAGTATTCTTCACGCTTTCATGATTCTCAACAGCACTCATCCATGAGCTCCATCTTGTCCACTCGTTATTGTCGCCTCCTTCTTGTGGTAGCTGGAGACCACCCGGCTTATAGTAATCAAGCAGCCATAACCGTTTCGCCCATGGAATCAAGCTAATGTCCACCAAGCTGATACTCTGTCCCAAAAACCAAGGACCTTGGGCATCCATCTCCGCCACAAGAGTCTTGATGTGACCATGAAGCTCTTCTCGTGCTTGATCAATAGTGAAGTCTTTATCCGGAGTGTGCTGCAGGAACTTGTAGAAAGCGGGAATGATTCTTGTGCTGATGTGGTCCATCCATAGTCGCGCCCTGGCTTTTTGGTATGGGTCCGATGGCAACAGGCGAGGACCGTACTTAGACTCATCTGAATATGCATCTTCAAGATACTCAATGATGATAGAACTCTCAAAGAGTGGCTTCTGCTCCGTTCCGGCTGCATCGACGGGCACAGCGAGAGTGGGCACTAGGCCGCGGGGATTCAGTTTGAGAAACTCTGGTTCTTTCTTGTATGGATTGATCTCCACGTATTGATGGGGAATCTTTTTCTCTTCCAAGGTGATCCAGGCTCTTTGAACAAAGGGACAGAACCATCCTCCATATAGCTTGAGGGGTTGTTCGTCTGCATGGCGAGCTGCTAGCTGAGCAGCGGCGCCACTTGGTGCTGAGTGAATGGAAGTGTCGACACTGGGCATTTTCTTTCACTTCTTCTCGATTGATCCTGGCGAAAAAATGAGAGTGTTTGAGAGGGGGATTTTTGTTGAAATTGACAAGAAACAGGACGATTGAGCCGAGATACCAACTACGCATATTCTTCCAAGATCCAATGACGTTATCCGCTCGCGCCCCGCGTGACGATCCCACCACCTCAGTGATGTATGCAACCAACTTGTGATATTCGAGGGGTAATTAATATTCGTGCACATATTATGGCACCCATGTATTCTAGTGAGGCAAATATCTTGTGCAACATTGAGATACACCTTGAATCTCATCGCCAGGACCCCAATCTAGGTGTAAGCCGAGTACAATCGGAGACGCCTACTTGAAAGCGTCGTATTTCTCAACTTTCTGTAAGGCTATAAGGGCGTGTCCCTTGTAAACATAGACAAAGGGTCTTATCGGACTCCAAAAACTGGTCTCAGTTTACCTAAGATACCTCGAGATATGGCTAGGCACCCGTTCTACTGATAAAATGAGGCTGTTTACCTGTCACACGCAGCGGGCTGAATTTCTCTGGCTAGATTAAGCAAGGGGGATGCAATCCTCGAGTTTGAGCACTGACAACTATCGGCAAGTTGCAGAATCCTTTGCAAAGTATTTTCAATGACCGGGCCAGTAACTGTCCAATGAACCGAGCCATACCTGAGGTAGAAGCGGGGCGACTGCAGTGAATTACATTTTCCATATGGTGATAGTTACACGTACTGTCAGAGAAGGATGAGTGACTTCTATCACACTCACCGACTCTAGCTCACGAGACAATAGATGCCGATATGACATTAGAGTAGCTTGATGCATGATTGGTGTGCCCGTCATGCACAGCCCAGCGAATGAAAGTTGCTATCCGAAATTGAGTCAAGAGACATTGTCGGCCTCCCGCTTAAAGGTCTAACAACTCATCCCTTGAGGGAATGCTATCAAATGCTGGGGTATTTATGTGATCTGCTGCCAAATTTTCTCGCTTTATCTCTTCTTTCGATACCGTCTCGGAGACATGACCTTTCTGAGTCTGCCTTACCACCTTCTTACGTTTCGGCATTCATCATACAGGACACTTTTTAGTTACGCCCCTAGAAGGCATTGGATGGTGTCTTCATCCTCCATTCCTAGCAATACGTTTTCTTCTTCTTCAAAACAGACAGGTGCTATGGACTCAAACTTAGTAGCTCATCTTTCTCTCTTGTCATTGGATAACAGCAAAGAAGATGCGGAAGAACTCGCTGCAACGCCCATTTTTACACAGGCTGTTCACGAATATGGATCGTCTTTAAAAACAGCAACGAGAAAGCCGTTTGCTCAATACGGACTTCTTGCTGGAATTATTGAGAATACATCTGCAGCTCAAAACGGCCCTGCATTTGATCCAAAGGATCCAAGGCTGTTCTTTAACACATCAACTCCATCAAGCGTCTTCATTTGCGGCAGTCAGGGCTCCGGAAAAAGCCACACCTTGAGCTGCATTTTGGAGAATTGTTTAATGCAGTCCAAAGCCAGTGTCTTGCATCGTCCATTAACAGGTATCGTATTTCATTACGATCCTTGGGTATCTGCTTCTAGGGGCTCGCCCTGTGAGGCCGCCTATCTTGCCTCAGCCCAGAAGATCTCGGTCAGAGTCCTCTGCCCGCCGACCAACGTGAAACAGATTGAGGTGCGTCAAGATGAACGACTTAAGATCAAAAGGCTTATACTGTTAACACTTTTCTAGGGGATTTATTCTAAACTTCCAAATGTCCGGGTCGAGACTCTTCGAATCAACCAATCGGATCTGAATACAAAGAGGATGATGGACTTAATGGCCATTAGTTCCGTACAGGGTGGCATGCCACTATATATGCATGTAGTTCAGCGTATTCTGAAAGACTTGCGAATCGAGCAACAAGAGAAAGAAACAACTTTCAATTACCGCGACTTCAAGCAGCGTTTGTTGGATGCCGCTCTGACGCCTGCCCAGCTCCAGCCTCTCCAGCAACGCCTTGAAACTCTGGAGAGCTTCATGGTAAAGGAGCAAGTTGTCCATATCTCCAAGAAGAAAGCAATTCAGAGCCAAGGTAAAGCGAATAGTTGGGAGCCCAAAGTGAGTTATCTTACCCTCAAACAAATCTTGGTTTGTCAATGCTAAACAAATGGAAATTTTATGTAGACCGGTCAGCTCACCATTATCGACTTATCATGCCCTTGCGTGACAGAAGAGACGGCGTGTTCTCTGTTTAACATATGTCTCAGTCTCTTCTTGGAGCAGAGTCCTCAAGTCGGTCGTGTGGTTGCGTTGGACGAAGCTCATAAGTTTATGACGGACACAGCTGAGTGTCAAGTGCTGACGGAGTCGCTTTTATCCAATATTCGTTTGCAACGTCATTTGGGACTTCGAGTTATCATATCGACTCAGGAGCCTACCATATCGCCCAAACTATTGGATCTATGTTCTGTGACTATCGTGCATCGATTCACTTCGCCAGACTGGCTCCAGAGCTTGAAGAAACACCTAGCAGGCGCATCTCTTTCACTACTGTCCAAAGGTCAACACACCCCAAATGGGCTGCCTAATGGCGATGACAAGATCAACGGCGTTAGAAGCGTCCGTGAGAATCCCAGTGATGTTGCAGCAGAGCTCTTCGGCAAGATTGTTGCTTTGCGACGCGGAGAAGCTCTCCTGTTCTGCCCATCGGGCATAGTTGGCGTGCGCACGACAGCCATTAAAACAGAAAACGGGTCTCCTGCAAAGAAAACAAGTCCACAGCTCATCAAACTGTCTTATGGACACCTAAAGATTCGGGTCCGGGAGAGAATCACTCAGGATGGCGGGCGGAGCATTCTTGCAGTATAAGTCTAGTGAGCTGAACCTTGTATGAAGCAGACGGTTAGTAATTGACTGCGTCTCTATAGAGAGGGTAGAAAAGGGTAGGCACAAACATTGCAATTTCTCATGGAGGAATCTCTATCAGACGGATACTGAGATGGAGATTCAGGTTGAGAGCTACATTTGTATTTGATGAACTTTTGATCCATTCCATAGCAAAAAAAAATCCTATGCCCCTATCTTCGATTCATCATCTCATAAAATTAAAAACATATTCAAGGTATCACTAATCGCATCCCGCACAGTCTCAACCATATTGAGAATCAGGCATCAGCGCCGTCATATCGAAATTCAACAAGTTCTGTAACACCACATCATCCATCACCAAATTCATCTGGTACACCCCCATCGACTGCGTCCCATCCATATACTCTATCGGCGTCTCCACGGCAGACGCATTCGCCGTGCTATCGTCAACCACCCCCCTGAACTGACCGTGAGAGAACGACACGCTCTCCATCGAAGTCGGCGTAGACTGCTGCTTCATCGTTGAAGACTTGAGTCTCTTGTTTCGTGATGCTAGTCGCTGCATGTATGTCCGCGCGGCTTGCTCTCCGCCAAAGATGAAGCCTATGCCTGACACTAGGCTATCAGTATCTTGATCTGATGCTGAAGCTCCATTCCCCATGTCCACCAGGCTCAACATCTTGAGCAGAATTTCTCTCCCGCGACTAGCAACAGGAGACACACAGCCTTGATCTTCCATGATTAGAAGATCCTCTGCCATATCCCTGATCTGCTGCCGCACATTCAATATTGGCAGCGAGCCTTCAACCAAAAGCAGCGCCGTGACCGTCACAGCAACAGAAAAGATCTGATACGCCTGAGGGAGAAACTTTTGCAGCGATGTAATCGATCTGTTGGTCCGAATAGTTCTATACACCGCCAATGCGTCCTCCGCTGCCTCGATGCATTTCGCCCAAGAGTCTCCGAGGCGGGGAGACAGAAACGGGCGATACATTCGGATGCGATGCGTGCTGATGCATGTGCGGATGATGTGATTCTGCCAAGTGAGTATTTCTCCAAGGGGCTGTGGTAATGGAGGTGGCCGACCATCTTGGTCTAGCTGAAAGAACCAGGGGTAAGTTCTGGTGATTTGGAGAACTTCATCGTCCAACTTGCAGATGGCATCATAGGATTTGGTATCGTCGGCGTTGCTATTGCAGAGATGGTGGTTCATTAGCTTGAAGAACCGTGCTCTGAAGATGTTGAGCATCATAATAGTAGGTTTGTCATGGGAACGTGGCTGTAAGAATGAGTCGGTTATGTCACTGTCGTTGCAGTTGAGTGGGAAAGGGACCCCTGGAGACTCTAAGCGGATGAGCGGAGGGCGATCTAAGCAGATGGATTGGAATCTTTTTGGTGAAAGACGGTTAGCTTAAGTTTTACTTGGAAATTCATGCGTGATGATATTGAGAGACCTACGTATCCGAATCAATGAGATCCCACCAAATGCGATGCCTCATTTCATCATGCAGTGTTTGAGAGGGGGTCAAGTCTTTGTCCAGTCCCAGATTCTGAGCAGTCCGCACAGCTTGGCCCAGTCGTCTATACAGTTGAGTTAGCGAATAAATAAATGCATCTTGATATACCATCATGCTGACGACTTACGAATTCAGTGCATCAATCCCATTAGTGGCGTACCAGTAAAACTGCGTAATAGAAAACGTCTGAAGCTGCACAATACACGGCTTCGACTCAAAGTCTCCAGCTACCAACGCCTGATGAGAGGCCCTATGCCACACATGCGCAAGGTCTCGCACAGACTCCTTAGGACAACCGAATATTTCCACCGTTGCCGGCGGAATGTACAGGGCGCTGACGGAGATGATGGTGAAAACGAGGGCTGTAAAGATAAAGTCCAGCTCGTGGTCATCTCCGGCATCCCAAAACTCTTCGTACTCGCGACGGAATGATGGAACGTGTGTGATCTGGAAGATCCAGTTGATGTGATCGATGTAATAGTTGAGCAGTAGGTCGCACATGGACCGTGAGGGCAGGGCAGACCGCAGCTGCGTCTCCCAATATCGTCTTCTGGTTGCCCCCTCCATCATGTGCCACAAGATAGAAGGTTGGCCAGCAGTCTGAATCTCAGCCAGAAGCTGTGAAAGCGAAGAAACAGGGATTGACGTAGTGTTGGCGTCTAAGCCGAGAGCCCGGAGAAAAAAGGCAGTGTCTTTGATATCAGCTCCGGGAGCTTTGAAACTATTCCGAAGGCGAACCAGGCCTACGTTCGTAGATCTGAGAACAATAGGATCTCGGGCTGGGACTTCCAAAGGCTCATCAATGGCCTCCGACTCTGCAAGATCAACATCCGCCAACTCCGATCCAGCATCGATATCGGTGTCCCGGACGGCTCCCTTGGCCCGGCCTCGCTTCGGAGGCGCCGGATTCTGGCGGCACTGAGCCTCCCGACGATAGCGGATGCAAGTGCCGCAGGGCACCTCGCGGTCGCATTTCAGCTTGTGCCGGCGACAGGCAAGGCAGCTCAGGGGCTTGCGGCCACCGCGCTGGGGTCTCTTTTGGCTGCTGTCGATGCCGGCCTGGTGTTGGTTGACCGGAGATTCGGACATGTGGGCTGTTCGGAGAAAGAAAAGTGAGCCCCGGTCGGACAATGTTCAGCGAAGGGCGCACAATCAAAGCAACAGAGAAACAAAAAAAGGAATAAAAAGTTTAAAAAGACATTCGAAGGATTTAAAGAAGAAGACTAAAATTAATAATTGAAGGCTAGAGAAACTAATTGAGGTTCTGGGTTAAGCTTTTGTTGGAAGGTTTTCAGCTGCTTGATCTAGTTTTGGCTGGTTTTGGACTCAAGAAGCGACAGATCAGAGTCATTCGCCGAGTCCCATTGGGGGGGAACCCCGAACAGACACACACAAACCGGCTATTCCTTTTTGATGGTTCTAATAATATGTACATGTTATCGTTGGAGAAGCAATAGACTCATTACACGTCGACAAATTAACTTCATGCATTTAATTAAACGGTTGGCTCAGTAGCCCCTCAAACTTAGCGACAACAGCTTCGGCAGCGCCCTGGTATGATTGCGCAACGGCCTCGTCTCGCTCTCTGCCCTTTTCGGGACCGATAGCGACTCGCTTTTCACCAAGAGCGCGAGCTCCCTTGACGAGGATTGATGTCCGTGGTTGACGCTTCTCTGCAAAGGGACGGAATATGGATTCCGAGAGATTGCTTCCCAGCTCTTCGAGGTTCCTCTTGTAATTTTCATCTTGGGCATCGGTGGAGAGGTTTGGCAGTGCGGTGCTCAGGTGGTAACAATCTTCCCTGTATTGTGAAGCCGGAACGATTAGAATACTCGTAGTAATGATATGGTGATTGCATTGTCACTTACATGGCCTGGTTCGCGCCCTGTCCGAGATGGGGACTCGTTGGATGGGCAGCATCTCCGACTAACACGCAGCGTCTCGAGTACCACTGCTCTGGCTTTAACTCGTCGCGGTCAAAGAGGCCGAATTTGATGATTCGCTCGGCAGTTTTCACTCCCTGGGCAATATTGACATCCCAACCATCAAGGAGTTTTAATAGGGCATCTCGTTGAGCCTCCATCTCATCCGCTGTGAAGGGGCGCCATGTCTCTTCTCTCTCTTGCGTCTCTCGTTGTGTGAGGGCCCATGACATGGTCTTGGGGCCAACTGGATATGCAATGACGTGGACTCCATCGCCGTACCAATTGCGCATCGCCGCCATGTCTCCAAGGGCCTCTGGCATTTCTGATAGGAAGGCCGTCTTTGTATTGATGTCTCTTGTTAGCCACTGTGTACCTCGACATCATCTTGATCAGCTTGTCATCGTACGAACCTGTGTGAGACCTGTGAATGAAGGAGCACCTTCTTCAACTCCCTTTTGCTTTTGTAGAACAGCTCTTGATGCAGACTTGATTCCGTCGCATCCGACGAGGAAAGATCCCGTCACGGATTCGCCATTGCTGAAAGTTGCCGTAACTGAATCTTTGTGCTCCTGAATATCGACCAGTCCCCATCCTTCTCTGACCTCAATGCCCTCTTCCAGTACTTTATTTTTCAGTAGTAGATTAAGAACGGTTCGTCTGATGCCAGTGGCAGGCTGTTGGTATTTCTCGGCAAATGTACTTGCCAAACTGGACTGGCCCAGGATTTCTCCTGATGCTTTGGCATCCCAGAGGGCTGTGAGTGGAAGAGACTCGGCCTTGATGGCGTCTGCAACCCCAATCAAGTTAAAGACTTTAAGCCTGAAATTCCAGAGATTAGTGTTTCTGCACCATGTTTCAGCATGTTGCTGCTGCTTGACAAAATACTAACCCGTTGGACATTACCATGAGCGATGCTCCGGCATTGCCCAGTTCCCGGACCTTTTCAAAGACAATCGGATGATAGCCTTTGCGCTTGAGCAGAATTGCAAGGACAGGCCCTGCAACACCGCAGCCAATGATGAGAACGGTAGGGGGAGCCATGATACTTGAATCAGTGGCTATGATAAAGTGTCAAGTGATACTGTCCAATGATAGGCGAGGATGTTTTCTTGCTTCAATCGAGCCATGCTGCATCACCTTTGATATCTGATCTATATATACAAAAGAGCAATCAATAACAATGTCCAAATGCCAAATGTTCAAAAATTTCTCGCCGACTGAGTCAGTCGGCGTGCCACTGCATATGAGATGTCCGGTGTTGTTGTTGAGGCATATCCGAAGAATTTGGCCGGAGAATGAGGTTCAACTCCGGTCGCCATAGACGTCATGCCACATTCGGGATGCCCGCGATGGATGGGAAAGTTACAATTGGATTGAGACCTTGAGATCGAGGATTTTCTGCATGTTCTTTTTCTTTTCGCCTTCCAGAAGGATTACCGAAATCATGTTCGAATTTTCAAGAATATGAGAAAAGAAATACGGTCATTCTATACCTGGTAGTCAAAAAAGCTCTGCGCTTGCTCCTTATAGTACATCAACACCAAAACACATCATTAGGAGATTCCCATTTTAACTGCCCAAACAAAAACAAAACAACCCCGTATCGCCGACACTTTCATTTTCATCATCGTCATGACCCCACGCTGAAGCCAAATGACCCGTCAAAGATGTCGAGCTTCTTCACGTCGTTATCCGGGCCGCGCAGCGATTTCAAGATGTCGATATCCGGAACCTTGTTCACCGGGTAGAACAGCAAAAGGTTGTCCATATCCTCTTCTGTGATTTCGCTCATCTCTTCCCACTTGTAGGTATCACTGACTTTTGACATCCTATACTTTTGTCAGCCTCCATTGCACAATTATTAGGAGACCCCTATAAAGGCGCGTCCGCACTTACCATCGCATTCGCTTCTGACTGTCTTCATGATTGGGAGCAACCTTGCGCAGCCGTGTCCGCAACTCTCCAATTGTCTCAATAGCATTCCCAACATTCTGCGGCAGTTGACTGGCAATGTGCCGCCGTAGTGATGCCGCCAGCCGCGGTCCCTTGCCGTTGGTGCTGACCATGACCTGTAGAGGCCCGTCACGATGGACGCTGCCAAAGTAAAAGTCGCACTCAGGGGGCACGTCCGCAATGTTGGCCGGGATTCTCTTTTCCTTGCACAGTTTCCATATCGCTGTAGAGGCTGCCGGGTCGTCGATGGCTACCAGCACCATGTCTGCTTTGTCTAGATCGGACGGCTCGAATAGGCGGTCGATGTGTGTCACCTGCTTCTCGGCAATTCGGAATGCGACCTCATCGTTGAGGCCTGACGCAGGGCAGACGACGGTGACTTGGGCATCGGCATTGAGGCAGTTGAGGATGCGGCCAGCCGCGACCTGCCGATGAGATCTTGTTAGACGGTTCACGGACTCTTGGACTCTGGATAAAGATAAGTAAGATCTTACCTCACCACCGCCTACCACCAGGACGTTCTTGTCCTTGACGCGGTAAGCCAGAATCAGGCTCCCTCCAGGCTGAACTTGCGGAAACGGTTTGCCCATTGTCGAATTATTGTACTCAAGCAAGGGTCTCGATCAATTGCAAGGGTTTGGATACGAATCTTCGGGTGCCCACGCGACACGGTTTTGGATTTCGGAGGCAAAGACAAGGTTTCAATGCAGTCTTGCAGCGGAATTTGGGGACGGGAGCGATTCGGAGCCCGATAAGGCGAGCCGATAAGCAGCCCCGGGGAGCCGACCCACTGCAAGCCCGTGCACTGGTGTGTCTGCTACTTACAGCACTTCACAGCGCGCTTGACGCTTCCCGCCCGCTGTAATGGCGTCCGCGCGTGCCCGGTTTAGCGCCCTTGCACGTCAAGCTGATCCCTGTAGCCAGCAGCCCAGTGCGCTAATCATCGAATCATTAGCGGGGGGCCACCTGCGGCAGCGACGTAATTACATTGGAAGCCAGGCCGCATATGCTCGTACATGCGTCCACAGCCCCCCTCAGCCTCTTAGCCTTGCCTTGCTCTCCAGCTATGCAGCTCCAGGCACGGATCGGCCTTGTCTGGTCGTCTCGTCGTTCCGGGTTGCCTCTGTGATTTCTGGCCTCTGTTGCTTCGTTTCGATTTATCTTGTTCGTCGCCTTAAACTGCTCAACACCACCAAACCGCCATGTCTGGACGCAGGCTCGGCGGCGGCAGGATCCTGGGTAGCGGCAAGGGCCTTGGCCCGACCCCTCCGGCTGTGCCTCGATCATCCAGTCCGTTTGCCCCGTCCGAGAGCACCGTTTCTATCGCCTCTTCTTCGATATCGCCGCCTGCTAGTGGGAGTTTGGCCGACTTGACTCAGGATATTGGCTCTAGCATCAGCGTGGGAGCACAACCAAAGGGCGGCGCAGCCGGTGCGTCGAGCCTTGTGTGTCCCATCTGCAGCGAGGAGATGGTATGATGCCGTGATGCTATGAGGGAGAGGAAACTCTTTATTGTGAACGTATTCTAATGCTGATGGTATATTCAAGGTCACGCTGCTCCAGCTCAACCGCCACATCGACGACACCCACCAAGAACTCCCTACCGAAGAACAAAATGAGGTCAAGACTTGGTTCGACAAGCAGGTCCTCAAAGCGAAGCGCTTCCAGCCGCTGTCCATCATCAACATGAAGCTGCGCGGCCTCGAAGTTTTCGAATCCAACGAATCCAATCCGATCACGCCGCCGCTTCCAACAGGAACAAGCTCTTCCAGCAAGCTGCCCATAGAGACGCCCATCGACCCAGAAGAATTCATAACCAGAAGTCATTGGCAACGCTCGACGGGGTATGATATGTGTACGGATCCTACTTGTGGAAAGGGGCTTGGCCCTATAAACGGAAACGTCAACTGTAGGAAATGCGGGCGACTCTTTTGCGAGCAGCACACCATGTATCAGATGAAGCTTAGTAGGAGTGCAAGCCATGAACCCGTTCGAGGTTACTGGGCACGGGTCTGCGAGACATGCTACAAGTCTAGGGAAGGATACAACGACCACACCGGGACTTCAGTCGATCATACGGACATGTTCAAGGCTGTCAGGCGGAACAAGGTTGAACGACATACGTTGGAGGTTTCACGGCTGGAGAAGCGATTAACCAAACTTACGAGACTACTTGCGAACTCACCCGAGGCACTTGCCAACCCATCAAACGGCTCACTGCTAGGTCCGGTCCAATCTTTGACTGGACAAAAGAACCCTCGGAAATTAATTGAACAGTCAGTTGTGACATGGGAGGAAGATGACAAGGTTCCGGAATGCCCCTTTTGCCGCCAGGAGTTCGGCTCCTGGACATTTAGGCGACATCACTGCCGAATATGTGGCCGCGTAGTGTGCGGAGACCCTCAAACTGGCTGCTCATCAGAAGTTAGTTTAAGCATCGCTGGACGTACGTACAATCTGGCCCTTTTGTGTTTTTCTTCCTGTGCGCTAGACTAACCTGACATACAGCAACCGGCCCCGGCGCGGAGAAGCCACCCTCTTCTGCCGGCAATGGCCATATGGCCGTGGATATCAGAATGTGCAAGGAATGTAATAGCACCATTTTCTCTAGTCGCGACTTTGCAGCGTCATTGGCGTATAGACCTCCGGATCAGCGAGCCTACGAAACGCTTCGCCAGTTTGAGCGTGGCATACGGCAACTTCTACCAAGTTTCCATCGGGCGCTTCAGGCTCTACAGCCAGAGGTCAGAGAGAATGGGGAAGTCGACCTCAATAAACCCCCGCCTACGCACGCGCAAATCCAAGAAGCCAGCAAGATACGGAAACGCCTAATAGATAGCTTCTCCAAGTACGGATCTGCCGCCAAGAGACTTCGCGACTTGAATACCGATAGCCCGACCCAACAGAGATTACAAGTCGCAGTTTATGCTTATGCAAGTTCATTTTTACACACCAATATGTTGCCGCTGAAAAACCTACCTCAAATGCTGCGCCACAGATCTACGCCTTCGACATCCTCATCACACTCACATTTCCTCCCTTCGACAAATCATTCGACGTCAAGCCTGCGGCATTCAGAACTTGCCGAATCCGAGAACGCTTCTCAGGCGCCCAGTGAGACAAGTACGGTGGTCAGCTTGTTGGAGACGGAAGAAAAAGACCTGAAAGAACGCCTCGCCGTGCTCGAAGAGCAAAAATTTATGGTTGAGGAAATGGTCAGATCGGCCCATGGCGCGAGGAGATTCGAAGAAGTCAGTGCGCTGTCTAGGAATTTGGACGAGCTTACTGGTGAGATTCAGGGGCTGAGGAAGAAGATTGGGGATGTGGAGAAGAAGTGGGAGGTGGCATATCGGAATGGTGCCTAGCTGGAAAATAGCCTTGCTTTTTGTTTTTATCAGGCTGTCGAGGCGAGCTTTATTAAGCTGAAGACGGTGGTTTTTGGGGTTTACTTGGCATTGTATGGCGTTTATGGCGGATTGGGAAGCTATTTGAGTGTTCGTTTCAAGGGGAATTAAGGCAAGTTGGGTTTATCTTTTGCTTCGAAGTCATGTTAGGGAGGGTGTTTTTTGAGGATCTTGATTAGAGCGATCATCTACGATATCTTTAGAGTACACGTCGAAGTAATATAGGTACCAGATATTAATCCATCACTCATTCTTGTCACATTACTGTTCACCATATTGAGCATCGTGTCGAATTTCAAGCAAAAGGAAATAGACTGTTTCTCCTTCAAAGTCCTCACATAAACATGCGTTCATTACATTACATGCAATAAAAATAAAAATAAAACTCGGGTTATACAATGAAAACAAGCTAAGGAATAAAACATCACCATCGTAGGACCTCGAAAACGTCCGAGAAGTGATATACATCCAAACGATGCCATAGCCTCAGGCGAAACCAAACCAAACACCACCTCCCCCAACCCAAGAGCCGGAAAATGCCACACGCATATATGAATATATGTAGGTATGTGAATATGAAAAAAAAAAAAAGAATAATGTAATATACCGCCACAAAAAAGGCCGAGAACCGTCCAGAAGAATGAAAATAGAGGCCAAAGTAATGTCCGATATGCTCCATGTCGGAAAATTATCCCACATATGCAGTATACAATATACAACGAATTCAACGATAAAACAAAAACTGAAAGCGCTACTGTTCAAAGACCAAAGCAAAAAACGTAAGGGGCAGAGGAACACGGAGATCCAAGGAGGTGAGCGCCATCACTAGTGCACTACGCCCTCGACTCCTCCAAGGAATCTCCTTACCCTTCCAATTTCCAGCTCGTCTTTCTCGCTTTCAACAGCCTTGAGGAGCCCGTCAACGACGGCATCCACTTCCGTCTCCGGGACGCCCGTGCACAGAGCAACAACACGACGATACTTAACTTCGACGTCGCGGCTCCTTCCCTTGAGGGCCATGACCATTTTGCGGGTAACTTCTCTGCGGCTCTCGATGGCGCGGATTCGTGCTCGTAGGATCGTCGCAGAAGGCAGCATTCCCTCACTAGCGAAGCCACCTGACGTTGACGCCTCGTCTGCAGCCTCTAGCATAGCGGCGAGTTCGGTTTCCCATGATGACGATGGGTTGGACTGAGCGGCGTTGGATTGCTCATTCATGATTCTGAATTGGTCGTCTTCTCGAGCATGGGTAAGGTTGGCGACCTTTTGGCGGGCTAGTTGCTGTTTCTTGAGGGTGGCAGTGATTTGCTCGACGCTTCGGCGGGCCTCTCCTAGTTGGGTGGAGGTTGTTCGGAGGGTAGAATGTAGGTTGTCCAGAGAAGCTTGTTTGCTTTTCATTTCCTGCTGGAAAGTGGCACCAGTTTTGTTTAGGAGATGAGTAATGGCTAAATGAAAGGTTAGTATGTGCAAGGTAAAGAACCATATTGATCGGGTAGGGGGGATATGAGTAAGGTTCAAAACTCACAATCAATAATCTCATCGCTGCTCTCACGACTCCGCTGGCTGGATCCCGGAGCGCCGTTCTTCTCAGCAGCGGCATCGCCGTTCAGTTTTCCTTCGGCATTTTCACCGCCAATACCAAAATCCAGGGGCCGTAGGCCAACTCGGTTAGCAATCTCTGGATCGGCTCCGACCTCGAGAAGCTGAGATATTATACTCCTGTTTCCAATCCGAGCTGCGATGTTGAGTGCTGTGTCCCCTGAGCTGTCCTGGGCGTTGACAATCTCGGACATGAATCGAGCAATGCCCATTTTGGGAATGGATTGTGAACCGTTGATACCGTTGCCATTCAACTGTGTTGCTTGGCTGTTGGGGACGCTGCCCTGTCGTACTACCCACTCCAGTAAACTCTCAAGATAGTATCGGCTGGCAGCGTTGCGGCCTTTGACCGCACTCGTCACTGCGATGTGGTGCAAAACGGTTCGTCCCTTGTGATCGCGAAACTCAATAGTACCTCCCAGAACCTCAAGAAGGTCTGGGAATGAGCCCTGGTCCATGGAGTTTGTAACAAGGCATGCCCGCATAAGGGCAGTCTCTCCCGATGCATTCACCCGTCGCGGCGAGGCTCCAGCCGTGATGAGAGCTCGCAAAAGAGGCATTCGTGCTAGTGTAGCCGCCCAGTGAAGGGCGGTGTGGCTTTGAGGATCGATGGGCATATCAAGCTCGAGAGGCGTAAATGTCTGAAGCATATCATGTGATAACTCCTCTGTAGCTGAGTCCATGAAGAGACCCATCAGCATGCTTCGCTTCATCTCTACATCAGGAGACATCTCATAGGGCAGCGGGGGTGACGGGCCCTTGCCTTCGTCGACGGCGTCGCGATCGTTGAGTGCGCTTTGCTGGGTATATACAAAGGACTCGTTCGGTTCCGTGGGCGACCCCGGAAAGGCGTTGGCATATACCTCCATGTTCTGCCCATAGGCCCCGAAGCTGTCGGCGGGAGTCATGGTGACTCGTGCACGTTTTCTAGGCGGCTCGTTGTCGGGCATGCTCACACTGCCATTTGGTTGTTGCTGTTGATGCTGAGACTGCTGTTGATGTTGTTGCTGCTGTTGCTGCTGCTGTTGTGTGGAGTAAGCAGAGTCGACGCCTTGGTTGGTATAGTCGGAGGTGTAACTTTGCTGCGAGTTGCCGGGGAAATCATCGCCATTTTGCATCGAAGGTTGGCGGCTAAAGCTGGGGGCTCTTGATGGGCCATTTCGACTTCGGGGTCCAGGGGAGCCAAAACGAGCTTTGCTGATAGCAGCAACTGCGTGTGAGGCCGTGCTGGAAATGTTCTTGAAAAAGGTGCCCGACAGACCATTGGGTCTTCCATCCCCTCCAGCATTGTACATGCGTTTCCTCTGTGCTGCCATGGCTTGTTCCTTGGTTGGGGTGTTGAAATCGCCTCGGCCTGCAACACCGCCATCCTGACCCATATCGTAGGTCAACAATGGTCGCAGCAGCTCTTCCACACCGTACTGGCGGCAGACTTCGACTCCTCGCTCGAATTTTATCCAGGTGCCTTGATATTTGCCGTAGCCTCCCTGCACCTTTTCGTGCTCGCCAATCTGAATCTCCTTCTCGAGGATCTTGGTGCGCTTTCCCTTGTCGACGCCGGCGACTTTGAGAATCTGCGTGGCATTCAGCCAGGAATCGTGGCGACGGCGCATGACGGCCACGTTATTTACTTCCATCTCGTACACATCGACACCCGAATACGACGCCTGTTTCACACAATGTCAGTCAATGGCTCCCCGACAGCTCGAAATGGCGGGGAGCAGGCCATCTCTCGCCCCGAAGCGCTGCGTCGGCATATGGCGGGAATGCATACCGAGTAGATTTGAGGCCCGTCGACGCCGCCATTGTAGCCGCGATTAAATGAGGCCGCACGCCCAGTTTGTGACTGCTGGCTCATTGTGAAGGACTGTTGCGACGATTGCGACGCGGATGGCATGGCGGAGTGTGAGTGTTGCCTTGCCTTGTCGAGGAAAGGTTGAGGTTGATACCGGTCAGCGGTTGTCGCACGAGATTGGACACGACAAATGGTGGCACTAGCGAGCTCTCCCAACCCAAAGTCTAATCCATATACTTGGCTCGAGAAAAAAGTTGATGCGCGCCGGATCCAAAGTTGCGTCGCCGCCTTTTGCTTGTTCTTTCTTCTGCTCGACGTTTACTTTGTCGCAAAGCTGTTGATCTGTCGGAGGGTTTGAGCGAGGCCGGTGTTGGAAGCGAAATGAGACCGCCGTGGGTTGCTGGCAGGGTAACAGGCAAGCACCAACACAAGCAGCAAATCTGCAGCAAAGATTGTGTGCAAGGTCAAGGTCAGTTCCGGTATGTAACTATTATTACTACTTCTGCCGAGAGGGGGTCGGCAATGTCTCCGCTTTGCAGAATTGCAACGAATGAAACAGCGGAATCACGGCTGCAGATTAACGATGCGCTTGTCTCGTGGTTGTGGAGGGAAAAGAAATCCCGAAGCGAGGACGCGAGTTGAGGTTTTGGTCTCAGAATCAGAACAAAGGGCTACAGGTGAAAGGTTCCGAAACCTTACAGGGCCTCCGTAAAGGTTAGGCTAGGTTGGATACTTTGCACGGATCACGCAGCAAGGAGAACAGAACACGAAAAAGGATCAAAAGCCGTGATGCAATGAAAATGATGTGTGGGGGCCTGAAAAGGAACAGACATAGAGAGGCATATGCATAAGGCTTTCCCCGTATGTACATCAGACCTGCACTGCAGGAAATATTGCCTGTGCGAGGTACGAGGTACGAGCACTAGCACGAGGTACTTGGCCTGGAAATGCCAATTTCGATGCGGTGCGCGTGTATTTGCATTGCAACCTCAAACTCAATTAATTGAATCGCCGGCGACGTGTCTGTTTCGTGATTTCGTGTCGTGCGTGTCGCGCCACGCGACAAAGCGACCCTTATTTTTGGACTTTAATTGCCAGTGAGATGGATCATGGTGGGGTTAAGTAACCCTGGGCTTGCTTCTGACTTGATGTGAGACTGTTCCATGTTTGTTTTGTTAAAGATGCTTTGAGTGGCGCCGTTTTGGAGGGCCATTCAACATTTTTGTTTACTCTCAACACTCGGTCTCTCTGCCAATCACGGCAAAGAGCTGTGCATTTGCAGTGTGCAGATGGGTGTTGACAGCTGACGAACCATATGTACAGCCGATACGACGGTATACAGTAGCCAAAGAGCGGGATGTCATCATCGGCTCTTACAATTGGGTGCCTTGTTCTTTTGTACCGAAGCTCTTCGTCATCTTGATCATACGTAAGATCCAGGTCCTCTTGATACGAGCACGGCATATTATACAGTAAGCTGCAATGGTTGCTTCAATCAATGGCCGACTACTTGTACCAAGACCTTGAATACTGTATCAAGTACCTTCATAGCAGATGCCTATGAGGGTTACATTTTGTCTGGTTTGCAGATACACATGAATGGAACAAGATTCTTCATGAAATGCCGCATCGTTGCGCAATAGCCCAACGAACCAACAAGGCTCGTTGGTTGCCCAATGGCTGATGCTATGTAAAAAGCGCATCTAAAGGCCCTCCCGCTAAATTGAGTGCAAACAAACGCTGAAGCGTTGTCGGAGCTGTCAAAGAGTCAATTGGCCGCTTCACGTGATGATACGGCCTCTTTTGCCCCGCCATTTTACTTTTGCTACCCCACCATCGCTGCGATTGTGACTCAAGAAGGCCGATTGTATCTACTAGATATTAACCTCTTTTGCCTTGCAAAGTCTGTATTTCATTCAATTCATTTTTGTTTTACATCATATATACAGCACGAACATCAATTCGCGCCCAAGATGCCTACCGTCATCCACCGAGAGCTGATACCAAGCCATTCGAGCGTCGCTCGCCTTGTACGTTGCGCTAACCTTGCGTCGCATCACATGTCTGACAGTTGGAATAGTGTCGCCCAAGACTGCCAAGGCTCTCCTCGACGCTGGCTACATCGTTCGCGTCGAGCGATCGGCGGAACGTATCTACAACGATGAAGAATTCGCAGAAGTTGGCGCTGAATTAGTGCCTGCTGGATCGTGGGTCAAGGCCCCCAAGGAAGACATCATTTTTGGCCTCAAGGAACTTCCCGAGGACGACATCGACCTCCCCCATTCATACATCCACTTCCAGCACATCTTCAAGAAGCAGACTGGATGGGTCCCTTCACTTTACCGCTTTTCACGAGCTGGCGGTACCCTCTACGATTTGGAGTTTTTAACGGATGAAAACAACCGGAGAATCGCGATTCGGATTTTTCGCAGGTTATGCTGGTGCGGCCGTGGCCTTCATCTCATGGGCTCACCAAGTCCTCCACCCTGGCGTCACACAAGGTGAAGTGCCTCTTTTCGAGAATACTCCTGCTCTGGTTTCACACGTTAAGTCTGTGCTTGAGCCGGCTATTGCTGCCAACAACGGCCAAGCTCCCCGTATTATCATTATCGGAGCTTTAGGACGCTGCGGCAGTGGAGCTGTTCAGTTTTGCCGTGAGATTGGACTCGACGAAGAATCTATCATCAAGTGGGACATGGACGAGACAGCCAAGGGTGGACCTTTTAAAGAAGTATGTTTTACTCTCTACTTGTTTAACAACTTCCGTATTAACTTTTATAGGTTGTGGAATCGGACATCTTCGTCAACTGCGTCTATCTCGGACCTAACCCCGCTCCTCCTTTTGTCACTTTTGATTCTCTTGCGACCCCAGAGAGGCGACTACGAGTCATCTGTGATGTTTCATGTGATCCGAATAGGTTAGTTGCCACCATTATTGTCGACGCCCTGGCTCTCATAATACTAACAACTGCGCAGTCCAAACAACCCTATCCCCATCTGCTCAACCTGGTCCACTTTCGATAAGCCTACGATTCCAACCTCCAAGCCTGTCAATGACCCGGAGCTAAGAATTATTGCCATTGATCACCTTCCAACCTTGATCCCACGTGAATCCTCTGATGAGTATTCTGGTCTGTTGCTGCCAGCCTTACTCACCTTGGACCGCCGTGATACCGAGGGCGTTTGGACAAGGGCAGAGCAAACTTACAAGGACAGAGTAAGTCAGTTGCCTTAGAGTAGCCAATTGGCTTCGCATAGCTCGCAACTTTTCATAGCATATATATAATAATGAGAGAAAAAAAGGCAATCTCCAAGAGATGAGCTTTGGAGATATCGGTGTAGTTGATACAGCTTGGGAAATAGATGGCATAAGATACTATCTATAACGATATAGTAACATGATGTATAAAAAATAATTAATTATCGTAATTACTCTAGCTCTTCTGTTGCAAATGATTTATTAATGATCCAAAGGGAGTATTTTTCGTTGCAACTCCAATTCAAAATCAGCCGGGGTTTAACCAATCACGATCGAATCTTTCCCAAATCTAGCGATAAGATACTGGCATATCAGAAGCTTCATTCATTCATTGCTCCACCATCTACAAAGCACACCGGATTCTTCGATTTCCTAAGGCATAATTCTGTTCCCTTTGGTTAGCTCATGAGAGCCTAGACCTCTCCTATTCAGTATGCCTGCCCCCTCATACCCTCTTCCCACGTCACCATCACCAGTTCAGCTCTATCGTCATCTACTCCGAGAATGCTCTTACCTCCCTCCAGCCTTTCGAGCTGAGATTGCGTCTACAATTCAAGATCGTTTCCATCGTCATCGCAAATATGACACGCGTGCAAAAGCTCATCTTGCTCGAGCCTACACGGCTCTGCGAACGCTGCGAGCTGCCAATAGCGGCGAAAAAGCAGCAATGGAGAACCTGATATTCAAAGGTTTTGGGAGGTCAGGAAGTAGGCGACGAGAACTAATGGCTCAATTTGTGATTCCGCAAGGCCCCAAAGATTCGAGGGCTCTCGAAGAAGCTCTTGATTCAGCAAGGAGAAGCAGCGAAGCTAACAAGGCTTCTTCATCAACGACACATGCTACAGCGGATGGCACCGTCAAAGCCAAAAAGGCATTTTTCGAGAAATGGGACCAACAGAAGCTTATGAGAATTCTGCAATCGCAGCGACAGCAGCAAAGAGACACAAAGGGTACGGCCAGCTGGCCTGGGACTCCGGTTAAGACGCTTGATCCGGACCAATTCATTCCTAAAGAGACCATTTGGGGGAAACCACCTGGAGAAAATCTGAAGCAGACGAAAAGGGCCAACTGGTGGCGACGAAATGCTGAAAAGATTATGCCTCCTTTGGGCAGAGGTGAATGGGAGATGCTCAAGGAGCTAAGCAATGGAGGCCAGGAGAGGGGCGAGTGGCAGATACCAGAAAGGCGCCCACTTGCAAACTCTTTGGCGGCGACAGAAGAGATAACGGCACAGACAAGATGGAACTGGAAAGGCTATGCTACAAAGCCGACGGCCATTGTCGAAAAGCCGAGATCTCTAAAGCAACAGCGGCGAACTGGCCAAAAGGACAGCGGTCCATATAGTGTCAAAGATCGCGACCGCAACTTGTCAACAAGATGGTTTCAGAGAGCCTACACTAGAGCATGGCAACTTACACCAACAATGACACAGGATCCCAACACGCTCAAATACTCATTTACATGGGGTAGCATCCAGTCACGGCTCCCTCCAGCGGCCAAGCATCAACTCGACATCTTCGAAGGCGTGGATGAGAACGGCCGTAAACAGAAAAAGACTGCATCGTCGTGAAGACATGAACTTTTTTATTTACGGCTTTTAAATGCGGGATATATACGGTTTAGTCGGTCAGGTTGGCAACCTTGTTCAGCGTCGGTCCGTCAACACGCATTCCCACCCACTCGTTCATTGCGGTGGCTCCGATGAGCTCATAGAACTTGATGCTCGGCTCGTTCCACTTCAGCACCGACCACTCTAGACGACCGCCGTCCATTGCGACAACCTCCTTGGCCAGCGCGGACAGCAGCTTCTTGCCGTATCCTTTGCCACGGTATGAGGGGTCGACGTAAAGGTCTTCCAGGTAGATGCCAGACTTGGATCGCCATGTACTATAGTTGTAGAAATAGAGCGCCATTCCCGCGGCTTTGCCTTGTTCGTCGAAGATGAGGAAACAGCGCGAAGGACGAGTTGCTGAGATGTTCTCAGTCACGGGCAGGTTGTTCTGGGGGCTGACAACACCCGATGGCGCAAAGGCAATTGTGTTCTCCAGAGTCTCGACCGTCGCCTTGACAGCATCGGATTCCTTCTCATAGTCGGCAAGATCCTGGATGAAGCCCAGGATTGTGGGCACATCTGCGAATGCGCATTCATGTTAGCAGATCATTCTTATCATGCTTCTCACTTGGCCAATTGCACAAGAGGGAATGAGCCTACCCTCGCGGTATGCGTGTCGAACAGTCGCCATTTTGCTGGGTTTATATATATTCTCAAAATTCAGATCAACTAAAGACACAGATGATTGCGGACTTGAGGAACTTCAAACTACATCTACAAAAGCGAACGGCGGCTCTTAAGTAAAGTTGGAGAAACGCAGTGGGGTCAGACAAATGCAAAATCATTTTGCCCATCTCGGGATTCAAGGAGGGGCGCATGGCGGGGTCGCCGCAAATAGCAGCGAGTCAGCGGCCGCCGATTCTCAACTGGCCTCCATTCCGATGCGCCTTTGCTGTCGTCAAAATCGCCCTTCTGGTGGGCTTACCTGATCCACCACTGAATCTGGGCGGCCTTTGGGCGGCGTCTCTAAAGTCCATCTCCGATCCATCCAAGCCAATGCCTATGTGCCAATGCAGTGACTTGTCAACTTGTCAAGGGGCTGCGGAGTTCCGCCAGGAACATCGGCACTTATACGATATACTATGAGTGCTGTTTCAGCCTTCAGTAGCAACGGTCCGATGGATCTGGTCATCTACACCTTGAACTTCCCTCTCGAGATGAACAGCCATAGCACCAGCTGCAATCCAAACAACGCCAGGGCGACGGGTTGAAGCACCTCTACGCCATACGCCTCAGCAAGCGCACCGACTGCAAAGGGAAAGCTGTATGATGAAAAGTGTGTTAGCCACAAGTCTGACGCCCGTGAAAATGTATGGAATAAGACGGGGAAAACGCACACGGCAGATCCAGACACGGCAAATGCTGTCGCAAAACCAACGGAGACGAGGTGCTTTTCTGGCGGCAACAACTTGGTCATGACACGGATTCCCTGAACATGATGTTGTTAATTCTATTTCCTCGAGCCAAAAGTCTGGAGCACGAGTCAGGCAACTCACTGAGGGCATAAGCATTCCGATTGATACTCCAACAAGCGCAGCCATGACAGCGCTGACTGCAAACTCCTTGCCGAACCAAACCCCAAGCTCCAGTCCGATTGCACTGAGCAGGTATATCGTCACCATGACTTTTTCTCCCACATATCCGGTGATCCAGCCCAGTCCGAAGCGGCCAGCCGTGAGACCAATCCAGAAGCCCGAAGTAGCCAGAGAGGACGCCGTAGGCGAGCCGTTGCGGACGTTCATCATAAAGGTCAGAAGCCAACCTCCAATAGTGACCTCAGATCCCACATAGAGAACCATGAAGAGAGAGAACGTCAAAGTCACCTAGTCAGCGTCAGTTTTACATCAACCTGGTTCTACAACCAAAGTGGGATAATACCCGATTTTTCAAGACTTTGAGAGTTCCTGCTTGTGCATTGGGCGACGGAGTCGCGTTCCGTTGACGGAATCCCGACCCAGTATCATCCCAAAATGAGGTTGTTACAGCTATACAGGCAAGACAAGCCAAGCTCATCTAGATAGATGAGAGCATGTGAGCCGACAGTTCTTCTATACGAAACACAGCGATTCAACTCACCATTAGACCTAGATTGTGTTAGTTCGATGCAGCAACAAAGATAACGTTGACTTGGAATATCACTTACAGTAGAAGATCCACCAATTTTCCACTTTGGTCGCAATTCTGGATATCTGCAATAACCCGCATGAATACAACAAACTCACAACATTCGAGAAGAGGTGTGCGCAACATACCAGAATTGGAGACAGTGTCGCACCCGCGCCCCAAAACCCATGCAGGAATCCCAGCAGCGTGCTGCCTTGAACCAGGCCTCCAAACCAACTATTCCAGCTTCCATTCATCAAGCCGCTCCCAAACCCCGTCAATACAAGGAGACAGACTACAACTGGAAAAGGAGGATGCTGCGAGATGCCTAAATACGCCAGGACATAGGCACCAGTTGCCGTCAGTGCGACACCACGTCTTCCAGCTATAGCATGGAGGCGGTTGGAGGTGAATGAGGCAAGCACACAGCCTACCATGGGGCTGAGAAACATGAGGGAGACGATTGAGTGAGGCAGATGATAGTATTTTTCAAAGAGCGGCACCATGGCGCCCGGTGCGCCGTCATTCATGCCGTAGACGAGGAAGGCGAAGAAGCACGACAGCACACGGTACTTGTTCCTGGGTGGGTCGTTCCATCTCTGGGCCGTGGAGACGGCACTTTCAGGTGGTAAGGCTGATTCGGCATCGTGGACCGAAGGCTCGGGGAACGGAGCTGGGAGATCCGGACCAGAAGATCGACGCGGGATGGAAGCTATGGGGGCCGGTGGGGAGATGGGTTGGAGGAGGATGGTCTCTGTCTCTGCTGTGACGAGTTCCGTCTTGGACATGGCGAGTATGTGTGTGGTAAGTTAGTACATATATTCCCACAGTTTGTATACTGATTTTTTTTTTTAACCACACTCTCTTTCTTTTGACGGAATTATCTACTACAATGAACAAAGTCTAAGTAAAACTGAATTATATAAACCACGAGACACAGCAGCCCATTTAAAGGTCCAAGCTGGTCGGCCTCCAATTTATCCGCGTATTATCCAAACCCAGCACTCACACACTAGATTCGGCAGCTCCCCGATTCTCCGCCATCGGTGAATAAGCCTGCCCTGCGTGTGACCTCCATTGCCGACACTCCCCGACAGGAACGTCGATGCCTTTTGGCTTGCAGTAGTTAAGATTTTCATTATACTTGCTAGGCGTCCTCGGTGAGTGATGGGCGTCGGGAAGCTTATTACGAAAGTATTACGAAAAATATGGCTGATCGTGTGATGAGACGGAGAAATTGAAAGATGTCGGGGAATTACTGATTGGTTCTCTTTCATTCTTGTGAGGATTTAAGATGATGCTGATGGTGATGGATTGGTTGTTGATGAAGATGTTTGTGATGGGGGAATGTTTGAGATGACGAAACTTCATCACGAGACTTTATGCGGATGAAATGATGGCTTCGAGCTGACAAATGGGAAGGTTGTTGTACCGTCTGATTCAATGATAAGGATTGACTTGGTTTCCCTTGCAGGGAGTTGAATAGCAAGGGAGTTGAATGATCGAGGCGACAATGTGATTCGTGAGACTGCCCTGACTACCTTGAGCATTTCGTTGTTAGCGAGCGGCCTCCCATCAACCAGAATAGCAACAGCTATCTGCTTACAATGATAGGATGATCGCTTGAAAGCAAACAGAAACTTCGTAACGTACCTTTGCCAAGATGCTATTTAACTCGATACACACTTTGTAGGTGCCTTTGACTATTCAGTCTAGTCGATTCTGCCTGTAATGCCCCCTTTTTACTTTTTTTGCGGCACTACTGTTTGTCCGTCTGTTTGCCCTAACCGTGAATCATCGGATCAAAGTTGAGCAAGTTTTTGCTTCGACACTGCACGATCAGTTTCCATTCACCTTTCGTTACTATAGAAGACATCAGCAGGGTTTCAACAGCGTCTCAGGTAGCCGACTCACCTGTTCTTCGCCTGTTCCATCTAAAAGTCCAGAAGAAGCAATACCGTCCTTTTCGTCGTCAAATGATCTGAATCCTCAACTCTTTTGTTCAAACCATCTCGTCCCAAATAACGCAAAAGACATTACCCCTTCCTCAACCAGATCCAATCAATTCAACCGGACAGACTCCAAACGATGCGTATCTTTTCCGCTCCCAAGCCTCAAGAAAGGCTGTCACTCGTCACGAGTATTCAATTCGTCGTCGAACTCGAGTTTCTCACCCCACCGGTCTCTGACGAGCAGACTGTGCCTGATCGCGACCGCAGCTTCCACTACTTTGCCTCTGCGCTCCAAGATGCCGGCCTCCAAGCTGCGTTTCTCCTAGAGGAGAAGAACAAAAAGGAAGAGAATTATCCAGAAGTCAATGACCAAGTCAATGACAATGACCGAGACACAGACGGCCAAATGACTGAAAGTCAACTCCTCGCCCAGGCACCCAGGGGAAGTATCATCAAGACCAAGCACAACGGCAACATGTTCATCATGAGCCCCCAATCGTCCATCCCCTGGATCAAAGCTGGTGCCAAAGACAACCCTCTCCTGAGATACTGGCTGATCAATCCCGATAGCAACATCAGTGGTCACGGTCAACACGAGACCTGGCATCCAACGGCGCTCACCAGCCCGATCCTGCGAGAATCAGAGGCCAACAATCTGTTTCCGGGACTCAACACGGCCATTTACACCATCTGGACAGCGCATTCAGCAAGAGTGCACATCAATGATGCCTGCGGTTTGCACGTCCACGTCAGCCCGGCTGTTGTTCCATCTCTTGCTCAGGGAGTTGCTCAGGGGCTTAACCAGGGACAAAACCACCATGGACAGAGACAAGATCTGACAACTCTCCAGGTTCAACGCGTCGCCACGCTCGTCGTCGTTCTCGAAAACAGTCTGCTCTTCCACCTGTGCTCGCCTCACCGCCGTCAAATCCATACCCAACTCATCGCCGCTTCAGGCCTTGCCTATGCGACAAACTCTCCAACTTGCCCCCTCGCAGAAGCAAATCTTCCCCCAAACATCCTCAAGGGCACAGGAGCCGTCGAAAAGGCCATCAAGTTTCTCTGGACAGCTTCCGACCTCGATCAAATCAGCCAGATGCTCTCACGTCATCCCAAGACTCGTGACACTCGTCCCACGGCCTTGAGAATCAACACTCACAAGCACGAAGACGACACCGTCTCGCACATGCTTGAATTCCGTCATGCGCAGGCTGCTTTCAACCAGGGCTTCGTAGATAACTGGGTTCGCCTTGTGCTGACGGTGTGCAAGGTGGCCTTCCTACCCACCGAGAGGTTCAAGCTCGTCGTTGCCATGCTTTAGGAGACGGTGCGGACGACAGCTAGCCCCGGGGATGCGTGGAAGACGCTGCTTAGAGTCCTTAATGACTTTGCGGCGGTCAACTGGCATGCGCGAAGCAACGAGCAGTTCTGGGTGGGCCATCTGGCGGTGCAGGATAGGAAGTGAGGAGCCATTCCTGTCTCCAACGATGCCAGTTTCTTTTGTCTTTCAAACGGTATCAAATCCTCAACTTGAACATGATCGGAAAGTTTCGCGGGGGCATAAGTCTACATGCGTGTAACCACAATTACACGCCAAATCAGCAGCAGCCCTTTGTTTTCCCCAAGAGACTATTCGTCTCCTTATCATTCAACAATTTTTTTCAGCTGGCTACTTGCATGCCATCGTAGCAGCACAAGTGGGCTAAGTCAGCCCAAGGAATGGTCGCCAGGCACACCGATGTTACACAACCAAATCTCGCCCGAGAGATATAGGCCGGGATGATAGTAACACTCGGGTCATTGGTACTCGTATTATGATGCTATTTTCACATGGACAGGGAATTTTTTTTTCATTTGCTTTTTATGGATGGTATCCAAATACGGAGCACGCATTGCTGATTCTTTCCTTTTCGCGAAATAGGGGTGCAGCCAGAGGCTTATTTTCATGCACGTAAAATCAAGGTCCTATTACGACTTACAAGTGACAGGAAAAAGTATTACTGTTTCTCCGGTCTCTATCATTACCAAGTCAACTATGTAGTCCTAAGTAATATCAAATAGTTCACATTCCTTCATCCGTACCACAAAATATGGAACAGTAGAAAAAATACAACGCCTACTCCCCATCAGGCATCATGATGCCTCATCCTCCCTCCAGCCCAAAAGAAAGAGAGTCATGAGCTCCAATCTTCGGCGCAGTCTCCACCGAACAAGAAAGGTTAAAATCAGCGAAACCGAGGCCTAGGCTCTCCCCCCAGAGAGAACAAAAAATAGGCCACCAGCCAGCCACCCCATATTTTCTCCGCACGCGGGAGGAACTGACTCAAGCAAAAACGAGATAAACATGGAACCAAGAAGCTTCTTCGTTAGAACAAAACCTTGGCTTAGTTGTGGCGCAACAAAAGAACGCCACGGTCCGGGAAGTTTCCTTTTTTATTTCCAGTTTCCAGAACTATTGATTCTTTCTTCTTCGCAAAAACATGCTCTGATATTCTATGAAATTGAAATAAAAGATTAGCCGATGATGCTCTGGCTATGCCGGCATTTCAATCCCGACCTTGGCAAGCCCTCAGCTCGTAACTAGCTGGAGCCTATTCATCACTTTGGCTAGGCCTAGATCCGTCTTCGGAGGGCTCCGTAGCGGGGCAAGGATTTGCGCAGGTCCGGCTCGGCGATCAGAGAATTGTTGCTCCGTAAATGTAAATGCACGAGTAAAAGGCATGGAAGGCCAAGAAATGGATTCGGAACTATTATCCAATCCTGTTTGAATATTTCCAACTAGTCATTAAATTACAATCATAGACTCTGAACGTGGTCCCCCTTCATGACTCATAACATAGGTAATGAAAAACAAAAAAATTACAGCAGGTACCGATATTCGGGGTTCAAGTCGCCTAGCTCTGTCTTCTCTTCCTCCGAGAGGTCGGGGACTTCAGTCATGTTGTCCCTCTGCTTGTTGGCCATCAAGCAGCCAATTCCGTAAATGGTTGATGCAATCATGGAGATGACTGTAAACGCAAGGCACACGCTGTAACCCGTAGTGAACTTGGGCGCATCCTTGGTCAAGAAGATGAAGACAGCAATGATGCCGCCCAGGTTACCGTAGCCGACCTGCCATGCGCTGCCGACGGCACGGCGAGTGTGGCTTCCCAGGTTCATGTTGAACCAACAAACGACGATGGGCATGGCAGTGTATGCGCCAGACGTGATGAGGAACAGCGCGCCGTACTGGACATTCTTGTTGCTGTGCTCTGCAAGGAGAATGGCAAAGCCAGCAATGGCAATAAGCATGCTGACAATGGCAAACGCAAATCGGTGGCGCAATCTATCGGACAGGGTAGCAATGAGAAGAGAGAAGCCGAAAGCGGCGGCCCACGGTGGGACGCTGCGCAGCTGAGTTTCAATGGGGTTGTAGTGGAAGGTCGAGATGATCGTGGGAGCAAAGTAGGCATAGCCGTAGGCGGGGACAATGAGGCCAAAGTACATGAAGCCACCGGCGATGACCTTCCAGTCCTTGAACACGTTCAGGATATCCTTGATCGTCATTCTCTTCACGTGGCCAGAGCCGGTGCCCTGGTCGACGCGGAGACGTGCTGCGACGTACACGCGCTCGTCCTCAGTAAGCCATTTGGCTTCCTCAGGGAAGTCTGGCAGAAGGAAGAAGAAGAAGAAGCTGACGAAGACGGTGAGACCGCCCTCGATGATGAAGATCCAGCGCCAGCCGTGGTAGCCACGCAGGCCGTCCATCTTGCCAATGGCGGCGGCAAGGAGACCACCAAAGGCACCGGCGAGGGTCGTGCTGTTGAAGAAGAAGGAGTAACGTCGTTGGGCCTCAGATCGCTTATACCACATGCCAATGAGGTAGAAGGCTAAATAAAAGTTACACTGGTTAGCTCGCGACCACACAACACGACACCAAAAGCATGATTGCGAGAAACGTACCTCCTGGAAACATGCCAGTCTCGAAAAGGCCGAGGAAGAAGCGGGTGGCGAGCAGGCCGCCGTAGCTCTTGACCAGGCCTTGCATCATGGTGGTAAAGCCAAAGAGGAACATGTTGATGGACAGCCAGACATGGGGCTTGAATTTCTTGAGCAGGATGTTGGAGGGCACCTCGAAGATGCAGTAGGGCACGAAGAAGATGACCAGAGCCGTGTTGTACTTGTCGCCAGTGCCGAGATCCAAATCACCAGCGAGGCCAAACAGCTTTGCGTTGGCAATGTTGACACGATCTAGTGAATGGTGATAGATGTTTAGTATGATATGTATGACATGACATGACATAACATGAGTGTATATGCACATGCAACTCACCCAGGAATGCAAGCAGGTACATGATGCAGAGAAACGGCACGACTCGCATGTCGATCTTTGCCATCAGGCGCCGCTCAGTTGTGTGCGGCGGGCAAACAACCTCGTCGGCAGCAAATGGCACTTCGGTGTCACGGATATCGGTCGAGTTGCGACCCGAGCCGCTGTGCTTTTCGTCCATTGCTGCGGTCTGTGTTGGAGGACGAATTGAATGATGAGCGTCTCCCTATTCCTAAAACAAATGAAATTCTTCTTCTTTCCTCAGCTGGAACTCTGAGAATAAGGGCAAAGCCCACGTGAAATAGTGGAGGGAGGAGGAAGCACAGGCTTCGATGTTGGACGTTGGCAGGACGAGGGAACAAGCGAGTGGAACACAAGAGACAAGAGGGATCTGCCGGACCCTATTTGTACTCGGACTCGGCAGCTGGTGTGCTCGTGCTCTCCCAGTTCCCCAGGATATTGTCGCATTGTCGTAAATCCAAGTCAACAGGGCTAGGCTCTTCTTAGTCGCAGCCACTGGCATTCGTCCAACAAGCGAGCGACGGGGTGGGCCGCCGTCTCGTCATCCAGGAGGAGCAAGCCGACTATTTCGGACCGCCCACGGCGTCCACGGACTCTGACTCTGACTCCAGTCTGCTGTAAGACTTTGCTCCAGCTGGCTGCCGTCTTCGCCATCCGGGCCACATTAGTCAAGCTGCGTAAGGCATCCTGGCAGATCGTGGCGCCTGTGGAGCCGCTCTTCCTCCGCATCCTTGTCTCTGGCCAGGGATCCCCACGCACAGCGTCGTTGCTGTCACGGTGCCCCAGATTCACCGACTGCCGACTGTCTTTGTCGTGTGGAGAAGGCGTGAGAAAGTCGGATGCGTTGGGAGATTCTGATAGGGAGCTGATCTGAGCTGAGGAGAAGCAGCCTACTGTAATGTGCGTGCCCGTCGACGTTATTGGCAGGGATTGAATATCCATGTCGACTACTTGCGTGCGCACAACACCAAGCCCAAACAAGTCGTGAGCGGCTTGTAAATTTCCCGAGGCATCTTCTGTCATTGGCTCTGTACGCCAAGGCCCCAACCCAAGCCATCCCCGCCGCGAAAAGGAACCTCAGCCATGAGTCCATTGCCCTTCCATGCCCCATTTCCCCGGGTTTTCGCTCCCAGATTGGTCTTAATGGGCTTCAAACAGCGTGCTGACGGACGTCTTTTAGCAGCCAATCTAGCCTCCTTAGCTCTTGTTCGAGCCATCCCTCCTCCCCTACTCCTAGGCCCTATTGCCTATGTAATCTCTCTCCGCAGCGTCTCGTGGTTGGGGAATTGGAGAAGCCGTTCGAGCGGTCCGGACTTG